TGTTAAATGCTAATCTCAGACTGAATGCACAGTATGCTCTATAAATAGTACATTTTTTTATTTTATTTTTATTAAATTAATTTATCCTTAATTAAGGATCAAACCCACCTTAGTGCAGCTGCAACGATGGATTTTACGAAGACTCAAACGGAGAATGCAGAGGTAATACTAACTTATTTAATTAATTTTATTAACAAATTTATAATAATTTTTTTATATCAGCCTGTCACCCTAATTGTACTAGATGCACCGGACCTGGACCAAATCAATGTCAAACATGTGCAGGTAACAGAATAGATTTCCCAACTTGTAAATGCCCATTAGGCACATACGATGATGGAAATCCAACTTGCCCTAAATGCAACTCTGCATGCACATCTTGCTCAGGCCCATCAGTTAATGATTGTACATCTTGTTCTGGAAATAAAATATATGATTCTTCTTCAAATAAATGTGTTTGCCCAAAAAACACTTATGATTTAGGAATTGGATATTTCTGTGCATGTAAAAATACAAATTCTATTAACTATTTGCTTAAAAAAAATTTTTTATTAAAAGAATGTAACATTTTCTGCGATGGATGTTAAGGAAGCCCAAATAATTGCATAAAATGTGCTGGAGGTCGTATAGGCTTCCCCTCTTGCAATTAATGTCCAGATGGAACATTTGATAATGGAGGTCTTACATGCTCAAGTAAACCAATCAATTAAAATTAAATAATATAAACCTAATATTTATGTTTTGAACAAAAATAGAATGCAATACTAATATATGTTCAACATGCTCATAATCTCCTTCTAATTGCACAACTTGCTCTCCGGGTAGAATCAATGCACCTCAATGCACATGTATACAAGGTACATTTGATAATGGAATAAGTTGTGATAGTAAATTTTACTTTTATTTTGTTTTATATTTACAAATAATTTTTAAAAAGTTTGTGATCCAATATGCAGCTCTTGTGATAAATCGAAGTAAAACTGTACTCAGTGTATTGCAGGAAGAAGTGGGGTAACAACTTATTTATTTTTTTTATATTTTTTCAATTTAGCTCACTGATATAAATAAATAGGCTCCTTATTGTGGATGTAATGATGGGACTTATGACGATGGAGTTAATGTAGCTTGTTAAAGTAAGAATTTAATTTAATTAAAAAAAAATAAATTCTATTAATTAATAGAATGCCCTAACTAATGTTTGACTTGCTCTGGATCTAATTCTTGCACATAATGTAGAGGTGACAGAATTAACTTGCCTAGTTGCTAGTGCCCCTATGGAAAATTTGATGATGGTTTAACTGAAATGTGCAGAGGTATGAAATATTTCTAATTTAAAGAAAAATTAACTTTTTAAAAATAATAAAAGACTGTAATCCAAAATGTGGATCTTGTTAAGGAACAATTTATAATTGCACTACATGTAAAGGAAATAGAGTTAATTTTCCTAAATGTGATTGCCCTGATGGGTTTTATGAGATAGAAGATTTTATTTGTGCTCCATGCGATAAAAAATGTGGATCTTGCTCTGGATCACCTACCAACTGTCTAATATGTTCAGGGAATAAAATAAATCCACCAGTTTGTTCATGTCCTAATTAAACCTATTATGATTTAGTTTTAAAAGATTGTTCACGTATATTTATCCTTTAAATTTAATAATTAAAAAATTTTTTATTAAAATAAAAATAAAGGTTGTTTCCCTACATGTTAAACCTGCACTGGAAAATTCCCAAACTAATGCTTGTTATGTTTACCTGGCTTTATCATGAGAGATGGAATGTGTCAAGGTGAAGTGGGTACCTATGTTGATTATGAATCTAATTCAATAAAAAATTGTAATTTTACTTGTTATGAATGTGAGAGTAAATAAGATAGATGCATTAAATGTGATATTTCAAAGAAAAGAATACTACAAAACAATTCTTGTATTTGTATGGAAGGATATATTGAAAATGAACTTAAATAATGCATTTCTAATGTTAACCCTGATGAAAACAGTAATTTATCTTATGTTTGTGTTTTTATACAAAATTAATTATTAAATTTATTATTTTAAAGGGTGCATTTTACCAAATGTTGGATTTGGTATTTATTAAGATTAATCATGTGAATGCCCTGATGGAAAGTTCCTCATTGAAAGTTCTGGAAGATGTGCAGCCTGTCCTTCAAGTGATTGTATATTTTAATTTCTTTAATATTCATCAAATAAATCTATTAATTTTATTCAAAGGTAAAACTTGCAATGCTTCATCTTGCATAACATGCCATGATGAGTATGAGCTAAATACTAAAGGATTTTGCTTTAAAAGAGTTACAGATTAATCAGCATAAATTGTGCTATTCATTTTCTGCGGTTTAGCTTTATGCTTTGTTTTAAGTACAGGTTTAGTTTACTTTTTAAGGGAATAATATAAATTCTTTAAAATTAAAATAATTCCATAAGCATCTAAAAATAATGTTAGTAGTGTTTTAGATGCAAGTACTGTAAAACTTCAAGAGTAATAATCGTTATCAATCATAAATAACGTATGACCAATAAATAAATAATAGCAAACAAAATATTATTAAAACATTATAAATAAAAAATTAAATTTTTTTAACACCTTTATAATAATATAATAAAATAATATCTATATTTATAATAATTTCGTTTTAAGTAAAAAAAAGTTATTTTTCTTGTATGAAATGAAATAATTTCAATATTAATTTCTTTTTATTTCTTTATTTAGGTTTACTTTTATTTTAAACTCATACTTAAATATAATTTAAGAATTAAATTTCTTAGATAAAAAAAAGAATATTGAGTTATGTAATGGATTTAAAAATATTTTTAAATTACCCTATTGTATGAACATTCTAAAATCATGAAATAAATTAGTTTATACAGCCACTAGACTAGAAATGAAACAATCATAACATGTACCAGTTCTATCTTACCCAAAGGTATTGCATCCACTTTTAGATGAATATTTATAATCTTTTCTTGAAACAGCTGAGCAGTCATAACATAAATTTGTAGTATTAAACAAGTGTTATAGAGATTAAATTTGAAATTAGAATAGATAGTATCTGTATTACTTAACTAAGAATACTTAAAATTAGAACAGTTTATCAAAATATAATTAAGAGAGATCGTATTTATAAAAGTAACATCCAATTACAGAAAAGTAAATATACTATGAATTATTTGCTGCTTCACATATTTGTATACACTAGAGTAAACAAAGTCTTCACACATTGTAGAAACTCTCAAATTTAAGTAATTATTACTTGCATCTGTTAAAAAACAGTCTAAGCATTATAATCCAGATGTTGCTAATGCAAAATTAAAGTATTAAGGTACACTACTGTCGAGGCAACAATAGTTAGTTCCATTAAGCAAAGAGTAGTCTGGCATTAATTAGTTCCATTAAATTTGTAATTTTTATATTCAGTAGTAGCTGAATAAATACAAGCTAAATTACTTGAATTACTTGAGCAAGATCAATTAACACAAGTGGAATTATTAGCTGAATATGCAAAACTACTGCAACAATTTTTAGAGCTATTTTTACAAGTACTTCAATTAACAGCACTATTATACAATCATAACATTTATTTTCTGTTATTTTATAACTTGAAAAATGCCATAAATCAGAATAAGTATAAGCCCACCAGTGGCGAGGGCATAGATTAATCATTAACTATTACCATTTCTAATAAAATATGGTCAATTACTAACTTTACAATCTATACAAATATTTTATCCTAGTGTAGTATTAGGTACATAATCTGCACAAAAATTAGCTCTATTGCATGAACCTCCAGATTATTAAACTGAGCAATTATTAACGCAGGAAGATTTGGTGTAAGATAAAATACAAAGAACCAGCATGATCAGTATTGCATGCTCCATTTACTAGAATTTAGCAATTAAAACATGCTGTTTAAGCGTTATTTACAACATAATTAACACAAAATATTATCATCATTAGGACAAAATTTACTTGGACCATAAGTTTATACCACAGTACAGTCAACTATACAACCAGAGTCATTTACCTTATAAATAAAATAGCACATACTGGAATTCAAGTTTTTTTCTAACAACTTTATGTTTAAAACTGAATGGCTCTATTAGATTTTAGGTTAATTAAAATTTAAACTAATTAATTTTTGAAAAAAAATTTGTTAAAATATGGAAAGTATGGTATGTATTATGATAACTAATTTTTATCTATAACGTAGTTTTTATTAAATGTTTATCTAGAAAATTTATTAAATGTTCTTAATCTAAATTTTTAGATGATAAAAATTATTTTAAAAAAATAAGTGTATTAAAAGTGCAAATATGTTGATTTATGTTATAGTGATAAGATTTGACTAATGTTATATTCTCTTGTATCCTACATATATTTATATAATTTGACTGATTTAGTTTTTTAACGTTTATTCAAGAATGCTATTTAAAAAAAATGAAATTAAGAATTTTAATAATTAAATTATTTTTACTCTAAAGTACTTCAAATCTATAAATTAACACCCATATTTTATTTTTAAATGTAGTGTTAAATTAAGTAAAGTAAAATATTTTCAAATTTGAGAGTTAATACAATTTGACCTTAATTTATGAAGATTTACTGTATTTTTAAAAGAATTTTAATATCATTATATAAATACAATAATGGATCATTTAGGAATAAAAAATATTTTATTGAAGTACCTTTAATTTTTCCTTTTTAATAGCTTACATGATTTCAAAGTTAAAAAAAATTTTTTATAAAATCATATTAGATTTAATCTTAAATTTAGAGGTAATGTCAAATATAAATACATAATTAGATTTTTTTTTTAAAGTATTGTTTTTTATACTGAAATTATTATTTTAAAAATGCATATTAATTTAAGCTATTTTAAATTTTAATTAAGGATTTCAATTTCAAAGTAACTTTCAAAAGAAAACATTTGAAATTAAATAATTTGCTACAATCAGGAATGGAAACTACAAAAATTGTATAAATATGTTTGAATCATAAGGCAATTTAGGAGCATTTTTAAGTTAAAAATTATTTGAATTCAGTAACAACTGTTAAATTTTAATAAAACTTCTAGAAGGTATTGACCTAAGTGATTCTTTAGCATGGTGTGTCCTACTTGTTGGAGTGCCTCTGTGGTATATCTCAGAACCTTAATTTATTTGCAAGAAAAAGTATGTAGAGTTAGAACTAAAGATGGATCATACTGAATGGTAAAGAAAACAATTAATAAAATGTGATAATCAAGCAGCTGATAGATCTATAAGGCATAGATATGATTAAGGATATCCGTGAATTATTTGATCAAGTACTTCATCATAAAGACTTTAAAAAATATATATCAAAGTGGACTCTTATGGGTGAGAATTAATAATAAAATTAAATTGAAGTCTATAAACAGTTTTAATAAAAAATTATAATCATTGAAAAGTGTAATAAGAATAAAAAAAAAATTTACACATTACAGATTCTTTATTTAAATTTCTACATTATGATAATCATTAGTATAAATATTTATGTAAGTTATTTTTTAAAAGGAGAAGCTAAAAAGTGTACTTTTTTACATAACTCAATAATAATAATAATGCCATTTCTTTGAATATTTCATTCATCAAAGTAAGTTTATCTTTCTTGTTTATTTTGATAAAATGTAAAATAGCATAGTTTTACATCATAAAATTCAAGTTATCCCTCTATCTAACTCTTTTAATATATTTACAATTTTATTAATGAAATCAGTATCTAATTTACTCAAATTGAAATGTAAATTGCCAAAATTTATTAAAATCCAGAGTATTATAATAACTTTTTCTTTAATAAATATTTTCTGTAAAAGAAATATTGTTAATAGGTCATGTGTGACTGACCGTCGGTATTTTCCTCAAAGTGAAAAACGATTGTTAATAAATATTTTAAATCTAAATACATTAAATTTTTTATCCTATTTCATTTTTATTTACAAGAGTTATTAAGAAAATTTATTGTGAGTGATAAAAATAAATAAATTTATGAATAAATTTTTTTCCTTTCGTTTTCTTAATATATGATAAGAGACCCAAATAAAAAGAACATAAAATAAAATTTACTCAAATATTTAACTTTTAAAATAAATTGGTATTAAATTTTAAGTGCTACTTAAATAATGAATTTTTCTTAATATATAAAATTTCTTTCATTTTATATTGAACCAGTTTAAAATAATTCACGCTCAATTTTAGATTAAAGAAATTGTCTTTTAAATTAAAAACCTAAAACGTTTATATTGAAAGGCAAATAGCGTTTGAATATATTTGTGTTTTAATTAATAAAATCATCAAAAAGGGGTCTCGGTTGATTTGCCAATTATTTTATTCAAGTCTCAATTCCCAAATATTCTTTAAATTTTTAATATTCATCTATAGTGTAACAGAATCAATATTGACCCCCTGTATATATTTGATTAATCTAACAGAAATTAATTTTGTTTTAAATTTAACCAATAAATAAAAAATAAACAATAACATGTTTACTATTATTAAATTGTAATAAAATATTCTTTGGATTTAAAAATAATATTTTTGATTAATTTATAAATAAGTGAATGAAATAAATTCCTTTTAAAATTTATTAAAAGAAATATTAAATTCTAAACAAAGATTTTTAAATTATATTTCATGCCTTTTTACAAAAAACGGGTAATAATAAAAAATAAATGTAATATTTAAAAATGAGTGATTGATTGACAGTTTTCCTAATGAATGATTTATCAAAAATTAATAATTAAATAAGCGTTATGATTTATAAAGTTAAAATAAATACCAACCAACCAGATTATGTATAATTTATTCACTTTACATTCGATTCATATATTACCATACTGGTTGGAAATGAAAAAAATAGAATTTAAAAGTCAAATCGAACGAATTAAAACTTAGTTTTGGAAAATTAATTAGAAGATATGTAATCGATATGTATTTAGATCGCTAAAAATTATAATTAGTTTGTATGGAAATTAAAATTTAATTATTTGTCATGATTTATGTCATTTATGTATAATATAATTCGCTTGCTTATATCTAAAAATTTGTTTAAATTTGACTAAGTTAATTAAATGTTTGTAAATAATTAGTAACAATAACTTTGAAATAATAATCCAAAACCTGAAAAAGACTAAATACATATTTGTTTTAATTTAAATTTTAAATGTCAAATATTATTTTTAGAATATCAAGCCTTGCTGTTCTTTTAAATATAGTTTTAGGAGGTAAACTTTTTGCTTTTTTTTTTCAAATTTGAATATTGAACTATGTTTTTATTAAATAATAAAATAGATATTGTATTATTATAGGAAGATCTTGTTCATAGTCTTTCTTCTACTGGATGGTCTAACTATAAAACTAGAACAACCCTTGTAGCTTTGAAGGAAACGGAAAATGGTTGCTTAGGTGCTTACGATAAGGACGCTACATCTATTTAAAAGACTTTTGGAGGTAGCTTTCCTCCACATTGGAGTATTAGCTTTGACCTATTTGTTTATTAATTTGGTACTTGGTAAAATGATGAATTTGCAAGTGTAAGTTTAGATGGAATTGTTCTTGGTTCAGTTTTTAAAATGGTTATCAGTGATATTGATTTAGAAAATTTGGGATATTATAATGGTGGAGTAAAGATATTTCATATTAATACTACACATACAGCACCATCAGCACTCATCAATATATAGCATAATTTGAGATAAATTGTAGTCTTAGAATGGATTTGTTTTAATGATATTAGGTTGTGGATAGACACATGTGATGAAACATGTGCTTCTTGTAATGGTCCAGCTCCTAATTAATGCACAAGCTGCCCTGCTGGAGCAACTTTGAATACAGGTAAATGTACTTGCCCTGCAGGCTAATATGGTTCTAATTATTAATGTGTAACCTGTCCAGCTGGGTAATTAATTATTAGTTTAATATTTTTAATTTTTTAACTAGAAATTTAATAAGAATAAAGTAAGCTAATGACTTTATATTTATCAGAAAATATTCAAAAACTGTTTCTACTTATCCATATAAAATTTTTCCACTAAAATTAATACATATTTATTTATTATTTTTTTAAAAGATTTGTATAACTCTAAATATTATATTAATTTATTTGAGTAATAGAACATTGATAAAACCACTCTTTCTTCCAAAGCTAAATTAAAATTTTAATATTTAGGACTTGGGCTGACACTAATTTAAATAAATGTGTTCCTGCATGTGTTGTTGGGTCAAATTTTTGTAGTATATGTAAAGATTAAAGATCATGCGATTAATGCAGTGGAGGAAAAGTAAGTTACAAAGGTGATTGCATAAATAGCTGTCCCTTTTTTTATGATTCAAATGCTGGCGCGTGCTAACCACTAGAAAGAAGCTTTCAGAGTATTAAACTAGTTCAAATAGTTAATAATTTATCTTTGTTAATTTATATAGGAGGACAAACTATTTATTAGGGCTTAGATGGGATTATTGATTAAGCTAGTACAACCCCATTTACTTTTAGCTTCACAAAATATCATAATTTAAATTAGAATTTTTATGTTTGCAGTAATGGTGTTAGGATGCTAGGAGGCTTTGATTTAACTGGATGTAAAATTTTTTTAATCAAAATAAATAAAATATTTTTTATTTTTTTTTATCTTTTTTTGAATAGCTGGCAATTTTATTTATTATTAATCTGGAACAATTCCATATCATTGGAAACTTAGGATTAAAGTAAAAGTAATTTACATAGATACATGGGATAGTGAATATTTCTACTTGAAAGTTGATGGGCAAACAGTATTATCTGATAGAAAGGATCAAAGAGATTTTTCATCTAATTTTTGTGGAACAGCTAATAGAAATACTAATGATTAGATAATTGAATATGACATAACTGTAAATCATAGTGGAACGTCATTCATTTTAGGATTTGAAACTAATTTAGATGAAAGTTTAACTAACGAATCATTCGGAATTTCTAATTTGATAGCTGTAATTGATTTGTGTCCAAACTAATTATGCGCAACATGCACTGATAGGATTTGTTTAACTTGTGTAAATGGGGCATTTTTAGATGCCACAAATATTTGTGTAGCAACATGCCCAGGAGGAACATTTGGAAATATTTTAAATGGAAAATGTGAAAGTATAATTTATTCATATTTTTAATAATAACTATTGCTTTTAATTTTATCAATAAATTTTTTATTCATATTTATCATAAATTTAGCTTGTAGTCCAGTATGTTTAACTTGTAGCAACTCTCCTAGAAATTGTACAGCTTGCTAACCTACCAGAGGACACAATGCTGTTCTTCCAGATTGCGCATGCTAATCAAACGAGTATGATAACCTTCCAAATCCAACTTGCAAATGTAAGTTAATAGAATTTTATTATTAAATATTAATTTAAAATACAATTTTTCAGAATTTATGAAAATACTTTATTAGTTTATTTGTTTGTTTTTATATTAGAATGCTCATATAAATGCTTAACATGTACTTAAGTAGATTCAAATTGCACTACTTGTTCTGCTAATAGACCTAATAGACCTCCCTCCTGTAATTGTGATGATGGAACTTTTGAATAAGATAATTAAAATCCTGTATGTGGAAGTAAAATAAAAAATATAATTTATTAATTTCTCAATCGAAAAAAATAACAGCATGTGATAGTAAGTGTTCAACTTGCTCTGGATAAGCAGATCATTGCTTAACATGTAAAGGAAATAGAATTAGAGTTCCTAACTGCACATGTCCAGAAGGTACATTCGATGATGGAGTCAGTTTAAATTGCATTCGTAAATTTTGAAATAAGTTTATTAGATATATAAATATTTAAATTTTTCTAAAAGCATGCAATCCAAAATGCAGAACTTGTTCAGTAACTCCAGATAATTGCGCTACTTGTAATTCAAATAGGGAGATGCCTAATTGCACTTGCCCTAGATATAAGTATGATGATGGTTCTCTAATTTGCAAAGGTAATACATATAGAATTATACCAATTAACTTATGAATTAATAACATATTTTTTTTACAATAGTTTGTTCTTACTAATGTGCTACTTGCGTTGGAAGTGCCAATAATTGTACCTCGTGTGCTGGAAATAGATTACCTCAAACTCCTTAATGTCCTTGCCCCCCAAATTATAATGATGCTGGATATGCTAATTGTGTTGGTAAATTTTTATAAAAATGTATTGTATTGAACAAAAAATTAAAATAAAATAATTAGTTTGTGATCCAAAATGTAATACATGCTCTGCAGATTCTAAAGATTGCGTAACTTGTGCAGCTAATAGAAGACAAAACCCACCTTTTTGTACTTGTCCTATTGGAACCTATGAAAATGACAGAGCTAATTGTCCATGTAAATATAACATTTAATTGGAAAATTTTTAAGCTTATTAACAAATCAGCATGTAGTTACAAATGTAGTAGCTGTGATAGATCTGATAACAATTGCATATAATGCTCACATACTACTCGTATTAATGCTCCTACTTGTGATTGTAAGGATGGGTATTTTGATAAAGGTACTATAGATTGTGGAGGTAATTATTTACAAATCCTAAAAATGCTTCAATTAAAAAAAATTTTTTTATCAAATAGTATGTCCCATAAAGTGTGTTAATTGCAGATCTGAGACTGAATGTACAATTTGCTCAACAAATAGTACATTTTTTGATTTTATATTTATAAACTTATTATTTCCTTTATCAAGGATCAAACCCACCATAGTGCAGTTGCAACGATGGATTTTATGAAGACTCAAACAGAGAATGCAGAGGTAATTTATAAATTGTTAAATTTATTTTATTTACAAATTAATGATCATTTTATGATATTAGCCTGCCACCCTAATTGTAATAGATGCATCGGGCCTGGACCAAATTAATGTCAAACATGTGCAGGAAACAGAATAGATTTCCCAACTTGTAAATGCCCAATAGGTACTTACGATGATGGAAATATAGCATGCCCTAGATGCAACTCTGCATGTTCATCTTGCTCAGGCCCATCAGTTAATGATTGTGCGTCTTGTTCTGGAAATAAAATCTATGATTCTTCTTCAAATAAATGTGTTTGCCCAAAAAACACTTATGATTTAGGAATTGGATATTTCTGTGCATGTAAAAATACAAATTCGATTAACTATTTGCTTAAAATTTTTTATTAAAAGAATGTAATGTTTTCTGTGATGGATGCTAAGGAAACCCAAATAATTGCATAAAATGTGCAGGAGGCCGTACAGGTTTCCCTTTTTGCAATTAATGTCCAGATGGAACATTTGATAATGGAGGTCTTACATGCTCAAGTAAACCAATCAAATAAAATTAAATTATCTAAGCTTAATATATATATTTATTTAACAAAAATAGGATGCAATACTAATATATGTTCAACATGCTCATAATCTCCTTCTAGTTGTACAACTTGTGCTCCAAATAGAATCAATCCACCTCAATGTACATGTTTACCAGGTACATTTGATAATGGAATAAGTTGTGAAAGTAAATTTTATATTTTATTTTTATTTTATTTTTACAAATAATTTTTTATTAAGCTTGTGATCCTATATGCAGCTCTTGTAATTAATAGAAATAAAACTGTACTCAATGCATTGCAGGAAGAAGTGGGGTAATTACTTATTATTTTTTATATGTTATCAATATAGTTAACTAATATAAATAAATAGGCTCCTTATTGTGGATGCAATGAAGGAACTTATGATGATGGAGTTAATATAGCTTGTTAGTGTAAGAATTTAATTTAATTAAAAAAAATATAAATTCTATTAATTAATAGAATGCCCTAACTAATGTTTGACTTGCTCTGGATCTAATTCTTGCACATAATGTAGAGGTGACAGAATTAACCTACCTAGTTGCTAGTGTCCCTATGGAAAATTTGATGATGGTGTAAGCGAAATGTGTAGAGGTATGAAATATTTCAAATTAAAAAGGAAAATTAAATTTTTAAAAATAATAAAAGATTGCCATCCAAAATGTGGATCTTGTTAAGGAACAAGTGATAATTGCACTACATGTAAAGGAAATAGAGTTAATTTCCCTGTATGTTAATGTCCTGATGGGTATTATGAAACAGGAGATTTTATTTGTGCTCGATGCGATAAAAAATGTGGATCTTGCTCTGAATCACCTACCCACTGTCTAACATGTTCAGGACAAAAAATAAATCCACCAGATTGTTCATGCCCTAATTAAACCTATTATGATTTAGTTTTAAATGATTGTTCACGTAGATTTATCCTTTAAATTTAAAAATTAAATACATATTTTTTAAATTGTAAAATAAAGGTTGTTTCCCTACATGTTAAATTTGCACTGGAAAGTTCCCTAATTAATGCTTGTTATGTTTACCAAGTTTTATCATGAGAGATGGAATGTGTCAAGGTGAAGTGGGTACCTATGTTGATTATGAATCTAATTCAATAAAAAACTGTAATTTTACTTGTTAAGAATGTGAGAGTAAATAAGATAGATGCATTAAATGTGATAGTTCAAAGAAAAGAATACTATAAAATAATTCTTGCATTTGTATAGAAGGGTATTCTGAAAATGAACTTAAATAATGCATTCCAATTGTTAACCCTGTCCAAAATAGTAATATATCTAATGTTTGTGCTTTCATACAAAATTAATTATTAAATTTATTTTCTTAAGGGTGCATTTTACCAAATTTTGGACCTGGCATTTATTAAGATTAATCATGTGAATGCCCAGATGGATAGTTCCTCATTGAAAGCTCTGGAAGATGTGCAGCATGCCCTTCAAATGATTGTATATTTTAATTTATATGAAATTCATCAAATAAACCTATAAATTTTATTAAAAGGTAAAACTTGCAATTCTTCATCTTGCATAACATGCCATGATGGGTATGAGCTAAATGCTAAAGGATTTTGCTTTAAAAGAGTTACAGACTAATCAGCATAAATTGTGCTATTCATTTTCTGCGGTTTAGCTTTTTGTTTTGTTTTTAGTGCAGGTTTAGCTTACTTTATAAAGAGATAATATAAATTCTTTAAAATAAAAATAATTCCATAAGCAAATAAAAATAATAGTAGTAATTTTTTAGAGGCATCTACTGTAAAATTTCAAGAGTAATAATCGTTACCAATAATTAATATCGTATGACCAAGCAATAAATAAATAATAGCAAATAAAATATTACTTGCTTTAAAATAATTTACTAAAATAATATCTATTTTTATAATTATTTCGTTTTAAGTAAAAAAAAGTTATTTTTCTAGTATGAAATGAAATAATCTTAAAATATGAAGTTATTGTTTATTTATTTATTTTTACTTTTATTTTAAACTCATATTTAAATATAAACTAAGAATTAAATTTCTTTGATCTAAAAAAAATGAATTTTGATTTATGAAAAGGATTTAAAAATATTTTTCAACATTTTTTTTATTCAAATAATAAAGACTTCTTTAAAAGAAGCAAATATAAAATATATATTTGACTCAAATAAAGCCTAAAAGCAAAACAAAAATTATAATACAAGAAAATGATAGCTTTAGAGAATTTTAAGTTGTTAAAGTTGTTTGTGTTTCATAAGGAGATTAACATCCTGTCCCTGTTGAATCTGCATATATAATATTAGCCTGGATGAAGCAAGCATTACATTTCGAATCAGTCCAAGTATTGGTTCCTGAATAGCAATCGAAGCAAGTCGATGATTTAGAATCATATTAAAAAGCTATGCATCCAGCTACAGAAGAATTAGCACATGCACCTGATGAGACTTAAGAGCAATCTACACACTTACTTGAACCATCATACCTATAATTTGAGCATCCAGAAATAGATTAGTTTATACAGCCACTAGACTAAGAAATAGAACAATCATAACATGTACCAGTTCCATCATATCCAAATGTACTGCATCCACTTTTAGTTGAATATTTACAAGCTCCTCCTGAAACAGCTGAGCAGTCATAGCATAAATTTGAAGTAGAATCATAACGATAATTCACACAACCTTTGAGTGAAGAGTTTTAGCACCCACCTTTGCCATCAGGTATAGAACAATCAACGCAAGTGTTATAGCCGTCAAATTTGAAATTTGAACATAGAGGATCTGAACCACTTAAACAAGAACCATTTTAAACATTAGAACAATTTATGCATTTGGATGAAGTTGAGCTATATTAATATCCTGAGCAAACTGTTTAACTGTTGACACATGCCCCAGCAGAAGCTTTACTACAGTCAACACATAATTAAGAGGATGAATCATATTTATAAAAGTAACATCCAATAACAGATTAGTAAATACACTATGAGTTCTTTGCTGCTGCACAATTTACACATTATTTGTATACACTTGAGTAAACAAAGTCTTTACACCCTGTAGAAGCACTCAAATTCATGCAATTATTACTAGAATCTGTTAAAGAACAGTCTATACATTATAATCCAGATGTTGCTAATGCAAAATTAGAGCATTAAGGTATACTACTGTTGAGGCAACCATTGTTAGTATTATTAAGCAAAGAGCAGTCGAGACATTAATTAGTTCCATTAAATCTGTAATTTGCACATCCAGTAACAGTTGAATAAAGACAAGCTACATTACTTGAACTAGAGCAATCAACGCAAGCAGAATTGTTGGCTGAATATGCAAAACTACTGCAACCAGATTTAGAGCTATTTTTACAATTGCTTCCATTAACAGCGCTACAATCATAACATTGACCTCCTGTTATTTTATAACTTGAACAACGCCATAAATTAGAATAAGTGCAAGCCCCACCAGAAGCGAGGGCGCAACTTACACATTAATTATTACCATTTCTTGTAAAATCTGGCCCATTACTAACTTTACAATCTACACAAGTATTTTAGCCTGGTGTAGTGCTAGGTGCATAATCAGCACAAACATTATCTATATTGCATGAACCTCCAGATTAAACTGAGCAATTAACACAAGAAGTTTTGGCGTAAGATAAAATATACCCAGAGCAAGCAAGATCAGTATTGCATGCTCCAGTTACTAGAACTTAGCAATTAATACATGCTGTTTAAGCATTATTTACAACATAATTAGCACAAGTATTATCATCAGTAGGGCAAGATTTACTTGGACCTTAAGTTTATACGATAGTACAGTCAACTATACAACCGGAGCCACTTACCTTATAATTAGCACATACTGCATCGACGGAAGATCCGCATTACCCATTATTTTATTGGTAACAATTAACGCAAGCTGTATTTGATGAATTAGCAATATAATTTTTACAACTTGGGTCAGATGAACAAGTTGAATCTTGGTTAATAACAGTACAATCGATTTGGCATTTGATTTGTGTTAAAAAACTTGCTAAGATAAGCGCTAAACCTAATTATGCTTTTCTCATTTGTGAATATTTAAAAAATTTTGTAGCTATTTGATATATTTCTTTAGAATTTAATATTTGCAAAATTTTTAAAGTTATTATTTGCCTATTTTGTATATATATACAAACTAACTCATGCTTTTTTTCTAACAACTTAATCTTTAAAACAGATTGGCTATATTATATTTTAGGTTAATTAAAATTTAAACTAATTCCTTGTTCGAAAATTGTTAAATATGGAAGGTATGCGTTATGATAACTAATTTTTATCAATAACGTAGTTTCTATTAAATGTTTGACTAGAAAATTTTCAATTTGTTAAATGTTCTTAATCTAAATTGTTTGCAAACTACCTTAGATAATTGCAAAATAGTCAATATAAATTTTTAAATTTTTTAAACGAATTTCGAATCAAATTGAGCAAAGTATTATATGAGAAAGAGGTTCGTAAATAAGATGATAATTTTTATCATGAATTCTTTCATATTCTTAATATTGAAAAGAAATCTATTCACTTATTTATTATCATCATTTTTTTTATTGACTTAATATTTTTTTTGAATTATTACTTGTTAAAACAAAGAGTAAAAAAAATTGATAAAAATATTTTTAAAACTAAATAAAATTGAAATAAAAAAATTGATTATTTTAATTTATTTATTTTTTTTGTTTTATTAAAAATATTATGTCCCATCCTTTTCTTTATAAATTGGAAATGTCCTTCTCTGATAGAATAAATGACTAAATGTGTTTTATATTTGAGTAGATAAGAAAATATATTGATTTTTATTGTAACAAATTATAATACTCTTTCGATTTATTTGAATAGATTTATTAAATTATTTTATATCAAATGCTTACAATTTATTAATTCTTTAGATGAATATTTATAAAAAACCAAAATATAATTTTAAGTCTAAATATTTCATTATATGATTAAAGAAATGTTAATTATTATTAATTTAGTGTAAATATTTGATACCATTCAATTTTTTTTCATCACTTAATCTTAACTTTTTTTGAGTTTAATATTTAATAGCTGATGAAAAATATATCCAATAATCCAAGAAATTCAAAAGACCTAACAAATAAAACAGTATCAATCAACTTAAATGTATAGATAGAAAATTAAGAAAATTATCAAATAGAAGAAGAAGAAAAAGAGGAGGGTTAAGTACCACTAGATATAAATTTATATAAAAAAAGTAATGATAAGCATTCATTTTTGAAGAAAGTATTTATATCAGGAGTTAGACATGCATAATTTGATGGTGAAGTGTGTGATATCTCGCTAAAAATATTGTACGAAATATTAAGAGTAATGGGGTTGGAAGCAAATGAATTTTTACTGCTAGAAGGGTATAAATATGGTTGTTTTTAATCTTAATATGGTGAAGATTTAGACAAATTTACAAAAAGCGGGTGCAGTTTTAGGAAATTATCTAAAGAAAAATTAGAAGTTAAATAATAGAAACAAAGATTTGATATTGACGAATACATGATATGGCTGGTTAAAAATTTACATCGCTTAAAATATGACACGACATTACATTTTCATTACATGAGAAATGTGAGAAGAGGAATTTACTAAATAGAAAAAAATGACATTAAATTGCCAGCATTTCATTTAAGTGATAATGAATAGTTAGAATTGCTTTAAAAATATAAAACACCTAAATATATGAAATAAAGACAGGATTCTCCTTCTTTAATAGATGCTGAAGCTTAAAGAACTTTTTAGTATTTTCAAACAAAGAATAAAAAATATATTACAACCTTAGAAAGTAAGAAGAAGGAATATATTGAGAGATAAAGAGAATACTCTGACAGATAGCGTAAATTAGCTAAAGAATTTTATAATTACCACAACAACAAGTACTCTCCTAAAAAGTACCCCTAAGTTACATATAGAATTAATACTTAAGGTGTTTATTAAATTGATTCAACTGAAGACTTCTCTCTCCAGTAAACTAACAATACAAGATGTCATACATCTATGAATGAATCTGAAAATAATTATAACAAATCTTCATTAGTAACAAACAATAAAACTCCATCAAAAACAGTACAATATTCTAAATAAGAAAATATGTTTTTGAAATCTGAAAATGTAAACAATGTGAATTAAGAAATAGAACAAAATGACCATTTTAGAAACAAGCAGAGTGATAATTCTTAAAAAGGTAATATGAAAAATAAGTTTCCTAGCTTAAATACTTCTCCGAATTTCTCACCAACAAAATCTTAGAATTAAAGATATTTTATATCAACAAGGAGTAATGAAAAATAAAATTCTATTCTTATCCCTAAAGAAAATTAAAAACTAAAGCTCCAAATCTAACCAGAAAGTTCTCGTCGTACAAATACAATATAGGATTTTACAGATGTAAATATAAAAAATTACTCTCCTTCTCATAAAACTCAAACTACACCTAACTCTCCGACAAGTTCTTAGATAATGAAACAAAAAGAAAGGTCGAACAGAAGGTTGGCTTAAGCAAAAAAAGAAACAGATAAAAGAATGTCTTTAATATTGAAAAACTTAAAAGAAATGACTCAGCTTAGATAAGAGAATGCTGTGATTCCATATGATCTTAGGTCTTAGAGTGAAATTTCAGAGCATGAAGATAAAAAAGAACTCTCTAAAATAGATATAATTCCTTATCAAGCAGAGCTATATGATTTAAATAAAGACCTTACTAAATTAAAAGGAGAAACATAAATAGATATAGCTAGCTTAATTAGTAGGGTAAAGTAAAATAATTAAATCAGAGCTGATATTTATGCTAACATTTAAGACATAGCAGATAAAAGAATGAGAAATAATGAAATTATAGGTAAATAAATTTAAATTGAAACAATTTTATTAAACTAATACATCAAAAAAGGCAAATAAGGCGCTATCAAAGCTAAAAGAAGACTAAGCGAGTGCAGTTATAGGCAATAGAAACAAGAAATAAAAGAATTAAAATATTAAGCTTTGCATGATAAAGATTAAACTAGGTAATACAGGATTGAGCATTTTTTAAGTATGACAAGTAATCCAACAAGTAAATCACCTTCTTAACTTAAATCTCTCTAAAACAGTCCTCATATTACCCCAAAATTCAAACAAAAAATTGGAGATTTATTATCACAAAACCCATTCTGAAAAATATTTAAATAATAAAAAAGTTAATTCAAGTAAAAAATAATTTCAAAAATATTTAGAATAAAAAATACTTCTAAATAATTTAAAAAAATTTATTTTTGTTTTTAATTAAAATTTCTAATTAAAAATAAATTCAAACTAAATATTTTCTTAAAATAAATCAAAAAATGGTTGAAAAAAAATTAAAAATTTTTAATAAATAATTTGGAAAAATTAATTTTTTGTAAAATTGCATTGATTTATTTTTGTGAATATTTTTAATTTTTGTGTAAGAAGTTTTAGTAAAATTAAATTTTTTTAAATAGAATCTTCAACTATAATTTCACATGTTTAACCAAGTAGAATCTATCGTCTACTGGTATTAAGCGATGCTTTATTTGATAAATTTCAATTCTATACTTACTTTATTCATTTAATTTGTAATAAAATAAAAATTTAATTTCTCATCAAAATATCAATATAGCATAATATTTTCATCACATATCACATAAATTTCCACCTTTTTAACTTATTTTCATATTTATTTCAAACAAATGCATGATCAAAAACTAATATTTAAAACAATTTATAATTGTAAATCCAACTTGATAAAAGGTGTTTAAAATTTTAAATGAGAATATTTTTAACATTATATGAACTTAAAAGCAAATGAAATTATATAAATGAATGAAAAATTTGTAAACTCGTGTTTAAAGCGACGATAAGTTACTGAGCAATGTTAAGAATTGCTTGTTTGCATCCTTATAAATAATACAACAAAAATCTTTTTTCTTACGTAAATCTATATTGCCACACTTAGTATGGATTATTACAAGAAAAGTGAGGCATTCTTACGTCATAAAAAATATCTTTAAACGACGTTTTTTCCTTTAAATTAAATTGCATTTATTACAAGATAAGAAAAATAAATAATAAAATAAAAAAAAATAAATAAATACCCTAAAACTTTAAAAAATGATCTCTAAGCTCTTCTAAAATACTGCTAAGTCCCTCACTGCTGTCAACAGCGCTTCCTTCAGTCACGTAATTTAACACTATCCCTTATCTATTAACCCACTCACATTGAATTGAAAGACTTTTTCATCCAATTAAAGCATAAATATCCATTTTAGCTTTAACAACCATATTTTAATTTGTAAAATGCTAATTAACTCATTTCTTAAATAAAACTTTAGCACCACCACAAGGCTCCCGTCAGAGTTGCTGTCACTGGTGCTGCTGGTAACATCGGTTATGCTCTCGTCTTCAGAATTGCTTCTGGTGAATTATTAGGTAAGGACCAACCCGTCATCCTTTAATTAATCGAACTCCCCCATGCTTAAAATGCTCTTAAGGTAAACAAAACAACTTCTTTCAGCTTTGATACTTTATTTATAAGCAGCTTAAATGTATAAAGTAGTTGCTTTCTACTCTATTTATTAGAGTATATGAAGCTTATTTTATTCTGAACAAAAGCTGGATTTATTTGATTATATTTATTCTATATACTAGTTTAACAATACTTTGTTTTAAATTTAAAGGGTGTTGCTATGGAATTGAACGATTGTGCTTTCCCCTTGTTACGTGACATCGTCACCACTGACAGCCAATCTGTTGGTTTCAAGAATGCTGACTACGCTTTGTTGGTTGGTTCTAAGCCCAGAGGTAAAGGTCAAGAAAGAGCTGATCTTATCAAGGATAATGGTAAGATTTTCGTCGACACTGGTAAGGTAAGGATAAAACTTTTAAAGATATTTTATTAGTACGATAAGGAATAAATGAATAATGAGTAGAAAAGAAATTTCATATAAAATTTAAGAGTTGTTAGTAGAACATTCAGCATTAATAAAAGCTTTATCAAAATAAGCTTTCGCTTGTTTAGCAGAAATAATAAATTAATAGGAATAAAAAATTTATATCTAGAAATATACTCAAACATATCAATAAATAAAGCAAATAACACAAATAGAATAATCTCGTTTTTTCTATTAATTTATTTCTTGGTTCTCCTACTACTTGTTATTCAAATATTACCTTAAATTAATTTTTAAAAATCTAATAGCTAGAAGCGAATTAATTTTATTTGTTTTTTAATAGGCTATTAACGACAATGCCTCCAGAGACTGCAAGGTTTTGGTTGTTGGTAACCCCGCTAACACTAACTGTTTAATCGCTGCTCACTATGCTAAGGATATCCCTAAAGAAAACTTCACTGCCATGACCAGATTAGATCACGACCGTGCCTTATACTAACTCGCCTCCAAGACTGGATCTTAAGTCACTGACATTAAAAAGCTCTGCATCTGGGGTAACCACTCTCCTACCATGTATCCCGATTTGACCAACACCACCGTTCACAATAAGCTTGTTGCTCCCACTTTGGACCATGCTTGGATTGATACTTTCTTCAATCCTAAGGTTGGTAAGAGAGGTGCTGAAATTATTGATGCCAGAGGTTCTTCTTCTGCTGCTTCTGCTGCCAACGCTGCTATTAACCACGTTAGAGACTGGGCTTTGGGTAGTGAAGATTGGGTTTCTATGGGTGTTCCCTCTGATGGTTCTTACAACGTTCCCAAGGGTTTGGTCTTCTCCTTCCCCGTCACCACCAAGAACGGTAAGTACTCCATCGTTCAAGGTCTTAAGATTAGTGAATACTCTCAAAAGAAGATTGATATCACTACTAAGGAACTTCTTGAAGAAAGAGCTTGCGTTGAACACTTACTCAAGTGAAAAAATAAATGCATATAAATATAAATTTCTAAAATCAACACTTTTGAAAAACTGTATATCAACTCTTTTTATGTGAGATATATATTTTGTTCAAAGGCTTAAGATTATTCTACTTTTATTAATTTCAAATTTAATAAACACAAAAATAAATCAATGAGAAAATCAATAAATTTTGGCAAAAGCAAATTATTAAAAATAAAAAAATACATAATTATTTAAAATAATTTAGCTTTTCTTATAAAAATTGTTTCAAAAATTAAATATTTAAATAAACAATGTTAATACAATTATTTTATCAAAATTAATAGTTTATTAACTAATAAATATTTTTCAAGAAATAAATTTAATAAGTAACATATACCTTAGAACACCCTATTAATAGTAAACCAAATAAGTGGTAATAATTTAAACTTCATATTTAATTGGTAAAAATTTGTAAATAAATTAAAAATTTTTTTACTACTTTTAGGCTTTTTATGGTAATGTAGTAAGTAGGATTAGTTAGTATTAATTAAGAAATATTTTTGTTTATTTATCATTGAATTAAATAGTTTGAGAAGTATCATTTTCAAACAAATTTTTTTTAATATTAAGAATTAAATTAAAATGAATTTTTCTACTTTTTTTATAATTATTAACACTACTAGAAAAAAATTAATAATGCAATTAACCCTAAGCAAATGTATTAAATATTTATGATTGATTCTATATGGAAAGTAGAAAACGATTAAATTATATGGTATTTATAATGTTTTTGTTGAGTATGTGATATAGAAGTAATATTAAAAGATTTATTTGATTTAAATAAATTTCGTTTTAAATAAATTACATAAAATAAATTATTTAACATACATTAGATAATAATTATTGAATATGATCAGAAAAACCATAAATAGTATAGCTTCTTAATTTAGCTACAAAAATGTATTCTTCTTTACTAAAAGAAAAGAAGGATTTTAAATAATAGATTACCATGAACTAACCACTTCTGAAAGTGGAGAATTATTTACTAAATTTTAGAGGAGTTTTGGTAGAGATGGTATTGGCTCTGTTCTTGTAAGAAATATACCCCATCTTTCAGAGACACGTTTCAAGCTCCTTCCTTTGACTTATTAATTAGCAAATATGCCAAATGAAGAACTTGAAAAGCTAGTAAAAGCTGAAACTCATTATCTCAGAGGGTGGAGCTAAAAAAATTAAAAGGTTTATGGTGTTGAAAATAAAAATTTAGGTATTTTTAGAGCACACATTTTGAAAGACGACAAATATTAATGGAGTGTTAGCTAATTAGAACACCTCCCAAAAAGAATATAGCATTTAGTTGGTGACAATGTTTGGCCAGATAGTAATCCCTCACTTAATAAGATTTACAAGAAACAATTCCTCGACTACCACCAAATAGTTTATAAAACTGCTATCATTTTACTTACGAAATTAGAAAAGTTTATTGAAAACGAATAACCCCATTTTAGAACTTCAGCATTAACTCAGTTATTAAAGAGATCTGACCAACATATCGGTGGTCAGTTCTATAGCTATCCTAATTGCAGCTATGAATAACTCACATAGGATTGGGCATATTGGTCAACTGACTATAGTCTATTATAAGGTATTTGAGTTTGTGATAAAAATAGATTAATTATTATAAAGATATTTATAATATAATGATCCTTAATTCTTAAAATGATAACTTAATTTATATAAAAAAAGGATTATCATCATAGATCTATGTTAATTCTCTTGGTGAGACTCAAGACTACGTTGACCATGACTCAGGTCTTCACATTTTCTCTTAGGACCCAAATAATTACATTAAAATTAGATTAGATGATAATAGTATTTTATTTAAGGCTGGAGAAGCATTATAAATATTAAGTGGAGGTGTTATTTATCCTAAGCCCCATAGACTCATAAGAGGAAGCTTTATTGCAGGAAAAGACTTGAGTGTTGACTATCTAAATACAGTAATCTAACCTAATTTAGAAGAAAAGCTCTCTGTACCAGCAGGTGTTAAAGTTGATGATGTCCTTGATGAGTTCTCTGCTAGTGTTGTACCAGACCTTTCAGAAAGATGGTAGCAATCAACAACCTATGGCTAATTTGTAGAAAAAACGTTATTGAGTTACTAAGCAAGAAAATGATTAAAAAACATTTCAATTAAAAAAAAACATTTATTTAAATATTTCCTCTTAAATCTCATTTCTGTTTATTAATGTATTCAAATACAAAAAATTAAGTATAATTTTTAAATTAAAATTTTATTATTGCATTGAATTATGTTAAAGTAAACAGATTTTTATTTATTTTTTTTAAGAAAAATATTTTATTGGTTAAAAATTTAAATATAGAATTCTTTATTGATTTATTGATTAAATGATTGAATGAATGATCTATAAAACTTCAAAAGAAATTTAAAAGAGTGACTAAAGAATAATTTAATAAAGAGTAGAGAATTCAATTATTAATAATCAAATATATCAAAAATCTCTTAAGCGAAAAACAAGCAAAAGAAAAGTAAGGCACTAAGCAAACAAAAAAAATTTTTAAAAAGAAATGTCTGAAGTTGAGGATACTTTAAATAGAATAAAGACACATAAAACAGTTTTAGGCTACTTGATTGTTAATAGTGAAGGTGGTGTTGTTAGAGGTGCCTTTAAGGATGAGGAAGAAAGCAAAAATATCGCAAATTCAATTCCTCTACTCACAAAAAAGGCTCGCTCTGTTGTAAGAGACTTAGACCCTACAAATGATTTAGTTTTCTTGCGTATATAAACTAAGCTTAATGAGATTATGGTTGCTCCTGATGATGAATTCTCTTTAATCGTAATATAAACTAAAGGTGAAAAGCGTGATGAAAACGATTGAGATTTTTGGCAAAATTTGAAAGTATTTATTGATGTAATGGAAAATAATAAATGTTAATTTTTTAAAATACTATATAAATAAAATTAGTGATTTTATTAAGATGTAAAAATGTATGTACGCACTAAAGCTTCTATTGAGTATGTTTTTATTCTTTTTTTATTGCTGATCTATTTTTAATAAAATCATTTTTAAATTTTATATCTATAAGAAAGCAAAAAAATTTGTAAAAAAAATAACGTTAAGTTTCATAAATTATTATAACACACACATATGTGATTAACAAAATGTATATATTAATTAAAGTGTATGCATTTAGTTATCAATTAATTTATTGTATAAAAGAATGATAATATTTTTGAGTATCTTTTACATATTTTTATTTATTTAATTACTATTTTCAAATCATTTCCTTTATTCATCTATTATTTTTAGAGGATATATTATTCATTGATTAATTAATTGATTAACTATCTGTCATTTAAGTTTATAAAATTTCAAATTTTTAAGTTTAAAAGATCAAAAACCAAGATATAATATAAAATAACAAATGGAACAAGAAGAATAAAAATAACAACAGTTGTCTAATAGTACTGAAAATTCATAGAATCAATAGGAATAAGTTTAATTAGAACCTATAGAATAAAAAGGAAATTAGTTATAAATATCTAACTTAGAAGAGTAATTAAGTGTGTCTGATAAAAAGGACGAAAATGAATAAATAAATTAGGAATAAAAGGTAGAAATTTAATCTTCTTAATAGAAAGTTAATTAAATTAATGATTAGGAACATACCATAAAAACAGATTCTTAAGAAGTATAAAGTTTAAAAGAACCTAGTAATGTTGAAGAAATAAACGAACAAAAAGAAGTGAAAGACCTATAGTTATCAAGCATTCCTAAAGATAATTTAGATAATAGCAACGAAAAAAAATTAATTGAAAAAGTCATTTAATAAGCAGATAACTTATAATTATAAGATAAATAAAATTATGTTTCTTAAGAAAGCAGTTTAAAGGAAAATAAAAATGAAAATAAATAAGAAAAAAGTAATGAATAGTAAGTAGAATTGAATAGTTAGTAGTAATAGTAGTAGTATTCTAATAATTAAGGAGGAGTATTAGATGAATAGAAAGAAAAAGAATAGATTTAATAATAAAATAATAATTAAATAGAAGAGAGTAAAGATAATAAAGATGTGAAAAAAAAAGTAAATTAGTCAGAGCAAAATGAAAATGCTTAAGTTTCAGGTTCTTAAATAGCGCCATAAGAAAATAAAGAAGTCTTAACAGAATAAGAAGAAAAGGATATTCTTATATAAGAAATCTTATTGTTATAAGAATAATTTTAAAATTTATCAAATCAGAGCTAAAGCTATGAATAGAAAAATAAAAATTTATTTGAAGAAATAAATATCTATATCCAGAATATAGATAGCTTGACGTCTTAGCTAAATAACATAGATCCCTTTATTTTGTCTATTTATAATAAAAAACTACAATCATTCAAAGAATAAAATAATTGATTTAAATTAATATATTCTACTTTAACTCATTTTAATATTTTAATACATGTTTAGTAATAATAAAAAATCTTAAATCTAGTTGATGTTCAAACTTAATTTTCTTAATAAAAAGTAATTTCTTCATGTCAAATTTTATTTGAGAGTGTTTTGTAGTGTAAATACCAAATTTATTTTTTCATAATTATAAGCTGTGATAATGTGATTAGTTTTATATTTGAATTAACATTAAGTTAAAAGATAATACAGCATTTAAACATTAAAAAGAAAAATGATATTTTATATTTATTTGTAAATATCTCCTTTTTATAGATTTACTATGGGCTATAAAAATTTTAAACCAACATTTTCATCGTAAGTTTTATTAAAGGAAATTCCTATTATTTTCCAAAAAATAATATAAAATTAAATAAAATTTTAGCTTTAAAAAGTATTAAATTGTAAGAAAATATAGTTTTTATTTAAATAATTAGTTTGTATATTAAGATTAACACTTGATCTAGATAATTAAATACTTAGTGAAGTTTATTAATAAAGATTTTAGAGAAATTAAATTTTATTAAAATATTTGTTTATGAGAAAAAATATTATTTTTTAATAAGTTTATTTGTTTACATATGAAGAGCTTAAATTAAAAGATTTTTGTAATTATTGTTTAATAATTTTGTGATTTACTTGAGTTATATAATTAATAGATACTAAATAATATAAAATTTTTTTTCAAGCAAATTTTCTAAAATATTGTAAAAAAATAGATAAAAATTAACAATAAATTATTATGCAAGGAACATTTTTTAGGGGTACAACTCATAATTAGGATGCTAGATTTAGTGATAAAGAAAAGAAGCTAATGCAAACTATGAGTTTTGATGAAATCCTTGATAAAAGAGTGGATTTAAAAAATGTAATTTTTATTTAATGAAAATTATTTTTAGATTGTTAATATTTCAAAAAAAAAAATAGGTAGATTTAGAAATTTTAGAGCCATGGGTTGACTAATAAGTAACTAAAATTTTAGGCATGGAAGATGAAGTTATTCCAGCAATGATTATAAATGAGCTTGATTCATATAAAAAAGATGATAAATCTCCAAATGGAAAATTAATTTAAATCAGAGTAACTGGTTTTTTGGAAAGAGATACAAAAAAATTTATGGCGGATTTATGGAAATTACTTATAGAGGCACAAAATTCGCCTCATGGAATTGTAATTTTTTAACTTTAATTTATAAATTATTTTTTATCTATTTTAGATAGCATAAATATTAATTATAATCTTTATTATATAATAAAGCCTACTTCTCTTATTGATTCTAAGAAATTGGAGCTAAAAGAGAAAGAAGAGTAATTTAAAAAGAGTTAAGAGTAATTAATGAAGTTAGAAGAAGCTAGAAAAAAATTAGAGTAAGATGAAAAAAAGTTAAAGGAGCTGAATAGATTATTCACTGATAAATCTTCATCTGTCGAAAGAAAACCTAATAATTAATAGCAACTATAATAAGAACAATAAAATAAAGATCAAATTAAAGATAATAAGAGTAATGATAAAAGACATAGGGAATCTTTAAAAAAATTCGAAGAAGATGAGTTCTTAGACAAAAAAGAGAAAAAGGAAGTTGAGAAAAAGAAAAACAGTAGACGTTCATCAAGTAGTTCAAGGTCACGTAGTAAAAAGGATCATAAAAGAAAAGAATAGTCACATAAAAGTAGAAAACATAGAGATAGTAGCAGTAGTGATTAGGAGAACAAATATAAAGAGAAGAGCTATAGAGATAATAAGCATAAATCTAGTAAAAATAAAAGGGATAGAAGTAGAAGTTGATAATATAAATTTTTTATTAATAAACTTTTAAATTAATTAATAGTTATTTAGTAATTTAATTAAATGTAATGTTTTGATTTATGTATTTACTTATTTATTTATTTTTAATCTTTTTTTTTTGGATTTATCTAAAATAATAAATAAGTTTAAGAAAAGCGACTTTATATATTTGGTAAATATAAAATAGTTAACTAAAATGTTACAGAGAAAATGCAAAAAATATAAATGTATTTGTCTGTCTTATATAAATGTAAAATTTTCTTTTATTTAAATTACTAAGTAATTTGATAAAATTGTTACTCCTGTTTTCACAATTTTTAGAATCATTAACTGATATGAATTAAATTATATAGGGTGAAACATAAGAAGAAATGTTAGAAATTACTAGTGAACAAATAACTAATAAGAATTTGATTATATTTGATAGTAAATAATAAAAAATAAATACTTACATCATCAATTAATTAATTTATAAATAGATTAAATATCAAAAAAAAGTAATTAATATTTTTACTAAAGTAAAAAAGAATACAAATTATTTTAGGCATTAAAAATATATCTTTCAATAAACAGCAGAGTATTTATTGTTCCCCCTACTTACCATTTCATTCTTACTCTTCAACTTTTGATATATCTTTTTAAGATAACTCTCTCTAGTGGAAATTTAAGCTTATTTATTGATTCAGGTTTATGTTTATCGAAGAGTAGTTAGTCAAGAAAGATTAAATTCAAGCGCAAAGCAGTATAGCTTAGGTTGAAAGCGACCTAACAACCAATCCCTGCAGCTAAAATCAATTGATAAATGTTAAAATAAGCTAAGAAGAATAAATAGCTTCTAATTAAATAAGCTAAATAACAAATTCATTGTGTAAGAATATATTCAATGAACAGGACATTACAAATTAGATATATTCTTTGCAGTAAAACGCTAATATAAAATAAGAGGTTTTAAATATACTATCAAACATTAAATTAGAAAAAAATACTTCAGAACTTGCTCTTCTTCCATACAAGTAGATAGGTAAAATTCGATAATTTATATTAAAAAGTGATATTTTTTTTCATCTAAAAATTATTTTATCCACAAAAACATAAACTTATGAATATAAGAGCATGGAAGCTTTATCCAAAATATTAATAATTTTTGCCATTCATAACTCTCAACAAAACAAAATTAATCAAATTACAAATTTATACTCTATTTTTAATTTTTTTATAAAAGATTTTTGCTTGTAAATAGAATTTAATTTACTTTCTTGTTTTGCTTCGTTTACATAATTCAAAAATTATAAAATTAGGTAGTGAAACAGAAAAAATTTTTAATGATGAATGCAAAAATAGTAGCCATTAGTCTTTAAATGAAGGGGATTAAACATTAAAACTCAATAAAGATAAAAAGATTTGGAATTTAAAAACCCCTTACAAAAGATTTGGAGAATATAAGTACAATAAAGTATTTTTGTTTCAAAGCCTTAATGATCCCAAGGATGAAGTGTATATGTGTTAAGGAGAATTATAAGTTGATGTTTAAGTATTGAAGAAATGCGGTGATAATATGGAATATTCTAACCCTTATTTGAGCTAGCCTAGACCTACTACAATATCTCCTTTTACATTTTATCGCACTCCTGTTCGTGTTGTAAAGTATAAAACTTTAAATTATACAGAACTAGTACTTGATTAAAATAAAAAAGTTTTAACAGATTTTGATTCTTTGTTTTAAAGCTTAGGTTCTATCTAATCTGTCTTATCTTATTCTTATATACAAGCAATAGCTGAACATTTAAAGGTGATGAATTAAGATGAATAATTAAAACTCAAAGAACTTAATGTGTTGTTTTCTTCAAATTAAAAGTTTAAATAAAAGTTGTAAAAGCTGGAAGATAAATTAAAATAAAAATAAAATAAAAGTTTTAGTAGAGAAAATCCTATGTTTGAAATGGATGATGAAGATAGTGAAACAAACATAGAATAGAACTTAGAAAAGAGTTTCAAAGGATGCAAAAACACTATTGAATAAAATTAATATCAAATTTTTATTTAAACTTTAAGATTGCATAAAGAGGAATCGATAAATCAAAAAAAGATCATCCTCTCTTAAATATTTAAAGATTAGTGCTTCATATATGTGTAAAAAGATAATGCTAGAATGAATCTCAAGGAAAGAACAACTTATTATGGGATAAGTAATGAATTTGAAAAGATTCTCTTTGGCAAATACGACTTCAGTCACTATTCTATCCATTCTGGATTGTTTCATCCTTACCATGATTATTATAGTCATTTACAACATTTTTTAGTTCACCTATTAAATTACTAAGACAGAAGAGTTAATCTAAGGACTTTTGATAATTATGTAATTCAAGGCTATCTTAGAAGACATGTTTTCACAATAAATACTACTTAGATACCATATACAAATTTATAATTTACTGATACGATAGTACTTCATTAATTTATTATAGATTAAAGCCATTTGATACAACTGAATGAAAAAAGAAAACTTAACAAATAAAACATAGACTTAGATATTAATTAAAATGACAAAAACTACTTTGAATCTGCTAAATTTTTCATTAGTAAATATTATGGCTAACAAAAATTGAAAAAAGTAATTTCCTAAAATAAGAAAGAGTAAGATGATGACTAATTAAGGAGACATTAAGCTAAATATAAAAAAATAAATTAAAATAATTTTCAACAAACATATATTAATTAAAATAAATCTGAATCCATAACAAAATTTAATAGTAATAACTCATTTTTATAATCTAAAAATAACTAATAATAAGATCATTTATAATATAATAACAATAAAAAAGAAATAGAAGAAGATGAATTATAGTAATAAACTAATGATGAATCAAAAATCGTTTAATTTTAGATATTTGAAGCTAAAAATTAGCAAGAAAGCAACTTAAATAGTATTTATATATAATGTTAGAAAATATATAATTAATAGTAACAATTAGAGTAAAATAATTTAAAATAGGAGCCAAGAGATTTAAATTATGAGATTAACTTAAAATAAATAAATTTAGAAAAAGATATAAAAGTTAAAATAGAAGAATAATAAACTTAGAAAATCCCTTTATAATTATCTTAAACTGGTCATAAAAATTGATAGTCAAATAAATTGGATCAACACTAAAGGTTTAATTTCAAACTAATATAAAATAATTAAAAGGAAATTTAAAAGTAATCATCATAATAAAATAAAATAATCAACTAATTTTACCAATCTTTTATTATCTTTAAAATAGATTAATCAACCATATAATTAAAATAAAAATATTTTATTATACTAGCTTAAATAAAAGTGTAATTTTTTCATTTCAATTCATGAATTAAAACAAAATTAAATATATTTCTTGTTAAATAACATTCATAAATCATTTTATTTATGTTACATATGTATAAATATCTTCTTTCAATTTCAATTAGAATATTTTTTTTAAATTCAATTTTATGATTTTTTAAATTAAAAAAATGTTTTTCTATTTATTATTAAAATTATTATTATTTTTCAGAATTTAAGGAAATTATATCCTAGCCAAACTATTATTTACCAATTCCAACTTCAAAAAACATTCTTTATTCTAATATTTATAAACAAATTCTGATAAAATCAATAACTAATCCAAAAATTTAATTTTTTTAATATTTTTTGACTTAAATTATCAAATTTTCTGTTAAAATATCAAAAAAGAATAGAGTAAAAATGAATTAAAGATCTTAATAATTTTAAAATATATAACCCCTTAAGAGACCTACTAATAGCTAGAGTGATGAAGTAGATATATAAGCTTTTAGTGCATAGCTTTCATATGAATAAAAAGAGAATAATAAGCTGCTAACATCTAAATTCGGTGATAAATATGTTAAAGCAGAGAAAAGAAATTATAGTATGAAATATTTTTTTGACAAATCAAAATGCATTTTAAGCAATATTGATATATAAAAATAGCTGCTTTTGGCTGGAACATGCGCATTATTTCAATAAGGAAAAATTATTTTGAATACTACAAAATAGATGAAAAATACAAAGAAATAGATATTTAATAATTGAAAAAGCAAGAAGAAGATAGTTTGAGATAATAAAATGGTTAAATGCAGCCTCAATAAAAACAAAATGTTGATGATGATGAAGAAAAAATGGAAATCTTACCTGAATCGTTAAAAGAGAAAAAAATGATCATTTTGAAGGGTAAAATATTAATAACAGATATTACTCGTGTTTAATGGCCTAGTGATGAATAAGCAGAAGATCCTAAGCAAAATCTTATTTTATATTTTCCTAAAAATAAAATGAAGCTTTATGAGAAGGGATAAGAAATAACTTCAAATAAAAAAGAAAAAGGTGAAGCTTTTTGGATGTTTAGGATTGGAAATTTTATGAGAGATGATCACAAAGAAAGAGTAAATTTCATATTGTAAAAAGAAAATCTAAATTGTTTTATTTATAGATTGAAAGAGAAAAAAGGCTTGAAGAGGAAAGAAAGAAAAGGGAAAGAAAGAAATAGGATGAAGAAGAGAAAAAAAAGAAGGAGGAAGAGAATAAAAATAAGACTCCTGAATAGTAAGAAGAAGAGAAAAAAAGGGAGGAACTTCTTGCTTAGGAAAATATTAAATAAGAGTAAGAGGCTAATTAGAAAGAAGAGGTGAATAAAAAAGATAGAGAAACGACCTAGCTAGCTTAAGAAGAAAACTAAAAAACTAAAGAAAAAGTTGATATCACCACTATGTAAATCTTTAACAAATAGCTGTGATTTCATTTGTTATTGTTTATAATTTTTTACAATATAAAGAAAGAGAGATGAAAAGCTGCTTTAAGAAGCGAGGAAACAGTTTGAGTATTCATTTGAATACTACTATAACTTACTTTAAAAAGAATAGTTTTAGGTATCTGAAGCGAAATATGATAAAAGAGATGGTGAGTAATACTTTCTTTAAGCATAATTTGAGTAATTAAGATAGAAATAAAGAAAAGAATAAAGCGAAAAAAATGCTATTTAACAGAACCCTGCTAACTTAAAAACAAATTTTACAATAGATGATGTAGTTATGCAAATAAATATGAAATTGATCGAACTAATAGGGTAATTCAAATATTTTTCTCATCTTTCTTCAAGTTAAAAAATACATCTATCAAAATTAGCCATTTCAGAAGAAAATGCAGCAGCACTTTTAAGAGCTTAATATAAAATATGGTTTATCCTTCTTATCTATAAAAGCATAAGAAAATAGAGCCAAACAATAAGTAATATAATAATTGGCTATGGCTAAAAGAAGAAGGAGAAGACATGTATATAATAAACAATATAATTTTTAGAGTAGCTAAATTTCACTATTACAAAGATGACAGTGATGGCTCAAATGGAATAGTGTTTAATGATTATGTAGTTAAAAGTATGAATAATGAATTCAGAGCTAATAAAGTTTTATCTGACATAATATTTAATCTAAAAGGTGACTACAACATTAAATTATAGGTACATACATATTAAGCAATTTTGTTTATATTTTTCCAACTAATAAACTAATTTATCTAATTTATTTTAGGTACCCTTGACTTGTATAGTAGAATATTTAGGGTTTAGGGCTATTTGTATAGCGATGCCATCTATTAAAAACATAGAACCAGTTCATGGTCCTAATTTTTATAACGAAGCAAAAGCTTAATAAAAAAAATAAAAGCAAATAGAAAATAATATTCCATCATATCTAAATTTAGATAAAAATGTTGTATATAAAGAAGAACCTAATATTGAAAAAGACTTAATCATTTTATCAAAGGTTTTAAACCTGAAACAATTTACTTTTAAATCTAAAGAGCAAATAATAGAAAATTAAAATGATAAGAAAAAGAAGAACGAATAAAATATCACTTATAAGGACATTTAAATTTATCTCTCTATTTTTAATGAGATATACGAAAAAGGTGATACTTAGCAGCACTTAGAAACGCTAATAAGATTACAAGTTCTCCTGAAGAATTTAGAAATAGAAAATATGAGTGAGTTAAGGGAAGAAATAAGAGCATAGCTGAGCAGTTTTGAACAGAATTGCTCATTTTCAAATATTAAAAAAATTTTAGATAGTTAGCTAAAAAAAGAAAATGGTGAAATTAAACCAGAATAAAAAATAGAATTTGAAGATGATATTAAATGGGTAGAACTAATTGAAGACATTGTTACTATTCATTAAAAAGCTATTTTAGACAATAAAAAGAAAATGATAAAGCACAATAATAAGTATTATATTATGAAGAATAGCAATCTTTTCCCAGTTATGTTTTAAGGCAAACAAAAGAATTTTGATTTCTCGAAACAATTTAGACCTGAATTTTTATATGACTATGCTGAGTAAGCAATCTCGAATGGAGCTTTTATCAACCCAACAACAAGAAATGAAATATCTGAAGATGAGAAACTCTGTGCTGAATACTCTAAATCAATTGTAGAGCTAATGATTCCTTAACTTTTACAAAAATTAGAAAATCTCTAATTAATTATTTATGATTCAAAATCTATTTCAGAGGCTTTTCATAGTGTAAAATAATTTTATATGAAATGTTAATTTAAAAATACTTTTTTATTAGCATGGAATAAATTTAAGATTCATGGGATAAGCGTACTAAATGACTTCATTTTCGCATATAAAAGACATTCTGCATATAGAAATGATTGCAAGATCTATCAAAAAAATATATCGCTTTTCAATGTAAAAAGCTATAGAAATGTTCTACAATGAAAATGAAAGTATTTTTGAATTTGATAATAATGGTAAATCAAGACAGGAAGATACTGAAGAGATGCTTGAAGAAATAAATTTGATTAACATATAGCCTTTTATGCTTAAGTTTGAACCTTAAGTAATAAAAGCTACCATTGATTTCTTGAATCTTATATTTGGCTTTAATCCAAACTTTACATTTGAAAAATAAAAAGATTTCAAATAAAAATCTGATGAAAAAGAAATCATCAAAACCGAGGAATGTATCCAATTTTGGAATTAATGGGTTGCTCCTTAGGTAATATCTTACTTATCTTTTAATATTATAAAATAACTAAAAAAATTATAAAGATAATTAAAAAATAAAAATTATATTTTACATTTGTAAAATCAATAATTTTTAACTCTTTTTTTGAATAACATTCATTTTTAACATTTTTATTTCATAAAAAATTAAAATATTTAGGTTTTAGCAGATTTTAATCATGACATTGGAAAGTTTCCATAAAATATTCCTAGTGCATAGGGAAGCTTACTAAATGCTGTTCTTTACCACTTAAGGTTAGGATTTTAGTATGACCTATCAACAATCTAGCTCTTTAAGTCAACAGAACCATTTTAAAAAGCAAAGTTAAATCTTAATTGTCACTCAAAAGTTTATGAGTATCCATCTCTGCCTATACAATAGCTAGCCTAAAAATGGAAGATTTATAGATAATAAGGTGGTAGTAATAGCTTAACTCAGACTTCTCTCCAATTAAATTTAAAAATAGAAGAAGCTCTTAAAGATAGGAATAACATACCTCATATCACTTCTAATGAATTCATGATCTTTACAGATTTAATGGAGAATTCATACAAAATAGTAATAATAATTTTTTTAAAATTTAAAATAAGTTAGTTAATGAAATAAAAAAGGCAAATTCACTCTCCAGACAGAAATCAGACTATTTTGTAGGTGTATAGCACTATTTATCTTAGGCTATGATATATGGAGATAATGCTAAAGAAGTTGGTAGTTGCTGCACTATAGGTTATGCAAAATTATACATTTTAATGATGAAAATTTGTTAAACTAGAATTAACTACTATGAAAAATAAAAAAAAGCAATAGAAAAAGAAATGAGAAGCATAACAAAAAAAAACAAGGATAATAAAATATCCTTAGAGGATCTTATAAATGAATGGTCAGCTATTGAAAGTAAGAGGGAGATGGCTGAAATATTAAAAAAAGATAAATAAGATACAGATAGAATTAACAGTGAAATAAAAAATCTAACACCAGAGTCTGTTAACTATTTTTAAAGAGCTTATTAAGTACTTAAATTTAATGTAGGAGACTATCATTTTTTGTTTGCAAGTTTAGACTGTTAATGCAAAGATATTTAAAAATCTAAAGATCAAACAAAAAAAACCTTATTACTCAGTGCTTTAACTTGCTGCTAAAGTATATTAGGAAATAATCATATTTAGACTGCAGAAGTATGCTAAGATTTATCAGAATTTATATATGAAAGTAGTGATAAGAAGCAAGAATCATTGAATTACTATGAAAAAGCTTTATTAATTTATGAATCTGTTTATGGAAGTCAATCTCTCAAAGTTGCAACTATGTGCTATAAGTTAGGACATAGGTATTTCAAGCTAGGTAAATTATTAAATAACTATCTATGCTTGCAATTTATTTAAAACCTAAATAAATAGGACACTATCAAAAAGTAATAGATTATTGCCAAAGATCTTATTCTTATTTTTCTAATGATGAGCTTGTTCACTATTCAAGCTGTGTCGAGTGTTGTCATCTATTATGCTAAGCTACAGATCTATTAAGAATGAATGATAAAGTAATATTAAAAACAAAATTTATTTTAAATTATAAATGAATATTTAATTATAAAATAGTAAATGTACTATCTCCAAAAGATTTGGGAGATTCAATGCAAATATTAAAATGAAGAGACGGAGGAGGTTATTGATAAGTTCGTTTATGTGATTCAACAAGTCATCAAACTTTTATTTTCCAAACTCTCTTATTAGAAAAAGAACTATTTTTTTAAATTTCTGCTGGCTTTCAAATTTTAAGATGAAGAAAAGACTTAAAAATAAAATTTGATAAAAATGCAATTAGAGTAAGCTTAGTAATTGTAAGTCATGTAAAAATTAGTGAAGAAAGAAACTATTTTAAAGAAGCCAAATGTTTATTTGACTACAGATTAGGAATACTAATAAGTTTCAACTTTAAATTAAACAAAATAAATGCTATAAAAGGAAAATTTTACCTTTTTCTCTAATAAAACTGAAATTTAACAAGATTATATCCCAAAATATTCAGTTAACAATTAATAAAGTGAAGATATTGATAATAAAAAAGAGACTGATAATAAAAAGGAAGCTAAAGCAGTGGGTAAAAAAAAAGTATAATTCGAGAGTAAAAAAGAAGAAAGCTCATTCAAGACAGGTTTGAAAGAAAAGTTTAATAAAGAAGAAAGGAAAGAAGATTATCTGTTAGTGTCTATATCCATAATAAAAAGATGCAGAGAATTTCAATCTGTACTGTAGGCAGTAGAGTGGTTGATAAATACTTTTATCGGAAAATATGATTTAATCAACTACAGATAAAATTTCTTTTTAAATTTTGAATAAAACATAAATGAAATAATTAATCCTCAAATAAAGTATGAGTAAAGCTTAAAAAAGTAATTTTTATTCTTAAATACCTTTTTTATATCATAATAAATAATTAAAAAAGGATGGGATTGTAAACAGATGAAGATCTACAAAAGTATTAAAAATTAGATGAAAAATAGATCGAAGAATTATAATAAATTAATTAATCAATAATCTAAACAAAACCAAAATAAGATGAACCTTTTAAGAAGTAAGATTGTTATTATATAATTATTTTATCATTGACTTATTAAATTTTATTAAAAAAGAGCTCTTATATTTTTTGATGAACTAATAATCTTATATGGTGAAGAGTTCTTCAATACTCTCCTAAATAAAACAATTAGTGAATTTGATGATGAAACTGAAAATCTCATCGATACTTATGAAGACTGAAGGCTTTTTATCATATTTTTAATCTATGAAATGAAAATAACTTTTATAATTAATATATATTTTTCTTCTTTTTATAAATATTTTTGCCATAATTTATTTAAAGAAGATTATAATCATAATTTCTGTACATATTTTACTTTTTAAAGACATATATATAAATATAAATGATGGGATGGTTTAGTCTTATATACTACTAAAAATTAATGAATTCCACCAAAATACTTAAATTAATTTTATTTAAATAAATAAACTAAATTAATTGATTAGTATATATATATATATATATATACTAATAAAAATTATTATTAATTAAAAATAATATTGTCTATTAAATTAAAATAATAAAAATTAAATAATTTAACTTAAAAAGAAAATCAATCATAATAAGTTAGATTTTATTTTTTAAATTAGCTTTTTAAATATGTAATTTATGTTTAAAAATTAAAATAATAAATGAATGGTTGATTGAACAAATATGATGAGTAATAATATTCTGATAAATAATATTGAGATTATTTGTTGATAGGTAAATTATTATTAATTTGAAAAATAATTTTTTTTATTTATTAATTTGAAACTTATTGTGAGTAAATTGTGGTTAGTTTTTAAGTCAATTAGTTGTTATTATTGCTTAAATTTAATAAAACAAGAAAGATATATCATAAAATTTGCAAAGTAATGTCATATAAATGGAAGGCTAGGTACCAGTTTTACTTTTTATTTAAAATTGGCTTGCTTTTATCAATTTAAAAAAACATATTCTTATGTTCGTCATAAATATTAAAAGTGTATTGAGACAAATTAATATCTATCCAGAAAATATCATGTGCAGGTCTAACTATAGAGCCTTTTTGCTTCATTAGTGAAAGACTTGCTGTATTTTCATTTAGATCACTAACAAAACTTATTTATCCTTCATGCATAAAACATATTTCACCTTAAATACAATCTTCCTATACTAACATAACACCAAAAGTGGGTGATTCACCATTAGGTGATATAGAAAAATTCAAATAATAAGATTTATCAAATTTAAGAGGTTTAGAAGAAATAATAGCTTCATCAGAATTATAAGACTTTATAATGCTCTGATTGTTAAAGAATTCAATTTAGGAAGTTGGTTTATAAAATGGAGCAACACTGAAATTAAGATGGTGATAAATAGAAGCGTCTTGATAATACTACTGTTGTTGTTATATTTATTGCTATAATTATTAGTAGTAAGGGTAGTTACCCTTTTTATCATTTGCTATCTTAGGATCAACATTATCTTTGCTATGGTTATGGCTATTGCTATTATTGTTATTGTTATAATTTATTTCTTTCTAAATATTGTTTTTAAACTCACTATTCTTAACTTTCTGCTTATCATAGTCATTAAATTTTTGAAGAGTTGTGTTATCAATTAGCTGTAAAGTAGTCATAAGTAAATTATGAAGGGTGCTAGTTTCGATACCTAAATAATTATTTGATTCTGCTAATCTTTCGTTGTATTCTTTTTAAGCTATTTTCTTTTCTTAGAGTTCCTTCTTTAAAATATTTTAATTAACATGGTGGTATTAATTTTTAAATTCTATCATTTTTTATAATAGAGATGATTTAAGTGAGCGAAACTTGTTAAGAACTTTCTCTTCTACCAAACTTAGAAATTCTTTTAGATCTTCTGGTTCAGAAATGATGTGTTCGTTTTCTAATGAGTCTATCGTAGTGTACATAATCGTGTTACGATTTGAAACACTCCCCTAATAATAAAGATTATCATGAAAAGTACGATTGTTATTATCGTTTGGGCTAGATATATCTGCTTGGTCAGTATATTATTCACCTTAAGTTTGATTTTAATGCAAATTTTAAATTTCCATCCAATCGCTTCGATGATATAAATGTTTTCCCTCTTTAGTGCATAAATCACAAAAAAATCCATCTAATTTGCAATCCTAATTTCCACACAAGTATATTGCCTGCACACCTTCGTGTTTTGGGCAAGTCTTTTTAACCATCTTTAAAATTTTTCTTTTGAATATAAGCTTTTTGAATATTTATATCAGAATAAATGCTTGAAATTCTTCTACTCCTTCTACTATCTTTCTACTTTTAATGAGAAAAAATTTTGAAAATTTTGATTAAAAATAAATAAATAAACTTTCTTCAAGAAATTTTAATTTATTAATAAATATTTTTTAAGAATAGTTATTAAATTAAAATATTTAGATTAATAAAATTAAATTATTATTATTATTTATAATTAGTTAAATATTTAATCATTTATATATTTATTGCCTTTCTTAGTAATTATTTTAAAGAACTATTTCTAAAATCCTATTTATAAATCTAACCAAAAAATAAATTTCCAATTTAAATATAATAAATTATATACAATAATTTATTTCAAATAGCCAAGAAAAAGAATAACAAAATTTTGAGATTTTTAATCAAAAATAATGTATTTACATACAAATTTCAATTGATTTTTATCTAGTTCTTAAATATGCCAAAAAATTTTAAATTACTGAGTTTTAAAATTAAAAAATGTACACTTAATAAATTTATTTCATAAATAAACTATAAATTTTATCTAAAAACTTTATAAACTATTATATTTACAAACTATTTTTGTTAACTAAATCAAATTATTAAAATTAAATTTATAAGTGGCTCAAAACATAATTGATTATTTTTTATGAATTTAATAAATTTTAGCTTTTTATGAAATTTATTTAGTTAAAAATCGCTTTTTATTTACCTTTCTATAAAATAGTTAAAAAGCTTTATCTTTTTACACTAGTTGTTATCTATTAAAAATCAAATATCATAATATTTTTAATAGGGATGTGAGATTTAGTTAATCTAAGCTAATCATTTAAATTATTTTAGAAACTATTGTATTATCATTTTAAATGTTTTAAGTTTTAACAATATTTTATTTTTAAGAGAAGTATATATATAAATTTTGTAATATGTTAAAGACTTTTAAATCAATGATGATATTAGGTTTTGAGATATGATACCAAAAAAATTGTCTAATATTATCATGGATAAAATAATAATAGTGTAAATAAAAGGAGCTAGATATTTAGGAATTTATACTAGATTTAAAAATTAATTAGAACTTTTTTTTCACTTATTTCAATTATTTATTGAGTGTTTTTCCAATTATTTTCGTCTATTTTTGATATTTTTGAACAAAATATGTAGTATTTACTATGATTTTTCCTTAAAATAATTGGGATTAAGACACAAATTTTAGATAAAACTTAAAAAAACAGTTTTTTCATAATTATTTTTTTATATTTTAAGTATGTAAAAAGCATAAATTAAATATAAACGGAATCAGTAATGCTAGAGAATAAATACATCACTTTTGTTTGAGGAAAAAATTTGATTCACGTATTATCTTTTACAAATTAATTTCTAAAGAATTTAGTTTGAAAAGGAAATTTTTGATATTGTGGTTCTATTTATCTAATTAGGCTTTAAGTTTATTTGTATGTTTAGGTTAATAATTTCCTATATTTATTAAATAGTAGAGCATTTAATTAATTCATGCTGTTCTTATCAAATTACGTCGCAGGAGATATTTTTTTGTTTATATACTATCTAGGAGATTAAAACGAATTATAGTTAATAATAAATATTAAGAAATCAAAATATAGAAAAAGGTTATAAAAAAAAAGCAAATTTCTAAGAAAAATAAAAGACATGAAAAGGACTTCGTCCATTGATAATATTCTTGAAGAGAATATATAAAAAGATGAGTAGGAATTGATTTATGCTCCTGAAGTTGATCCAGATGACCCAAAGAGTACCTAAACATTTGAGATTTCAACTAATGTTAGTGGCAGTGAAACAGAATAGCTTATTAAAGAATACAAAAGACTTAGCTCTTATATCCCAAAACTCAACTACGATAACTTATAAGAAGTCGAAGATCTCCGTGTTGATTTAAGCATGCTATAACATCGCATCGAACAAAGCATTGAATACTCTAAGAGCAGTAAGGACACTAATGTTAAAAATAAATAAAAGTATCTAGAAAAACTTTATCAAGAGATTAGTGAGAAAATAGACACTATGAAGAAGTAAAGCTCTTCTGATGATGCTTATAGCAGCGGGGAAGAAGTTCCTGTTTAGAGCTTGAGAGAAATAGATATCAGTGATAATACTACTAAGCCATCAAATAAAGGTAAAAATCAAGTATAAACTCAGGTAGGAAGTTAAGAACCCATAACCCAACGTTCATTCTTCGTTAAAGAAGAGCGCCTAATTTAAGCAGAAGATAGACAAATTGAGTTTAAGCACTACCGTTACCCCTTTTCTAAAGAGTGCAAGGCAATCATCCTCAAGACAATTGTAAGCATGCTTAACACGCACGGTGGTACTATTATGATAGGTGTTAGAGATTAAGATCTCAGTGTAGTTGGTATAAATATCGATTAAAAGTAAAAAGATGAAATCATTCTCTAAATAAATCAAATGGTTTAGAACGTTATACCTGCTGTCAATGAAGAAATTCAAGTTGATTACATTCCTGTCAAATTTAAATGGGTATTTATTTATTTACTTACTTTTCATTTGATAATTTTATTGACTATTTAATTTATTTTCTATCTAATTAACTAACTATCCACTTTTATTCTACTTTACAAGAAAGATATTTATTTATTTTAGGATAAATAAAATTAATTAAAGCCTATTCTAATTAAATTCACTTATCTGTAAATTAAATCATTATTTTACTTTTAATTTTAGGGCAAATGGGCTTCTAAAACTTGGATATGTAGAATTTCTATTTCTTAAGGCTAATTAGATCGCTTTTATTACATAGAAGACTCTTCTGTTCACTCATATGTAAGGTAATGAAAATACATTTTTTTTAAAAACAGCAATTTTCAATTTTAAAAATGTATTATTATAGATACTAAGCAATGTGCAAGACAGTAAAGCTAAAAGAAATAATTAACTTCACATATGAAAGAGCTAAGTTCCCTCGTGAAAAGTAAATTAAGATAGTTTATGCTAAACCAGATACTGACGGAGTTAAGAATTGTAATATGGAATAGGATGCTATTGATAATTTATAGGAATTAGATTAGCAAAAGCTTTATGACAATAAGATAATTTTCACAGATATTTAAGAAGGTTTTTATGAAAAATTAAGAAATTTCTTAGATGAAAAACTGCAAGAAGAAGAATTAGATTATGTTATAATAGATTAAAAGAAGCATGTTGTTTTGTAATTTGAAAACATTGATTCTACCAAAAGAGCTATTGAACTCTTTAATTTAGAAAAAGATCGCTTTGTCTATGAATTAAGACACCAATACAATTTCAAAAAAGTACTTATGGGAGATATCGTAAAGAGTATTGTTGTGAAAAACGAATATACCTTTATAATCGATCATATTGACACTTCAAAACGCGATTCCTTCATTCTTTACTTATCAGATTGGTTAAAGGAGCAACAAATTAAGCATATTTGGTTGAATTTCAAATTGTATTTAGCTCTTTACGTTCTAGAAACTGAAAAGGTTTCAAAGTATCTACTTGAAAAGAAAGAAGAAATTGCAAATTAGTTTGGATTCCACTAAAAGGTATTCTTTGGATTCTGTCGCGACTACATCATCATTAAAAATATCTAATCGAAGACAGATCTAAAGAAAAGACTTATCACACTTCTCAAATATATTCCATACAAAGCCCTTGTTGAGAAAGATGGAACTACCATCCATGTTAAATGTAAGGACTTTTACGATTTACTTATTGCATTTGATAGAATTAAGTCTGCCTACATGAATGGTGAATTCTCTAAGTTTACAGACCACAGCAAGATTAAAGTTTTCTTAGGCTTTGATAGATATATAGAATGAATCAAAAAGCATAAAAATAAGTATTCAAATATATAAATGAATGAACGAATAAATAAATAACTAAATTTAAGCTTTAAAATTAATTTTAGATTTTACCTAAATATTATTTAAACTCTTTTATTATATATTAAATTTTGTATTTTTGTATTTGCATTTATTAACTAAATTTAAAAAACTATTTCTTTTATGATTTATTTTCTTTCTATTTAAATTCAAATATTGGTATTTCCTTAAAATAAATAACTTAATCAATCATTTATCAATTCACCACAAAAATTTTAATTATTTGTGTGGTAATATGTTAATCAAAATTTTCTGTATTATTTTTTGAAATATTACTTACAATTTGCGTATTTTTGGTTAAACACAAAATATAAAACATAAGGTAAAGGTAAGCACTAATAAAAATAGTCAAATAATATTCTATTTTTTAGACAAACAAATAATTATTGAATCAAAAAGATTATATATTTACACTTAACATTATTTTTTTATAAATAAAGTTAAGCTTTTATTCATTTAATTGAGTAATATTATTTACGTCATAAAAAAGATATAGTCAATTAATATTAAAAGTTTTTATGAGGGGGCAATAATCTGATTTATATGGTTAGTTTTTGAATTGATTGCTTAGAGTTTCCCTAATTTTAATATAATTTTTTATATAAATATTTATGTAATTTTTTTCTTCTTAAAAATTAAAGTTATTAATTAATGTTTATTCAAAAAAATGATGGTAAATTTCAGGTTTAATTTAATTTATTACTCTACTTAAGAATCTAAGAAATCATTCTTTTAAGTTTTTAAATTAATCAAGCAAAAAAAGAAGTAAAAATAGAAATAATTAATTAATTTACTAAAAAATATTTAGAAAAAATATTCTTCAACTATCAAAAAAAAAATGAATGAACTTTTTTCAAACAGATAAGTTGGAGGTGGATTTACAATATTGAGAAAATTGGATATTTTTGGAGTGCCGATATAAATTAACTTTAACTATGAAAATAAGCACACCACCAAATTTGGTGGGATAGTTTCATTGGCTGTTTTTAGTCTTATTTTTGTTTTTTTAATAAATTTATTGCTATAAATTTCTAACAAAAATAATCCTTAAGTAATTTAAGAATAGTTAGTCGTAGATAGCCCTTCAAGATTTGATTTAAGTGATTAAAATTTTAATTTCGCAATCGGTCTTTTGGATGAAAACTTTTCTCCGTTTTTCGATGAAAGCTACTACAAAATAAGAGGAAATTTTTTATTTAAATAAAATTATACATATCCAAATGGAACTGTTACTTAAGAATTTTAAAGCTAAGAAATTGAGTTGGTTAGATGCACTGCTGAGTCCTTTAAAGTAGATGGGACATAAAATTTTTTTTTAAGTCAATAATATAATAATTTATATTGCATCAAGGATATAAGTAAATTTTATTTGGTTGGGTAATTTGATTAACCTAACTTCTCAGTGATATAGTATTTTATTTCTTAATGTAGTGGAAGTAACTGTTAAAATTCAACTGAAATCAAACGAAAGCTTTCTATAAGCCAACTTTAGATTTACTATTCAAATTATGCAGTAAAGGTTTCAAATTTAACTTAACCATTTTAGCCAATAGGATAAAGTCTATTTTGGTAAACTAACCTATTGTTAGGATAGGTGATAGACATAACTTATATGAATACATATGTCACAGATGATTTAGGTCTTATATCTAATTCGTATGTAACAAAAACCAACTTACTTTATTCAGATAACAGAGTTATATTCAGTTCTTCGGCCAGCGACTATATTTACTCGATAAGTATCTATATGGAAAAAAATCGTGAGCAATAATATCGTCGCTCCTACCTTAAATTTACCTAAGCGATTTCATAAGTAGGAGGTATTTATAACGTCCTCTTTTTAATTGGATGTTTAATTGCTCAACCTTATTCTTACCTTGAGCTACAGAGAAAGATAGTTAATTCAACTTTTAGCTTTTCTGGAGATTATTTGACAAATAATGGTAATAAAAATAATAAAAGAAAAAAATCAAATAAAAATAAGAAAAAAAATTTAGAAGCAATGCAAAGTAATATTGCATGTGATGGAAAAAGTAGCAATAAATCGACGAATACTTAATTAAATATCTAAAATTTTTAAGATGCTTTGAAGAATAAAGATTATTTATAGCCTGACAAAGATTAAAAAGGAAATAACACAAGCAGACCTGTTCTAGATAAAACAAAAGACCAAGAAGATCTAAAATACGATATAATTAGCTCAATATACAATGAATTCAAAATTCGATCAATAGAATATTTTAAATACTACTTAAAGTGTTTTAGTTGTTTTAAGAGTGATATATAAACAATATTAAATTTTGGGACAAACAAAATATATGAATTTACAGACATATGCTTCATAGTAAATAAACTAATTGAGGTAGAAAAGCTTAAGCATCTGCTTTTGAATGATTAGTAGCTCAAGTTATTTGAATATGTCCCTAAACCTAAAATTACAAAATCGATTATTAGCGATTACAATTAAGCCAAATAAAATGAAAAATAATTAAAGAAAGCGATTAAGTAAAAACAGATAGTTTAATTAGATATTTTTGAGAATAAGCCTATCTAAGTCCAAGATCCACAATAGTTAAATATTTTAACAATAATGAATAAAAGCTAATTAGACAAAGCTCGTGACGCTTAATAAGCTTTCAATTATATTTACAAACACTAAAAAAAGCTTACTAAAATTGATAAAAAATTAATTTTGCTTTTGGATGAAAAGCACCTCCCTTTATTCAACTCAAATTCGTTAGAAAATTCAATTGTAGGAAAATATAACTCTTTAATGTAAATCAATATAAATAGTTAAAATTAAGAATCGATAGAATCTCAAGCTAAATAAAATAAAAACTACGAAAACACGTTAGATTAATCATAAATTAGAAAAAGTCTTTATTTTTTCGAACAAAAAAATAAAAACATAGAGGTCATTGAAGAAACATAGAAAGAAGAATAAAATATCTAAAATTCTGCTCCTCCATTAAAGCAAGAAGATAATTTAGCTTCCTCTATTGCCCTAGAAAATATTAGTATGAGTTGCTATTCTTATGTAAATAATATACCACAGTAATTATCAGTGTTAGCAGCATCACCTGCATTTAATATTATTGAAGATTTTAATTTTAAGACATCAAATCCTTAATAATATTAAGAAACTGATAGAGAATAATGAATTTTATTAAATTAAAATTTATATTTTCAAAAATTGGTTTTTTATAGAGTTACTAATTTAAAAAAAAAATAAATATTATAACATTTATGAGTTTAAAATAATAATTTTACAATTATTTTTGTTTTTTTCTTAATATGGATTATCTATTTTATAATAAAACTAATTTAAAAATATAATTTTCATGAATAATTAGATGAATTAACTATCACTATAAAGCTAAAATATTACAAATTTTGTGATCCTTCATAATTATTTACTTATTTTTATTTATTCATTATTAAATAATAAATTTTTTTGCCAGCCAATAATTATTTTTAGAAAATTTAAATTGAATCTAAGTTAGTCTGTTATCTTAAATTATATTTCAATAATATTTGAGCAGCTTAAAAAGAAAAATAAAATAAATACATATAATTATAGGTCTGATATTAAAGTATTTTAGTTATTTTAATTGATTTAATTGTTTGAAATATTAAATATTAAAATTTTGGAAAAATTAAAAACATCACAATCAATATGGTAATAATTATTTAAACAAAAATTAAATGGGATTTTGTTTTTATAAGTACTTTTTCTATTTAGGCAATACAAATATATTATTTGAATAATTGTTTATTTAATAGAAAATGTCATTATATATAGAAAAAATAATAATAGTCGGCAAGCATATTCATTACATTTGGTTTACTTAATAATGAATAAAATCATGTTATAATTCATTAATAATAAAAGTAATAAAATAAGAATAGTCAAGAAAGTAGAAATAAACAAATAAATAAAGATAATTGAATCAAATAAAAATTGATTAAAAATTATAAAAATGAATAATTTACTTTCAAATAAATAATATGGGAATGGGTTCTCTCTACTAAGAAAAGTAGATATGTTTGGAGTACCTATATAAATAAACTTTAATTATGAAAATAAACATACTACAAAGTTTGGAGGCATTATGTCCCTTGCAATTGTTGCTCTGCTTTTAACATTATTAATAAATTTACTAATTTCGATTATTAATAAAAGTAATCCTCAGGTATTGTAAGAACAGTTAATCGTAGAAAATCCTTCTAGGTACGATTTAAATAATTAAAATTTTAATTTTGCTATCACTTTATTGGATGAAAATTACTCTCCATTTATTGATGAAAGCTATTATACAATAACTGCTAATTTTTTGTATAAGTAAAACCAAACATTAGCAAATGGGACAATTATATAGCAGTTTTAAAGTAAAAATATAGATCTAGTTAGTTGTAATCCATCTTCTTTCTAAGTTTAAGGAACTTCTTAATTCTTTATGAGCTAAGACTATAACAATCTGTATTGTATCAAAGATATAAATTAGCTGTACATAGTGGGATAATTTGATCAGCCAGATTTTTCAGTTATCTAATATTTTGTATCCTAATGCAGTGGTGTTAATTGCCAAAACTAAACTGAAATTCAAAGAAAGTTATCTGTGAGTCAACTATAGATTTATTATTCGAACTATGCAGTAAGGCTTTCGAATTTAAGCGAACCATTTTAGCCACTAGGATAAAGCTTATTTTGGTAAACTAGCTTAAAGAGTGCATAAGTTATTGATATAACTTATATGAATACTTATGTTACTGACGATCTAGGTCTTATATCTAACAACTATGTAACTCAGTCTAAATTATTGTATTCAAATAATAGAGTTACATTTAGTTCTAGTGCTACCTCTTATTTTTATTAATTAAGTATTTTCATGGAAAAAAACAAAGAAATGCAATATAGGCGTTCTTATATGAAACTAACATAAGCTATTTCTCAGGTAGGTGGTATTTATAATGTCTTGTTTTTAATAGGATGCTTGATAGCTTAGCCATATTCTTATCTTGAATTACAAAGAAAAATTGTTAACTCAACCTTTTCATTTTCTTCATAATACTTAAATCAAGACAATAAATAAAAAAAGAAAGACTCAAAAAATAAGAAGGATAAAGGAAAGCAGTAAAAAGGTACAGATAAATAAAAAGTAAATGGTACCCAAAAAGAATAAGAAGGTTAAGAAAGCAATAGAACTACAAATAATAATTAGCAAAATAATTTAAATGAAACTTTTTAAAATAAAGACTATATTATAGAAGATAATCAATAAAGAAATAGTAATACTGAGAGACCAGTTTTAGACAAATCTAAAAATTCGGACTAAATGAGTCGCTTAGAGGTATAAAAGAGTAATATAATCAGTACTGCTTACACAGAATTTAAAGTTCGTAGCGTAGAATATTTTAAATACTATCTTTAGTGCTTTAAATGTTTTAAAAGTGACATCTAATTGATACTCAGTTTTGGGACTAAAAAGATTTATGAATTTACAGATATTTGTTATATTGTTAATAAGTTAATTGAAGTAGAGAAGATAAAACATCTAATTCTGAATGATCAGTAACTCAAATTATTTGAATATGTACCAAAGCCTAAAATAACTAAATCTATTATTGATGGCTACAGGTAAGCAAAATAAAATGAGAGATTATTATATAAGGCTATAAAGTCAAAGCAAACAGTCTAATTAGATTAATTAGACAGTAAATTAAGAAGGGATTCAGCAAATTAGTAACTTAACATTTTGACAATTATGAATAGGAGCTAATTAGATAAAGCTCGTGAAGCACAACGTGCATATAATTACATTTATAAAAATTAAAAAAAGCTATCCAAGATAGATAAAAAGCTGCTTTTATTGTTAGATGAACAACACATACCTCTCTTTGACTCAAATTCTTTTGACAGCTCTATGATTGGGAAATACAATAATAATATATTACAACAAAATAATTAATAATCTGAATCATTAGGTTCACCTTAATAGACAAATAAAAATTTTATTCCTGATTACACTTTGGATCAATCATAAATACTAAAAAAGAGTGTTTACTATGTAGAATAAAAGTCTAAAAATTAAGAAATTATGGATGAAATTCAAAAAGAAGAACAAGAATAATAAACTTAAAATCATAACAAAATTACAGATAAAACAACTAACGCAGCTATTCCTATAGAAGATATTAGTATGAGCTGTCATTCACATATAAATAATGATCCTTACCAAATGTCTGTAATTGGTGCATCTCCAGCTCTATAAATTAATGACGATGATATTCCATTTCACTTTAGAAACATATCCTCAAATGATATTTGCCAGCAAAACTAAAACGAATGAATAGAATTAAAATTAATAAAAAAATTAAAATTTAAATAAAACAAATCTAAAATTTTTGTATTAAAAGTTAATTGCTTGTTGTATAACTTAATCTAATAAACTTTATATTTTTTAATCTTCATTTAAAACTTTTAAGCATTAAACCAATGAAAGCAGTTAATTTTTCAAAAAATAATAAAATAATTTCACTCTATAAAAATATAAAAAGAAAAAACAAGTAAATTTATTTTCGAAATAATTATATAATTTGATAAAATAAATTATCAAAATGGATGGTGAAAAAAGCATAAAGATAACTGATAAATTTTCTTATGCAATATATTAGAATGGAATGTAATAATATTTGTTATCCTTATATTTGCATAAATTCCATTCAATTATTATTGCTTGCTTTTAAGAAAATTATAAATTTAAGAAGGAAATTAATTGAATTATAATCAGTTTTTAGAGGTATTAAGTTAATAAAAAGGAACAAATATTTTTTAAGAGGAGATACTAATTTTTTAATGAACTAAATAGCGCTGCCTAAGCATTAAGGTAATTAATTGCTTTTGCATGCTGTAGCTCACTCAAATGTGAAAGACATTTTAGCACTACTTAATGACAACGAAGCAGATGCAAATGCTTGTAATATTAATGGAGCTACTGCTTTGCATTATGCAGTTAATATAAATAATCCTGTTATAGTAGAAATATTGTTAAAGTACAAAGCAGATCCAAATCGTCATGAGCATCATGATGTTGGTCAAAAAACTCCTTTGCACTATGCAGTTGAAAAAAATTCATATGAAGTTTGCAATAAGCTTCTAGAGTATGGAGCAAACCCAAATTTATAAGATAAAAGAGGAATGACACCCCTTCACTATTCAGCTAAGTATGGATTTAAATAGATATGCTAGCTATTATTTACAAGCGGTGCAGATATTAATTTAAGAGATGAGCATGGATTCAATGCTTCCTATTATGCTTAATAAAATAAGCATTTAGAATTATTAAATATAATTGGTCCTCCAAGATTAATCAATGTAGCAGACCTTCTAGAATTTAAGATGCAAATGAGAGAAATTCATGCAATCAACGTTCCAATAAAAGGTAAAAAAAAGAAGAAAAAGAAAAAATGAAGCTAATTAAATTAAATTTAAGCGCATGTATTGAATTTATGTATTTCAATTTTCATGTATTTGAATTTTTTTAATTTCAAAATCTAAAATAAAATATTAGTTTATTTTCAACTTTATGAACATCATATGATGTTCTAATTTTAACTTTCACTTTTATTTTAAAGTCAATGCAGTAAATATAATAGATTTAAATTTAAAATAAATAAAAAATACAATAATTCAATTTCATTTTTTGTAATCAAAATATAAACTCGATGAAAAATAATGAAAATGTCTAAAAAATTTTGCAAACCAAACTTATGAATGAATAAACTATATTGAATTAATCTAACTATTTTTTATTAAAAAACAAAATTTTGTTATTTTGCTTTTTAAAAATTAAAATTGGCAATAATAGATAATGAATTATATAGCTTATCCGAATCAAAAATTTATGCAATATGTTAGTTATTAAAATATTTGCCATAAAATTAATCAAAAAATCATTATAGACTTAATATTTCACATTAGCTTAATTATTTATTTATTATTGTATTAGTATTTTCTTAATCATTAAATGAAAATGATTGGATTACAAATTTTATAGAATGATTAACATTAAATAAATATCTCACTATAAATTATAATAATTATGAATTATTAAATTATAATAATCTAACACTTTTAAAAATATTTAAATCAATTTAAAATATGTAGAATTTTATCTTTTCCCACCAAAAAGATTTTTCCTTATACTACTTCAATATCTATGATAGGTAACTGAAGAGTAACAACAGGCTTCAAGTGACTTTTTAGGATATCGAAAATTTCTACTATATTTTGATTCCACAACGCATAATGTGATTAGTCTAATTTTTTCTTTTTTAATTAATTATAAAAGCCGCTTATGCAGCTGATTTTTTTGCTCAATATATTTACTATGATAAGCTTTTCGTTAGAAAAAAGTAAAACTTGATTTTTAGAGGGAAAAATTAAAATTTCGTCTATTATGTATTTTATTTTAAAAGTTGAAACAACTTTCATGGTAAATATATTTATTAAATAAATGCTATTTGAGTTTACTTAGCATATAATTAATTTGTTATCATACTAGAGTATTTTCTTAAGATTTTTTATGGCTACTCTTTTTATAATGTTAATTTAGCCTTATATGAAATCTACTCTCAGTAGATAATTATTTGTAATATTAAATATTCTATTGTTTACTAAGATTGGTAAAGTTTAACCACAAGTAATTAGTAAATTTTATTGTTATTTATATTGATAGACTTAGTTTATCTTTGAGTCTACTTCATGTGTTAAAAGTCTTTATTTATTATCTTCTAGTTCTAAGATATAAAGCTTTGTAGACTAAATTATAACCAATTGAGCTCCTGCTAAGTTTGTTAATTTCAAACCCTTATCATATTATGAATAAAATATATTTATTTTCTTGAATAAGTTAAATTCTATAAATTTAATTTTAAAATAAAAATTAATAATTACCCTATAAGATGGAAGGTTAAGTAGAATTTTTTTTTAGGTGGCTTAATTAAATCTATAGTGATCAAAGAAGTTAATTAATACATCATTTTCTTTAATACTCTCATAGCATTTTTTTATTTTTGATTATAGCTATTTTAGCCACTTATTTGGCATGTACTTAAAGTAAAAATCAATCAGTTCATTTTTGCCAACTAAACTGATACATTTATTAATAATATCATTGTATTAATCGAATTCCTCATACTTTTTAAGGTTTATTGATAAATCAATTATTTTTACTATCAAACTTTCCATCTTATTTTAATAAGACCTATAATTCTCTTCAATTAATTTTAAAATATTTTCTGATTTAAAGATATTCAAAGGCAAAGAATAATAGCCTTTTTCAAATTGGGCAGTCGATTATATAATCATACATTTTATTTAATCTACATAAGATATAAGCAAAGTCATGTCAGCTATTTTGTGGTTAGAATGGGTTTTTCTAACACATTTAGTGCAAATTTATCTAATTTTTGAGTAGCAGTTCCTTTCTAGACATGCATATTCCAAAGGGCTTTTGTGGAACTAACAAATCTTATTGAAGAATAAATCCTAGGTTTCTGTAAATACAAACTACCTCTTCATTTTTAAAAATTAAAAAGTTCAATATATTTAAATGTATATTTTTTAAATATTAAAAAGAGGTTGACTCCAGAAATATTTATATCGTGATTTCAAATATATTATCTGTTAATTTGATCATTTAACGAATATCTGTTCAAATTTAGGATTTTTCATATATAATTCAATTTTTATCAATCCTATCTTGACTTAATTGGGGAATATCTTTATATTAATTCAAATTTGGCATCTTTTTTATTCAAAAATTTACCAATAGGAGCGAAATCCATTTTTAAAAGGCTTAAAGACACTTAACCAAAGTGATAGTCATAAAAAGAAATTTTTTTCAAAAGAGTTTAAAATCATATTATAAATCGTATTATTAAAAAAAGGAAGGATAAAATGAGTCTATCTATATTTTGATTAAAAGAACAAGGCTTAAAAAAATTACTAAAAAGTCTATCCTGTCATTAATATAAAGTTTTTTAATAGAGTAATTATTTCTCATTTCATATGATAGTTGCTAATTTTTATTTGCATAAAGTTAAATTTATAAAATTTAAATTGTTTTTAAAAAGTAAAATCATTTTAATATATTTTAAATAGAGAAAACAGTGTTTATATTTTTTTGCAAGTGATAGAGAAGAGCATATATTTTAATTTTACTTGAATTTGAAAGAAATGTAAAAACTCCTTATTCTTTATATAAATACAAACAAAATGACTAAATAAAGAAAATATAAATTAATTGAGATGAAATAAATTTTATTATAGATAAGATGCTTAGTTGGATGGATAGATGACTGGTTGGTTGGATGAATATATTAATATATCTAAAATTTGTAAAATTTTTATACTCAATATTTGTTAATTAAAGCTTGGCGCATGTTATTAGTTATCTATAATAAATTAATACACAAAAAAGCCACAAAATTAATAGTTTAAAGAGATTGTTTTAGCTTTGAAAAAAGAGCAAATACAAAACTAATACTAAATAACAAAAAACTAACTCATAAACAATACAAAAATATCAAAAAATAGGAAAGTAAAAATGGTAGTTATTAGCATTATCAACATCCAAAGAAAGAATTTTTCAACAATCAAGAACTTGTTTGAAAAGCTATTTTTAGATAGCAAAATTTTAGATAAAAAAAAGAATTGGATTAATTATTGTTAAGAAGAAAGAGTTAACCAAGATTTAACTTCTATTATGTTTGATGTTGAATTTAATTCTCTCCCCCAAGTTATTTAGGTTCTTTTGAAGAATAGAGTCTAATTTATCAACCATGATAAGCAATAATAAATTGAAATTGGAGTTAATGCAAATACTATAAAGTTCTTAGGCATCAAATAAGAAGACAAAGAGCTTGTTTTAAATGGCTTAAAAGGATACAAAAATGAGTCTGCTATAAATTCTAATGACCTAGAATTGAAGTTTGATACATGCTAACAATAAGCTTAAGCTTTAGAAGCAATGCTCAACTTTATTTAAATAGAAGACTATACCCTTCAATCAGTTTTCCTTCTTGACTTAAGCTCTACTATTAACCAAATGTAAATAATAAAAAAATTTTTTTATGCAAGTTAAATGGAAATTCAATTTTAAATAGCCTCAAATTCTGATTTTTCATTTAAATTTATTTTAAAATTTATATAATAAATAGTTTTAAAATTAATTATTAAATTATTTTTATTCAATAATAGAGAGCTAGAAAACACTTTAACTAGAATATAATCTAAATTTGATTTAGCAAATACCTCTAAAGTACAAAGTGATAATTAAAATAATTGCAATGTACAACTCAATAGAAAAAGAAAGGCATCTGATTCATAAACAGAAGAAATTAGTAAATTATACGAAAAAAAGAAGGAAAGTAAAGTAGAAAAATAAGAATCATCTTTATTTACTAAAAAGGATTTCCTTCAAATGATATTACTAATTGTTTTGATTGGAATGGTATCCTGTGTAGTGAAAGGTAAAAAGATATTCTGATTTCAACATGAGCAAGGAAGAAGTGATAGTAAATCAATTACAATCTATCTATGAAAAATAAGAAATATAATTTGGCTTTAAATAAATAACAACAACTACAACAACTAAATTAAAATTTCATAAATTTTTGGCATATAAAAATACTATATAATAATAATAAGATCGATTCATTCATTATTTTAATATCATAAATTATAAAATATACATAATAAATATTTTGTTTTTGTATAAAACTATAGTTAAAAATATTGTTGATTGATTTATTTATCATTTATCAATTAAACATATATGGATACTATTTTTGATATTATTTTGTCAATATTCTTTTAGTTCTACAAATTTTTAATTTTAGCAATAAATTTTTTTAATCAATTTTTTCCAAATTTCTGAGCTTAACTAAAAAATTATTGGTTTTCTTTTTTATTAAAAATATCTTTGATAAATTTAATTTGTTGTCACTTACATATTTTCTAAATTTATATTTAGCCTTTTTCAAGTTAAGAAATTAAACATTTCATGATGAATAAAGAAACTATAAAACCTGAATTAATTACCTAGTAATATCAAAAATAAATTTAGTTTATTAAAAAAATTATTAACATACATCATATTACTTTTTTTATGCTTATAGGTGGTATGCATATTAAATAAATAGCTTATAAAAAAAATGATTGTATTTATGAAGAAACAGAAACATTAAAAGGAAGTAATTGATAAATATAAATATGTGTTATATATAAATACAAATTTTATTTAAATTAGAATATATTAATTTATTTACTTATTTAATTTATTATAAAAATTAATGGCTTATTTATTTATTAATTTACTTTATTTATTTATTTGTTTGTTTTTTATATTTAGATTTTATTCATGCATTAAATGTTTTCTCATCAGGTGGAACCATGCCATATTCTGCATACTTTTATTGAATTGCTTTTTTCATTTCTTCATCAAGAATATCTTCAAATCCTTTTCCTTTAAAGAATTTAAACCAAGCTTATACCAGCTTATAGAAAATTGAAGAAAACATCAAGCGAGTTTCAAACCAAATCAAGTTAAATTTCTTTTTTAGTGTGTTTGTATCTTCGTGAAGACCTTTGACTGAGTATTTTGCCATCAAATTTATACGGTTAACTTGTGATCCTAATTTTTTGTTAATACTTCTAACTAAGTTCATGTTCCTATTGATAAATAATAAGTCTTTTGGAAATTTGTTTGTATCACCAAGCATCTTTTTAAAATCTCCTTTAAATTTCATCTGTAAATTATAAACATCTTCTTTTGAAATTTTATCTATTTTCAATACAAAATAATTGCTAAATTTTTATTATTTTTTATCTCAATAAATTTACCAGTTAATGGTTTGTTTTTGTTATAGGGACGCATTAGTTAAAAGCTAGCAAATTATTCATCATCTTAAATACCCCATTGCTTAACTATATCTTTCAGAGCCTAACTATCCTATAAGAATAGACTTTTCCATAAACTACAATACTATAACCTAAAATTTTCAGAAACTTAAAAGCACAGGCCGTAATCTAATAAAACTATTTATTGTTTTTATGTGTCTTGAGGATTTCTTCTCACAAGCAGATTTCCTGGATGAGGATCAGCATGAGTAAATCCTATTTTTATTTATTATAATTTAATTATTTTTTTAGTTTAGAAGAAATTCAATAAAATCTATATGATGTGTGACTGTGCTATTAATTTAATAGATTATTATATTAAACCAGCCAATAAATAAATAGTTATTAATTTTAGTTTTGTTCAGTGATTTTACTGCTATTTTTAAATTTTTTAGTCATAATTACCTGTAATGAAAATTTATTCAGCAAAAGCTTCTATGATTGAATTGAGGATCCCTTTGATATCATAGCCTTGCTAGACTAACTAAGATTCTTCTGTTATTTTAATTCCATCTATCCATTCCATCACTAAAGTACGTTTTGAAGTGTATTGATCGTATATATTTGGAACATAAATCTCCTTTCTTCCTAATTTTTAAAATAAAATTTTGCACTTCTTCGAGTTTTCTGCCTCTATGTTAAAATCTATTTCTTTAGCTAAGTTTTCTTCTATTGACTCATGGAATGGAGTTAAGGGTAGATCAAACGCATACTCAAGTACTTACAAGAATAATTTATGCATAAACATATCATAACCAAATTATTTTTAAATGTTTGGCTTTTGAATCTTCACAGCTACAGTTTCGCCTGTTTTGAGCTTTGCACGATGAACTTGGGCAATACTTGCACTTGCTACAGGCTCCTATTCGAATTCTTCAAATATATCTTCTGGATTACTACCTAAATCTTCTTTTATAATCTTTCTCACAGCCTCATATTCTACTGCTTTAGCCTTATCTTAAAGTAATGAAAACCATTTAAAATATGAAGGTGGAAGCATATGCTCGCTTGCAGCAACTGCTTAACCAAATTTCACATACAGACCATCGTTTTCCCTACACATATTATATAGCTCCTCTGCAGTTTCTTCGTGAATTTATTCTACATTCTCTGGGCTAAAACGCCATTTATAATTTATGAGTATAACTGCACCAGCTTTGAGAGTACGTAAATTACGCCACATTATTTTTTCTCTTGTAGTATAGTCGTATCCTGCATAGCCAGCCATTCCTAACCCTAACATTTTCTTCCAATGTCTGAACATTTCTCTTTTAACTTTTTTTAGCTAGACTTTTATTTTAGCTTATTTTAAGCCTTATTTTTATTCTATTTATATTTATTAAATTTATGAAATTTAAGAATTATAGCTGGATAAAGCTGTTCGAATTTCTAATTAAATTTGCAAAACAAACAATCCAGAACACTTCTAAATGAATATACTGAACTCCAATTATTAACTACTCAGATATAATATCCAATAATCTTGATACAATTTTTGAGAAAAGTTAATATTTTAATGAAAAAATTACAATAAGATTATTTTTAATCCACAATAATATCATATATTTTCAATATACTACGCAAAAAAAATAAAATCAATCAAAATTCATCGTTTGCAACACTACTTTACTTTATGTACGTCACTGTAGATATTTCTAAAACATTCTAATCTTAAAACTCAAAAATGATAATAAAAGTTATACAAATTTATGAAATTTCTTTTTTACATTCCATTAATAAAACAACAAAAAGCTTCAATAAAATAAATCAAGAAATATATATATTATCAAAGTTAAAAATAAATTTCTAAATTTTAAAAGTAAAATTACAAAGATTTGCAAATCATTAATTTTCACTTTAAATAAAAGAGATTAAAGTAAAAAATTATAAACCATCAGATTTGATCATAAGTTATTCACTCTAGCACATTAATACCAAATAAAATAATAATAGATAGTTGAAAATAGATAAAATAAAAAATAGAAGTTTCTCGTTAGTTTTTGGAAAACAAAAATAAAAAATAGAAAATTAATTGATTGATTTAATCTCGTAGTATGTATCCAAGAATAACTCTAAAAACTAAACTTAAAAAGTAATTTAGATAAATAGTAGATATCATCATATATTATTATATATCAATATTAACTATTTCATAATATATATTTAAAATATTTATTTAACTCATCTATTTTTTTATTATTTATAATTATTTAGAAAGCCAAAAAAAAATAGAAAATCGATTGATTAATTAATTAATTGATTTATTAATCTTGAAGCATGTATTAATAAATAAATAATTCCAAGAGATAAATTTATTGTAGTTAGAAATATATAGAAAAATATATAAATACTATTTCATATTTAAAATACAAAATTCTTGGCTAGAAAGGCATTTAAACTCATTTTATCGTGTAATCACAAGGTTTAATTTAATTCATCCATTATTTCTTTGTTAATATTTTTCTGCTAATTATTTTTGTTATTTATCATTTGCTAGGCATTCTTCATAAATTCGTTGTAGTTTGAATTAGGATTTTAGTTAATGTTTTGGATTTTAAAAAATTACTGCTAAGCATCAAAAACTAAATAACTGTCATTGCTTAGCTGCTAAGGCTAAGTGTTTGAGCTTTATTAAAGCATTTTTAATTAAGAGGATATTGTTGATTCATACTTTTTATTTTTGTTTTAGTTTATAGGAGCAAAATTGAGAATTTCATTCTTTAATTTTTACTTATTTATTTACTGTTCTTAATTTATTTATCCACTGCTAGTATTATTATTTACTTGTTGATTAAATGATTAAATTTATTATGATATATTTTGTAGGATAACCACTTCTTTTTTCGATTTTGATTTTGAAAGTTCTTTTTATTTTTTTGAAGATGATGACCTTTTATTTTAAATATTTTGCTTATTTCCTGAAGAGGCTCCTTAATTGAGAAATCTCTCAAATTGTTATTGCTATTGCTGTTGTTGTTGTTGTTTAGATGAAGAAGGTTATGTTTTAATTTGTTGAGGATTTAATCCTGAAATATTTAAAGGTTAAAATTTTTTATTCTTGATTTAAACATTGCTACTTTTTGTAGAAGAAGCTAAAGATACAGTGAGTTCTTTCTCATTTAAACCAAACTTCTCTTTTTTTGAATTTGTTATTTCATAGCCATTTTCATTTAATGTTAGCTATTCTTTAGACTTAGATTTTCTTTTCTTTTTTCCAGAGTTATTATGAATTTTTCCATAAGAGTTACTTCTTCCTTGTTAGCTTAAAGTTTAAAAATGATGGGATAGATCATCGTTGACAGTGGCTTTAGAGGTATCATCGCTATTTTCATTTTTTTCTTCATTTATTTACAAATTTGAAAAATTCCTTTTGTATCTTTACTATATTTAATCATCATCAAACTAATTAGCAGTTATGCTGCTTTATAAATACTGTTATTAATTAATATTTTATTGGCTTTTAAGCTGTTATTCTCCTTTTTTAAACTACTTCTATGATTAGAATGATTAGAGTTGCTCGCTTATATTTTAGCTTTTACTTGAGTTGTGTATTTAGTCCTTAGAAAATTAAACTCCCAGCTTTGAATTTTTTAAAGAATTTTAATAATTTGATGATATATGAAGTGAATTGGGATAGGAGTCTTTATTCTCGTCAGATGACATTTCTATTCTTTCATTTAGGGGAGATGTGCTCTTGCTTTTTTTCTTGCTCTTTTCAGCTGAATCATGAGATGACTTTCTAATATTTTTCTACTAAGGAGACTTTGATAACATTACCCTATTTTTAGTATCTCCACTGCTTGATCCAATAGGTATGTATTATGTATTTTATGGATGATTAAAGAACATCTAAGTTTATTGATGAAGTTTTATAACTGACTTCAGCTCTGAAGCATCTAATCCTTTACTTGTCATTAGTTTTTTAATAAGCTTATCTTTACATACGTTATTGCTTTTTTGTTAGTTGTTAGATGTGTTATTATGCAACTAAGATAGAGCTAAATTAATAGCACTTCCATTATTAAAGCTTGTGCTACCTTAAGTTGTATTAATCAAACTGCTTGTGTTGAAGATATTATTCGTGGAATGATTTTTTGTCAATAATTTGTATCCTATTGATTTATAATACTTTCCATGAGTCCCATTTCCTCCACTCTCACTCGTCTTATTATGTTTACTATTGCTGCTATTATTCATGTATTAGTTATTTTGTAAATGATGAGAGTGAATGTTGTCATTCATATTTAGTCTCTTTTTACTTGTAAAGATTTCTCCGTTTGACTGTGCTGATAAACCTTTTTAGCTGCTGTTGCTGTTTCTTCTGAAAGCTATTTCTTTAGCTCTATTGCTTGGTGTTAGGGATTTTTAAATGAGAGGAGTTTAAAATGCAGTTAAGTTTTCTGAATTGTAATACTGAGTCTGCTATTACTATTGAGGAGAATGCAACTGACTTTACTAATATGAAGATATAGATTGTAATTATGATAGCTGTTAATTTTGCTACTGATAAATCTATAACTGCTATTATTAAATTTGGTTATTAGTTTATTGTAGTTGTGTTTGCATCTTTTTTTATGTTTTCTTGTGTTTTGGAGAGTTCGATCTCTCCTTGCTTTTATTTACTGATCTCTTTGTATTTTTTGAGCTTGCAGAGTTGATATGATTTATCTCGTGTGCAGTTGTGTTACCTGTAGCATTAGCAGTTGATAAAATTTATTACTAAGTGCTTTGCTAGCTGATTAAATGCGATTAGCCAGAAAGCAGTGGAGTATTAATTTATTATACCTAGCCTTAAAATCTACCAAAGTATTCTTCAGACTTTTAAAGAAGAGATTAAGAAGGGCTTTATGCTGAAGAAATAGGATAAATTGGTTGCAGAGCAGCAGGTTCAGAAGCATATCTTTACTTCAATTTTACCTGAGATTGTTCTTCAGTAGAGCTTTCTTCTTCTGTTAGAAATTCTTCAATGATACCTTCGTCTTTTTTATTATATCTTGAACTTTCGCCTTCTCGAACGAAATATTATTCTCCATCTTAATCTTTTTTTTAGATTTTCTTTTTAATCGTAGTAACTAATCCATTTGTATTCTATTAGACAAATTTGCTTTCTTCCAAAACTTCATCAATATTACTTAAATTTTTTTGTTATCTCCTGTCATCTGAGGAAAACCCTCCTGCGCTATTTTTAGAATAATTTCCTGAAGTGTCAATTAAAATCTTTGATTTATTATCTTTAGATGTGGGTCTGTCTAAAGTTTGGTTACTATCGAGTATGACTACTTAATCTTCTGAAGAAGAAGTGTATTAAAGAGTTGTTTTTTTGTCAAATTTCTAGTAATTAGCAAGCTGCTGCATTAAACTTTCTTAACTGCATTCTCTAAAATCGTTTTTCTTCTATGATTCATTTTTGTCTTTTTCCAAATACTTTTCATAATTTTGCTTTTCATAGTCAAAGTTTTAATAATTTTGACAACTCTACACAAAATTCTCTTTTGTTTTTTCATCTTGGATTATTTTTCTAGCAATTGGAGGACTACTTCCGAAATTATTAATTTTATCATTCTAATATAAATTTATATTTAAAATATTTTCTCTATCAGTATCAGGAGATCTTTCGAATTCTGCAGATTAGAATTATGAACCATCATATAATTTATTAGGTGAAGTATCTTCATCATTTGATTTTTAATGTTAAACCATTTAAAATGAATTAAAAACTTTTGAAGAAGTTTGTTCAGATTATTAAGCTATAGATGATGATACTTCTTCTCCTTTTTTATTTTGAATTAAAAGTACTGAGGCATGGTTAGACTGAGGCATAGATGTTTGATTTGAATTTTAAAATGAAAAAGCCAAAGCCTGCTCAAATTTATTTCCTTTATTTTGCTACTATTGCTAGAGTTTTAAGGAAATATTTTCCCATTTGATATTTTACTCCTAACTTTGTTAAGTTTTGCTATAGAGTTTATTTGATTTTTCAGAATCATTGCTCTGTTGTGTTTCATTGCTATCTAAAATTTCAAAATTATTTTTATTATAATTATCTGTTTCATTTAAATCACCACTTTCCTATGTTTTGCTTATGTAAAATAATTTATCATTCGCATTTTCTGTCTTTTCTTATGATGATGAAGTATCGTGATTGATATCAAAACAAAAATCTTAAATACTATTGCTATCACTTAACTGCATTAACTTATTACTACTATTTCCATCTCCTTCTATTAAAATAGGCTATTTTTTCTTTGACTATGCATCAGCAAGAAGTTATTATTATTAAATAATTTGTTACTAAATGTTTATATGACTCAGTTAATTATTTTTATTATCGTTAGTCTATTACTATTGCTAATTAGTTAAAAGATTACTCATTTTTGATTGCTTAAGAAGGAGTTATTTTTAGTCTTAGTATATTTTTTATTGTTTATATTCCTTATCATTCATTAAAAATGAGTTTATATTGAATACTTTTTCACTTTTATTTTAGTCTTACTTTTAACTTTAAATATTTTACTTTTCATTTTTATCTACATTTTCATTCTATTAAGTATTCAATTATTCTTAAAAATCATTTTCTACTTTTATTTTTAATTTGTCATCTTTTTCTAATTCGCCACTGTGAACTATTTCTTAAAGCTAATTTTTACTAGATTCATTTTCTTCTTTAGAAATAGAAGAACTTTCACTTAATCTAATAACTTCGTCTTATTTTGATGACGTTTAAGAAAGTATATCTAAGTTTTTCATAATTTTATTCTTTTTATCAGAGTTAGTTTGCATCAATTTCTATAAGTAAGTCTTTGACTCGTGATTGACGTTTATTTAATTATTGATAACTTCTTCTTCTGAGTTAGATGTAGGCAAATTATAAGTTTCTCTTTTTTAATTTGCAGGAGTTTTTAAATTTGAGTTGCTTTAAGGATTAATAAAGAGTTTTTAATGCTAGAGTGGCTAATATGAATAGCTTTAATCATCCATAAGCTCTAGTTCATTAGTTTCAGAATTTATGTTAAAATTTTATTCTATTTTATCTTTCAATTCAGCTTCCAAAGCTTCTTCATCTAAATCATCATCGTCATCTGTTGGAAAAGTCTATTGATTTTTAGTTCTCTCCTATAATTTTAGCAAAAATATTAATTTTTATATTTTCCATACATGAAATTGATTGATTAATTTAGTTTACTTTTTTCTAAATCATATCTCGAGGAGAACCTAAATATTCATTTGAATTTTGAGAACTCTGCTAATTTTTATTGCTTTAAAACTTTTTCTTAAATTTAATAACATTTATGATGTATTGATAAGTTGTAGTTAATTTTACTCTCTCATTAATAAATAGCTTCTATTAAGGTTCTTCATCAGTAAGGTATTGAGTTTACTTAGTATTTTGATTATCGCTAAGCTAATCTTTATCTTTTTTTGCTTAGAATTATAAATCTGAATTATGTTAGTTAACAATTCTATTTTCTTCACTCTCATTCCAATCTTCATCCCCAGCATCTATAATTCCTAATTATTCTAACTCTAATTAATCATCAATAATGTCATGATTAATATTTCCTCTATGCATTTTACTCGCTTTAGCTCCTTAATCTTATTCATTCTATTCATTAAATACTTTGATTCCATTAGTCTATTAAAATTGAACTTCCTAATCTATATACTATCCAAGCTAGTGGTTTTAGTTATTCTATTACCTAAAATTGATTTGCTAAGCCTATTATTTCTACTAAGCATTACTTCTTTGCTAGACAGTTAAGATATCAGTTTCTTCAGATAATTATATTGCTTCCTGCTAGTCTTAAAATAATTAACCAGAATCCTCTTCATTATTATAATTTACTCTTTCTATCCATAATGTTGAAGGAGGCTTTTTATTAAATGATATGATTATGTAAATACATTTAAATTAAATGATAAAAATTTACTTTATATTCATTTCTAAACATCGAAATGTAGTCTCTAATATCTTTTGAGTTTAATTGTTCAACCCAAAAGATTCCTTCAATTTCATCATCACTAAATACTTTTTATGATTCTTCTTCGTCTTGATTAGAATTATTATTTATTATGTTAGCGCTTTTAACTGAATTCTTATACTCATTCTGTGAACCCATTTTAGCATTTTCTTCTTAATATTTCTGAATCACCTCATCTTAATTGGATACTAATAAATTATCATTATTTCTACTAATCACCAATTCAGATATTTATTTATTTTCTTAATTATCTTACCCCTTTTCGTTTGATTGTTTCTAAAGAGATGAAACTTAAACTGACTATGCCCTCTTTATATTCTTTTTTTCATTTTATTTACTAAATATGTTAGAAAATTTGATAAAAGAGTCATCTTTTCCTTGGTTCAACTAAGAAAAAACACTCAATCTACTATTGCTATTATTTTTTTGATCTAAATTAAGAACTATCGAAGATGTTTTATTCATTTGCAAATAAAATTTTTTAATTTTTTTCTTCGGAGCACAAAGTTAAATCAAAGCAAGAGCTGCTGCTTAGTTTGTAGAATCCCAATCAAATTAAATTTTATAAATTGCTTTCCATATTTTAGCAGGTATAATATTCTCACATTGACGAAATAGTCCTAAAATATCTTTCATTTTATCAGTGTAAGCATCAAAATTATATCCAAGGCCACATAAAGAACCTACAATATTTAAGCCACCTGTTCTACATTCACTTTCTTAATTTATTAGTAAGCTTTCTATGATATCTAAAATTAGATTCATAAATTATTTTTACTGTGCAGTTTTATAATTTCCCTAAAAAAAATTAAATTAATATTTTATTTCAAACTTAAAGCAGAAAATTAATTAAATATTTACAATATTTGGTTTCACCCAATAGCAGAGTAGCCCGTAAGTTAAACTTCTTATATTGCTCCAAGGTGAGTGAAGAAGATTTGAGACTAAAGGAACCAAGTCGATGATTTCATTTAACCTCAACTCCTAAAATTCACTGGAAGTTCTAATAAATAGAGTATTAGGTTAAATCAATAAGTTATTAAGATCTAAATCATTGGAGTCGGGCACAAGTTAAAAATTTTAAGATTCAGCTGAAGTCAAGTTATTTTCATTAGCTTAATTTTTATCAGAATTCGATTCAACAACAAATGTATTTGATATCTCTGGTTATTTTTCTTTTATATATTTTTCTATTTCATTTTATACAGATGGTCCACTAAAAATAGTTTGAAATAATAAATCTAGGATAATTAAAGAATTAAACAACAATTTATTATCTCTATTTTCTTAGCAAAAAGTCACCTTAGTAATTTGCAGCTAAAACTTAATCATTAAAACTTGAATTTGATCAATGTATTTTGTCTCAGCGATGTCTGTTTTAAATATATTTTGATAAAAATCAGGATCTTCTATTTCTTTCTCTTAAGTATTCAAAGTGCCACCCTTTTTTGAAGTATCTAACTTGTTCTTTTTACCTTAAGTATTAAAAAAATAATTACTATAAATTTTTTCTTATTAATTTTGATTTACCTTATTCTTATTTATTTTTCTTTGCTATCTATGAAGAAAATCCTTTTAAATACTATTCTAGAAATATTTTTGCAATATTTGTAGCTTTTATTCGCACTTTTGAGTTGCCACTATTTATAATTTCTATGATTAAAAGAAAATTATTTGAATCAATTAAATTTTAAAACAATTAATTTTTTACTAATTATCGCTTAGCTTAATATGTTTTCTTCAAAAAGTAATTTTAGATTTTCAAAATGATAATATTTTAGATAAATTAAGCCTTCTTGCAGTAAGTTAATTTTTTCTTGAAATATTTCGTATTTGTTGTTAAACTATTTCAAATCTTAATCTTTATAAGCCATTTTAACCTGCTTTGTCTTTTTGTTTTGGTTGACAAACTGAGGCTCTTAATTGCTCACTAGACATTCATCAATAAAATATTTAAAAGAATTTACATTCTTTTTACTCGCTAAAACCCTTAAAAAAAACTCTTAAGACCTCTTTTATGCTTTTCCTCTCATCGTGAACTTATCAACCAAAGTATCTATGCATTTCTAAATTTAAAAATAAGAATTTATATTTAATTTGAGAATAAATGTTTACTTTGACAATCTCAGGATTTAAGTGGAGTTGTATTATATAAAGTAAAATATCAAAAATTTAAAATGGTTCATCATTCACGCTGTGAGGAATGCAGTCACAAAATATTATAAAAAATTATTGGAGAAAGTAAACATTTTCATTTTAAGCATTAAGTTTAAGCTTAGGAAGTGAAGAAATAATAATTTTAATGAATTCAAGCATAAGATGTGGAGGAGATGACATTTAGATATGTTCTGCAACCCTTTCTAAAAGTGGATAGGCTACATCAAAAAGGTTTATACTACTTTCTTCAGGCATTATTTCAACCATCACTAACCAGATATTCTTAAATATATCAATTTAACTTTAATATTGTAAAGAGTTTTCAACCCACAAAATAAGTGGTTTAATTAAGTTATCAACACATATTTGAGCCTTTTAATTAATGAGAATAAGCTTTTGATCAGTTTTATTTTAATTATCATTATTTAGCTTTATTTTTTTAAAATACTTAAGAATTATATTTGTTTCTTCTTCTACATCCAATTGACTGACTTTTTCTGTTTTCTTATTTTCATTTGATTGATTTGTTTAGTTTTCATCTTCTCCATTATCAACTAAGTTAGCAAGAACAGAATCAGTCTCATCATTAATTTACTTTTCTAAATTTAGCTCTTCTTACTTAGAGTAGTAAGAATCGCTTTTTATAAAAGTAGTTGGGCTTAAATTCTTTCTATTAGTATGATATCTAATAGTAATGATTGTAATTAAATCAAGTAGCTGATACACTTTGTTCAAAATATTTTAAAGATCTTTTTTCTCCCCTTCTTATTCTGCTTCTAGCAGAGCTAATAGCATTTCTGAAATCCAATTTATGACTCCATTTAACTAAGAAATGTTCATATTGTAAACCAATTTTAATTTAATCGTTTCCCAAAGTTTTAAAGCATAATATTATATATTTGTTATCTGTGCTTCAGTGTAAAAACTTTCATATCCAGATCCATCAATAGCATAAAGCATGTAATGAAAAAAGCTCATATCAATCTTTAAATTTTATTAATAAAAAGTCTATAATTAAATATGAATTTGGGAAATATTAATTTATTTATGCAACTTAGTTTAAATAACACGATTTTGTTAATTATTTATTAAATGGATAAATCAAATATATTATTCAGCAATTGAATTTAAATTTTTTTTGATATTCACATTTATTATAGTGTGTGAATGAATGAATGAATTTATTTCAATAAACTGACTGAAAATATATTTCTTGAATTTTATTTTTAAGTAAATAAATAAATAGTTTATTATTTTTGGAATTGATTTCAATAAGCTGCTTAAAAGTGAATTTATATAACATTATTCTTAGTAAATAACACTTTTACTATATAGCCACTTATTAAATATTTCATTAAGAAATCAACTTAATTTTTATTAAAAATATTAAACTATAAACTAAAATATTTAAATAATAAATTAATTATAAGTACCTAAACATCACCTTAACATATGGCTAGAATTTTTTCAGCTATTCTAAATACATATATACGAAGATCAGGAGAAAGCTCTCTTAAAAGAATATATACACTAATTATCTCCTAAAATATAATTCTGAGAATTTAAGAACTTGCTGAAGCTAACACATTTATAAAAGTCTCCAAAAAATGATGGTAGCTATCTACAATATGCTAAAAGCTACCCTTAGAAACAAAGTTTCCTTTTTACCTTTTTTCCATCTTTTTTCTTATTTGAGCTAGAGTTTGTAATGAATTTGAGCCTTTCTTGGTAAATTTTTTATCTATCTCTGTTTCTTTTTAAGTTTTCTTAGTTGGCTATAGTTTTTATAATTTATTTAAACTTTTTAATAACAATGATTGATTGATTAATTGATTTACTTATTTTTCTTTTTCGAAATCTAACTCTTCAAACCTCTCTTCTTCTACAATGATTATTTTTTTTGCTTCATTTTCACTTTTGCTAGCTTTTTTGGTAGTATCTTCATTTTTCAATACTCTATCTGCATTTTCATCATGAAATATTTCTTTTTCTAAATCTTCTTCATTTTCAATATTTTCTATGTTGCTCGAATTTCTTTTCTTATCAGAATCATCTTTGTCAGTTTTTAAGCCACTTCTTGATGAATTTTAACTTAAAGCCCATTATTCTTCATTATCTTCACTATCAGAAATGTCATATTATTTTAATATTGTTTATTCTTCTTCTTTTAATATAGGGTAATTCATAAACACTGATATTAAAATACAAGGCAGCTGGTTTCCTAAAGTACAGCCTAACTGCTCTACCATAAATTCAAGAGTTTTTATTGCAGCTATTTGAATATTTTCTTATTTATCAGTTAAACATTTTAAACACAATTTTGTTAAATGAGGACTCAATTTTAATAATGCAGAGTAAGGATCAAAATTATTATTTATATTGACTTATAAGTCGTCATTCATATTAGTAAAAGAGTCAATAGCTCTAGAATAAGCAGCTACTTTTAAATTTAGCATGCAGGGCTAAACAATACAATCAGCTGCAAGCAATTCCATTTTAGCTGATTTTATCAAATTCTTATTGGAAGTTTGCTAAATTAATGAATTAAAACTAGCGTTATCTAAGAGATTTTGCTTTAACTAATTTTCTTAAACAAAGTAATTATTTCCTTAAACAGAGTAGGATGTTCTAATTTAATGAGAGGGTTATATAGATTGGGCACTTTGAAAGAGCTGAAAATGTTATTTTAAACTATTTCTTTGAAGAATATAATTCATTAAATCTCCGCTTTTTTCTAACTATAGCTTTCCTACTTAACTGTTTTGAATTGATTCAATTAAATTGTTATTCTATTTACTCTTCTCTTATATTATTAAATAAGCAATTATTAAAATGAAATTAGATAATTAATTTACTCAGAAGCACTTAATTCATATCTTTAGATATACTTTTTAAATATTTATTTCTAAAATATTTAGCAGCTTTCATAAAGATTTCTGATGATTGAACAAATTTTCTTGAACTCATAAACGATAATCCTGACAAGATTTCTGTTTCAATAGCTTCTTCTATTCTATTATGTTTGTAAAATATATTCGACAAATTTAACAAACCGACTCCCTATTGAAATGAAAAATTATTAAAAATGTTATGGTGAACTACTTTAAATAATCAATCATACATGAGAAGCAGGAGGACTACAACTTAATTTATAACCAAAAATCTATATACTTTCAAAGCAAACTTTAAAAAGACTTAAAGCCTAGTTGATAATTCAAAAAGAATATTGCTATTACCATTTGTAATAATTTTTAATGAATAAAAAAATATCAAAAGAAATCTTATTAATAAAACGAATTCTAATTAAAAAAATGATATTTTATTTTCTTACATCATCAATATCTAATAACTTATTGTGTGTTAAATCATCTTAATCACCTATAAATTAAAAATTAGTATTTAATTATTTTGTTGTCATTTTAATTTATATTTATTTTACTTCCCAAAAATTATTTTATATTATCAAATACTGAATCCGAATAGTTTTAATGGTCATTTTAAAATTTAACTAATACATCCATAACTGTATGACTTGTAATTTAAAATTATAACTTAAGTGCTTATGCAATCCCTAAAACTTTAAGCTAATACCTAAATGAATACAAATAATGTTAATGGTATTCTCCAAAATGCTTATTATAATAATAAATTATCAAGAATAAAGCTTTTACTCTTTATTTTGAGATTACTCCTCAGAAACTAATCCTAATTTTTCTAAAAATCCGCATTGACTTGGCTCAAGCTTAATCATGTTTATAAATTAGTGGTTTTAAGCATTTTTTTCAATGCCATTTATTCTTTGATGCGAAAACTAATTCTGCTTTGCTTGATAAAACTCAAAATTAGCCTTGGAAAACTCCATATAAGTAGAAACAAGGTGAATGTTCTAATTTTTATAAAACTAGATTTAGCACTTTTAAATATTTATTAATGTTATCATCTAGAGGTATATATTATCTATCCTAGTATTCATTTACAAAATAATAAAGGATTTACTGTAATTAAGTATGGTTCAGATAGCTCAAACTGCATGTTTATTAACAGATTTTATGATTTTTCAACCTTCATTTACCTACATATTTAAAATTTTATATTGCTTCTAAATTTAAAAATTTATAAATTAAAATTTTCATTTTCTTTTTTAAATTTTCCAACCCTGTTTAAGTTATCGTTATAATTTTGAATAAATAAAATCCAATCAGAATAATATTATTTACTCATTAGGCAGTTCTATCACAGGATTAGCACTGTGATTTGAATTATCAATAGAAGAGACAGAATTGACTAATGGAGCTGATGCATTATCAGTTACAGTGAATTTAATTAATTAATCGCTGAAAGCTATTTCATGCATCAAATTGCTACCATTTTAAGAGTGATTGCTATTGACACTATTTTACATTAAATCTAAATGTTTTTATGGATTAATGTGCTCCTAACTATTCTACTCTTGATGCTTGTATAAAAAATATTTTAATTGAGTTTTATCTCACTTTGCCTGCTCTTTTCTCTTTTGGTCTGCAACTTAATTATAGGAATTTCTACTATGTGTTTCCCTATTTATTATATCTTTGTGGTTTTTAGGGATATCTACTGAAATATTAAATTTAAATAGAAAATAAATGAACATACATTCTACAAATTGATTTATAATATTTGAGTTAAATTAGATAAATTGATAGATAGATAGATAGATACTTTCTTAGTTTAATTATTTTTTTAAAAAAGTTATTCAATCAAAAAGTCATTTTTAAAGTTTTTAGAAATACACATTCAAAATTTATATATAATGTGGCCTTACTAGATTTATAAATTTTAAAAAATACTATGCATGCATTTAACAAAAACTGGCAATTAATTTTATAAAACAAATGAAATTCATAAATTATTTGATTATTTATAAAGCTAAACTAATAATTAAAACATTTTTAATTAATTTTTTAATAAAATTTAATAAATTTGATATTTATTGATGTAAAAATAGTTATTTCAAAAAATATTATTTAAAATATTTATTAATTAATTAATTAAAAATTGAATTAAATTATTTAAGAAATATATGAAAAGAATAATTTTATAAAATATAATGAGAAAAAATAAATATTTTTAATTTAAAAAAACAAAAAAAAAACATTTCATAACAAAAATAATTTACAACAAATTTAAATTATTGTGAATATATTTAAAATTTAATTTAAAGTCAATAATATAGGTATTCAATACTGTAAGTAAAAAGAGTAGATAATATTTTCAAAAACGTAGAGAAACAGTCATAAAATAGAAAAATAAATTAATTTTTATTTTATATGTTATCTTTTACAAATATTTTGCATATTCAAACGGTAGGTCTGTAGAGCTACTTGTTTTCTGTGTAAGAGCCGTCGTTATATTTACTCTAATTATATTTTCTGTAAATGAGAAAAGCAATAGCTATGACTGAAACAACACCAAGAATTATTAAAAAGATTTTTCCGAATCCCATTGATGAGTGCTTTTTTTTACCTCCTTCTAAATCTTCTTCTTCTTCATCATCATCATCGTTGTCATCATTATCTCTATCTCTAGATCCGCCTCCATTCTTTAAATAATCTTCATAAGCCTTTCCTCCAATCTTTGTTAATTCATCTTTAAGCTTGAGGAGATCTCCCCAATCTTAATCAGCTAAAAGACTTAATAAAGCTTTATCATCTTAAATCAAAGAGATGATATCAGTTGCTATATTATAAATTTAATTTATTATACAAAATATATATCAATTTTAAAGAGTTTTTAATTAATTAAAAAATTTAATTTTTATTTACCATTTCCATTTCTTTAAGCATCATTAAACTTAAGTGCAAGCTTCATTAATGATCCTGCAATTTTAGGATCAGAAAGCTTTTCGGATGCAAATAGCATAGTTTTTTTAAGCTTATTAGAATCCTTGATATATGAAAAAGCTTTTTCAGCATCTTCTTCTTTAACTCCTCTATACTAGATTAAGAATTTCTTAATCAAGTCAAGATTTTTAATAGATTAAGTAAGCTTCTCCTTTGGGCTTTGATTTTTATCAATAAGCTTATTTGCGATTGCTTATGCCAATTAGTCTTAGTAATTGAAATGCTTAAGGTCTTCGTTAAATGTTGTTTTGGAAAAAATATTATTGAGAGAAGTAGGATCATTTTTCTTGATGTCTTCAACTAAATCTTGTAAAGTAGAAAAGCGACCTTGGAAAAGAATACCAACTAACCCATCTATCTCCTCTTTGATTTTTTTTGCCTGATCTGAACCTATTTATTTTGAGTGATTTACTGCTAAATCATATAGTTTAATTTATCCAAAAATAAACTATTTTGTGAATCCTTAAATGAAATTATATTAGAAATCAGGACTTTCAATAACACTTTTAATCTAAGTTTTGATCAATTATAGAAAAATGTCTTATTCATCTCCATTTTATGCTTTCATCACTGAGAAGCAGGTTGCTAAAATGAAAAAAGCTAAAACCAGCTTTTGTTGCTTCATAATTTTAATTAGTTAGTTAGTTTATCTACTCTTTTTTTAATCAGATTAATTTATTTTTTTTTTATTGAATATATATTTATTATGATTAATTACTTTCTAACTTTTATCTTACGTAATAGTTTTCTGGCATCTTGTTTAAAAGCAAATTAATTGAAATCTATTTAATGACCTAAGTAATAACTTACCTTTTTGTTATCAGTCGAAGATTAACTCACTTGCTCAATCATTTTTGAGTAAAGTGATTTACCAAATACAATTAAATAAAATAGCATATAGGACCATGTTTTTAATAAGAAATTGACCAACTAACTTAAAATATTTAAATATGAAATAACTAGACAGTAAAACTATTTAATTGATAGAAATATAAGTAAACACAGTTAGTTATTAAATAATTAATCATTAATTGATTTTTTAATAATTTAAAAATGCCGTTTATAATAATTAAAATTTAAATTAGGATAATTAAATCTGCTTTGATAACATTCAAATTTTGAAATTTTTGCGTTAAAGAGTAAAAATATAAACAATACTTCAATATATTTTTTTATGGAAAGTTTATAGAAGCAATATTAAAGTGAATGAATCAGATTACATTCTTTCCATTTAAAAGTATCCTCTTTTGACGAAATAGAATAGAGAATGAATATACAAAGTAATTTTTTACAGTAACAAAAAAATTTAATAAATTTCATCTAAAAATTAATGAATTTCTTTATAAAAGATTTAATGATCAAAGATTTGAGTTCACATAATATCTTTCATCATGAAATCCGGAATCTCCTGCCTTAGCTTATCTATACTTTCTCATTCCAACAAATACCAAACTAATTACAAAGGCTATGCTTGCTATTATTAGTATTATTTTTCCTAGTGACATTGATGAATCTGAAGATTTATCATTCTGCAAACTTCCTTCTCCCTCTTCTTCTTCATCATCTTCATCTTAGTCTTAATTTTGTTTATTTTCCTATCTGCTTTTTTCTTCTTGATCTCTTTTCTTTTAATATTCTTAGTAAGCTTTTCCTCCATAAGCATAAATTTAATCCTTAAGCTTGATAAGAGTTTCCCAGTCAGTATCAATTAAGAGTTCACTTAACTAGCTATCTGTATAGAATATTTCTAATATATCTATTTATATTTTAAAAATTAATCTACATACTAATTTATTTAATTTAATTATATTATTTTTACCTTATCCAGAAGCTTGAGATTTTGCCATCTTCATAAAGATGTTTACAAGCTTATTTCTCATTTATTCATCAGTTAATTTTTAAAGAACTAATTCTAAACTTTTTTAGATTTTTTTAACATCCTTTAAATAATTCATAGCAAGATCGATGTCACTTTCATTAACATTTTTGTACTTTATTAAAAATTTCTTGAGAGAATCAAGATCTTTAAAAGATTAAACGAGAGCTTCTTTTGTTCCATATTACTCAAAAAGCTTATTGACTATGGCATTAACAAGAATTTATTAGTTTTCTTGATCTTAGATATCTTTCATAAAGGTGTCCTCAGAAAAGCGCCCTTTAAGTTCTGATGGATTCTCTTTTCTGATTTCTTAGATAAGTTAACTGAGAGTAGAGTATTTGCCTTAGAAAATAGCCTCTATAAATCCATCTACTTCAGCTTTCATTTCCTTTATTTTAACTTAATCTTTTTGATGTAATGCCCAATCATAAAGCCTTATTTCCCCTAAAGCTATACTTTTTAAGAATTGCTAAATGAACTTTAATTGCATTTAATTAACTCCATTTTCATCTACACTAGACATGTATTTTTCAAATAAATCTTTAATTTTATCAACAAATATTTTGCTTGCACTATCAAAAAGTCCTATATCTGCCTTCACGGTAATGGAAGAAAGAGTGCTTATCAGAATTATTGATAATAAAAAGTGTTGTATTTTCATTTTGGAAATTCCTTTTAAATATGTATTTATTATTTTTTTTTGTATTTTTTAATTTAGGTTTTTTATAATAATTTGACTTATTCCATAAATTTCTTTCTTTTTTATCTGATAAAAAGCTAATTATGTAGATTTTTAATCATTTGATCTATCTAAATTACTAAGTAAATTGCAAAAGAGTTTTTTAATTATTTTAAAAGCATACATTCATATTAAAATTAGCTAAATACCTATCAGATCAGCATCTACTAATCTTTATTAAGCCAATAGCAAAAAATAATTCTTTTATCAATTAATTTTGAGAATTTTTATAATTATAAAATATCTAAATTTTTTATTTCTACTTCAAAATTTAATAAAAATATTTGGGAAACTTGTTCTTAATATTAAAAATTTCTAAAAAAGGGAAATAAATGTTAATTAAGAAACAGATTTTAAATCTCATAAGGAAATATTATAAAATAAAGCTTTACTAAGATAGATCAATTAATTAATTGAATATATATATACAATTTTAGAGTCTTTAAAAAATTATTTGGTTTTTTAAATTAATATCAATTGATAAATAATTCAAAATTTATTTATTTATTTCATTTTTTGTAGAGCTTCTCCCAATCATCAAGATACAATTTCATATTTTCAACATAAATTTATGTCTTCTTTCTGTAATCTGCAATTTTCTTTTTACTTTTTAAAATAAAAAAAATGAATTTATTAATTAATTTATTATTGAATTTTATTTCAAGATAAAAGTAATTTAAAGATTAAAATAAAAAATTATTGCTTTCTTTTTTATTATTTTTAGATATATTCTTGTAGCAAATTCTATAAATTTCTAATTAATAATATTTTGATGGAGTGAATCAAATAAATTCATAATCTCTTAGGCAGATAAAAAATCAAATTAAACAGTAGACTATAAACCGAATTGATTTTACCTTAACATATATTCATCTTGGGATAAGTTCATTTCTTCAATCTATTTTAAATCTTAAGGAAGAGCATAGAAAATCTTGCTTTCAGGTCTTTTGGATTTTCTGAATTCATGAAACTTATCTAACTCTATATTATTTGAATAAAATTATTTAATAAAATTAATTATCTCTCTTTTAAGATTAAATTGCTATGAAATTTAAGATGTGTGATTAAATTTTAGTTCAAAAATTGAAGGTAAATTACCAAATTAACAGTTTTGCATGCAAGTTTCAGATTCTTTATTATTCAAGTCTTTAAGACATAAATATTGACACTTATGGAATAAATAAAAGGAGCGAATTTTAATCTTTTTTTTTTCTATGGAGGCTTCGTTAACGAACTTTAAATATGCTTAGTTTTTTAACTAAGTGGTAGGGTCTGATGACATCATTCTAGATTTACTTTTTTTATATTTATCTATGAGTTTGTTTGCTTATTTGCTTAGATGTTTATCTTATAAATTTTTAATAAATAGAAGAATCTAAATATTAGATTTAATTTTAATATTATTCTTTCTTGATTTTACTAATTTTATATTTATATACAAAAACACTGAAGAAGGTAATATATTATCTATACTTTTAATCAAATTAAAGGGTTTTTATTCATCTATTTCTACCAGTACTTTTCTGGAAATCTTTAAAAACAGTTAAAAATTATTTGGCTATTTCAAAAATATAGAAATTTAACAAAAATATTATTTTCAGTTAGTTTATCTCTCTAAAAATTAAGCTAAATTTAAATTAGAAAAATACTGAGTTTTAATAGATATCACAAGGGTTAAATTACTTTATTTAAATTTTAACATATAAAATTCATTTCTTATTTTAAAATATCATATTTTTGATTTTTTTAAAATTTTATTTAATATATCCTTTGTCATATTAATATTTTTGATAAAAAATGAACAAAGTTTTATCTTTTTATATCTTTTTTTCATTTTGTTTGCTTAAAGCTTGTGCTTTCAAAAAAAATACATTTGAAAACTATGAATTGAATTAATTCAATTTATCAGAGAAAGATGGCTACCCTGTGATAGGAATCCTTGATAGCCCTGTCACGAGGTTTCTAAAAAGCAGTACTATTGATAAGAGAGATACAATGATTCCCTCTTCATATGTTAAGTTTATAGAATATACAGGAGCTCATGTCTTGAGGATACCTTACAAAGCAAGCGAAAGCAGATTAGATTATTTTATGCAAAATATAAATGGACTTATCTTGACTGGAGGATCTTAGCTAGTTAGAAATGAAACAACAAAAATGATGTCTGAATATGGCAGAAAAGTAAAATATCTTTTAAAAAAGGCCATAGAAATCAATGAAAATGGGAACACTTTTCCTGTGTATGGAATTTGTAATGGATTTTCTTAAATTGTTTGTTCTATGAGCACAAATGATACAAACATTTGCGATGTACTCACTTATAAGCACCACAAAGCAGAGAGAGAGAAAATATAATTTACAGACCCACTTATTTAGCCATTCTCATCAATGAAAAAATAAATTATTGATAGATTATAAAAAGAAAATCAATTGTTATTTTATCATTCTCTCTATTTAGAACCTTAGTTCTTTTAATAGAATCGCTTATTAAATTCTCAGTTTTAGATATCAAGTTAGTCGTCTAATTATTAGGATGTACAATTTATTTCCTCAATACACCACATTAATTATCCAATATTTGCTGATGTTTTTCACCCAGAAAAAGCAGCCTTTGAATGGAAGCCAAATTATATCAGTCATAAGAAAGAATCAATATTTTTTTCATTTTATATTGCCAAATATTTTATACAATAAGCAAGTAAAAATACTCATACAATTTCAGAGGAATTAATTTAAGATTTTTTAGAGTTTAAAGAGGACTCAAATCTCATCGAAACTCCTACACTTAGCTATTAATCAATTTACTTATTTAAATACAATTCTACATATTTATAATGAATTTATTCTTTATTTACTTAACCCTTAATCTCAATTCAATCAAAAATTATTTGTTTTATTTTATGTTTATTTATCTTGTATTATTTATTTAAATTTTTATTAAAACATTTTAAAATCTTCTGTTTGTATTTTCATTTAAACTTATTTAAATTAAAGTAAATTTAACAAAAAATTATTTAAAATGTAAATCAATTAATATTTTTCAAAGTTAATGAGATTATTAAAATGAATTAAAATGCCATGCAATTTTACTTTGTTAAAGACCTAGTATTTTATAACCTGACAATTTTTTAGATAAATACAAAATAAATTACTTCTTTAATAATTAAATTTAAATGTTTTAGAGTTGAAAAAACATTTAATACATAATGTTTTTCATTAAAATATAGATTTTCCTTTAAATTCTAAAGTATACATTTATCTGTTAGAATCAAAGTTTTATTGAAATTCTTATCTGAAAAATTAAAACGAATCTCTTTTTAGAGGATTAAATATGTTTTTAGTTATATTAGCTAAATGGTCTGCTTCTGGCTTTTGATTTGAAAAAGCTATATTATTTAAAAATAGTTCTATTAATTTTGCATTGTACAAATTGAATTCTAATGTCCTAAGTGGATATCTAATTAAATTAACTATCTTTGCTTCATATGGAATAGCTAAACCTATATCACCTTATTGAATATGATCCATATCTTTAACATAACAGATCAAGCTTTTTTCTTTTTATTGACAATTTTAAAATATTTTCTAATTTCTTTAATCTATCTCAGCCCAAAGCATAGTCTTACTGTTTAATTAATTAAAAGCAATATTTAAAAAATAATTTAAATTAATTTTATTTATTGATGATTTACTTAAATGATTCTGAATTTATATATAATACTGGTATATTAAGTTTTTATTCTAAATAGGAGTCTTTCATGGGGAAAAGCCAAGGATCTAAACAGACTAAAGCTTTTACATGCTCTGTATATTTAAAAGCGGAGCATTATACTGTGGCTCCTCCATACGAATGCCCCATTAAAGTTATGTTATTTTTATCTAAACTTAAATTCTATTTAAATAACCTGTTTAATTCTTTTTCATCTTAAATAAGATCTATCATGCTTTTAATTTTTGATGCTCTTGCTTCTAGTTCTTGCTCTTTTACTTCTTTAAATAGATTTTTCCTCAGAACTTTATCTTTTATTTTTTCAACTTCCTTTTCTTTAATCACATCATAATGTTCTACACAGAAAACCACATACCTTAAATAATTGTTCAAACAATAAAGATTTATTAAACTTAAATTCTGTATTTAATAATAGAATAAATAAATAAATAAAATATTTACCCTAAAGAAGCTAGTTATTTCATAATAATAGAATACATAGTTCGAGATCCCATAAATCCATGTGAAAAAATAATTGGCTTTAAATTAGTTTTTTAAATAACTGGAAGATTAGCTTCTACTTTGACTTTATATTTTTTTAAGCCAGAAAGGGCAATATCTAATATAAATCCTGGTACTTTATATTGCTTAAAAATAGAAGAATAATGATAGTCCCAAAAATCTGACTCAAGCATACATAGATCTCCCTCAGAACTTTCTGAATTACTTTTTTCAGGACTAGTAGGATAATATGCTGTAATCATGGAAGATTTTTGCTAGTCAATTGGAAAGCTTGCACAAGATACATTGTATTTAGGGTATTTTTCAGATTACTCAGTCTAATCGATTACTTATGGTATTTCATAGATAGGAAAGCAAATCATCAAAAGAATATAAAGTGTAGATAGCAAAGCTGAAATGTAAACAACCTCAACTTAAGTGTATGTATGGAATATTTTGTGAAAAATGCTTAAAATAAAGGAGGGAAGCCATATTATAAACATCCATCTATTTCCTTCTATTTTTGTTTTTACTATTGTTACCAAAAGTATAAATAAAATCAAATATGCTTGAGATTTTTTTTATTCAGATGAGCAATTCTTCTTTGAATCACATAAGAATTGCATATAAATCAATCCAACTTGCAAAAGGCATTGAAGGATTTCAAGCATGCTTACTTTTCTCTTCATTTTAAATTAGGATATTTTACTTATAAATAACTTTTTTTTATTAATTTAAAGTTAATTTGATTTATTAAGCTTGCTATTTCTTTAAGCAATTTAAATAAATCAATATTAAATTATAATGTAAAATGGAAATTTAACATCTAGTATTACTTATATTTATATTATCTTGTTTTAGAAGTGAATAATCTTTAAAGATTATTACAATATTTTCTTACAATTTTAAGCAGAATACTTTAAATTTTAATTCACAAGAAAAAGAAAGAGAAAGTTTCTTAAAAATGTAATTAAATTATTATTTATTCATATCTAATTAATACCATCGTTCCCTAAAAATTCTTTAACTTTTAATGATTTATTAATTACTAAACTTATTCATATTTATTTTTTTTGAGAAAAATATTTTTCTGTTTTAATGCATTAAAATAAATTTTAATTTTATTTAACAATTTCAATCAAACTTAAATAAATTTAATAGCTCAAAATCCTAATTAAAGCCTTCTTTCCCTATTTTAATATTAATTAATTACCAAATATTTTTAATCACTAATAACAAAATATTCCAAAATTTAAACAAAAAATATATATATTTTTAATTAGTGTTTGTATTTATAACTTTTATAAATATATTTCATCCATCAAACATAAAATTTTGAATTTTTTATTGAGTAAATTGAATAAATAATATAATATCAAAAAATAAAATAATTAGATTAATAATATTAGTTTTTATATAGTAGCATAAAAGTATAATATTAATTAATCGATATATGAATTTTTTTAATTGTTTCATTTATTTATTTTATCGTCAAAAATATAGTTTCACTGCAATATAGCCTAATGCTACTACTGCAAAAAAAGTAGCAAATTCTGATAATCTAAAGCCTGTTCCAAATCTCTATGAAATGGCAACTATTGATCCAGAAGAAACAGCACCCCCACTTGCTACTGCTGCTCTTGACATCATAGTAGCACCATAGCTTCCTCGAGCGATTCCAGTTGATTTAAACCCAGCTAAGAAAAAAACAGCTTTTGCAGCTAAATAAATTCCTGCAATTATAGCAATAATCTAAATAAAATCACTCATTATTTTTATTATTTGATAGTTTTTATTTTATGAAATTTATACAAATTATTTTTATTATAAAAAGATTGATATTAATTGAGTTTTAATTTAAATAGATAATTGTATAGCTTTAAAATAATCATTATATTTTTATTACCTAAATATGAGTCATTTTTGTTAATATATGACAAATTTTTTTTATTTTAATATATCAATAAATTTTAAAATAAAAGTGTTTTATTTTTTAATCAAAACTGAATGAATTAAAAATTTAAGTATTTTTTTTAATTAGTGAAAACAAAATTAGTACAATATCATATGGATCTTTAGCTTGCTAATTTTAAAGTGTAGACATTTGAAGATTTTGAGAGTATTTGCTGTTAATGAGATATCAGTTTGATAATTTATTAAGTACTAATTCGGTATATTAATTTAATAAAATTGACAATATATTTTTTACTTAAAATATTAGTTTTTTTCTATTTTTTGATAAAATATGACAAATATGTTTCTACATATCATCAAATTTTAAAATAGAAGTCTTTTATTTTTTAATTAAAATTGATAGAGTTAATAAATTTAAGCACTCTTTCTTAAATGAAATAAAAATTAGTCAAATTTCTTATAGATCTTTAGTTTGCTATTTTAAAGTGAGACACTTTAATATTTTGAGAAATTCAGAATACTTTCTTTTTATTGAGATATCTTGATATTTTATTAAGGGTTTTAATTGAAAAATAATTTAAATAGATGACTTATTTTGATAAAATATGACAAATTTTTTTTATATAAAAATATCATCAAATTTTAAAATAAAAGTGTATTTTTTAATCAAATTTGATAGAAAACAAAAATTTAAGTAATTTTTTTTATTAGTGAAAACTAAATCAGTACAATACATTATGGATCTTTGGCTTGCTTGCTAATTTTAAAGTATAGACATTTGAAGATTTAGAGAATATTTGCTGTTAATGAGATATCAACATGACAATTTATTAAGTACTAATTTGGTATAATAATTTTATAAAATTATTTTAGAAACTTGTTTATTAAAAAGTTTTAAAATTCACAATATATTTTTTACTTCAAATATTAATTAGTTTTCTTCTCTTTTTTTATAAAATATGACAAATATGTTTCTACATATCATCAAATTTTAAAATAAAAGTCTTTTATTTTTTAATTAAAATTGAGAGAGTTTGAAAAAATTTATGCTCTTTTTCTTTATTGAAATCAAAATTCTTTGAATTTTTTATAAATTTTTAGTTGCTATTTTTAAAGCGAGACACTTTAAAATTTTGATAAATTCTGAATACATATTATAATTAAGATATCAGCTTGATATTTTATTAAGTGTTTTAATTTGATAAAATTATTTTTAAAGTTTGTATCTTCAAAAGTTTTAAAATAGACAATATTTTTTTTTACATGAATTTGAGTTTTCTTTTCTATTTTGATAAAATTTGACAAATTTTTTTTATTCATTTTAAAATGCAATCAAATTTAAAAATAAATTCTTTTCACAAATTTAAGAACCTTTTCTTTAGTAAAATTTCTTATAGATCTTTGGTTTGTTGATTTTAAAGTGTAAATACTTGAAAATTTAAAAAAATTCAGAATACTTGTATGTATAATTAAAATATCAGCTAAATAATTTATAAAGAACTAACTAAATTTTTTAATTTTATAAAATTTTTTTATAAGTTTGTATGAAAATTTTTAATACTTAAACAAATAAAATAAAAAGAAATTAAAATATGAGAGTAACAATTTATGTAATTATTCTTATAAAATGTTTTAAATTATGAACTAAGTTTATTAAGTCTATTATTTTATTAGTTCTAATTGATGAAAACACTAATAACAAAAATACTCATAAATTATTTTAAAGATAAGAGTACTAATTTATCTTGATTTATCTCTTTGTTTTTTTGGATAAAACCATAATTAATATAAAATTTTAATAAATAAAAAATATTAAGAATAAATTATTAAAAAAACATTAAAATTAAAAGAAATTCACTCAATCTAAATAAAATAATTCTAAATTTTAGAATAAAAAAATAACTATCCTTAAAGTATTCTTAAAGATGTGTGAGTTTTTTATTGATTGTTTCTACTTAATCAAGTGTTTTTGATTAATGAAATAGCAAAAGTTATTAGATTTAAATCTTGAATAATCTGAGAGTGAATTTTAGATCATTTTATATAAATATAAATAAAATAAAGACACTTAACTAAATATATCAAATATATTTAAATAGTATTTATTGATCTATCTTTCTTTAGCTATTTTAAATCACAATAAAGATTGAAGCTAATTTTTAAATTAAAGTAAGAACTAAATTTTTTACAAAAAAGTAGAGGATATAAGCAATTAAAACAGAAATTTTATACATTTTAAATTATACATGGATTTAAAGAGATTAATTATATAAAGATTTTGTAAATATATACACATAGGAATAGAAAGAGAGCGAATTTAAGATTGAAATGTAATAAAAAGAGGTATGTATTTATCAATTATAATCTTCTTTCTAAAATTTTGAATATAAAAAAGGTAGAGAAGATTAAAACTATTGGAAGATAATTTTTTGTTTTTTTAAAGTTTGAATGTTTGTTTTATTTATATAAGTTTGGTTTTTTTGTTTGTTTTATATAAGTATGTGTTTAAGTGTTTGTTGATTTATTTACTGTTTAACATTTAGTAAGTACAGTGAGTGAGTGAACTATTGTGTTTGTTTATAATACCTCTATTTATTTTTAAAGTACCTTGAAAAGTAATTTATGAGATTAAAATAACATTTTTTGTTTATTCATTTTTAAATAAGAATTTATCTAATTTATATTTGTTTAAGCGGATTTTAATTTATTTAGATAACAGATTAACTATTGAAAAAGCTTCACATCTTCACATAATATTCTTTGAGTTCAGATTTTATGGTTGTTATTTTTACATGAGGAATTTAGGAAGAGTAGGAATAATGTTGTTGTTGACTTTACTGAATTTATTTTGGAAGCAATTAACATTGAGTCTAAGCATTTATTGTCTTTTTACATTGTCTAGCAAGTCAAATTTTTTACTCAGTTTTAAAGTTTTATATTGTTTTTAGATCATTTTAGTTTTGTTGGGAGCTTCATGTTATTCATCAACACTTGATCTTTCTCTGCAATAAGGAGATTGCTTTCTTGTTTCCCTTTATGTGTTGTAAGATCTTTATGAGTTAGAGTTAAATTATTACTAGTTTTACTGTTAATTATTATTAGAATAGAACTTTTAATCTCTATCGTTATAGAAGCTAGTATTTTTATTTTATTATAAGCCACTGTGATTATTATTTTTATGGAAGTATTCTCTCCTAGAAGCGTTACTAGCAGCATGAGGTACTGCTGCTGACTCAGATTACGAGTTAATCAAGAAGTTAAGTGATGAAGATCCTTAAGACTAATTCACGTTAGACATGGGTTTATTCAAAAAATAATTTCTTTCCTAATTAGGATTAATTAAAGTTGCACCAGACATGATTGATTGATTGATTCACAATATTATTTGACGATTCGATTAATGAAATTAAATATATTAACGAGAAAGTTTGTTTGAATACTTTTTTTGATATAATTTGAGATTGAGTGAAGAGATAATTTATTTATTTATTAACTGATGATTAATATTACAGAAATGGTTGTTTTTTTTTTAAAAGATTTTTTTAATTTTTCACGAAACTGTTTTGCTCAGAAGGTAGTAAGTTTTTTCAAATAGAACGAGCTGTGATTAATTTTTTTTAAAATGACAATGTTTTTCTATTTTTTAATTATCAACGACAGACTGGATAGAGAGACTTGTTTTTTTGTTGTTGAGGCAAGTAAAATTAGTTGAAGGCGATTTAACTAACTAAAATATTTCACAATGAAGAAATAATTTTGTAAGGGTTGGAAATTAATTAATGAGATAAAAAAGTATAAATGAAGATAGAAATAATATTTATTCAATCTTTTAACTGCTTTTCTTCTTTCAAAATGAACAATAATCTTTCAAAAGAATGAACTGATGATTTACTTTTTTAATTTTTTTTTTTTGTATAAAAATGTTTATATTTTGTTTTTTCCTTCCCAAAAATATATTATGCAAAAGAAATAGGAATAAGAACTAATTAAAAATTGTTTCCTTCACTAATTTATTTTTTTCAAAAGATTAGCTTAGTAATTGTTTGTTTGATTTTAATTATTATATTGAACTTCAAACAGAAACGCAAGAAAGTGGTTATTTTTTTTATCTTGTAATGCGATTCAAAGTTTCAAATATTACCACTTATTAATTAATTTATTTACTTTTTGAATTTAATAACTATCAATTAAAGACTCAATAACTAACTAACTAATTAACAATCAAAGAGTATCAATAATGATATAATGCAAATAAGATAAAGACAATAGATATATTCTTAAATATGTGTGATTTAGAAGAATTCTAAAGAATTACTTTTTATTCGCAAGATATTTGCTATAACGAACGATAACTTAATTATTGTAATACGGGTGGGGATACTGAATTATTACTTTTTTCCCTTTTTTAATTTTACTTTTCTTAATTTGTTTTTGTTTTTTTTTTCAAAATTAAATTATTATTATAGATCGCTCTTTTGCATTTTCATCCTTAAAATCATCAAATCACAACGGTATTTATTTAATTTGTATGCACCAAGATATAGACACGAAATATGTTTGATTAAGAGAAGAAAAAAAACATTAAACTAAAACAAAACAAAATCAAATTAAAACTCAATATTTAATTAATTTTTTATTAATTAACTAGTTAGCAAACTTCTTTGTTACTTCATCTATTTATTTATTTAGTTTGGGGAGAAAAAAGTTAGAATTACCAAAGAAAAATTGAAATCAAAATAAAATAGCTCAAGATATATTTTTAGAGAAATGAGAGTATTTAACTTCTTAAATTCTATCTATTCAAAGCGAGTTATCCAATTATTTGAGGGAAGGTGGGGAGAGAAAAGTGTAATTAAAAATCTCTTCTGAAGGTAATTATCTCTTTCTTTCTGAATTTAAGCCTAAAAAAGGAAGTGAAGAGCCAAATAAGAAATTTACTTGGAGCATCTTTTGATAAAATCGCGCTCATCTCTCTGAATGAAAATCTAGTTTAATTGGTTGATATTCTTTTGAATTTCTATCACCTCCATTTACTCAAACTTATTATCAAGAAAAATAAAAAATTACTCTTTATTTTGCTTCTTCATTTTTCATTATAAAAATTCGGCCTGTTACTATTAGAGTTCGTGCTATATCTCTTTAGAACTAAACTGGCAGAATATTCCTTTGAGATATGTTTTCAAAATTTTTCATTTCTGCGTTACTTGAAAACACAAAAAACAATAAAAAATAATTTAAATGATCTTTTAAATTTTATCAGAACACTTGCATTTTCAAATACTCTGAGTGCTAATATTTTTTAAGAATAAAATTGGAGTAGACTAATAGTTTTTTATCAAAAAGTATTATGCAGCAGCTTATTCTATTCCAAAAGCAAGACTAAAATACATATATTCATATTTTATACTCTCACTCTTCGCATTTTAATTAATTTGTATGAGTTGAAAATACCCTTAGAAGTAAATAAATATTTTATAAGCTTAATGATACTAAAAAAGTAATTAGATGCAGTGCTAGCTTTTAGGGAGTTATTGATTGACTCCAATATCAAGCAAACAAACAAAACTGATAAAAAATTTTTAATTTCAAAAAAATAACTAAATAAAACATAATGAATGAGAACTAATGTTGAGTATTACTCAACTAAAGAATTTTATATCATTAATGTACTTATCAAGGTAATAAACTTATCTTGCAGAAATATTAACTAAACAAAGATTATATTCCCTACATGCACTCACTGTTAGGAGTAAAAATAAAAATCAATAAATATTTTCTGCTTCTTCTTTTATTTTGGTATTAGTCTTCCTTTATTTATATTTTCAGGTTATATTTGAATTTTAATATCAATACGCTAAAATAAAAAAACAAAGCAAATTTATTAATTGCACTCACTTCCACTAGCTAACAGGCTTCTAATTATATCTAAATATTCAAAAATAAATGCATAGCCTAATAAGGAATACATTAACAAACAATCAATGAAAAAAGTACAACTTTAAAACCTATAACTCCTTTGATAAACATAAATTTCAAAGAGAATTAAACATTATTTTACCTAAATTGTGTCCAAGGCAATCAAATTATAAACGAATAATGTTTATGATACGTAATTATATTTACACTTATGTTGATTAATCTTTAAGTATTTTTGAATTCCTATCTTCTATTATTACTTAATATACGATTTTAACAATAGTCAAATATACTATTTATAAATTTCCATACAACTTAAATATAAATTAAAATACAAAAATTCTATTTGTAAACTAAAAAGTTATTACAAAATTGTACATGCTATATATATATGTTATTTTTAAATCCATTCGATCTTTTTTTAAAAACCTTAAGATAATTTAATGGTAGTTCATTCAATTAAGGAATGATTGATATTAATGATTTAATATATTTGAATGCAATGTAGGCAGACAATCAATCAATCAACTCAGCATCACAAGCAATTATTATGATTATAACTTTTCATGCATTCGATTTAAATAATAAAGTAATTAGAGCAGCCAAGCTTAACTTTTCGCTAAAACTGCATCATCATATCATTATATTTAATAATATAATGATTCGTTATTATTTCTTCATTAATTTTACAAATAAAGGCATCAAAAAAAAAGGGGGGACTTTACCGTATCGCTTTCACTAAACAAAGCAATTGCATAATTATAAGAATTTTTCTCTTTTCCTGACTATCAATCAGCCAAATCTTTTTTAATTATCTTATTTAAAGCCCTAAATTCACTATGGCACATTCAAATTCCAAAAAACTTTCTTACTCATTCGTATTTTTACTCAAACATTTTCATACAGATTTATTTTTAGGTTTTTACCTATTTTTAGTTATTTTATAAGCATAAACTCATACTAATTGATTAAAAATATCATCAGAATTCTTAATTGCTGATTCACCATGATCTTTTTTAAACACTTCCTATCACTTTCTAGCTCTAGCATCTTTTTTTGACTATATAAATCAATTTCTTCTATTTGCAGAAATTATTTCTTTTCACATATATGAATAAATCTACAAAATCACCTTCAACTTTTAAATATAAACTTAAACACAGAAAAAAAATAAAATCATATTCAAAAATAATCTTTTAATTCTCATCTTTTAAATTTCAAAATGGATTATTGTTTTTTTTAAGGAAGTTGAGATATTTTTTAATCTGTTTTTGCTTTATACATACGTTTAATGATTTTTAAGTAAGTTATATCAGTTAATTATTGAATTTTTTTGAATTAAGTATTTTATAAATAGAAAATTACAATCAAAAAGAAGAATATATAAATCCTACATTATTTTTAAATCAGTTTGTTTAATTAGTTATTATTATATTGTTAAAAAAACACTAAAATAGCATGGCATAATTAATTTAATATATTATTTGGCATTGATTTTAGTTTTTAAATTTTTAAGAGGAATTAAATGATAAAAGCAAATAATTATTAATATTTCATTTTTTTTTGTACTAGATTGAATTTTAAAATAGAAGTTATTATTTAAAAACAATTTATATTTGTTAATCATAGAAAATAATTTAAAGAAACTAGTTATTATTTATAAAATTAAAAGATTTTCTACTAAGAAATAAATCAATTGCATCAATATAATCCAAAACTAAATAAAAAGCATTTAAATTAAATTTAAAATAAAAATTAAGAAAGTCGAAAAAAGTAATTAATTATCCAAACAGAATTTAATTTATAGATTTAAACATTAATCTATTTTTATATGATTTCATAAAAACTGAAAGAAGTTGTATTAATTTCCTACTTGATTAAACGATTAATACTTTTAATAAAATTTATTTTAAAACTTTTATTAATATTTTATTTTTAAAAATACAATTTAAGTGTTTTAAACACTTAAAAAATAAAAACTTAAATCTTTTATATTTGATTTTATAGATAAAAATGCAAACTGAATTATACTAAGGAAGTTTAGAATTATATGAAAGCAAAATTAAATTCCAATTGGATACATTTATTAAAAACGAACTAATTTTAACAAGTAATTTGTATATTTTAGACTTTTTTATCCCTAATTTTAATTGAATTTAAAAATACTAGTAAAATATATAGATATATTTTTAAGTATAATGATAAATAAAAATTAGATTTATATATAATTGATCAGCATAAAAGTAAATAAAGCACATCAAGCAAAACATTTCAGTGTTATGAAAATAAATCCCAATTTGAAATGGTTAAAGTTAAATAATTTATCTAAATTTAAAATTTGAAAAGTATTTAAATTTTTGAAAAAGATAAAAATATAATTACCAGTAAGTAGCCAAATATAATTTAGCTCTAAATTTAATAATTTGATATTAATTTACAAAAAAAATCAACTTAATTCTACTTAAAAATATATTCAGATCAAATTGATTGCTTGGGTGAATGAAATATATTTTATTTTTTTGCAAATAAATTTATTTTCTAATTAAAAAATTTCAAAATATATTGTATAAGAAATTTGCTTCGATTGATTACTTTTATCAGAGACAAATTATCATTATTATTAGCTTTAAATTTGCTCAAAATGTTGTAAAAAATAATAAATAATAAAAACAATTAATATTTTTTTTAAGGAAGAAAAATTAAAATTAAAAAGTGATCTGTCTACTCACCTCTGAGTAGATTTCAGCTTGATTTTAAGCTTTTCTTCCTTCAAAAGCATATACACATTAAAGGAGAAGTCTAACTCTTCTCTTGAATAGGAAAAATACAATAAAAAAAAAAGAATAATTAAAATAAATGATCGTTGATGAGCATTTGTGTCCGTGTTTATGAAAACGTGATTAATACACATTTCTGAAATCATTTATTATACAAAAAAATCCTATAAAAAAAATATATTCATGTTAAAATCAGTAGGAAAGGTGAGTCTTCAGCTAGCCTACCTACTAACTACTATTTGTGTATACTCCAATCTAGTTTATCTCTTTATAGATATTACTAGCTTGGCAGCAAACAAATATATTACTTCATTCATAAAATAATTTGAAGAATGAAGCTATAAAATTCGAAGAAAATATCTTTTAAGTTTAGGATGACAAATTTCCCGTGTTTCTGAAACACATTATTTAAATTCATGATTAAAACCTTTGTTGAGTTTTCGCTGACTCTTAAAAAATATTTTTCTTCGAATTATTTTTCATAATAAATACATGTTTAGTTCCATATTTATGCAATTAGAACAAAATCTTTTGCATTATAAACAAAATTTTAATTTACTATTTTTCCATTTGGATTTCAGAAAAAAATAAGATTAAAAATTGTTTTTAACATCTTATTGGTTTTATTTGAAAAGTATTAAAAGCCATTTCTTGTTTTACTTATTTTAAATTCTATAAAAATGTCTGCTAAAAAATAATCAAATAAAAACAAAATATTATTTTGAAAAGAAAATTGAGAGTGTGATAATTTAATTATTAATGCAAATATTGCTTCAGAAAATAATAATAACTAGAAGTAATAAGTGTATGTCTTATATAATTTTTGATTTATTAATTCTATCTAAATTTCTTAATTTTTAAACATGCTAGCTTGCTTGCGTGAATGAATCAATAAATAAATATCTTTCTATAAAAATTCATATAAAATAATAATAAAAACATGAAAGTCACTTTTTTAAATTCATATTACATAAATAGTTTGTATGAGTAGCTTTTAGTATCTTATTTAGTATTTTTTGACTCAAAAATTTAGTTATAGTAGCCTAATAGATAGTTATCCATCATTTTTGGAATAAAATAATTTAGGAGAACAAAGAACAATTTGTGTTAATTTAAAATTTTCAAAACTTAATATATATATAGTAAGTATATGAATTATAATTTTTTTGAAAATAAATATTATTCTTAAAATAAGATTGATAAAATGCATTGAATTCGAGAAATCTTCTTTGAAAACAATAAATTTAATTAACTCAAAATATTAATAATAAATTTGAAATTATTCAATCAATAATAATAAATAATTATTCTACTAGTTTTATTTTTAAATATTTAAATAATATTTGCAGGTATTAAGAGCTTTTTATGCTACTACTTCTTAATTGCAGTATTAATAATAATAAACTTATTTTTAACATATTGTTATTTTTAAATTTTTATTAATCTTTATTTGGCTAATAAAAAAAATAACAAAAAGGAAGCATTTATTATAGGGTTAAACACCTAAATACAAAGTCAAACTAAAATAAATATCAAGAATGTTAATTATAAAATTAGATTACTGATTATTAGAATTTAGATTTCAATGCTTAAATTTATTTTTTTATAATAAATTTGCAATTTAGTGAAAAACCTAAACAACTTTTTTAAGATAAATAAATGTATCATAATTAATTTAATAAAAGATTAAGTCATTTTAAGCTAAATAAACATTAATTAATTATCTGATTGAAATATGTAATAATAGTCTTTAACCAATTTTACTTGTTTCTACAAAGAATGAATTGTAATATTGAACAATTTATTAAATTACAATTATTATTTTCACTTACACTATTAAAATAATAGTATCAAATTCCTAGAAAAATAAATAAAGTATTTTGAGAAAAAAGATAAAGACAAGTTTTTTTCAAATTTTTAATAAATTAGGAATGGCTGTTATGCTGAAGATATATTAAAAGAGAAATGTATTTGAACTATCAAGTAATATATTGATTTGTTGGTTGATATTTCTATCTATTTATTTATATGTGAGTAGTTAGTATTGTAATATAAAATCATCTATAATATTCACTTTTAATCAATTGAGATGCAGTAATTAAAGTTAGAAACTTGCTTGATTACTGATTTATTAGTGAATATAAATTAATTTGAGAAATATAAATTAAGTAATAAAGAAAGATGAGAGCAGCGCTTTCAATTTGCTGCAAAAATCAAAATAAATAACATCATCAAATCCTATTTTTTCATCATCTTGAAATGGTAAATAAAAAGTAAAACTGAAAAAAGCTAGCAAGAATTCCAGATATAATTTAATTTTTATACAATTATTTAGAGTTGTTTATATTTTAGTATATCAGTTACTTGAATAAAGGAATACTGATAGAATCAGATACTATATATTTAATGTAGAATATCAGCCAATCAATAAAAGAAAGTCCACAAATCTGAAAGTAATCAAAAATTTGATTAAAATGTAAATCTGAAAAAGGTAATAATTTTCTGATCAATTTATACTTTTAATTAATAAAGATTATTTATTTATCAAAGAATTCAATGTAAATCCCTTTTTTATTCTGAGTACTTAAGTATAATTGCTATCTAATTAAAGTCGGATCAATTTTTCACATTATTAGTATTATCAACTTGATATGTTCTATTCTTCTTTCTTTTAGAATCTTAATCGACCTCATCACATACATATAAATAAGTACTCTTTCTTTTAATTTGCTTATAAAAATTTTTTAAAAATATCTTGTTTATCTATAAGTAGTCCAAGAAAAAAAGCAAATTTCAAACTAAAACTTTGGGCTTTTCTCATAAATTTATAATGGCCAAACAATATATTTTAGCTACTCTACTCTTCACTGTAGCAGTTCTTACTTTGGGAACCTATTATGTATTCACACACAATCAGGCTCCTTCTATACCTTTAGATGAAAATGGATAAAAAATTAAACTTGGTGGAATTCCTTGGCCTTTTTCAAACTGTGGTTCTGAGTTCGATCCTTTACAAGTAACATCAGTCGTATTTGCAGGTTAACCAGAACGTGGTGCTCCTCCTAATGATGCTGTTATTGTAAATATTTTAAATTATGCATAATTTATTTACTTGTTTACCATAAGTCGTTATCTTAAAAAAATTTTTAACTAACAGAGTGGATCAATGATGTAGCACGAAGAATACTCTACCGTAAATGTTATTGTTAAGCTGAATAACGTTCAAGTCTTTAACAATAATCTTCCATGCACTGGCACATATGATCCTGGTGATATGTTTATTTTTAAGTATGCCTTTTAAGTTCCCGGTATAGCTCCAGGCGTAATTAATACTTTTAATTAAGAAAAACATAAAACAATATTTTAATTTTAAAAATAGGGTCCATACTCAGTATACTTCAGATTCATGAATAAATAAAATTAATCCACCTCTTGTACTCAAGTTGATATGGATCTTTGAAAAAAAGTTGAAAGACTTTACTTAATGTCAGAGAATATTTGTTTACCAAAAATGGAATAATTGAATAAATTATAATTAATTTATTTATATTTCCTATTATAATAAAATAAAAAGTTATGAGCGATTGATAAATTTCCAAAACAAAACAAATTAATAAATTAAAAAATTTTACTACTTTAATTAAAATATACCTTTCTTATATACATGTAATAACTTTTGCACAAAATACTAACCATAAAATCAATGCTTTTTAGAGTATATTTTTTTCAAATAAATTGCAATTAAATTTAAATAATATAAATAAACAAATATTTCATCGTGTTTATTAATAAAATTTTAATTTAGAACAAAATTATATTAAGAGAGTATTTTCTGAAGTTATCAACTGCATATTTTAATAGAATTAACTCAATTATTTTTTAATACATTCTCAAAAATACTATTAAATTGAAATTCATCATTTGGTTATGTGTATTATAATAAAATTCATCCATTCTGATAGATATTTATTAATATTTACTTTAATTGAAATCAAAACTGTTACAAATTCCTTTTATTAAAAAAATAATTGTATGAGCATCTTTTCAAATAAAAGAATTGCTTAATAATGAGTTAATTATTTTCATTTTGTAAATTAGTTTTTCATAAATTAAAAATAAATACAAAAATCATTCTCTCAAGGCTATTTATTCATATAAGCCAACAAACTTCAAAACCAATAAAAATGATAAAAATATTTACATTGAATAAAATTAAAGAATAATTTTCTTTTGTAATTAAATATTAAATGTAAAAATTTTAAGTATAAAATAATACTAAAATTAATAGTTAGTAAATAAATTTTTATAAAGTCTTCTCAGATTATATACTATTCAAAATAAAAATGAAAGAGTATTCAAAATATTCCAAGACATTCTAAAATTTTTATGTAAAATAGTAATATTATGTCTGTCATTCATCACTTACCTAAATTATATTTATTTAAATATAAAGATTAAAAGCAAAATATTAAAATTTAGATTAATATAAATGTCTAATTAATTAGCTAATTATTAGTTTTCTATATTAATTTTTATTATAAATGTCTTTAAATATCTATTAAATATAAATAAATTAATAAAAAATATAAATTAATATTATGTAAAAATAATTAATTTCTAAGATTTTTATTTCTAATAAATAAATAAATTGCAAAAAAAATATCTAATATGATTTTTTTCAAAATTTATTTTAATTTCTTTATTAAAGATTAAAAAAAATTAAAAAGCACAATTAATTAATTAATTAATTCCAAAATTAAAAAAGTTTTTTATATTTGTCAAAATATTTTTAATTATATTAAAAATAAATGTAATACAAAGTATAAAAAAATAAAATATCTACAAAATATTTAGATTTATTGCAAGTTATAATAAATTTATTAAGTTATTTATCATTTAAATCTAATTAAATATTTAATTTTAGCTTATTCTACTTTATAAATAATAAATTCATTGTGAGTCATATAATTCTTGGTTTTTTTTAAAAAATAAACATTTTAAAAGGTTTTAAGATATTTATAATTAATTTTACCTTAGATTAGGTCGTAACGGGCTTTCCATGAGGGACTTTAACACCGTTATGAGTGATAAATTATTCAGGACCAAATGTTCCCCAGCCCCAACAGGAATTAGTTCCTTAAGGTAAATTACTAGCATTGTAATCTGTTCTTTCTATTCTGTTCGGGTTACCTAAAGCAGCCTAAATAAGCATAATGTAATTTACACCTTGACTGTTTCCTTAGCAATATGATCTTGATTTATCAAACATATCTGCTAAATAAATACCCTTACCATAGTTATATCCTTTTATTTGTTTATTTATCAATATAAATATAATTTTAAAATAAACTTATTCTTACCTGAAACTGGAGCTTCTGGAGGTGCTATACGAAGTCCCTAAGAAAGAATACCGACAAAGTTAGAAATTCTAGACCCATGCCAAAGAAGTGTATCGTTTCCTATATCTTTTGTATATCTTTCATCTTCTCCTTCTCTATTTACTTCGTATATTTCTAACACTTAAGGTTAGCGATAAGTTGAACCCTCATTAATATAATTGATTATCATGTTTCTAGTATCTTGCTAATTAAATCAAAAAATTAAAATGATACATAAAGTTTATTTAATTAAGTTTACATCTTTAACAACTTCAATATTAGACTTTAGTTTTTTATAATTTTCATCTATAATAGCTTCCTCAGTATCTGTAAGTTTTAACAAGTTAGTAGCAATTTTAAGATCTTCTAAGTTCTAAAGCATTTCCAACTTCTACTTAACTTATTCCTCAGATCTTAAAATAAAATGGCTCATTTTTTAAAAGCCAAAATCATGAGGAATATATGAGTAGAATGAGCTCGAAAGTCTTTCAAACTAACTAGTTTCATTATTTTTGATGGCTTCCATAAGCTTTTTAAATGAAAAAATAAATGAAAAAGTAATATCTTTAAGCTTTTTATACTTCGTTCAAAACAAGATAGGCTTATTTTATTGTTTACTCTGCTAATTTACCTAAAGGCATCTTTTTTTAATCAAAACCAATATCTTTAATACTATTTTAAATCATTTTAGAATCAAAAATTTCATTGATCATAATTTAAACAGCCTCAGAGAGTTTACTTTATTTTCTTTCCTTATCCTCAAGTTCTATTTAGTAAAGAAATAAGTAAGTAAATAATGAATTAGTAAGATGGAATTAATGCTAAATGTTAATAGCTTGTATTTGTTGTGTGTCAAAAACAATCACAAAAAGTTATAAATATTTACTCTATTGTTGCTTTTATTCTTCTTCTTCATCATTTTTATCATCATCACCATATTTTATAAAGATTTCAGTATATCCACCTTTTATTTTATCATTTTTCTTCTTTTAATAATCTTAAATAGCCTTTTCTAAAGAATTTTATGGTATATTAGAGTTTTAGCCAGGAGTTCCTACTCTACCCCATTTATAGAATGTCCTAAATTTTTCTTTAAATATTTTTAGCTATAAATCATACATTTATTTAATAATTTACAATCAGTAGGATTATAGAGTATCTATCCAAGATAAAATTTGTTATTATTAGCCCCACAGTTAGTTTAATTTAGTGTAAAACTGTAAACAGTGTCACCAATTTACAATACTTAGTATGATGATGCACCCGGAACTTACATGTCAACAGGACATTTACCTAAAAAAATAAAATATGTTTTGCTAATTCCTACATCAATTTTAATAACGATTACTTTTAACAATAACTGGAGCTTATAAATCTTAAACTTCATCTTTAACTTTTTTCACAGGGTCTTATTTTGCATCGGAAGCAGTTTAAGGAGATAAAGAACGATCTTTACCGCTTCTCTTATTTTAATTTTTTTTAGGTGGCATTTTTTCTGTTATTGGTTGAATGTAATTTTTGATTATTTTAATTTTTTTTAATATCAATCAGATATCTACTTACCTACCTATTTAATATACAAAAAATCTAATATCTTTTCATTTCTAATTAAATAACTAATGAGATTGTATAAAATCTAATTAATTTTTGATAAATTCTAACTAGCATATTGATATAATCTTAGATAAACTAAGCGCTAAAATAGCTCTGATTAATTTTAAGAGGATAATAAAAGTGTTTCTCTTATCCCATCTCTTGATAAAATAGATAAATGCATTTAATTCCTAATATCAATAATCATTATTTATTTTTACAAAAAAACTAGGAATCTTATAAATTATTAATGGTTTCAATTTACTTTTTTATAAGCATAAAAACTAATAATGACTGAATTAAATTTCAAATAATTTTTTTTTTTAATAAATATAACTTTAATAGCAGTATGTATAAATAAACTATTGAGCAAAGAAGTAAATAAATTTTTAGAGTATTGTAATTTTTTGACTTTCATATTTTTTCAATTTTTTCATGAAATTAAAAACTCTTTATCAAAAAAAAATTATTAATTAGTTTATAAAGAATATCAATTTTTTAAAAACACAATTTATTAATGACAAAATCGCTTTTATATAAAATTCCTTGAAAAAATACATATAATTATTTATAATGCCAATTTTTATTTTTAACTTTGTTTTATTTTCATAATAATTAAGAATGACTAACTAAAATGATATCAAATAGTTAGCATATCTTATAACCATAAATATACCTTTCATAACATATAATAAATATAAATTAATTATTGATAAAAGAAGAAAATTGAATAGATTCTTGTAATAAAATCACTTTCTTAGTTTTTTTTTTTAATTTTTCATAAAATTAAAAATTCTTTATCAAAAAAAGCAAATTAATTAATTTGTAAAAAATCAAAAATAAGAAGACATTTTATTAATTACAAAATCACATTTAAAAAAAATTAGTTTTCAAAAAATTTTACATATTGTGTGAGTTTTTGTTAATAATTATGTTTAAGAGCAAAGCTAATAAGAAGAAAACCTAATTAATTTATAGTTGATATTTCTTATCATAAAATTTAATTGAATTGTATCAAATAAATCTAATCAAATATTTATTTAAAATTTAATTTTTATTTAATTGTTTTATTTAAAATTTTATGAATTTGCTAAACTTAAAAAATCATGTTTTAAATTTAACTTTCTTCAACATCATGAAAATACTTTTTAAATAAGCCTATAAAATTTATTAATTAAAAAATTAAAAGAATCTTAAAAAAATTATTCAATAATAACAACAAAAATTAATTAATGGTTTTTAATTGTTTTTTAAATTAAAATATTTTCAAATATTTATTTTTTAATAAAATGTGTTTGTTGATTTAATTAAATCAAAATTTTATTTATCTCAAATAAATCGTTTTGTTAAATTAACTTATAATCTTATACTCTATGATATTTTATTTGATTAATCCTTTACGAAATAAACCCTTCAAAAAATTATGATTGCTTAAATGTTTATTATTTAATATTTTATTCTAAGTTTTAAAATAAATTTAAATCTTCTTCAAGAATTCTAATAACTAATTTTTATTTATTTATTTAATTATCTATTATTAATTTTATTTCATAAGAACCTATTTTTAAAGTATTCACTAAAGTATAAACAAAAATAGAAAAACGATATAAGATATGCAATAAGCTTCGTAAATCATAGTAATTTTAATTCTCAATGTATGTTAGTGAAGTGGTAAGGAAGATCCTTGTGATCAAAGAATTCACGAGTAACATTATCCTTAGTGATATTTACAAGTCTAATAATACCACCTGAAGAACCATCTCTACTCATAGCATGAGCAAGGGCAGTTTTTACAAGTTTTTTAGCTGATTCAAGATCCATATTTGGTCTAAAGTTAGCATCAACATAACTGAAAATAAAACCACTACCACTACCACCGATAGCTACTTATTACTTAATGCAACTGCCACTGGGTTAACAAGCATAGATAGAAGGACCTTCATTATCATCAATACCAGCAACTATAACTGCAGCACTTAAATTATCTTAATATTAATAAATCAAGTTTGAGAAGAGCTTGGCAGCAGTCTTAACAGTGGGTCTTCTTTGCAATTCCATTGAGTGAACATCTAAATAATAACGAACATATGAGCAAAGAGTTTGGGTATCAGCTGCGCTACCACTTCTTAAACAGTAAATACGTTCATGTAAATAATCAACTTTATCTTAAGCTCTATCGGCAATGTAAGATCCTGAAGTGGTACGTGAGTCAGCGCCGACTAAAACACCACCATCATAAACTAAAGCCATAATAGAAGTTCCTGTTGATTCTGCATGCTTGTAATCAAAAGGATCGGGGAGCATTTAAATATCTGATTGGACTGTTTTGAACATTTCTTTCTTAAAAATATCTATAAATAAATAAATAATTAATTAATTAATGATTTTGAGTAATGAATATTTTCTTTTCTTGCTAAATATTTGCTGTTTTTATGTAATAAATATGGTAATCTATATTTTTATTTATTGAATTTAGTGTAGATTATCTTAAGAATAATTTTTATTTCTTGAATTAGTCTTACTTGACTTTTTTTTGAATCTACTTAACTGAGTTCTTTATATGTATGTATGTTTGCTTGATTGCTTTCTTCACCTACTTATTTATTTATTGGTGTGATTGCTTTGACTATTAATTTTTTGATATTTTTTAATAATTAATTAAGAGATTTGCATGTATGTTATTAATATAATCAATCATGTGTTTGTTTTATTTCACATTCCAATAAGAATAGTTTGTTTTATTTATCAATTTAAAAACAAGGGCAGATAGATACCTTCTTTTCTTCTTATTTTATTTGATTGATTCTTTTATTTTTAAATTTCGGATATCTTTTCAAAATATAAATACATATTTACATACATATCTCAGTTCATTTATTACATTTTTTCATTATTTTTTTGCATACTATTTGTTAAGAATGTATGCATAATATCTTAAGATCAGATAATATTTTGTTTTTTTCATCTTCGTTTTCTTAATATCTTCTTCAATCTCAATTATTTACTATCTTTATTTATATTAAATAAACTTGTATTCATTATTTATATGCATTTTAAATTATTTTAGCTGTTTAACAATGCTCTAAACGATCTATCTATACTTCAAAAATTTTAATTCTAAATTTAATTAATATTAATTAAATGATTTTTTAAGCATTTAGATGAAATTCTATTATTTTATTTATTAAAATTATTTTTTTTAATCTATCAATTAAAATTAACTCCTTCTCACTTGTTTAATTATTTATTTATTTATCAAGCTATTTAAATAAATAATAAAACTTTTTTCAAAATATTTAGTTTTTAATTTTTAATTGCATAACAAATTAATCATAAAAATTCAATTTTTAATAAAATTTATCATAATAATTATTTTTTCTTATTTTTATAAAACAGTTTAAACAAAATACACAATTAAATTAATTAATTTAATTAATTCTTTAAATTATATAAAAATAAACTTGCTTATTTAAATATTTTTATTTTAATTATTCTTTAAGCTATTTTAGTTTTGCAAGTGATCAATTTACAAAATCAATATATTTAATAATCCATAGTTTTGCATAAGCTATCACATTATTGGCACATTTGCACATTTAATTGCTATCAAGATAAAATTTGTTATTAAGTAAATCTAATATTTAAAATGTTTTAATGAGCTATTAATAAAAATTTTAACAAAAAGAAATTTCGAAAAAATATAATTTTAGTTATATTTAGAATTTAATAATAAATGCTTTATATGTCTGATAACATAAAAAAAAAATTATGATAGGCATATTGTTTGTTTTTTTGTTTGATAAATTTTGTAAATATTATTAAAAATTTAATTTATTATTTTTGAGGTCATTAATTTTTGATAATACATAATTTTAATCTGCAATATTCTTAATAATAAATACATACATAGATAGATAGATATTTGGAAATGTAGGAAAATAGTGATAAGCAAAATATTTTAAAAATATAAGATGAATGGCAAAAGGGATTTTTTGACAAGCTCAAAGAATTAGGTGTAGATTAATTAAATAATTAAGATAATTTACTTGCTATCAATGGGGATCTTTCATAGTATATTTTTAAAGTAGAAGATATCAAAAAATTCAACTATTTATAATTAGACAGATTTTAAATAATAAAGAAGAGCCTATCCAAAACGAAGAAAATACTTTAAGAGGAACTGTTAATGATATATTGGTAATACATAATTCTTATCAGATAAATATTTTGTTCAAAATTGTTATTTAAATTTAGAAAAAAAAGAAAAAGCATAAAGAAAATAAAAATTAAACAATAAAGCTGTCAGAAGATTAGGATTCGCCTAAAAAATCAAAGCTTAATAGCAAATAGTGGAAATAAGACGAACTTAAAAAGTTTTATAAAGTAATTACTATTATATGAAAATTAAATATTGAATAAGAAATAATTAATAGGGCTTGAAGACTTATGGTTTAAATTTTTAATTGATAAGTGATTATATGAAAACTAAGACTATGAAATAAGTTAGAGTAATTAATTATTTTTAAGAAGTCATCCTTAAAAAAACAAAGAATAATTAAGTAAAAATATAATAGGGAGTGTAAGAAAAATAAAAAACTCATTGATGAAACACTTAAATACTATGATGAGACGGGATAAAAAAAGGCAAGAAAAATAATTAAAGCTAAGTTCAATTAACTCAAAAGGCTTAATAGTAATTTATAAAGCTAAAAAAGTTTAGAGTAGCTTTCACAAATACCATCAAACAGCTACTAGCTATCAAAATCTGAAAGTGTAAACTCAGCTTTTGATGTAAATTTAAAATATTAATTAGTTCTAATAATGTTATCAATTTAATAATATTTTTTAGTTTATGGACTAATAAATAGCTAATATTTGCAAGAAAAAAATGGAAGAAAAGGAAAATTAAAATAATTCTTAAGAAAACTCTAAAGAAACAAAGTGATATTTATTGACTGTAAATATGAAGAAAGCTAAAAGAATGAGATTATATTAAAAAAAAATTAATTAATTAAAACTAATATTATGTTTAAAAAATTCCAATTAACTAACTATACATTTATAAATTATAATCCTTCTATACAACTATTTTATGTATTACTTACTGTTTTAAAATATCAATTATCAAAAAATTATCTCTGATTTATTTTTATAAATAAAAGCTTTAAATTAGAATATCATTCAAAATTGAAAGTTTAATTTTTAATTTAAAATTAAAAAAATTCCAATCCATCATGATTAGCTAGCTGATTTATCCAACAATTTTTGAAATATCCACAAAATAATCCAAGGCAAAATTTTATATCAACTTAGTTCTCTACTATTTATAGAAAGCTTAGAAAATATTCAATTTAACTTTATAATTTGATTTATACTAAAAATCTTTTGAAATTTTAATTAAATGTTAATTTTAAATTCTCTTATTATTTTTAATTTTAATTTCAATAATTCTTATAAAAATATTTTTTATTAATTTATAATTTAATAACTAATTAATTTAGAATTTTAATAAAAAAATAAATAATTCAAAAAATTTATTTATTTTGGAAAAATTAAGACTTTAAGATCACATAAATAAGTTTAATAATTTTTTTATTAAGATTTCTTAATATGAAAGTTGTAAAATAATTGCTAACTCTAAATAATTATTATTCAGTAAATTTACATATAAACTTTATTTTATAATAGTTTTTAAAATTTATTAAATATATAATATTGTACAAAAGGTTTAATACATACTTCTAATTTTAGTCAATTAACTCACTTTTTATCTCAAGACTGTGCATTAAAAGCTTCTACATTATAATTAAGATCAGAGTTACCATAAATTTTATTTGTAATAGCTTAAAATGCAATATCAATTTCTTCTTTTTTGTTATTAGTTTTTATGAATATTCCGTTCTTTGTTTTTTCACAATATTATCTGAAAATCTTGGTCGCATATTTGTCTAAACCACAACCAATTATCATTATATTCACATCAGATTAACTCAGCATTTACATTAATTCTGGTTCTGAAATTTTAGAACAGCTATCACCACCATCCGTGAATATAACAATCCATTTTGAGTGGTCCTTAGGTACAGCTTTTTAGAACAGTTTTATTGCTGTGTAAATAGCTTATCTTACTGCAGACTCTCCTTCTGGACAAATTTTTAAAAAGCTTTTAATTGAATTTCTTAAGAAAATAGTGTTATTTTCTTTTTCATTTAACTCAAATATCACATCCACATTTTCATTAAACTTAATAAATGCTACTCTATCATCGTTTTACACATAGTTATCAAAAATTTGTAAAAATTTCTTGACAGCAATATATTTTTAAGACCTAGCTTAACGCTAATTTTTATTTGATCCAATTTTTTCCTTATTTTCTGTTTTGCCACTTTCATCTTCATCAGTGTCATCAGCATCCAATTCGTTTTCTTCACTACCTATTACTTTGTGTCTCATACTATAAGAAAAATCTGCGATAATTACAATATCTTTCCACTTTTTTTCAAAATTATTTTTAATTAGTTTTAACAATCCAGGAGCCTAATCTATTAAATTTTCTTATTCTAGTATCTCTTTGATATTTTTTAGACACTATTCTCTTACAGCTGGATCATAGGTTCTTCCAATTCTCAGGCATTCATTAAAAGATTCAAGGGATTTTTTATAGTAGAATATTTATTTGAAGAATAGCCCAGATTGCAGCTTTAAGTGTTACTCAACAATTTCTGGTGGAATATCATTCTTGAAATTTTCATTAAACAATTCATACTTTTATCTATAATTCGTAAGACTATTTTCAGCAAGGTATAGCTTCTTAAATGCTTCCTTAAGCATAATAAATTAATTGTTTTTGTCATTTTGCTAAAGGTAATAAATAGCTTTCTCAATATGCGCTTGAACGATTTTCAGAATATTAAATATATAACGACTTTTATCTTTGCCATCAAGTCTCTCGGTTAGTCTCAAACTATTTATTTTAAATAAAATTAATATAACGAAGTAAAATTTAGGAAAATTTACTAATCTATGCAGTTGCTAAGATACTCTTGTTTAGTTTATTAGTTTGTGCTGATGTAGTACCCTTGCAAATATGCACTAGCCAGCTAATAAGATCTATTTGCAATAACTTGTTCATATAAGTGTTTATTCGCAGTGCAAACAAGAATAGGATCCTTGCTTTCCTTACGACTCTTAAATTAATTATAAAAATGGTAGTTATAAGTATAGTCGTATGGTTTTAGAGATTCATAACCATTGAAGGGTCTAACCTTGTAGAATGAAAATATATTCTCTACTAATAATAATTCCATAAGATCTCTCTCTGCTAATTAAAATGCTTGCTTGTAAGAGCTGATAGCTTCTTCTATTCTACCTAGTTTCATATTGATATTACCCATATTATTAAGTACTATACCCATACCTTTTCTATTATCTAGCTTCTCAAACATAAGGAAAGCATTTGAATATTTAATTAGAGTTTCCGCAGTAAGTCCATCATAGTATTTATCATCGCCATATACAATTATTTAATTTAAAAAATCAAAGTTCTTGTATAGTTAATCTATTTCTTACCAGTGCTCTGTTTGTTTTAAACATTAAGATTCAAAAAAGAATTTAATAAAATTTCAATTTACTATCAGTATCGTTTCGGACGTTCACATACAACGAGCGATTAGCTATTTCCTTTACTTTATCTTTCAACAAATTAATAGGCTAAGTAACGTGATCAGAGTATTGATATATGTAATAAATTATAAAAACACAGAGAATTATTAACACAACTATTCCAATAATAAGCAACTAAGACATGCTTTATTTAATGTCTGTAATAGTAGATTAAAATATTGAAGAGCTTTGAGGAATTTTAGTTATTGCAGTAAATGCTATATTCCCTAAAATTAAAAATAAAATAATTAATATTAATCAAATCTAATAAATTTTTTTACTTCTTTAATTAATTAAACAAGTGTTTTAAAATAATAAAAAATGAATAAAACTATTTTTAAAACTTTTTTAATTAAATTTAAACAATTTAATTCTATTTTTCCTTTTATTTTTCTAAAAATCTTTAAGGAATCCTTAAAATTTGATGAATATTTTTGAAATTTAACTTTGCAATAGAATAAAATATTTTTTAACAATTTATTTTCATAAAAAAAAATATTTATTTACCTTGATTTGTTGAAATAGCTGAATTTAATTTTTGTTTAATTGAAAAAATAGATATTTAATATTAGTCATTCCCATTCTAGTAACTGCTTGTAGCTAAATAGTCGTTGGTATAATCTGAGTAAAACTTATTGAATTGATTATAGAAATTTTATGCATCTGCAGATTAGTCATACCAAGGAACATTAAATTCTGTTTTCCAAAAATTTTATTTCACTGACATAGTTTAAAAATCCAAATACACTAAAGGTTTGTAAAGCTCTGTAGGAGTATTTATTTAGCTAACTTATGTGACATATACATGATCTATTCCTTTTCCTTAAAGTGATTGTAAGAAACTTAATGTAAACTTTATGTAATTAGTACACACTGAACCACAAAAATCACTAGGATTATATTGAGAGCATCTAGGATCACTAGGATTAGTAATACAATATTCTTGATAGTTAATTTAAAGTTCTCCACATATCAGAGCAATACAGTCAGTTACGATAATAACTTCTTTGGTCAAAAATGTTTATACCTGATAAGTAAAAAAAAATCTAGATTAATTCAATTAATAGATTTATTTAGTAGCGCCATTAGCTAGAAGCGCATTTTGTGTTAATGGTGAACTTGGATTATCAGCTTATGCAGGAAATGAAAATAATAATTAGTTTGGACCCTCAAAAAGAACTATGTTAATATTATATAAGTCAACATCAGTTTTTACAGCTCTTAACATACCAAACAGTCCCAATGTAATTTAATAAATATAAGAGTCAAACCCTGGCAAGATTGTGGTTAAAGTAGGTTAATAGGGATAAATCCATATTATCTATCCTAAATCGTATTTTAATAGGCTACTATATACGTTTGACTATGGATCTTTCATTGCTGAAGGATTAAATAATGCTAGATGGACAGCAATCTTTGTAAAGTCTGCATTTGGGTTCGTATTTTTTTAGTTAAAAATACTTAAAAGCTGCTTATATACTTTTTGACTTTTATCAGTTTCTTATTATATGAGATTAATATATGCATTACCATAATGTAAGCCCATAGCTCTAGTAAAATCAATCTGCACCTTACCAATTTCTTCTGTAGTTGTTTCGCTTATGTGATCAGAAAGTAAAATAGCTAAAAAATAATTCATAACACCTGTGAAAACAATACCAGAAAGAAGAAAGAAAAGAATAATGCAAACTATTTTCAGTTTAAGCCTATCCCAGCTTTTTTTTCCAGGCTAATTAATTTAGCTGTCATTGCTATTTGAGGACATTTTTTTTTTCGAATCAATATTTTTTTGTGTTTATAGCATAGTATTCTGTTAATTATCAGAGTCTAGTTGGTTCAAGCCATTTTTAGAACTATCTAATGAAAATTCAATTTGTTTTTGCTTTTTTTACAATTTTTCTATATCTATTACTACATTATCTTGTTTTTATTTTTTTACATATAAACTAGATTACTTCTAATCTTCTAATTCTATTAACTGCTACTTCATTTATAATTAATGTTTTGTTATCTTTTATTTATAATCAAATTAGAAATTTGATTCTTTTATTTGTCTTAATTTTGATATACTTGATTGGTGGCAATACAATACAAAAAGTAAAAAGGGCTTTAAAAAAAATAAATAAAAATCCAACCAAATACGAAGTATTTAATGATAATTATGAGTACAAATACATATATATTTATAATCAATTTTTCTGAAATATTATTAAATTCATGATAAATACTTATTTATATCGTTTATAATTCTTAAATACTATTGATATTCACCACATTTTAAATGCCTAATCTTATAAAGGAATTACTTCTATTTCTTAAATCTTTCATTTCTATTTTAAGTTTATGGTAAAATAAGTTTCTATAAGAAATGCCCAACAATTTACTTAAAAATTGGTTTGACATATTTTTAATAATTTTTTAATCTTTAAAATACTTAAAAATAAATTTTTAAAAATAGCTGTTAAGTTTTATTTGAAATAATTTAAACCCTAACAAGCTATTTATCTGATTGAAAAACAACTTTAGAATATAAAGGAAACTATGAAATATTAAATATAAACAAATATTTTGCTCAAATTATCGCAAATATGAGAATAATATTATAAAAGTATTAATAATCTCGACATTCTACTTTCAAAAAGCTATTTTTGAAATTCAAAATACAATTTAAATAAATTAAAAGCTTATTGTAAATTCTCAAGCAATCGCATTAATTTTTTTAAAGAAGTTGATCGATCATTTAAAGAATCTAGACTTTATTATTGAAATTTTAATTGATTTTTTTAATTTTATTATTTTTTTCAATAGAAATCAATGACTATATCGCTGTAAGGCAAATTCTCTAAACCATTAACAAATATAGAGCTAACTACAGATCTATTTAATTCATTTATTTAAAAAACTCCTACAGTATCTGTATTTATACTTACAAAAGGTCTAAGTTTACATGAACCCTTTTAGTCTTTATAAATTAAAAATAATTTATCAACATCTCTTTATTTTACTACTAGCATATTTTATATTGAAACTATTGCATCCACAAAACCTTTCACTTCCCAAGTGCCAACATACTACATAACTGGCATCTTCCAAACTTTGATTCTTTTATCTTTTAAATTGTTAAATAATTTATTTATTGTTTGCTTTAAAAACTGATAAATTTTAATATTTTTTTTACCTGTTGATGCTGTTATAACATAATTTGAATCTTTTAGGACTTTTACATCAACAACTTTTTCTTCATGGGCTTTATCTATTGGAGGCATTTCTGTCTTAGTTTTTATTTCATTTGAGTATAGTTTTCCAGCTTTATCTCCATAAATAATATATTTGTAATTACCATCTCTATTATCAAAAATTAAATTAACTTTTTATTAACATTTACATCAAATAAATTTTTACGTCCAAATATCAAAAGAATAAACATAATATCCATTTGTATCTGTTGCATGAACTACTGATGAAGTAATTAAATCTATAATAAATACTTTGCTTCCTGATGCTACAGCAACTTAATTGTTGCAGCCTGGTACCTAAACTATAAGAGGACAACTAGAATATGAAGAAGGTATCTAAATTCTTTTTGTTACTTTCAGAGTTGCTATTTTTATATTAAAATTTTTATTATTTTCGAATAGCTTCATATAAAAATTTTGCTATTAAAATAATTAAAATTTACTTGGATTTATCAAATTCAAAGTATTATCGTTAGTTAGCCCAAGAAGGCAATTTAAACCTTATAAATATACTAAAGCTAACCATATTTTAGAATAAGAAGACTTAAGCACTTTCATACATGATAAATTTTAAGTGTTCCACATTTTTATATATCCATCATGCGAAGCTGTATATAAATAATTATGATTTATGAGCACCATGCTTGATATGATATGTATATGAGCTTATTGTATTTTCTTATGGTAGGTAGAAGGAGAGATATCTAAATTCTCTATTTTTTTTAAATCTTCTTATAACAAATAACTTTAATGCATTTAAACTTCCTTTAAGCTTTCAGAAATAGTTTATTCAATTGAGTCCAACCTATTTTCATATATATCTAATTCGCTTAATCCTTTTTAATAGTTGTTAATTTTAATTAGTTCATTATCATCGTATGTATAATTTATAAACTTAAAGGATATATCAATAAATTTTGTAAGAGTTTCACAAGAGAGAGCATCTTCATTATCTTGCATAGTAATAAAATCTTCTTGCTATTGCCTAAGAATTTCACTCATATTATAAATGTTATCTAAGTCTTTTTCATATTTTTGTTTTATTTAATGAGTTAAAATTTCTAAATTGGAAGCTAAATCTGTTATCTTGAGCTAGAGAGATTAATACCTTTTATTTAACTATTTTCTCAAACATTCTATATGGTGGGAATATTGATATTCTTATTGACGGAATTTCATGATTTCATTGATGTACTATTCTATCCCCATAAACTTATGATTACAGTGCAAATTCTACAAACAATAAATGCAAATTAATCCTTTATTTTCACAATCTTTGTCAAGACAGACTATGTTCTTTACTTGCTAATAATGTCCAGGAATCAAACACTTCAGTTCTTTTAAGTTTTTTATTTTTGATAATTGGCAATTCAACATCTCTTTTGCTAACTCTAACTAAGGTTAATAAATCTTGTATAAATTTTTGAATGCTTGTGCTATTTTTGATCTGTTTAATAAATCTACTTTTAAAACTAAAAAATTAATCGACTTTTTTGTTAAAATTTAATTTTTTAATAATTTTATTAAGATATTGAATCTTTATTGCTAGTTAAAATGATTAGAAATATCAAAAACTAATTAATACTATATTAAAGCACTATTTCTTATTAATTAATTTATTCTTCCAACAGAAAAATTTGTTAAAAAAATTATTGATGGTAGCTGACTATTTCCTTATTAATTAATTATTTTAGTGTTATCGAATTTCGTAAAACCTAAATTTCTCTTCTACATCAAAAAAGAATTTTTATTTTATTAAATTTTATTAATCCATAAAATTAGATTAATTCATTGTAATAAAAGAAAATAATTTGTATTATAACACTAAAAATATAAAACATAAAATATTTAATGTTAAGCTCAGCTAATAACATACAAATTTATTAGATTTTTTTAACAATGCTATATTTTTATATATTTATCTATTATATTTAGTTTTTTCTTTACTTTATTATTAACTTTAATTTCACTTATAAAGATGAAACATATTAAAATTAAGATAAAAAAAAATAATAAACATCAATAAGCATAAATTCTAGATTAAAAAAGAAAATATGTAGAATATTCTAAAAATTTTAACAGAATTTTATAAAATTAAATTAAACGAGTTAAATATAATGTCAAATTTATTTGTGAAAGACATTGAAAGATTTTATTTTAAACAAATTAGTTTTTCTTATTTAAATTGTGAGGTATCTATTATTGCCAATTAAGTAGGTCTATAATTTTTATTATAAAAGCTGATAAAATTTTCAATAAACATTTTTTTTAATAAAGGTTATTTTTGATATAAATAAATATTTAGTTTTAAAATTTTAGAAAAATACATAAAATATTAAATAATAAAAATAATTGATTTTAAGACATTATTTAGATTTGTTATTATTTGAAATAAAAATAATAAATAGGAATATATTAAAATTATTCTTACAATTTTTATTATTTAAATATCAAAATTAATATTTTGAGAAAAAATTTTTTTAAATGAAATAAAATCTTTTTATTTTTGAATGTTAAGAGCATTTTAAAGCATTATTATATACTTAAAAATTTTAATATTTTCTCTTAATACGATTCTATTATTTGCTTATTTTTATAAAATAGTGTAAAAATCATATTTAACAAGAAAATAAAACCCTTTAAACAATATTTTTTGTTAAAGACTAGATTTTAAAAAGTTAAAAATGCTTTTTTGGATTTTTATAATAAAAATTTACTGAAGATTATAGCTCCAATCACAATAAATTAATAAAATACTGGAAGAATAGTCCTACGTAATAGTTAAAAATTATTTGTTTTAAATTTTAATAAGGAAATAATGAAGTACTTAAATCTGATTTGCTTTAATATTTATTTTATTTTATAAATATTTGCTTTTAAGTAAAGTTTAAGTAAGTAATATTTACAGAGAATGTTTTAGTATTTGTAAAAAGTTTTTATCTTAACAGCAATATTTTTTATAATATCAATTTCCATTTAAAAAAAAATAAAGAAAATTAAATGCAAATTATAATAAATCTTTCTATCTATCTATCAATCAATCATTCAATATATCTATCAATCTGCTTTGATTATTTTCAAGAGCTTTTTTGAGGTAAAATTTAATGTATTTTTAAAAATTAGTTTTTACTTTAAGATCTTAAAATCTTATTATCCAGAATGAATATCAATCATAAATTTTAATTGAGTATTACAAAAATTTGTTAAATTTAATAAGCAAGCATCGATAATATTAAGTTTTCTTATAATTTATTTAGTTTTGCTTAATTAATTAACTAAAAAGTGGTCAGTTCATAAAAATATAAATTCTGTTCAGTTTGAAAAGAGATTATGTAATTAATAATAAAAACTGAAATCAAATAACAAAGGTAATAATAAATAACAAATAGAAGAACAAGAAGTAGGTAGAGGTATTGAATAATTAGAAGAAACTTCAAAGTTTAAAATTTCTTTATAAAGACAAAAAATTAATTATGGTAAATTAATTAAAATGTTTTTTTTATCTTTTAAAATTATTTACCTTCTAATTAAAATGAAGGAAGTGGCTTCAAGAGAAGAGTTCAATAATAGATTTTATGATTAGAGCTACATTCACGAAGATCAAAGTAAAATATATTTTTATAACAACAATATCAAAATGTCTTAAAAATATTTACTTTGTCAATTATTCCATATAGCTTTGAACAAATCGTTTGACAAAAATCAGAATAAAGTCATTTTTGTTAAGGTGAGTGTTTTTATTTTGATTTTTATAGCGAAATTCATTCAAATTACTATATTGAGTTTAATAATTACACAATATATTTATTCAAAAATTACTTTATCAAAAAAAGCACACAGATGAAAGAATCCAATCAAATAAGATATCTTCAAATGCTAAAGAACTAGACTCAATTTTAAATAAATATAAAGCTAGTCCTAAGCATGTTGACAGCTCATTCAGATCATTTTATGAAAAGGTAGAAATTGCTTTTTATATAATTTTATTTTCAATGAATTCTTCTACTTGTTTAAATTAACATAAAGCAAAAGAAGGATTTGAATGAATAGTAGCTATTATAGCTATTTATTGAATTTTTTTTGTTTAATTTCAGTGAATATCTTTATGGTAAAAAATATATTAAAAATGTGATACTTTAAATTTAATATAAATCCAAGTAGCATCAATAAATTCAACAAACACATATTTACAATTTTATAATAATTTATCCATTTTTTTAAAAAAAGAGTAATAGAAGCTCAGGGAGTTTGAATAGCAATAAATAAAATTCATAAAAGACTATTGATTCTAAAAGAGGCTATGCAAACTCAAAAAGCAACAATCATAGTAATAACCAATTAAATACTTCTAACCCTAACCTAAAACATCATACCAAATAATATTAAAATTATGTGAATGAAGCTAAAAACACTAAAATAAATTAAGAATCCAAATACGAATAGCATTAAAACCTCAACTAAAATAAAATATTTAAGTAACTTCAATATGCTGATTAAAAGAATGTTTTTCATAGGTAAATAAATCAATAATATATTTTTGCATAATATTCATAATTAAAATCATAAAATAGGTTATCTCGGTAGAGTCCTTTGAAATATGATAGTAATATTAAACCCACTTAATAAAATCAACTGAAAAAGTAAAATAGCTAAAATTCTAAAATTGGGAAAGAAGATTTAGATTATAAGCAGCAAGTTTTTAAAGAAAATTATACATAAAATATCAACAAACAATATATTTAAACATTTAATTCTCCCCCTAGAAACTGTAATTAATTTTAGAATCAAAAATAGTAAAGAGTATAATTGGAAAATTCTAAATCTCCTAAGTAGATTAATGACGTGAATAGTAAAAATTCAAATGATTCGTTCCTTCATATAAAATAGCTTCAATAGCATTTAAACTGTTATTTAGGAGATATTAGTAAATTTAAATAATCAGAAAAATAAAATGACAACTATTTTGCAATTCCAATGTAAAAAAGAAGTAACAGCATTTTATCTGTTTAAAAGGAAAGATCCTCGCATTCTCGTAGTAAGACTGAATAATAAACAAGATCAACTTCTCCATAAAAAAAGTAGAACTCTGAAGAAATATCTGAAATTTATGTTAAAATGGTAGAAATAGAATGTGAGCAAAAAGAATTAGAAATGAAATAAAATATATTAGAGCAATACAAAAAGCTGCTTAAGCATAAAATTGAAGCTAAAGATAAAAAACAAATAACAAAAATCAAAGCGCTATAGAAAGACTTGTAAATCAACTTAAATATTTTAGATGAAAATTTAAATGATATAAGCAATATTGAGGCATGCGATGCAAGTCAAAATAATTACAATACTCCTAAAGATATGGATGAAAATAAAAAACAAATCCGATTTTAATTAACTGAAGAAGATTAGATGTCTTAAACTGTAAAAAATCTAAAAAATTCATAATCAGCTAAATCCTTCAATAGCAATCCAACAAAAAGTAACATTAAAAATAAGCTAGTCCCTGAAAAAACCACAAAAAATTAAATGTAAAACTAAAAGCAAAAAGTGATATATTCTGATCTGGTGAAGAAGGCTAAAAATTAGGTTGATTTAAATGAAACTCAGCAATATAAACCTTGTCTTCCTAATATTCTAATGTAGAAAATTAAGGATCAAGGCAAGTAAACTGAGAAATAATTATAAACGAATGATAAAAAGCAATAAATATAAAAATAAAAATCTCAATCACCTTCATATTAAGATCAAAAAAAATAAAAATCAACTATCTAGCTTATGCAGGCAAGAGAGGATTTTCTAAAAAAATGCTCTCAATAGAAAAAAGACTAGTTGAATACGAGAAAACTGAATGTAAAATAGTAAGAAAATTAAAAAAATGACAATATTACTTACAGCAGATCAAATAGCAGTAAACTCATTAATAATAATTCCAGTAAATTTATTAACTACACCAGTAATAATATTTCAAATAATAATAGCAGTAATACTATTCATAATAATTCTAATAGACAAAAAATATAAGTTAATAATACTACCAATACAAATGATTATGAAAATTACCCTAATATATATAGCAATAACAATAATAAAAATTCTCCATCTTTTTCTAAGTAAAAATCCATCACTATTGAAGACACTAAATAATCATCAAATAGAGATATTTAAGAAAATGAAAATATAAATAGTAATAGCAAGTTGCAATAGTCTACTACTACAAATAGCACTTTCTAAAATCCATCTTTGAATTACAGAGAATAAGTATTTCCAATTAACCAACATGATATGAACTTAAAGATTAATGAACTTAGAACTTGTATGACAGTATCTAACCTTACAGCACAAGAAGAGGAAAATAAAAATTTATCTTAATTTAATTATATTGTAAGTGAAAACTAATGGAATTCACAAGTTGAAAGCAAGGGAAACATTTCTGCCAATCTGCAACAAGCTTAACCTAACTAATTCAATACTAGCTAATTTATTTAAAGTAATAAAAACATTTAGCCAATATAAAATAACTATAGTTCGTATACTATTTATGGCTGCCCTTCATAAAATGATAACAATAGATACGCAGAATATAATTTAAATCACGATACAAATTAAATTGAAATAAATTAGAGCATTTCTAATCTAAACAACTTAAACAACAATCAACATACATCTCTATTTGTTAATGACCCCAAAATATCTTTCACTAACTTGAATATTGAAAATGTGCAAAGCAGCCCAAAGTGGTAAGAAAATGAGAATAATTTTAATTGGAAAGGTGCAGCTGATGGGTAATTAGATAATGTTATGTAATGTTCTGCTTCTCATAGTTATATTAAATAAATGATTTAACAAACTAATTCAACTTAAACAAAAAACGCTTTTAATAATAACGAGTTAAAAACAAAAGAATTTGATGAGCCAGAAGATTTTATCAATAAAAATATTAATTGGTAATTTGAGAGATCGTCATAAAAAGATATTTAAGCTCTTTAATAAGAAGAACCATATGATTTAAGCCAAATAAATGCAAGTAGATCAATCAATATTTGTAGTAACGATTAATTTTAAGCAACAATTCCTCTTTATATCCAGCAAAGATCAGATTCACCATAAAACCAATAAAACTAAAAACCTCATACGAGTAATAGATTACATGCTAACTTATAGAAGTAGATAAATAAAATATTAGAGGGCAATCAACAGAATGCTTAATAGATTAATTAAGAAATAAAATATCCAACTACAGAGGAAGCATGCAATCAGCAATAAAAAATATCAAAACCTAAAGAAGCCTTAAGTTAATAGAACAAACAATTTCTTAAAATTTGTAATTAATAAGATTTGATAAGCAATCAAGTCTTTGATAATGAAGTATTTGATATTGAAAATTAAAAATACGATATTTTAGAAATTCAATCTCCTTAGTATAAATTAATAAGAGAAGCAAGCTTAAAAAGTGAGAAACTCTAGCTGCTATAATTTTAACTTCAAGAGCAATTACTAAAAAATTTAGAAGAGGAAGAAAAAAAAATAAGTTTTTTATCTGCCACCTAAAATGTAGTGGATGATATCTCTTCAAGAAATATGAAATGGCTGCAAAGTAGAGAAAAAAAATTAAACCAAAAGAAAGAATAAAAAAGTAAAAAGGAGCTAGATGGATGTACATTTAAGCCTAATCTGCTTAGTTAAAAGTATTCGAATGACAGTCACAGTCCTTCTAAATTTTCTTCAAATTCTCATCTTGACTAATAGCAGCTAACAATAAGTAATGACTCTAATTTTTCAAATAAAAGTAAAAGTCCAATAGCAAGATATGAAAACCCAAGCTCAAAAGATAAGCTATCAATATTTTCAAAGTCTTAATATGGAAGCTCTTAAGTGTTAAGCAAGCAGAATAGCAATTCTTCAAATTTTGTATAAAAAAACAAATAAATAAACCCAAAAGAAAATAAACAATAAAATATAAGTTACCAATAAATGAATTTCAAAAAAAGAGGATCTCTTCATAAAATAAATTGAAATAAGTGAATAAGTGTTAAATTCTTAAATATTTTATTGAATCAATAAAATATAAAATCTAATTGAATAAAAAACCTGATATCTAATATAAATCTTAACTCTAATAATCAAATTTTTTTAATTATATTATCTGTTAAATACAATTTATATTTTATTTTTCAAAAACATAATTTTTGTTTATTTTCAAATTTACAAGTTTCTTAATCTATAAATTTAAAAGAGTAAATTTATTTAACTAAGTTATTTCAAAACAAAAAAATTTTTAGCTTCAAATAGCTATCAATTAAATATTTTTAAAAATATTTTGTACTTTTATAAAAAAATAAATTAATTAAATCTTGATTTTAATTTTGTTTTATATAGATTAGGAAAAACAGTTTTTATGTGAAATAAAATTAAAAAAATAGCTATTAAAAAAAGATGAAAAAATAAATAAAATAAATTGCTAAGAAGATAAAATAAAATTAATTAGTTTTTAACTAAAAATAGATAGAAATCCAATAATTCATAAAATAAAAATAAAGAGAATCATTTAAAGAAACTAGTAAATACAATTTTAAATAAAATACATTTATTATTTTTGTTTTATTTGTAACAAATAAATTGAATTCTATTTGATATTTTTTATTTACATTTTAGTTTTTAAGTTTTATTGTTTAAATTTAATTATTTTTGTTTAACTAATTTTGATAAAACTACTTCATTTTATTTTCTATTCAGAAATAAATTGATATCTTGATTATTGTTTTAATTAAAAAATAATTTTTAATATTTAATTGATTTGATTCATTCATTTTAATCTTGATATCTTTATAAGAAAGCTACTAAGAATTTAGAGAATAATTTTCTTCTTAACTATTAAATGAAGTAGAGGTTAATTTATTTATCTAAGTTGTATAAGAATAAAACTATTATTAAGCTTCAACAAGCTATCAATTTAAATTATTATAAAAATTTTACATACTTCTTTTAACATAAATCAATAGTTTAAAAAAAATCCTTTTATTTTTGTTTTAAATTAATTAAATAACTTGAATTCTATTAGATATTTGATTTATAAATTTTAGTTTATTGGTTCTATTCCTAAAATTTAATTATTTTTAAATTTTGATAAAACTATTTTATTTTAAAATAAAATGATATCCTCACTATTCTTTAATTAATAGAATGATTTATAATATTTAATTATTTTTATTCTTTCATTTTAATCTTGAAATTTATTAAAATAATGAATGCATAACTTTATAATCAATTGAGGCAATCAATCGCTTTTAATTGATTATAAATTGTGTAATTTAAAAGAATGTGATTTTTGATTGAATTTAAAACTTAGAATTAATTAAACATATCTTATTTTGCTAACAGTAGTAATTGCAATTAACTAATTAACACAATTTATCTATCTATTTATCTAAAAAAACAATTTAAAGATTACTTAATAACTTAGTGAATATGAAAAAAAGTATTGTTGATCAGAGCAATACTGAGGAAGTTGTTGGTAGCAATACTAATAAGATGAGTAAGGATAGACTTGGAAAGCCAAAAGACTAGCAAGTTAATCATTCAAAAAGCAATTAAGACTCTTAATAATAAGGAAAACATAAGATAAAATATGAAACAGCTTAATAATAGAAAGAAATAATATAAAGAAATATGGAAAAATATAAATAGATATTTGACAGTAAGTTTTTGAATGAAGGAGATTAGTAGCAAAAATAAAATAGCTAATAAATAATTTATAGCGGAAGAAGTAACCCTGCAATATCTGAAAATCAACAACCAACGTTGAGTATGTAAAATGATACAAATAATACTGGAAAAAAATTATAGTTTAGATATAATTCTTAAGGAAACTTATCACCTACAAAGAGACATGAAATATCAATTATTTAACCTTCAAATGCTTAGAATTAACAAGCTTATGCTTAAATGACATCAAACAATGATTTATCAACTTCATTTATACCTAAAAATATATTCGAAGATATTTTAACTAATCCTATAAAAGACAATTCATAACAGGTTACTCTGAATGCTTTTAAGAGTGTGAAGGTTTCTTCTACTAGGCTAGAGCCAATAAGTGGTTTGTATTCTCAAGGAGAAAATAGGCTTGCTGATGAATAGCTTAGGTAGAAAGCTCAAAACGCTTAATAATTATTGTCACAATAAAAAAAATTACAGCTTAAAAGTATAAAATCTAATCATGATATCTCTTACTTCAAAGATCAAAAAGATTATAGGTACTCTGGCCACATAGATCCACAAACTGCAACAAATACTTACATCCTTAAAAATCCTGCTGTTCTCTTTCATGTAAATTTGAATACAAATGCTTTTTAAATACATATTAAATGATTATAATTTTAAAAAATATTAGTCAAGTTAAGAACAAAAGAAAGGAAATGTTTATATTCAAAGTAATCATAATTTGTATTTAATGGGTTAATGATTGATTAAATTACTATTAGAATTTAAAAATAGAAAATATGTTTTTTAAAGCTACTTTAAAGAATTCAAGTTATTCAATTAAAAAATCCAACAAATTTCATTGATTTTATCATAAATTTATTTTAATAATTTTTTATTTTACATAGTGTATGAGCACTCTCATAATAAAGAAAAATTTGATACTGATTTGATTTCTATTTAAAATAAAATTCTTATGGAAGAGCAAAGAAAATCAGTAAGTTAGTAAAATATTAAAAGTCATAATATTAGCAATATTTTAAGCCATACTGGTGCTAAAATTATGGATTCAAATAAGACTTCAATGCAAAATCTTACTCAAAATCAATTACCTTTTTCAGTCAATAATTTAGATTCTAAATAAATTCTGTAGAAAAGAATGTCGGCTGATTAAAACAATATTAATTAATAGTAATAATCCTAGAGTTAAAATAATTCAATAATATAAAGCGGATTTTCAGTCTCTGGAGGGTAAAAATTTAGATCTAATAAAGACATTCTTCTAACAAAGCCAACTAATAGAAGCGAAGTAACTAACTAACTAACTAATTATATATCTTAAAATGATTAGTTTAATATATCAAATATTTAATTTTAATATAAATTTATGAATTTAATTTAAAAATCTACAGGTTGTAGAATTAGAAAACTGGTTAACTGAAATGATTGATAAAGTACAGCTAAATGAGTACATGAATATTAAAGAAGTATTTGACTAAATTTAAATTATTTACGTTGCTTGCATGAAAGAATTGATTAGATAAATCACAATTCAGTGCAAAGATAGAGGTAGACTCCTTTAAAAGGTATGGGATTCTTATCTTGATATCCTATAGAGAGGTATTGACCAAACTTAGAACTCAAAAATAGGTGAAGAAAAAGAATATCTAGATGAAGTTACTAGAATTCATAAAATGTATGATCAAACAATTAAATTAATCGAAACTGAGCTAGAAAAAAAAAAGAAAGAAGTCAAAGATCAGTGTAACAAACAAAAATGTTAAATTTCTTCTAAAATATAAATTATTTTACTTAATAAGCAAAATAGTCAGAACAGTTAACAGATGCGATTCACTACTTTAGAAAAAAAGTTAAAATGTATGAAATAGAAATAAAAAAAGCTCAGTAAATGGAAGAAGAATTAAGATTTGAGCTCGAGGCTGCTTTAAGTGAAAATTTAAAGCTAAAGTTATTACAAGGAGATAATAAAGTGCATGACGATAATCACCAAAATTATCATCACAGCAATCATAATTAATCAAAAAATTCAAATCAAGTTAGCTTATCGAATACTGTAGGAGAAGAGTAATTTTAATAATAAAACTAAGACTTAGAAGGAATAAAAAGCATTTAATAAATAAATTTTGAGAATGCACTATCAAAAAAGAGCTCAGTTACTAATCTGAAAGTCGTTGAAAAGAAGAGCAAAGTATCTGTTGTTTCCCATTTAATTAATTTTAGTAAATATCATATTTATTTGATAAATTTAATAACTGAAATAAATTTTTTTTTAGATAAGAGGAATATGGTAGAAGATGAAGATGATGAGAAAAAAAAGAAAGACTACTTAAATTCTTTTAAATACTCAGCTTAAGAAAAAGATGCAATGAGTGATGATTCTGACATATTTGGAAAAAACGAGGAGAAAGAAAGCAGACAGAATGAATTAGAATTTTTTATGGAGGAAGAAAAAAAATTGGCAGATTTAAAGATACCAGAATTAGAACTATTTGACATCGTTGAAACAGGAGTGCAGACTGATGAAATTAAAATTTCAGAAAATGAACACATTAATTTTTTGATTAAAGAGCTCTCATAGAATAGCATTTTTGCTGATTCTTCTCCTGAACTAACCAAAATATATACAAATTCTTATCAAATAGTTAAACAGAGTGCATTAGATCTTAGTTAAAAAGAAACTATTTTAAATGCGTTAGATCATTGCAAGTTACAAGTTGTTACTTATGAAAAATTAGCTTATGTTAATGGACAGCTTGCCTCTAAAAACACTGAATTATAATAATAAACTCTCGATCTTGGTATTTAATTAAAAGAAGTTGAACAAAATTATTAAGACAAAAAGAGAAGATGGAAGAAGAGAGCCTTAACATATATTGAAAAAATTAAATCGGTAAGACTTAAAATTTTTTGGATTGAAAGAGAAATTTGGGAAAGTTTTTCTTTCCTATTTATTTGAAAAATGTTTCATTTGGATTTTATTTTACTTAAATTTCATTTGATCAAATGAGTAAACAAACATTTTTGATTAACAACTTTTTTTTTATATTAAAGTAAGAAGAATAGATTCAGACCTTAGAAAGCACAACTGAATAAATGGAATAAAAGCTTTTAAAAAATATTAAATAAAAATAAATGGTTACTGCTGTTATTGGTTAGTTGTTGAAAAAACCTACTCAAATATAAGATTAAGATAAGTTGGAAGTATTAGACTAACATCATGTTAATTAGGACTAAGAAGAAAATATCTTATCAACAGAAGAATTAAATGAATAAAAAAATATGACTGATTCTTAGTTTATTGGATCTTTAATTTTAGAATAGTAGCAGGAATTAAAAAATCTATAATTACCTGAATAATAAGGTCTGTAAAGGATTTTATCCTAATATTTAAGCAAAGAAGTTTTAGAAGTAATTCATTTTATTTTAAATAAATTACAGTAAATAATTAAATTAATCAATTAATTGATTAGGAAAATGGTGAGCCTAAGTCTAGAGAAGAATTAAATAAGTTGCTTATAAAATTAGGAGGTAGAAGGGAAACAGATATGTAATTTAGCAGAGGAAAGAAAAATAAAGGTTCTATCATAGAATCTAAAAAATTAGCTTCACAAAGTAATACATAATAAATAATAAATGAAAATTAAATAAGTGTAATTTTTATTTTTATAATAGCAAAATAGACAAAAAGAATTTACTCTCAAAATACTAATTAAGCAACTAATATTCTAGAAAATATTCTTAAAAAGAGAAATTCTATTAAAAGTGCTGTTGTTCCTCTAGCTTCCATCTAAAAATTCTTTACTGTAGTATATTAAGAAATTCTCAAAAATGAATAAGCATTTAGAATACCCTTACATGTTTCCTGCTATGATATTTTGATACAAAAGCATGGCCTAAAAAGAGTTGCAGAAGATAAGCTAGCTAGAGTATAAAATTTAATTATTTATTTTAGTTTATCTTATCAACAAAGTATATTTGAAGATTTATTAATTTATTTTCTAATAGATTATGAAGAGCGTTTATGCTTATAAAGATAAAAATATTAAAATGGAAATGGTAGCAACTTTCCTTGGTCTTAATCATAAATACGATGAAACAGATTACTACTATTTCTTGTTGGGCTTAAAGTACTTCCAAAACATAAACCATAATATTTTAAATTTAAATAGCGAGCATGGCTAAATAGTAACTGAAAAAGCTATTGATTTTATTAATATTTACTTTTAAGATAAGTTAGGTAAACATAATTTATTTTTTCTTATTATTTAATAAAACTGTTTATGTTAAAATAGAAAAAGAAGGATTCAACAAGCTTATTACAGATATAAAGATGACCTCACTTTGTAATTAACAAATTATTTTTTTATTTTAACCAATATTCTTTGTAATTATTTTGTAGAAAAAGGTATTGAACTTGAATTGTTGATAAAGAAATGTCTATTTTATTATTCAGAAAGAAAAGAAAAATACAAGAAACATATAGAGGATATATTCTATGCTACTGATGTAATAAATTGATTTTTATTGGTATTATTTATTCATTAATTTTTTATAATTTAAAAAAAGCTCGATGCAAATGATTAAATTGAACTCTATGAATTTGACTTAATTTTCAGGTTCATTGAAAAAGATATTTATGATATTAATAAAGTTGAAGAAATTTTCTTTGATGAAGCGGACAATATAAATCCAAGTAATGGAGAAAAGGCTCTATCTCTAAATAAGTTTGTTAATCTTTGTGTGTAAAAGAATTTGTTCAGCTAAGAAAAATGCTAAGCATTCAATTAAAATTTCAAAGAACATGGAGTAGCAACTAACTTTGAACAACTAAAAGAAAATGCTTCAGAATACAAAAAATAAATTAAAAACAGATTCTTAAAAGCAGGTAAATTTATGTCAGAAATTAAGCAAATTATCAAAACTCTCTTTAAGTTAATTGCAGAACCTTCGCCATAGAGACCAAATAGTAAATAATTAATTTATAATATAATTTATTTTATTTTATTATTTTATGAAAATAGGTCTGTGGGTAAGTTACTTACTTATGGAAAAAGAGTCTAGGTCTATCCTTATAGATTTTGAAGCTAATATTTTATTACAAAACTTGCTTCCAGTAAAAATTCAAATGCTTGATATTATTGGCAGAAGATTTGAAGAAATACTTTGAAGAAGTAAAAACGATAAAATTATTTGATATCTAAAGTATTAAATAGCAGTCATAACTTTTATTTTTTTCTGTAAAAGTCTAAGTAGTTAAAAAATAAATATAAATTTAAATGATATTTAATCGTTCTATTTGTAAATAAGAATATAGTTACATAAAATAATTACTGATATTATTATATATACATTCAAAATAATATTATGAAATAGATAATTTATCATTTCATTTTATTTATATATGATAAGGGGTTTTCAATAAGTATTCAACGATAAATTCTGAATTTTTATTTTATTATTCATTAGAATTAATACAAATTTACATTTTAAGATTATTTAAATACTAATTAAGTGATATTATTTAATATTGATTAAGTTTTCTAATTGATTGATATATATGAGGGTGTTTTTTTATAGTTTTATATTTAAAATGTTCTTTAAACAAAAAGTACAGCTAATTTATAAATTCTATCATTATAGACTTTCAATTATTATGATCAATAATCTTCTTGATAATATTTAGGAGGATTTTTAAATGCTCCATAATATTTTTTTGCAAATTTTCTATAGTCAGTTAGTGCCTTTTTGAGTTTAAAATTTCTTTCCTACATTTTAACTTTTTCAAACCTTTATTTGTTTTCATAATACTTTTATACAACCCAATCATCACTTTAATGTATTAGATTGTCTAGAATTAAAATTTTTGTATCCATATTATTTATAAATTTATTTTAGTTTTAAAGGGATTATTAGGCATCTTGATAGAAATTTTACCAATCTATAGCTGGTAGCCTGATCTGAGGAATTTGTGGTAAACTCATTTTGGATGCTCCACCTAATGGTGGATTTGGGTTAGTATATCTCTAATTAAATTTAGCAAAAACTTTATCTCTATTATTTTAGTAGTAGGATTCTAAATCATTTGTATATTTATTTATAGGAGCTTCAAAAGGTTGTTAATAATATGAATTAAACTAGTTTGGAATCATAGTAAACTAGTTAAAATTTTAATCCTACTAATACGGTTATTGTTATTAATCATACTGAGGTTGCTAATAAGCATTAGAGTGAATTGATGGAAACATTTTTTACACTTTTTATTCTATTTAATTATTTATCAAAATGCAATAGACTAAATTGATAAATTTTGTATCAAAAATAGAAAAATTAAATCTTTTTCAAGATTAAAATATATTTTCTTGTTATTTATTTAATAAAAATTAAAATATTATTTTATTTATTTTTGAAAAATAGAATGTTTTTAAAACTTATTAGAATTAATTATTAATAAAAATTATTTATTTTTAAGTAAAGTGAAATAAACAATTTATCAGTTTTACATTTTTAGGGTTATTAACAGTTAACACTGAGATAGGTTGTTTTAAAAATTTTAATTATAGTCTTTGAACTTAGAAATTATTTTTTTTGAAAATCATTTTTTTAAAAATAAAAAATAATTATTTATTAATTAATTATTGAATATAAAAAAGAAGCGCAAATTCAACATTTAAAATATTCAGCAACTTAAAAAATTATATATTTTTTTAATTTTTAAATATATATGTTTGGATTTGAAGATATCCATTACTAACCTAATCTCAGAAGATATTAGTCATAGAAAAAACTTATCGAAGTTTTAAAAATAAAGTTATACGTAAATCAATAATTATAAATATTTAAAAATAATCAAATTCATATAATTAAATTCACATATTTTTTAACAATACGATACATTCAATAGCTAAAATGTTTTAGTCGTATTTATAGGATATAGAAAAGGAAAATAATAGCAGCATATACAATGCTTAAGCTTAATAAAATTCTTCAACATAGCAGAGTATATGGGATGATTACATAGACCGCTAATTGGAGCATTTGGTTGTAGAGTATCAGTTTGATTTTGATAAAATAGCCCAAAGACTAGCAGGTGTTATAGGCGATAAATAGCAACAGAAGGTTAATTTCGATACATGCAGATAGAGATGGAAATAATTGCATTTGAGGCGTTATGAAGATAAAGATAAAGACCGTCTTGATAGAGTATCCAAGAGCGTTATGAAAATGGAGGATCCAAATAATGCACTTAAAGTTTAAGAATTGGTTGAAAAATTACCTAAAGCAAGACAAAACAAAGACTTTTTAAAAATATCAGATGAAGAAAAGCTTTAAGCATTTTACCTAAATGATAAAGGAGAAAAAATTCAACCTACAAGTAAATAAATAATACAATATGTCAAGCTTTTTCATTAGCCTTTATATACATTTAGTTTAATAGTAGAGATTTAATGCAATTTTTTTTTTAATTTTTAGCTTTCAATGTTTTGAAGGATAGCGTTATGGGTATAAAGGATAAGACAGAAAGAGAAAGGGTTTTTAAAAAGTAGCAAGAAGAGTTTTTTAAGAGCCTTGAAAAATTAGCAGGAGAATAAGACGAAGACATGTTCACTAAGCCTCTAATGTGAGATTTTATTTTATAATTTTAAGAGGGATTTAATTATATGCAAATTTTTATGAAATTGATTAACAAACATTTGTAAAAAAATAGATTTAGAGCTAAGTTTACTGAGCCTACTAATTTTAATTTTATTGTAGAAAGAGAAGAACTTACTAGAGAGTAGGCATAAAGAATTATGTCATAAAAAGTTTAGATCAAAGGTGCTGGATTAGTCCCACCTGAACCAGAAATGGGTATTAAGATGGACAACTATGTAAGTATGTTTGCAAGACCTGATGAAGAAGAGGAGGAATTGAAAAAGAAAGATTAAGAGAAAGAAGTCTAAGTTAATTAGTAAATTATGCAAGATTAGTAAGAGACAAAGGAAGAATAGGAAAGAGACTAAGAAGAGTTGAAGAAATAGATGGAGTTAACAGAAGAAGAAAAGAAGAAACAGCAAGAATAAGAGGAAGAGAAAAAGAAAATTAATGTAGATTTGTACTTAGCTGAAAGGGGTTTAAAAAGTATTGATGAAGCTCTCAACTCCTTAGAAAAAATGCGCTCTAAAGTTAAGGTCAACAACTATTTCGAAGAGGCTTAAACAGAAGATAAAAAGCTAAAAGAGTAAAAAGAAAAGAATCAGCAAAAAGTTGATAATGAAGATTAAATCAGATAAGAAATAATCAAACAAGGTTTGGAATAACTAAAATAAAAAGAACAAGGAGATTAGCTTGTTTAGTTCCATGAAAATTAAATCAAAAAAGATATTAAAGAACTTAACGAAATCATAGGTGACAATAAATCCAAAAATGTAAAAAATTAAACTTAGCAACCAAATAAGGCAGTAGAAGAAGAAGAAGAAATTATTCTTGAAAAGAAAAATGATTAAAGTAAAAAAGTTCCAACTAAAAAAGGAATTTTCTCACAATTTGTAAATTAATTTAGTTTGAAATTGTTTTATTTAATGAATTGTAAATATACTTTATTAGGCTGAAGAAGAGGATTCGGGAAGTGAAGATGAAGTTGGGAATGATGAAGAAGAGTTAGATGATGAGCTATACTTATAAGCCTAAAGAATCGGATTAAAATCTGATGCTGAAATAGATTTATTTATCACAAAGAAAAAGGAAGAAAGAAAAGCGAATATGCTTAATAAGAAGAAAGTTTAGTTTTCAGAGTTTTCAGAATAAAAGTAAATTTCAGAAGATACAGACGAGTTACTGGCAAAATAAGAGAAATAAATAAAGCAAAAGTAATAATTTTTAGAAAAGTTGAAAAAGAAATCTGAAAATGAAGCAGGGGAAAACGACGAATCCAATTAGGAAGGAAGTTAGAACTGGAGGGATTTAGAATTTAGTGCTGGTATGGCTTTTAAAAGATAATTAGAGGAGGAAAAAATGCAAAGAATGATTAAGGAATAATTCGAAGAAGAGTAAAGAAGAAAGGCCGACTAAGAAAGAATTAGATAAATATAAGAAGAATATCACCTCAAGAAGCTAGATATTGAAACTAAAATCAAATTAAGAGAACCCTTAAATTTAGAAAAGGTTAACTAAGAAAAATGGAAAGAATACATGTATTAATTAATTCATTTATAAGAATCATTTTTTTTGAAATAATTTTAATTAATAAATAAATAGTGAAGCACAACAGAAACGCAGGGAGGAAATAGAAAAGGAATTTGAAGAAAAATAAAGGATTCAAACAGAGTAGGAAGAAAAGGAGTAAAAGGAAAATTTAATCAAAGAAAAAATTCACTTCTTTGAATAAAAAATAAAAAATTTCCCGTAAATAAAATGATTTTTTAATTGAAAAGAAATGTTTAACAATATTTTTATTAAAGCTCAAATGACCCATTCAAGTGCTTCTTTGATGATTAGGTTAGTTATTTATCACAAATATCCTCTTTGCCCTCTAAAATAACTACTAAGATAGCTGACTTGAAAAAATACGATATTTCAAGAGATGGAATAACATCGAGATATTAGATTTTGATCTTCCCTTATCTAGATAAATGCCAAGAATTTGTATTTTAGTTCTTAAGTAAATATTTCTTTCATTAGTTTATAGCTTAATTAATAATTTACCATATAAAATATAGGCTTCTTCTTGAGAAATAGTTTCTTTAGATAACCTCCTAGTGAAAAGGAATTGGGGGAAATAGTAAGTGAAAACCCTTTAGATGAAATACCATGCTAAAGATTAAGCTCTAAAGGATTCCCATTTTGTCTAGTCAGCTTCTACATAGGCAGCCATACAAGTGAAATAAATGATGAATAAGACGAATAGTATTTGAGTAATTACTTAAACGATGCAATTAAGTTCGATAAATTAATAAACGATGATAAACTTTAAAAATCTATTTATCTTTTCTTTGATACCTATATTGGTAGAGGTTAAGATACACTTTCTAAGCAATTAGATCTTGCTTTGACAGAGTTCCTAAGTGATGGATGCCTTGATCAAGCAATCAGAAAATATGGTGAAAAAGTCATTAATAGAGACATGAAATTAAGCGATTTTAAGACTGCTTACTATAAAAATATGGAGATTGCTAAGAAATTGTTTAATGAATCTAATACTTTCCATTCTATTTGTCCTACAAAAACCTCTTATCATCAAACAAACTAATTAGCTATCCACTAAAATAAAAAGAAATAATTATTACCTACTTCCCCATCTAATTCTCCTTCTATAATAAGTCACTCTCATGGTAATAAATGGGAAACGTCTGTCATCATAATTAGAAATTATTCTGAAATTCAAAATCCTTCTGCTTTAAGACAATAATAAAATAGAGGAGTTGATTTTTCAAATGCTTCTGATTTAATGCAATAGGACGTAACAACTGAATAATATTCTAATTTGAGTGAATCCTTAAGTAATTTAGTTCCCTCGCACACTGAAATTTCTTAAAGATAAAAGCAATAAATGACTGATGTAATCCACTACACTCTAAACAAATTATAAGAAAAGGGAATATAAATTTTAGGTATGAAGTCATTCTTTTTCGATTAAAAAACAGTGTAAGAATTCAAGAGCTATGTTGAAAATATTAATTTTAATACCAACACAAATTAACCAATCGTAGTTATTTCTGTTGCTGGATTCGATCTTCACTCAAGTAAATAATTAAAAATATTGATCATTTCTTATAAAAATTACTTTTAATATAAAACATAAATTCAAATTTATTTATTTTAATTTTTCGAAAATTTTAGAATTAAAAAAAATGGTTGGATCTGAAGATGCCTAATTGGCTAAGAGAGTAGAGCCAAATAGCTTAAATGCTCTATTCAGCACAGGAAGAGATGATTCAATTATTATTCCTTACAATAAAGCATTAAGCAGACGTTTAATTAGCTATTTCTTTTGTGGTAGATTGGAAAAGATTTAAACAGTTTAAGATATTCAAGTAATTGAAGGACTTACAAATAAAAAATAACTTTACTTAACAAAACCTAAACCCTTTAACCCAGTATTTTTGCTTAATAGCTAACCAATCAGAGAACATATATGTTTGCTCAGTTCAAAATTTTTACCTCAGCAATTTTGTGAAGTAATTCGTAAAATCTAGGCAAGAGGATTTGAATTACTTAATATCCGTGTTATTGATAGTTCAAATCTTTCTGCCATATTAAAAAAAGATGAAGATTTTTCTGCTTTTATTGAGAATGAAAACCTCTAAGAATTGAATTCAGGTGAAAATGACTACGAAAGAATTAATCTAGTTCTTCATATTTAAGGAGCAAATATTTCATCTCTTAGAAATACATTATTAAATAAAATTATTGATTATAATCCTTTCTTACATCCTTCAAAAAGAGAAATATTCTATTATACTAAAGACGATTTATCACTAACCTTGTTGAAGGATATATTCTTTAATCGTCATATTAAGTCTAACTTTACTCCATCTGAAAGATTCCCTCTTTTTATAGCTCTCTGGCCCTTCCTAAATGACTATGAAGAAAAGGAAGGCTTAACAGCCTCACAGGCAGTGCCACTTGGAAATGATCTTAAGATTATGTCCTCTTATGGATTAGAACTACTTTCAGTATCAAAAATTTTTAAATCCTAAATTTAGCAGAAACTAAATACTTCTATTGAAGAAGAAACTGAACACGTTGATCTAAAATCTATATTGCACTAACTTATATAAAATAATATCTAAATTAATAGCATTACTAAGAAAAAGCCAGAATTCAGTACATTCTGTAGTCGCTTAGGCGAAGAAATTTTGTCTTAAGACTTTTATTTAGCCGTGTTTAGGTACTAAGGAGATAGATAATCTAAACATTTAGACAAGTTATTTACAGAAGTTCCATTTGTTCACTCAAACAAAACAATCAATGAATCTACTGTAGTAACTCATGGAGCTAAATAAACTCCTCACACTTAAGCTAAACCACTTCCAACAGAATTTTTAACCCTCTTTTTCCTTGATTCATCTGCTTAACAGGTAAAATAAAAAATACAAAATATTTAAATTGACATCATATTAACTAAATAAAGGTTTCTAATTTTACAAAACTTCTTGGTATAGGAGCCTTTGATGATTGGAGCTTCAAAGGTAGTTTTATTTTTGATCTTCCTTCTAGTGGATATACAGGTGAAATAGAAACTTTAATTATTTTAAGTGAAGATGTTGTTAAAACTTTACTTCTCGTAGGATTAGTAAAGATAATTGAAAATAATTAATTCAAAATCAAAAGCTTTTTCAAACACAGATGCTCAAGGGAGTTTTCTGAAGTTATATAAGAAAACTTACTTTAAGCATTTTCAGGCTATGAATCTTAAATGCACGATTAAGGAACTAAGCTGTAAAAAATAAAAGCTTCTCTTGATAACTTAATGACTAGATTACAAGGAGAAAGCATGTACTTCTTAGTTCTTTCTAAAGAAAATGGTATTTTCAATGGGTAAATAAATTCATTTTTTAAAAATATTTAAGTTATATTGTAAAAGGAAGAAACTAACTTTATATAAATTCTTAAAAAATAGCAAAAAAATATTATTCGAATTAGCTGAAAAATACTCAGTTTTTAAGAAGGAGACTATTAATGTAGAGAGTTCCACTGAATATATGCTCGATAAGGGTATGTATTGTAGTTTGAATTACAAATGCTAACAAAGAGAATTTAAAGAGCTTTAATTTATGTCTCAATAGATTCTTTCAATGGCTCACGAAAACAACTAAGAGCAATAAGATGTCGACAAAATGTATGACAATCAGTTAGTAATGGTCATTAGAATTGATTAATAGATCTAATTATATGAAGTATTTAGAAAACTGTAATCAGACCTCAAATTCAAAATAATTCACTTCTTAGTTATGAGATAATTTGAATGGACAGATATTTAATATATATCAAGCCACTTTACACCTAAATTTGAAGCTTAGCACATAGTAATAAAATTTATATTTACAATTAAATAATTAAAAATGCATTAATTAATTTAGTCTTAATTTAAATTAATTCATTAATTTTTTTTCTAAAAAGTAAAAATACTTTGAAATTAATAATGATGGAATTTACTGCATTGTTCATCTTGATAGTAAAAATTCTGTCAGCCTTTCAGATGCATTTGGTACTTTACGCCTTAACGAAAAGGGAGAATTTAAATAAGTTATTAGAAGTTCTTTATTTGGAAAACAGGAAGTCTTCTTCATATATACTAATAATCCCTAACATGTAATAATAATAAAAATTATATATTTTATATTAAAATATTTTATTCTTATAGGTTAAGAAGTTATCTGCTTACGCATTTAAATCGAGTGAGTGAAATCTCTTATAGGAGTCAAATATCTGAAAATTTTGAATTTATAAATCAATTATAATTATAACTAAAAATTATTTATCCTGATATTATAACATTTTATCCAAAAAAAAATATGAATTTACTTTTTTTATGTAAATTGTATATTTACTATAAATACAAATTTATATTATAAAAATATATTTTAATAATTTATGAAGATTAACATTGTAATCAATAGTCTTTAGAAAAGATGGGTTTCTACATTTTTTGATTTAATTCAAAATCAAAATGAAAAACTATATAAAATTTATTTGTAATTTTATATCTAAAATTAAAAAAATAATATGTATTTTTGATAAAATTTTAATGACTTAATTTATTTTAAATTTTAAGAAATTAGAATTTTGTAAAAATTAAGTGTTTTTGTTCAAATATTGCTCAGAATTGATTTATAAAATTTAAAATATGATCATTATTAATATGTAAGGATTTTCAAAATATTTATTTGTACTTAATTTCTTATTTTATTAATTAAATATGCTGATGTCTAAACAAACTATTTTTTTTGTTTTTGGAAAACTTATATTTGAGTAATTTAGAGAAAGACAAATGCTTTTTTTTTTTGGGTTTTTTTTTTTAAATGAAATTTGTTTTACAAACGAATAGAAAGTATAGATGAAGGTGAAATACATATTTGAATTTTTTTTATATAAAAGATTAAAGTTGTTGGTTGTTATGAAAGGTTGAAGTGAAGTTGGTTTGAAGGTTGAAGTTGGATGAATGAATGAAAGGTTGAAGTTTGGTGAATGAATGAAAGGTTGAAGTTGGATGAATGAAAGTTGAAGTTTTGGTTTGAATGAAGGGTTTTGTGAAAGTGATTTGTTCTTTCTTTACTTGATTATTTTTGGTTATTGTTTATGAGAGTGGATTCGCTCTTGCATATGATAAAAGGCAAAGAAAGAAAGATATTTTTAATTAAGGAAATCAAAAACTTTTGGTGGCCTTTTATCTAATTAATTGTAGCTCGGTTACCAATTTAAACAATAAGTTATTTAATATTTAGCTTAGCGTTGTAATATTTTTAATCAGGTAAAAGAAAGCCGGTAAGATTAGATGAGCAGTATAAAACGAATTCATAAACAGCAAAGACTCAATCTAAATACCAGAGATTTTTTCTTTTATCAAGAAAAGTATTGCATGTTTAAGTCAAAGTTTTTAAATTCGCCTTGATATGAATTTAAGCTACTTTCAACATAAGATGGATAGTACCCGTTTTCATAGTTAGGCATAGCATCTTGATAGGCTTAATTCTCATAGTCATAGTTAGAATAGAAGAGAAAATTTTGGCATTTTTCAATTAATGATTCTTGTTATTAATTTTGAAAATCAAATATATGATTGGCTTGATTAAATAAGTGATTCTCAAATTTAGCTGTATCATAACAAAGGTTATTTTATTAACCTAGTTGATTGCAGCTATAAACACTCTCTTCATAGAAAGTGTTTGACTAGTCTTAACTCTGAAATTTTACACTGGAGTCTTCGCTTTACTCAGTTTCAAGCTCATTAGAAACAGATTACTATTAAAATGAAGGTAACTGATGTAAGGGAGTTAATGTGTTGGAACCCAGTAAGATTTATGAAGAATTCTATTAAAGCTAGCAGGGAAAATTTGAAAAGTAATGATCTATTTATGATTTTTTTGAAATTGGAGGTTCAATTATCTAAATAGATGAGCACTTTCTTTTTCCAGATTCGTATTAAGCAGAAGTATTTTTAGAGACTTAGTTTTTTAATTTTTCTTCAATTACTATTTTTGGGGAATGAGCTATTCTTTTTTTTTGATATTTTTTAGATTCTTTCTTTTTATTTTTGATGCTCTAAGTTGGAAACGTGTTATCCCACATCTCAAAGATAGATTAGATAGGATAGCCATTGTAGAAATGTACCAATAACAAAGCAGAGAATACTTTTTTGCGAATCTGAGATCTCCATCTTAATTCTCCTTCAGAAAAGCGTATATCTTCTAAGATGTACTAACAAAGTAATTAAATATATTCAGATTCTTTCTTTTAGTTGATAATTTCTTCAATATATTTTTGAGGTAAGAGCATGTATTTCTTTTCTGAGAAGGTTTTTAAAGAGCTACTATTTTTAAAGGGAGCCTTTTAATTTGTATTTTTCATACTCATTTCATCAGAGATAGTCCTCATAAAGTTATTTTTTATTTGGTTTTTGGTGAGGTTTTCAAATCTATTTTTTATCAAGTCACCAATGAAATCTTCAAAAAAGTAGTTCATGATACAGTCTTAAAATTATTTGTTTATGTTATTCAGGGGTTTCTACTCGTAGTCAATAGTCAATTTGATCATTGAAGCCATTAGTTATGAGAGTTAGTCATAGACTTGAGGGTGAGTATTTTTTACAGTTTAAAGTCCTTAGTTCATTTAGATATTCTTTTTATATTTTTTAGTTTGTATTTTAATTATTATTTTTTTCTTTTTCAAAATGACTCAGATATATCTATGATTTAATCTTTAAAAAGAAAAACTCATAAAATTAATAATTAATAGAAAAGGTATTTTTAAGATTGGATGGTTTCCCCAAATCAAAAACAACATTAGAATGTATGATATTTGTTAAATAAAAATATTAATCAAAGATACTTATTTACTTTTGAAATCAGGATAATTAGTAGTAAAGTCATATAAAATTAACTGATTAGCGAGCTTACTAAATAAGGGTTGAAGTCAGCCTTTATTTTGTATTATTTTGTTTCATAATCTGATTGAAAAAATGTAAAAAGTTTAATTATTTTCGAGAAGATGTCCAAAATCTTTTTTTATCAACCAGTAAAAAAATGAAAATGTATGCATATTTTTCTCTCTGAACTAATAAAAAAACTGTTTTCCGAAAGAGTTTTTTAAAGGCTGGATTTAAATTTGGCAAATCCAAAATGTCAAAAAGTAAAAAACAAATGGTTGGTTAAAAAAATAAAAAGATAATACAATAATTTTCTAAATTAGTAAAAAAAAAGTAATTGGAATGTTTGTTTTATTTTTCATTATTAATTTAGTTTCACGAGGAAAAAAATAGAACTCTAAGTCGATAAATCTAATAAATGAATGATTAAAAATAATATCTCCTTCAAAAAATTATTTAAAAAATAAAATAGCAATTTAAATAAATTATAGCTTTATAAATAGCTATTGAAGTTATTTAAGTCTTTTGTGCTATTAAATAACTTATTTTCTATTTTTGTAAAAAAATAATTTCAAATTTTAACCATAAATGTTTCAATAGAATCGTTACATTAACTAATATCTGTTTACTGATAGTTTTTTACATATGATTTTAATTTACTTTTTATATTTGAAATATCCTGAAATTCCTTCAAGACATGTGCTATACATTAATTAATTAAATAATTTAATGTTATTTTAATTAATAGCCTTAACTTTTGAGCCTTTTGTTATAAATAAAAACACAAACTCTACTTAAGCATGTTGATTTATTATAAAAATATATTAACAAAAACTTAATTATTTTATTTAATTTGATTATTAGAAAAGTAATAATTTACATAATTTAAGAAGCAAAACTTTAAAACTACTCATCTATTTATTAATAATACTTTCATCTAAAAATCTTACTTGTATTATTATTTGATAAATTTGGTTTACATAAAATTACAATTAAAACAAAAAGAAAAAATCAAACGAATTTTCTTAAGAGCCTAAATCTAAATTGAAGATTTCTTTTAAATCTAATTTAATTTTTACAAAAATGAAACTCTATTTTCGATGATCAATAAAATTAAAATCATCCTTTTTTAATATCAATAAAGTAAAATAAAAAAAATGATTAACATAACAGAAAATTCTATTTTCAATCTACATTTTATTGAAAAAATCCCATAAAATAGAAATAGAAATTAGAGATCACTTTTTTATTTATTTTAAAAAATACAAATATATGATAAAAACTAGATACTTTTAAAAAGATTATCTTTAATTTTTAATTTTTGTTTTCTTCTTAAAATATTAACGTTATTCAACATCAAATGGAAAATATCAATCAATTACTTAAAAATCTTAAGTCCCTATTTCAGTTAAATAATTAATAAAAAGTAATTACTCCAATAGTTCAAGCTCTTTTCCTATATATCAAGAAGAATTTATTAGAATATTTAAAAAGTCTGTTTTTTAAATAAAATATAATAAATTAATTATATAGAATAAAAAAAGAAAGATTCCATAATCAATAAATTAATGTGATTTTACCTAAAAATAATTTTAAAAAAGATTTTAAACAATTTTTATAAGTATAGATTCAATTTAAGTTTGAAAATAACAATTTTAAATTTGAGAATTTCAAAATATATATTTTCTATTTTTATTTCATATTATGAATTAAAATTAATATAATTTAATATTATTGAGCATTATTTTATTAATATTTAAGCATTTAAACTTAATTTTTCTAATGATACTTTGTCAAAATAAATATATCTGACTTGGTTTTGTTTGTTGATTTTGCTTTGTTTTTAGTTTTTTCAAAAAAGATAAATTAAATTTGTTTTTATAAAGAAAAAAAGCTCATAATTTTTTGATAGGTTATAAAGTCAAAAATATTTCCATATTTAAATATTAATATAATTTTATAATAAATAATAGGTCTTAGTGATGCTATATTCTAACTAAAAATAAAAAATTCTATTTTATTAAGCACTTAATATTTAACTTGATAATTTATTTAACCTATTGAACCAAAATTATAACAATATATTCTCATTTCTTATATAAAAATAAAATTCTTTTTGTTTATGCTTGAATAATTCTTTTTTTTTGTTTTGTAAGTATTAATTTTAAGTTATTTCATTTAGCTAAAAAATACAAATTTTAATCAATTTGGTGAATTAGAAAAGTATGAAAATGAAATTCAGGTATTTATGTTTATTTTTTAAATTAATATTATCTATAGTTTTATTTGAAAAGTGGATATTAACTATATTTATCTACATAAATTCTAACAACCAAATAATTGATTAATTCTTGAAATTTAAAAAAGAGATTTTAATCATCTAATATTGAGTTAAATTAAATAGAAACGTTAAATCATAATTTAAATCTTTTTTGCAGATATTTATTAGATCAGAAAAAATAAAAATTGATATTTAACCTTGATCACAATTTATATACCTATCTATCTATCTATCTATCTATCTATCTATCTATTTGGAGCAAGGAATAAGAAAATAGTTTTAAAATAAAAATTATATAGTTACACTTTTTAAAGTTTTATTGCCAAAAAAATTTATTTCAATTTTTAAATATCCCTTAAAAATTGATAAAATTTTACAATAATTAAAAGTTATTTTTATCCTTTTTTAATAAACAGATTTTAAATATATAAAAAGTAGATTACTCAGTTTGTAATTATGCAATTAAGCATCCGTATACACCTATCTTATAGATTATTGAAAGATTTAATATATTACCTCATTTTTATTTATTTCAAATTTGTTTGATATTTTGAGACTTGATAAGAAAAAAAGGAAACAAACAATAAAAGACCTTGATAAAGTTGGATATTAAATACTCAGAAAATACAATATATAACTATAAATCAATTGCTACGATACCCAGAGTAGTTAGTACATGTACAAAGATATATTTATTTCCTAAATTAAATTAAAATAAAATAATTTTTTATTTTTAAATACAATAAATTATAAAACTTATTTACAAAAGATATTTATTTTTTATTTTCTTAGAATATATTGAGATATTTCTTTTAAAAACTAAATTTTACTAATTATGATGTTTGCTTTCTTAAATAACACTAAATTATTTCTATTAAGATATAATTATTTAAAAAAAGATATATCTCTTTAAGAGAGAATTGCTTCTGTAAAATTGTAGAATAAAGAGTTAATATAAATTAACAATTAAAAAAATTTTTTTTTATCAAATAAAATATAAATTAATTAATTACTGGAAAGATAGATATATCTAAAGCAAATATTTTTGATAAATCCCTAAATAAAAGTAAATTACATTCGCTTAATAAATTATTATGACCATTCGCATGAAATATTTATATATTTGTTTGAGCAAGATCTCTATTTTAATCTAAGAAATTTTTTTAAGAGTTAAAAGAAAAAATAGCATTTAAAATTAATTTTCATTTTATTATTCAAAAGGATTATTTGATAAAATTTTATTATTAAAATACTTAACAAATTTTTTCATAAATTTTAATCTTAGAAATTTAATTGCATATTAATATATGTTTTTCTTAAATTATCAAAAACTCCATAAAAATTTATAAAAAAATAAAATAGAATTAATAAATAAATAATTTAATACAACTTATAAAAACTACTCATACTTCATAAAAAAATTTTGAATTAAAGAGTAATTAACCTATGTAAAATAGATATTAAAAGCTTAGATTAATTCAAGTAAAACAAAAATGAATTCTAACGAATAAATTAATAATTGGCTAACTAAATTTTAAGATTAAATCTTATATGTAAAAATGAATGAACATAATTCCTTTAAAATCACAAAATTATAAAAATTTTTTTTTAGGAGCGAAAAGAGGTAATTATTATAAGATAGAAGTTGATATAGGAAGGAGGATCAGTCAGCAATTTGATGAACAATCGATTAAATAGATTAACAAAATAAATGGTTTTCTATTACATGAATAATTAAATAAAAAGAAAGGTGAAAAATTTATTGGGTTTTTTAGATGCTTGCTTAGTCTTTATTTTTTTTTTGTCTAAAATATATATAAGAATATAATAAAAACAAAACGATTAAATACATATATCAAACATTTGATAATTAGCAGAAAGAAGAATAGGGATTAAAGACAAACAAAAAACACTTTAAATAATAAATAGTATTTAAAAACTATGTCATCCATCTTAGCAAGATTTCCTCCACATTTAATAGCTTAAGTGCAACATGAAGTTCACGATTTAAAAGAAGATTTTTTAAGTCTGATCTACGAAATCAACAAAAATGAAAAACCTGTTTGGACAATTTTAAAGGAATTGAAAGATTCTATACCAGTATTTATAGATTAATATATATACAAAGTGCTTTCTTAAAAATATGATTCTAACAAAATCAAAGAGCTGAAGAAAAAAATGCCAAAAAAATCATTAATGAACTGTCGTCAGCATCTAAATTAGTTGATTAGTGCTATTGAGCAAGAGAATCTTGTTTAAGAATATTTGAAAAGCCTAGTCTTGATAATTAATAACACTAATTCTAGTGGATAAGAATTTTCCTATTTGCGTCACTCTAAAAACTGGAGGAATTCAATTAAAATGAAATTGTTAGCCCTAATGCTTCTGGTTTACTAGTTTTCTCTCGAAAAGCAAAAAAATATTTTCAATATTGTTGATTTATGGTATAAAATATATCCTGAGACACCTATTTGGTAATTGAAGGATGATCGCTACTTGACAAAAGATAATAACAATAAGAATAAAGAAGACTTAAGTATAATTTCTAACTAATCTGATGCTGGTAACAGTGGAAACTCCCTTCAACATAAAGACTATAATAAGGGAGGTAAAAGTTCACTCAAGAAAGGCTGTAACAAGGAGGATGATTTGATTTCTTATGAGTTGGAACTTCTAGAATAAGAGTTTAATAGAAATTTGCGCATTTCTAATACAGATTAAGAGTAGATTAAAAAAGGAAAAAGAGAAAACAAGCAGTGTATTCACAAAGATATGTATGAAAATGACAGTTCAAGTGCAGGAGCAAATCTAATTTATGAAGATGAAGAATCAACAACATAAGAAGAAGAATACGAAGATGATTCATTAGATAATTAATAAATAAAAAGTGCTTCAATTAAGGACCAGTAGAGTGCAAGAAAGAAAAATAGAAGAATTTAAACAAATTTTGCAAAATAGAGTAGAAAATATCGAAATGAAGCCTTTTCACCTACAAGATAATTAAGTGATTTGACTAACTAGTTTGATAAAATTCATATTGAAACTGAATAAGTGTAAAGCTAAAACGCTGATCTAATTTACTAACCTAACATAAATAACACAGATGAATAAATAAATAGATAAATTAATATATACCATTAATTTTCATTAGAAAACAGCACATAATCTAATGTCTAAAATACTTTAGCACATATTTAATCATCACCATTTCTACCCTTAAGTGATACCACTAATGTAGTTTCATAAATAAAAAAGCATAATTCATTTAATAGTAACTCCCCATTATCATAATAATAATTGAATCCTAACTTAGGTTCTAATTTATTTGGTTCTCATGCTCACAATTTACAAAACGAAAACAGCTACTAGCCAATTTAATAATATTTAGAGACTTAATAAATAAATTAGTAAAACCATTTGCAAACTTAAAAATATCAACAAAATACTTAGCCTAGTAATATCCCTATTGTTCCTATTTTAAGGAATCCATGCCATTAAGTATTTGAAATTCCCTTGTAAGGAAATAGTAATAGTTTTAATTTCTTCATTTCATCTTAATGAATTAAAAACAATTATCAAATTACCTAAATTTTACAAAGCAAACGAATAGTGAACAAATAAATAAATAAATCAATAAATAATATCTCTTGAATGAAAAAATGTGATTTTTTAAATGAAATAATATTTTTTAATGAATAAGTGAGCACTAGTTATAGCAGTCACCTTTACTTAGTTTTTAACAATTATAAAACTATTAAACTCTTTTCAATATGTTTTTTTTCAATAATAATTTGCTAAAAAACAAAATTTCTTTATCTTTATTTTAATTTAGTGTTTATCTGAAAAGTTATCCAATTATTAAAATAAATATTTTACAAACGAAACATGTCTTCATTCAATTTATAAAAATACAATTAATTAATTTAATTTTTGTTCTTCTCTCATTAATTACAATCTGTTTATTTTAAATATCCCCTCTAAAAAATTTTTTAAATAGTTAAATATAAATCTAGAATTTTTTTAATTACATTAGGGTAAAAAATAAAATTTTTTTAGCAATAAAATTTAGCTTGTCTCTTTATCTTGAAAATAATTTTGTTATAAACTAATGTTATATTTATATTTTAACATCTAAGTGCTAACAACATAATTTTTATTGGCAAATAAATAACTATAAAAAATAAGTAATGTATCAATAAGTAAAATTACAAAATAAAGAAATTTATAAATATATGGAGAAACTCAGATGTTTACAAAAAATAAATTAAAATTATTTTTATAATAGAAAATTTAAGTAATTAATTATTAAAGTATATTTATTATGTTTTAAAAAATAAATATTGGTAAACAGATATACTCAAATAGTTAATGTTATTTTATAGAATTCAAAATTTGAAAAGATTATTAATTTATTTACTTATTTATTTATTGAATACTAACGATACAAAAGAGTTAACACTCAGATAATCAAATACAAATAAATTATTTAATTTAAACGGCTAAATATTAAATGGAAAATTAAAAACACATTTTAAGTCCATTAGAAATAGGAGAAATTGTACATCCTAGTAATTGTATTGTTAAAGATGTACGCCTTTCCTTAAATTTAAATAAAATATAAGTAAGTATTGATTGTCATTTAGATTCAGTTTTATTATGAAAAATATTATATGCAAACTACATGTTTTAATTGATTAAAAAAAGAGAGATCATTCGACAGGTAAGGGATTTAATGGTACTCTAAAACTCATCAACCAACTTGAAAACATAGTTAATAAACCTTAAAAAAATTAAGCTAATATATTAGAGATTAGAAGATCTTCTCTGCTTAGGGCTTCGAACTAATTGCCTTCATCTAGGTCTCAAAGATCATCATCTCAAATACAATTAAAATAAATACCTTTACCTTCTAATATTTCACATACGCCTAGCATGTGCCATGCATTTATGAGTAAAAGAAGTAGGTGCTCATCAAATATTCCAAACAATTAAAATCCAAATAACTCTTCTTCAAATAAAGAAAATATGGCTTAAAGTAAATAAAATATCACAATTTTTAAATTTATTTTAAATAAAAAGCAAATTATTTATTTATACAGATATCTAATGTAATTTTTTTGTTTAAATAGATAGCCACCGTCTTAGTACCTTTGAAAATTCTATGATTGCAGCAGATACTAAAAGTACTAATTAACCTTTAAATTCAGCAAGAACTTCATTAAATTTACCTTCATCGTCATCTTAAGCTCATAGTAGCAGCAATGGAAATAATAATAATACTTCTTTAAGCAAATCTATACTGAGGAAATATAGCAAATAAATAAAATCTATTCAAGATGAGTCAAATCATGTGAATTCTCTATATAAAAAAGGACATGATTAAAAACAAGTAGATCTATAAAACTAATTTGAAAAGTAGTGTAATGGAAATAACAATAGTAATAACAATAATCATAATTTACCTTTAACTTCAGTTAACTTCTAAGCAGTAACTAAAGAAATTAACGAATATATGTAAGCAAGATCTAAGAGCTTAATTATATATGAAGATGATTGCTAAAAGAAATTTTATGATAATGTAATTTTATTGTTAAGTATGTTTGAAAATTACTCTCAGAAATCATAAAAAATAAATGAACACATAAAAGATGTGTTAAATGAAGTTTTTACTTCTCTAACATCATCATTTAGTAAAGGGCCAGTCTGTCAAATGTAACTTAGCTAATCTTATTAAAAAATAAAAAGATGCATTTAGACTATGTCATAAAATGGTTTGGGGTAGCTATTTCCCTTTTATAATGCTTCTGTGTTGGACATTTGTGATTTTTAAAATAAAGTATAAATGAAAATTTTAAATTAAAACTAGCTATCTAAATTGGATGAAAATACTGAACAAGCTATCATAATGAAGTAAATTGCTTTTTATGCAGTTTTATTTGATTTAAATTTGCTTTTTTGATCAAATTTTTTTGTAATGCAAATTTTCAATAAAATAGAAAGGCTCAAGATAATAGAAAGTAAATGGATTTATTAGAAAAGTTAGAATAATTAAAAATTGAAAATGAGCTTTATAAAGTAAATAAAATTTAAAATAAATAATTTGATAATATAAAAAAAATTTTTAATTTATCAGAAGTAGAAGGTTTAGCTCGAGCAAGCATTTAACAGTACTTTGGAAAAATAAAAAAAAGAAAATAAAGAAATTCAAAAGCAAAATAGAGATTTAAGCAAAGAAAATATGAAACTTAGACTTCAAATAGATAATCTCTAAAGAGAGATCGAAATGCAAAGCAACTTAAATAACACAAAATCAAATTATTAGAATATGTCATATTTTGATTCTATAAATAATACTACCATTGTTGATGAGAAAAAAACTTTAGAATAAAACTATTTTACTGGCTGCTTACCAAATTTAAATCAATAATTTTATCATTTCAATTCTGTCGTTTCAGATTAGGATTAATTTTGGTATTTGCCTTTTGAAATAAAATTTTGGAGCTAGCTAAATCAATATAACAATTAAATCTTAAAATAAGAAAAATTCTTTACTTAAAGGGAAATTGATTTCATGATATCTACTTTTATTGAAACTCATCTAAATGATGAAGATACTTCATTTAAGTTCGCTGATTCTTTACTTGTAAATTTAACTAAAAATTTTATTTTTTTTAAAATCAATATTTTTTGGTCTAATAGAAATTTATTTGATTGTAATCAATAAAATAAAAATTTATTGAATAACATTTTAAAAAAATAGAAATATTTCAAACAAGAAAAGGGATGTGATTCATTTGAATCTATGAAAAAACTTATTCAATTTTAGAAAAGTAATTGTTAAGTAAGCTGTCTACACTAAATTTTTTATAGAATCTTCAATATCTAACATGACGATAATGATAATCTTATTTAAGAATTGTTATTAATTGAATAAAACTATTCCTTCAATCAGTCCATAAGACAACACTCCTCCACATATTAAAATGCTTATATTAAAATTTATAAAATTTTGCAAGAAGAATCCTCAAAAAATAAAATGTAATATTACAAGCAATAATAATACCTTTTAGTAAATTTTATTTTATTGTTATTTATAGACAAAAACAAAGCAACATACAACTTAATTTGCTAATTACAATTATAAAGAAGATTTTCGAAGATTCAGATGACTATGATTGGTAATGGAGAGTAAGTTTACCTTTGTTATTAAGTAAATCTGAAATGAAATTTTGTGGAGATATGTAAAAAGACTAACAGTAATTCCTTATGCTTTTGCATGGTTATTTACTTAATAGGTTTAAGTTAGACTAATAAGATTCTTCTATATAGATGAGTGATTTAAACATAAAAGAGTTCAGTAGTTTATTTTATGATATTTCAGATATCTGCAGTGAAAGAATTTAAAAAAAATATAAAGAATTAATCTTTTTTGATTAATCATAAATTAATAATATATATGAGTCACTAAATGAAAAGCAGAGAAATAAAAAATAACTTATTAAAATCGGAATTGAAGTTTCTTAATAACTTTAAAAATGTTCATTGTCTATAATAGAGGCTACTTCTATTGTTGTAAGTCTTCTTTTTTAAAAATTATGTATGACATGGTCATCTCTTAAAAATGTAAAATTATATATTTAATTTCAAATCATTTTATTTTGATCTCTTTTTCATCTAAATTAGGTTTAAAATTTCTTTGAAGAAAGTAATCGGGTTTATGAGTTAAATAAAATTTTACAAAATATTGGATTAAATTTAGAATAATATGAAATTTATGATTCAATAGCAAAGATTTAATGCTCTTGTCTTGACATAAAAAGCTAATAGGAGTAAATAGATGTTAGAATGCATTTATAAAAAAGAGATTATTCATCAGATGAAAGAGAAATATCAAAATTAATAGAAAACCACTTAACAAATTTGATAATAAATAATTTAATTTAAAGAATAGGAAAAGCAGGTAACTAACTATCTTTATTATTTTTAATTATCTATTAAGAAATATTTTTAAATAGATTATCCCTCCACTTTCTAATCAGTCAATTCTATAAAAGCGCCTTCAATAAGCATAGCTCATTATAGCAATAGGCTAACTGAAATTGACTAAGACTCAATTTTGGCGCTTACTCAACCTAGCAAAATAATCTCACACGCTAATAATCATGACTTAAAAAAAATATGAACTAATTAAATTTACTAAAAATATCACGTTTATTTATATAAAATACTTAAAATTTTACTTAAAAATAAAAATAAATTTAGTTAATTAAATTAAATATTATTAAGTTAATCATTGATTAATAAGAAATGGCTTAAATAAATGATAATTTGGTTATTTTTATTTGCTAAAAATAAAATTAAAAATAATTTTTTAAAATAAATTTTTAATCTTCATCAATCAAAAACATATAAAAATTGATTTTTTTATTTATTTATTATTTTAAAAGAAGCAATTTAAATAATGAAATAATAAAATAATTGATTTATATTTATTATGTTGTAACTAACTTAATAAGCATATCTAAAGTATTTACTAAAATAAATTACTATCATAATGTGAACATAAAGCAATAATGATATTTTAATTAATTAATTAATTTTAAAATCTATTATTTATATTTTCAAAATTTATATTTTAAATACAAATTCAAAAAAATAAAATTGAAAGTAACCCAAGTAGAGTAGAAAGTGTGAAAACTAACTTTGATGCAGAAAGAAATGAGTACAAAGGATAGAATAATCTATAGACATATTTGCTCAATCTATCTGTATAGGATTGCTCTTAAATGATATCTGAAGAACTTAGATATTAAAATGAAACAAGAGTTTTGCCACTAACTTTACTTTAGGTAATTACTGGAGAAGCTTAGCAATATATAATTTAAAAAGATGTGTTGTCTTTAGTTCCAATATCAGTGAAATATATTATGTACTATTAAGTAGTATCACCTTGTTATATTCCAGTGCAACTTATTGCATCTTAACCAGAAACTTATTTTAGGCTATACACATATAAATTGGCTGATGATAAATAAAAGATTCCACCAAATTTTATTTTTTATTGATACTAAATTGAACGTTAATCTACATTTAAATAGTTTCCATAAGAGTAACCTTGGTCTTTGGCAGTTACAGTACTTTAAGTATTATTTGGTTTGATATATATAATAAAATTATTGGAGTTGCCTGCTACATTACTTACTTGTTTAACTGATTCATTTCCATTTTCATCACTAATAAGTTCTATTTAGTTTCTATTTACTACTTAACCTTAGCATAAAGTGCTATAATTTATTATATCACGTTTAAGAACTGGAAGCAGTCTACAAAAACCAAAGAAATCGGGAGCATAAAGTAATTGGGCTGATGATAATCTGTTAGGATTAGAACTCAATTAAGCATAGTTATAGTTTTCATAAAATAATAGGAAATCATTTATATTATAATTTAAAAATTGAGTTGGTTTACTAGCATCTATTTAGGTCATTGATAATAAATCATAATCTACTTAGGTACTGGTGGAACTTGTTGAGGAAGTGGTGGAAGTTTCTTAAGAATTGTAAAACATACCGCTGTATGCTTTGTTTTATCTAGCTAAACAAGCTATATTATTAATATAACTTGGAATTAATTCATTAATGTCATTACGCAAGGTATCACAAAGAGGATAGTTGATAAGCATATAACTTTGTTCCATAGTTGTCTTTCTTTTAGTTGTAAAATAGTTTTGTTAATTAGTTTAGGTGTCTGTATCGCAAGAACAATCATAATCTCTTAGATATGTTATATCGCAAACGCAATTTGCTGAATCATAATTAATTAAATCTAAATCTTAGCTACTTGTATAATTTGCAGGTGTACTACTAGCTGGAGTAACGTAAATAAATGGATTCGTGTTTGTATTTTACGCTAGGGTTAAGCTAACTATAATTGTAAGCAAATATATGAATTAAACCATTTTCTTTCTTTCTTTTTGTTTGTTTGTACTCCTTTCTTTTATATTTCTAAGAAATTATTTGAAATTATTTAAAACGAACTACTGATTGATTATCGATCTATTTATTTATCTATATATCTATCTATCTATCTATCTATCTATCTATCTATTTATTTATTTATTAGCTTTTATTGTCTTAGAATGTTTTATTTTAATTTTCAAATTTATTAAATTAAAAAAATATTGTTGGCATAAAATAATTGAAATACTTCTAATTTTTTTTAGTTTACTGAAAAATAAATATTCTTCTATTTAAATAAAAAATGTCAATAAAAGAAATGAATATTTTAAAATTAAGATTTTTTAAAAATAATTAATTTTATAATAATTTAATAAAATATTTATTTATTTATAAATAAAATTAATTGCTTGTTACTCAAATATTAATAAAATATTCTATACTTGCTTTGTTTTTGAAATTTGGTTGGAATGGCTTTACTAGTAAAATCTTTTTTTATCATCAAAAATTAATCACAAATAATAATAAGAAAATCCAAATTAAATATTTTTGTAATAATAATATTTTTTAAATTATTATTGATTAAGTAAGGTTTTTGTTAATGTAAATTTAATGTTTTTTTATATTTGAGTAAAATTCTAGAATATTTTTTAAAAGGAAATAAGAACAAATAGAGAAAAGCTAAAGAAAATTTTGTTTTTTTAAACTTATTTAGATATTATTTTTAGGTATACATACACATATAGAATGTACGTATAAAAGTAGGTATTATATTAAAATACTAGAAGTAATGGCTATGATTTTTTATTTTAAATAGTTAAGTTAAATAGAATCTTTGTTTTAATAATTTAGGTGCATGTTTTAAATATAAATTTATTAAATAAGATAGAATTTATCTAGAATATTTTTACATTTTTTAATAGATTATTTTTTGTTTTTATTTTGTGAGATTGAGTTTATCATAAAAATTAAGATGTTTCAAATATTTTCACATCTAAGAAAAAGAAGAAATGAGAAAGGAAAATGTTTTTTATTTTTATTTTGTTCATTTAAACAGAGAAGACAAGAAGCAAGCTTTAGACTTTATTTGGCATCCTGATTGTTTGTTTTATTAGCAGGTGTTAGCTTATAACTCAAATGAGTATTTTTTTAACTTTATTACAACTTCGTCAAGCTAGAAATTTAAGCAGCTTTACCTATTAATCAACTTTTCTTGCTTAAATTTATTTATAAATTGAAGAAATTCTAGAGAAAGCAGTTTGTCATAAAATATATTTTTGTTATTACATGTTAGCTATTAACATTTATTTAAGCATATCATAAAGATAATTTTCATGGACATGGAAGCCAATTTTTAATCTTTCTAGTAGTTATTGCAGTTTTCTACAAGGATATCTATAAATTTATGATTGAATAAACGAAGTAAGTCAGTAGTACTACAGTCTCTCAGGCTTGTTTCAAAATATTTAAGAGCCTCAAGTTTGGCTTAATGATCATTAGAAAGTAAAAATTGTGTGTATTTACAATTATTGTTATTTGAATTGATACAGCATGGTTGGATTTATTTTTTTTATTTAGTTATGTAAGGCTGTTAAGCACTGATCGATTCTTCATTCATTTGCTAGTTATTTCTTTATAAAAAGCAATTAGATTCATTTTTATTCTAAGATAATATTGCTTGTCCTTGCTAAATCTGCATTGATCCTTATACGAATTATAATTAATTATTATATACTTATAGAGCATTTTAACAAGAGTTTGAAAGATAGTTATTCGTTTCCCTTTCCATTTCTTCTTAAGGTTCTCTTTAATTCATGTATGAAAACTCAATTTATTATTATTATTATTATTTTTGGATTTAGCAATTACAAGGAGATTGTAAGAACTAATTTTAAAAAGTACTTGGATTTATAAATTATTCGGAGATATCAGTTTGTTAATTGAAACCTGAAGAAGCGCTATTTGAACTAAATGTAATACGTTTATTTTATTAGAATGATTGGAGATCTTCGTTAAATTTTCTGTTCTCCAACTAAAATAAATTTTAGTGCATAGTGTTAGTGTTAGTGTTAGTGTTTTGTGATGTACAATTGATTGAATTATTATCATAATTTCTAGAGTTTGATTTGATTAAACCAAGCATAGTTTATGTTGGAACATATGCTGGTGTACGAATTTGATTTTAAGATTAAGTGATTTCTTCTTCCATATCTGCGTAGTTATTAAATAAAATAGAAATGGTAGTAGTAATGTTAGTAGTAGTTGGTCTGATTACTTTTTGATTTTTGTTTGTTTAGTTATTCTCAAAAATAAGCAAGCATTATTTGTATTTAATTTTTTGTTAATAATTATTAACAAAGAGTATTTAGAAACGATTACTTATAGTTTGCAAGATAGTAATATATATCTAGAGCTTTAAGCTAATGCAATTTAATTTTTTAATCATTCACTTAACTATTTCTATTTTTGATGCCTTTTACTTTCTCTTAATTTTCTTATTCAATTATTCTCATCATTACCGTCTTACGAGTTCTTCTTTTCTTTTTATTTTCCTTAGTTTTTCTTTTTTACCCAATTTGCACTGCAATTACCAGAATTCACACAACCTTATAATTTGTACTTTCAGACTTTTTACACTTTATATTTTTTGTTTCATTTCAGCAATTTTCTAGAAACTTTACCGAATAATCCTTAAGCTATTTTTCAATCATTAATATTTAAATGGCATCACTTTTTACTGTTTTATCTTTGTTGAAGGCGCATTACTCCACAATTTTCTGTAAAATTATGCAAAATTTCTCATTTTTTAAATATCTACATCCCTAAAATTGGCATTTAAAAATATTTACTTGAAAATTGCTTAATAAAAATTTATAATTTGAATTTTGAAAAAGTAAATTCTTAAACATTACAATAAATCTGAATTAAATTTACATTTACTTTAAATTTAGTTTTAATTAATTTTGTTTAATTATGCAAAGGTTAATGATGTCAAATATAATATAATAAAGTAGAATTAATTCATAATAATTCAACTAAATTCCTTAATAGTTATTTTTTAATCAAAAATACAATTAGGGTTTTTAACAATCATTAGGAAGCTCGCTCATTAAAAGTTAAAATTAAAATTTAACATATAAATTTAAATATTTTTTAAATTATGCAAGCTTATAATTTTTTGAGCAATAAATAATGAAAGATAAATAATAATAAGTGATTTTTACTTACTTTAATGAAATTAATTATTAATAAAATAAATTAGTTTTAATTTAGTAAAAAGCTTAAATTTAAAATATTTAAATTAAAAATTAAGTAAAGAAAATAAATGGAAAATTATTAGATAATTTAGAATATTTGCAAATAAATAAGATAGATAACGAAAATTATAAATTTACTTATATTAAAAGAGCCAGTAGTTTTTATTATAATTTTCAAAAATTCTAAAAAATTAAAATTACATATTTTATTATGCCATATATAATTCCTCATAAATAAAGGTAACCTTTTATTAAGGTCACTTTAGAAAATTTTTCAAAATTTCTTTCAAAAAACTTTGGAGTGGAGTGGGTGGTCTTAATTAATGTGGAATTAAGGTATATTAACTTTTCTAAATAATTTGTCTTTAATTTATAAATATATATATATATTTTTATGTGAAAAATATGATCTATTATTTATTTTAGCTTATTATTAATAGCTATTTTTTTCAAGTATTAATAGATTATTAAAAATTTTAAATATGTATTATTAGGTAAATTACTAAGTATATACTTATTATATGTGAGTGTATGAATTTATAAAGTTGAAGCTAAAATAATATTTAACAGAAAAAAAAATAATCTAAGTAATTCATTCTGTTACAATAAGCTATATTTGCGCTTCTAAGTATAATTAAAAAGATCTTATCTAAAATATTATATTTTATTTAGTATTATTATATTTAATTATTTTGCATTAGGACATTAAAAGCAAGTTTTATTATTAAAAAAAGATATTTATATTAAGAACCAAATTCAGGTAAAGAGTTAATTTAAACAATTGTTTTAAAAAATCAATGATTTTATAAATTAATTACTTATGAAAAATATAATGAATTTAAACATTAAAATATTGATGTCAATCTGAGTAAAAATATTTTGAAAGATTTATATTATAGCTTTTAATTGTATTTGGTAGAAAAGAAACTAATTATTTTTAATAAATAAAACTTTACTTTATAAAAACAGTTTAATTATTTTACTTATTTGAACTAATTAATAACTTTAATTTTACATGTTTGTGACAAATGAAATGTTAATACTTTTCAAAAAGCAATTACATAAATATATTAAAAGAAATATAAGTTTAAAAGAAATAATTATTAATGGAAAAAGTTATTAAAAAATAAATTTAGCATATTTTTTAAGATGTATATTATTATATTGTATACATTATCAGCATAAAGAGTTAACAGAAAGTATTTATTTATTTATATATAATTATATATATTTAAAGCTTGAAGTAATTGATCAGTAACAGCAAAATTTTATATAGAGATTGAATTAATAAATTCTTTCTCTGTTTAAACTCAAATCAAATCGATAATAATAATCAACAACAACAAAACTTGAAATGAGGAAGAGTTATTTATATCAGTTAGCATCTTCGTTCTAAATTTATTAATTTGATTACTAATTTATTTGATTTTGATTCTGATTATTATTGTTTTAAGACGACTATTCGTTTGGACGAGAAACTCTTTACTTGTTTTTTTTATTATTTTACTAAGAATAATTTACTATCTCAATGTTAATCCATAGTAATTTATTTACCAATTTTCCAAATTTATCATTTTACATCTCATCCCCCATAATAGTAGCCAACCTATCGCATAAATTTAAAGAAATAATTTTATCTATGATTAAGTTTTTTTATTGATATTGATAGTGTTTTCTTTCCAATTTTAAAATTCCACATAGATTGTAAATTGCTTCCTTTCCTAGCTTATTTAATGGCGTTTTTATGATCTCATTTAAAATATCTAAATATTTAAAATGAAACAATCTGAACACTTTCATAGGTGAAATCTTTTTAATCTATGATCTTAAATATTTCATAGATTCTATCTATTAATCTAATGTCCCATTTTTTAATCTAACTAAATGCTACTATAGGTCTTGCTCTTCTTCATCATAATCATCGCTTTCTTCTAAACTGGTTGTGTGAAAGCTTGTGAAAGACACATCCTCTTCCATCTAAAAGTAAAACTACAATCAACGTGGAACTATAAAATAAAAAAATACCTTTTTAAAAAAACCTTTCCTTTTTAAAGTCAACCCTATTTTAAAAAGTATGTAAGTATGAATGAATGCTTTTCCCTTTGTAAATATGTCTATTTATAATAATTATATTTTCGCACTTTTTTAATTTAAAAGGGGTACATACAATCAATGAGTGACTGTCTGATTAATAGAAGTAAACATAAATTCAAAATTTATAAATAACTACAATATTATTCAAATCTGATAATTATAAACTAATCAGATTAAGCGCAAAATAATATGTTTAATAAGCAATTATCACAGTTATTGATCATCAAAAAATATATTTAAACTGGATATAAAGGATAATGGGAACAAGAACTCAGTAGAATATTAACAAAATTTTTCTGAATTTTCATGTATTTTTTTGTGCTTATACTAACATGAAAGCAGCTAAGCAATTTGAAGTTAGATTAGCAATATATATTTTTTAATGCAAAATGATTACCTTTAACCCAAAAATTTATGCAAAAATTCAAGCTTTTTTAATAAAGTCCTCTTATAAACTTGTAAAATTTAAAAATTAAAAAGTTGAATAACTGTTTTAAAAAAATAAATTTTTAATTTAAATAGTTTAATAAAGCTTTAAAATATTTCTATTTTATTATTAAAGTTTGATAAGATAACATTTTCATTTAATTATTAATAATAAACTGAAAGTTATTCTTGAAAATTCTAAATTAAAAGTATTATCTATTTTTTCTTTTGAATTTTCTATATTTAAATGTAATTTAAACTATTTAAATACTATTAATCAATTATTTTAACTTCAATAGATAAATCTATTTATATTTTGTTTTAAATTTAAAAATTAATATCTATTTTAAAAATATAAAATTATTTTTTATATTAGGATGATAACTAAAATATTTTAAATATCTTGAAAAATATTGAGCAAATTTACAAAAAGTAAAATTAGAAATAAACTCATTGCATTGAAATATTTATTCATTATTACTTATTTATCAAGAATTTATAAATTAATTTACATTTGTTTAATTATTATTAATGAATAAATTAAAAGTAGCTTAATGAATTTAATTTACAGCTTATTTAAATATTTTGTAAATTATTAGTTTAATAAGGATGATTACATGTGTTTATGTAATAGTTAGTCACTATTAAATCTGTTTAGTAAAAATGTAATTATAACACATTAAAAAAGTTTGAAACATTAAAAAGGAAATTTGAATTTTATCTAATTAATTTAGATATTTAAATTAGTTTTAATGCAACAAAAAATAAGCATTAATTCACAATTTTTAAAAATCTAGATCAAAATTATTTCAGAAAATCATCTTGACACAAAAAATTAAATATTTAGATTTGAATTTCTGGTAGAAATGATGTATTTTTGAAGCGATATGGACAAATACTTGAATCAAATTTTAGTAATATTTGTAATTTGAAAGCTGTAATTGTTATATTATTTACAAACAGATATCTTTTAAGTTGTAAAATAAATACTAAGTTGTATTATATGTAGGAAGATAAAATAAAAATCTGTTTATAATTCATTTATTATAAATACTATATGACATTAAATATATAATATATAAACATAAATAATCCATCTTGTTAATATATTGAAATAGAGCTAAATTTAGATTTTAATTAATTTCTGATTGTATTTTCTAAATAATTATCACAAAAACATGTTGTTTATTTTTTAAAATTATAAAGATAACTTGCTTATTTAACAATTTTCTAGCTAGAGCAGATAAATATAACCAGCTTCTTGCTTTTAGTCACACAATTATTTATTTATTTAAAGCTTTTGTTGTATTTAATTTAAGTAATTATTTTGATTAAAGTCAATATTTTTATTTAATCACATCAGGATATATTACCAACTTTCATTAATTTTAAAAAAAATCTTTATTGATCACAAGATTACTTATTTTTTTACTTTTTAAATAGTTTCCAGAAAGTTTTTTTTTTACTACAACAAAAGAATATCAGAACAGCTTAAATACTTAATTATTGAATAAAGGATTAATAAGGTGCTTAGTATGAATGGGGAATGCTCATAGTAGTTCTAAGAAAAGGAGAGACTTTTAAATTAGATAGCTACGAAAACAATATGCCATCCCAGCTAGTTGTTATTATTTGAGAATATTAAGATTTATTTAGAGAAGTTTAAGTTTTTTTATAATAAAGTAAATAGAAATGATATATAGATAGAGATTTTAGATAAAAACAAGAATGGTTATTAGATAGATGAAAAGAAAATTATTAGAATTTGTTAGTTATATTCAATCTTTTGTTATTTATTTGATTTCTTTTAATTAGTGCATTCTATATAAATATAATTGTAATTGAAGAAAGTTAATAGATTAAGAATAGAGAAAAAATCAATCAATGTGAGTTGCTGAAAAACTTTTAGATATATTAGAAGACAGTGAATTTTTCAGAACTTTCTTTATAGTTCTTAATAGCTTTAATTACTTTTTCAGTACTTTATCCCTTCAATATGGTAACTATCTTTTATATATCAGCAAGATGCTCATTACCAAAAGTACAGTAAATCATGTCTCTTTCTTGCATGGAGCAGGCTATCCATTGGATGATAAATTTCAATTAAACATCTCCATGGAAGGAGCCACAACCCCAGTTACCAGTAACGATTTAATGACCTTTAGGAGTATAATCAGTAATTTAAAAACCAGTAAGGGCTTTAATGAGCTCGCGGAAAATCATTTTAGGTTAATATTACAAAGCGAGGATATGTTCATGGAAGAATAGGGCATCAATAGCAATAACTGCAGTTTGTTTGCAATTTCTTTAAGTATCAACTCCTCGGGGATCAATAAAATTGTCTATATTTTATAAAATTAATTTTAATATTTCTGTAAATTTATTGGAGTGATTTTTTAAAAAATTTAAATGGAAATTAATGTAATCAGAATTTTATTTTTATTTGTATATATATTATTTTTTGTTGTTTTTATGACGCTAAAAAGTAATTAAGATTTCATTTATTTCCCTTGTAAAATTCATTCATTAATCTAACAATCAAAAAAAGATTTTTCAAAAGATATTTTATTCTAATAACAAAAATATCAAAATTTTTGGTTTTAATTCCTTTTGTTTTTTTTGTTTTGGAAAAGTAAAAAAACTACTTTTATCATCTTCTAATGTTCTAAATTTTTGTTTTGTAAGTAATTAATCAGTTTTTAGGAAATTAAAATATCTAATAATGGATACATTTTTTCTAAAATTAAATTTTGTTTTTTTAATTTTAAATTTAATCAAGATAGAAAGAAAGGATTTTATTCTTTTAAGCTTTGAATAAATAAATTGTTTTTTAAAGTTACCTTCAAATGCAAAAGTCTAAGAATATCCTGTGTAGGAGGAGTAGCGTTCAGCACCAGTTATAAGTATTCCTTCCTTATCTTCGATGCATTCACAAATTTGACAGCAGATAAGTAGTTCTGGATTTGTTACAAACATTATTTCTTCTTGAACACGACCAGTATCTAAAACACCACCTCCTATGCATTAGTTTGCAAAGTCAATGTGAATGTGTTAAGATTATAAGAAATCTTCGATGCGCTTATCAGTGAAGATTTTTATGTTTGAATTAAGAGTAGGTGGGACTTTATAATTATTTTAATTAACGTATTACAAACGTTGAATAATAATGAAGAGATTTAAGTGTTCTTCAGATGCAGAGAGGATTCTCTTGAAATAATTATACAAGCATTTGATTTTTTCAATCTTTGTTTCGATTCTATAGGGTCCATCATACCATTAAATGAGAGTACGGTATTTGGAATAATCAATAGTACCAAAGAACATGTTGGCCAAAACAGAACTTATTTAGCGCTTAGTAAATATGGAAGGAGTGGAGTCATATTGTTTGAGAATTTTGACAGGAGAATTTAAGAATAGTGTTTCCAATTCAAGTGCACGTATAGCAAGAGAAGGTAAAAATTCTTCTATGAAATATTTTTGATCTGCTTCATCTAATTATTCATAAAAGACTCTCAAGACTTAAAGATTTTGTTTTATTTTTAAAACTTGTAAGAATTTATCAAAGGAGTCAAAAAAATCTTCTATGTTTGTGTAGGTTTTTTATGCAATAGCAGATAAATGTTCTTTATATAGTTTATTCCATTATTCTTTTTTTTAGAAAGGTAAGGTTTGGGGCGCATTTATAGAGATGTTAGAATTGCTACCAATACTGGTGCTTGAATGATTATTACTCAATTAATTTAATTGAGGAAGTTCTTCAACAAGAGAAGTCATGATTGATTGATTGGATGAATGAATGAATGATGTGATTGATGATACTAAATAGATTAAATTATGCGATAGCTAAAAAGTTAAGATACTATAGTTTTGAATCAGATAATATGATGATAATTATTCAGAAATTCAAGTTTCTTTATTATTAAGCGAGATTTTCCAGTTTTTTTTCAATTTCTGAGTATTAGCGCAGTAAATTGTTTTATTTGCAGCGTATTTTTGTATTGTTTTCAAAGATGAAATTAATTGAGAAATTTCAATGCGGTAATTGTGAGTATAGTTTTAATTTGATTTGATTTGATTAATTGTATGAAATGTTAATTTTTGCTTTTGTGTTAATTTATTAATTATTTTTTAATGTATTTATTTATGTATGTATGTTTGTATGTGGTATTATTTTCTTAAAGAAATGTTTATTAGAAACTGTGTTTTTTTTTATTTAGGATTATATTTAAAAAGTATTGATAAATTATTAATTATAAATTTAATCATCAAAGCACTTTTATATGAACTTGATAAAAATTTTTTTTTTCTTCTATTTTCCCTTTCCCCAAATTCCTTTTACAGAATTCATTTAATTTTAATTATTAATTTCGTGTATGCAAATGATTTAGTTTATTAATTAATACTCTACCCCTTCCTTTATTTCTTTTTTTGTTGCATAATATATATATGTATGTATGTATGATCTTCATTTTCTTCTTTTTAACTTTATTATATCTTAATATCTTCCTTTTACTATTTCTATTCATTTCTTTAAATTAACTATTATAACTTTAACTACTTTATTCTGAATACTCTCCTGATTTTTCTCAAACTATTTTAGAATTATTGTATCCCATTTTGTTAATTTACCTATATAAATCTAACTTTTGATAAATGGCAAATAGATGTTAATGCCTATTCCATTTTTGTGAAGCTCTTTTTATATTTACAAGAAGATCTAAAATCATCAATATAAGCTATTAATTTTTCCTTTTTCTGCCAATTTTCTTTATCTGTGTCATTTCAGATTTTGGAATTTATAAGAATGATACAATTTTTCATCCGATTTATGTCAGAAGCGATCTGTTTTACACTAAATACCCACATAGCTGCTATAATTCGGTGTTCTGAGGCTTTTTTTATTTTTAATTCCCCTATTTTTTTGCTAAATTAGAAAACCATTTTGGTTGAAATTTTTAAAGCCGATATTGCTGATAAAAGCTATGGTATTTTTTTCTGCCTCTTTTATAAACAAATAGCTTTAAATATGAGAATGGATATTTAAATAAAATCTTAATATGCACTTAATGATGTGTAAATGTCTGTGTTTTTATCTAAGATTTATTTTAGTTTTAAATTTCTACTCTTGAAATGAAGTACTCACATTTACAGAAAGCACTTTACACATTTCTAATAAATATAGGTTATACCTTGTAATGTATGATTAGTTTTTGATTCAAAATAGTTATTTTTAGTAAGCCCTTCAATTTTGGCTCTATTTGTACTCAATTAGATACAGTTATTTTGCAATCTGTTAATTTTAATATATATCCCCTTGCAAAAAAAGTTGAGTCACCATGAAAAAATTTTACACCAGTCACTACAATATATTATGCTTTCTAACAATTCAAGTAAGAAACCTGAAACTCATTAAAAATAAAATTCAATCATAAAATCTGTTTAAATTAAAATATTTTATCAAAATGCATAGTTTACTTTTGAGGTCCCACAATATTCAGTTGATCTGTGTGATCAAATCTTATTGATTTTTAAAATAAGTCTTTCAGATTAAAGAACTCTAATTGCATAAAATAGCCTTGCATATTGATTTTTACCTTTAAAATTATGATACCAATATTATTTGACCAAAAAGAGTTTGAGAAACTTAATTGTCAAAGCGCCCTTTTTTTTATCAAAATTCTGATATTTGCCATTCCTAATTAAATTTAGATTTACACTCTCAATTATCATTCAATTCAAGAAATAATTCATGTGTTTTCCATATTATTTATAACTTTTTTATAGATTTTATAAAATTCACTCTTCTTTGCAGCAATATTGTAAACAAGTTAGTGATTATCAATAAAATTTGATTTAGATCTCTATGAGAATTTAATAGGCTCTATTCGAAATAAGCAAAGTATTTTTAAGCATTTTTTTAAAAAAGCTTTCGTTTTTTTGATCCAATTTATATGAATTAATTTAAATGAATATAGTCTTTTATTAAAAAAGTAGAAAAATTTAACATTATATTGAAGTAGTTTTGAAAAAATTATAAATAATTACATAAAAATATAGTAAATAAACAAATTATGAATATAATCTATAAGAATTAATTAAATTATGAATAATTCGGTGATTACCCCTCTATCTAAATCAAATTATAAGCACATTCTGGGTTATTTAAAATTATTTATTTAATAATGAATATCATAATAATAAGGAAATATTTTGATCTATCTTTACCCATTAATTTATAACAAGCTAAATATAGCTTACTATATTCTACAATTTTAACAATTTTAGATTAAATTACAAATCTTATATTTGTTATAAAATGTGATTTTGGCATTTAAAATTTTTAAAATTTCTAAATCACTTTAGAATTATATAATTTTAAAAAGAGCCAATTGATCAGATTTAAAGAATCTATTAATCTAATTTTATTAATACACTTGGTTTTCTACAGAATTATTAATTTATATGTCTATTTTATTTTTAATCTTAGATAAAAATATTAAATATACTTATTGCTTAAAAATAAGTGCTTTTAAAAACAAATTATAAATTCATAATTTTTGGTTATTTGTTGCCTAGATTGCATTTAAAAGTATTATTAATTTATGTAGAAGAATCACTTAAAAAACAAGCTCAATATTTTTATTGATTTATTGATATTTATTACAAAATCTAACACTTATTTATTTCTGATTAATTTTTAAATCTTTTATTATAAAAAAAAGAAAAATATTTGCAGCAAATAATAATTTAATGCCAGAGCATATTTAAAATAAATATAATATCATATATACCTACTAATGAACTTTGCTCAAAGATAGTAACTATAAGGTGCTTTTTAACAAAAATATAAGATATTTAGCTAATGTAATAAGGGCCTTTTTATACTCCTTTATATATATTATTGAATCATTATTATCGTTTTAATCTCACCCATATTCACATTACAAATAAAATTTGTTAGATTTTTAAAAGCGTAATAACTCTTCTATATTACTATAAATAATATAAGAATAATTAATATAAATTATTTCAAATTTTTTTATAATCTATTTTTAGTTAGTTAGTTAGTTATTTATTTATGTATTATAACTATCTAATCTCAAAAAAAGAGATAAAACCAAATAAATGTAAAAAAAATTAAATAAATGTTTACAAAACAAATCATAAAAAACTTGAATAATATGTAAAATCTTTAAATTTTTAACAGGGTTAAAATATAATAATTTTTCAGCTACAAATTCTTTATTTATGGTTAAAAACATTTATTGATTTAATTAACAAAATAATATTATTTACATTCCCTCTTAAAAATAGATATTTTTAAAAAAAATTATTTTCAATTAAAATTAATATTATTTATTAAATGTATTTTTACATTCTAAGTGCTTATTAATTAGTGAAATTAATTTACAAAACAGCCTAATCCATCCTTTCAAATGAATATGGTGCTATTATTAAAATTCAAATATCGCGGAAATTTTAAATAAAAATTAGTTATTTACTAAATGAGGATTTGAGCATCTGAAAAATATTCAAATATATTTTAGGTTTTAAAAATTAAATTAATTAAGAAAATTGAAATCAATTAAAATAATTATAAGCTATATAAATAAAGTGGAAAGCATACAAAAATGGTTTCATGGAAAAATGCTATTTTGATAGGTTCTTACACATTATGCTTATTTGTAGGTGTAGGGTTGTTTGTCTTTGGTTCAAAGTTAGCATATTTAGTAATTAATTATTAAGTTCATACATACTTTTAATAAATTTGATTATAATTCAAAAATAAATGTCATCGATCTAATTAATCAATTTATTTAAAATATGTAGGATTTAACTGACATGACTGACAGCGTTGATTCACTTTCTCTTAATTTATTAGATGAAAACTAACAGAGATTATATAAATATGATAAATTAGTATTATATTTATATGATTATGAAAAGTTTTAAGGCACTACTAAAGTTTCCAATTTCACTATTAATGACTGTCCAAAAAGCGAGTACGAATAGCTTAATGTTACAAATAACACAATACATTTTAACCCTACAGAAGATTTAGTGAAAGCATACCCTGATCAAAGTTTCGAAGTAGGAGTATATAGCGATCATACTCTAAATTTTAAGAGGAGTGTTGTTTCACTTTTTACAGGAATGGATGTCAAACAACTGAATTAGCTTCTCAATTTTACTCAATTCTCATAAATTAAATTTCGAAATTTAATCAAAGACATTTAGCAAATGAAAAATGTTAAAACATTTGCATTTTTGAATAAGAAATATTAGAAATTATTAACAGAGTTCATATCTAGCAATGATACCAGTAATAACAAATCTGACTTGATATAAAATAAAAATTTCTAGGTTTAGGATGAAACAAGTATTTAATACAATTTAAATTAATACTTAGAGAAAAATGAATATGACGTTTTAATATGTAATATTTTTATTGATTTTACAAAAATTTTTTATATAATTTCAAATATTATTAATTTTATAATCTACTTTGCTTAACATTTTCCTCAAATAGATTTTAATAGTTGAGTCTTGGTGTATAGCAAATATACCTTAGATTAATTCTCATATTACCAAAATATCTATTAAGTTTGTTATATTTGACTATATTTTTAAAAATTAATTTAGTTAGCAAATCAACTGAGAACTTATTGATAGATGAAAAAAAAGAAGATCAAATAAATGACATTTTAGGGTAAAAAAGAACTAACTTAATCACTGTAGTTAATCAAATTAGCAAAAACCCGAAAAACGTTTTATTCTTAGCAATAGGTTGGAATTAGTGTCATGAATAAGCTAAAATATTTGCCTATAACAGGAATGGATTCTCATTGACAGATTAAAATAGCGACGAATAGATAATAATTGATTAATTTTATGGAAGTTTATCATATGCTATGAATTGGAAGATAAAATAAGGCTTAATTGCAAGAAATGTTGGTCTTTTTGATATCAAACAATAATACATGAATGCTTAGACGGATCTCCTTTATAGAATTTAGGACAGTTTTAATAATTTAGTGCAGTAACATAAATTTTTAAACAAATTAACAAATTTAAATACTTCAAGCTCGTCTACTTCAGAGGATTAAGAAGTACTTAGCAGGATATTAGGAAAGATGAAAAAAATATATGAAAATTACTCAGATAGCGATGTAAATAAGGTTCGTGCAAATGCCTCAATAGAAGACCTGAAATAAATATAAACAATGCAAACTGAAATCGAATTGAAAATAAAGGAGTATAGTTAATTTAATTTAAACTTAACTATTGCTGGCGCTTAATTGATTTTCTTCAGCATATTTATCTGTTTAGCTATTTTAATGGTAAATATGAAGGTTTAAGACAGTATTTATAGTAAAAGATTAATAAATCTCATGTTGGAACTCCCAATTTATTATGAAGCTTTTAAATTTTTATTTAGTAGACTTTTGATTCCTGAATTTTCTTTAGTTTACCCAGAGAGTACTTAATAGATAATAAGAACATAGCAATTTGAGTTATAAGAATAAACTTTCTACAGCATCTTGCTCTTTATGGGAATAATTGCTCTTCTAAATAGCACAACCTTATTTATTTAATAATAATATCAAAAAATTTTGTTAGCTGTTGTATGCTATAATTTATTTATAGGAGAAGCATACTTGCAAAGAAATGTCTTCCTTAATGCAACTTTAGCAGATGATAAGGAATAGTTGGCTATATTACTGCTTATTATTGTGAGGTTCCTCTACGAACTCTACTCTACTATGGGAGAAAGTCTTTTCTATCTCTACTATTGCACTATTATTTTCCTCTTACCTTTCTTAAGATACTTTTTTGAAGCATCTTTTATTATTTTCTAATATGTAAATGCCTTTAATGGGATAGTTCTACTTTATTTAAACAGAGCTGAAACTAACTTCGAAGAAAAAATTGCTATCTTCATGCTTTCATTTAGTCCTTTTATAAATTTTATAGTTACTTCTGAATAATGCAGTAATTTCTTCTTTGTTTACTCAAGTCACATTGCACTTTATTGCTTACTGTTCTGCTTTGCAGCCTATTTAAAAATACTCTACCTACCAGCATTTTTCATCATAATGAACTTATTAAATTATGAACTTCTTATGAATATCAAAATAGGAGAATCTGAGTATACAGGGTTCACTTTAAGTAACTTCTTAATAGTGGGACTATCATTATTTGGAGTATCTAATGTCATTTTTTGGAGTAAGGCACAATAAATGCACAAAAAGAACTTTAATGATTTGACTTTGAGTAAGATGTTTTCATCTGATGTAAAGTCTAATCAAGCAGTACTGATTGCTCAGCTTTTCAAATATAATTTGTTTGGCATAATTGCATTACTCCATATAATGTTCTTTATTATTTTACAAAATGCTCAAACATTTGATTCTATTTCTGTAAATTTCTTATAGGACTATTTAAAAGCTGAATATAACAATAGCTACATAAATTACTTTTAGAAATAAGCTCTCTATACATGTGCTACTTTAGTTTCGAGTATAATAATGATTCTTTTATACACTCGTACCAAAGAAATTGATGATTTCGACAATGCTTCTAAATCAGAAATTTATGAAACAGAAGAGCTAGCTGATAATTCTGCTACAAGAAAAGGATTCGACATAATTATGGCATCTGAAAAGAAACAGCTAAATAACAATTCAACTTTATTTTGAGTTTATTGAAATTATATTTTATTTTAATTATTTTATTTTACAAAAGCTAATATTTTTAATATGGATTTTTAAGATAAAAAATGGATTTTATTCTTTCTTATTAAATATACTTTGACATTTTGTTAAATTTAATAACCGTCATATTATAATATTTCATTGCTACTTTAATTATTGTGTAGATTTTTATTTATATAAAATCTTGGTACTGCCATTATATTTTTAGTTTAAATTAAAATTAAAATAATTTTTTTTCTTTTTTATTTTAAATTAATCTTAAATTAAAAAATTATTTTTTGACCTTATTTTTTAATAAGAAGGTATTTTTAAATATTTAAATCTAATTATTGTCTAAAAAAATGATCAGTTATTAAGTTAAATTAATAAGTTTAATAATGAAAAATTATTCCTAAATTAAAATTAAAATCTTAACCTTATTGTTATAAATTTTGTCAACAATTAAACTTAAAATTTAACAAAAAAAATAAATTAAAAATAATAACAAAATTAAAATAAAATTTTTAATTGCTTTTATAAAAAGCAGAATCATTAGAATAAATTTTTTAGAATTTATTATAATAAAAAATATTTTTTAAAAAATTAATTTTATTTAATTATTAGGTATTTTTAAAATTTAAAATCGAATTATTGCCGAAAAAAAAATAAAAATTAATTAGTTTATAAATGAAAAATTATTCCTAAATTAAAATAAAATTCATAATCTAATTGCCATAAATTTTGTCAATAATTAAACTTAAAATTTAACAAAAAAAATTAAATTAAATTAAAAATGATAACTAAATTATATTAAATTAAAATTTTTAATAGCTTTTATAAAAAGCAGAATCATTTGAATATAAAAAATATCATTTAAATTCAAAGAGTGTAGGATTTGTTATTGTTTCTAATTCAAATAAAATGCTAATTTCACTTTTAGGTTTAGAAGATTCCTCTTTAAATTATTTGGTTACTTTTATTAAATTTAAATGTTATATATCTGCACTTTTCTTGATGATTGTTTACTTAAAAAAAGTGAAAGGATGTACAAGTAAGTTAGCAGGTATATTCAGAAATTTTTGTTTACTAAAAGCAGAAAATAATGATGTAATTTAAATAAAATAATAGGTGATTTGATTTTCATTGCTATTAGTTTAATTGGTGCACAAAAATAAATGTTTTTGAAGTATTATAAGAAACAAATAATATTAATTGACGCTTTTGGATACAATAATACTATTAAATAAAAGATAAATTCAGTGCGAATAATTAGTAGTTATTAAACAAAAATAAATATTCTTTATTATTCTTTAACTCCTTTATATAAACTAATCTCTTTAAAAAGTAAACAAGTTATTTTTAGTGTAATAATTTGAGGGAAATATTCTTGATATGAGCCAAACCAGTGTTAAAGTGTGTCTATCGATTTCTCTCATTATATTTTTGCTTGGTCTCTTTCTTGTCAGGTATGGCATGCTGAAATTTACATATCATGTAGCAGAAAAGGTAATGATGATCTTAAATTAAATCAATAGATTATTTTTTAGTTTAAAGCTGGATTCAAATAAAAAATATAGGCAAATTTCTAAGCTGATATTCTATTTAATTATTTTCATTATTAATAATGATCTAATAGTTAAGACTTCTAATTTTATTTATATATAAACATACATTAGAGTTAGACATCAAACCCATTTATAAAATACGATAACGATTATAGTGAGTAGAAATAATGGAATAGTAATCTTTATAAAAAAGTTGTCTTTTTCCTACTAGAGAATTACTCTTATGAGTGGCTTAGTAATCATCCCAAAGCTTAGATGTTTGCCCACACTAACAATGTATAATACAATTACTAGTGGACCCTGTTTGACAAATTAGTAAAAAATGATCCAAAAAAAGCAATATTTCGCAAGGTTGAAATTAATTCTCCTTAATCAGCATTAGCTAAAATTGCTACTTACATGGTTGGAACAAACACAGCCTAATTTGAGGTAGGGATATAGAGCTCAAATTCATTCAAACAATAAGAAGATAGTATCTTTTACTAATTGAGTCAAAACTCCTTTACTACAATAGGCTTTTTGAACAATATTTGGTATAGTTCTTTTCCTAATCTCCTAAAAGAAAATAATAATCTCCATCAAGAAGAAAAATAAGCTGAAGAAGAAACTGATTAAAATTTGCTCGACTATTTAAAAATTTAAGAGATAATTAAGGAAGGCACTTTTGATTTCCTTTTTAGTAATTCATACTTTAATTCTACTTTTATGCTATCTATTTTTATGAATAAGCACAAGAATTTTTGAATTTAAATAAATTTTATGTTAAAACACAATTAAATTATTTCATTTTCTTTCAAATTTAAAAAAAACTAAAAAATTCAGCATAGCAAAGTAGTAAATAAAAAAATTAAATCATTCATATTTTCTTAATTAAATAAGTTCATGACAGTGTTTAGGTTACAGACATAGCAGGAGATCAGAAAAGTAGCTCTGACTTTCAAAAAATTTAGAGAATAGAGGAGCAGATGGAACAAATAATTAATAGCATTAGTGATGACACATTATTTATAGCTATCAGTGATAGGGCTTCGAACAATTTTGGTGGTGTAAATGAGAACGTCAATACTTGCTTTTCAGATAAACCATGCTCTCCTTTCTTTTTTTCATATACCAAGAGAGGATTTATTGATTAATAAGAAATACTACAATAGATTTATTTAAATGTAAATAAAAAAGAACCTACAGTTCATGAAAGTCAGATTGCTTGTACGCTTGCAAATTTAATGGGTCTTCCAATTCCTTACTCTAGCAGTGGAAGACCGCTTTTAGATTTGTACCCTTCATAGCTAAGCGAGACAAATTATTTAAAGAGAGTTTTAAGGGATTCTTACACTACTTTTAGATAACAATTGTAATTTATTACTACCTTATAGAAAAAATATAGTATATTTGAACCTCTGAAAATGAGATATTTTGCATAAAAAGCACAAGATATTGAGCTAACTCTACCAAAAACCAGCTTCGATAAAGAAAAAATTATCTAATTAATAAGAAATGTAGTAACTATTTAAGAGGAGTTAAAAGAACATATTTATTCAAATCTCATTCCATATAGCATGACTTGGATTTATATTGGCTACTTCATATTGTTTGTAAGCATCCTATTTACTATTTGCTTAATTGTTAGTTCAAGAAAAGAAGACTCAAATAATTTAAATTAAAGCAGAATGTAGGTAAACAGTCAACAAAGTGAAGTCACAGATAGGAGTAGTGAGGACTATGACTCATAAACAGCAGTAACCAAAAAAGAAAAATCGGTCGACTTAGAAAGTCAGGGGTTAGTAGCTGAATAAAAAACTGAATCTTCCTCTTCATCTACGATTGATATTTTTCTGAATGTAACTATTATGGGATAAAATTTTTTATACTTTCACAATAGCTGGAATTATTTACTTGTGAGACAAAATTATACTTCTAATTAAGCTACATGTATTATTATCATAAGTGCTGAGCTTTTCTTGTATTTTATTTATCGATTTTTCAATAAGCCTAGTGTTAAATCTCTTTGGATGCCAATAGTTGCAGGTCTAGTGATTGCCTTGATAAAATTTTTATTTGTTAACAGATATGTATTTTAATCATCTCTTCCTATAATACCTTTTTCTGAAATTGCTTACCCTATTATTTTTTGCACTATTATCTGTATAGCTAATGCCTTTGCTAAAGTTCAATATTCAACAAAGAAATATGCTAATTTATTGGTTTGGATTAATGTATTATCAATAGTCGCAATACTTATTTAAGACACCAAATTCTTTTTATTTGATCCTACATATAAAAGAGTATTTTTCTTTGGAGTAGGTTTCACTAATCTGATAATTTGCTATTTAATTAAGCAAAAGAATAACTAGACCAATTTATTTATTTTAATAAATTAACAACTCGCTCTCGTATAATTTTACGTAGCTATTTTTAATTCATCTGAGAAAACAGAATATTTAGGTCTAGTAGACTATCTTATTACTAGTATAATAAGCATAGTCATATTTGGCCTTTAATAAATGCTAAGCAGATTTTCTGTATAAATTTATTTGGTATTCTTAAATACAATTTATGCATTTAGCTCTGGTATAATGAAAGATTCTACCTAAGACTCATTTAATATTTTCAAAAATATTTACTTTACACTATTTGGAATATATTTATTAAATGTACAGCTCCTTCTTAACAAAGAAAAAACCCCAATAGATACTCTATCTAGCTATCTAACAAAAATAAACAATAGCGGAAACTATAAGCACGAAAGCCACAAATATGTTTAAGTTTTTGGATATTTCTCAATAGCTGTAATGATCTAAATAGTCTTCTTCTTTACAAGCTTCCTCTTTATTGCTTAGAAATTTTATTTTAATTTACATTTTTAGACTCACTCTGTATTTTGTGATGAGTTATTAGCTTCATTTGCTTCCCATGCTATAGTTATGATTTATTTTATTTTGACTTACAAATCTCTATTAACTGATAAAAAGTCTAAAAGTTAAAAGCATGAAAATAAATATGAAATGGTTTAATAAAGCCCATACAATAATTTAAGCACAACTGCTTGAGTATTAATTTTTGTTGATTATATTTTACAAATTTATTTTTTTCAAATTTTATTTTTTGTTTTAGAATTTCATATATTATGTAAACATTTTAATCGAATACTAAAAATAATATAAATATATATTTTTTTTTCTTCATCCATTAAAAATTTGTTTTTGTTATCTACTTCAATCTTGTTTGTTTGTTCTGTTGCTTTTATAAATTACATCAGATAGAAATTAATTAAGATAAGTCTATAAAGCTAAAAATCAGTATATTATTTATCAAATCTTTAATTATAAAAATTTGATGGAATTATCAATAAAAAATAAATTACAATTTAATAAAATTAGTCAATTGATGTTTACAGTGTGAAATTCTTTTAATTTTATAGGAAAATTAATTTTTCACCTGAATTACTAAAAGTTAAGTGGTTTAATTGTTTTTATCAATAATCAAAAAGAAATAAAAATAGCTGATAACAGAGTAAAAAGAGAAATTATCCTTTCTAAATAAATAAAAAATCTATAATTTTGAGAAAAGTAATTATTGTCTTTAGATAGTTTTTATTTTTAGAATGCAAATTTATTTTTTTAAGAGGTTTAAGTAATAAAAAATATAAAATAGATTAGTAAGTTTTTTTAAATTAATCTATTTTATTATTAATTATAGCAAAAATTTTCAAATTTTCACAGATGAAAACAACAGAAATTAATTAAATTAATATAGATGTGTAAGATTTATCTCAATCTCTTGATTATTTTAATTAAAATATTGTTCATATGTTTATTTTAGTATTGAAAGTATTAATTAAGTTCTTTTTTTTTAACCTTTTCTTATAATTAATTTCAAAAATTATTCATCTATAACCAATTGTTGGATAATTAATTTATCATTTGATCAATAAAAATAAATGAGTAGCCAAAAGGTATAAAAGACAAAAAATAGGTATTCTAAAAGTCAACAATTTGAGCCATTAGCGGGATTGAATAGAGAGCTCAGAACTGAAGACTCTGATAGAAAAATTACTGATACAAATTTGTTATTGTAAATTTTTAACCTGGAAATTGCATAGTAATAAATATCAAACGTTAAATAATGTAGAAAGTAGAATATGACAACGCAGTCTGATTATGAAAACGCTATAAAAACATAAGAAGTGATAATTGACACAGAGGTATCATAGCACGCACTGATGCATTATCCTAAAAATGGTGTACGAAATTCAATCTCATATTTTCATATTTTACCTCTAAAAATTATGAACATAGAATAACAATAACAAAGTTGAAGATAATGTTGAGGATAATGAAGAAGATAATGATGTTTTTGACATATTATATGGTCAAATATGTAAGTATTAATATTTTAGACATTCAATTCAAAATTAATAATAAATAAATAGAAAATGATAAATCTAATCGTTAAATTCAAGAAGATAGCTCTAAAGTTAAATCAGATTAATAAAATACAAAGCCTTAACAGTATGAGACAAAAAAATCTGGTTCTTTCTTAAATTAGGACTACTATGAATTATAAAATATGAAGGAGTAGTAAGCGAGTGAACAAATTGAATAATATTCTAATGGTTAAAACAACCAGGATAATATAATTAGAAATGCATAATCGATTAATATAAGAATACCTCTTTAAGAAACTTTAGACAAAGATTTAAAAATAGATTCTGAACAGTAAAAAAATATTTAGGAATTAAATAATAAAAAGACTGATTCAATGAAAAATTCAAGATTCTAAAACCAATCTGTTTTCTAAGATAAACTTCGTTACATTTAAAATTTAAAGAACAGGTAAAACAAAGAAATCAATTAAAATAAAAGAGATAGTTTGGCCTTATTTAAAAATGCGACTCCGAGTAATTAGGAAGATAGCCAATAGGAAATTAACAAAAAATTATTTGTGTAAAATAGAAAAACTTTATAAGGAACGGTAATTATAAATGAAGGAGATAATACTAACAATAAGTTAGTTACACAGAAAGCAAATTAGAACTGGAATATGGTAAAGAAGTTAAGCATTATGATGAGGTTTAAGCAAAAACTCAACAAAATTATATAGCAAAGACTATAAAATATAAAAGATTTTCATCATCGTATGATAGGAGATTGCACAGATGCACCTATTTTGAAGATGGAAGAAAAAAAAGAAAATATTAAAAGCTTATACTATAAAATTTTCTTAGAAACTTACAACCCAGAGTCATTACTGATCATTTATTATAAAATTTTCATTACATTATACACACTCTTTAATGTAATTTATTTACCTTTAATTTTTGGATTTGATCTTGATTTAGGCACTGCTTTTATTGCTATCCACTCATGCACTATTATTATCTTTCTTTTTGAGATATATGCTAGCTTTAGAATTTAATACTATCACTTAGGAGAGCTTGTTACTGATAGGAATTAGATTTATTCTAAGTAAAACATATTTTTTATTACACAAAAAATAAATAATAAAACATTATCAAAAAATTTAATTCTAAAATTTTGTAAAATGTTTATTTATAGATAATTATTTTAAAATAAATTAGATATCTTAATAATAAGTTCATTACTGATTTGATCACTATTATAGCTCTGGTTATCGGTTATGATAAAAAACCTGCTCTCCTTTTTATTTTAGTTAAAATTAGGAATATTCTTTCTTATCTATGGGATATTGATAATCATTACTACTTGGCTGAGAGATATAATGCTTTGTGGATATTAATCAAACTATTTGGGTTTATTGCGATACTTTGTCACTACTTTGCTTGTATATTTCATTATACTGGTATGGTTTAGGAACATAAATACCCAGATGTTACCACCTGGACTAGAGAATTTAACTTAATAGGATAACCTTGGTCATTGAGATACAATTATTCAATATACTTTTCATTTATAACATGCATCACTATTGGCTACGGAGATATAACCCCAAAAAATACTAACGAAAGAAATATTGTAATATTAATTAGTTTGATATCGACTGGTTGTTTTTCATATTCAGTAAATACAATGGCTACTGTTTTTTAAGATTTTCTCAATAAATCTAAGAAATCAAAGTAAAATCATAATTTGTTGATTAAATAAACTCTCTTTAATTTAACTTTTTGGTAATAGAGAGATGAGGTATGATGCAATCAATTACATGAGAGAAAGGAATATTCATAAGAATCTGCAATTAAGAGTTTTGAAGTATATTGAGTATATTTACCAAATGGAAGCTCAGTCGCCTGATAAAGGACTCTTTGCCATAAATTAAATATCTGGGCATTTAAAAGCCTAACTTTTTTAAGATTATTATGGGAAAATTATCATACAAGATAAGCATTTCTCATTAAATTATAGTAAAGAAACAATAGACAAGCTTTCTTTAAAAATGAAAGAGAGGATCTACGGACCTGGAGAAATCATTTTTGATCAAGGAGAACAAGATACAAGAATTTTCTTTTTAATGAAAGGAGAAATAGAATATTATTATCCTAATAGAGGTAATAAGTAATCTGAATACCTATCAATATTCTAAACGCAAGTAATATTTATATTTTAGATTTACAAAAAAATTTGGTTCATTTATTTAGATTAAATAGAATATATTTTTATTTTTAAAAAAATTTTTTTGATTTAATAAAAATATTTATTCATTGCTTGCTTTAATTTAAAAAAAAAAATTATCTATAATAAATAATGAAATAGTTAACAATTTCCCTAATAAATTGTTCTAATTTAAATAATTCAAAAAATGAATTTTTTTGGAAAAATCTATTTTTAAAATTATAAATTATTTATTTTTTAGAAATAAAAGTTTAAGTTTTTGTGTTTGGCCAAATTAACAAAAATAAAATTAATATTTAATTTTAAAGTAAAATTAGTTTTTTGGTTATAAGGGCTTTATTTCTGGAATTCCTCGTGAAATGACTTGTAGGTCTATCAATATAACTTAAGTTTTCTACTGCACTCGTGAAGATTTAGTGTCAATTTTAAAGGAAAATCCACTTGAATATGTAAATTAATAAAAATGGAATTTTTTTACTTAATTTTTTATTACAAAAAGGAAAAATTTTGTAAGCTCAGAGATGAATATTTATTGCAATATTCAAGTTTAGGAGAGAAATGTTTTTCTTGCAACGAGTATGGGCATACTATTTCGGACTGTTATAAAATAAGGTATGTTAAAAATAAAGAGCTTCTCATTTTAAAGAAAAACTACTCAGCAAACTAAGTTAGACAATTTGTTTAAAGGAGTAATAAAAAATATGCGACATTCCTAAACATGTCAATAACTTCTTTCGAAGCTATTAAATGCAAGTTAAAAAATGTAATGCAACTTCAAAGGTAGCATCTATCAGAAGAGGTTATAGATAAAATCATCATTTAAGAACAATCTAATCACAAAAGATTCTGTTTAAAATATCCTAGCGTAAACTAAATTTTAAATTATAAAAAAAAATAAAACTAAAAATTTTAATTTAAATGATAAAAGATTAAACTTACTGAAAATTGTAATGAGATTCTTTTAGGTAAAATGGATGAACCATTTGAATACAGCACCAGTGATTCAGATAGTAACTTATCACAAATATCTGAAGATGAGTCATTATCAGAATAATCTAGCTCAGGTCTATATGATTTAGATAGTACTTAGCGAGATCAAACTCTAAATAATATTTAAAAATCAGAAAATAAAAGAAGCTTTGCTAAATCATTTAAATTGAATTAGGAGTAAAATCTAGAAGATATTTAATATGATGATAATGAAAACAAAGACGAGTTTTAAGAATAAACTAATAAGGTTTAGAAAATAGAATTTACTTTAGAAAAATAAAATAGCAACTAAGGTCTCTTGAAAGACTCTTCTAATTATTAAATTACTGAAAATAATTAATCTGAATAAATTGCATAAAATTTGATTGGTAATGAATATTCGAAAAATACTAACATCTATGACTCAGGTGTTAAAAATAAGATTCTACTGAATACTCCTCAGAGTAATAACCCTTAAGATCGTGAATATGAAATAACTAAATAGTTAATTGGGTCACCATCACTTGGTAGTTAAGAAATGTTGAACAGATATGCAAACGAAAGCAAAGCAAAAAGTATTTAATGGAATAAAAATGCCAATAAAAAATCAATATTAATAAAAAGCAATAGTCAAAACCAAGATTAAGATAAACCAACAAAAATGAATAGCTAATCTAAAATATAACTAAATAGAAAGAGTATCAACAATTTTTAAAAAGCTAACAAATATATATAGAAATTAAGAGAAAAATTTGATATAGCTCCAAGCTAAACTGATGAAAATAAATATTTATCAAGTACAGCATAGAGATTTGCTAATGTTGCTTAAGAGTTAACAATGACCAATACGTATGAAGATAAAAATGTATCAATTCTAGCTAATAAAAAGAGTGCTTAATATCCACAATATGAACAATATAATTCAAAGGTAAAATTTATTATTTTAATTTAAGATTTAACTAATTTTATTTTTAAAAAGCAAATGAATAACTCAAATAAATATGAAACAAATGAAAATATAATTAATTTCTACTAAGGATAAATAAACAGGTTAGGTTAGTTTTTAAATTACTTCTAAAATTAACAAAAAAGCAGCAACAAAATCTAAGTTAACAGCACAAATAATCTAGCCAATGATTTTCAAAATTAGCTTCCACCACCTCCACCAAGATAGCACTCAATTAATAAAACAGAAAAATAAGAAAGTTCTCTGAGTTATCCATAAAAAAGAATGGCAGTATTAGATTTGAATGAGTTTTTGTTAAAAGCAAACAAGTAGGATATATTCAAAAATTTCTTACAAGACGAAGAAGTAGAAAATAATTAGGAACTTTTTTATTATGATTTCGATTTTCTTAAAGAATTCACATATTATTTCCCTCAAAATAATCACACAGCAGTCTGTTTAAATTACAAACGAATTATGAAAAAATTATAATAAAGTTAAAGGAAAAACATAAAACAAATAAATGTTAATCAACCAATTGCCTCATAAAGATAAAACTTTAGTAAATTCAAAAAAGATTCATATTGATTTTTAAACTTTATGTTTCTTTTCTAATTATATACTTGTCTAAATATTATTAATTCAAATTAAATTCATTTTATATTTGTAACTTAATTAATCCTAAATTAAAACTCGAATGTTTTCACTTCATATCAATCAATCATTTATAACATCAACATAGAATCTTAGATGGCTCAGAAATATCATTTCTTTAGATCAAAGAGTTGATCGTATACCTCATCTTAAAATTCTATAAAATCTTCATTTAAAATTGAATTAAAATAAATAAAATTGCATATGAATTAATCAATTAATATAAATAAATATTGATTGACGAATTAGTAAATAAATAAATTAATAACAAATATTTATTTTTGCTGTAGCATAAATATAATTTGTATGTTAAAGTTTTATAATTAGAGTTTAATTTTTCTTTGTAAATTAAATAAACTGATTTCAGTCACTTTTTTTATCAGTTAGAACATAAAAATTAAAAATAACATTTTTATTGAAATGATAAAAATAATGATTAAATTTGAAGACTCATTTAAATAAAATAGGTTAATACATTATTTAATAAATTTTAGTATAGCAGTTTATCTCACTTAGGTTTATTATGTATAAATTTTAGAGTAATTTTTACAAAAGCAATTATTAATTTTAATTTATTTGGGTTATTTGATTAAAAAAATTTTTTTCTTCAAAAAATAATAATTTAATATATATTATAATTAATAAATAAATAAATAACTAAGCAAACTGATAAATAAATAAATAAATAAATAATAATAATATTGACAAATAATTCTACTAGGGCTTCTGTTAATTATAAGAATGGATTAAATTAATAAGCAATAAAATTAAAATGAATGTTGTGGTGAAATTTTTTAAAGGTATTTTTAATATCGCTTAATTTGAATGTAAGTCATTTTGTTTTATTTTATAATAAAAGCTAGTAGAATGACAATTAGTAGAATTTTTAAAATACTTAACTCACTGAATATGATAATGTGAGTTCTTAACAGACTCCAAATAGAATCTCATAGAAATCGCAATAGCTTCTTGTAAATTAGCTTCTTTAATTATTATTTAATTATTAAATTGTTATTAAAACAGATTGGCTTGAATAGTTTGTCAAATTCTGCTTACAAGAACATTGAACAAGGTATTTATGATCTATCAAAATAAAATAATTAATTACTTTTGACTCATATTTATTATTTAAAAAAATCAAAATTAAAATATTTGTAATAGCTTTTAATAGAAAAAACTCACCTAAATTTAGCTTGAAGATAAAACACTTAAGACGTGTATTAAGAGATGAAGATAATGTTAAAGATTCTGAGTAATCATTTTTAACTGAGCACTAAAGTTATTAGATCAACTAAATAGAATAAAAACAGAAAAATGATTAATAAAGTTCAGTGCAATAATAATTGAATCTATAAAATAATAGTGAAAAATATGAAAGTGTTACAAACACTCCTATGAGCATGTATTCTGGCTAAGTGGATTAAGTTTCTGATAAATTAACATTAAAAAAAATAGGTTTTAGTGATGAATTCAAAACTTATGAAGATTATTCAAAAATGAGAAATGCAAACTTAAGATAAAACAAGCAAAATAAACATCATACAGTTGAAATTCAAAGGATTCAGCAACTCAAATAGAATTTAAAAAATAATAATGAAAATAAGAATTCTTTGTAAAATAAAAATAATGAATAATCTCCAAATTCTCTATTATCTGATAGGAATATTTTAGATTCAAAAAAAATAAATTATTTTAGAGATAGAATTATTAAATAATCAGGATAAACAATTAAAAAGTATCCTTAAGTGTAGCCTATAAATGAATAAAATAATGAAGAAGAAAAAAAAGTTTAAGTTTACCAAAATTGGAGAATGATAAGTCACTTAAATATAATTTTAAAAGTAAAATAGAAGCTCCTTTCAATGATAACTTAAAAGATAGAATGTGTTACACCACAATAGCATTACTTAATAGGTGATCGTTCTGATATTTTTAATTAGAATGAGACCAAATAAAAAGATAATTTTTTAAACTAAATAAATTCATTTATTTTAGATCCTGGTTCTAATTTTGTAATTGGCTCCAAGATATTAATTTCTGTCTTAATATTGTTCAATTTGATTTATTTTCCAATAGTATTTGGGTTTGACTTAGATGTGTAACTTCAGATAACTTTGATCACAAGTTTGAGCGTACTATTTTGCATACTTGAAATTATTTTAGGTTTCAAAATAGCTTATTATGAAATGGGAGAGCTTGTTACAGATCCTTCCCAAATAAGAAAAAAGTAAATAAATAAATATAATTAATTTATTATTATCAACTTAAATGCATTTATAAACTAATAAAAATATTTTATTGTTAGATCAATACAATTTTATTTTTATAAAACAAATTTAAAATACTTTTAATAAAACAAGATACATGAGAGATTAGTTTTTACTAGATTTGTTGGCATGCTTATCTTTGCTAATAGGATTTTAGTATAAATATGTGATAATCCTTACATTTGTAAAAGTCAAAAATTTAACACAATATTTGTGGGATATAGATAATCATTTCTTTTTGTATGAAAGATTCCACACTGCTTGGGTACTTATTAAGCTGTTTGGATTTATTACTATTATGGGGCATTATTTTGCTTGCATATTTCATTATGCAGCTATGATACAAAATGATGATCCTAATGTGGTGACATGGATATAAGGGCTGTAATTGCAGGATTCTCCTTGGAATTTAAGATACAATTATTCTGTTTACTTTTCATTTATTACCTGCATTACTATTGGATATGGAGATATTACTCCAAAAAATGTAATTGAAAGAAATGTTGTTATTATTATTAGCTTAATCTCAACTGGGTTTTTTTCTTACTCAATAAACACTATAGGAACTATTTTCTAATAATAATTTCAAAATCTTCAAGCAAAAAAGTATATAACTTTTTTTTCTTTTTGTTAAATAAATAATTATTTTTGAACAGGGAAATGAGATTCGATGCTATAATTTACATGAGAGAAAGGCATATTCATAAGCACTTGTAGCTGAGAGTTTTGAAATATATCGACTATATTAATGATATGAAGTAGATTTCTCCAGATAGAGGGCTAGTTGTTATTAATTAAATATCGAAAGACTTGCAATCTCTACTATTTAAAGATTTCTATGGTAAAATCCTCAAATAAAATAAACATTTTAGTTTGAATTATAGCAGCTAAACTCTTGAAAAATTATCTCTGAAGATGAAAGAAAAAATATATGGACCTGGAGAAATTATTTTTGAATAAAAAGAATAAGATTACAAAATTTTTTACTTGATAAAAGGTGAAATTGAATACTATATTCATAACAAATGTGGAAATAAACAGTCTGATTATATTTCAGTTACAAAAACTGATGTAAATATTCATTTTTTATTCATTCATTTATTGATTTACTCATGTTTTATTTACAAATTTAATATTACGATGTTTTTTTATTGATGAAATTTTTTTTTTAGAAAAGTATGTTTTTTGGATACAAGGGATTTATTTCTGGAATACCTAGAGAAATGACATGTAGGTCTGTTAATGTTACACATGTTTTTTATTGCTCAAGAGATGATTTAATTAGTGTATTAAAAGAAGATCCTTAAGATTATGTAAATTTTTATTGAAACAGAAAATATTTATATTTTAATTTAATTATATTTATAAAGGAATAATTTTGCAAGATTAGGGATTAGTATCTTCTTTATACGAATTCTTTGGGTGAGTAATGCTTTACATGCAAGAAATATGGACACTCATTATCATGTTGCCATAAAACTCATTTAGTGAGAAATAAAGAGCTTTTAATATAAAAGAGTAATTATTCATAAAATTAATGTAGAGCGAGCTTTGAAAGAAAGAAATAAAAGTATTAAACTTTCTTAAATTTATAATTGACAGTCTTTTAAGGAATAAAAATAAGACTAAAAACTATAATGAAACTAAGAAAACGGTATATTTCAGATTAAATTATTGAATAAATAATTATTTAAGATTTGTCAACTGGAACAACATATAAAAATAAATATCCTTCCGTAACACATTCTTTATATTTTATTTATATAAATTATTCTTAATTAAAAAATATATTATTATAGATTTAATTCAGAGACAAAGAACTTATTCTTCTTGAATGTGATGAAATTAATGAAGAATGTAGCAGCTAATTCCTATCAGATGTTTCTGAAGATATTTCCATCAACACAAATATAGCATATTAAGATACTAAAAAATATTAAGATAATTAGAAAAATACTTCATAAAGCAATTAATAATTACAAAGTAAAAAAAATAATTTGCTAGAAAGAAAAAAAAATAAACTAACAAAATAAAATAAGAATTAATAGTAATTTGAGAATTTTTCAAAGTCTTATCTTTCACCAATTTCAAATTCTTGTTCTAAATTTTCATTTTAATCAATTCATAGCAACAACTCACTTAAAATGATAGATTAAAATCCTAAACCATAACTTTTAGAAATAGAAAATATTAAATCAAATTAGAAATTATAATAAAAATCTCCTGTAATATTAAAATAATAAAAAAGTTAAGCAATTAATTTAAATAGTTGGCTTGATTTAGAGTAAAAATAATATGTTAAATTATAAAAAAAATAAACAAAAAAATTGAATAAGAGCATAGATTAATTGAATTAAATTCCTAATTAAAGTAATAAAGAAAAACAAGAGGAAGTTATTTCTGTAGCTAGTGAAAAAAACAAAGTTTATAATAATGAATTAAAATAAACATAATAAAAGGCAAAAAAAACTTCAGAAATAGAAAAGTATTAAAATGATAACAAAGATATGTTAAATGATATTCATAAAGACATATAAAACTCCTCCAACTAATAAGTGTTTAAATAGATTTTGCATTAATAAGTGGGAGCAAATAATAATGAATAAGAATTTGGAATTCATGATTTTGATTCTATAAAAGAATTTTCAAGATATTTCCCTCATAATAACATATCAGTAGTTTGTTTCAGATTTAAATAGAATTTAATTTAAAAAAATTTGCTTAAGAGGTATATTTAAAACCACTCTGAAGAAATCCTTTAAAAATTAAAATTCAAAAGTATAAGTGGGTTACACTCTTTATTGGTGAAAAATAAAAAAACTAATTTTCTTAAGAATAAATTAAATGAGAATTGAATAAAACTGCAAAAAATTAAACTCATATAATTAAATAAAAATTTATGTGATTTTATTTTTTAAAAATAAATAATTTTTTTACATTTTATTTCACCAAATATTAGAAAATTGCTATTAAGTTTATAATCAACTAAGAAAAAAATTTAACTTTATTTTTTAAATTTTTATTTTCTTAAATATAAATTTAATTGATCATTATTTTATTTCTAGAGAAAGATATGTTTCTTTCTTTCCTTACATAAATAAAGGTCATTTCAAATAACTATAAACCTAATTTTTTTGTGATTTACAAATACTTATAATAAAACTGTTGTAAGTAATATCTCTTTAATATAAACTTAATGAATATATTTAAGATAGAACAATTTTAGTTAAAAATAATCTCCTTATAAATAATATAAAACTTCAGATTAATATTTGTTAATATCAAGCTCTAAATAAACTTTACTTCTCTCTATTTTCTACTTAAAAAAATAAAATTCCACAAATAACAATAATAATTAATGAGGGTATATGGTATATCTAAAAATTTAATGAAGGCTTTTACCAAAAATAAATTGATAAATATAAACATTTTTGTATGAATAAATATATCTCAATTTTATAAATATTATGCTATACATAAAATTAATTATATTAAAAATCGAAACGCTTATAAATATAAATATTATCTAATTTTTTTAACTATTAATAGCTTCAAACAGCATTAGTTGTTTATTAAATATTTTAATAGAGATAATAGTAAATTATCTAAATAATATTATGTGTTCATTCATTCATTTATAATTATTAAGTTGATTAAATATTTTTAGTTTAGAAGTAATTTAATGCTTATTCAAGTGTATTGAATGATCTAAGTTTAACTTGTAATTTTTTATTGAATGCAATTATTTAAAGATAGATTGTAAGATATGTAAAAAAACGAATAATCAGTTTATTAGAAAGAGAACTAAGATTCCTAAATAAAATAGTAAGCGGAGTTATTTTAATCTAGCAAAATTGACTATAAAGAAGACTCTGTATTTTTATAATAAGCGGCCCGTGGAGTTCAAAACGATAACTTTATGTTTTAACCTGGCCAGCTAGAAAGCAATAATGATTATAAAAGATAAGAAATATAATATAAATATAAAAAAAACATAGCGAAACATAACTAATTAGAATAAATTTAAGATATTTATAATGAAGAATAGCACAGCTTCAATGGTCATGTTTAACTTCTTTCACCAACATCAAATGTAAGTTAGTTATTGTCCATATTTTAAAATATAACTTGTTGTCATAAGATTTTTAAAAGCGATGAAGATTTATTTTCATAAAAGTCACAGCCATTGAGTATAAAAAAAAATACATAAAATGGTAATTATTTAATCAAATTCAACTTACATATGTTAATCTATCATAATAGTCCTAAATCGTCAAAAAAAATCAATAGAGAGTGACCATTTTAATGAGAATAATTAAAAAAAGTAAGACTTGATTGTTATTCCTACTAATAATAAAAATGGAAATTAGATTTAAGATTCATAGTAAATGTGTATTTCTTAAGAGGTACAGTATTTTAATGATAAAACAATTGAAGATGATTATAATCAATTAGGCACTCTTAACAACTAAGAACATTTCATTTAAACAGGATACAAAGAAACAAAAGAGTCGGAAGATTTATTATATACCAAAGAAGAAAACTAGAATGAAACTCCAACAAGAAAGCAGATGTTACAGAATTTAAGGCTATCACTTGATAAAATGATACCTAAAAATTAGGTTTCAATCGATTCTAAAAAATCTGAAAGCCAAGAAGAGAAAATTACCCAAAGCAATCCAGTTTCGAAGTAAGAAAAGGAGCAAAATTCAAATAATAATAAGAGTAATTTCTCTAGAAAACTAACAAATGCTTAGTCAGTTAATTTAAGTTAAACCAAATCAAAGAAATTCTTTCCAAGAAAAAGCGAGTTTGGTTTAGTAAGATCGCAATTTAACAATGAAAATCCTCTAGAGGATTCTTTAAAAGTAGAATAAATAAAAAAAGAATCCAAAGAGAAGCAAGTTTAAATGCAAATACTAGAAAGATTTCAATCGAAAAGCTGGAAGCTTGGTTTTAAAGCATAAAGATCTGAATCTATGATTAGTTGCACTTAACTAGATCAAAAATAAAACGAATAAAAAACATGGGATATAGTGAATAAGTTATGTATACTCCTAAAAGCAAAACATAAATTAAAAAATTTAATAAAGTAGAGATTCAGTTCTCTTTCTTTATACGAAAGAGGCTTGGTAGGTGATCTTTCTGATGGGAAATTGATTTCTTAAAAGACAATTACTGAAAAAAGCAAAATATATTAGAAAATAATCAAATTTTCCATTCACCCAGGATCATTTCCTATCATAATTTTTAAAATTTACCTTGTTCTAATAACTATGATAAATCTTGTTTATCTTCCTTTGATGTTAGGATTTGATTTAGAAGTTTCTCACTTTTCTTATGCATTTTTTTTCCTAACTGGTATTTCCTATTCAGTAGAAGTTGCCATCAAATTTAAAACATCTCTCTCTGAAAAAGGAGAAATTATATCCAACCCAACTCTAATTGCAAAAAAGTAAACCTAAATTTCAATTTTTATTTTCTTTTATGCTTAGAAAATGTTATTTTTACCATTATTAAATTTTAAATTAGAAAAATTTGTTAATAAAATTAAAAATAATTTTAAATTTCTTAAATTATAATGAAACAATTATACAACTTAATAACAAATTAGATACATATAAAATGAATTAATCTATGATGTAATCACCTTGATAGGAGTGATATTAGGTTCAGCTTAACACTTCTTTTTCCTGTTGATGATTATTAGGATAAAACATGTCTTAAAATATATGGATGATTTAAATAACCATTATTATTTAGCTGAAAAATATCATCAGCTGTGGGTTTTATCAGGACTTTTTTGCTTTATTGTAATGATTGTTCATTATTTTGCATGTATATTCCATTATGTTGGATTATCTTAAATAAACGATAAATACGAAATATCCTGGTTAAATTATTACTAATTGGAAAATACTGCTTGGTAAATTAGGTACAATTATTCGCTTTATTTTTCCTTCATTACTACTGCTACTATTGGATTTGGCGATATCACTCCATAAAATACCCCTGAAAGATCAGTAGTAATCGTGTATAGTATAGTAGCTTCTATGTGTTTTTCATATACAGTAAATACAGTTGGTAATGTATTTTAAGATTACTTTAATAAATACCAGAAACAATTGTAATTCATCTTTATTTATCAATTTAATTTTATCACTATCAATATTTTGAATTAAAAAGTATTATGAGATATAACGCCATCAATTTCATGAGTAACAGATCAATAGGAAAAGAATTGCAGCTAAGAGTTTTGAAGTATATAGAGTACATTCATGACCTAGAAAATGATTCACCTGATAAAGGCTTTGCTGTTATTAACTAAATATCTAAAAATCTAAAAAGCTAAATATATAATGAATACTATGGCAAGATATTAATGCAAGATAAATCATTCTCACTCAATTTTAGTAAGGAGAGCATATAAAAGTTGTCTTTGAGAATTTAAGAAAAACTCTATGGGCCTGGAGAGATCATTTTTGAATAGGAAGAATAAGATTATAGGCTTTACTATCTGATGAAAGGAGAATGTGAATTTTATTACTATAATAAAGGAGGAAGCAAATAATCAGAATATAAAACTGTTCAGTTTTCTACTGTATTCATTTTATATAATTTTATTTTTTTAAATTCTATTCATTTAAAAATTAGGATAAAAAGTTTTTTGGATACAAGGGGTTTTTTTCTGGAATTCCAAGAGAATTTAGCTGTAGATCTACAAATATAAGTCATGTATTTATTATAACAAGATAAGATTTAATTGAAGTGCTTAAGGAAGATCCTGAAGATTATGAGTAATTTTGTAAATTAAGAGACTAGTTTTTACTATACAGAAATTCGCTTGGAGAAAAGTGCTTTGGATGCAAACATTTTGGACATACTTTAAGTGGATGCCCATAAATTCATTTAATAAGAAATAAGGAGCTGCTTTTATTGCGTCATAATTTCTCTGTAAATTAAAAAAGAATGAAGAGATTAAGAAAGCAGCACAAATATAAAACTCTTTCTTTAAAGTAGGAAGTGTCTTAGTAAGCTCAGTAATATAGATTAGACACTGTTAATGAAATAAAAAAATTAAATAAAGCAGATAATTAGTAGCTAAATTAAGATTTTGTCATAACAGCAGAGCTAAGCGATAAAAGATTCTCTAAAATGTACCCATACGTAAAGTTTAATTTAATATAAATTATTTAGATTTTAATATATTTTTTTATAAATTAGATAAAATTTAAAAGTGATGAAATGATTTTGTTTGATAATTATGATGATGTTAGCGATTTTTCTGCCAGTTAAAGTGAAGACAGTTTAAGTAGCTCGGAATCTGAAAATGATTCGATTGAAGCTATTTCTGAGTAAATAGCAGAAGAAAATGAAGATTAAAGTGATTCAGAAGATTCAATTGAAGAAAAATTAAAAAATATAAGAAAAACCTCAACAAAAAAAGTAAATTCATTTGAATCAATTTCTTCAGATTCTTAAGATTCAGCAAAGAGAAAATCAAAACCATCTATATAATCCCTCTCTCAGCTCGGTAGTGAAAAGAAAATATCTACTGGATTAATCAAATCTAGTGCAATGATGTTGTAAGAAGATGCATTTTAAAATAAATTTGACTAGTAAAATCAAGAAGAAACAGAAACAAATGATACAAAATAAGAATAAAAAATAACTGAAATTAATGATGAATCTATTTAAAAAAATATAGAAAATAAACAAAGTATACGTAATAACACAGCAACCACATCAATTCTTCGAAATTCAGTTTTTTAAAAAAATAATTAAGAATCTAATTAGTCTAATGGTACATTTTAAAGATTGAGCAAAGTGAAAATAAGTTCAAAGACAATAGTAAATTTATTAAATTTATATTATTAAATCAATTAATTTAATTAATTAATTAATTAAAAAGGTTTAGCCTAGTTTCTCTAGATAAAATTCTCGGAAAGAATCCAAAGGTTATATAGAAAGCCCAAACATATCAAGACAAAGTAGCAAAAGAATGACGGATTTTTAAAGGAAATCAACTAACCTAAAAAAGAAGTTTTCGAAAATAGAGAGTAACTTGCAATTATAGATAGAGGAGCCAGATTTTTTGATAAAAGATTTTGCATTCCATAATGATAGTCCTTCTTCTCTGCCAATTACTTACAATCCTAAAATTTTTAGGTCACATTCATTATCTGTAATATAATTTTTTTCTCTTTGTTTAGGAGTGAGTTTAAAAGTTAATTAATTTTTTTAATAATAAAGAAATAAAATACAGATGGAGTAAAATTTTCGAAGCAATTAATAGAAAATAACTAAAATAAAAAAGATTCAATATTGAGAGTGTATGAGAAATAATTGTAGTATCTATAAGGTTTAGTATAAAAGCTAGTTTAGAAGGAACATAATAAAGAAAAAACTGTTCATCAGCACATTAATACTTAAAATCAAGAAAATGAACCTTAATAAGAAAGTAACAAAGTTCACATGAAGATGAATTACAACAATATGAGTATGGAACTACCACAAATCCTTTAGAAATCTTCAATGTATAATGCTTAGAATCTTAACATTTTACAATAAACTACTTTGGATGTTAATTATGAAATAAATAATTAAGTAAATGAGCTCTTCAATTATGACTTTGATGATCTTAAAGAATTTACTAAATACTTTCCCCATAATAACGCTTCTCAAGTTTGTTTAGGATTTAAATAATTTTAAGATAGAAAGAAAAAATTAGAAAAGTTTTTCCTTTAAAAGCTAAGAGTAAATAAGCTAGAACATCTAAATAATATTAGCAAAATTTTAACACCAAATAATAAGAGATGATTAACTCAAGATAAATCTAACAATTTTTCTTAATCTTTATATTATTTTATATTAGTAATCTTATCTTAAAATTTTGTAAGCATTGATAAATTAACCCAAAGGAGCATTTTGCAGAAAAGTTTGAAAATATAATCAAAAAAGCATAAAGCGATGTTATCACTTAAAATTTGATTTGTTTGTATAAAATTAAAAATAAATCTTAAATTCTACTGCATTGAGTTATAAATCATCAAAATTTGATATTAACCATAAAATTTATTTCAAAATAAGTTAAAAGTAGTTTATTATTTTGTTTTATGAAATTAAAATTTAATTTTTCTCTAAAGTAGTTTAAATAATCTAACAAAAAATCTTAATTTGAATATTATTTTATATTAGTAATCTTATCTTAAAATTTTGTAAGTATTGATAAATTAACCTTAAGGAGCATTTCACAGATAAGTTTTAAATATTCGAAAAAGCGATGTTATCTTTTAAAATTTGATTTTATTATTTAAAATTAAAAATGCTAAATTCGACTTCAATGAATTATAAATCATCAAATTTTGATATTAACCATAAAAACATTTCATATTAAGTTAAATGTTTATTTTTTTTGTTTTATGAAATTAAAATTTGATTTTTCTCTAAAGCAGTTTAAATAAAACTTTTAATTAAAAATTTATTATTAATTAAAAAAATAAAGCAATAATATTATTGTGAAAGAAATAATTTATTTTTTTTAAATTAAGAATAAGTAAGATAGACATTAGAAGTAATTTTAACATAATTTTAATCCCAAAAAAGAAGTGAGATAAGCTCTAAGAAATTTAAACTTTTCCTTAATTTGTCTTTTATTTTGTAGTAAATTCATTATTAAAAAATAAGCAAAATAATTAACTTTTATGTAAAAAAAAATAATTTTTTTAAATTCTAAAGCCAAACAAGCATTATTAGCTTTAAAATCAAATATAAATAGTTTAAAAAATATATTTATTAATTCATCATAAAATTAATAAAAAAGTTTAATATTGTAAAAAAAATATATTTATCTTGTCAATATTGAAAATAAATAGTTAAAAATGAATATTTGTACTTAACAGCATAAACTAAATCAATAAAATTTTAAAATAAATATTAAAAATAAATATAAACGTTTTCTTTATAAATATAGAGCTTAAAATGAATAAAATAAATTTGAAAAACTACAAATGTAAAATAAATAATTTTTCTAAAATTTAGCTTTGCTGAGAAACTTCAAAATAGAAGTTGAATTAAAAATAAATTTATAATTTAAGTGTAAAAATAAATTTTTATTATTATATAAAATAGTTTGTTTATATTTAATTTAAGTTACATTTATTTTTAAGATTTTTGAGCTAGTTTCATTTATTTAAAAGAGATTAAGAAAGAAGTTAAGATTTATATGCATTACTAGATTATTGAAGAATATTGTTGATGTCATAATGATGAGAAGTTTTATTTCTTTGTTTTTTCAATATTATATTACAGATTATTTTTATTTTACTATTATTAAATTTATTGAAAGTTTTTTAAGATTGTACCTAGTCAGCAAGGGGGCATAGTGAAATTTGTTCGAGTTCTCTGTTGTTATATATAGGAAAGAGACAGCCATTTACTTGATAAGATTTAAGTAGTTCATATAACTGTGGATTGTTACTCTCTTTAATTTTTTTAAGTACATCTTCGCTCTCTATTTAAAACACTAATCTCTTACCAATTTAATAATTTTATGGCTAAATTGTTTAAGTCTGCTCATCTGTAGAGTTTTAAAAATCCCCCACAGCTTATTTTTGTTAAAGATTGTTAAAATCTTAGATTTTTCTTTTCTCAATCATGTTAAGATAAAACTGAACTTTTTGAATTTTCTTATTCAGCTAACTTAGAAACTCTTCTTTAGAAGTATGAAGTGTAATAGGCATTTAAATTAATTCTTATCCCTAAATAAAATCCTATTCACAATTATTAACTTCTCTGTAGTCCTGTGTAAGACATTTAGTACTGGAATAATTTTTTAATTTATAATTTTTATCCTGTTCATCATACTATTTTTGGCTTTTGCTATTCTTTAAGTTTCTGATAAATTTCTAATTATTATTTTAATCATATTCATACTTTTATATGTAGTATGAAGTGCTAGACAAGAAATTTTTATGATTTACTGAAAGATAAGATATAAGTCTCTCTTTTTTTCTTATTGGTATAATGTTATTATTAACATTTTGTGTATTTTGGATTTAATTATTTTTATTAATTTAATCTAACTCTCTTGCAACTATTTCAGGTATTTGCTCAGTAAATGTTGTCTGCATGGTTGCATTTTGAGTTGTTTTTTTTTGCTAAATTTTAGCTTATGAAGATGGATACAAAATTTCTTCTTCTTCATCATCGTCATCATTCTCGTCAATTGATTTATTTATTCTTTAGAGAGAAGACTACTTTTCCTATTATTTTATATCTTCAAAGTCATCCTATAAAAATTATTCCTCGCCAATCTAAATACTTTTATTATTTTTATTGATCTTAATTGTTTAGAGCGATCTACTTCTTTGATTTTTTAGTTAGTCTACTGATTTATTTCTACTGTTTTAAATTTGAAAGTCACAATAGCTTAAACCATTCTAATCTTCTTCAGTATTTGAATTACAAAGAGTGTTATTTAATAAATTTTTCTTTTTGAAAATAGGCTTATCATGCTCATAGATTACGATTTAATTTTTTATTTTCTAACTTTGACTTGCTTGGTGAAGCCTTTTGCTAATGTTGCTTTCTAAAATTTCTTACTCCTCGTCTTGTAAATCTTTATTTGAATATTTATTTAATACAACTTAAGAGTTTCTAAAGGACTTTTAGTTGCTTAATTCTCTTAATTTTTTATCTTACTCTTCCTATTACTCTCTATATAGTAAGTAAAGGCTTAAATTTTCTTATTATTAGCTTAAATCTCGATAATTTTGATTATGATAATCAGTAAGATTTTTCCTTGATATTCTTTGATTCAACATCTATTTATCATTACCATTAACATTTATTTGAACCTAAGTGGAGTTTTTGGTACTTACTTTGCTACTATCAAGAAAAGAAGATTTATGGTTAAGCTAGTAAGGATTCTAGTTAAAATAAATTGTACTTAGCAATGATTAGGGTTTATTAAATATATTATTATTGTTTGCACATTATTTAGGTTAAGTAATAGCTAATTTTGTTTATTCTACACTTTTAAATTGATTTTCTATATTTTACTAGCCACTAGGAGATTAAGAGATTTTTACTTGCAATATTTTATTAAGTTATGGCCTTTCATTTTAAAGAGATAACCCTCGATCATTCTAATTTTGAGGTTTTCTATTCTTTTAAAATTCAAATTTATTTTTGAATGCCTTCAAACTGAATCCTCTATCGATACTATAAACCAATTAATCCCCTTAAACATTTTCATTTTTTTATAGTAAATCTTATTAAGTCTTAAATTTTTTTTGGCTCTCTTGCTTAATAATGAATTTGCTGTTTCCATAGTTTTCTTACTTATCATTTTGTATGCTTTATTATTTTGGCCCTATTGCGATTTTTTAATGTTCATAAAGAGTAAGTTTTTTGGTGCTATCTTACTTAGCTTTCAAGCTGTTATGCTAATCTACCTCTTATTAGATATTATTTTGGCTATCTTATTTATTTTATTGATACCTACCCTGAGTGTTAATGTTTTTTATTTATTTTAATATGCCAAATGAAGAGTTAATCTTATCTTCAGAAAAAGATTCTAATTTAAACTTTAAAAGGTCAGTTTTGTTTAGCTACTAACTAATGATAGTTTAACGATCTATTTTTTGATTCATCTTATGAATATCTAAGTTATTATCCTATAAACCTTTCAATCTATGCTAATTTATTTTGGTGAAAAGAGTGCTTATCTTTAAGCTATTACCTTTTGTTTAAAATTATTGATCCATTCAACCAATATATAAATAAATCAATCAATCAATCAACCAACCAACTAATTTATTAATATATTTATTATTTATAGTATTTTAATTGAAGAATTATATTTATTGATTGTTTTTTGCAAATTATAATTTTTTTTCTTCTTGAAATAAAAAATACTTACTCTCTCTCTCTTTAATTTACTTTTAAGCAACTTATATTTATTTATGAATGGTATTTTATTAATTATTATCAATTTTACTTTGTTTTTAACATGACATCAAATACATAAAATAATAAGCTCTTTTCTCTTTAAAATCTATTCCAAATTATAATGACTTAAAAATAGCATCTATTAGTAACTAAAAAATAGCAATTATTTAGGATTGTGCAATCAAAACTCAAATATTTGAAAAATAATGAAAATAAATATACATAAAAGAAATATTTGCTGCCATCCATTTTACATAGCTTCGATTAAATAATAACAAATGAGCAATTAATTAATTAATTGTCCAAACACAAAAATTTATTTTTAAGATAAAAAAAATAAAACTATTTTTTTTCCTCCAATTTAATAACCTTTGATTATTACAAATGAATAATACCTTTAAAATATTTTTGTTTATTGATTTATTGATAATTTAAATTAATTTACTTAAAACTAGAATTGGTTTTATTTAAATAAATTCCTTTTAAAATAAAAAATTTGATCATAGAATAGGAAGTATAATTTAATTTTTGAAATAAATAGTAAAAAACCATTTTTGATTTTTTTCTATTGATGAATTAAGCTAATTCGATAAATTGTGTTACTTTTACTTAAAATAAATAATTTTATAAGCCATAAATAATTCTAGAGATGGGAATCAAAAGTATCAATACCATCAAAATGAATGGAAATTTATTAAAAAGTATCTAAAACTTTGGATTTCGACCTCTAAATATTTCTATGAAATTGAAAAATATTTATTTTAATAATAAATTTTTTAATTTGTATATGTTACTTTAATTATATATTAAAAAATATAATTAAATTATTTGAAAACAAATGTTCAAATATGGTATTAATTATATTTAGAAGTAAATAGTTTATATTTTATTTATAATTTATCTATTTAAGTAAAATCTGTATATTTTAAATTATTTTTTATTCACATTTAACTTTTATTTTTAAACTATCAATAAATAAACAATGCAAAAATTTAAGTAATTGAGCTCTTTTTAATTTTTGTAATTCATTACTCTTTGTTATTTTATAAAATTTGTTTAGTATAAGAAACTAATTTTAAGTTTTAGTAAAATAATGTAAATATTTTTATATACTTTTTTTAAAGCTTTGATTTATGAAATTATGAATATATATAAATAATTTAGTCTTTTAAGATTATCATATGTTTAAAAAGTCTAAAAAATCAACATTAGATATAATATTAAATATTAATTAATCTATTGATTTTGTTTAAATTGAATTTTAAGAGTAATTTGTATTCTTATTTTTATAAGCAAAAAAATATCAATTGCTCTCATAAAATACAAAATTAAGTAACATTAGAGTTATTAATGTTGCAGCTAAAATTACATATGCGTTATGAAATTTATAGAAAAAATGAATATTTAAAAATCAAATATATTTATCAAACAATTATTTGTAATCAAATTTTTGTATTTTTAATAAAAAAAAATAGCTTAACAAAAACCACATAAAATTTTATTAGTGAGATTCATAAAAAAAAATAAATATTGACAAAATAATTTGAATACTTTTATACATATAAAATATAAATATTTTTATAATTACAATAATAAAATTAATTGGGTTTAAAACTATCTCTATATTAAAAATCATTCACCTTTTTTTTTCGCAAAAAAAAATTAATCTTTAATTATATTTAAATACATTTTTAAAACAATTTAGAAGATTTCCTGTATCTATCTATCTACTTTTAAAATTTAAAAGCCTAAAAATTAAACATAAATTATAAAAAGGATAATTAGCAATTATTTAAATAAACTTTCTTAGAATCAAAAAATGAAAAAGAAAGTAATAGATTATGAGTAAATTAATTGTTAAAAACATTGGCTGTTGGCTTATAAGCTTTAGATTACTTTCCTATTTTAATATTCATCGTTAAGTAAATTTTTTGTTTTAGATTAGAAAGAATTATAAAAGATCTTCATACATGTATTTACTATTCGCTATTACATTAAATTAAATATTACTATAATCAATTTTATGAACAAAATATGTTTTTTTGTTTGTTTTTTTTATATATATATTTATTTGTTAGATAGTTAATTGTTAATTAATAAATCATGACTTTGATTTAAAAATTTTGTATGAGTTGTTTTTCTATTTACTTCTAATATTGATTAATTATGATTTTGAATGAAATGTATTTATTAATTTTAATTTAAAAGGATTAAATAAATAATTAATGAGATATATACATGTATATTGAAGATAAATGCGTGTAGATACTTAATTAATAAACTAATTAATTAAATAAATAAATGAGATTATATATATGTATATTTACCAAGTAGTCTTATTGAATGAATGAATGAATGATAGTTAATATTAATTAATTGATTTTGGAAATTCAGAGTATAATCAAGCTAAATAATTTATAATAGATAGTCCAAGATTAAATAAACAAAGTTTTTTAATACACATATTAATATATAATTACATACACACAAATAAATAAATAAATAAAGCAAGCAAGCAAGCCAAGCTAAATATAGAAGATTTATAAATACTTCAAGTATCAAAATAAGACTTGGCAAGCTTAAAGTTTCACAAAAGCTATAAATTATATCAAACTTAGATAGTTAGCGTAAATTCGAAGAAGGAAGGAAGGAAGGTAGGTAGGTAGGGCAATTAACAAAATGAAATAAAAGAGCAATCTGAAAAGTAGCCTTTCATAATGTTTAGAAAAGGTTTCCAAATTTTGCAAAAAGCAGTCTAAGCGGCTTAGCTTTGTATATTTATTGCTAATAGTTGTTAATATAATGTAGTATTTTTATGCCCGCTCAGTCTTTAATATGATACAAGATAATTCTAAACAGGAAGTTGTCAATAATGATTCCAATTCTTAAAAAAACTCTGATCAGTATTCATAAAATTGCGTTTCTTCTATTGGGTAATAAAAAATAAATAGTTCTTAATTTCCAGGGACTTGCATTAAATCAGACAATATACAAGGATTCTCAGTGCTGTGCTTATTGTTTCTTATTGATGGAGCATTTAATTTGTTTAATTTAATCATTTAACAGTGCTAAGTAAAATAGAGCATCATACAATTTTTAAATAGATATCACTAAAAGATCATTTACAATATCATAGAAAACTCTTTACAGTTTGTAATAATTTATTATGGCGATGATAAGATTTTGCTGTTGAGCTGTACTATTTTATTTGTGAAGAATATTCTAACGCTTTAATATAACTTAAGGAACGAAAGAATCTTATAGTTTATTATCATCTTATTAGGAAGTATTTTAAATATGCAATTTAGATCGTGGAGTGTATACGTTTAAGTGTCATTAATATTGACTATTATAGAGACTTTTGTTTCTTTTAATATTTCTTTTAAATATTATGGTAATATTAATCTATAGTGTAATGATGACTGCTCAATAAGAATGCAAGGAATGTACTGCTTGAAGCATAATTAGCACAAATTTAATAGTAAAGAAGAAGATAATAATACATATAATGCCCATAGATCAAGCAAAATATTAAGCTATGATAAGCAAAGGAACCCATCTTCCAAAAAGAGAATTGATCATTTTGAATAGAATTCTAATGTTGGGAAAAGCAATATTGATGATAACAATGATAACAATGAGAGAATCAATTCTAAAAGAACATCTAAAAATCCCTTTTTAATGCAGTTAAGCAAGAATTTTTCATAAAAAGCAGATAAGAGAGAGAGTAATTAAACTTTATAAAATCAAAATAAATAAATTAAAAAGAAGAGCAGTTTAGAAAATATGGTAAGCAAGACTAAACCAAACAAAAAGGTCTTCGATAAAGAAGTAGAAGTTCTTGATAACACACACTAATATTCTCATGTAGCTATTAACAGAGGCGATCAGTCAAATAGTTTTTCTTCCATATATGATAAAAATTGTAAGAATAAAAATGCATTTATGAGATACAGAACAACTTCACCAGGATTGAAAAATGATGGAACAATCAGTATAGACTAATCTAAAAGTAAATAGGTTTTCGTCAGCAGTGCTGGACAAATCCCTAGTGCCGTTACTCATACAATTTACAGTGGTTAATCTCTACCTAAATCTCATAAAAATATAGGGAAAAAACCACTGCTTAATCTGAGTGAAATTAAAGGTTTAAAATTTAGTGAGAAGTTTAAATAATTTAATAAGAAAATACCTTCAAAAAAGCTACTTTCTAACCTAGGCTAAAACTTAAACAGTAGAATAAAGTTAGATTAAGATGACATAAATAGTTAAAATGGGAAAAGAAATATCATATATCCAAACCAATCCATATAATTAAAATCGAAAAATTAGTAGTCATTGAAGGAAATAGACTCATAAAGTATACTCTCTCCAAAAAATAATGTTGGAATTCTCTAAGAAGATTTAAAAAATTAATTTTCAACAAAAAATTTACAAAACTCTTCAAGCAGGTTGCTATATCATCAGCTAAACGAGCTAAATAATAATCCGTACTTAATGAACAATGTTAACAATTAAGAACAAAAAAATTTTAATTATGCAAGTCAGGGCCTGATTGGTGAACGTTAAAACTAAAATAATGCTCAATCAAGCAAACGAAATTTACAAGATTAATTTTAACCCAAGCAGATAGAATCAGAAGATACAGAATCTATGTTTAACTATAATAATGGAGGGAGTGGATATTTAAAGGAGTTTTATGGGATGTTCTTTTAGATACTCTCGGAAGGCATCATTTTGTTTAACTTCGAAAATGGTGATATTAATATCAATTACACTTTAAAGAGATTGCTAAATTGCCATAATGATAAAGAATGTGTAGAAATACTCTTTTCTCTTAAAAACGCATCTCTTTAGCCTTTAAATCACTCCACAGAGGGGCCTAAAAGTTAGAATTTGAATGATGACGGAGTTGGATAGAACTCAAACAACCCTGAAATAAATCACTTTAACTCGAGTTTTATGAACATTAATTCATACATGTATGATAATAGCTTATTCACAGCGTCAAAAAATAGAACATATGAGGAGTAAACAACTTCTAACAATTAAAAAGTGCCAACTCAAAAGTCTTAAAAATCAATAAATATACACTCAAACTACACTTATCAAAATTAAATAACAAATTCTAATAATTTGAATGATGATGTTCTATCTTAAATTAAGAGGAGACATTCTACATCATCTTATCACAAAACTAATACACTCATGTCAAGAAAAACAACAAGATTTTAATATAAGAAAGATGAAGATGAGCTGAATAGCAGTGCCGAGGTAGAGAATTCTCCTGTGTAATAGTAAACCAAAATAAAAGTAAATAGTGGAATTTTTTCAAGCAATATAAATGGCTTCCAACTTTAATTAGATGGACCTTTAAATGGCAGCACTCTATAAAATAATATGGGAATCAGAGATGTAGAAGTTCCTTAAAAAAATACAGTGAAGTTGAACAATAAAACAAATCAAGCATAAAAGCAGCCTGACTCTGGACTATAAATCGATGAAAGCTTGAACCAAGAATACATAGGAAGCAATAATATGTTTGATAGATAACAATTGTAACAGCAGTTTTAATAGATCTACTAATCAAACTATTAAAATGATTATTAAATAGAAAGAGATGAAGACGATTTTAAGCTTAAAAGAAAAGAAATACCAGGATCTGGAATGACAGCTACAGCTTCACCTTAACTATAATAGCAACAAACATATCATCACACACAAACCCACTCACATAACTCAAAATAAAATTCTAATCAGCCATTTTAAAAAATTATATATTCAGTTGCTAAAGAATTTACAGTAAAGGACTAACTTGAAAAGATAGAAGAGGATATGCATGATTATACAAATGAGAGTAATTATGAAATGCTAGGTCATCACATAAAAATGTTGTGTAAACTAGACTGTAAAAATTTGAATCAAAATAAATAAAATCATTATGAAACTTAAGCTACAACAAATAATCCATAAAATATGAATACACCAATATAAAATATGAATTAACAGCCAAACTATTACCACTCTAGCGTTTCATATAACCAAATAAGCAGTTTGAATCCATTTTAGCATTAAAACAGCGCCTTTATAGATGGGCTTAAAAATAGGAAAACTTCTCGTTTTTCGAATCTATCTGCTTTAAATCCCTTCTAATAATAATCCACTGTTTAATTTATCTAATAATAAATGTAGCAGATTTAGACATAAAATTAAAATAAAAATGATGATAAAAAAATAATAGAAATCACCTTCATTCCTTGTTATGTAAATAAATAGAAGTGCTTGGTTTTAGTTGTAAAGGATGTTTCTCATTTTAATTCAATTAAAGTTCTCAAAGAAATGAACGAAAACAGATCAAAAATGTTGAATTATGTTGTGCATGAAATTAGATCCCCACTTTCAAGCATTATGAATTACTTGCATAGCTCAATAGAGTCTCTTACTAAAGAACTGTATGACTAATTTATTGATCCAGCGCTTTCGAGTGCTCAAATGCTTAATGTTTTAATTTAAGATCTCTTAGATATGGCATAAATGAAAGCAGGTAAGTATCGTCTCAATATAAGACCATTTAAAATTGAAAATCTTATTGAAGATGTTAAAAAGACAATGAGAGTTATAGTAAAATAGAAATCACAAGACATTAATTTGGAATCCTACATAGATCCTTTAATAACAAGTGATATTTCATCAGATCAGCTAAGAATCAAATAAATCTTAATAAATCTAATAAGTAAAAATAAAAAATAAAAGCACAGATTTTATTTAATCATCTTAAATTTTACCCAATCAAATTATGCAAAGCAAAAATAAATTTTTTTGGTTATTTAATAGAAATTTTTATAGAAAAAAAAATATTTTTCAAAATTTATTTTATAAATTTTTTTTTCATTTCATACAAAAAAGGTAATGCAGTTAAATTCACTGATGAAGGTAGTATTAGAATCGAGGTTAACATGATAGAAAACAAGATTTATAGATTCAGTGTTAGAGATACAGGGATTGGAATTACTGATGATTAAAAGAAAAAATTATTTAGTGAGTTTTCAAAAATTGAAACTACACAGACTGATATACTAAACCCAAAAGGTGTGGGACTAGGATTGGTGATAAGCAATATTTTAGCAAAGAGTTTAGCTCCAAAGCATATGCCAGCAGGGTTGGAAATAATATCTGGCAAATCGAAGGGCTCTGAGTTCTTTTTTCATATTTTAGATTTTTCAACACAAAATAATAACAACAATAATAACACTATTTTGAATAATTAATCTAGTATAGTTCCTTCTGACTAAAATATTTTACTGACAAGAACTGCAAAATTAAATGGATCTTAGTAGACTAAGCTAAATAATATAAGCTTTGTCCATACTAACACCAATTCTATTCCTATTCAATCTCAAATGAGTCCAACAAATAGATAAATCATGAAAACAGATACATAAGTCATTAACTCACTATTTCCATATACCAAAGGAGGAAGCAGTGATGCTGTGTTGGATTAAGAATTCTACCTGTAAGAATAAGATAACTTAAATAGTAATAAGAGAAACTTTAATAACTAGTCCTCTTCCTCACCATCTTCGAACTCCTCTTCATCTCCCTCTTCGAGAAAAAACTCTGCTTCTGTACCTATTGATGAAGAAGACATTGATATTAATATCCAATACATATCTCCAAAATTCAAAAAGAATAGAGGTGAATAAAATGAAAAACCAAATATTCAATAATAAATGAATATGCAAGTAAGATTTCTCTCATCTTCAGCTGTAGGATCAGACTACGTTAAAAATGCAGAAATGTCAGGATAAAATAATTCGCTCAACAATAATGTAAACTTTAATAACAACAATTACAGCTTCATATAAAATAGCTTATCTAGAGATCCAAATAAGCCTCAATCTCTTAGTTAATCGTAATAATAGCAATAAAATATATAAAATATGTAACTATAATAAGTAGCTTCTTCTTACTTTAATTTCGAAGATAATAATTAACAAGGAACAGCAAGTCTACCGATGAACAGCGTACAATCGTTAAGATTTGGATTTTAATCCCTATAGCATAATTCGCAACCTTCTTCATCTTTACAATAAGATGGATTGTTAAACATCCCAGCTAATTTTGATCTAAAGAATAAATACAAGAAAAAATGCAATTGCTCGAATATACTAATCGTTGATGATGAAACATTTTAATGTAATTCTCTATCACAGCTAATACATTCAATTACTAAATAGCAATGTGATAAAGCAACTAGCTGTGACTCTTGTTTAAAACATATAGTACAAAAGCATTAATAGAACTAGTGTTGCCCTTCTTACTAGCTCATTTTATTAGATCTAAACATGTTCCCTTCTAAAGATGGCTTTGAGACTCTTATAGAGATATAAAAATACCACACATAAGTAAGACTTTAAATGCCTAAAGTAGTTGCTTGTACAGGTGAAGCAGATGAAGAAAAAAAGTAATAGTGTATTATTGCAGGTTTTATAGATATTTTAGAGAAACCTATTCAAGTTGATCAACTAAAATCTATTTTGACTTCATACTATTTTTAGAATTAAATTTAGCAATATCCATAACAATTTATTTTTCAGAACACAATGTCTTAACTATCATTTAATTAGCAACTATAAGTCATCAATATGTGAGACCAATCATTACAAAAATTAATTAAATTTAAACAAAAATATCTATCTATCTATTTATATGCTAATTTGAAAAAAAATTGCATGCTAAACTCAAAAAAGTATAAATATCACTCACTAACTTAATAACTAAATAAATAAATTATAAAATTAATAAAAATTCTTTAAAAAAAAGTTAACTTTTATCTCAAAAAAAACTTCTAATATTAAATTTAACTAACATTTTGAATAAAATTAATTAGATATTAATAAATAATATTTATTTCACATTTCTTATTTCTGTATAATAATTTATATTAAATTATCTGTTTCAATGCATTTAATCTCTCTTTGTATTAAAAATTTTATTTTAATTTTTCCCTTTTTAATCAAAATTTGAAAGATTTAACTAATTTTATTATTTATTAAGCCATTTAGTTCTATTAATTTGAATGGCTTGTGTGAATTTAAGTTTTATTTAACAAATACAGGTTCTATGAGCACATTTATACAAATTTAACCCTTATTTTTCAAAGGATAAATCATTTTGCTTTACTCAACTCATGATAATTTTCTTAAAAATTAGTGAAAATTTACTTTTAGGTATGTAAAAATAAAATTTTTATCCTAAATTTTATCTAAAACATAATTTAATTTATTTAATAATTAAAAATGAAATTATAAAAGATAAAATATTAAAATTATAACAGCCCCAACTTAATGGTAAACCAGTTAAGTTTTTGTTTGTATTGAGGTTGTGGATAGTGGTTTAATTAGAATTAAATTATGCAATATCATAATTTTTTTAATAAACTATTAGTTAAAGAAATTTAAAATTCCTACCAAATTAAACTTAATTAAAGTCTCTACTTAATTCCTCGTTTTTTTCAACTCTTAAGTTAAGAATTGTTATAGTTAACAAGCTAAAAAAATTAAATTGATCAGACTTAATAAATATTTTTTAAAATAAAAGTATAGTCTTAGTACTGTTTGCGTTAATAAGTACAGTTTTACTAAAAGCAATCTTGAACATATTGTTCAGCACTCAAAATTTTATAGGACGTAAGTCTTATTATCATTAAAAAATATACCCATTTTTAGAATATAAATTAAATAAAAAAAGAAATTCAAGAAATAATTATATGTTTAAAAGCATATTTTATAATGATTATTTTAAATTTAAATTATTGCTGATATGAAAAAAATTAAATAATAAATATAAATTGCTTTTGAATTAAATTTAACTAAATTTATTAAAAATGGATTAAATTTTTACTTAGTTAAAACTGAAAATTTGAATGAATTTGAATATATTTTTAAGATATTTTATTTACATTAAACAAATATATTTATTTTTTTATTTATTTTTATATATTATAAAGTTTGATATAATAATAAGTAGTCCAAAAGTTAGTTAGGATTAAAATAAATTGTTAAAGAATATTTAATTTATTTATTATTTTCAAATGAGAATAGATTGTTTGTTTACTTATTCCATCTTATTTTTGTTAATTGGTTGTGCAGGTGGCCTACATGTTTTATGCTTATTTAATGGAGAAGAAGATTGAGGTAAGGCTTATGAGATTTAATTATGTTGTTTGATGTTTAAAAAGCTTTTTATGTTGTTTTTTTCCTTTTGAAGTTAAAATAAATCCATGTATGCAATTTTTTCTTCTATGAATTAGTAGAGATTACTTATTGAACTATTTTCTTGTTATGTAAATAACTCTTTAAAGTACAATTTAAACACCTTTTGATAATGAGAAAGAATAAGAATGTGATACCCTAATCTACTCATTTGGATTAATTTATCGTAAGGAAGCTTCAATTCTTTTTTAGCTTCAGATTAGCTATCATAAATCTTTTTATTTAAAAAATTATAGAATGCAAATAAGTGTTTTCTATAAATTCCATAGATATGAGGTTCTATTAAATCTCTTCCCTTCTCTAAGGTGCTTCTTTTCAAAAATTGCATAATTAATTGGTCCAGCTTTTTAATATTTTTGTCTGAAGTTATTTTTTCCTTCATTTCTTATTTTATTGATTAGGTTAACTAAAAGTAATCTTAGCTTTTTTAATCTGTTTATTATTTATTTGAATCATCACAGTTCTTTTTTGCTTATTCAGTTAACTACCTAAAGATAAGGTTGTACAAACGAACTCTGAATAAGCTAAGAACTACAAGGACGCAGTTTAAGCATTCTTCGTTGTTAAAATGTTTGAATATTTCTTCTGTTTTTTATAAAACTATTTAAAAATAGCTTTATATTTTGAATTCAAAAGGATCAAGGAAGGAGGAGAACACAAAGAGTTCCTCATTTTAGTTAAATGGTTTATATTAATCTTTGAGGATAGTATCTTTCAGTAGTTGAATAGGGGGATTTGCTACGCTTACTGTTTAAGAGCGCACAAGCGAACTCTTTCTCTCTTTTTAAACAAGCATTTGGTTTTTCTGATCATAGTAAACGGATTTTTCATATCCAACTGCAGAAGTAAATGATTGATTGCCTGATATTTCTTGGTAAGCCTCTCCATATGCTTGATATTAAGGTTAATCTGAGAAAGCTCTTTAGAGATGACTTAAATTTAATCCCATGCGATTTCTCATTTTTGTATTAAGCATATAAGAGCAAGCTATTTCATCTTAACTAACTAATTCATCAAAAATTTTTTCTTTCTATTAAGGAGTTTTGAGTCCGTTTTCTGATTGACTATCGTCAAATCCTTCTATTGGTTCTTGATCAAATAAAAATTATCCGTTTTCATCACAATTATTTTGTTGCATATGCTATAGTTTAATTTTTAAATCGCTAGCATTAATAAATCTACTATACACTTCCTACATACCTCCTCCTTCTTCACGTTGTTTGTTTGCAGATGCATTTTTAAATTATTACTACTCCTCATTCTAAACTGATAAAAATTGCTTATTAGTGCCAGCTGCAGTGATCTGTATATTTATTTAGGATTAAGATGGTGTAGGCACTACAGAGTAAACTATTTGAGGATTTTTGTTATTTTCGCTCTTACAAATCGATTAATCATTCTTAGACTCTGAAACTACTTTACTTTTTGTACCATTAGGATTTTTCATTTAAAGAGTTTTTGAAGAGATATCAAGACTACCACTCTTATGAAGATTATTTTGGCTCATTTTTACAGTATTTTTATTATAAGGAGAATGGGAGAGATCATGTATTGAAAGTGCTTGTTAATTATTTTATTATATTTTTTATGTTTCTATATTACTGTTTAAATCGTTTGCATTTTTTACTTCATTTCTTGGGTTTGCTAAAGGAATTTATTTTAAATTGCTTGGATTAGAAGATACATCAGAGCGATTAGAATTTAAATCGATGTCAGGATTGAAGGCATCACGTTATGCCATTAATTTATCTAAAAAGTCAAAACCAGTAAAATCTCCCGAGCTTTCAACTGCATTCGAATCACTCTTATGAGAGGAATCGTACTAGTCTAAAAGTGGACAAAATTTTTTTTACTAATTTAACTTGTGCTATTCAATATGCTTAAATAAAGATTTATTATCAGAGATATTGCTATTATTTTCTAAGTGTTAGGATTTGTTCACTTGTTGATCTTATGTTTTATTTTTTTAGACTTCTTCTTATTACAATTCGCTGTATTTTGGCATCTAAAGTTAATATTTATATATACCACTTTTATTGCTTGCACTACTTTTTTGAAGTAAAGATTCGTTATTTTTATTAACTTTACTGTTACCATCTTTGCTAATCTATTAGTTATTTGTATTACAACTAAAATTGTAGCTAATTGTTTTATTGCTATTTGTATAACTTAAATTACTCTTATTTAAATCAGATTTGCCCAAAAAGTTGCTTTATTTAATCACAGATTTAGTAATAGATTTGTCTGCAGCTACATTTAGGTTTTCATCATCTTCATAAAAGACATCTTCAGTAAAAGAATTATTGTGATTGAGTTAACTAAATTAAGCTAAGTTATTACAATTAGCCTAGACTCCATTGTGAGAAAATGAGGATATGATATTTAACACTTGATTATCATTTATTTAAGATTTGACTGTTTCATCCTTTTAATCCTTTTTCATATACTCAATATACGAATTTTCATTTCTGGGATTCGCTTTGATCAGTGATTTTTTCATGACACCATTCATAAAAGACTACTTTAAAAAATCTTCTTCATTTTTAATTGTCCTTATATTCTAGCTTGCATTAAATTAAGAGTTGGTGTTGCTGATAGCACTTTGTTTCAATTAAGATTTGTTTTAGCTTTTTTAGTATATTGAATTACTCATTTATTCGTAATGTTAATCTAAAATAACTGAATTATCAGTAAAGCTCATATAAACATTACTAGTGTTAAATGCCTATCTTTTTTAATAATTTTCATTAGCTAATTTGCGATTTGCCCAAGTATTATTATTTGACACATAAGAATGATTGGTGCCCTTTGTATCATATTCGTCTATTGATTTTGTTAAATCTAAAGAAAATATATTCTTTTTGACTTACTCCCAGTTGTAGCGGTCTTTTTCGTGGAAGGCCAATAATCCTAGAAGACAAGTAATACTAAAATTTGAAATAGTTGTACTTTTACAAATAAGTGTTGATCTTAATGTCTCACTAGAGTATTTAACTTATTAGTAATATTCACTCAACCCTTCTTTTGTACTAGCTTTTTCTGCATTTATTTCCATGAACTTTTCGTTAAAAAGCATTTCATAAAATATACATCCAACACTCCATAAATTAGATTGCTGAGTTATCTTCTTGTGCTTAAGAGTTTCAGGAGCAATATATTCATTTATCTTTATAAGTTATTCTATCTCTTTAGTATTCTTTTTCTTTAAATCTTCTTCTTAAAATAGATCTCCAGCATTTGAAAAAAGGATAATATCTTTTTTAGCATCACTGAGCAATCCATTTTACTGTTTAAAAAGCAAGAACTTAGGATGAATAGCAATATTTAAATAGCATTCTTCAGCATTGAAAACATTTTTTATATTATGCATTTCATTTAAACTCATTAAAATGCATTTCATCAAATATATTGCATCATTTTCTGAGTAGATTTACTTTTGCTCTATCATTTCATTAATATTATCCTAAACATACTCTGTTATGATTTCAATATTATCATCGTCTTCTTAGTGATTTAACAACTGAGGAATCCAATTCGCTGACTGTCTACTAAAATTCTATAATATGTCTATTGAATGGCGTGCACGCTAAATTACTAATTTTCCATTTGAGTACAACTCTAATTTATTTTTATTATAAACTTTAACAAATCCTATTCTTTCATTATTTTCATTCATCTAGCATTTATAAGTTTTCTAAGCACTATCACCAGCGATTTGACTTTCAAGAATAATGTATTTCTCATCTTCTGACTCTTTACAAGGTGTTTCTCTTTATATATTTCTATTAAACTTATCATCTTCCTCTGTGATGTCCTATTATCTTTTTGGATTTGCTGGTACCCTATCGTAGTTATTATAACTCATAAATCACCTTCAAATATAAGATTTAATTTTTTTTTTTCTTATTTAATTAATTTTTTTTGAGTTATATATAAATTTTTAAATATTATTAATCTAATTGATAAAAAAATACTCCACAATTTTCAAATAATTTTTTGTCTAAAATTTGATTAAAACTTCTGAAAATTAAATGTTTAGATTTTAAATAAGTAAAGGCAATTTTATTATAAATAAATATCAATTAATACTTTCTTTGTTCTACCTCGCTAAATCACAAATCTTAAATTAAATCCTAATTATATATGAAAAACTTTTAAATTTTAAGATATTGTTTGTTTTTCTTTCAACGTCTGTTTATTTTTAACTAATTATCAAACATAAATTAATACTATTTATATATCACAAAATAAGTCAATAGTATTTATTATGATAGATAAATTTAAATTTATAAACTAAATAACGTATTATTTATATTGTACAAGTGTTGATTGTGTTTATTACTCTCTAAATATTTACAAATAATAAATAGATTACTTGGCATTTAAATAAATGATTGATTTTATATATTTGATCTGGTTATTAACTTTATGAGTTAAAATATAACTATTACTAAATAATAATTTATAATTAAGTTTTTCATTCTAAATATATTTAAAAAAGCTAGAAGAAACAAAATTATTTTATTTAAGTTTGTTTGTTTATAAATATCTGAGTCTATCTTAAAATTGATTTCTACATTTAGATGGTTCTTTTTATAAAATATAATTCAAAAATATTTATTTTTTCATTTAGAATTTTGTTAATTTTATTTAATTTAATTTTTCATTCTAAAAATATTTAAGGATACTAAATGAAACAAAATTATTTTATTAAAGTTTGCTTATTTGCTTATAAATAAATATCTGTGTCTATCTTTAAATTGATTTCTACATTTTGATGATTCTTTCTTTTTATTAAATATAGTTAAAAAATATTTATTTTTTTCATTTAGAATTTTGTAAAAATAAACTAGTAAATTAATAAATTGGAGTATGGGAGATAGATTTAATAATAGTAGAAATAACAGTTTTCAAAAACCATTTCCCAGCAATGATAGGCAAAAAGATGGATTTAAATATCAACAAGATAAAAGATCTTAAAGTAGCGATGGGAAAGCATTTGATAACAATAATAATAGGTTCTAAAGGAATAATGAATAACCTAATCGCCCTTTTCAAAGCAATTAGTAATTTAGACCTTTTAACAAAGATTTTTAAAATTAAACGAGGAATTAGAATCAAGATACCTCAGGTAGGTATTCTTAGCCTTATAACAGAGACAATTCAGGTCAATCCAGGCCTTATAATAAAGATTACTAAAATTAACCAAGATAATAGAATTAAGATAGTAATGGATAATAATCATAGCCCTAAAACAGAGATAATCAAGGTCAATATAAGCCTTATAACAACAATTAATTCAATTAAGCAAGGTATTAGAATTAAGACTAATAATTCTAGTCCTAAAAAAGAGATAATGAAGGATAATTTAGGCCTTATAACAAAGATTTTTCAAATTAAGCCAGACAATAAAATTAAGACACCTAAGGTCAATAATCCTAACCCTAAAACAGAGACAATCAAAGTGGTCAATATAGACCTTATAATAACAATTATCAAAGCTAATTCAGGTAATAAAATTAAGACTAATAATTCTAATCCTAAAACAGAGAAAATCAAGGATAATATAGACCCTATAACAGTAATTATCAAGGGAGATACTAAAATGATAACAGAGAAAATTATGGATAAAATTCTTATAGAGATGGCTAAAGAAATATGAATTATAATAGTACTTATAAAACTCAAAATTAAGGATTTACTTCTATATTTACAGACCCTTTTATAGGCTAAAGCTAAAGTGGTAGCAGTAATTAACAGTATCAATCTTCAGACAATAAAATAAAAAAAGCAGCTATGAAAGATCTTTCTGAAAATGAGATGGCAGGAATTATAGACAATTTATGTGTAAATATTCTTGTTGACAAAATTATACATTAAAATTTGATGAACGATGGTTAAGAATACAACCTAATTCAATCTTATGCAAACAAAGAAATTAAATTAATAAATAATCTTAAGCAACTTTTTCAATAATGAATGAATAAAAATTGTAATTAAATAAATAAATTAATTTTTAATTTTTATGATGTACATTTTATATTATGTAAATACCTTTTTATAAATAAATGTTTATTTTATTTCATTTATAGTTTAAGTAGTTATATTCTAAATAAGAGTAAATGTATCTAATTAAATCATACAATAACTAAATTGTTAAATAACTAAATTTAAAATTAATTTTTAATTTTTATGATATTCATTTTATATAATGTAAATATCTTATAAAAGATATATGTTTATTTTATTTCATTTATAGCTTAAATAGTTATATTCTAAATAAGATTAAATGTATCTAATTTAGTCATACAACATTAACTAAATATTCAAATAACTAAATTTATCTAAGGGATACATCATAATATATACATTAAAAACTTTCTAAAGTGGCACCATCAAAATCAAAATGTTTAATAAAAATAGAAATAATTCATATTACATTTAAAAATTAACACTCTCTTAGTTTTCCTATAATTTTAAAATAAACACTGTTTTTTTATTTTACTTTTTTTTTGTTTAATTTTAGTGGACATAATTAATAGGTAAATAAATTATAAACTAACTAAGTTTTTTAATATAGGAAATAATATCAATCAATCCATAAGTTCCATATTATTTAAATAAAATTTTATACTTTCGATAAGATTTAAAAACATTATTATTTTTTAAAAGAAAGAATAATGTATTGATTTAAAACCTCACTTGTTTGAATGAAAACAAATATCCAAACCAATTTATTTTGTAAAATTTTATTAAAATCAATTTTTTTTAATTTTTTTCTAAGTGGATTCTTTTAGTTAATCTTATTGTTAAAGATTATTGTTATCATCATTTTTATCTTACTTTTATTCTTTTGTAGTATCTTTTTTAGGGATCACAGAAAAAAACCTTTTGATTCCTTTCGAATCCTATTTCTTTTAAAATTCTTCAAATTTAAAAAGACAATTTTTTGATCTGTCTTTTTAATCATTGACATTTTCTCCAACTCTAAAGATTTCCAATTCACTCTTTATAAACTCTTCATTGTATTAAGAAATCTTTTATTTCATTTCAGAGAAATTGTCATCTGACAAATATGTTTAAATGTCATCTTGTTTAATAAAAAGTGGCATTCTAGCATGTATTTTGCCTATTTCACACTTTCCTTCTTAAGTGAAAACAACAAAATTTCCTTCTTCATTCATTTTAAGAGCACCTAAAAACATTCTTTAATTAACTTATTTTGGCTTGATTGCATATATTTTCTTTTTATCTTCAGTCCACTCATAATAACCATCTACAGCTAAAACACATCTATTTAGTTTATTTGCTACAACTTATTTAAATTTCATTTCTACATCTTCTATTCTACTATTCAAAAGTAAGTTATTGTGCTTTTCATTTTTTAAACTAAACTACTAAACCTTTTATTTATTTATTTAACAATATAACTTAGAATAACTCTTCATTATTTAACTCCAAATCATTAAGATAAAATAATTACCTCAATTTTTAATCTGTTAGAATTACTATCATCTTTTAAAACTATTGGCATATATTCTAAAGTCCTTATATTATAATTTTAGCTAAATTTTTCTTCATTTGCGATATTTTAATCCTCATCAATTCCTAATAATTTTTTAAGATCTTAAAGAGAAAACTCAATAAAAAACCTGTGAACCATTTTAAATATAAATATATTTAATTCTAAAAATGTTGATTTCGATGGAGGCTATTAAGGTATTTATTAATTTTGTTAAGTTTTAAATAAAATAAATATATTTTTATCTTAAGATTCTCAATATCGATACTAATAGCTAATATTAAGATTATTAATAATATCAATCAATTTTGTGTTATATTTCGAATGAAGAAAAAAAATCTTATTTAAAATTATCAGGATTATATTAGATATTGGTTTAGAGTTTCTGATAAATTTTGTGTGTACCACACAAAATAAGTATTAGACTTAAAATTTTTTTCAAATTTTAACAGCCAACATTTACATTAGAATTTAAAGTTTGTTTCATCATTCATTTTATTTTAATAATAATTATATTTCAAATATCTTTTATTTTCATTAAATTTAATTAAAACACTTTTAATTATTTTATATTGCATTACTTTGAAAAATTATTTGGAGTGATTAAATTATTCTTTCTTTCTTTTCAGTTGATTATAATCGTTTAAAATCTAAGATATTATATAATATTTGCATACTTTAATTAAGCGTTTAATAATTAAAATAAATATTTTTAATAAAAATAAAATAAATAAATAAAATGAGTATATTAATTTAAAGAAAATGCCATTTATAAATCACCCACTACTTTTCTTTAAACCTGTTTCTTAATTAAAATATTTAATTAATTAAAAATCTCTTAATAAATTGCCAAAACTAAACAGTGATTATTTTGAAAATGAATTTTAGTAAGTTAGTAAATTAAGAACATTATTTAATAAGTTTATAACAACTATAATATAAACTTCATATTACAAATTATTAATTAGAAATATTATTAAAATATTTAAAACATTTTAATAATAAATAAATAACTAAATCAAACAATCAATCAATCAATCATCTAAGCAATAAATAGCTAACTCTAATTATTCTTCTCCAGAAATTACTTTTTCAAATTTAATTGAAGTGTGAATGGGAAATCCTTCTATTTCATTCATTAAATAGGCTATCTTTTCTCTGGTTACTTGCTCCAAATTTTTTCCAAATCTTATAACAGATCCCAAAACTTCTTCACTTTCATTTTTTATAATTTGTTAAGCATAATTACTTTTACTATTTTAAATTTAATATCCCTTTAACACTCCTTTTTACACAATTATATCTTTCTAAAACTAACTTAAAATTAGTACTTAATAAACCTTTTATTCTTTAATATCTCCTGCTACAAAAAATCCATTACCGTTGATGGCTTTTTAACTAATTTCTTCATGATTCTTATCACTTTATGATACTAAATTCTGCTTTTAAGAAAAATCTCCCTATTTTTGATTTAATTTTGATGTTCATGTTTAAAAACATATGATTTTATAGAAATTGTTATTTAAAAAATGAATACTTAATAATGTAAATAAAATATTTAATGTAATAAACAGCTAAAATTAATTTTAATAATAAAACATTTAATTTACTTACTTCATTAAATTTAGCCTTTTAAAATAATTTTCTCAACTTGGAAAGGTCTTAATTTGTTATATAAGAATCACATTCGTAACACCAAAAGCTTAAATCAGAAAAACTAACAGCAACTTAATGATCTTAATTCTATTAATTATGCATAGCCATATGACCTTTAACATACCTACTGCAATAGACGTTATTACAAATTAAGCAAAACCAATTTTCACCAACATTTTCACAATTGCTACATTAACTCCAAAATAACTATTATCTTTTCTGATAAATAGTCTCTTCTGTTTTTTTCAAATCTAGCTTTAGAGCGTGTGGACAATTAGTAATAGGTTCTACTGCAAATGCTTCTTCGCCTGTAAATGGATCTATAAAAGCCTATCCTGCCTATAAATTTATCATATTTATATGTTGTTTTTCTTATTGTTTACAAAATATAATAATAATAAAATATATGAATTAATAATTTGATAAGATAAATACCTTTTAGACAAATAAATGTTAACAGATCTGATTAATTATAATCAGAAACGAAATTACTATGTAAATTATAAATCAAACAATTAATTAAAATTATTAAAGAAAGTATTTCTACACAATTGATTGTTTAAAACCTAAGAAAATTCTTTATGTAAAAATGTTTATAAAATAAAAAAATCAAATTGCTTGCTCATTCATTCATTCATTTTTTATTAGATAAAAATTCATTTTAAAATTTTTATTTAATTGTTTAAAATGCTAATTTGAAACAAATTAGCATGAAAGGATTTTTATTATCTTAAATTAAAATTTATTGTCAAAGAAATAAATAATGAATAGATCTTTATTATTAATCAAATTAAAATTGATTTTTAATAGAAATTGTTACTGAAGAATATTTTAGCTAGCTCAAAAATAATATTTTTTTTTTAACACTAAAAATTTAGTCTAAAAAAAAATAAACTCCATTCAAAATAAAATTAATTATTTCATTTGAAGATTTTTATAATTTAAATTAATAAATTTAATATTAAAATAAGAAAAAAAACAAAGTTAAATAGCAAATAATTGTTATTTTAACTGATAAATTTTTTTTTAGTAATATTTTATTTCTTTAAAATTTTCAAGCTTCAAAAAAAAGAGAAATATTATTTGAAATAGCAGTTCTAAGTTACTATAAAATAAATGAAGATCCTAATTTACTCTTATTTTAGTAAATGAGTGTAGAAAGTATTTGTTTTTACTTATAAAAGACTATAAAATAAATGAAGATCCTAATTTACTCTTATTTTAGTAAATGAGTGTAGAAAGTATTTGTTTTTACTTATAAAAGAATTATTGATGAATAATATATATTTTGTCAAGCAAATATTTCTAAAATTAGGATATTATTCATAAAGATACAATTTATTTAATTATTATAATCGTTATAATTACGTAATTGAATGCTGACATCAACAACTAATTATATAACTAAAAACAATTTTTGATATTTTGGTAATATAAAAAATTATAAAATTTGTTGAATTAAACTTTTTTGAATGATTTAAATATTATATACAGAAAATTTACACAGATTTTTGTATTAGTAATGTATTAGATGAGTATATTATTTTTCATCACTAATAGATTTTGCAACTATAATAGATAATTTATAAAGAACTTGTTTTTTAAATTTTGAAGAATAAATAATGTTTTTACTTATTAAATATTTTATATGATTTGTTTGTTACACAGCAATAATTAAATGAAAATTTAAGCTTTAAAAAATTAAAACTAATTTTTATTGAAAATTGAATTAATTATTTATAAAATAAAATATTTATTTAAAATTTTACTTTAACTAATTTTTTTCCAAAAAATAGATATCTAATTATTGAAAATAATAGGAAAGCTTAAGTTTGCTTAACATTCCTAATCAATTACCTAAATTTTAAGTTAATTTTGACTCTAGTTTATTAAATTAATTAAAGTATTATTTGATCTTGGAATACTTTTCTTAATTTTTATTTTAAGTAAAACTTGATAAAGAGACTCTCTCTAAATTTAGTAAAATGTCAAGAAAATAGAGACATAATAAATTAAATTAGATATTATACAATTTTGTATCAGTTATTTTACAATAATCACGTAAAAAATTTATCTGGTAAAATTAATTATTGCATCATAATAGAATTTAGAAATGATATTGGCTCATACAAAAGTGTTATGAATTTCTAATATCGTAATAAAAATTTAAAAATTACTAGAGATATACATATTAATCTTAAAAAAAAAATTAATGACGATATTTGGTTTTTAATTAAAAATCCAATGAAATATCACCTAAAAGAATTAAGAATTCAAAAAAATATATTAACTTATTTTTACAAATTAATTCAGTTAATAGGAAGTATCTTGTCTTATAAAGCTCATCAAAAGGTTTAGATTAAAAGCTATAAATCCATTATTGATTACATATTGCCATAATAAAGAAAATATAAAAAAAACTAATAAAAATCAAAATAAAAAAGTTAATCTATAAATCAATCAATACAAAATCTAAATTTCTAATTGGCAAGACTCAAATAAACATTTTGTTTATTCAGAAACTAAATCCAAAGTTAAAAAACATTTTAAAACAAGAATAAACCAATATTCAAGAATTGAGGAATAAAAAAAGCACAATTTCTTAAAATTTGAATTCAAAACAAAAAAACATTTGCGTTTTGCTTAATACATTATTTATCAAAGAGCCTGCCAAAAAAAATGTTGTTTAAAAGTAAGCTTACAAAGAGGGAAGCCATGATGGCTAAAGACTATGAGTAGCAGTAAAAATTAATGACAAAAAGATTAGAGAGTGAAACAGTACATTACATAAAAGAGTTCTACAAATTGCTGAATACATCCTATGAAAGGATTTAAGAGTGGCAATAAATTTAATTGCAAGAATCTAATTGCTTAGAAATGAGCGAGTAAATTAATGAGATGAAAAAGAATATTAAGCAATTTAACAAACAGAGAAAAAACAATAGAGATATAAATTATCACTTATCAAATAAAATAATAAATGCCGAAATACACTTTGAATTAACTCATACGCTGAACCTCTTAACCTCAATAGTAGAACTTTATTAATTTAAATAATTAATTCTAACACTTTTTTTACTTGAACAATTAAACAAAAATCTTATATTATTTTATTTAAAAATATTTTTAAAAATCAATTTAAAATAATAATAAATAATTTTAAATTAAAAAATGAATATTTAATTTGAGTTTAATATTTTAAATTAATGTTAACATGAACAATTAAAATTTAATTGATTGCTCGTCTTCAATTGTTTGATATAGATTGAATTAATTTATTATTATTAATTCATATTATTTAAGACATGAATAAAATCTATTTAATAACTTTTTTAAAAAAAATAGACATACAAATGCAAAACATTGACTTAAGTTTTAATGGAAAAAATACAAAATAATAATAAAGAACAAAATTATTTGGATGTTTCTACTAATTAAAATTAATAACAATCTTTGGAAGAGAAATCTATACAATCTTAATTTTTCTAACCCTTATGTGCCACAGGATTACTTACTTATCAAGTTTTAAAGGCTATAAAAATAATAATCAAAAATAATTAAATTATTTCTCTAAGCATGAACTAACAAGAAGAATTCATAGATAATCTGCTTCTAATTATGCTAGTAAATTAATTTATAATATTTTATAAAACAATTTCATTCATTTTAAGCAAGAAAAATTAATTTTAAATTAAAACTTTTTCATTAGTTCAAAATAATTTATCAAACTTTATTTAAGTATTTGAGGAAATAATTAATTCAAGAAAGACCTTTTAAAAACAATTTCAACCACATTTTTATTTAATCGGTTTTGATAAGAAAATTAATACATTTGGTAAATATTTTTAGAATTTATCATGTACCACAAATCAGCTTTAATTTTACTATTTATTGATAAAAAAATTTTAGATATTTTTTTAATATAAATCCACAATTAATTTGATTAACACAAGAAGAGAAAGCTATTTATAGATTTTAATTACTTTTCACAATTACTTTCCCTTCAAACAAGAATATTGATTGACTCATTCAAATTACAAATTTATTACAAAAATGTTATTAAATGTAATAAAAAATATTAACAAATGATAAAATAAAAAAAAGCAAATTAAAATATGTTTTAAATGATATTTTATCATCAAGTTAATTTCAATATTTTGATTTTAAAGTTGAAAGCTTTCCAGAAAAGAAATTGATATAATCCAATTAAATCAATTGTAACAATTTATTAGATATTTATTTATTGAAATATTACATCATTAATTATATCCTTAAAATCAATAATGACACAATAAATAGTAAATAATTGAACTAATATTGATTGATAAAAAAATTTTCAAACATAAGTCTTATTTTTTTATTTAAAATTAAAATTTTTAAGTTGATGAACTTAATAAAATTGAGACTAAAAATTATATAAAATTTTAATTATTTTAAAGATTGAATTTAAAGAAGGATTCATTTTAATTTTTAAATAGCTTTTTTTTATGTTTTACTTTTAAGATTTTGAGAGATTAAATAATTTATTTTAATAAAATTATTTAGTTATGGAATGGATGGAAAGGCAAAATAGAAAAAAAGATATTTAAAAACAGTGTGATTGTTATCGAGTCATGTCTTGTTTCTAAAAGATTTGCATTCAATGCCAGTATTTTGAAGAACATTAACTTATTTATTGAGAAGATTTAACTAAAAGAAATGAGCTTGTTTTTAAGAGTTTTGGCTCTACTTGTTCTTGAAGTTAATGATAAACAAAGTTATAAAAATATTAGTAAAGGTGGTGGTATGAATTACACTAATAACTACCTTCTGATGAATCATTCTTTACTTGTAAAATAACCTATATTTTTAAGTAAAGTATTTGAGATAGCTGAGAGTATGATTAAAGTACTTTAGTGTCTCATGTAATGTGAATCAGAAATTTAGTTGCATAGAACAGTTTAGATGCTCAATAAATCTAAATATCTGGAATAAAGTGGGATATGTATTAGCAAATTAGTAGAAAAACTAAATAGAAAGTGTTAATAACAATCAAACGTGTTATTGAATAAGAAATCAATCATACAATATTGTTTACAGAATTCTTCTTTGATGGAGTTGCTTTTTATTTTATAAAATCTGCTTTCTGGCAGTAAAAAAATTATAGTTTAATAATAGCTTAACGAGTTGGATTTTATTGAAAAAATACTAACTCCGTTTTATGACATTTTTTTCCATCAAGAGTTCAACTTGGATCAGATCGTATGTGAAGACGATGAGGATACAGAAGATGTATGTTTCACTGCTCGTATTTAGCTATTAAGGATAATTATTCAATTTATTTAAAGAGATGAAGATAACACAAACATAATTAGTAAATTTATTTCTACAACAGAGCACTTTTATTTGTAAAATGTAGAGATTCCTCTATTACTTCACCTTCATCATAATTCTCAATCAGCTATCAATGGTCAGGAAAATAAAAATAAAAGCTAAGAGGTAGATGGTATCCTGAAGTATCGCAATCTTTTCTTGGAAACAAATGGTAAAGATATCTTAGAAAATGAAGACTACCTTCAACAAATAAAATCTGAAGAAATGAAAAAGAAAATTTAGGATCTTTAATACCCTAGCTAGATTTCAGAGAAGACAATTGTCTAATGCAGAAAAGATAGGCTTTCTTACATTGAAGACAAAGGGTTGATGCATAAAATTATCGAGTCTTTCAAATCTGTAAATTAAAATTGTTAGTTGAGATTCTGGTTAGGAAGCTGCCTTGAAATTTTCCTAAAAGGATCAAATTGGTATCATTAAGTCTTTGTATTTGAGACAAGTCTTTTGTATACTTTGATCAGGTAGTATATTTTAAACTAACTATCGACAACAAATAATATTCAAATAACTTTGGATGTTCTTGGAGAATTAGTGAAATTCAATCACTTAAATGTGATTTATTTAAATCTTATCTTGAATCAGGAAGGCTGGATAACTAAAATAGAATAAAAAATGTTCTCAAATATTGTAGACACAAATGTTTTTTTGAGAAATCTTTACCTAACGTATGAATATGCAGAATTCTAGAAGATAAGCATTTTCAAAAAAGGGATCATTCAAATGAATAAAAATGAAAACCTATTTAGGATTTTATGCGAAAGCAACAACTTCCGTACTTTAGTAGAATTGATAAAGAGCGTAAATGAAGACAATCTAAATTAAGAAAATCTTTGTTGCATTAATTCGGCTCTTGTGATTTTAATATTTTCATATTAAAAAGGTCATTTCAAATAAATCTTAGAACAAATTTTCAAATATTTTAAAGGACAATAGACTTTATCTCTCTTTTTCTAAGTTATAAATGTATGGCAAAATTATCACTAAGTAAAAACTAAGGAGCTATACAACTTAGAACACTCAACAAACATCCCAATTCATTATTTCAAAATAATTATTCAATAATTTAATAATTTTTATTAACAAAATTTAATAAATTGAAAATTTTATGTAAAAAATTAATGTCTTATTCTTTTTAATTATCTAATCCAATATTTAGAAAATAAATAAGCAATTATTAATTTTTAATTAGTTCTATAATCCATCTATTATTGGACAATTAATTCAAATACAAAATATTAAGTTATCATTATTGTTTAAAATTTTGTTTAACTTGATTTTTAAATATTATTAAAAAAAAAATTTAAATAATTGAAATTATTTTAAAATTTTGTAATTTTATAGGTTAAAATATCATTTATTGTTTTAAATTAATAAGAAAATAATTCTAATTACTATGAAAATTAAGTAGAAGTAATGTGAATTATAACTTTTAATTTATTGAATTTAAATAAGTATATTTATTTATATTAATATTATTTACCTTCTACAATTTAATAATTATCATTGCAATATTAAGAAGAAGTATTATTTATTTAAACGTGAAAGACTTTATATTATCAAAAAATTAAATTTTAGAAGCCATAAATTGATAAAGCTAATAAATTAATGGCTGACCAATCAAATAAAAAATTACCACAAAGAGAAAATTCTTTAAAATTTACATATACACCTAAGGCGCATAATGAGAATTATTGTATCCAAGGAAACAGCGAATGCAGTGATTTTTAAAATATTATTTAATGCATAAAAGATTAAAATATTCTAAAAGATAAAAAAATAAATGAAAGGGAACAAAATCAAGCTGGAAAATGCAACATATTAACTAATATTAGATATAGTTAAGGAAAATAAATTCAAGATTTGAATTAAGATTCTTAATAAAATGATGGAGAATCAGCTGAATGTGTTGATTGTTTTGAAAGCTAAGAAAATTAAAAATAGAATACCACTTAAGAGATTCAGTAAGAAAATAAATGTATATATAACCATTTGTAATTTGATTTAGGCAAAAATCCATAAAGAACAGAAGAATAAATAATAAACACTAAGGGATTTAAAGCCAAAAAGCAACCCGCTCTCATAAAAAATATGAAGAAGTGGCGTATTAAGTAGAATTTAAAAAATAAATCTATTAATTAAGAAGAATAACAATAAAACTAATAAAGTTTCAAATAATTATGTGATACTACAAAGCAAATAGTCAATATTTAAGATAATAAATCAAATAGCTAAAAGTATTAAGCAGTGACTGTTGATAACAGCCTCTCAAAATTTATAAATAAAATAGAGAAGTACTAAAAAAATAATACTAATAATCATATCAACTAAGTATTTAAATAGCAGTATGCTGAGAAGAGTATATCTCCAATTGACTCATCAAAAGAAGACTCTATCCAAAACGATAAAAATAATATACTAAGCGAAATAGAAAATGAGTTATAAAAACCTGAAATTATTAATTTAGCACTTAAATGTACTGAGCAGTAAAAACATTCAACTTAAAACCAGAATGTAAAGATCTTACAAAGTTAACAAATAAATGGAACTCCATTCTAATTGATTAAACAAAAATTCTTGTAAGAGAAAAGTTTAGTCAGAAATCCATCGTTATAAAAAAACTAATTTAATTAAATTTCTTCTAACTCTACTCTAAGAAATGTTGAACAAATTTTACTTTCCTCTTCTTAATCTAATGCTGATACATAAGCCAAAAATAATAGATCTCAAAACCTGAACAATAATAAATTTAGTAAAAAGAGAAACATTAGTGTTTAAATGGTTAACAGTAGCAATAATGCCTTGAAAGCAAATTAAAGTCAAAATTAGGCTTAAGAATATCTATAAAATTATATCAATACAGCAGAAACTAACCATTTATTATTAAGTAACTTAAATAAAGGAATAATCTAACCACCACCATAGGCTCAATAACAGGAAACTCTGTTTATACCAAAAGTTATGACAAGAAATGCCTCTTTTTTAAAAAAAGGAAATAATCTTATATAAAATATAACAAATTTTCAGAATTCCTCTCATCAATTTATTAAGCAAATTGATAATAAATATAATTAAAATAAAGTTAATTGTAAGGAAAATACTTCAGTACCTTTATCACCCAGCTTAAATAAATAAAATCATGAAGTATTCTAATTTAATCCATTCAATATTTCTAATTCTTAAAGGAGCTTGTAAACCTCATAAAATTTCAATTTTTAAAAGAGTTTAAAATCATATTTATTTTATTAAAATAAATTTATGGGTTAAAAATAGCATGAGTTCTTAATGAATAACTTCAAATGTTTACCGAAACTAAACTCATTATTAAACTAACCACAACCTAATATTAATAATGAAGCTAATAATTAAATATTTAATAATTTTAGTAAAGGACTTATTTCAAAATTAAATTAATCCTAATCTGAAAAATTTATATCTAATAAATAAAACGAGTAATTTTAGCATTAATTATAATAGGATGTGTCACCTAAGAGAGTTTTAGTATGTAGTTTTACTAACCAATATTCCTGCCAATAGCTTCAAAAGCAAAAATTAAACGAAATAAAATAGAAAGAGGTAATTAAAGAAGATGATAACATTAACTAGGAGGAAGCAGGCATAAAGTAAATAACTTAAGAAAGCTAGCAAGCTAACTTTAATGAACTTTCAAATTACTACAAATAAAAGTATGAGTAAGATTTAAATAATAAGAATTCAATACCTGTCTAATTCAACAATTAGAAAGGTTAAAAACTAGATAATATCCCCTAAAATAGGATACTAAGAAAAAAGAATTAGTCATAAGATTTAAGATATTAATATAATGAAAATGAAGATGCCAAATTTAGTGAGTTATTTAAATAGTCAAAATAACTTAATGAAGAAGAAATCGATTTACTAAAACCATGGAATATTAATTGAAAATTAATATAAAAGAATATAATTATTAAATGTAAAACTACTTTTTGTAAATATATTTTTCATAAAAATAAACATTAAATTTGCTCAAACTTTATTATCAATTTTTAAAATATCAAAAATGTTTGGCCACTTTAAACCCTTTTTATTAAATCCAGCTCAAAAAATATTTTTCTTATGAATTTATTTTGGTGTTATTTTTTTAGCTATTTTTACTTTCGAAAAACTCAATTAAAGCAAGATAAATAAATTAATTAATATATAATATTTTCTCTCAATACTTGTGTTAATTTTTTTTTTTATTTTGGATTTTTTGAAATCATACAAATTAAATAACAAAAGCATTTGGATTTATTTTCAATAAAATATGTTAAGTATAAATTTTGTATTTTAGCTTGATATTTTATTTCTAAATTAGTAGAAATAATTATTACAAAACTTTTAAAGAATTGGATTAGGATTTATTTATTTATTTATTTTAAGCTTAATATTTTAAGTAAGATTAGCTTAATCTAAAATTTATTTGCAAATGAGAGGAAAAGCATTTTTAATAAATTAGGAAATAGTTGAGAAAAATAAAATTGATTTTTGATAAATTAGAAAATAATAATTCTTTTATTTTTCTAGTTTTCTGAGAAGTTTATTTTGTTTCTCATAAAATTTATTTTCATAAATACAAATTTAAAAATAAAGCACTAAGATTTTTAAAATTAATTTTGTATCTTTTAAAATGTAAAATAATTTATTAAGGTAAACAAACAAATATACTTTTATTTTGGTTTTAACTCAAATTTAACTGAAAGATAATTAATTATATTAAATCTTAAAATACCCACTTTTTGGTTTATTTCAGGTTAAAAATGCTAATTGTAAAAATTATATTTGAGATATGATTTTTACTCTTGAATATATTTTTATTTTCAAAAAATTCAAGATAAGCTAGATTAAATATTTTAATCCTTAAATTTATCTTTGTTGAAAAGAGATAATTTATGATTTTGAATACTATCTTTAATCAAACATTTGCTCAGCTTTTATAGTGTTTAAAATCAGCAATATTAATTAACCCGATGTACAATTTTTATATGTTTTTGATGATTTGTTTATTAAGCTGATCTTATATATTAAAAAGTAAAGAAAAAAATATCAATATATCTTTAAAAATTATCATTAAATCAATTACTAATATAGACTTAAGTAAAGATAGGCAAGCTAAAATTTAACAAATAAAATGATAATTCCCGATTATTCTAACAATAATCGAAACAATCAGTAACAGAGAGAAGATGATCAAGGAAATTTGAATTAGGAAAATATTATTAGGTAGAGTCGCAGGATAGGTACTTATGCTAGATAGTAGAGTAATAGGAATCAGATAATTGATGGTGAAAACCAATAAAATTAAAGCTTCCTTACTGAAGAGCAATTATAAAAAAGAAAGGAGCTAAAGTAGTCTATTTTACGTGGAATTATTTGCTTCTTAATTCCGCTTTGCATGTTTGGATTGTATGCCATTTTCTTAAAGTCATATTTCACAGCTTTTTACATTCTTTTCGCTGGACTATTGATTATTTTTACTCTTGAAAGTTTTTATGTTAGTCCACAAATGCCATAAACTGATAATAAAAATGATAACGAAATATCCTTATTGAATGAAGAAAAAGTGTAGCTATTGGATTTTAGAATCTATCTTTGGATAATTGGAACATTCGCTACAGCTTCTGTTTTAATTTTCAAGTTATTTATGATAACATATTACAATGTGCATAATGAAATGCCTTTTAAAGCTTCTTATAATATAATGTATGATTTAGAAATTTATATAGTAGATAAAGGAGGCTAAAACTGGAGTAACATTCTCAAAATGTTTTTACCTACTTCGTTAGTCTTAATTAATTGCATAATTGTTTTTATTTTTCGTGTTCCTAGAAAATCTTTAAAATTCTAAGATATTAAACTTCACAAAAAGAGAAACAATTTAATTAACTTCTGTAAGACTCTTGTATGGACTTGCTTAGTAGCTGTGCAATCTTTTAATGTCACTTTACAAGCATATATCTTCTATTTCATATTTTTCTTGAGCTTATCTTCACTCTTTTTCTCATCGAAAATTAAGAATTTTTTAGATGAGTATATAAAGCACTTAATAAAGTTAATATGCTTAGGCGTATTAATGTTATAGTTTCTTTGCAGCACTAAATCCTTTAGAGATAGCATCTAAGGTCAAGAATGGTCATTTGAACTCTTTGGTTTAAATTACATTTCCGATTTTAAGGATGAGCTTACAGTAAATTGGTTTATATTTATTTGCTGATTTACATTTGAAATCAATTTTATAAATTAATATTCTTTTATTAGAGCTTACTCCTAATTCTAAAAAAAAGTGAAATAGCAAACTAAAATTAATTATAATTTTATAAAATAGTATACACCTCTCTACTTTATTTCCATGTGGTGTCTTTTGATTATTACTGTGCTTTGTGCCAACTTGATTAAATTTGAAAGGCTAGTATTAAAAGTTAGGGAAATTAGTGAAGAATACTAGAAAAAGTATGGTGGTAATCTCCCTGAGTTATCATATGAGCATTCTTCAAGCAATGAAATCGTTATACTCTCATCAGACAACGAAGTCAATAGCAACTAGCTAAAATCAAATGATGTAGATCCTGCTCAATCAAGTAGTAGTGATAGCGATAGCAGCAGTGATGAAGAAGATGATACAGCATAACAACTGTAATAATAATAAGATATTAGGAATTAAAGCAAAAGAGTTGAATCTATCTAAATTAGATAAGAGAGAGGAATCAGCTTATAACCGTAAAATAAGTTTTTTTTTTTTTAAATCATATATATAACTAAATAAATAAATAAAATAAATTAAATTTTAGGATTAAAAATTTCTCTAATAGTCAATAATAATAGGTTGCTTTTGATGGATAGGAAATTCAAGTATAACCAGAAAATTAACTTGAATAATAACTGTTGCAGCAAGAATAAAATATTCAATAAGAGCCTACAATTGAACAGCATCAAAAAGATTCTTAGTTAAAAGAGGTAAAATAAAAAATAAAATATAAATATTAAAATTAATTTTTTTTAAAGGAGAATTCTTCAAAAACCGAAAAAGCAGTTAAGAAAATGAAAACTTTAGGAAATAAAATCATGCTAAAACTATTGAAATTCAAACGTAATTTTAAAAGTGATACATTTATGTTGAGAATACTTTAAATTGTTTGTATATTTTTGGTTTAAAGATATTTCACTTATTACTCTCTCGGGCTGATGACTTGGGTCCTCCTTACTGGCTTTACCATAAATCATAGATTTACTATAGTTACTAGCTTTGTTTTTGCTATTCCATCATTAGTTCTTATCTATGTCTTCACAGTTTTCTCTAATATATCTAACAATCCATTTATTCCATCTTGGGCTAATTCATAATTAGGATTTTAAACTTGTTACACTCCATGGCTTGAAGTTATTATATTGAATTCAGGTTTGTTCTTATACTTCTTCTATTGCTAATAGGCTTTGTAGTCTTTCAAGCAAAAAAAGAAAGAAAAAGAAAAGAAAAAAACAGGAGTTAAATTTGGCACTAAATACATAAAACGTACTAAGTCTTAAATTAAAAAGAAAAAGCAAAAAAATAAAGAAATAAGCTATTTTGTTATATTATAAGCATTTATTTTGAAGTATTCTTATTTACTTGCCTTATTTATGATATACTGGATTAGCTTTTAGGCTATTAATTTAGCTCATGTGATTTTGGTTGGATTATTTTTAATATTCTTTTCAAATATGAATACTACCATTCAAATCCCTAGATAAAAGAAGAGCGATTCTAAAAAAGGTACTTCCGATAGAAGGTCTCAAAGTGGTGAATAAGTAATGCCAACTCCCAGAGGAATAAGAACTTTTGATGTAACTCCTCAAAATGTCAATTAAGCTGAAACCTTATAAAATCCTTTCAACATACTAGATTCAGATAGAACAAATAAACTTAAATCAGATAATGTTGATGCTTCTGATTTTAATTTAACAAAAGCTGGTCGAGGAAGTTAAACTGTTATTCCAAGATCCAAAAAATTTAAATAAGTTACTTTTGGAAGACGCTACTGGATTCTAATGGTAATATATGTAGAAATATATTTGATAGCGAGATATATCTATTTCTTGATATTCTAGGATTAATTTGCTGAAGACAGTTTTTGCTATAGTCTCTTCAATTTCATCGGAATAAGCCAGCCATATAATTTCCCCATTCATCTTGGTTTATCACACTAAGACCCTGCAGATGAATCTATAGTTTGGATTTTATTCTATTTCATTATCTTATAGTATGACTCTTACAAATCAAAGATTTATATGAAATACTCACATAAAATTACAGAAATTTTTGCTAAAAAGGCCTTAATTAAAAAGGTTTTCCCTAATTTCATCTCATACGTTTCATCGTAAATTTATTTTCTTTATTTAAAAACAAAAATTTTTAAGCGGTTTTGACAATATTTTTAAAATAAAAATATATAGATTTTATATAGTTTTTTACTCTATTTTAATCTGGGTGTCTTTCATCGTAATATCTGGAGTTTTAATTCTTGTTGATTTTTCTTTTATAAACACTTATCTACTTGTTTACATTTTATTGCTAGTCATCTATTTTGTTAAGAAAAATGCTAACAAAAAGCTAAACTATGTTGTTTTCTAAAGAACATGGTATTTCTTCACTTTGGTAAGATTTTATTTATATAAAAATAATTCACTTAATATTTGATAATATAATTATTTAAAGAATCTCATCATTGTCTCATTTACCAGATATTTCCTCTAATTAACTTCTGTCTAGTTTGTCAGTGATGAAATAATTAATGAAAACAATAGCTGGTTTAAAACATTTTAACGTAATAGAAGTGTTTATGGTTTTTACTCAGACAATCCTGATGATAACCTTAGAATGAAATTTTTACCTGGAATAATTAATATATTTTTTGCAGTACTTTGTCTTGATTATTTTAGGTAATTATTTAATTTAAATTGGAAAGTACATAATCACTCAACATAATACATTATAGGTTAATTTCAGAAGGATACAAATTTAGTAGAGAATTAGAACGAAAAAGAATAGCAAATTAAGGTGCCTAAGATAGAATCAGAGAAAATAGCGTTTCATCATATGGAGGAGCTGCCAGCAGTAGAAAAAACAGTGATATTTCAATTGCAAGTTCAATGTTTGATGATGGAGAAATAATCGAGAGTAGAATAGAAAAGCAAAAAGCTCTTGAAACACTTAAAATGTACTAAGACTATGTTCAAGTTGATATTCTTTTAAAATAGTAAAATTTTAACATTGACACAAATTAAAAAATTTACAATTAATGGTTGTTTTATTAAATTTAATGAATAAAATTAATTTATTTTTTGTTTTATAAATTTTTAAAATAATTTATTTAAAAATGAATTAAAATAAAAAATAGTAAGTGGATGACAATACCAGCTAAATGGATTTCATTGCTATTTACAGATGTTTTGTGCTTTTTGGTTATCATCTTTTGCATATACTTCAAGATTTCTCTTAGCATGCTCTACTTTTTAGCAATATATTTATTCTTTTACTTTAAAACTCATTCTCACATTTTGAATTACATTGAAGCCAATAGATTTTTTGAGATAATATCTGAAAAGATGCTTTTGTTTTAAGAAAAATACTTGAGGATTAACAAAGCTCCAGATAACATTTTAAATGACAAATAATAAGCAGAAGGAACACCAATTCAGTAATAAAAAGAAGATTTGAAAGAAAGCAATGAATATATTTAAAAATAAAATAGAAGTTTTACCTAAAAATAAAGCGAAGAAGACCAGCTTGATGAAGAATTTGTCAAAAAGATAAATCGTATCAGTTTAATTAGCTTAGAAATAAAAATTAGAGAGAAAGAAAAAGTTTGGAATTATTCATTTTATGGAAGCATGATATTTTTAATGATAACCTATTTCTCTTAATTCCTTCTAACTTCCTTTGCTTTAACAAACGTTGGTACATAAATATGCTATTGGATCCAATGGGGTATGTTTATTTTTGGAACTTAAATTACAGTGATTGATGATATAGAAAATACTTGGAGAAATATTTATTTTTATGTACTTCTTTTCTGGTTAAATGTGCTTGATCTTAAATGTTTACGCTACCTACAGTCCATAATTTTTGAAAAGGAAAATGAAATTTAAAGAGAAACAAATGACTAAGATAATTAATAAAATGCAGTATAGGTTGAAACTGATAAACTTTTAGAGTAAAATGCAGATAATTAGCAGGAATAGGAAGAGGTAAAAGATTAGTCAGAATACACTCCTTCAAGTAAAGGTAACTCTTATATTTTTATCTATCATAAGCTAAATATTTAATAAATTTAACTAGATGATATCAGTTTGAAGAAAGTTGTTTCATAATATTTGGGTAACAAGAAAGAGCTTGAAGAGATTTCAGAAGAAATCGAAGAAGAATAGGCAAATTTTATAGATAAAAAGTTGGTAAGAAGTAATAAAGTTGCTAGAATGTAATTAATTAATTGATTTATATTTATTTAAAATCTAATATTCTTTGAATTGTTTATAGGAGCTTAGAAATATTTGCATAAGATTTTGAAATTGATTTGAATGAAAGCGAATTTAAAGAAAGAATGGCTGAAATAAATAAAATACACTTTTACACTCAAGGAGCTGAGTCTGAAAATTTATTTAAATATGCTATCACTTAACAAAATAAAGAATAGAAAGATCCTTTTAAAGAAACTTACAGCATCAACAATAAATCTTTTTCAGTAAATTGAATTTAAAAATGACTTTTTAATTTTTAATTATAATTCAATAAAGTTTAGTTTTTTATTTAATTTAATTTATGAAAAGAAATTTAATTGCATGAATTAGTTAATTTTTTAAAAAATTGAACCTCCATTTTAAATAAAGAAAAAAAATTATTTTTAAAAACTTATTAAATTATAAAAACAGGAAGAAACAATAATAGAATATGCAGAATATATCAATATAGCTTATTATTTTAAATCTAAGAAAAACTTCATTGAAATGAGAATATTTTACTCAACTCTTTTTATCATCCAAAGAATTTATGTTTTAATTCTTTTGTTTGACTCTAACTCGAAGTAAAATGCATTTAGCTGGATTTATCTTATTCTTGCTGCTTACTTTTGGGTCAGAACTCCAAAATCTTCAACTGTAATTTAATTGTTTTTTTATTTTTCTAAACTTTTAATTTGTTTTGTTATGATTGAATAAAGTAATTATTTCATTTAAATAAAATATTAAAGATTAGAGCACTTAATAGATGGACAATTTTTGTCTTATTGCTGCAATACATATTTTTACTTTTAAACATAAATCTAAAGACATCTCTTATTCCAATTCCTTCCTATCTTTGGAATTTAAAAAATATGTCTGTGATTGATAATATTTTATCTGATACATAAATTTAATCTTATCTTGCTTTTGATAACTCAGATAACGTAGCACTACTCTTAAATGCATTAATCATATTCTTGATAGAGATCTATTTTATGTACTTCGTTTTCATATGCAAATTTATCATGCAAAGGATAAGAGATAGAAGATCTCTTTCTTCTCTCATATCTTAAAAAGTATGGATTAATTTTAGAGCATGGAAATCATCTTACATTTCTTTTATCACTACAGTTTACGAAGGTTATATTCATTTTTATAATTAAAAAATTTTTTAATTATTATTTTTTAAAATTTAGGACTGCTTATCAATTTTCATTTGATTGTAATAATAATTTGTATTATATTATCTTGCTTCAGCTACGAAATTTTCAATTTGTTGATAACTACTGTTTGCTTGTCTTATTTCTTTTATTATGAGTTCAAATCTAACAAAGATATAATGTCAGAAAAAATACCTTCAATTCTTCTATTTTTCAAAATACTAAGAATCTTTGTGTTCCTTTTATTAGTAGTGTATACTGTGTTAAAAGTACCTTAAATTGATAATTTTATAAATACAGATGATACTAACTTGAGTTATTTTAGATAGCTCCTTAAGCAAGAAGTTATATCCTTCCATATTTCTGAAAAAGTGTTTATCTTATTCTTTATTTAGCTTGTGTTTGACATTATGCTATCGAAAGACTTCAAAGAATTCCTAAAAACTTACTAGCTAACTAATTAAGTTAAACAAAGGCTAAGACGTAAGTGCATAGCTTATTAATTTAATAACGAAAAGCTTAAGAAAATAGAAAAGAGACTTTAAGAGGTAAACAAATTTTATTTAGATTTTTTTAATAAATTTCTATTTTTGAACTTTTAAAATTTTTATAACAGAATAAAGAATTGATTAGAAATGTCTAGGAAGTTTAAAATCAACTTGATAATTGGCATGCTACTATTGATATGAAATCAAATAAGCCAAATGGGAAAATCAACTCTACTATGTATGAACCTGACGAAAAGAGATCAACAAGCTCTTTAAATCTAAATGAATAAGTTGTTAAAGCCAAATAAATTGAAGCTGCAAAGAAAAAAGAAGAAAGCCAATCAAATTTAGATACATTTTTTACACCAGAAGAGTTGGAAAGAGAAAAAGAAAAAAAATCTATTCCATAATTCAAAAGATATTTAAGAAAATTTGCCACTCTCTTTAAAGGGATGAGAAATGAATTTATTTTTTAAGATGAGCTTGGAATGTTAGATTTTGTTATTAAGAATAATCCTTACTTGCTTGAATGCATTAAAATTAATTTAATAGAGTATTTGACTGGAGATCTGGTTGCAATTTAAGCTATTTTAGATTTCCTTGATAATCTCTATGCCAATATTTTCCTTAAAATTAGAACTCAAAGCATAGATGAATTTAATCCTGATAAGCTCAAAAGAAACCTTCAAAGGGCTGCATCAGCTAATCCAGATATTCTAAGTGATTTCTAATTCTTAAAGCGAAATAATTCGATGAAACCTAATGAGATAGAGCTGTTCAGAAAAGAATCTGAAATCTACTCTAACTATGATAGAGTTTTGCTGTTTGATTCAAATTAAAGATTCAAATTTTTTAATTTGGATGAGTAAATTCTTTGATTTAATTTTATTTAAATAACTTCATTCATTTATTTATTTATTTAGAGAAAGATGGTTTAAAGAAAAAAATAAAGGCAGAGATACCTACATTACTTGTATCCTTAAATATTTAGGGTAAATTCTGATATCTGGATGGAGCTACATATGTTACATTTTCTTCATTTTTTACTATTTCAAAAATAATGGCCTTACAAGCATGTTTTTCCCTTTGTTTGTTTTTCTTTACTTTATGGTGGAGGAAAAAATTGGAGAAATGCTTATTTGGGAGATATCCTTCTTTTATATATCTATATTGATAATCTTTAAATTTGTGAACAGTCTTTCTGGACTCATTTAATAAAGCGATTAAAGTTCTCCATCAGACTATAATATAACAGTATTCTTCGATAGCAACGATTCACTTTTCTTTGAAGGATTTCTTTACTTCTTAATATACATCCAGCTAAATTTAATCAGAAGAATGGGCTTAGATAAAAAAATGATTAATTAAGAAGAAAATACTCATATGAGCTACGTTAGACTGAAAGTTAATAAATTTATTAAAACTGAAATTTAACCTAAGATCTAGCGTAAAGATTTAAATGATGATTTTTTTGAAATTAATGAGGAAGATAGCAATTTAGAGTATGACACTGACCTACAGGATGCTGAGGCAGAAAGCAGAAAAAGCTCTAATTTTGTACTCCTATAGAAATCTTTACCAGAATCTTTATTATAAGTTTAGTAACTAATTAAAATATTTATTTTATTTTTTTAATTAAATTTATAATAAAATAAACTGACTAATTGATGATGATTATTTTTAGATATTATTTAAAAATAATTAAATTATTTTTATATTTATTAAGGGTTGATAATTTTGAGTAAGGAGAGAAGGATGAAAGTAGATTGATTGAGTAAGAAGATCTAAAAAAAATATAAGAAGAAAACATTAAGTCATAGTAAAGTAAAGAAACTCCGTAATAAAAGGATTATATAAAAGAATCTATGATTAGGACGGATTAAAGTAATACAAGCGAATCAGATTTTAGTATTAATAGTATTGAATCAGAATTTACTTAAGAAGGATTTTACAAACAATTAGAAGAGGAAATTAGTGAAAAGCCTGATTTAATAGACCCTGAAGTTAAAACTAACTTTTTCTTCAGATTATTTTCTAAGTACACTAAAAAATCTGGAGTTGATTTGTATCCTTCTATAGCACTAATATAAGTTATTCTTCTTATTTATATTTTCTTATTCTACAACGAAATGCAAAATGGTCAATAAGATTTGTCAAGTTCTCTTAAGTACAACTAGTTTTCAGGTTCAATGGTTATCTTTATGATTATCTAAATTGTATTCATGGTTTGGGAAAGGTAAGTTTATATTATTAAATATAAATTAATTTTTTTGACAAAAAATATTTAATTTTAAATTGAATAGGTATATCACTCTTTACACTTCTGAAGAAGTCAAAGACAAGGAGGTAGAAAGAATCAAATTAATAGTAAAAGCAAGGAGTCAAGGTCTTGCATATAGCAAGAACTTAAAAAATCTAAAGGCACTTCAAAAAGAAATAACTGAATTAGAAAGACTCAAAAAAGAAGAAGAATAGTTCTAAAAAGATCTTTAAAGTAGCAATATAAGAGATTAGAAATAATTATAAGATCTAAAAAAAGGTTAAAAAGGCAATTAAGACTAGTCCGAAGAAGATAAGAAAAAAGAAAAGGGCAAATAGTTCAAATTTTCTTAAATTTTAATGAAATACATCTAGCTCTTTATGATAGTGGTCCTGTTTACTTATTTCATATTCTTCTTCATACCTTAGCCATTTTTCAAGACAATAGTATATTTTTATTCAATATAAATTTTTAATTTAATTCAATATATTGTAAAGTCTGGTTCAATTGATTGGACACACTATCAAACTAATGGATATTTAGGAGGACTTTATTTCTTCTTTGGAATATATTTAGTCTTGTCATGCTTTTAGATTAAAATCGGATACAACTAATTTAAGATCAGGAATACAATTTTGACTAAAAAGGTATGATTTATTTACTACTATTTTACATTTATTTGAAAAGATTTTAGTTAATTTGTTATTTACATACAGCTTTAGCTACATTATTTATTTTTAGCATAGTAAATTAATTATTATTATGCTAAATGCTCTAACGAGTTTACTAATTTATTTAAAATATTAGAATATATTGACAGGAATATGTGCAAAATCTTTTAGAGCTATTCCTTTCATTTAAGAACTCAAAGTAGTTATGGATTGGACATTCACAGCAACAACACTAGATTTGTTCTAATGGTTTAAGATTGAAGATATCCACTTTTATCTTTTTTGTGCTAAGGTTGATGCAAACGACAATAAGAAGAAACCTGTTGGGATGCCTTAAAATTGGATTATGAAATTCTTTATGGGTTGGGTTTTCCTTCTTGCTATCCTATTGCTCTTATTTGGACCAATGATTTTATTTTCTAGTTTGAATCCTTCAACCTAATTGAATAACATTACAAACGCGAGCTTTGAGATGGGTTTGCAGATTAATGGCTAATCAGGAAATTATTACTAATTCTATTAAAATGGGAATATTGGAAATTTGAAAAGCGTTGCAAGTAGTAGTACGAATATGGATATTTATTAAAATATAACAGCTATTTCATAAGCGTCACCTAGTCAATTCTAAGTAAAATTTTGGAAAATAATTAAATTTTATTAAATTTCTATAAAATTTTAACAGTAATTTAGTTTGTATAGTTCTAGTGATGTAAATTGGTAGTTATCAGTACCTTCTATTACTGAAATATAATAAACACTAGAGAATCAAATATAAGGCAGAACTAATATTTAAATTCAGTTTTCAGTTAGATATAATATACAAAGAAATGTAAATTGCTTCATGAAATATTATCATTTTCTTTTACATTTAATTGCTCATTTTTTATTTTTCCTCCAAACTTCTCACATTTATTATAATTTCCTCTTTGTATAAAAAGGTTACTAGTTTATCTTCTTAGGATAATACTTTCTTATATCCAATCAATACTTAAAACATATATGATAAATCGACTTCACTGACTTAGGAATAAGTAGCTCAACTCCTAGTTGTAATGGACGACTGTAATTCTCAAGCCATGGAATTACCTAATTTTTACATTTCAGTAAAGCAACTTATTTCTTTTAAAATATTAAGTTGATTTTTTATTTAAAAATTTATAAATAGCTACTTAGGCTAGATACAAATGGGGATTCGTTTGAAGCAAGAACTTTTTCAAATCTTTCTCCCTCTTAATAAATAGCTTACTTTAAAAGTGCTTACTTAAATTTAAAGTGTAAGTTGAATCCAGACTAAACATATGATGAAAATATTAGATACTGGGTGTTGAGTCTCGATTAGAATGGATAAAATGGATTAATATTTTATGTTTTATGCGATAAATACTCATCGGTTTTGCAAGGTTTATCAATTATAACTATCTATACTTCTGTTATTCTCGTGATTGGTAAATTAATAAAGTCTGTATTTAGTGGAGATATCCAACTGTTGATGTTCACAGATCAGCCGCACTCAGATAAATTAATTAAAATCTGTGATGCTATAGCATACTCTAGAACAGAAAGAGATTTGATTAAGTATTTAATAATCTAATTTACATCTTATTTAATTTTTTAAAGAAATCATATGAATTTTTGAATACAAATAGGAATTAGAAACTATCTCATTCATTCTTCATTTTAATTTCAATGATAACCACAAATTTTATTTCTAATTTCTATAAATTGAAAATTTTATTTTTAATAATAGGGAAAATCTACTTTATTGGGAGCTGATTGACTTGATGAGATCGCCTGAGGTTGTAAAAATGCTAACAGGGTCGTATTCAAAAGCTATCATAAATAAGAGAAAAAAAGAGCTAGAGGAGGCTGAAAGAGAAGAAGAAAGAAAACTAAAAAAGGAATAATGATTTTAATTATAATAGTATATAAGATAATATAAATTATCATACTCTAAAATAATAAAATGTATATTTATTTGTAATCTCAATCTATTTTTTATGTTCAACATATTATTTATAATTCTATCATTCAAGGAGAATACTTAATATTTACCAACAAATAATTTCTTTTATTAATTCAGATTAATTATATGTATATAATTTCTTTAGACAGATTAATTAATTCGTAAAAATTATCCAAAAATTTATATAATATCAATCTTCCTTAACTTTGCTTCAATTATCCCTAAGTAAGTTAACAATTAGCATAGTTAATATCCAATTTCACTCATAGAAACTTTCAGAATAATTATAATATTTATATCAAAACAAATACTTGCTAATTATTTATCAATAGTTAACCAAAATACTTTAACAAAACTAATAAAAGCCTATTAAAAACAGATAAAAGTATTAAGGTAAAATTCAAGGCTCAATTGATTTATCTTATTTAGATTATTCTTAGTAGTTTAGTGGCATTTAGATATATATACCCTTTTATATAAAATATTCTTTATCTACCTAAGTCAAATCGAAGAGTCTTTTGGATATCTAGCTTAATAGACTAAAAATTTTTGTAGCACTATCAAAGCAAATATATGCTGAATGGGAACAATATGCTTTAAAAGTGAATAAGAATTGCCAAATGACAAATCGAAAAAAAGAAAATATTCATTAGTAAAATCTTTTTATTTACCAATTTTAGAAAATTTCAATATTTGCTCACATTATTTAATCCTATTTAAATTATATCAAAGACATCATTAAATGACAATATCAATACTTAATTAGTGGCAAGCTTTACAGAATTAAGTGATGTTTCAGAAGATTTTGATTTTTTTTCTATGAAAGAACCAATTTTATTCAACGAAAGATGCGTTAGGGAATAACTGGGAAGATATATTAGCAGGCATTTAGTAAGATTTTAGTTAAATCATTTTATTTCAATGTTACCTCCTACTTCACCTCAAAAATACAAAAGGCTTTATATTAACATAAATTTAAATAAAAATAGGCTGCTTATAAAAAGCTGAATAGTAAAATGGCGTAATTCAACACGAAAAGCTAAAATTAATATTAACAAGCCACAAATAAAAAAATATTGAAGAAACTTTAATCAAGCATAATCAGAGAACATCCTTTCTTTAAAGAATTCAAATATGAATTAAGAATGTAATTCAAATATTAATTTGTTATTTATAGAAAAAAGGAGATAAAGACTCTATGAATAGCTTAAAAATTTCTATATAATAAACTGATAAATAGCTTTATAATTTTTATTAAAAAAAAGATCTACTCCACTTCGCTCATACAAAGATATTTTAAAAAAAGTTTATGATTTTAATTGGGAGAACTTAGAATTTAAATACAATATAATTAAGGATGTAATCTTTGAAAATACTGATCCCAATCAAATTATGATAACTCCCTTATTCTCTAACGAAGATCAATATTCTAAGCTAGAAGAAAATATGAGTATAGTGTATCTAAATGATTAAGGAATACTATCATTAAAAAGAATTTTATGGTCAATTAAAGAAAACAATCATTTAATAAAATTCAATCCTTTATTAAAATATGTTATCCAATTCTTATTATGCAATTTTTCTGAATCAGAAGTCTACTTTATGATATAAGCTATGCTAGAAGATTCATAATCAATATTAGAATCTGATTACATAAAAGATGATATAGCTAAAAAGCTAAAATTTCACTTCACTCTAGATTATTCCTCATTTGAAAAGTAAAAATATTTACATTAAATTTAATTCAAAATAAACTTAACACAATCAAATTAGAAATTATGATAAAAGATAAGGTTTTCAGTTTAAATATTTTTAAAATGAATTCTTAAAATTTAGTTTCTAAAAAAATTTTAAGATAAATTTTAAAAATAAAATGAATTTAAGCAAAATTAAAACCAAAATAATTTTGAAATTAAGAAACAAACTTTTAAATAAAAAGCAGCTTTTAAAAAACAAACTAAAAAAATGATATAAAAATTATTATTTAAATTAATATTAAATTAGTTGAATTAATTATTATTAAAATACAGTTTTTGCGCACTCTTTCAAACTAGAGTTATTACAGCTTGTAGTAGAATGAAATAAATAAGTGATCATTTTAGTTAGGTATTAGGCACAAGTTTATCAAAAGTATTTAGCAATTTAATATTTAAGGGTTTCTATCCTGCAATACCTCTAATAGTAAATTTTATTATTTTATCAAACACTTTGAATAAATTTTAAATAAAATATAGGCTCATTTTTAAATTATGTTATCATTTATTAAGGATGGCTTAAGAGTATTACATAATGTTGGATTTTCATTATTAGAAACTCATTATGTAAAATTAAATTAGCATAAAATAATATATAATAAATAAATTTATTATTTTGCAAGAAATCACTATTGTAATGCTAAACAATAGAGTAACTCAATTAAACTTTAGCTTCAACGCCTACAAATTTAATCACAAGCACTACAAAACTAAGAGAATTTTTCAAAGTAATTAATAAATTATTTATTTTAAAAATTTAAATATTTATTTATTTAATTTTTAAAATTTAAATTACTTATTTACAATAATAAAAAGGTAGGATTTAAAAATAAGCTAAAAAAAACAGCAGTAGTAAAGCTTAGACCTTCGTAAAAATAAAATCTATAAATAAAATCTTAAATATATTACAGACCTAAAGTAAGAGAGCATTCATATATCTTACAATATAATCATGTAATAATCACTTTTATGCGTTTTTTATAATTTTTTGATCTAAATTAATTTACAATTTAATTAAATAAAAGTTTGAATTAATTTGGAAATGGCTTCCAAATCATCTAAAGCTTTTAAATCCAACATAAATATACTCAACTTAAATAGATGGATATTCTTTACTATAAATGTACTTAAAGGCAAAAGAATTTAAAAATTTAACAATGCTTCTTATTATAAAAACTGCAAATAACGTAATTCATTTTTAATTTAATAATTATAAAAATAATTTTAAAATGCTAGATATTTGGAGCTTATTGCGATAAAATGCTCAATATCAAAGAAGAAAAATTGTATTATGGATCTAATGAAAGTTTTGTATTTTAGGTTGAACCTAATCCTAAACCATATTACAGCTCAGGACTAAATAACAACCATCTATTTGTTGATCATTCATATTTTTAAATTGGCAGTGATAGCCCAGCAATATATTTAAATACAGATTTAAAAGGAAAAACATTTTCAAGTGAAACATACAACTCTCTGCCTTTAAACGAAGCAGATCCAGAAGATTTTAATGCTTGTTCTTTTGATGCATTAGAAGTTGAAATTTATACTCTTTCATATATTTGAAAAACTTTCAAAAATAATTAATAATTTACTCAAAACAAAATATATTAAATAATAAAAATAAAATCTTTAAAATAATTTATTTATAATCCTACCCTATCCTATCTACTTTATATAATATATTAACTAAAAAAATATAAGTAGCTGCTTTCCTTTTTATTTATATTTATTAACCAATCAATATTTTTATATTAAATATAAAATGATCTTCCTTTAATTCTTATTTGAAAATATCTTAGTGTAATTTAGTTTTACTTAGAAATATTAAAATAATTTTGTTAAAATTAATTGTAAATAATCGTAAAAATCTTCATCAAATCAAATAAAAAAAATTTTTTTACTTTAAATTCTAATTGTTTTAACTAAAAAATCATGATAAAAGTTTAAAATATAATCTCTCCCAATTTTATTCCTATTCAAAAAATACTTAATTTAAATTTGATTAGAAATATCATAAATAAATCTTGCTTCAATTCTTTTTGATTCATAAATAAAATCTAATCTACATCTTTCATTCTAAAATATTAACTGTAAATTTATTTTATGTTACTTTTAATATTATTTTAGCAAAAAAGATAAATTAAAATAGTTTAAATTATATTAATGATCTTCATCTAATTTTTATTTTAAAATAAATGCCTAAATAGAATTTATAGATTATCAAAAAGAAATTTTATTCAAATTCTTTTTAATTTATTAAATTTCTTATTTAAAAATATATTTTGTTTTACATAAATAGTAAAAATTATCCAAAGTGACCACTGTCTGATTTAAATTTAGTCAAGTTATAAGTTATAGAGGCGCAAACGCTATTAAGCTTTATATTTTTTATGAATACTTTTTAAAGATAATCTGCTAATAAAAAGCAGGTGCTCTTATAACTAATTAACTAAATTTTGAATGTATTAAATATAATAAGCTAAAAAGGTACAAAAAGAAGTTTTATTTGCAAATAAAATGATTGTAACTTCTATCTATTTTTTATGTTAATTAAAATTTTTGAGAAATGGTAATAGTAGATTTTATTGTTAGAATAGAAACTTTTAAATATTGTTATCACATTTTGATGATTATTTCTTTAACTTTTAAACAAACGATTTAAAATGTTAAGTAAAATGAGTTATCATTGAACTAATGCTTTTGTTAATATTTAAAAATCTTATTCTCTTATTTATGTTCTCTAACTAACCTTTTTTTGCAATATATAAAAATAGAATAATTTATTATTTGTAAATTTAATTAAATAAAAATAGTAAATTATATATCCAACTTTAAAAAATAAATATCTATTTTTGAAAATAAGTTAATTTATGAAAATAAATATGAAATAAGTTTTGAATTTAAATAAAAATCATCTCAGATATAAGGTCATTTCAATTAAATTAAGCATAAAATATATAACAATAATATTGATTACGTAATTAATTAATTAAATTATGCGTAATCACGTTTTATGTAATACTGAAGAATGACATACATTACAGTAGAATTAAAATACTGATAAACTACTTATGCAAAATTGTTATTCATTTATTTTATTATAATTTATTATTAAACAATTCAATTAATCAACTAATTAATTTCAAAACTTCCCTTTAATTAATTAAAAATCATAGTCACTTTCAACGCCTAGTTAAGCCAAATAGCAAATAATCAAATATATAAAATCAATTCCTACTTATTTGAAATAGAAATGGATAAAAAACTTGATACTCTACTTAGCTTTCTATACGATTTAAATGATTCTCTGTAGTTGAACAAATTTAGTGTCAATATCAATTTTATTTAATTGTTGTACTGGCCCTTTAAGCAAACATTTCCAGAGTCAGGATTTAAATACTCTTCTGAATTATTAGAACACCTTTTCTTCAGATATGAAAAGAGACTAACTGCTCAAGTAGAACACCTTATTATAGATTCCAGGTAATTTTAGCATAGTCTAACAATTAATCTTTTAAAATAAACAAGTTACCTAAAAGGTCTAAATGAGTTATTCCTCAACCAAATTTCAATTAACTTTATTTAATCTTAATAAATATGTTAAGTACAAGGACTAATGGTGCAAAATTTTATCAAAAAGGTATTGCATAATAAAGAAGGAGTTAGCAAAAGACATAGCTAATTTCTGCTAGGACATCTATAATCTTTAATCAATTTCTTTGGATCTCAAGTAAATAAAATTAAGCTTATTTAAATTGAATTTTTGCAACTAAGTTAAGGAGTAATTAAGATGTTACCCTATTAGTTTTAAAAATGAGTGAAAGGTATCAAATAAGTATTTAAATTGTTATCTTAATGTAAATTAGGTATAACTAATTAACTAGCTTATCAGGAGAGAGCATAGCCAGTATTTTCTTGAGCAAAAAATGTCTCTAAAACATACATCTAGACTTAGAGTAATATTAAATTTATTCATATTAAATACATTGAAAAACAAACACATTAACTACTTCACTTTTTAAATTTTTAAAACTTTTGTTAATACGCATCAAAAAATTCTAAAAATCTGATCAATATTTAAAATGATAAAAGAAAATTTATAAAAAGCTTATTAATGAATAGTTAAAAAAATTTTTTTTTCTCTTTTAGAAATTAATAATGCATAAATAATAAAATAATTTATATTTATCTATTTATTTAAAGAAATAATTTAATTGGAGACAAAGGATTAAAGCAAATACTGCTAAACATAGCTAGTCTTCCTTTGCTAGTTAACTTGAATCTTAATTTGAGGTATTTATTCTTATAAATTTATTGACTTGAAATTTCTTTAAGCAAATGCAGGTCTAGTTTTTAACAATTTTAATAAAAAATGTTTAGATAGAACGAATTAACAAAGAAATCAGCTCACAGGATATCATAAATATTGTAAAAATAGGAGAATTTAGAAAGTCTTCTAGTAAACGTAGAGTAATTGCTACCTTTAATTAATTTTGATAAAAAACAATTGTTAATTAAAAAATAGATAGAACGATATTACTGATGAAGGAGCTTTCTAAATAATTTAATCAATTCAATACCTATCCTAATTGAAAGTGCTTTCCTTAAATCTAGGGTATTTAAATATCAAATCTTAATTGAATTTTTAAAAATTATTCTACTTTAAACTAGGTACAATCGATTTATCCATTTAGAGAAGCTACGCACTCTTAGATAATTCTAGCTACATAATCTGTAGACATTCGAGTTTTCATTTGTGTAATTTACAATTTCTTTCAATTATAATTTATTTTTCTTTTTGATTCTTTCGAGATATCAAAAAAGTGGGGGGATTTTTTTCAAAACAAACAAACAATTGTTTTTATTTTTACTTCTAGTAATTAATAGTTTTAAAACATTCCAGTTCATCTCATACATTAAATGACTAAAAATAGTCTTTAATTAGAAAATTTATTCATCGATCTAAGATCAAATGACTTATCTGATTATTCAGTATTATGCTTAGCAGCCTCTTTATAAAAGTTTGAATTCTTAACAAGTTTAAACGTTAATTTAATGTAACGAATCACTTAATATTCACATTTATTCATCATTAAAGTGTTTTATTTTATATTTTAAATAGGTCTAATCCTATAGAATTAACAAGCTTTAAAAAACTAATAGAAATTTGCTATGGATTTAATTTACTTCAGTCAGCAATTATATCTCATAGGTAAGTATTATATTAAATTAAGCAGTAAAATAATCATTTATTTTTAACATTAAAATAGAAATTTTTAATAAAATGCTAACAACAATAATAACCAAAGACATTCTAAAGACTGCCTGTGCTATAAACTGCAAAAGAAAACAATAGAAAACAAAAGAGCTATTCTCATACTTAATGCCTATGAGAAATATATTAAACCAAACTTGATTTCTTACAAACACACAAATATGAATTTAAAGTTAAATTTTTGGGATTTGCATTATTGATAAACATTCACAATTTTTAATTTTTTATTAATAAACAATCAAATTAACTAACTAACTAACAAACAATCAATAAAAAATTAGCATATATTTAAATTGTAAATTATTGAAATATTAATACTATAATTACTACTATATATAATAATATAATAAAAATTTAAATATAAAAATTGTCTTTTCTATATAAAAATTTTCTATTCTTGTCCAATCCTTTTCACATATTGAACTTTGTTCTATTTATTAATATTTATTTATACACTTTTAAAAATAAATTTATAAATAATGAAAAATAAAATTAATTATTTGATGTTTAAATAATTGTAATAAATATTTAAAAAATGATGTATCTATTATTAAAGTTTCTACTTATTCATGATATTTTGGAAAATATTTAAATATGGAGCATAAACTCATAAATTAAAGAGCCTTAATTTAACAAAAAGCAAAACACATATTATGTTTGAATTATTAATCATTTAAATGTAAATAATTTAAAATAATTCAAAATTTTTTAAATATTTTTTTCACTATGAAATATTTTAAAAAATAACTAATTATTAAAAATAGCAATATATATAATATATATTAAATAAGAATTAAAAGTTCAATTAAATACAGAGAGTACCCATTTATTCAATAAATAAATAAAATAATAAATAAATAAATAAATAAGTAAATAAGTATTGGTATTTTAATACAATATTATTTTAAAGTAATTTATCATAATAATTATGATGAGGTTTTTATAAAGAAAAAGACAAAACATTTTGCAAATTTTTATAATATGAAGAAAATATAAAATTGATAAATTTAAAATTAAAATATTACTAAAAATGCAGATATTACTTGTGCAATAAATAAGTATTCATTTTATATAAAAGAATTTTTTCAGGTAATAATTATTATAATAAATTTGAAGAGGTTTTAATCAAGAAGTATAAATCAATTTTTTTAACTGAAGGCATTATAAATCTTATAAAATATATAATAAGGAAGATTTAATTTATTTATAATATGTTTACTATTTATATATTTCATATGTTAATTAAATGTCTTTAGATAAATGCTAAACAAAATTTAGTGTAAAATCTACGTTATTGATCAAAATTTTTTTACAGTATAACTTTTGTTAAAAAACAGATCAAATAAATTACATAAAGTGTTAATAAACTAATACTAAACAAAAATAAAGAAGAAAAAATGGCTACTAGATTTTATAAAAGTATTTATAAATGCTTTTTATCATTAGAAGATTATGACATTTTTGGTATCCCTATTTCAGTTAAGTTAGAAGGCAAAGAGAAACACTAGTCATTTATGGGCTTTGCAGCTACACTTTCAATACTTATTGCAATATTTTTTCAACTATTTTCAGATTTATCCTTTTTATTTTAGTACGATATCTCTTTTTAGGAAAATATAGTTTAAGCACCAGGCTCATACGTCATTGACCCTTAGAATTTTGTTTTAGCTTTAGGAATATAAAATAATTAAAATGAGTTTATCTTTGATGAAGGCTTATTTTAAATTTCAGCTGAATATAATACTTAATAGTAAATATTAAACAGCACAACAAGCTATTATGAAGATGTGAAATAAAGCAATTAAATTGATTTAGTTTAGTGTACAAATTTACACTTTTAGCATTACAATATGACTAGCTATATTGGTTTGTAGGGAATGCAAAAGTTGTTTTGTTTACCTTTAAATGAGTAAATTTAATTAGAAGGCTAACAAGGAGCAAATATATTTAAGTGGCTAACATTTAAAGTTAAAATTTGTGATAGTTCTACTTCTTAAAATTGCTAAGAAATAGAAGAAATAAATAAATAACTAAATGGAGGACGTTTATTAATTTACTTTATGAACTACTATTTAGATTTAAATAACAGTAAATCAGCTTTTAAACCAAATCCATAATATTTAGCTTATAAAACTTCCAGTTAAGCTTAAAAAGACATTAATATATAATTTAGGAAAACCCTTATACAAACTGATAATGGGATATTTATCCCTAATTAAATGATGGAGGAATAACTTATCTACAGCTAAGATAATTATTAAATATAACACTATATTTAAAATAATAACAATTATAATTCCAATACAGAAAATATCTTTTAAATTGATATAACACTAGAAAAAAATAAAGAATCTTTATACTCTAGAAGTTACACAAGATTGATAACTCATTTTTCTAAATTAGGTGGGTTATTTAACTTTCTTTACTCAATTGGTATCCTTTTATGTTACCCATTTTCTAATATGTTATTCAGATAAAAACTCTTAAATTCTATTTTTTCCTTTTAGAATAAAGAGTAACTAGAGATAAATGGTCTTTTCAATAATTAATAATTAATTGAATAACCCACGCCAACACAAAAAATATTAGCAAATACTCCACATGCAAGCAGCATTGATTTTAAGATATCGAGAAAAAATACTTTTAATGATTCTCAAGGTAATTCCATAAAATAGGCAAACACATTTTCATAACATTGCTCGGGTAGTACTGTGAACCACTATGCTAATAATATGTAAGAAGATGTTAGCACTTAAGCACAACATTTAAAACTTAAAATCCCCTCTATAGATTAAGTGAGCTTTTAATAATCAACATTAAAAAAAAGAAACTCTTAAAAAAAAGTTACTATTATCAATATAAATGATTTTAAAAAAAATATTCTTTCTAAAAGAAAAACTTTATTTAAGTCGAGCGATTATATAAATCAAAAAATTATATCTTCCTTCTTCAATACTACATACAATTAATTTAGAGTACGTTTTACAGATATTTTTATGAGCTACTTTTGTAAAAGGAGAGCAAAATCACAAATGATCAGTTATGGGATGCAAAAGCTCGATTATCATCTAGATATTAACACTATTATTACTAAATTGCTTGAATTAGAGAAACTTAAAAGATTACTTCTAGATAGAGATTAAATTAAGTTGTTTGAATTTATACCTAAACCAATCATTCATGAAGAGTAGTTTGATAGAGATACAATGACTGGAATAACAGAACATTAAAGCTTTGCTATTTCAAATACAGGTATACTTTACGAAGATAAAAGAAATGTCGCTTAAAAGGCTAAAGACGCTGAAGAAGCTTATCATAGAATAACAAATTAAAACAAACTATCAGATCTACCAATAAATAGAAAATTATTATAATTGATTGATCCAAGAATTTCAAGCTAATTTTAGTAAAATATATTTACTAAAAACTATGAAAGCTTCACTACATCAAATTTTGAGATCAATAAAGAGCTAAGTAAAGATAGTAGTAAAGATTAGAACTCATCACCAAATTAAAAATTAAGAAGTAACTTCTTCTCAATCAATTTTAATGACTCAATAAAAGATTGAATTTTCTCAAAAAAATATATTTAATATCTCAATTATACTTAAAATATTTAATTATATTTTATATACTGTTTTTTCTAATAAATTACTCTAAATTATCAATAAATTTTGCTTCTAATAAGATTTTAGATGTCCTAAATATTTCATAAAAAATTAAAAATTAATACTGCAATTAGCAATATGATTAATCATGGTATTGATTTTTTTTATTCAATTGCAAATAAAGAAAGACATTTCTATTATTAAACTTTTATCCAAATAAAAACTAATAAATTAATTATTTTTTGCTTTATACTATTTGCCTTTCCTGAAACTCTCTAGAATTATTTCTACCATTCCTCTTTTACTGTGTACTTTTGCATTAGTTTCATAATTAAATATATTTAATCTTCTTTCTTAAATGATTCATTATTTATTTATTAGCAAAAATATGATTGATTATTTGAAGTTGCAAGCCAAAAGAAATAAACTTAAAAAAATAATTAAATTATATTTATAAAAATATTTCGTTATGATTCTTTCATAATTATGTATCTATCTTAGTATTTAGAATAAGTATAATTTATCAAAGTAAGCTAAATAATTAAATTAGTTAAGAAAAAAATTAGAATAAGCGGGTTTTGGTTTACAAATTTTTACTAGTTAAGCTGGATAATCAATAAAGTTTTAATTTATTAATTTTTTATAAGTGAAACTAAATAATTAATTTGAAATTTGTGTGATTATGAATTTCTTAAATTTAAGTGCTAAATTTATGATTAATTTTTTTAAAGTATAAATTAATTTTTAAGATTAGATATAATTTAGCATGAAAATAAGTATTTAGGAAAAATAAATTAATTTACTAATAATTATTTATTTATTCTTTCTTTTTCTATTTAATCTTCTTTGATTAAAATTATATTTGGTATAGCAATTATATATAGACTTTTAATTTTTTCAAAATACATTAAATTCGATGATGACAAATGAAATTTAAAAGTACTGTAAAATTTTTTATATATTTTAGTTATGATGAATTACCACTAAAATATGTTGTTCACTCAATCTTAAAAAATAAAAGCAGAATGCGCTGAGCTAAATAAAATATATAATTATACTTCTTATTTTTTTCAGCTATTTGGGATTTTTGCTAAAATTAAAGATAGTAAGTAATATTTTAACTCAATTAATTAATGATTACCACACAATATTAATGTAAGATCCCAAAATTATAGTGAAAATAAAACAGAGATAGTTTGTTGCGCTATAATATATGTAATAATTATGTTAAAAAAATTAATTAGAACAATCTTACAATCATAAAATAATAGTAATACAAGACAATATGCCATAAAATTGAGTGATAGAAACTTAATAAATAAAAGCATGATCAATAATACAAATTTAAAACTTTTAATTAAGTTTTTTTTAAAAATAATCACATTGAATTTAACAAAGTAAGGATATTAAATACATTTCTCTGTCAAAAAAATTAATCTGTAACTCGCTTCACTCCCAAATCAGAAATCTCGATTTATTTTTTCCAAAATATTTATAATTAATAACACAAAATAAAAACTTAATAATCAATCAATCAAGATAATGATTTCTCATAACTTTGTGCGTGGTAATCCTTTTGAAAATGCCAAGTTACAAAAAAATCTCCGCTTGAAAGATGAGACTCATAACTTGGTTGAATAAAGACTATCCAGCTCACCTTTTAGTAGAAATTAAAATTCTTCATCTACTTATTAACCTTCTTAATCAACTATTGAAAGCAAATCGTATATCATCTTAGATAATAATCAAAATAAACATCTTTCTGATGATAGAAAATTACAATAAAAGCATGCGCTACAAGCAAATAATACTAGTAATTTAAGCTTCTTTGCATCGGAGGAACAATAGAACTTAACTGAGAAGAGCATGTTTTAAAATATTGAGATTTAAAAGTAGGTAGAAAACACAAAATCTGTTGAATAACTTTCATATAGAAGATGTTATACACCAAATTTACTGAGAAGTACAAAATAATATGAGGATTGTTAATAAAATTCTCAATTTTAATTTAATGATGCTGGAAATTTATCAAGCAATTAAAACGTTAACTATATCAGCAACAACCAACATCCAGAGTTTATGTATTAGATTAAAAATAGAAGAATATCTAAAAGGCATTAAGATAACTAAATTCAATAAAAAATAGACATTAAAAAATAAGATATTTAATGGATTTTATAAGAGGACAAGAAAACAATTAATCATTTAATAGAGAATTCTGGCCTTAAAAATGGAAATGTAATTGCATCTAATCAAATAAATGGATAAGATTTATAGTACCTTTTGTAAAATAATTACAAAAACGTTCAAAAAAGTAAGTTCTAAGAAACAGGTGAGTAGTAATAGTAAGGTAATTCATCTTCTGATACCAAAAGAAAATCCTTGAATAATAAATTTGACTGGAAAAAAAGACTTGTTTCTGATATAAATGAATAAATTAGTTAAACAGAGTGCATTTAAAATGAAAATTTAAATAAAATTCAATTAAATAAATTGATACCATTAAAGATTAAATGTAAAACTGAAGGCCCTTCTAAGAGAAATTCTAAAGAAGAAGAATACAGCAAAGAATTAATCTAGTAGTAGAGCAATCATAAAGTTTTTAACTTGTTAGATAGCATAGAGCCTACATCAGTGCAAAAATAAGATGATAAGCCCTCTTTACCAGAAGTAATTAAAAATTGTGGTAAAGAAATAGCACCACATCCTAGGAATTTCCCCACTCATATATTTTCAGATAAAATTAATTATTTTGATTTACTAAAGAAGTTATCCTAAAATTGCAAAAAATCTGAAATTAGATCAATCTCTACAAATCCCAAATCTAAATAAGACCACAATATTTTTGCTCATGAAAGTCCTTAGAAGCAGAAATCTTGTACAAGAAAGTAGATTCAAATGGCAAATCAAAGCCCTATTTAACTTCCAAAAGATACCTAAGATATTTCAGATAATTAATTCAACAATTAAGATTCTTCAGACTAGGATATAGTTTAAGATTTGTTAAATGTAACTTTGAAGCCTAAGCAAATTCAAATAAATAAGGGAATGTTTAATTCAATTAAATTTTATGGAAGGTTAAGCTCAGTAAGAAGAAATAAATCAAAGGTATTTATTCATTTATTTGTTAAAATTGATTTTTCTCTTTTTAATCATTTATTCCTCTCTTTTTTCTGTTAAAATGATTGATTATAATTGATTTATTGATAATTTTAAATTTTTCATAGAACCATTTTAAAATTTACATTTAATAAAATAGGAAAATGCAAGAAAAATTTAAGAGATCAACCTGTTGCAGAAGTAAAACTAAAAATATATCTAAGATACCTTCTATCATCATTAATAATAATAATAATAATTAAATAGATCTGTCAATTATTTTGATAATAGATAAATTTTCAATTAAGATATTTTACATTAGAACCTTAATCATCATGACTAACTTAATTAGATATAAAATCACTTGAAATTAGATTCAAACTAAAAAAAAGTAAGTGTCTTATCATCTGTTAATTCTTTAGAGCTTGAGCCCGTGTAGCAGTTCTCAGAAGATTTTCTGTAGAGCTTTATAGAGAAGTAGAATAAAATAAATACATTCTATACTCGCTTTAATTAGAAAAAGTAAAAAGATTCTCCTCTAAAAAGTGTAAGAGGAAATCAAAGTATATATAAAGCAGAGTCCCCAATAAAAATTAATTCAATTAGTCCTCAAAAAAATGCATCTAGTCCTAATAAAAATAAATCTTTTGTAAATAATAACCACAATTCTAAAAAAGATTAAAATACTAAACTACTTACTCCTCTTATCTAACCATGTTACAAACCAGTGGAAGCAAATAAATACAATCAAATATATTCTAAAATGCTTTAAAGCAAAAAAGAATAAGATATCATGCCATGGGATTACTCTTAAAGAGATAGTCATTTGCATGACATTGATTAATATTTAAATTTAATAGAAAAAACAGGAATCATTCAAGGATGACCATGAATAAGCATATAAATCAATAATAATTTAAATATATAAAAAAAATTCAGGCAAAAAAACATAATTTAATTTAATATCTTTTGATTATTAAATAAAGATAATTGCTTTCGAATGATGGATTAATAATTATGGTCTTTAATTTTAACAAATAATTAATACTATTTATATTTAATTACTCTTACTACTTAATACGCTTGTTAAAATCTATATAATAAATTATAACATTTGTATATTATATTACTTTATATGACTAACTAAACTTTTATTTATCTTGTTATTACTCTAAATTTCATTTATCTTTAAATATTCAATTTTAGTAAAAATACAATAAATAATTACAAACTTAATTTGATTAAGTTGTTACAGTTTAGTAAAAAAATCTTGATATTTCAGCTAAATACAAAAAATAAATAGAAAACTTGATTTTATAAGCTCAATCAATACTTTTAATTGAAAAATACAAATGTTAATCTTGTTATTTATTATTTGAAAAATCATAAAAATATATTGAATTTCGATACAAAAGCAGATACATTTTTATTAATAAATTTCGAATATATTTAATATGCAAAAAACTCTCTAATTTTACCTAATTTCGAACAATAAAATAGAAAGTTAAATTTTAAATTTGAAACTTTTGGTCTTATTAATTTTATAAGAAATGAAAACTTTATTAAATTAAATTAAAAAATGTAAACAAAATATTACTTTTAAGTATTTTTCATAAAAATTTTGAAAAAATTATTTATTTTTTTTATTTTTTAATTTTTATTTTTAGATTTTTATAATATTTTTTAATTTACTTTTTATGGAAGTTAATTAGAAAGATAAAATTACAAAAAAAATTTAATAAAATAAATATTTTTTTAATAGTTTTATGAATGATAATAAAATATTTTAAACATATAAAGCAATTATTTAAGATTTAATTCAAAATTAATAAATAATAACTAACCAATTTAATGATTAGTAATTAAATAATCGAAAGAAGTTATTATTTTTTAAATATATTTTATAGTAATTAGTATAATTTGATTAATTTAATTATTATTTATATTTAAGGATTTTTTTATTTTATGATTTACATTTTTTTATTTTATCTGAATGTTTAAAAGATTGACTTTATTACATTAGTTTTATTCTCAAGAGTAATTCGATAGATCGTGCAATGAATATTTTTTGTAAGGATGGAATATATTTGGGTTATAATTATGATTATTAGGATTGGTTAAGCTACCGTTGTATAATGCTGGATTTTAGAAAACGTTATTTCCGTCATCACTTCCATTAAGATTTAGCTAAAGTTAGTTATTCTAGTTTAGTAATCTTTTTCTGTTATTCATATCAACAAAGAAACTGTCTTATCGACTACGATCTCTGCTTCTAAAACTTTCCAGAGTAAAACTGTTATTCATTTGGGTGTTTGAAATTGCAATTTAGTTGCTACGAGTAACTTTCATGCTTAGTGCATTTTCAAGACTTTCTGGACGATGTCTAGATTAATTTGGCTCAACTTGAATCAGACTGCTCGGTGTTCTTATTGGCATTGATTAATTGAAATTATCATTTGGTATTGTACTAAAATTAGATGGTATTATTATTGGAGTGTTCAAGTTGATCATACTTTAAATAGCACTAGGTATATTATTTGAGTTACTATTTAGGTAAATCTGGTTTTGCTAGTTACTTCCTTGATTCTAGTTTATCATATTTTACTGCTTTTCGTTTAAGTTTTGCAAATACAAAGCACTATCAGGAGATAATAACAAATTTGAGCTTTTAGAATTTTTAGAGAAGTGATAAATTTCATTTCTTGTATATTTATAGCACGATAAACCTATAAATTCTTCTTCTTCTGGTACATCTTCCTCTCTAAAATCTCTATGAATGGATGCACGAAATCTTTATTTTAAATTACGAATTGCCAAAATATCTGTATACATTTCATAAATTATTCTTGTTCCCGTCTCTTGCTCACTATAAATTTTAGGAAAATATGGACCTAATTTAGCTATAATTTTTTAGTTAACCTTCATTCCTATACCTAAGCCTTTTTACTTGCTTTAAGGGTTGGCTGTTGTTATATTTTAAAAATAATTAGAAAAGCTGCTAAGTTTTCTTAACTATTTTTAATGGTTTTAAGACTTTTTCCTAAGAGAAACAACTTAGATGTGACCATTATGACTTGAATTATTCAAATTATTATTATTGTTATATTATTCGTCAGCAATTATATTATCATTTACTCCAGGCCCACTATCCATAATTTCGAATCTGAATGTCTTGAAACCTAAGTTCATGTAAGGCTTTACAGTTAAAGAAATATATCCCTTCTAAACACAATCGAGAGCATTTTGAAGGTAGTTAAATAAGACTTGCTTAATTCTACGCTAATCTTGAATCATTTAATAATCTTCCCCAAGCAAATCTGAGAAAAAAAACATCACTTTTTTCTGTTTACATTTCTCAAACATAACATCGCTCACTTCATTAAGCAATTTTCTTAAGGAAAAGTTTCTAATTTTCGTATTACCCATTGTGGAGTTATTTAATAGATTTTGTGGCGTATTTTGACCAACACCCATTTTAGGATTGCTATTATTTTTATTATTTAAGTTACTGTTTGGTTAGTTATTGTTTGTTTAGCTACTGCTTGGATTCCCATGAAAACTATATTATCCATTCTCAATGATTTGGAGTTCGTTTTCAATACTATTTTAAGGAGACAACTGCTGATAAAATGAATCTTTTTTTTTAGGTTTGCCTGAATTTAGCTCTTTTTTATTGGTATTATTTTCTTTAACTTGCTCTTTTTCTTTACTAGAAATGCCTTTTTCAAAAACAAAATCAAGGATATTATGGATTCCTGTAAATATACTCATCAAGGAATATTTTAGGTCATAATATAAGTTGCTTTAACTTAAAGGGATAGCTACTTGTCCTATCTCAGTAGAAAGTCTGACTATTCTATCCTAAAAAAAGTACAAAGTATCTTTAAAGAGTTCACGATATTACTTTCTTGTAACTTTAAGCATCTTGATAACTTCTTATTCTTGGTTGTTCTCAACATTTATGAGCAAAAGTGGTTCATTTACTGAAAATTGAAAAACTTATATTTTATATTAACATTTTGTGAAGGGTTTATTTTCCCAATCTTCGCAGTAATATCCTTTAAGTATTTCAACAAATCTAAATAATTTTTATAAAATAAATAAAACTAAACAAATGATAACAAAAGAAAATATATACTTTTATCCTTAATCATATTTTACAGAGGGTCTCTTCTTCACGATACTTCTTGATGTTACCATTTTTTTAATAGAGGGATTTTTATCAACCTTTGAAGGAGAATTAGAGTCTAAATCATCAAAAGGACTTTCGTGCTCTTGCAAAGATTTTAAGTCGTTATTAAAATTATTATTGTTATTTATTTTCTTAGTTTATTAAATTAATGGTTTAATATTCATGTCTTATCTTACTTTAATTTCTTTAGCTATTGCATGATGTTTTTCTAATATAAAATCTCTGAGAGTTTTTTTGGAGTTTGGGATATCCAACCTTATTTTTTACATGAATTGATTAAACGACTCATCATTTTAAATCTTGAAATTCTACTAGGCTTCTTAATTAGAAGCATTTAAACTAATTTCGCCTGTTATGGAATTATATTTAGAAATAATAATGTTAATTGGTAGAACTTCGTCAACGATAACATTCCATTAATCCTTCTACTTTAAATTCAAAAAAGTTTCTCTCCTAAGTTTTTCATTCTTAAACAAGTTGAATATCGATAAGACACCTGTAAAATAAAAAAATATCTTTTAAGATAGTAAAGATGAGCTCAAGTCAAAATAAAATATTAGTTATCTTTGAATTTTCTAGTAACCAAAATTAATTAAATTGATTAAAATCACCACAACCACTTTTTATTACTAATTAAATACTTTTCATAAATAGTCTGTCTAATTAATTATTTTTCTTCGATTATATTATTCTATTTAGATATTAATGAATTATTACTTTTTTTATTACAAAATTTACAATCTATTTTTTTGATTTTTTAAGTAATATGTCTTGTCTTACAATACATTTTTAATTATTACAAAGCCAAATTATAAAATAGTAAGCTAAATTATGTTATGAATCTTCATATAAAAGATCTTTTTTTCAGTCTTTAAAACTATGCGGTCAAGATAAAAAGTTAAAAATTAATATTACTCATAACATGATTGCATTCGAATAAAGAATTATTTTAGATATTTATAATTTTGGGTTTATCTATGTTATAAGAAAGTTTTCCCTTTATTTAATGATTTTTCTTAAATATTTGCTAGTTTTAACAGTAAATTTTCTAAAATTTATAAGCCTAACTAATGATTTTATCTTTTAAACTAAGAAATAAATTTCAAAAAGAAAAAATAAAACTTTAAACTTAAATTTACCTGATAATATACATAGAATGACTGCAATAGTAACTTCCTACCATTACTATTGACTATTATCTATTGAAACTATTGAAAATACTAGTATAATGATTCTGCTTGACAAAATAAACATTAAGTCCCATATGAAGGTATTGGTTCTCATAAATAAGAGTAGAGAATAAACATATATATCTTCAATAAATATAAGCTATCCTATAGTCAGCTTTTTAACTATTGAACTTAGGAATATGGAATAGCAAACTGTGCTGTATAAGTTGAGTAAAAATAAAAAATTCTTGAGATATTTGAGGTTTTGCTTAATTTAAAATAATGCAAAGCAATGAAGAATAGCATTGAAAGCTAAAACAACAAGACTAGTTATTTTTTACTCATATCCAACCTAAATGCACCCTGCTATACTTGTAATAATAATTATAACAACTGCTAAGAAATTTATTGCCTTGCCATCTATTAATCTATCTTCCTAATATTATTTTTCTAATTCTGAGTTTCTAAATCTTAGACTATATGGTCTTAACTAATACTTACTAAAATTATTCTGAAAGTACGTAACTTTCATACCCTTTTTAGAAGTCTTCATTGTTCTAATTGAGTTTAAAAAACAAGCCTTACACTTCTGCTACTATCTAAAATGATTTTCTCACTATTATATCTATTATTACTATATATAATAATAATAAATTTCTAGTAATCGCTTTTATGAACTGCTTGCTTTATATTCAAAGTAGTCTAAAAATTAAATAGGAGCGTATCTTGTTATTTTAACCACCTAATTTCTCTACTTAAAAATCTAAAAATTAATTAGTGATTATAATTTATTTATTTGATTATTTCAAATACTACTACTACCATAACAATAATAATATCAATAAAAAAAACCAAATTATTTAATCAAATACTATTCATATTAAACCTTCTTAAAAATATTCTTTATTTTTAAGCTTTATATTATTAATAGAAATGATTTTTTAATTTTCTATTAACTTTACAATAACATTTGATGCACCAAAACTTTTTAATTTAAGTAGGAATCTTCTTCAAATAATTTAATATTAAAATAAATATTAATTCATATTAAATATTTACATGAAATTAAAATATTTTTTGTAAAATTTTATTTATTATTTAACAATATCAATTAAAATTATATTTTTTAATTAATTTAATTTTAATTTATTTTATTAAAATTCATTTTATTTAATTTAATTTTTTTAAATTAAAAAGAATAAATATATTTTATTATTTTATTCATTTTTTTTGAATTATAAAATTACTTTAATTTTACATAATTTTATATTATATTATTTCAGTATGTGATCAGCTAGTTATTTTTACAATCAATAATTATCTTCCTCCTGAAATCGAAATTTAATTTGTGGATAGAAATTATTTATTTGTAAAAAAAGCAAGTATTTTAGTAATATATAATACAAATTTATTTTATATAAATTTTTAGTAATATAAATAACACAGAAATTAATTTGCAAATTCATAACTCATTTTTACTTTATTTTTGATACTTTTATTTATTTATTTACTTTACTGAATGAAATAATGAGCTCAAAATTATAATTTAATTCATACATTTCTTATTTAATTAGTTAAATGAAGAATTTTTTATTGAAATTTGATGGACCAGTAATTTTATAAATTTTTTCATCAATAAAGATTTTATTCAGTAGTTTATATTGGTTTTTAATTGATTGAAAAACTATTGAACTATTTTTTCTGCTCAAGGTGTGTTAAAATTATTTTAGAGCTCTCAATATAGAATTAAGCATCTTGTAAGGTTGCTAAAGTTTTATATTTACATAATTTTATTTTCTGCAGAGCATGAAAGCTCAGTATCTAAGCAAAATAATAATTGTAGCTGAACATATATCTAACTCGAATATAAAAATACTACAAATAATAAATATAGATAACTTTTCAAAATTTTATCTTTATTATTTCAAAATTAATTTCCTTGAAAAATAGATTCAGCAATTATTTATTTTTTAATTAGTTTATTTGTTTTTGCTTGCTTAATTGTTTGTGATTATGCCTTTTATAATAATTTCATGTACACTTTATAAATCTACAAAAGAATTATAATTCAATAAAAACTTATTTTTTGTTAAGATATATATTATTAAATTTTTGCAATAACTTTTAAAAAGTAGGAGATTATAAAAATTACAAATCTTTCTTTAGAAGATATACAAGAAAACTTATTTTAAGACAGACGAAAAAGACACAAATTTATTTATAAAAGATATGGGTTGTTGTTGTGGAAAAAAGCCAATTTAGCGTAAGCAAGTTGATCCTCCAGTCGAGTAGAAATAGCCTTAAAGATATGAAGTTTAAGAAGAAGTTAGGTAGGCACCAAAATAACCTGTCGAATCAAAAAAAGAAGAAGTAATTGTAATAGAAGAACAAGAAGAAATTAAAATTGTTTAAGAAAAGCGCAGAGAAGAGCCTGTTGCTGTAAAAGCCGCTCCACCTATACCTAAGGATACCTATACTTTAAGCGATGTAGATCAAATTCCAGGAGCTCACAAACTTAATGAAAAAGAAAAATATAATGTGTTTAGAGCAATGCTCATACTCGATTCTAAAGGATACAAAATTCTCTAAATTACTACAGTTATCAGTTTTGGAGTTGTTATCAATGCTGAGTCTAAAGAAGGGCGAGTTGTTTGTATGAAGATACTCTTCCATGATGAATAGTTGTTACCTACAAACGGAAATGAAGAAGAGTAAAAAAGAATCTTATAAAAAGAGCTTGAGGTTATTTAAAGAGCTCACGATTCTGCTGTTAAGGACACTAAAGGATATGGAAAGAGAGTCTTAAAGTACAAGAGTCACTTCATAGAAAATGGAAAATCTATTGAAAACACAAATCTTAAAAATAAAAGCAATGATTTAATCTTGTTTGTTGAACAAGAAGATAGTGTTAATAGCACTCTTTAAGAATTCATCAATCAAAACCGTGGTAAGCTCAACCCTCGTTCATTCCTTCTTGTTGCATAAGATTTAATTTGGGGAATGTAGCACTTACATAATCAGAAATTGGTCAATCGTACTCTTAATCCAGATAAAATTTTAGTATCAAGTGATGGCAAAACATTCAAATATTGCGATTTCCGTGATATCAATTTAGCGGATAACAATTAATAAATTAAAAATCTCACAAAAACAAAATTGGAGAAAGATATTCAGCTTTAATCACCCTAAATTTAGCACATTCTCAAAAATAACCCATCTAACTTATACACAAATGCTCCAACTGATATTTGGATTATGGGTGCTTCCTTGGCTTAGCTTTCTGATATGGACTAAAAGTAGTTTAACCAATTCTCTGCTCCTGAAAATAACAAATTATTTGTTGGCGATGATGAGTAGACAAAAGCAAAACTCTAAAAAGAAGCTCTATTTTAAGCTATAGCTGCTCTTTAAGCTAGTTTTTCTAACAAAAGCTAAGTTAAGTCCTCTTACAACCCTTCTGATTCTAAATTGAAAAACTAATTCCCTGGATCTAGCAAGCTTAATGAGGACTGTAATGAATTATTATCTGAGATTTTAGAGATAGATGAACAAGAGCGTCTCATGCACAAAATTTCAAGTAGAATGGATTATTTGGCTCTTAAATATCACTTAAATGCAATTTAACCTCGCCATCTTCCTGATTACATTAAAGGTAAGCAAATAAAGACATCAAATGATAGGTAAGATATTTAGAAATTGGAATAATAAGTTGCTGCCAACCCCTCTAATGCTCAAGACCATGCTAAGTTAGCTTCTTGCATATTCTAATATGACAAGGATAACATAAAGAAAGGTATCGACCATATTAACAAAGCTATCTAATTAGAACCAAACAACTCTGACTACTATAATATCCAAGGTTGTCTCTATGAAAAAGCTTTAATGATTGAAGAAGCAGAAAAATCCTTTAAAATAGCCGTTGAAAAAGATCCATCATCTTCTCTTGCATATCACAATCTAGGTTATATGAATTAAAAAATATATTAAAATAACGAAGAAGCTGTTAAATACTATTAAAAGGCTGTTGAGAAAAATTCAAGAGCAGAATCTTCTCTTTTTAATATAGCTGTTGCCTATAAAGACTAGAAGAAATTCGCTGAGGCTAAGCAATAATATGAAAAGCTTTTAAAAATAAATCCTAATGACAGCTAAATATATAATAATTTAGGTTTTTTGTATGTAGAAAATCCATAATTAAGAGGAAGCGAACAAGAAAGAGAAACTGAACCTGAAGCTTTATTCAAAAAGGCCCTTGAAATTAATCCTAAAGATATATGTGCATTAGTTAATCTGTCATAAGCTCAACTTTAAAAAGATGCAGGTTTTGAAATGCATTAAGATGAAATCATTAAAAACTTAGCATATGCTGAAAAAATAAGCCCTAAGCATGCCTACATTTATTACGTAAAAGGCTTGATGGAAATGATTAAATCTGAACCTAATTGGTAAAACGCTCTTGATAACTTCAATAAAGCTTTACAATTCAACCCTGCATTTTCTCTTGCTGCATATTAAATAGGTTTAATTTAATATGAAGTTTAAACTTTAAATAAACCATTATCAGAATCAATACAACATTATGAAAAAGCAATTATATTAGATAGAAATAATTACTATGCATATTATAGTCTTGCAATAGCAATTGAAGACCAGCTTAAATCCACTCACAGCCAAGCAGAAGTCAGTAAACTAAGAGCTAAGTGCTTAGTTAATTATCAAAAAGCCATTTAAGTCAAGCCTGACTATATTGAAGCTCTTAATAATATAGCTGTGTTTATCAAAACTGTTTCCCTTCAAGAAAATAAATTGAAGAAAAATTCAAAAGAATATGAAATAGCAGAGTACTTCTTGAAGTAAGCAGAAGGTTTAGCTCCAAACCACAAAATAATTATTGACAATTTAGAAAAACTTTACAATGAAGTCTAGCAAGAAGATTTAGCCTAATAGAAAGCAATTAAAAGCATTCTTGCTGGAGAAGAGTGAGTGATCAATCTTGTTATTATTATAATATAATTTATTTATTAATATTTATTAATTTTACATGTATCGGAATTTTTTACTTATATATAAAAAATTATTAACATATGTTTTATTCCTAAATCAAAATTTAAAATTATTTTCATTATTTATTAAATTTTTTTTATTCAACATCAAAAAAATAGTAATTTTTACGTTTTTAAAAAACTTGACTATGGGCAATCAAACTTATTATTCTCCAAAATATAACAAATTTTTGTATTAAACACCCTTATACAACTTAGCTCATAGTGAATTTACTAAAAAAATTGCTATTATTTATAAATAATAAAAGTTAATTTATTAATTTTTGAGCTAATTTTCTTAATAATGATCCTAAAAAATGTTTAATTTTGAAAGAAAAATCTGAGATCTTTCCAAGTTTACAAACCTAATTCAACATCTTATTTTAAACACCTAAAAATATTTTTTTCTTAAAAAATATATTAAAATTTTTATAACTAAAGACTTTTTGAAATTGAAAGTTTGTTAATATTGATTGATTAATCAACAAAAATTAATATTTAAGATTAGTTTTTTTATGAATTTAAAATATAAATCATTTTAAAATAATTTTTTTTAAATATAATTTAAAAAAAAAAAAAAGATTATTTCAAATGTGTCTATATTAAAATATTAAGTACATACATACATATTATAAAATTTAACAAATTTTAAATATAATTTCTTTCATTTTAAATTGATTTTATACCAAATATAATGTTATCATTAAACCTTTTATTTAAGTAAAGATAGCAACACAAATGCTACTATCGTATAGGCAAAAGATAATACAATTAGACATCCAACAGACTCCCACATGCTTAAATCAAAGTTCAATTGATGTATTGGGTTTTAAGGATACCCTTAACCTTCATAAGAATATTCATTTTAGGCTACTGCACTAAAAGAGTACTTAAAAGGAGATAAGTATTAAATCCAACCAATCCAAGAAGCATAATCACCTTGATTTTTATAGTAACCACCAAAGAGCATGAATGGAATTAAAAGCATTGGAGTAACTGCAATAGAAACTTATGCATTTTAAAAGATGCATCCACATAAGTAACCCAAGCCTAAACCAGTTATACCTTAAATTGCACAAACAAATATTAAAAACAATACTTTACCAGGATTGTCAGTATTTAATCCAATCATCCAATAAACAATTATACTTGACAAGGCAGGGAAAAAAGCTGAAGGTAATATGTCTACTATATATTTTCCTATGAAGTAAGGTCCTACTGAATAAAGCTTGGAATTCTCTTCTCTTAAATAAGTTTACTTTTCTTGAGGAAAAGTTAGAACACATGGTAATAAAGCCATCATGAAATTACCATAGACCCAGAAAAACATGAAACCATTTTTATCATTAATATTTCGCTGTGTTGGATTATCTAAAGGCCCAGGAATTTACCAATAGATTGCACCCATTAAAAGTGATATTAAAATGCTTTGTATAAGACGAGCTATAAAAAGAATAGGATTTCTTTTAAGTATTTTAGTCTACCTTAGTGTAATTTATGCAATTTAGTAAAAATAACTAGTTCCTAGTTATTTTGCAGGAAGGTTTCCTTATTATGATTGTTATATTTCCCTCATGATTACCGGTTTTAAGTTGTTAGAGTACTCTTAATAATAGAGCGAATAATTCTTTTAATTTATCTCATTTCCATTGCTCATGATCGACATTAAATAGTCTTTTGAATTGAATTAAAAATAAATAAATAGAAAATTAATTAAATTAAAATCATTTCTATTAAAAAAATGTTTTCAAATAAATTTTCTAAAAACTTCAAGCAAAAAAAATTTATGAAATTGATAAATTCCTTTCAAATAACAATTAACAATGTGAGAAAATTATTTTTTATTTACCTGCAGGGTTAGAATGAATAGGACATTTGAATCCGATGCTAGAAAAATAATTTACTACATTCATTCCACCAGGACCTTAATAGATAAATTATCCTTCTACCATAAGCATTACATGGTCAAGCATATTCCAAATATCTGAAGAGGGTTAGTGAATGGTGAACACAACTGTTTTATTTTAATTATGAGCATATCTCCTCAAAAGGTCAATTATACAGTAAGCAGTAAAACTATCTAAACCAGATGTGGGCTCATCCAGAAATATACACTAAGGATTACTAATAAGTTCATATCCAATTGATGTACGCTTCTTTTCACCCCCTGAAATACCTTTTATATTTGTTAAGATGTAATTAAAAGGTTGTTAAAATTGGAAAATGTAATGAAGATTTTGTTTTATTTAAATTATTTTACCTTTAACAAAGTTACCACCAATAAAAGTGTTTTGGCATTTTTCTAGTTTCAACATTTTAGTTATTTCTTCTACTTTTTTGCTTTTTTATTCTGCAGTACCTGTAGTCTTGAGGTTTGCTGCGAATTAAAAGCATTCTTTAACTGTTAATGCTTCAAGTAAAATATCATCTTGCATAACATACGAAGCAAATTAAGTAAATTAGTCTGCACTGTATGCAATATTGTTTGCAAGAATATCGCCTTTTAAAACTTGAGTCGATGAATTTTAAACTCTTTAACAGAGAATATTAAGCAAGGTTGTCTTACCAGCTCCTGAAGAACCTTTTAATAAAATAAAATAAACTCTCTCATTGTAATAAATTTTATTAATTTAATTTACCTAGAATAGCATTCACTTGGCTATTCTTGCATATACCAGAAACTCCTCTGAGAATATGTTATTAGTTTTTTTTCTTTATTACAGTATAATCAATATCCTTAAAAACAATATCAATCTTTTCACATTCTCCTGTTTATTTAGGGGAAATTTTAATAGAATTAGGACTACCTTAATCAGACATTTTAGTATTTTATTTAATTCTTAATTTTTGTATAATATTGATTTATAAAAATATTGTTTTTTTGATTTGTCTTATTAAGAAATGAGTTTTTGTTATTTTTGTAATTTATGAAATAGAAAAAAGTAAATTCTGATTAATTTTGGTTCGATTTCTCAATAATTTATATGATTTTTAACTAATTTATATAAATATTAATAAAAATAAGTTACTCTAAAATATATGGCTTTTTATGTGCTGATAAATTTTGATATTTGAATAATTCCAGAAAATTTGCTTTTCTTTCTTTATTTTTTCCTTTTTCAAGAGCAATAATTTATTTATCATTTTATAGTTTATTAAATACATATTAGATAAAAGTAATTTAATCTTATTCATTTATTTGCTATATGTTAAAATGTAAGATTATACAAATAAGAACTTAAATATTTTTAATATCATTAAAATGTTATAAATACAAATATTTTATATATTAACAAAAAAATGAAAATTAACATTATTACGATTTGAATACATTTAAATATTATTAAAAATAATAACAATATAAATAAATAGATTATTACATATGATTTAAATATTTATCAAAAAAACTTGCTTGAGATTTGAAAATTATCATAATAAAGAAGATACGATATAGTTACATATATCATCATCAATGTCAAGTAAAAAAAAACTTCTTATAAAATTCTAAAACTTATTTTAATTATTAAATATAAATTAAATTTAATGCTTTGTAAAAATAATAGTAAATTATTTATTTTTATTGCTAATTGTTGTGTTTTTTTTTTTTTGCAACCAGTTTACAAGTTTTATTATTAACAAATATTTAATTTTAAAAAAATTTGCTAGGTTTTAGCTTTAAATTATTTAAGAAATACAGAAAATAATTGTAAAAACTTAATTTTTTAATTTTATTTTTTAGCCAACATTAAAAAGTGGGATTTTTATTTTTGATAGGCTTAAATAAAAATAATAACGAAGGATCTCAAGAAATGATTATCTTTTGAAAAGTATCATTAAAAAAATATTATTTAGGTAAATTAAAAACAATCTCAATAATGTCTTTAAACTTTTATTATTCAATATTATCTTAAGTTTTGAAATGTGATTAACTTTTATTTAAATTAATTGATGATTACAATACAATAGATTTCTAATTCTATAAAAATGTATTGGATGCAATAAATTTAATTTGATAATCATTTATTTTAGAATTATTATTAAAAGTAATATAATTTTTATAATAAATACTTAATATTTAGACAAAAATAGTATAATTTAAAATACATTTAATGGTAGTAATATTATATATATTATAACTTATTTTATTTCATTAAACTCTCTTTTTAAGAGTAGCAAGGAAAATAAAGGAAATTATTGTGAAACCTGCGAATAAACCAGCTAAGGATCCAAGTGAAGACCACATACCTTGGTCAAAATTTAATTATTTTATTGGGTCCTATGGGTATCCAGGACCATCATATGAGTATTCATTTATGGTGACAGCCTAAAATGCATATTTAAATGGTGAAATATATTAAATCCATCCAATCCAAGCTGCGTAATCAGAAGCATTTTTATAAAAACCTGCAAATAACATGAAAGGCATCAACAACATAGGAGTAACAGCAATAGCCATTTATGCATCACTGAAAGCTGAACCTCCTAAATATCCAAGACCTAACCCTGTTAAACCTAAAATAGCACAAACTAGAATAAAGAAAAATACTTTTCCAGCATTTTCATCATTTAGGCCAACCATCCAATAAACTATTAAACAAGAAATTAAAGGGAAAATAGCTGCAGGGAATGCATCTACAATAAACTTGCCAAAAAAGTATGGACTAACAGTATACAGCTATGCGTTCTCTTCTCTTAAAAATACAGCTCTTTCAGATGGGAATGTTAAAATGCAAGGATTAAGTGTCATCATAAACATACCAATACACCAGAAGAATAAGAATCCATTTTTATCATTTACATTTCTTTGAGAAGGGTTATCGTTCGGACCTGGAATTTACCAATAAATGGCTCCTATGAAGAGAGAAATGATGATACTTTAGATAAGACGAGCTTTAAAAATCAAAGGGTTTCTTTATAAAATTCTGACCTATCTCATTGCAATTTAGCCAGTTTGATAAAGCATACTAGTTTAAACTTATTTATTAGGTAGTTCTCCATCATGTGCATTTTAGATATCACTAGATACAATAGATTTGAGTTTGGTATCATACCCTTAGAAGTAAATGGGATAGCTTTTTACGTTAGCATCGCTTTCTGCATGCATGATTGACATAAAGTAATCTTTTTTTATGGAATTAAAATTAGATAAGAAAATTTTAAATAATTCAATTGATTGAAGAGCTGTATGCTTATTAATTCAATTTTATGTCAAAATAAATAAATTTTTTTACCTGCAGGATTAGAGTATTATGGACATTAGAAACCAATGCTAGAAAAATGATTTACAACATTGATTCCTCCAGGACCTTAATAAATAAATCTTCCTTCAACCATAAGCATTACGCGGTCGAATAAATCCCATATATCAGAAGAAGGTTAGTGAATAGTAAATGTCACTGTTTTATTTTTATTGTGAGCATATCTTCTTAGCAATTCAATGATGCTATAAGCGGTGAAACTATCTAAACCGGAAGTGGGTTCATCCAAAAATATAGCAGCAGGATCACTTATCAATTCATATCCAATAGAAGTTCTTTTTCTTTCACCTCCTGAAATACCTAATTTGTTAAATTGAAGACTTAATTTATTTTGTCTTGTTAGAGATAAATTTTGATTGAACTAAATGTAAATTTCTTATTTAAAATTTGATGGTATTATTTTTAATAAAGTTAATAGTGAAATTTTAAATAAATTTACCTTTAACAAATAAGCCACCAACAAATGTGTTTTAGCATCTTTCTAATTTTAATTACTTAACCATTTCTTAAACTCTATCATTCTTTTCTTTGGCAGTTCCATTAGTTTTTAAATTTGCAGCAAATTAAAAGCATTCTTTAACTGTCATAGTCTCAAGCAAAATATCATCTTGCATAACGTATGTTGCAAATTTATTGAATTATTATGCGTTGAAAGGAGTTTTATTTGCAAGTACTTCTCCACTTAATTAAGATTTTTTAGTACTTTGAATTCTCTAGCATAGTATATTTAATAAAGTTGTTTTACCAGCTCCTGAAGAACCTATTTATTTATAAGCAAATTGAAAATTGTTTAGCATGTTAAAACAAAATTTTATTTAATTACCTAAAATAGCATTAAGTTATCCACTTTTGCAGACTCCTTCAACACCTTTTAATATTTCTTTAGGTCCCTATTTAGTTGATACTGAGTATCTAATATCTTTGAATATAATATCAACAGAAGGAGTTTTATCCATTCTATATGGAGTTACTTTTCCAGTATTGCTTCCTGTATCAGACATTTATTTTATATTTTTTAAATTGTATGTTTTTATACTAAGTTTAATTTTTTATTTTTATTTTAAGAAAAATAATTATAGTTTTGTATTGATAATCAATTTAAATAAAATCATAAAAACTGCGTTCCATATAAGGTTAGTAAATTTCATCTTATTTTTTTGTAAAATCTGTTAAAATTTGATTAATTAAATAAAAAGCTTTCTTCTCGAAAGTTCAACTTTCAAATCAATCATAATTACGCAATTATGATAAATAGACTATATGAAGAAGGCTATAATTAGTTTAGCTGATTTTTAATAAATAAAATAATTCTATTAAAATTAAAAAAAAAATACCTATTCCGATAGTAAATTTATTTTACTCTAGTTATGTCAAAAAAAATTCAATTTATGAAATCATTTTATATAGGTTTTTTACAAAACAAGTTTTGCTTGATGTAAAACAATCACTAAAATTTTGTAGTGTATTGTTAATTTCTGACAAAAATTCAGAAATAAACAGTATTTTAATGAAAAAAACAACATCAATTACTTATTTTCATTCATTTTTTATTTATTCTTTAATTCTTCTAACAAGTTTCTATTTTTCTTTTTATTAAATTTTGAATTATAACGCAAATTAAAAATGAAATAGTTTGTGACGGATTGTCTATTGTATTATTTTAAATAAATTTGAAAAAGTGCATGAATCCAAAAGCTGTTAGTATCTAAATACAAAAAAATATATTATTAAATAAAAAAGCCTATTAAAATTTTAATGAATTTTATTTATTTTATTTTTTATTGTTTTATTTAATTTTATTTTGACTTGAAGATGTTTTTTAAGAAATTTTTGTTTGACTCTTAATGATCTAATTTTATATTTCTTTCTATTTTATGGAAGTAAGAAAGCGCAAAAAAAGCTTATTTTCCTTTTTAAAAACAAGAAAAAAATAATTCAAATAAAAAAAGACCACTTTAATATTGATAATTATATTAAAAGAAGTGCGTATTAGTTAGTGTATGATGGATTCTAGGTTTTTCCTTTTTATAAATATTTTTTAATTAATTTAGTGGGAAATTTACTTATTTTAAAAGGAAATTTCAAAATAGTAAAGGAAAATAAGAGAGGTTATTCATTTAATTTCAGACTAATTTTCTAAAGAAAAATAGAAGAAGATTAATTCATTTTTATAAAAGGAATTATTTTATAAAAAAATAAAAGCTGTTAAAATGTAAGTAAGTTAGTTAGTTAAATAAATTTGAAATTTTTAGATTTTAAAAACGATATGTATGATATTTTAATACAGTATAAACAAAATTTATTACTAATCATTATACTTTTTTCTTTACTAAAGATAAGAACATGAAAGAAAATATAATTGCTATTCCAAATATTCCTGCTAGACAGGCGATAGCTTCCCATTTACTCAAATCTAAATCTAACAATGCTATAGGATCAGGGTTGTAAGTTGGACCATCGTATGTATACTCATTATGAGCAAGTGCATTAAATGCATATTTAAAGGGAGAAAGATATTATATCCAACCAATCCAGCTTGCATAATCTTTGGCATTCTTATAAAAACCTGCGAATAACATAAAAGGCATAATCATTAATGGTGTTACAGCTATAGCTAACTTAGCATCACTAAAAGCAGAACCACCTAAATATCCTATTCCTAACCCACAAAGACTTTAAATAATTACAGTAAATGCAAAGAAGAAGAATTTTCCAGCATTGTCATTATTTAATCCAATCATCCAATAAGCTATACATGAGCTTATAAATGGGAAGATAACAGTTGGAATCAAATCAACTATTAATCTACCGATGAAATAAGGAAACACAGAATAAAGTTTAGAATTCTCTTCTCTTAAGAAAACCTACTTTTAAGATGGAAAAGTAAGCATGCATGGATTGAGTGTCATCATAAACATAGAAATAGTAAAGAAGAAAAGAACACCATTTTTATCAGTTATGTCTCTTATTGTGTAGTGCTCAGTAGGTTTAGGGATATCTAAATAAATAAGACCTATGAACAAAGCTATAATTACACTTTGACCGAGACGAGCTCTCAAGAGAATAGGATTTCTTTTTAGAATTCTGAGCTATCTCAGAGCTATTTATGAAATCTGATAAATCAAAGAAGTGTGTATTATTCTATGAGGAAAATCTCCTTTTTAAGAATGATTGATTTCAGAAGAGACTATTTATCGTAATTGAAGATCATATTGTTCAAAATATTTAGGATAATTGTTAATGTTAACCTCACTTTCTCCATGCATAATTGACATTAAGTAATCTTTTATATTAAAAACATAATTTGAGTTAAATTATTTAAATTAAATTGTTGTTTGTTAATATCAATATTTAGCTTGAAAGATAATTTAAATAGGTTAGGATTTCAGATAATTAAAGCTAAATTTTGGTTATTAAATAGTATTAAAAATAAATAACCATGTATATTTAATTGATTGATATATAAAATTAATTAGTTACCTGCTGGATTAGAGTGAATAGGACAAGTAAAGCCAAAACTTGAAAAATGTTTTACTACATTCATACCACCTTATCCTTGATAGATAAATTTACCATTAACAAGCATCATAACATTATCAAACATATTCCAAATATCGCCAGAGGGTTGATGAATGGTAAATACAACTGTATTATTATTCTCTACTGCGTAAGCCTTAAGCAAGTTTATGATACTATAAGCTGTAAAGCTATCTAAACCAGATGTTGGCTCATCTAAAAATATACAAGAAGGATTACTTATCAGCTCATAGCCGATAGAAGTTCTTTTTCTTTCACCACCAGAAATACCTTTTGATAACAAAATATATTTATTTAAATGGTCTATGTTGATTAAAAATGTCTACCTTTGATGAATAATCCTCCTACGAAAGTGTTTTAGCATCTTTCAAGTCTAAGTTTTTTCAACATTTGAGCTACTTTTACTTCCTTTTCTACTTGAGTACCCTTACTTTTAAGATTAACTGCAAATTCAAAGCATTCTTTTACAGTCATACTTTCTAATAATATATCATCTTACATAACATAAGTGGCAAACTAAGCGAATTCATTTAAGTTATAGGGATTATGATTGGCCAAGACCTATCCCTCTAAAATTGAGTTTTTGTTTGATGATATTCTTTTCGATAATATATTTAACAAGGTGGTCTTTCCTGCGCCAGAAGATCCTAAATTTTACATTAAAACAAATAAATAAATGCCCATATAAAAGAAAAATGAATACCTAAGATAGCAGTAACTTAACCACTTTTGCAAATACCTGAGACACCTTTCAAAAGCTCTTTATTTCCTTACTTTGTTTTTATAGTGTACTTTATGTCTTGAAAGACAATATCCACAGAGCTTTTGGCTTAAGTCATTGGACTCTATGTATAGGTTCGTTCTTCAACGTCAACTTTCATTTACATTTTTTTAAAGAACTTTTTTATGACTTTTTAATTAGTATTAACTAATTTTTTAATTGGATTTATGATTTAATTGAAAATTATTAATTATTAAATTGTCTTTTATTGTATTTATAAATACAAACAATTATTTCTATTAACAACAAATTCTTCCTCTAAAATCCAAGAGATAATTAAAGTAATTAAATAAAAAAGTCAACTAAATTATAAACTGATTCTTAAATGTAAAAGAAGTGATTACTTAAATCAAGCAAAATCTAAAATAACTGCTTTTTAAACGTTAAACAAAGCCATTTTAAACCCTTAAAGTATTTAAAATAAAAAAACCTGGAAAGTTATGGAACAAACTAAGACTTTCTAAGCATGAGTAAGTATACATTTTTAGAGCTGTAGAGTATTTATAAAATCTGGTCTGTGTCAACAAAAGTTAAAAAAATAATTAGAAATGAATGTCTATAAATAAATTTTTAGTTATTAAAATCTTTCTTTTTTTTTCTTTTTTTCTTCTATTTACTTAATTACACAATTTCTAATAATTAATAATAAATTCAGATTAATAATTAATTTATTTAGATATTAATTTAAATTAAATCATAAATGAATTACACTTTTTTTCATATAGAAGAAAAAAATTACAACTCGTTCATTAATATTTAATTGCTTGATACATTTTTTAAAAATTCTGATTATTTTCTAGTTTGATTAACTTATTAATTATGATTATATTTTTCAGACACTTTAATAATATTTTAAAAATAAAAGAAAATAAGATGTTTTCTTTAAATGTTGCAAAAAATATTACTTTTATATGAACTTCGCACTAAAAAAAAGACTGTTGCACATAAAATATTTATTCTGTCTCTACTATACTAGATAAAAAACAAGCATTCAATTCAATATTACAAAATACTCAATTAAAAATATATGAAATTATAAAATCTTAATGTATTTCTGTATAAAAAATGTATGACTTTATATTTGATCTATTTACTATTAATTTCATAATTCTTCATACTTTCAAACAATAAAAACAAACTATTACATTTTGATTGATTTATAAAGGATTAATAAAATAAAATAAATTATTTGTATTTAAAACATTAAAAAAATAATAGATTGATAAACATATTCAAGGTTAGCACTGTTAGATGTAAAAAATGTAAAAATAGCCTTCCTATATGTATCTTAAATATTTAATATTATATTAGGGTAGAGCTATTAAAATAGAACAAAATAAGCCCATTATATATTATAATGCATTTAATTTTTGAGTAAATAAATGTGAAATATTAAAAAATTACTAACTAATAACACAACTAAAACATTACATATTAATACATTTAAAAGATATACTCGCTTTATTTTATCTAAATTATTTCCATATATTATTTCGCTACTGTATTAAAAACTCATAAAATCTAAGATTCTTTGAGGAGATTCCAAATTTTTAAAATAATATCTTCTAATACTTGAACTTATATTTTAATAAATCCTTCTTGAAGTCAGTTTTCTTAATCTTCCAAATCATTTTAATTCTAATTAAATCAATACTCAAAAGAGGAAGCTAACTTTTTTCTTTGCTTAAGATTAAAAATTTTTTAAAGTAAGAAAAAGGCCCTAGTATTATTATAAATTTCAAGATAAATACGAAAATACCAGCTGAATTCATAAAAAAGGAAAAAAACAGAAAACCTCATATTTTAAATATGATATCTCACATCTTATAAATTAAAAATTATCTTTGTCTCCTATTTTCTAAGGTTTTTGATATGGTCCTTAATAATAGTAATAGGGGAAAAAAAAATTTATAGTTTGTTACAAAAAAATTATTTTATTTTTCAAATTTCTTTTTCAAAAAAAATTTTTAAAGAAGTACGTACATTCAAAAAAATTAAAATTAAAATAAATTGAAACTATTTTAATAAAATATTAAAATTAAAGAAAATATTTAATTAGAACTAATAAGAAAAAATAAAAGAAAATATATATTTAAGATATATTTTTTATGATATTATTAATGAAATATCAAAAATATATTTATAATAGATTTATAAACAATTAAAAAAGGCTTCTGCTTAATTTTATAGCAGAGGTACATCTCTCTAATAAATTCAGATTAAAAAAACAAAATATTATTTACAATTTCCACACTGATTAGAAAAAATATCCAATCAGCAAATGGATATTCAAACAAAGGAACGGCTATATTATTTAAATATTTTATTTCTATTTTTTGAAGATTGATGTTAAAAATTATAATTAAAAAATTTCCTTTTTTTGTTGAATACATTTTTTACTTTTTCTAAAAAAATTATTAACTCCACAACACTCACTAATGTACACTTGCAAAAATAATAATAAATTTTGATCATAATTCACCCATATAATTTGCTATTATTGCTTTTATTTCAAACTTTTTTTTAATTTAACTTAAAATATCATTTGATTCCTTAAGAAAAAATAATTTATGAAAATTTTTATTTGCCATAAGTTAAATCTCAACATTTATAAATTGGTTAACTTAGATTTTTAAATTTAGTTTTAACTAATTTAAAATTTTATTTACTTTAAAATTATGAAACTTATAATTTAATAAATTGGTAAAAATAATATTTGATTTAATAATAAAAATAATTTTTATAATAGTTATTTGGTTATTTTGCTTGTTTATTTATTTTTGTTTCATTACAATTTTTTTTTCTAAAGTAGAAGGAATAAAAATGAAACAAAGGTGCAAATTGAAAAGCAGCCTATCAATCCTCCTACTGATTACCATTTTGACATATCAAAATTTAGTTAATGGATAGGGTCTTAGGGATAAGATGGGCCATCATAATCATATTCATTTAAACATAATGCTGCAAAACTATATTTGAAAGGGGAGAGATATTAAAACCAAGATATCCAACTAGCATAATCACTTCCATTTTTAACCAGTCCAGCAAATAGCATAAAAGGCTTTATTAAAACTGGAGCCAATGAAACAGCTACATTTGGATTATTAATTAATGAACCAGTTAAATATCCAAAAGCCTATCCAGATAAACTAGCCAATATTGCTACTAAAATAAAGAAAAACACTTTACCAGCATTATCGTCGTTCAAACCAATCATCCAATATGCTACTAGAGAAGTAATTATAGGAAAGATGATTGCAGGAACCATATCAACTAAATACTAACCAATAAAATAAGGAGCAGTAGTATACAATTTGGCATTTTCTTCTCTTAAAAATACAGGTCTCTAAATTGGGAATGTCAAAATGCAAAATTATAATTGCATCATGTAAATTGTAATTGAGAAGAAGAGTAGAATACCATTTTTATCATTTATATCTCTAATGGTAGGGTTTTCAGTAGGTCCTGGAATTTGCCAAAATACAGCGCCTAAGAATAGGCCTAGGACAATACTTTATATAACACGAGCTTTTGATAATATTCTGATTCTAGCTATAATCTTTGCTTATCTTTGTGCTATCAAAAAAGCTTAATAAAAAAATGAGGTTTTGGTTTGTTTTAATGGTAATAAGCCTTAATTTGCATTGTCTATTCTTTCATAAATAATTGGTTTTAACTTTTAATTGTATCCTTCAAAATACACTTGATAGTTTTCAACGTTTTATTATCTGCTAGAGTGCATGATTGAAATAAAATAGTCTATTTTTTAAAAATAAAATCCTTAATTTAAAATTTATAAAATAATTATCAATACCTGCAGGATTAGAGAATTTTGGGCAATTGAATCCTATTGAAGAAAAATGCTAAATAATATCAAGATTTCCTTTGCCTTAATAAATAAACCTTCCATCTACCAAAAGCATAATATTATCAAACATACTCCAAATATCTGAAGAAGGAGAGTGAATAGTAAATACTACAGTTTTATTTTTATTTTAAGCATATTATTTAAGAAGATGTATGATTCTATAAGCAGTGAAGCTATCTAATCCAGAAGTGGGCTCATCTAAAAATATACAAGCTGGATCACTGATTAATTCATACCCAATAGAAGTTCTTTTCTTTTCTCCTCCAGAAATACCTGTTTCATTAAAAATTTAAAAATTAAAAAAAAAAATATTAAAAAATTGAAAAGCTAACCTTTAACAAACTGTCCTCCAATCATAGTGTTTTAGCATCTCTCTAAATTTAGATTCTTGATAACTTCATTAACTTTTAATTCTTTTTATTCTGGGGTTCCTCCTATTCTAAGATTTGCAGCAAAAGTGATGCATTCTTTGACTGTCATAGTTTCTAGTAAAATATCATCTTACATAACATAAGAAGCAAACTAACTAAACTTATCTGAATCATAATCATGATTGTTAGCTTTAATTTCACCTGTTATTTATGAAGTTTTTGTGTTACTAACTCTTTAGCTTAGCACATTCAACAAAGTAGTTTTTCCTGCGCCAGAAGACCCTTTTCAAATTACATAATAAAATTATAAAACTGAGAATGTATAAAAAATATATTACCTAAAATAGCAGCGACTTCTCCGCTTTTACAAATTCCACTGACACCTTTTAATAATTATTTTTATTCTCCTTTTTTGGACACTACAGTATAAGTGAGGTCTTTAAAAGTTATATCAACATGGTAGTTTTTAACAATATCAATACTTTATATTTATTTCATTTTATTGTAGTTTAGATTTAATTTTATCTTTTAGAAATTAATAATTTTAATAATTTTAAATTTTTTATATTAAACAATGTCTGCATAATGTATTTTTTAAATACAAGTTAAACCTATTTTCTTCAAAGCAAAGTTGATTTAATAAAAATAGATTTCTATTGAATTTTGTAATTAAACTTTAATCATGACCAAATAAAAAAAATTTTTATTTTTTTAAGTTTTGTAAATTACTTTGCTAAATTTTCAAAAAGTGCTTAAATAAAGCTTTTCAATAAAATTATTATGATAACCTTGAATAAACTGGTATTTATAAATGATTTTATCAAAAATTTTTTTTTATTAAAACAATTTTATTTGTTAATTATTTAATTACTTATGTAAATCATCATTTTACAATCTGTATAATGCTGATAAATTCTGGCTTAAAAATCAATAATTTATTCCACTTATTTTCTGAGAAGTCTTAAATTTCCACTTATTCATTTCTAATTAATTTATAAAATAGAATGAAGGAATATATATAGATATTCATCATCATTATATTAAATATAGGACAAATACTCCTTCATCCTTCATTGAATTTATTTAGAAATGTTTTATATTTTTTTAATTTCCTATAAAAATTTATTTTTTAATCAAGCAATTTACATTTTTTGATATAATTATGTTATTATTTTGATAAAAATGAGTCAGTAATCTCTGATTAATATAAAAAATAAATATATAAATTTATTTTGCTTCTTCAGTTTACAAAAGTCAATTATGAGATTATAAATTTTTCAAAATAAATAAAAAAATAATTTTTTTAATTTGGATAAAAATATTTTTACATTTAGAATAAAATAAATGATTAATTTTTGAAAACTATTTTTTAGCTTAGTTTGAATAAAATTACTGATTATTTAATTACAAAAATTTTGCTATTTGAAGTAGAAATAATACTTAGAATAGATAATTACTTGATCAATATGTAACAAATAACATACCTTCTTGCGTAAATTTAATTAATAGAATTCATTGTACTCTTTTTTTCATTATTAGTAAAAATAGAAAAGAGACAAAAGTACAAATTGAAAAGCAGCCGATTAAACCTCCAACTGCTTGCCATTTAGACATATTAAAATCTAATTAATGAACTGGATCTTAAGGGTAGCCTGGACCATCATAATTATATTCATTTAGGCAAAGTGCAGTAAAACTATACTTGAAAGGGGATAGATATTAGAACCATGAAATCCAACTTGCATAATCACCTGTGTTCTTAAGTAACCCAGCAAAAAGTATAAATGGTTTAATCAAAACTGGAGCTAAAGAAACAGCTACATTTACATCACTGAATGCAGTACCAGCTAAATACCCATATGCTTAACCTGATATACTAGTCAATATAGCTATAAAAATAAAAAAGAAAACCTTTCCAGCATTATCATCATTCAATCCAATCATCCAATAAGAGACTAGAGAAGTAATTGTTGGGAAAACTATTGCAGGAATCATATCAACAATAAATTAGCCAACAAAGTATGGTCCTGCTGTATAAAATTTAGCATTTTCTTCTCGCAAAAATACTGCTCTCTAGATAGGGAAGGTTAGTATACAAAATTGTAACTACATCATATAAATAGCAACTGAGAAAAAAAGTAAAATTCCATTCTTATCATTAACATCTCTAATTGTTGGATTATCAGTTGGACCTGGTATTCTCAAAAAAACTAATCCTAAGAAGACTCCAAGTATAATACTTTAAGCCATTCTCGCTTTGGATAGAATACGGATCCTTTAGATAATTTTTATTTACCTTTTAGCAATGAGCATTACTTAGTAAAAAAATGATGTTTTTGCAGATTTTAGAGGTAATAAACCTTAATTTGTTTCAGAAATTCTGTAGTTAACAATAGGCTATAATTTCTTATCGTAACCTTCAAAATATAAAGGATAGTTTTAAACATTCTCTTACTTACTGGAATGCATTATTTGCATCATATAATCTATTTTATTATTAAATTTTATTAAATTTATTTCTTACTTTAAAGAAAAAAACCTGCTGGGTTGGAGTATTTAGGGCAATTAAATCCGATGGATGAGAAGTATTGCAAAATATTTTGCTTTCCCTTTCCTTAGTAAATAAATCTTCCTTCTACCAATAACATGATGTTATCAAACAAATTCCAAATATCAGAAGAAGGTGAGTGAATGGTAAAAACTACTGTTTTCTTTTTATTGTGTGAGAAATCTGATAAGAGATGGATAATCCTATATGCAGTAAAACTATCTAATCCCGAAGTAGGTTCATCCAAAAATATGCATGATGGATCACTAATCAATTCATAACCAATAGAAGTCCTTTTTCTTTCACCACCAGAAATACCTTAAATTAAAACTCTTAAAATATTTTGCTAATTTCCAATTAGATTTACCTTTAATAAACTATCCTCCAACAAATGTATTTTAACATTTTTCTAGATGAAGACTTCTGATTATTTCTAATACTTTCTCTTCTTTTTGCAAAGGAGTTCCACTAGTCCTTAAGTTAGCAGCAAATGTCAAGCATTCCTTTACTGTCATTGTTTCAAGTAAGACATCGTCTTACATAACATAAGAGGCAAATTGACTGAATTAATCTGCATCATATTGATTGTTATTAGCATGAATCTCACCACTAAGATGATTTTTCCTTGTGTTAGATATTCTCTAACTAAGAACATTTAAAAGGGTTGTTTTTCCTGCACCAGAAGATCCTATATTAATAAGTTTAATTCAATATATAAATTTAAACAATTGATACAATTACCTAAAATAGCTGTAACCTCTCCACTTTTGCAAATACCACTGACTCCTCTAAGTAGATCTTTTTTAGATCCATCTTTAAGTGTTACTGTGTAAGTGATATTTTTAAAAGTAATATCAACATGACGATTTTCTTAGATTATGTCAATATTCTTAGTTTAGATCATCTGATTGTGTTTTTTAAGATTAGTACTATTTAGTATTTTATTTTTTATATGAATTTTATATTTATTATTTTAATTATTTTTCATTTTACAAAAAAATATGCACTATTTAAAGGGCTCTGATTAGAATTAAAGGGAATTTTATTAAATTAATATGTTTTTAATCATAGATTAATGCTCTTCATTGATACTACAACTTTAAAATATAATAAAGTTAAAGTTTATAATAAACTGGAGTCAATTATGAATTATTACCTACGCAAAGTAGAATGTAGTAATTGATAACTACAGATTGTTAAAATATTTTAAATTCTGTACCAGTAAATAGCTTAAAAAAATTATAACTTAAAATCAAAAAAATGTAAGTTCTTAGCAACTAAATAGTTAGATATTTTGTAAACCTTTTTGATAGAGTGTATCAAATCAATAAATTCTGAAAACTAAAATAAATAAACATATTTTTATTATGAAAATATAATTTATGGAGTAATAAATGCATGTAAAAATATTTTTTGAATTTAACAATATAATAGAAATTTTAGCTTGTATTGCCCATGTATTCATTCCTAAGTTGTCTTTTTTTATCCATTATAAATAGTATAATGTACTTTAATTTATAAAAAAATAACTATTAGTATTTGCTATTAAAATATTTCATAAATAATTTTAAAATTACTGCTTTTAATTTAAATATGTAAATAAAGAACAATATACAAATAATTTTATGTAAGAAAATGTTTTATTTGTTTAAAAAGTCTTAAATACTTTTAAACTGCTTGGACTCTTTATTAGTTTCCTTTTTTCTTTTCTAATTAAAAATTAATACTTAGTAAAGTTATTTATCAGGTCTTACAATTTCAACTAATATTTTTTTAGTTTTTTATAATAAAATATTTTACAATTTTCAACTTTAATATTTTTTTATATCAAAAAATAAAATAATAAACAAAATCAGCTCATTTTTATATAATTATTGAGCATTTTATGAACCTCTTAGAGTAATTTTTTTGTTTATCATTTATACCACACCAATAAATTCTGAATATTATTTTCATATTTATATTAATTTACTACTTTCACAAAAGAATGAGTGATTTTCAAAATTTAATAGACTGAAAAATAATAACTTTGATATTATTTAGATTAGTATTTATTTAAGAGAGCTATGAGAAAAGGTATATAATTCAGTCTGCTTAACTAGATATTTTATAAAATACTTAAATAATATTTTAAATTAATATGAAATAAAGCACAATTAAAATTTATTTTACTAAAGATTCATAAATTTATTTGAAAGTATTTACATTACCACTCTTATTATTGTAAATATAGGGATTAAATATTTTGTTCAAATTTACTATCAATTCAGTAAATTAAGTAATGCTTGAATTTTTCTTCTATTTCAATATTCAAATTAAGGATAAAGAAAGTACTTTGAATTCTAATTTTAAAATACACTACAGAAGTTTTATAAAAATTGTATAATAAAACATTTTTAATTTTTATAGATTCATCAATTTTGCGAAGAGCTGACCAATTTAATTTATATTTTTACTTTTTATTATCATTACTTTAAATTTTTTATAAAGTAAAGATGTAAGAATAACTTTTAGTTTTTATAAATACCCAATAAATTCTGAGTTATAATTAAATTTTTAATTATTTCAAATAATCTTTAAGTATAGGATCAAATTACATTCTATAAAATAAATACCAAAACAATAGGGATATATTTATTTCACATATCAGATTCATTTGAAGAGCAACATTTTTTAATTCTCGTTATGTAAAAATTATTTTGAGCTTACTAACATTAAATCAGTTGTTTTAATTTGATAAAACTAATATATAAGTATTTATTACAATGAAATACAAAATGAAATAAATTAATACTGCTTATTTATTTATATGTAATAAATAAAATATGTTAAATTTTCTACTTAATTACAGAAATTTATTATTTGTTACTACTTCAAAATTTAAAAAGCAACTAATGTTTGTTTATTAATATTCTTCTATTTTCATAAATATTATGTTTATTTACAATTATTATATCTAATAAAATAAATCTAAATTAATTACAAAAGTCTTTTAAAATTTCTCAATAATTATTATTTTTAAATATGATTCACATTTTAATTGAATTTATTAATATTCAAGTAATTAAAAATTAGCAACTTAACTCTTTGTATTGTCAAGAGGGTATACATAAATATCAATGTTAAGATTGTATGACTAATATTTTCAAAAGAGACGCTTTTCCAACTCCTTACAATCTTCTATGGTATAAATAATTCGATCAATATAAACTAAATAAAAAAACCCAAAAAAAAAGTAACTACTTCTCTTTTACAGGTATCTCTCCCTTTAAAATTTCTTCATTTTTTTTGCATTCATATTAAATTTTTTGAGTTAATATCAATTTATTTTCCTTATTTTGAAAATAAAATTGAAAGAAATTATTAAATTTTAAAAAATATAATTTACATAATTAGTAAAACTTTAAATTAAATAAAATATATTTTATGAAATTTAAGATAAAAATTGACATTCAAAAAATATAATTAATTCATCAAAAAAAAAAATTACCAAAAATCTAAAAATAAATTAAAATTCCATAAAAATTATTTCATTCAAAAAATATTTAGTCAGATTTTATTTAATTTGTTTAAAACATTTGAAGGAAATAATTAGATGGAAATTTATATTTAGTTAAAATCATACTTAGTAAATTAATATTAGAAAAAAATTTATAAAGTGTAAACAAGAAATATTTATAATTAATATATAATATTTAATATTTTTATTATTCATAAGGCAGAATTTTTTTTAGGTTAATGAGAATATGATTTATTTGTAAAGCAAAAACATGATTTTTTAATAATAGTAATCATTTTTTACTATTGATTATTTTTTGTGAAAGTGAAAAAGTATAAATATGGTAAATATTTTGGCTAATGTTTTATAAAGAAACGAATACAGACAGTATTAACCTTCATTAAAGCCTTTTTTTAAGAATTAATAAAAATATGAAAGACAATATGAGAGCTACAACTACTATTCCAACTAAGCAATAGATAGCGTCTTATGTTGACATGGTAAAATTTAACTGTTTAACTGGATCTTAAATGTAGCCTTAGCCTTCATAATTATACTCATTCCTAACAACTGCTATAAATCCATATTTTATAGGAGAAATATATTAAATCCAACCTATCCATGAGGCATAATCTGAAGCATTTTTATATAATCCTGCAAATAGCATAAAAGGCATTAAAACAAGAGGAGCTAAAGAAGTTGCTACTTTAGCATCACTAAATGCTGAGCCACCAAGATAACCAAATGCAAGACCTGCTAAACTCATAAGTACCATTACAAAAATAAATGTCAATACTCTGAGAGCTTCTTCGTCATTGAAGCCAACCATCCAATATAAAATCAAAGAACTTATTATTGGAAATATTATTGCAGGAATGATATCTACGATAATTCTACCCAAAAAATAAGTAAAAACTGTATAAAGCTTTTAATTTTCTTCTCTTAAAAATACATTTCTTTAAGAAGGAAATGTCAATATACTTGGATTAAGCTACAGCATAAAACTTAAAATTATGCATAAAAACAAAACACCATTTCTATCTTAAACATCTCTTTGAGATAGATTATCGTTAGGACCTGGCATTCTTAAAAAAACTAATCCAATAAACAAAGCAGTAATTATAGCTTATGCCAATCTTGCTCTCGATAGAATGGGATTTCTTTTTATAATCTTAAATTATCTTTCCGCTAACACCTTTATCTAATAAAGAATACTATTTTAGACACTATTATGTGGTAGAATTTCAACAGAAGTATTTTTTATTTCTTTTATTGCTTACTGCTCTAATTTATTCTTATAGCCTTAGAAATACTTTTCATAGTTTTTAACATTAACTTCACTTCCACCATGCATTATTGACATCAAATAATCTTTTTAATAAAAAATTAATTTAATTTTCAATTAATTAAACAGCTTACAATAAATTATATACCTGAAGGGTTGGATTTAATAGGGCAACTAAAACCAATACTGGAGAAATGGTTTATAATATTTTATTTTCCATCACCTTAATAAATAAATTATCCATCTACCATGAGTATTATATGGTCAAACAAATTCCAAATATCAGTAGAGGGTTAATGAATAGTGAATGTTACAGTTTTATCATTGTTATGAGCATAATTAGAAAGTAAATGAATTATGCTGTAAGCAGTAAAACTGTCTAATCCTGAAGTGGGCTCATCTAAGAAGATACATGAGGGATTGCTTATCAATTCATAACCTATAGAAGTTCTTTTTTTTTCTCCTCCGGAAATACCTTTCACAAACAAACCTCCAATAAACGTATTTTGACATTTTTCCAGTCTCAACTCCCTAATCATTTCATCAACTTTTTAGTTTTTCTCTTCAGCAGTACCTTTTGTCTTTAGATTAGCTGCAAATTGAAAGCACTCTTTTACTGTCATGGTTTCGAGGAGTATATCATCTTACATTACATATGCTGCGAATGTAGAAAATTTATCACTATCATAGGGCTAAGAGTTAGCCAATATTTCTCCTTCAAGTGTTTGATTTTTAGCATTAACTGCTCTTTAGCATAAGACATTTAGCAAAGTGGTTTTTCCAGCTCCAGAAGAACCTAATAGTTTAATTAATAATTTAAAATATTTTTTCATTTATTATTATCTAATTACCTAATATTGCATTTATTTTTCCACTCTTGCATATTCCCGAGACTCCTTTAAGGAGCTATTTAGGACCTTTTGATGTTTTTACTGTGTATTTAATATCTTTGAAAGTGATATTAACTTTGGTAGCAATAGGTAGCTAATTTTGAGGAGCTATGATAGGACTTAATTTTTTATTGATTTAGGACATCTTTTTTGGTATTTTATATTAAAATTTTATAAATTTAATTTTTTATAATTCATATAAATAAAATATACACACTTTTTAAACAAGAGACTTTAATTTACATTACTATATTCCTCCCCTAGAATAGATGAAAAATTATGTTATCTATCTTTAAAAATAAAAAGTAAAATAAATAGGCTCTTATGATTAAATAAAATATTTCATACCATTAGTTAAAACGTACATAATTTTAGGATTCAGATCAGCTATTTTATTCTATAATACGCTAAATACTTCTGCTCATAAATTGATTTTATTTTTTTATTGTGTAATGTCTTGTAAATTATTGCAATATACTGATAAAATCTAATTAAAAGCAGAAATTATAATTAATTAAAAGAAAAATATGAAAGAAAAATTTTAATTTTATAATTGTCAATCTATTACTTATTTTAGATTTAAAATGAAATTCAATATAAAAATAAAAGGTTTTTTTCTAAAAATTTTTAAATATTAAAGTAAATAAATATATTTTATAATTTCTTACAATCATCTAAAATTTCTAATTACTATTTAAAACATTTTTTAAGATAAAAAACTCTTCAAAATATATTGTTTATATTGATTGATGATTTCATTATCTTTGCGATCAGAATTAGTTAGAAATTTACTTTGCAAAAGGACTTGTTATATTATTTTGAAGATATTAAAAGTAATCTTAAAAAAGCTGTGAATAAGAATTAAATTATTCATTAACAAATATTAAAACATTTATAATAATAAAGATAAATTATATAATTCAAAACCTCTAAAAGCAAATTAATTATAAGCTATGAATCTTATATTCCATTTTTATTAGTTTTAATGCTAAATTATTTATGCTATTTATTATCAAAAATTTGCTATTCACAAGGATTTATAGCATTACAAAAAATTTAGAAAGTTTTTCTGTTCATATAAATGAAAAATAAACATTTTATATAAATTAATTTTATAAATTTAAATGAAAAAAAAATTTTTTATTATAAAAACATTAAATACTCATCTGATTTTAAAAAGATTTGATAAATTCTTATTTAAAAAAACAATAAATATATATTGATGCCTTATAAACATTTTTTATCTATAATATTAATAAAAATTAACATGTTTAGGTATAAGAAATCAGCAATATTCAAAACTAAAAATAACTCTACTTAAAAATTTTCAAAATAATTTTTTATTAATTATAATTTTTTATTTTTTGATTTTTAAAAAATTGTGAGATTTTTATATTTTCAAGTAAATTCAATATTATATTTAAAGATAAATGGAATTGCAAAAAATTAAATTTAAATCATCATTATTTATTCAAAAAAAAAAGGAAATATGGTTAACAATAAGAAAAAAAAAAATTATGAAAAATTAAGTGTTTCTTCATAATAACTAAACATAAAAAAATTGAAAGAGTTAAATTCAATTTTATATTTCGTTTGTTTATTCTAACTCTATTAATTTATTTTCTTATTTATCTTCTTTTATTTTAGAGAAGGAAGATAATTTGTGTTGTGGAATAATTTGGTCTATTACAAGATTAGTAGGAAAGCTAATTTTTCTTGCCTATTTAAGATTAATTAATTAATTTTGGTTTGCTTTGTTAATTAATATTCCAGTTTTACGAGGAGATTATTTTTAAGTGGAATTGATATTTAGTTAATTAGTATCATTACTTCCTTTAGACTAAACTGATGTTTTTGAATTTTATGATAATTTAATAATTTAATTAGAATTAGTAAATATATCTGATCTTTTACTTCTGCTTGATGTATTTGTGATAATATTAGACTAATAATTTTAATTGACTAGTTTAGATTTTGTTTGCTATTTACTTAATAGTGTTGGACTTTCTAAATTTTTAACTGAAAAAAATGATATGAAGTAAATTAATAAGTAAAATAAATTAAATTACAGCTAAAGATTTAAACTGTATTGCAGATTTCTTTTTTGTCATAATCTTTGGATGTAGATTAGCTATGTTCTATATTTGCTAGAGATTTAATATTATTTTAAGTTGCTGCTTCAATGATGTGGCTATCCTTAAGTTTCTTTTGATCTTTAAAGTTAACAAATTTATATATGCACATCTTTAATTTTTTCCAGTTTCTAAACACTCTATATGGGTCAGAAGGCTTGAATTTAACAGAAGAAAAAAGATTAGGAAAGTAAAATTTAAGTTTATAGATGAATTTTTAGAAGTAATTCATCTTGCTATAAGAATAAGGGAGTGGTTAAAGGAAGATTAGTTTGAGCATAAATAGCAAGAAACTTAAATTGCTAATTAATATAAAAAAGCTGATAATTAAAATATAAAAATCTTCAGTGTTAGTATAGTCATTAATAGGAAGGATAAGGAAACCAGTAAATATAAGTGTTATAGTTGAGTATTTTTCAGCTTGATTTAATACTTTAGAAACAAATGGTTAGATGATATAGATGAGTTAATTGTAGGCTAAAACAAGAGTTGCAACTAGAATAATTTTTATTGTTTATTATTCATAGAAAATCATTAAGGTGGAAATAATAGTGAATTTTAAAAAGATTTTAACAAATTCCCAATAATAACAACTTCTTTTATATTCTTGGTATATAAAACCAAATTGAAATTTCATTCTTATTTAATCTAAATACTCTCTATTTGATTTTAGTTTAAAGAAAAAGTAAATTGGTATAAATAAAGCCCATAGTAAGCAAACTGGAAAAAGAAAAGTGAACAGATAGAGCTTGTGTTCGCTATTAAAACAAGTTAAATTGCTCATTCCAACTATATATTAAATCTCATCAATTTGGGCACATGCCATATAAGAAAGGATTCTATTTAATATAGAAGGAGCAAAAAAAAAGTATAGGAAAATAAGACATGTAACCATTTTTATTTTGAAAGCTCTAACCATTTTTTAGATTTTTGATTTAGGTTTAATATTCTAAGAAATCATGTTAATTTCCTCATTTTCCTTTATAAAATAAAAAATCAATCCCTTAGTATATCTTAGGAGAATATAAATAGTTCTAATTAAAGTTATTAAAGCAAAGAGAATAAAAGGGTTTAATATCGAAAGAAGGCTTATATTAACATAAGTAGGAAGGTTTGTAAAATCAGAAGACAGACAATCAATATTAGCTGATACTATGCTGTTGGGATCACCACCAAATAACTCAGCTGACTATGAAAAGAATCTTGGAATGGGAATATTCAATTAGCTGAAGAGAGCTAAAATCTGTAAATGGTTAATAAGCAGTTTAGTATAAACTGCATTTAGATTTGTAAATTCGCTTATACCCATAGGAATAATTTTTGCTTTTCTTAAGTAATATGCGATACAACTTTTTTTAGCATATTTTCTCTGTAAAGAAAGCTAATATAATATGTAGATAATCAATATTATAATTAAGATTACCAAAATAACTATATTAAAAGAATTAAATGAATCTCTACAACTTCTGCAATTAGATGTGTTAAATCTACCAAACTTTTATCCCCAAACAGACCCTTTATAATCACATTCTTTACAAAAAACACCGATATAACCTTCTGCACATATTTTTTCAGGATCTGAGTAGAGCTATGCTTAACAATTCTTTGAATTATAATTACAATAAAAAATTTAATCTGAGCCTATATTTTTCCAATACTCATTTTTTAATTTAATAACATCTCTTTCACAAAACTCTGCAGACTCTGGGCATAGCTTACAAGTAAAATTTTTTTTCTTTTAAATATCTTTAATAGTTATATTTTCCAAGCTATATTTACCTATATATGATAAATTATTTAAATTATATTTAGAAAAATTATATTAATTTTTTAACATTTTTATTTTTAAATTTAAAAAAGTATAAAAAATTAAGTAATGTTGTTTAAATTAATTTATATTAGCAGTAAATATGAATATATTTAAAATGAAATTAATTTTCTTATTAAAACTAATAAATTATTACCACTTGGGCATGGACTACACAGAGTTAAGTTTTATTCTTCTTGATAAATAGGAACTTCTCCTCTCTAACAGATTGTAAAATTTATTTTTATAGAAACTTATAAAGGACTGTAGGGTACCTGTGAGTTGTTTTACATCACATAAGGATATAAATTTAATGTCTCTATACTTAAAATTTCCTCATTCTAAATTACTCCAATTAAAGTTATATTTAGTAAAAAAATTGGTTTTTCTATTTCAAAATTGTAAGTGCTTTTTCCAACTATCTTTACTTTGTTTTTATTCTTTTACATATTAAAGAATAATTAATAGCTTTTAAATTCTTGATAAATATAATCACTGAAAGCAAAATTATTTTGAGTCACGTTCACATTAGATGGGTTTTTTACAATTTAACCAGCTTCATCTAACAAAGCTATTTAAATAGGTTATTTGAGATTATATCCACTAGTGTGCTATATTGTAGGTATTTATATTATTTTTAAATTTTTATCCACGAATACCATCTTTTATGGAAAAGAAGTAACAGTAGAACCGTATAAAGTAGAAGTATTATTTAAAAATTTATTTTGTTAAATCATTAAAGGAATTTTAAAAGTATCATATTAATCTACTATTCTTATAGATGCGCCAACTGCAGCTTTATTTTTAGTAAAATTATTATTTCTAATGCTTTTTATTAAATTAGATTGTGAAATAAAAATAGCCCCACCAGATTCGGCAGCTGCGTTATTGTTAGTGAACTCACAATTAATAATAACATCTATTACTGACTGAGTAATGTATATTGCTCCACCAGATCCTTATAAGGATTTGTTTGAAAGAAAAACACTATTTATAATTTAAATTAGTTGAACCTGATAAAATAATACTCCTCCTGCATTATGTGTAGCAGTATTACCCTCAAATTTACTATTTTAAATAATAGAAAGTATTCCATTTTAAAGACAAATACCAGCAATACTCCTTGATTTGCACTAAAAAAAGGTTAAACTATCTCCAAAAAAATTATTAAAATTAAACACATTTATAATTCCTACTGGAAGAGCTGCAAAATCATTAAATAATATATTTTATGAGTAATCAATGTATTGGTTTCCATTTTATTAATTAATAAGATTATAAAAAATGGAATTGGTTATTTTTATAATAAAAGAATGAACAATTATGTAAGATTTTTAGTTAAAACTACTTTTTAATTTGATTTTATCTATGTTTACGACATTATTTTAAAGTGATATAGTTCGACTAACTCTTAACTCTTGTGAATCTAGAAATATAATGTTATTGTTGTTTTAAAATAATGAATCAAATATCCATAAATTTTCAATATTTTGAGCCTTTATTATAACTGCTAATCTCTATTCAGCTTAGAAAATCTGATTGAAGTTTGTGTTATTAAATAAAACTTACTTAGTTTAAAGCACACTTACAAAAATCAAAAAATTTTGTTGTATTTGCATATTCTATATTTAAAAGTCTTCTATGAGTATATTATTAATTTTATGGAAACAAATTAATGAACGAGCTATGAAAGGTTGTAAATTATATAACTCAAAGTTGTCACTAGAATATTCTTCATATACATTTTCACTTTCATCAAAGGAGCTTAGATTTGTAAATTATTCGAACACATTATTATCATCAAACGGTTCTCTTCTTAGTTATTCATCTAATCTAGTATAAAATTCAGCTTAGTTTAGTTAAATTGAGCTAATTTAAAAATTTTAACAGTTTTAAACTAATAAAATCCTTGCAATATTAAAAAAATTATTTTATTATATATTAATATTTTATATTGTGATTGTTTATGAATTATAAAACGAAAATATATAACTAGCTATTCCTTCATCCACAATCTAGAGATGGTAAACTGTTGGCTAAGAAATCTTTCTTTAGGGAGGAGTAGATGTTTTATTTTGAATCGAATAATCAATAACATTGAATTAATCATGATTAAATATTAAATCCTAATTTATTGAGAAAAAAGAAATAAATTTGTAAACTGGGATATCTGGTGTTAAGGAAGTTAAGTTTTGAGAATTTCTTATAAAGTAATAATCATTTTAGCTTTATGATTAGTTATTTAATACTTCGAATAATTCATTGAAAGGTGTAGAAAGAAAACAATTGTTCATAGTAAAATTGATTATCTTTATTTCAGTTGAGTTTTGAAAGCTAAATAGTGTTGAATAATCTATTGATGAAATATTGCTTACTGTGATATTAGATAAAATAACTTTACTGATATTTTGAAATAAAAATATAGGAACTTGCATTTAATTATTTATCAATTTAATATCTTTAATTACTAAATCTTTAATTGAAACAAAATTCAAATTAGCAAAGATAAAAGAATTATCAATTAATTCATCTTAGCCACTAATAGTTATTTTTTCTAAGAAGGCTGTTTTCAAGTATTTGCTTTTTAATCCATCCAATATTAATTTTCCATTTCCACTAAACGAAACATTCAAATTATATATTTAAAATATAGATATTGGCCCAAAATCAATATCTTAAGAAAGGAAAACACGATCATTATCTTTAAATTTGGTACCTTAAGTAAATGAAACATAAATTCCACTAGGACTGATATATTTTGTATCTAGCTCAGGAATATTAAGAAAAGTATTAGGATTAACTCTAATAACTAGATCTTCTACACTTATTTAAGATTATTTATAAATTTTTTCAATTTAATTATTCCAATACGCTGAATCAGACATTTCTAAAGATTCCTTAAACTCAAAAACACAAGTTTATTCATCATCGGAAATTTGCTATATCATAGATCTTAAGCTAAAAAAATCAAAGCTGTTATTAATAGAAATTCTCTCTCCATACCTAATCATATCAAGATAGAAATATTATATATCAGCTAAATTAAATGTTTCCATCGATGTTACTTCAAAATTTTTTACCAATAATGTCTGTACAGTAATCAAGGGAGCTATTATATTCTTAGGATCTAGAGAAAGTATTTTGATAGAATTTGTTAAAGTTATTATGAAAAAATTATCTTGATATAAATAGTCCTATTGAATCAAAGTTATATCCTTGATTGTTGAGTCTCTTAAAAATTCATTATAGTTAGATACAATTTTTAAATACGTTTAGTTATAAAATTTTTGGTAAACATTAATTGAGCTATATGAATATATAAGTAAATAATTAAAACAGTCTAATACATTAGCTTTCCCATAAGAAGGTTTATGCAAATTTGAATAAATCATTTAATTACTATCAATTGAATATTATTAAATGATAACATCATTAGTTGTTGATATCAATATTAAATTTTATTTAATATCTATGAACAACTCCTCAATATCATCATTAGTTTGAAACTTTTGGATTTATTATGTAAAAAATTTAGAACTATCAATATCAAAAATATGGTCCATACTTAGCAAAAAAAAATAATTTTAACATTAGATAATTATTTTATTATTTTTTTCCAGTATTTCAGCATCTTAAATATTAATATATTAAGTGATTTTACTAAGTGTATTAATTTCACTTAGCTATTATAATTCAAATATAATATATTTTGACTATGAGATGTCAGCTATGATGCATTTGTTATTTTTATCTACAGCAATTAAATATGACTGAGAAGGATATGATAAGTAGAATTATATTAAAAAATTATTAGCTGTTAACAAAGCTCGAGAAGTGTTTTAATCAGCATCAAAAATCTTAATTTTGAAGTTATTATGGCAAAATATAATTAATTACTTTGGATTTTTATCATTTTTAATTACCCATTCCGATTAAAATAGATCGTTATCAGGATCTTTATAAAAATTAACTAACTATATTTATGAGATGTTTTTATCATATTAAACTCTTGCTATCAGGTTATTCATAATTAATAAAAAATCAATAATATCTGATTAAGAATTTATTAGAGAAAAATCAACGTTTTGGAGGAAAGGATAGTTTGAAATTTTAGTAAAATCAATAATTGACTTGCTAATAGGAAGTTATCTTTCATCATAAGCTATCAATAAATTTTACTGAATATCCATTTAAAAGTATATGAATCCAAGCAATAAAGAATAGCTTTTAACATAGTCAGGAAAAGGAAGTATTATATTTTATTGATATACTAAATCTAAATTTATCTGTTCATAAAAGTATTCTTCAAAGCATTTAATCAAATTTGTACTTCTTTCATATTTAATTTTAGTTATTCTATTTTGCAAGACTATTGTGTATATCTTTTTACTACGTAGTGTGTCAACTATAAATATTTATTTTGACAAACCAATAATTAAAATGCTTCTTTTTTTATCAAATATAAATATATAGTTTGGATATTGATCATTTGCATTTACCGAAAGAGAAATAGTATAGTCTATCGTCTAATTTAATTAAATAAACTAAAACAAATAAAATGAATTAAATTAAGATATACTTTTAATATCGTTGCACTTGAAGAGTATTTTATCATTTTAAATCCTTATATGTTGTATTGATCATCAACATAAATTAAAGTTTCTTATTTATCATCAATATCAATCATTTTGATTAATGTCTATTTTAGCTTAAACTATCTTTTGAGTTAAAACTACCCATATTATATGCAATACACAAACAACATATTAGAATTCAAAGCTGGAATATGAATACATCCATGTATTTCATCAAAAACAGCCTAATTATTTATTAAAATTAATACATATTAAAAATTGATTAAATAATTAATTAATATACATCTAGTTGTTTCTTAATGTAAGTATTTTTAATTTTAGTTAATTCTATATCATTTATATTAATATACCTAATAAATATCAACTAGCTATTAGTATCTAGAATTACACAAGTTAGAGTTTTTTCAAAGCACTTTATGCTCTCAAAAATTGAATCATATGTTTTCTTAAATAAGACTTTACCTTAATATTAGATACTATATACATCAATTTAGTTATAATAAATATTAATAACGCTATTGAAGGTCTTCATTATGAGAAGCAAATTAACTTTACTATTTAATGCATCATAAGATTAAGTAGGTTTAATACACCATTTATTTGTAAGTGTCTAATAAATAATATTTATTTGATTATTACAAATATCTAAAAAATGTTTACCTTTATATCAAAAAGACATATTAATGATTTCAAATCTTCATAAATCAAAACATTCTAGAAATCTCCATCAGATCTTATGTCATATTTATTTGAATATAGCAGCTATTTAATAATCTATATTATAAATGTTTTATTTAAAAAAAATATATTTATTGAATAAATATAAAAACTTTGTATTAATTAATTTGGTCAAGTATGAGAATTTATCCATATACAGCTACAATTATCTTTTTGCATTCTTTGTTATAAAATATTTTTTACATCTCACTTAATTCACCATAATTTCTAATATTTATTTGCTAAAGAATTTATGAACTTTTATTCTCAATGACTACTAATTTATTTTAGTTAACATATACAAATATATTTAGTTCATTAATGTATTAGATTAAAGTAGTATTTGAAACATAGTAATCCAGTTCGTATGTTCCTGGGTATGCTTATGAAATTTAAATGCTACTGTTTGGATTGAATAGAAAAGAAATTTCTCCTAAATAGTTCTAAAATGCAAAATATCTCTAAGAAGGCTAAGAGAAAGAGCTGACTATTTCTTCAGAGGTATAGTTTTCTAACATCTTAAATAATATTTAAAATTTAAGTGAATCAAATAAATTTTTTACATTTGTTATTATATCCCAATTAATTATTAATGTTGATGTTTAAAGAGAAAATAAATCGATTCCCTAATTTTCATATATCAAAAGTGCTTGTTCTTAATTAACTAAAAAAAAGTCTAAAACAGTTTTTGAAACAGTTATTTCGCTTTAACTAAAGTTTTGACAATCAAACACTTTAATATTAATATAATCTTCAATATATCCTAAAATACGTCCGTTTATCCAACTAAAATTAGATAAATTTAATGTCCTTTATTTACTTATATTCTATTTTTATAAAAATATATCAAGTAATAAAAATAAATGGAAATATTGGTTATTTAAAATGATTAATTATTGATTTTTATCAAACATCTATTTGAAATTTAAAAATTTAATTACGTAAAGCTTCTAATATTTACCAATATCATATATTATAGCTTCTTTTTATCCCAATACAAATATACAGGTAGGAAATATATCAGCACTTATTTACTTTATAAGGAATTAAGTTTAAATTTTAAGTTATGCTTCACAGTTTTCTGTGTTCAATTCATACAAATAGCTATCTTCAAAAAAAATAATCTTACTATTTTGATTTTTAAAGAAATAATTATTGCTGTATGGAACATTAGAAGTGTGAATATAGCTGCAAACCTATATTTATTATAATTATAAAAATTTATCTTTTTTCTTAAAAATTTTACTTATTATAATTAATAGGTTTTAAGTATTAAATTCTATTGCTATCTTAAAAATATAATTTCTGAACTCATATAAACTTTAAGGTAATCGTATTGTTAAGTTAGCTAATTCAAATCTGTTTCTGAATAAATTTATATTTGATCTGTTTCTAATAAAAGAATTATTAATATCTAATAATTTATACTTAAAATATACCATTTGCATTTATTACATAGCTTTATAGGCGAATAGCAGAAAAAGACCTTTAAAATATTAATATTCTTAATTCCATGGTATCGAAGCATATTTCAATTAAATCACTATCCTAAATACTAGCTATTTACTGTTCTTTTTTGGGTAAGAGTGTTTAAGAGTCAATAGCAATAAGTTAAATAGATTTTGAATCAACAAGAACAATAAAGATATCTCCGATTTAATCAAATAGAGTATGTTTGAATTATTTCACATTTTATGGTTTATATTAAAGCGAAATGCTATTTAAAAAGTAGTTAGTCTCTAATTCAAAAACTATGAAATAGCCTTGTTAGCAAAACTATGTAAGTAAACTCCTGTCTTAATTGTAAATAAAAGCATTCTATATAAATTGATTTCCTTTATTTAAACTTAACTCTTCATTTTTTTGTAATTGAAATTAAGAATCAATTTATTAAATATCTTCTTAAGTAAAATTTTTTTGTTTTAACTTGAGAATGCACTATTAGAAAAATCTGTTTTTATTTGGAGTAATAACAGATATTTTAAATTGTTGATAAGGTATTAAAATGAATTAAAATTAACCAGAATCCTATTAAAATGGACCAACTAAGATATTCTGCACATTAATTTCATCATAATCTACTAATTATTAGCTAATTATTATCTAATAATAGTTTTATTTCATGTCATATATTTCAAGTTTTCTTAAGTCTGTTATTACCATTAAATATCTATTATAAATTATTTTTAGGTCATAACATACAATTTAAAAACTTGATATAATTTAACCTGATTAATCAAGTAAAAAAAAATAAAGATTATTTTGATCTCTAACATAAATCTGTTGTATAAATAAATTTACTAAGTCAACAAATTAATTTTTTATAAAAAATTACCCAATCTGAAATTTGTATGGAAACATATCTATTATACTTCTAGAGATCAGTAGTTATGTTTTGTAAAAGGTTTATAGAAATTCCAGAAATAATATTATCTTCATCTAATTCAAAAATCAATTAGTAGATAACAACCACTCCTTATTAATCAGTAGCAACAAGCAGGTTCTCTGTTAATTAAATGCTGTTGAATGTAAAGCTTTAATTTGAGGAAACTTAAATAATTTAATCGACCTTAACAAATAATAGTAAGTTTTGATTCAATAAAACAAATATCCCTGGATATTTGCAGTGCCACATATCAATTATTTATGTGTATTACTAATCTAAATAAAAATTTTATCATAAATAATTAAAAAATAACAATAAAATACTCAAAGACTAGATTGTCATTTTTTTACTAACAAAATCATATATCTATATATAACCATCTCTTATTATTTGGTATAAATAAAGATTTTACCAAATATTCTATACTTTAACTCCTTAATTCTTTTCTAAAACCTAATTGAGGATAATTTCTAAGTTTTCAAGTGCATAGAATATAATTTAAGAAGAAGTGAGACAACCAATTACAAATTTTTATTTATCCAAGATAAACCATTTGATAACCTAAATAAATTTTTTAGCTAAAAATACTAAAATATTTAAAATAGAATTACTTTGGAATTAACTTATATCTAAGCTTCAAATTTAAACAGCAATGAAGGGAATTCGTAAATTGCAATATACCCGTCTTCATAAAAGGAATATATTTGTTAATTTTATTCTTAGTTAAAATCAAAAGATTGTTATTATTTTGAAAGCAAAAAAAAAATTCAGTTTAATTAATACCTACTAGAAGTGCAAACTAGATTTTTTTACTGGAGCAAAAATCAGTTAGACTATCGTAACTAGGGCAATATGACTTTAGCTAGCAAGTATTCTATTAAAAATTTTTAAAAACTGTAGATGAGCAACTACTATTACATTTACCGTCATCAAAATAATATCCATAACTGCAAGTATTTACACACTTTTTATTTAAAAATCAATTACATAATATGTTAAATATCTTTATGCAAACTTACTTCGCCAGAATTGTTAAAACTAAACCCTTCTATGCATTCATCGCAGCTCCATATATCCCTACATTTCTTACAGTAAGATTTAGAACATTAAAAACATATTTTAGCTCCATTACCATTATCTTACACTGCGTAATCACATGTATCACTACAACTTTTATTGTGAATGTTATAATATTAATTTTCCTTACATTAATAGCAATCTTAATTAGTAGGTCCATAGCACTCAAAACAACTTGAGTCACATTACTAGCAAGACTGTGAATTCAAATCAAAATATTAATTATTTTAGCAATTCTGCTGACCATTTGCATAATTTTTTGTTAGAAAATATATTGCAAATATGCATAAAATAGCTAGCATTTAGTTTTTTTAGATATTTTTTACTAAGATTAAAAAGTAAAGTAAAAAAATAATCAAAATAATTGATGTTTACTTTAATTATACTTTATTAAGATTTAAAAGGTAATTATTGATTATTGATGCCTATGTATTTTACTTAATTATTTTATATAAATAAAATTTATTTTTTAATAATACTACTTTATTTTTATTTAATTTTCTCAATAGATAAATAAATAAATTTTACTTGAAAATATATATTATTTAAAACTAAAAATCATAATATTAAAAGTTGCTAAAAATATTTAAAAATGTTTTTTTATTTCTTTTAAAAAATTTTATTTTTTAAAATTCATAAGTTAGTAAAAGAAAGAAAAAGAGAAAATAAGAAAATTAGAGGAAAAAAAATATTTTTTTTTATTATTTCATTATTTATTTTAAGATGAGGAGTTATTTTAAATTAAAAAAAAATATTACTATTTTGTTTTCTTTTATTGATTAAGTAAATTATTTCTTCAAAGTTATATGATAAAATTATATAATATAAATAAAAATTTAATTTAATTAAGAAAATTACTACTTTAAAATTGAATTAAGCTAAGAGCAATAAAAATAATTATTTACTGTATTTTATTAAACTTATAATTAAATTTTATGATTGTATTGCTAAATCAATTGATATAAAATGTGTCTTTATTTTAAAAATTAGTAAACAATAATATATTTTCTAATTTATGAAGTTAAATATATAAACTTTTGATACTTCTTAAATACACAGAAAGCTTAATTCTAATATATTTTTTTTATCTTTTTTCAGAAGCTATTTTTACTTTTAAGAGTACTTTTTTTTTTTAATGAAAATTCTTCTTCAAATCAAATTGAATTATTTATTAGAAATTTCAAAAATAATAGAAATAAGATTTTTAATTTAATCCTTTTTAAAAAATAAATTTTTAAAACAACATAAATGGATTATTAAAAACGAGAAGGCTATTTTTAGATCAAAATCAATTTTAATTTTAAAAAAGTGATTTCCTTCTTTCTTTTTAAGCTTTATATTCTTTATTTGTTTTTAGCTTGAAAAAAATCAAATCAGAGTTGTTATTTTAAATTTATGAACTTATTGACTATAGCTTGACTTATGTTAGAGTTTATGAAGAAAATATTTTCTGGTTTACGCTACTTGGTTCCTAGTATGATTAAATATCAAATCTTTCAATCGAATCTTCCATTAGTTTAATAGAGGCTTTTTTTGAATTGCAATTTCTCATAAATTGTTATTAATTATATTTATTTATTGAGAATGTTGAGTTCATAGGTTTAATTTAAATATTTTGTTTTAATTATTTTGGTTAAGATTATTTTATATAAGGAGTTATTTCTAATGAATTATGTGAACTGATATTGACCTAAGTCTTATAAAGCTTGTACATTTATTCATTCAAAAAATTTTTTTATTTTTTCAGATTATAAAACTGTAAAAGAAGTTATCTAAGCTTTTTCCAATTCCTAAATACTCTATAAGGGTCTTATGGTTAAAATACTATGTAACGATAAAGTTTAGGAAATCTGCTACAAAGTTTAAATATTATTTTTTAAAAAATATTCATTTTAAAATAACTATAAGGGAATTTTTTAAGAAATATATGTTTTGCTATGAAGATAATTATACTTATATTAACTATAAAAAGCAAGGTCTGAATAATATATTTTATTAATATTTGGCTGTTTATCTATTCTGATACACAAAATATTAAAATATTAAAAATTAGAACTATAGTTAAGTTCTAATCACACTAGTTCATGTCAGTGGAAGAATAAGGCTTAACTTTTTTTGTGACAAGCAAATAAAGAAATAGTGATGAGAGAATATACATTTACTAGAGTCGAATATCTTTATTTAAAACTATTTAAGAACTAATAATTAATATTTTAAGATATATTTTAATAAATTCCCAATAATATATAGAAGGCCTATATTCTTGATAAATATATCCGTATGCTCTCTTCATATACATCCAACTTAAAAAATTTCTATTTAAGAATAAAATGAGCAAAAGTCCTGCAGGTATCAAAAATATCCAAACTATAAATACTGGTACAATATAAGTTACTAAGTAAAATTATTGACTATTTATATTACAGAATTATGATTAATCACCTATTAGCACAAATTTATCATCTACATTCTGGCATATCATATATGATAATATGGTTTTTATTACAGTTGGAGCATAAAAAAAATATAAAAATATAAAGTTAGATTTTAAATCAGCTAGATTATTCACTACAAATTATTTCATTTTATATAAAATCTACTTTTATTTTTATTTTTCTAACACTGATGGTCTATACTTGATAGTTGTAAGATAATTTGGAGATTTTAGACTAATAATCAAACCTTATGGAGTTTTGAAAAGTATTCTGAGAATTGCATTTGCTACAAAAAAAATCAAAGGATATGTCAAAGTATATATAAATTTATTCATATAAACAGGTAAGCTTAATATTAAAGATGAAATGAAACAATCAGTGTTCAAGAAAGATAATGAAAACTAATCTCCTCCGAATATAGAAAAAATGGAGAATAAAAAATTAGGTAAAATATTAAATTAAAAACTTCTAAACACTACCATGATTTAAGCATAGTTCACATACATTTTCAAATAGATTGATCCTTAATCAATAAGCTCACTTTTTCCCATAATCAAAAAGTAGGTTATCCTTAGGCATTTATAGGCACATTACTTTAGGGCGAATATTCTTTACTTGTTTATTTAGTAAGCCTGATAAAGTAGTATAATAAATATTTCAACAATTAAGATTAATATATTAGACCAACTGCTAGCCAATTTACAATCTTAGCACTCGTCTGTATTTAATCTACCATACTTTTCCCCCCAAATCACTCCTCTTAAGTCGCACTCACTACACTAAACGCCTATTGTTCCTTTTTAACAACCGAATTTATTATGAGGATCTTCTGGTACACAATTTTATGGATATTTTGAGCAATAGTAAATATTATCCGTATAATTTCCCCATCTCCAATATCCATTCTTTAGTTATATTATATCTCCTTCACAAAACTTGGCTTATTGTGGACAAATCTTACAAGAATATTATGAAAATTATTATTCACTTTAGCCTGTTGTGCTATATATAATCTCTTCAATACTATATTTACCTAAAAAATATTTTTTTTATCAAATAATTATATATATTTTATTTAAATATTGTAAATTACCGCTAGGACATTTATCACAAGTTATAAACTATTAATTTTGAATTGTTGGTATTTCTCCTCTAATACAACTTCTAAAATCAACAGTTATTGTTAAAGATAAAGTTTTTTATAAAATCTTTTTAACATTGAAATCAATTACATCAAATGGGATAGTTGTTTATATTGTTAATTAACTTTAGGTTAAAGGTTTAGCTATTGCAATAATATCGAAAATATATGCATTCTCTTCATAATCAAAATTTGATATTTTTGTTCCATCAAGTTATAAAGCTGTATTATTATTTGACATAATACTAAGTTAATAGAGAGAATATTAATTTAATACATTTATATCTTCTATTACTTATTTTTAAGCAGTAGTACTATTGGCTTTTTGGTTAAAATAGCCAGGAAATTTTATTGGTTGACGATCTTCATCAATTATGACTACTTTTAAAGTTGGATTTATTAAAGATCCGCTCTATTAGCTGTAAAGAGTATAGTTATGATAAATTAAATTATTTGGATTTTTAGGATCTATAATAGCTAATCCTTGAGGATTATAACTTAAATCCTTTCCATAAAGAGTAGCAATATTATCAGTAAAGGTATTTAATATACTATAGTCTCTTTTTTTATTTATAAAATATGGAAGACACTGAATTAGTCTAATAGCTCCTCCAATTGCTGCTTAGTTTTAAAAAAACTAATTATCTTTAAGTACTTTAACTTCACTGCTAATGATTATGATTGCGCCTCCTGAATCAGAAAGAGCTTTATTTTTCTAAAAAGTACAATTTGCAATTTAATTAATTGTAGATTTATATATAATCATAGCACCTCCATAACTAGTTTGGCTAATATTAGAAATAAATTCTGAGTCTAAAATATCAGAAGATAAGAGATTATTTATGATTAAAGCTCCAGCTCTTTCGTAAGACTGATTTGCTATAAATTTTGAATTAGATATACTTAAATACTATCCTTAATTAAAATATAAAGTAGGACTAAAATATGCCTTGCAAGACATAAAAACCAAATTATCTATCACAGCATTATTAAAATTAAAAATACTAATTACTCCTGTGGGTACTCTTTAGTATAATATTGTGTCAGCTTCTGAATAAAGTTTGTTGATATCTTATTATGTTTATGTATTTTCCAGGTTCGTAAATGATCCTTAAGTGATTTCAATATTGAAAAGTATCATTTACAAGAAACTTTAGTTACAATTTGAGTTTGATAAATGAATATTTTATAATTAAACAAAAAGATTAATTGCAGATTAAGCATTATTAATATTTATTTATTGTAAATGGGCTACTTTTAAATTTTAATTATTTTAGAAATCAAAAGTGTCTAATTGGAAATGTCTTATTCCTTATATTTTTAATAGTATTGCAGAAAATGTTGTTATCTGTTAGACATTTATAACTTCTAGTTAATTAATAGTAGTAAAATCACATTAGGTTATTTGAATAAAAGAAAACTCATTAGTTTTTAAAGAATTTTAACTAATTGTTAAATTATTAATCAATGCTTAATTAGTTAGTGAAATACTTATAAATCCTTTTAAGTATTCAAGAGATAAATCTATATTTTTATATTAATCTTTAGTATACATATCATTCAATTACAATTACTTCTGTTTTTCATCAACGTCAGTGCTATCATTGAATGTTTAAGGAATAAAAATCTACTCCTCTGCTGTTTCAAAATTTGGAAAATAATTATTAAAAATATTGTTTGTAATATTAACGTTATTCAAAATAATTAAATCAATTGATTAAAAGTTGAAAAGATTAGTTCCATTTTTCCAAATATTTTAAACTACATTTACACTTGATATGTTTACAATATAGCAGTTATAAAAGGAAAATAGATGATTATTCGTTGAATTTGGCTGAATATTAGATATGTTATTTCGCTAAAATAACAAACTATCTTAATAAATTTCTCCATCTGGTTGATTGTATAAAATATTTTTATAATCTTAGTCCTCTTAGGAAATAATAGTTTGATTGATTATTAGATTTGTAATTTAAATGTATGAACACTGATTAAACTTTATAATAGGTGTTAAGGAGAGCATAGAGATATTGCTAATGATTAAGGTATCAATATAAACATTTTAAATGTTATCTAATATTAATAAACCATTTGGAGAAGCTATATTTTAAATGCTTGAAATTTCAAAATATTGTAAAGAAAAAGATTAGATATTCGAAATATTAAAAGATGTATTAATAATATCATATTTCTCTAATTTTATATTTTAAAAATTTACTTTCTTAAGTAATGTTAATAAGAAAGATGAAAGTTAAAATTAGTAATGTCTAATAAATACCATGGAAATTGTAACATCTTTTATCTCTAAAATAGATGTAAAATTTAAATTTAATTAGGTTAATGGTATTGTTAAAACAATATCTTTACTATTATTATTATATCTTTTAGTTATTCTAGTTTAGAAGTCTTATGTTCTAATTTTATCTGAAACAAATGGAATGTGCAAAAAAGAATCACTATCATATGTAATTAGAAGGCTTTATATTTTTTATATATAAATCTATGCTCCAATTTCCATCATATACTACTATTATAAATTTGAAAAGAAATCACTTTCTTTGGTGAATAAATAAGAGCAAAATCCATTATAGGAATCAACTTGTTTTTATACATAATTATAATTAATGCTAATATAAAACTCTAATTATTAAACTTAACCATACTTCATCAATATAATTTAAATTTCCAAGGTCTAATATATGCCAACTAAAGCTAACTAAACTATATCATGATAGTCAGTGTTAAGTTACCAAAGCAATCTAACTTATTATAATTAATTCATGTAATCTATATTTATGAGCTAAATTTCTCCATTTAAAGTAATAAAAAAATAATGATCTAGTTGATCAATAATTGATTTAATTCTCATAGATTCCATAAAAAAAGAATACGAACTGATATACTAGTGATTCTACCTTAGATAAAAGTTAATATTCACACTACACCAAACAACTATATAGTATGTTGTGAATACTATCTAAGAATTGCATAAACATGGTTTTATTAAAGTCGCTATTTAAACCTATTCAGTTAATTTTTCAAATAATTATCCTTAAGATAAATCAAATACTCCTATATTATAATCATTCTTAAAAAGAACATATGTATAGTTTGAGAAGTTCCCATAGCTTTACCAATACAAATTTTCGATTATCTTATTCTAAAATACCATATGAACAGATTCTGATGAACTGGTATCATTGATCCTTATTATAGATAGCCAGCTTATTGTTGTATTTTATTAAGCCCAAGTCCAAATCATTAATTAGTCAGGAAACTGATAGTTAATAATAAATTAAGTATATTAAGTTAATTCTTATTGTAAAAATATTGATTTAGAATAGTCTGTTGTATTTATTAAGCAGTCTATTCTATATTTATAGGGAATTTCTTTTTGTTGAGTAACATCCCACATTCTAATTTAGTTATTAATATCAGCAAAATACACTTAAGTATAATACTCATTCACTTATAGAAATCTAACAAAATTATTTTAGTCTATTTAAATTAATTTAGTAAGTTGGTTTTTTTGAGTGTCTAACATAAATATGGCGTATTATTTAAAATCAAAAAAAATTACTCTACTACTTGTCAAGCTGTATACAACTTTTTCAGAATAAAAAGAATATTATTGATACACTTTTTAGAACTATAATGTAGAATTTGTATAACTAACCTAAATAATGAGACTACTCATTAGCATATAAAATTATAAACTTTAGTCATCACTTTAGTATTAAACACCAGCAAAAATAGCATTTGATAAATATTAATTTTCAGTGTTAAATAAATATGAAAATTCTATAGTTTTCTTTACTTTAATATCACTTTGATCGTATAGGAATAAAACTTTTTGTTAAATATCTAGTAGAATATTATAGTTATTTTAATTAAAACCATAATTTTTAATTGCATCTGGAAGAGCTGAAGTCTCTCTCTACAAAGACATATCTTATATGTTAAAAATTTCTAGTGTATCATCTTCTACAACTATTAAAATTTATCTAATTTTGTCAATTTCCCATGATATGAACTAACTTTTTATAGGAAACCTAAATTTCACATCAGGTTAAGACCCTATTGATACCACATGAATAATTTGTTATACCAAAATAAATAAAATCTATTTCTCTTTATAAAGGATTAGCTATTTAAATTATATTTCTCGAGATTCAAAAACATCAATCTACAATTATTTTAAAAATATAATTTTTAAGTATTGTATGGTTTTAAATTTATTATAATAAATTTAAATAAACATCTTATTCATTAAAATATATTTTTTTAAGCTTTTATAAAAATAAAAATAAAAAATATTACCCTGATTAAAGTTTTTGATGAATCATCTAAATCATATACACATAATTATTGCAAAGAGTTAAAATAAATTATTTTTTAATTCAAATCATTAAGTAGCATTTCAAATGCAATTTAATCTTTTACTAAAATAAAATTATATTCATTTCCAACTATTTTTACTCTTGCAATAAAATTAAGATTTCCACCCAAATAAATATATTTTTTTACTGTGTCAAAACAAATCTATTTTCATATTTAATTTGTATTGAATATTCATTACTATTTTATATTTTAAATTACTTACTTTGTTTAAATTTGTCTATGCAATTTAAAATAATAAGAAATTAGATACAACTATTTTCTATTAGTCAGAGTAGTTAAGGATGTAAACAATTTATTTGTCATCATTGTAAACGCAGGTATTTAAAAAATCATTACATTATATCTGAGATATAGCAAAGTCATATTATTGCTCAAAAATTATAGACTTAGAATTTATGCTAACAATTTAAATATACAATTGATATTTTATTATTATTATTTCTTAACTTTATATTAAAATTTAATCAACTGTATATTTTGTATTTGATTAATACTCTATACACCATATAACTAATTTATACTTTAAAATTATTTTAAAAATTGTATTATTTATTAAGTAATTTACTTAAACGTCATAAAGGCAAAGTTAAATCTTATAGGTATCATCCTTTAATTACTCTAAGAAAGCTACCCAGTTTTTAATTATATAAAGATTTGATACTATTATCTTATTGGAAATTGAGCTATTTATCTTTTTTTAAAGGAATAAAATAAATAAATATTTCAAAGAGATGTATTTATTACTTTATAATTATTCAATGAATCAACAATATACATGGAATAAATATTTTAAAGGATAATCTTATCAGCTTTTTGAACATAGATAGCTTAATTTAGTTAGCTATGCAAGTCATACAGCTAAGTATTAGATAAAATTAAATTTTAATCTAAGTCGATTATGATTAAATTAAAATTAATTTAAGCTATTAAAATATTTAATTCAATTATATAAAAATAAGAAAATATGCTATTGTCCAAATCAGCATCAAGCTATATAGGGTAAGATTGAACTAGAAATTTGGCAGGATTAGTAAATTATCTAAGCTAACCAGATCTTCCATAAAATATAAGATTCCTTTAATCTTAAAATACATTACCACTTATGAATGCTTCAACACCAAAATCAGAAATATACTATATTATTTCATTTTGTAGATATTTAATATATTTAAAATTAAAAATAAAATAATTACTTAACTAAATATCTAATTCTAAAATAAAATTATATTTTAAGAAAAATCATACAAAGCAAAGCCTTTCTCAAAAAAACTTATTGCTAGATAGGAGTCAAAAATGTTTTTGACCTGTGCTATTTTCTAATTGAAAGCTCTATTAGTAATTTTTAAACTATTACAATCAATCACCATTATTTTTTTACTATTGAAAATTAGAAGAGCTATACTCTCATTTATAAATGTTTATGAGGTTAAATCTTAACCATTTTTTAAATCTATTGTCTTTAAAAAAATTATTAAATATAATATTTGTTTTAATACATTTTTATTACATTAATAAGCCTGGCTAAATCTGTATTATATAATTAAAGCTAATTTTAAACTTAAATAATTAAAAATACAGAATTATAATATGAGAAAGCTGTCGTCGTATTAGTAGGGAAATTAATTTAGTTGATGATTTTTTGATTTTATATTCTATATTCACTGTAGCAATTTGGTTCAATTATTTTAATTGATTTATTATTAGAACTAATGTAATAATATATTACATTTTATTAATAATCACTATTAAATGTAGCAATCTTTTTTTATTTAAAATAATATTAATTCATATTATTTTTAAAAAAATGTAATAAAGAAAATAATAATTATAAAAAATAAATTTACATTATTTAAATTAAAATCGTAAATAAAAATCTTTAAGAAAGGATCAGATACTATTATGAATTGTTCTTATTCATATACATCCTATAAGAAGAAAATGGTACCTTGCTAGCATTTATTATTAACTTTCTTTTAAGCTAATTAATTAGTGAGTGAAAAAATATTTTTTAGAAGTTTTATTTGATATAAATATTACTTGTTAAAAGAATTGAGTAAAGGCAAAATGATAAGTCATTATAATTAATAAAAATAATATAAGTATCTAAGGCTTCAATCAAGTTATGTGATAAATTAGCATAATCTACTGAGGAGCTTACTTGTAGTTACTATTTAATGAAATAGTCAGTATCATCAAATACTATAAAAAGAATATTTTAGTTTGTGATCAAAATTGAATATATTTCTTTTATCTTTTTAAATTAAGCATTATACACTTATTTAATTATTAATCCATTTATTGATAAATCTATAGAATTTATAAAGATATTAGTATCAGAGTCAAATATTTGTAAAATACCTAAGCAATTCATATTTCCAAAGTTTCTACTTCTAGTAGATTAAATCAAGGATCCTGAGAGGAATGAATATTTACAAATAGCTTTATCATCAATACCTAACAATTATTGTAAATTATTGCCCCATTATATCTATTAAATAGGTTAAAAGCATTTATAATGATATATTTAGTTTTGATTCACGTATATAATCATTGAATTTGATTAATAAATTATATAATCAAAAGAATTAGAGAAGTCTGAGTATAAGCCATAAAAAACTAAACCAAAAGTCGGTAGATACTTAGTCTAAATTACGGATATTAAAATATCTTTTACTTCTCTTAATAGGTCATAAACATATATAGAATTATCTTTTACAAACAACAAATAATTTTTGTATTAGAAACATTCTAAGAAGTAGTTAGCCTCAACAGTAAAGATACTAGTTAAATTAGAATTCTGGATTGTATAAAACTAGTATGAGTTATAATTTGATTAATTTAACTATGTATAAACCTGTTTTAATTTATATAATTTTTAAAAAAATTATTTTTAGAAGTTAATCATATTTGTATAATAGTTTTCTAATTTACCCAATTTTGGTTGTAAAGTTTTGAAATATTATTGCAAATTATATCAGAAACAAAACAATTAAGTTATTTTAAGTTAGCAGCCTATGTCATTTAATCGTAGCTGAATTTGTTAATACATATATTGCATGACTAAAAAACTATTATCAAATAATTTTAGATTGAGAAAACTTAATAAATTAAATCATTTGAGATGCTATCGTAAGTTGAATTGTATACTTGTAGAAAACCAAATTCATCAACTTTAATAAAAACTAAGGTAGAATTATTTTGAAAATCAAAAAAACCTTAAAAATATTCGCTCCATACTGTAAAAACCTAATCTACTTCCTCTTTTATTTGATTAATTATTTTTAAAATAAAATATATTCAAATAAATAAAATACTAAGTTCAATAGAGTCGAATTAGACTAATTGTGTAGAATATAATTTAAAATTCCCATTTATAGGAGTTCTCCAAACAATGTAATCACTTCCTACCAGTTGAAAATCTTGATTTACAATTGGTGATGGAAGAGCTTAAAAAAACTGGATGTCATAATTCACCAAATCTAAATAGTAAACTGTCTAAGCTGTGATTATAACAATAATATTATCTTCAAAGACTTCATAATATGCTAAAACCTTTAAAGGAATTTAAACATACAATTTCTAATAAAAAAGTAATAAATTACTTCACTTTAAATGTCTAAAGAAATTTAAGTATAAAAAATTATATCAGGGAGATAATAAATTAGTATTTGTCCTTAACTATCAAAAACAAATAAGTGACCTTTTTTTAAATGGTAAGAATTAATTTTTCATTGAAAAATGTGTTATTTAAATTACTGCTAATAACTAGAGTGTAAAGAATTACACTCTGTAGACATTACTCTGATATTTAGTAAAATGAAGGGCAATTTTATATAAATTCACAAGTTCCAGTATTAATGTCTTCAAAATCTTGAGTAGTCTAGCATGAAAATTCACAACCCTCTAGCGTTTCTACCAAATCCCCTAAACATTGACTTCCACACTTAATTTTGATAAATAAAATTCAAATTAAATTATGAAACCTATGTTTTCTATGATTACTTTCCCTTTTTCATTTAAGAAGTACCCTTCATCGCATTACAAACAAATATCTAAATCATAGCATTTTTAACAGTGAATTACATTACATGCTAAACTTATATTATTTATTCTCACCTCTGACTAGATATCATCTTTCTAGCAAGTAAATGCTTCAGTAAAATAAATTTAATCTTAAGGGCATTAAGTGCATTCTCTAGGCGAACTACCAAAACACTTACCACACATATCAGAGCACATATTACATTCATTTTAGGAGATATCATAATACTAATTCTCTTTACACTATTAAGAATTTACTAATCTAAAATTTAAGAGTAAATTTATCTTAACTGATAAGATTATTAAAGCTTTAAAATTTCTAACCATTATTTCTACTTAGTCTTTTAATTTTTTTTGATAAATGAATTGAATGTAATAAATTAAATAAAAAAGAGATTCCAAATTTGTAAACTAAAAACTATTATTTAATAAATATATCTAAAATAATTGAAATTTACAAAAAGTAAAATATTACTATTTATTTTTTTATTTAAATTATTACTTTTTATAACTCTTATCTATGATTAAGAATTTAACCAGTAAAAAAATAGTATTTTTCATTCTACATATATTTAATAGTACTAAAGCCTTTTATCATATCTTATTTAATACTTTGCAATAACATACATTATTTTATTAAATTTTCAAGAGTAAATGTGCATAATTCATATAATTTGACTTCTTAATCTAAAGTCATATATTATTAAAAATGATTTTTTATAAAAATATATTTATCGTAATTTCTCATAAACATATATAGATTTTGATTGTATATAACATTTGTTAAGTATAAATTTAAGAGTTATGAAAATAAAAATGTGAATTATATATTTTTTGATCTCAAAATTGGATTATTACAATATTTATAATTAAAAAAAATACTAATATCATATTTAAAAATAACTTTCTAAGTTTTGTTTTTTTATTTTCAGCTAAAATTATTTCTAAATTAATCTCAGAAATTTTGTAATAATTTATTTTCTTTCTGGCATTTACTAAAAAAAATAATTACAGTTAATTGTTTGAGCTAGAATAATAAAAAAAATTATTTCAAATTTTAAAAGGAGTAGTGTAAATATAAAGTTTATCGAAGATTACGAGTTTTTGTTATATTTTATTGATTAATTAATTATGGAAAATATCTATTATATTTTTTTAATATTATATTAATTTCATTAAACTCTCTTTTTAAGGGTTGAAAGAAAAATATAGGCAAAAGCAGTATAGAATACAAATAAGCCTACTATACATCCAAAAGACTCCCATCTATTTAAATCAAGATCTAGCTATTTTATAGGATCTTAAGGGTATCCTCCATCTGAATAAGTATATTCATTATCAACTAAAGCCATGAACTAATATTTAAAAGGACATATGTATTAGAACCAGCTAATCCAAGATGCGTAATCAGAGGCATTTTTATAGTAACCACCAAATAGCATAAAAGGCATTAAAAGTAAAGGAGTAATAGCTGTAGCAGTTTAGGCACTGCTAAAAGCAGATCCTCCAAGATAGCCTATTGAGAGACCAGTTAAGCCAGAGAAACATGAAATCAATATAAAGAAAAATACTTTTCCAGCATTATCATCATTTAATCCAACCATCCAATAAATAATTAAACAAGAAATAAAAGGGAAGATAGCAGAGGGGAACATATCTACAATGAATTTACCAAAGAAGTAGGGAGTGACTGAATATAATTTAGCATTTTCTTCTCTCAAAAATACTGCTCTTTCAGCTGGAAAAACTAAGATGCAAGGCTTAAGACTCATCATAAACATTGAAACTACCCAAAAGAACAAAATACCATTTTTATCATTTACATCTCTCTAGGTAGGATTATCATGAGGACCAGGTATTTACCAATAGATTATTCCCAAAAACACAGCAAGAATAATACTTTGAATGAAACGAGCCTTAAATAGAATTGGACTTCTTTTCAATATTCTGATTTATCTAAGAGCAATTTATCCAATTTGATAAAATGCACTTGTGTGTACTTGTTTATATGGGATTTCTCCTGAATAGGACTGATCTATTTCACATTAAACTCCTGCCTTTAGCTGATTATCGTATCCTTAAAAATAAACTTAATTGTTTTATCTATTTGTTTCACTTTCTTAATGCATAATCGACATCAAATAATCTTTTTTATTTTAAAATAATAATTTTACATAAAAGACTAATAATTTATTCAAATTAATTTAAAAACTTAAAACCATAAAATATTTTTATATTTTAAAATTAATTACATAAAATATTTTAAATGAAAATTAATATTTTATTTTTCATTATTAAAAAAAAAAATCATTTTTATTTTTAAGATTTAAAATCAAAAAATTAAAAAATAAATACCTGCTGGATTAGAAAACTAAGGACATTTAAATCCAATACTTTCAAAGTGATTTATTATATCACTGCCACCTGGGCCTTAATAAATAAATCTTCCCTCTACCATGAGCATAATTCTATCAAACATATTCCAAATATCTGAAGAAGGTTGATGAATAGTGAAAATTACAGTTTTGTTTTTATTTTGAGCATATCTTCTCATCAAATCTATAATGCTATAAGCGGTAAAGCTATCTAAACCAGAAGTAGGTTCATCTAAGAAAATACAAGAAGGATCGCTGATTAGCTCATATCCAATTGATGTTCTCTTTTTTTCTCCTCCAGAAATACCTATTTTAATTTTTAGACAAATTTATCATCAATTTAAATAAATAATAACTAAAATAAATTGCTTTTATTATAAAATTTGTTTTATTAATTTATAAATAAATTTTCTAATTACCTTTGACAAAATGCCCTCCTATTAGTGTGTTTTAACATCTTTCTAATTTGAGACTTTTTAAGACTTCTTCTACTTTTTAAGATTTTTCTATATTAGACTTTTTTATTTTTAAGTTTGCAGCAAACTACATGCACTCCTTAACGGTCATAGTCTCCAATAATATATCATCTTACATAACATATGAAGCAAACTGAGTGAACTCTTCAGATGAGTAAGGTTTATTGTTAGCTAGAATCTCACCGTTTAAAGAAACATTTTAATTTGCTCTAACTCTCTAGCACAAAATATTTAGTAATGAAGTTTTACCTGCTCCAGATGAACCTAATATTTAAAAATTAAATTATATCAATATTTGATATAAATTTCTTATAAATTTACCTAATATTGCAGTTATTTATCCACTTTTGCATATTCCACTCAATCCTTTTAAGATTTATTTTTACCCTTTCTTCTCTCTTACTGAATATTCTATATTTTTGAAGACAATATCAATAGAATTTTGTTTAGCAGTAGTTTGAGTGTATTAAATTTTATCGTAATCAGCCATTTCAATTTTTTAGCTTTGTAAGTATTTATTTTTTTTTAATCAAATTATATTATATGTATTTAATTGAGTTCTCCTTTTGAAAAGAACAGAATAGAATTAATAGAATTGAAATTCATTCTAACATTGTAAAATTTTTGAATGATCATGTAATTTCTGATGAAATTTAATTGAATTTAACATTTTTTTTCCTTAATCTAAAATGAGAAGAAGAAAAAAATTTCACGAAGTTTCAGAATCACATTATTTACTCAATTTTTTTATTTGAACCTCTTTTTATTGATTTCCATATATTATTAGAAATCCCTTTAAAATGCTAATTAATTCATTAAAATATATGTATTCTAGTAGTAAACCCAATTCTTTTTAATTTTATCAAATTTTTTTTAAGAAATTTTAAAATATTTTCAAGGTTTTCTGCATTTTACATTTGAATTGTGTGTAAATAATTTGTTTGAGCTTGTATTATATTGTTAAATTCTGATAAATTTCAGAGATTAATTAATAATTTAATAAAAAATTTTTATTTTTTTAAATGAAAGCATTTATTTACCCATAATTTATTTAGGTTTTAGAGTAATTCGTAATATGTTATCAGAAAACTCATAATAATCATCTATTTTTCTTTTTTGTTATTCAAATTTAACTTTCTATTTAACAAAAAAAGTAATAATTAATTTTCTTTGGAAAAAAAGTTAATTGTAATAAAATAAATAATCGTGATTTAAACCATGTTAAATTGTGCATTTACATTTTTTATGAGTAAATATAATTTAAATTTATTAAGTAAAAATTAGCTAAATAATTTTTTACGATTCATAAGAAAAGTTAGCAAATTTTTTTATCTTAATATATAAATACTAAATAATTTATTTTTTAGCTTTATATAAAATACTAAATAAGTTTATTATTTATATTTTACCACACTATGCTTTTATTTTATTATAAAGTTATTCCAGAAAACTCTATTTATTTAATTTTAAATTAATTAATTGAAATTCAATAATAAAAATAATAAAGTAATGTTTCTATTTTTCTAATTTACACAGTATAATTTTATTTTAAAATAATCTTAATTTTCATTTTATAAAATACATACATTGAGGATTATCAATTACTCCAATAATCAAATAAAAAGAATTTATTAAAATATTAAAATTTATAATTGAAAAACAAAATATTTTTAAAAATATTTCTAATATTATGTAGAAAAAAATATTAATTTTTTAGCTAAAAAATACAAAATAATTTTTGAATTCATAATTAACTTTTTTTCTTACTTACACAAATACCTTTTAAACCGTCTTAAAATATTTATTATTGAACAAATAAAATCTGCTATTTATGGAATTTAAAAATAATAAATGAAAATAAATAAAAAATTCAACTTTTTAAAGATTAATTATAGATTGCTTACATAAATAGTGTATAAAATTTACAATATAATTTTAATTTAGTTTTTTTATTCAAATTAATTTTTTGATAGTATTTTAAAGTTTATAATTAACAGCTAATTTTTTTAGTTTTATTGCTGTCAAATGATTCATTGTAACCTTTTTTTAAGAGTAGATAGCAAAATAAAAGCAAGAGTTATGAATAAAACGAAGAGACTAGCCAAAACTATTATAGACTCCCATTTACTTAAATTAAATGAAAGTTATTTTATAGGATTGAATGGATACTCAATTCCATCATATGAATATTCATTTTAAGCTAAAGCACTAAAACAATATTTAAAAGGTGACAAGTATTAAATCCATCCTATCCAAGCAGCAAAGTCAGATGAATTTTTATAGAAACCTGAGAATAAACTTAAAGGCATCATTAGCAGAGGTGTTAATGCTGAAGCAGTTTTTGGGTTACTAAAAGCACTACCACCAAAAAATCCTAAAGCTAATCCAGTTAAGGCTTAAACACAGCAAGTAAGTAAGAAGAAGAAGACAGTTCCTGCATCTTAATGATTTAAATTAGCCATCCAATATATAACCAAAGAGCAAATAATTGGGAAAATAATGGCTGGAATGATATCAACTAAAGTCTTTGCTAAAAAATAGGGGCCAACTGTATAGAATTTAGAGTTTTCTTCTCTCAAAAACACAGCCCTTTAAGCTGGAAATGTTAATATAGAGGGCTTTAAATTCATCATAAACATAGCAGTAGTCCAGAAGAATAATAAGCCATTTCTATCATTGATGTCTCTTTGTGTTGGGTTATCGTATGGCCCTGGTATTTACCAGTAAATTGCACCAAATAGTAGACCTATAAAGATACTTTAAAAGAATCTTGCCTTGAAAACAAGCGGGTTTCTTTTAAATATTTTTAGTTATCTTTTTGCTATTTCTTTTGTTTAAAACCAAAAGGTTGTCTGATAATGACTATCAGGTATTTAAATACCATGATTAGAATTTTGAATCATCTCACTAATTATTGGTTTAAGCTTGTTATTGTAGTTTTCAAGGTAAAACTAACTGTTATCAATTTTGTTGTCGATTGTTTAGCTCATAATTTTCATCAAATAATCTATTTTAATAAAAATAATAAATAAAATTAGAGAATAAGATAAAAAATATTTTTTTGAATAAAGAGTTAATTAATTTTAATTACCTGCAGGGTTAGATTTTATAGGGCACTTATATCCTAAACTAGAGAAGTATTCTATAATTTTATTATTTCCAGGGCCTTAGTATATGAATGACCCTTATTGCATTAATATAACATGGTCAAACAAATTCCAAATATCAAAGGAAGGCTAGTGAATAGTGAAAATAACAGTTTTATTTTTATTTTAGGCAAATTGCTTAAGCAAATGTATTAAACTGTAAGCAGTAAAGCTATCTAAACCAGAAGTTGGTTCATCCAAGAAGATACAAGCAGGATTACTGATAAGTTCAAAACCTATAGAAGTTCTTTTTCTTTCTCCTCCAGATATACCTATTAATTTTAGATATGAGGGGTAAGATATATATATACTGAATTAATTTAGATATTACCTTTAACAAAAAGACCACCAATAAAATTATCTTGACATTTCTCAAGCTTTAAGCTTCTTATGGTTTCATGAACCAAAGCTTCCTTTTATTCTTAAGTTCCAGCAGTTTTAAGTTTAGCTGCGAACTAAAAGCACTCTTTAACAGTCATTGTTTCCATTAATATGTCATCTTACATAACGTAAGAAGCAAAATTTGAGAATTATTTAGAATTATATGAGATATTATTAGCGCAAATTTCTCCAGAAAAATCAACTTTATTAGTCTTTTTTATTCTGTGACATAATAAATTTAGCAAAGAAGTTTTTCCAGAACCTGATGGACCTTTTATATATTAAAAATTTAAATAAATTCATAAAATAAATATTTTAATTTACCTAAAATAGCACTTATTTATCCACTTTTAAAGACACCATCAACTCCATTAAGAATACATTTTTTACCAGTTTTGGTATTAGCATAGTATTACAAATTCTTAAAGGAAATATCTATTGTTTATGGGTTAATTTAGTTTTCTAAATCGATGTTTTTTACTTATTTAAGATTTGACATTTTATATAGTTTTAATTTTATTAATTTAATTGTATTCATATTATAATTTATTATAATTTAATTCAGCTTTTATATAAGTAAAATATCATAAATGTTTACATCTTTTGTAATCAATATTAGTCTGATTAAATAAATTAATGGTTTAAAATTAAATAACATTGCAAATTTTATGACAAAATTTGAATTAAATTAGACAAACAATTTTTCTTTTTAGACAATTTAAAAAAAGAATTTTCTTAAATTATCTATCTAAAATATGGAAGGCTAATTAAAATAAAAATATTAAAATATAGTTTAAAATATTCAAGTTTATCAAAATAAATCAATTAATTTCCTTTGCTAAAACATTTTATGAGTGATTTTGACATTTGAAAATTTTAAATATGTAAATAGATGATTGGAATTGTTAGATTCTCTTTAATTTATCATCAGCTTTTATTAGCTGTTCACAGGGTTATATTGAATGTAAATTAATATAGACAACTGAAAAACATAATTATAAATTAATCAAATGAAAAGTTATTAATTTTATTAATTTATTACAAGCTATTATTTCTAGATAATTCTTTTACTCTTTATATAAAATTCAATGAAATATTTTAAAAATTAAATTTTCAAGAAAATAATAAAAATAATTAGAAAGAACTAAAAAAACATCTCAATAAAATATTTAAAATATTTTATTATTTTTTATTTTTATTTAAATAAATTTATAAAAATAGAGGTCTTTACTCATTTTTACATCATGATCAGATTCTAATAGTGCTTTTATAGGTTATAGATTATGTAATTAATTGATGTTAATTAAAATAGACAACTATTTGTTTTTTGTATTTTGTATGCAACTATCTACAAAGTTTTTAAATAATCTTTCATATTTATAATACAAATAGCTAAATTATTATTACTAAGATATTACTATTTCTAATTTTAAAAGTATTTCACTCTATTAGTTAATAACAATCAGAATGAAAATTTCTAATTCATAAATCCTAATTAATTATTATATTAGTTTCAGATGATAAAAAATAATAAAGAATTTTGAACGTTTCAATGAAACAATTATGAAAATAATAATCAATTAAAACGAAGATAATACCATATAACTATACCCATAATAAATAAGCCATTTATTTTTTCATTAAAAACTTCTATTTATAGTTTAAAAAATTTAATTAAGAGCACATATAGAATATATATAAAAGTATGTTAGCAAAAAACTTTATTAATTATTTATATTATAAATGCAAGAAAGAATTTATCAATTCAGTTATTTTAGATTATAGACAACTTAAAGAAAACTTACTATATAAATTGGTTGAGTGTATTTACAAGTTTAAAAGGTATATTAATTAGTAAATTAGAATTTTATAAATTTAATAAATTATTCATTATAAAGTTTTTTTTGATCTGTATAAAAAGAACAAAGCTAATGTAATAAATCCTAAAAACATAAGGGCTAAGTATCCAACTGCTTCCCATTTATGGAATTCTATATTTTCTGAGTCTATAGGATTAGGTATAAAGTAGGTTTCTTCATATTCGTTTCTGACAAACGCTTGATAGGCATATGTATATGGGGAAAGATATTAAAACCAAGAAATCCATGAAGCTAAATCAGAGCTATTTAATTTTTTCAATATTAAAAAGTTAATAAAGATTAAATAAATAAGAAATATTAATAAACAAATATTGCAAAAAAAAAGCTTAATGATTCTAAAATATTAAAATAAATATACCTATTTTTGTAATATCCAGAGAAAGGCAAAAAAGGAACTGTGACTAATTAGGCAACAGCAAAGGCTGTATCTGGGTCTTTGAAGAGACAACCTTCAAAATATCCAGCAGCAATTCCATTAAACTGTAGCATAATTAAAACCAAAGTAAAGAATAAAAATGCTTCGAAACTTTCTCTCAACCCAACCATCCAGTAAACTATTAATTTTGTATGAATTAATTAATATTGAATTAAATATTTTAAAAATACCTATTGAAGAGAAGATAATAGGAATAATGAAATCAGAAACAAGGTCAACAAATAACTTCCCAAAAAAGTATGGAATTATTTTATACAGCTTAGAATTTTCTTCTCTCAAAAATACTTATCTTTCAAGTGGGATAGTTAAAGCGCAAGGATTCATCGCTTCCATAAAAGCGCCTGAAGCCAAAAAGAATAAAAACCCATTTTTATTTCTAACATCATTTATATTATGAGGATCATTCTTACCATCTATTAGATTGATTGGAAATAAATTAATAAACTAAAATTGAAAAAAATATTTTTACCTGGCAATTATAGATAAATAAGACCCAAAAAAACACTTAAACTGAGCACTTAACCCAACTTTGCTTTAAATAGAATAGGACTTCTTAGTTGAATTTAGACAGTTCTCTTCACAATATAGTAGAACTGCAAAAATATTGAAGTATAAGATACATTAAGTTATACTTAATGTTTGTTAGAATTTTCTATTTCATATTCAACTTTCTTCAAAATCATAGAATCATAGCTTTAAAAATAGATAGGTGCATTTCTAATATTTTATTCGTTTTCTTGATGCATGATAGACATGTAATAATCTTTATATTATTAAATTAAATTACTAAGAAAAGTTATTAAAAGAATAATATAATATAATTACCAGCAGGATTACAAAGATTTGGACATACAAATCCTAAATTATTAAAGTAATTAGATATTTCAGTGTTGCCAGGACCTTGGTAAATGAATCGACCATTTACCATCAGCATAATTCTATCAAGCATCTACCAAATATCAGAGGAAGGCTAATGAATAGTTAGGACAACTGTTCTATTTTTTTCATGAGCAAATTTTCTAAGTCTATTTATAACTATGTAAGCAGTAAAACTTTTTATATTAATTAAAATGATTATTATATTGATGAACTATGATATAATTCATTTACCTATCAAGTCCTGATGTTGGCTCATCAAGGAATATTGCATGAGGATCGCAAACTAATTCATATCCTATTGATGTTCTCTTCCTCTCTCCTCCTGAAATTCCTTTAACAAAATGGCCACCAATCAAAGTATTTTAGCATTTTTCAAGCATTAAAAGCTTTATTACTTCATTTACTACATCATCTCTTTTTTACTGGGTTCCTTTCACCTTTAAGCAAGCAGCAAACTCAAGACATTCTCTTACAGTCATAGTTTCCATTAAAATATCATTTTACATAACATAGTTTGCGAAATTAGAAAATTAATCTGCTGTATACTCTTTTCCATTAACTTAGACTCTCCCTTCTAACATTTATTTCCCAGAATTTTATATTCTTTTAGTAAGAATATTTAATAAGCTTGTTTTTCCTGCTCCTGAAGATCCTATAAGTATATTAGAAGAAATTTATAAATCTGAATTAAGCTAAATATGATAGTACCTAATATTGCAGTAACTTAAGAGTTTGGGCAAATACCATCTACTCCTTTTATGATTTCTTTAACTCCTTTGCTAGATTTTACAGAATATTTTAAGTTTGAAAAAGTAAAATCAAGCAAGCTTGAGCTATTTATACTTTGTTAAGAAATTATCTTGTTCATATTGATTTATTTTAGTTAATTAAATTTTATATAAATCAATTCAAGTAAAGAATCTATTTTTAAATGATGAACTTGATTCTAAAATTTTTGAAGCATCATGCAAATTTAATTAACATCTAATAAATTCTTATATTAAAAATATATTAGATTGGTTAATTAATATTCTATCTGATTGAATATTAATTAAGATTTGTAAACAAAAAGAAATTTATTATTTTGTGGTTAATTAAACCAAAATCCTTAGATTTCTTTATTTAGATAGATAGTTAGATAATTGATTGACTTTAAATTTTAGTAATCCTCCTCTGAATAATTGTATTTCCTTAATCATTTCTGATAAATTAAGATATTAATTACTTTAGACTAATAATTTTAACAAATAGAAAATTAAAAATAAAAATCAGAAAAATGTGATGCTTGCTTGAAGATAATTTGATCTCAAATATTTTATTATGATATTAGTATTTATTTTTATGAAAATTATATTTACTTACATTCATTTAAAATTTGTTATATTTAATTTTTAAATCCAGTGTAAGAAATTAATTATTGCGTACTTTTTCTTATTTTAATTATAAAAGTAATTAATTAATTTCTCAGTTTTTAAAATTATAATTTCTTTTTTTCTTTTTTTTTTCTTTGTAATATTGGAAATTTCTAAATAGATATTATTTTTAAAACAAGCAAGTTACTCTTAAAGAGAACTTAAGATGTGAGTGTTATTCTAAAAAATAATATTTTGATTAAATGAGATATTTGTAAATTTAAATAAAAACAGATTTAATAATATAAACTATATTTATCTAATATAAAAATCTATTTATAAATTGTTGGATTTTAATTATTTAAAGATAGTAAGAAAAAGTTTATTTTAGGTACTTAATATTTTTAAAGATTAAGTATTATATATTTAATTGTAAGATTTTAAAAACTCTATTATTAAAATTTCTATTGTTACTCGATCCAAATTTTAATTCCAAATACTATTGGTTTATTCTTTTCAAATATTAAAAACTATGCTTACTCAATAAAAAACATTATATAACAAGATCATTTATTTTAATTGTTTTTTAAATAATGAAGATAAAAAGTAGTAGGAATTTTTTAATAGCCCATTTAAGAATAAAATTAGTTGAGCTACTAACCATATTTTCAAGATATTTTTTGTCTAAGTTGAATTAAATTAGTGGATATAGAATATTCAATTAATTTTGAATAATTAGTAAAAACCAATTAAATCTATTAAACCATTTATTTCTTTATATATTAATTAGAATTTATTGCAATTTACATAAAGTTGAAAAAAATAATAAATATAATTGATTACTTAATTCATTTTTTATTAATCATAAAATATCATAAAAATTAATATTTTATTTTTTAGATATACCCTAAATCCTCTCTTAATTAAGACCATCCACTCCCAAAATTTTTTTTTTTAAATATTCTTAAAATTTTTTTTAATTAATTTTATTAAATAATATTAAATCTAAATAATAAACTATTTACAATATGATTAGAAGTAAATGCTTATTAAATATAACAAAAAAATAAAAATATATGATTATAGAAAGAGAAAAAGTGAAAATTAAATTCTATAAATCAAAACCAATTTATTTATTTTACAAAAGAAAATTCATTTAGAAAATATATTTCTGTTTGAATTTTAAATATTATTTTATCAATAATGACTTTGAAAAATATAATAAATAGGTAAAAATAAACTTCTAGTTAAGATAAAAAGAATATTTAATATTTGAGTTATTAATATGAAAGATAAGTCGAAATATATTATAAATATACATTCAAATAGCTTAAAATATTAATCAATTGATTTATATTTATTTAGTATTAATTAGATTTAATAAGTTCATTATAAATTCTTTTTAGATCTATACAAAAAGTAGAAGCCAAGGATTAAATATCCTAAGAACATTAGTGCCAAATACCCGACAGCTTCCCACTTTGTAAATTCAATATTTTCAGATTGAATTGGATTAGGTATAAAATATGTTTCTTCATATTCATTTCTTACAAAAGCTTGATATGCGTAATTAAAAGGAGATAGGTACTAAACCCAAGAAATCCAACTTGCTAAATCCCCACTTTAATTAAATTTTAATTTAGTTTTTATTAAAAATAAAATTTATAAATAATATTTTACCTATTTTTATAATAACCAGAAAAAGGAAAGAAAGGCATAGCAATCAATTAAGCAACACCAAACGCTAAATTAGGATCTTTGAATAAACATCCCTCAAAATATCCAGCTGCGATTCCTGTAAATTGTAAAACTATCATAACCAATACGAAAAATAAAAATGCACTGATATCATTTCTCAATCCAATCATCCAATATGCTAAAAATAAATATGATTTTAGAGCAATAATTTATAAATAATTTTACCTATGGCACAGAATATAATTGGTATAATAAAATCTGCTATTAGGTCAACAAACAATTTAGCAAAGTAATAAGGGAATATTTTGTAAAGTTTTGAATTTTCTTCTCTTAAAAAAACTTATCTCTCGATAGGTATAGACAAACAAGCTGCATTCATAGATTCTAGAAAAGCACCAGTAGAAAGGAAAAATAAAAATCCATTTTTGTTTCTGACATCTACAACATTATATGGATCATCTTAACCATCTAAATAAGAAAAATAAAACATTTATTTATTTATTTTACAATATATAAAAAATTACTTGGTAATTGATAATAAATTAATCCTAAAAAAATTGCTAAGCTGATTACTTAACCTAATTTTGCTTTAAATAAGATTGGACTTCTTGTTTAGATTAAAATAGTTCTCTTGACTATATAGTAGAATTGCATGTAAGTAGGGACTTAGGATGTAGAAGGATTAAATTCTACTTAACTGGAAAATTTGATTTCACTTAAAACATTCTCTTTTATTAGTTTGTCATAATTTTTATAATAAATTGGGCAATTTATCTAATTGATTTTCTTTTCTTGATCCATAATCGACATGTAATAATCTAAATTATAACAAAAATATTAATAGAAAATATTAAATGTCACTTTTAAATATTTTTAATTAATTAATTAATTACCTGCAGGATTAGTTAAAACAGGACATTTAAAACCTTACTTTGAGAAATAATTTTAAATAGAGTTACCACCTTCACCTTAGTATATAAACTTACCATCAACCATCAATATTATCCTATCTAGCATACTCCATATATCTGCTGAGGGTTGATGAATAGTAAGGACAACTGTTCTATTCTTTTTGTGAGCAAAATTCCTTAATCTATCCATTAAGATATATGCAGTAAAACTAATTAGATTAAAATAATTTTTTCAATTAATACAATTTTTTACAATGTTTTTTAGTATTTATTACCTATCTAAACCAGATGTTGGCTCATCTAGAAATAAAGATTAAGGATCACAAATTAATTCAAATCCTATTGATGTTCTTTTTCTTTCCCCTCCAGAAATACCTTTTACAAATTAACCCCCAATTTGAGTATTCTAGCATTTCTCAAGCTTTAATTATGTTATTACATCATTAACTATTTCATTTTTATTAGTTTTTGCTCCTTTATTCTTCAAGTTTACTGCGAACTAAAGACATTCCCTTACGGTCATGGTCTCTGTAAGCAAATCATCTTACATAACATAATTAGCAAATGTTGAGAATGTATCTGCTGTGTAAGGCTTTCCATTCACTAAAACTTCTCCTTCTAATTGTGATTTTTTTGAATTAGCTATCCTTTTAGAAAGAATATTTAAAAGTGTAGTCTTGCCTGCGCCAGATGAGCCTGTTAAAAATAATTTAAAATCAAGCTAACAAAAATAAATAATGATACCTAATATAGCAGTGACTTATGAGTTAGGGAATATACCATCTACACCTTTGATAATTTCTTAAGTTCCTTTGCTTGTTTAAATCGAATATTTGAGGTTTTTGAAAGTAAAATCTAATAAATTAGAGTTATTGATATATTCTTCTGAGTGAGTTTTATTCATTTTTAATTGAGTAGTAAAGTATTTTATTTCTAATTATTAATAATAACTAAACTTTATTCTAACTAAACAAGATTTAAAGCAGTAAAAATATCTTTTTATAAATTAAAAAAGACAGATTAAACTGATTAATTCTTGTATTGATAAATTTTTAGTGTTTAACCTTTAATTATTTAGAAAGAAGAAAGAAATAAATTTCTTAATTTATGTAAGAATTTTAAAATCAAATAACTAAATTGAAGTCTGTTTTCTATTTTTCTATTAGTCTTTTGACAAATTTTAAATTTAACTTTAATTGATTAAAGCTTCAAGATACAAACAAGTTTTGAATATATTCATTAAAATAATTTTTATCTTATAAGTATTTTATTTCACTTATGAATGTTTAATAACTAACAGATTTTATAAATATGTTATTTTCTTTTTGATTTTACAAAAATATAAAAAAGTTATTTTTGCTTCTATAAATCTTAAATTTGATAATATATTATTAATAAAAATATGGTTTTTTATGTTTATCATAAAAACAAATAGAAAATTCGTTTAAAAATATTGAAAAAATTTGGTCAATTTTTTTAATAAAATTTTCTTCTTATCTTTTCTCAAAGCAATTAATTTAGTCATTACTTTAAAACATCAAGCTTTTATTCCCTAATATCGGATTTAAACAGAAAATTTATAATTATGATTATTTTTCTATTTCAAACCTTTTTTCTTTATAAAAAAGACAGGAGTTAACAAAATTGCTTAGGGGTTGTAAATTTGTAAAAATTCTTTGTAAAATAATTATTTTTTTAATTTTGTATAATTTATTCTCATTTTAAAAAGTTAAATATAAATATTTATTTTTAACAAACATTTATCAAAATATATTTGCAAATTAATTCAATTAATATTTTTAATTCTAAATAATATATTAATTCTATAATCACTATAATCTCTTTCTATTACAAACTAGGCAAAAGCAACTAATTATTAAAAGGCCTATTATAAATCCCAGTAAAATATAAACACATTCCCATTTTGAGAATTCTAGATTCAATAATTCGGTAGGGCTTGGAATAAAATGAGTGTTTTCATACTCGTTAGCGGCTATAGCATTAAAACTATACTTTATAGGAAATAAATATTCTATCCAAGAAATCCAGCTTGCTAAATTTTTTCTAATAAAATAAAATGAATTTAGTTAAATTTAAAATATTTATTTATTTATTTATTAACTACCTATTTTTGAAAAATCCTCCAAACAAAGCATTAGGAACAAATATTAATGGGCTCATAAAAACAGCTGTTTTTACATCAGAAAAGATAGAACCACCTATATAGCCAAGACTAAGACCAAGTAGACTGTTTAAAATCAAGCAAAAAAAGTAAAAAAATACATTTCCTACTGTGCGATCATTCAATCCAACCATAAAAAATTCTATTTAGATAAAATTATAGCTTTTTATTATTTGAAAAAATGTGTTTATAATTACAAATTAGTCCATATAAAATCGGTGAAATTATTTAAGGTATTATCTCTATAGCTAGTCTTCCAAAAAAGTATGCATAAGGTGAATAAAGATTAGAACTATCTTCTCTTAAGAATACCTTCCTCATAGAAGGAAAAGAAACTGAGCAAGGCTTAAGCGACATCATTAATTAATTTATACAAACAAAAAAGAGAAGACCGTTCCTATCATTCATGTGTCTGATGCTGGTCGGATGATTACTTCCATCTATTGATGAATAAATAAATAAACTGTTTAAAATGTTAAAATTTAAAAATTTAACTTCAACCTTCTGATTAGAAATATATTAATCCTACAATTAATCCCATAATAATAGCCTGGATTATACGAGCTCTAAAAAGTATAGGATTTCTTTTAACATTCTTTAATGATCTTTTAGCTATTTGCTAAAGTTAGTATAGAAATGGAGTTTAAAACTTATAAGCTAAAATTTCAGATTTTTCTCTTTGCTCTATTTCTTTTTCAACTTGCAGTTTTAACAAAGAACCATATTTTTAGAAATAAATAGGATAATTCTAAGCATTTTTTTAATTTAGATGCATAAGACTCATGAAATAATCTGATTTTTTATTAAAAAAATAATTTTTCAAATTAAATAATTAAATTCTTAATAAATAATTTAAAAATAATTAAATTTTTTATTACCAGCTGGATTTTACATTCTCGGACAATTAAATCCTTAGTTTGAGAAGTAATTTAAAATGGCCTCATTACTTTTTCCTTAGTAAATGAATTATCCTTCTACAAGAAGCATTATTCTATCAAACATCTACCATATATCTGAAGAAGGGCTGTGAATAGTAAATACAATAGTCTTTTGTCTATTAATGGCATATCTTTTTAGTTCAGCTATCAACAAATATGCTGTGAAGCTTTAGAATATAAGCAATAAAATTAAAATTCACTTTAAAAATAAATAATTTTACCTATCTAACCCTGATGTTGGCTCATCCAAAATTATTACAGAAGGATTTGTCACAAGCTCAAAACCAATAGATGTCCTTTTCCTTTCTCCTCCAGAAATTCCTATAAATTATAATATCATTAATTTTTAAAGAGAAATCATAAAAAATAAATTTTTATATAAATCTAAAACAAAATTAAGTTAAAGAATTATTTTTGAATATTCCAATAAAAGATTTTTACCTTTTTTAACAAATTAACCTCCTATTAATGTATTTTAACATCTTTCTAATTTTAAAATCTTTATGGTTTCTTATACTACTTTGTCTTTTTCAAGTTAATTGCCTGGTGTCTTAAGATTAGCTGCAAATTATAAGCATTCTTTTACAGTCATAGTCTCTAAAAGAATATCGTCTTACATAACATAAGTACCAAAATCTGAAAATTTTCTGTATGTAATTTCAGTTTAGTTAGCTTATATTTTCCCACGAACAGAAATTGCCTTAGAGTTTTCTATCCTATCTGTTAACACATTTAGCAGTGTAGTTTTTCCAGCTCCAGAAGAACCTTTGAAAAGATAATAAAATTAAAAATAGTCATATTTGTAAAAATATTTACCTAAAATAGCAGTGATTTATGAAGACTTACAAATACCTGAAACATCTGAAAGCAATTATTTTTTTCCTTGCTTTGTTTTAACAGTTACTGTGACATTTTAGAAAGTTAAGTCTATAGGATTTTTATTTATCTCCATTTAGTGAAATAGTTTTTAAAGATATTAAAATATGTTTATAATTTTTTAAATAATTTTTATACAATTTTCACTCCGAAAAAATAAGGTATTTATACCTATCTGCAATATTTCTAGATAAATTCTATTTAAAATAAGAAAAAATAATATAAAATTTATTACAATAAAATAAAGATAGATTCATATAACTTTATCACCTTAATGTAATTTTAAAAAATCTAATTAAATCTTACAAAAACTTGATTGATTTAATAAAATTTGATATAGCAATAAATTTAAAAAGTATTATTTCAATTTTATTAAATTCTTTATTTTTTCTAGAATTTTTCTAAGAAAAAAATTTAATTAATCATTTATATAATGACGATATTAACAAATAATATTAAAACCTTATTATAAAATTTAATCTATTGATTTTAAAAAGTTAACTTAAAATATTTTTAAAATGAATTTATTGATTAATTGTTTAGCTAGTTAGTTAATAAAATTTCTTTTAAATCATTTATTTTTATTTTTTTTAAAACATAGAAATCAATATTTAAAAAAATATTTTATTTTAATTATATGATCATCTTTAATATTTATAAATTACTTTAGCAACATTAACTTTCATTTAAACAATTTTGAAAAGTTTTATTTAATAATAGAATAAATTTTATTCTAGCAAGAATGGTAAATACTTAATATAAAAAACAAATAAACAATTTTAATAACATTTTTTTTGTATTTAATTATTTCATTGTAATCTTTACTTTTTAATAGCTAAAAATATATAGCTTATGATTAGGTATCCAATTAATAAACATAACAATATATATACTGATTACCATTTATTGCTAATTGCAGATTTTTTTTTTGTAATAGAGAGATAAATAGTGAGAGGTTACACCTATAACTATTTATCTCTCTAATAAAAATTAAAATAATATTAAATAAATTTATATAATAGTATTTAATATATATTTATGTATTTTGTATGAAGTTTATAATAATTTAAATAAATTTAAAAATTTAACTTTTATTGAATAAATTTAAATCTAAATAATAAACTATTTTCAATCTTATTTGAAGTAAATACTTATTAAATATAACAAAAAAATAAAAAATAAAATTATAGAAAGAGTAAAAGTGAAAATTAAATCTATAAATCAAAACCAATTTATTTATTTTACAAAAGAAAATTCTTTAGAAAGTAAGTATATTTCTGTTTGAAATTTAAATATTATTTTATTAAAAATGATTTTGCAAAATATAATAAACTGGAAAAAATAAATTTCTAGCTGTGATAAAAAGAATATTTAATTTTTGAGTTGTTAATATGAAAAGGTAAGTCGAAATATATAATAAATATACATTCAAATAATTTAAAAATTAATAAATTTATATATATTGAGTATTCATTAGATTTAAGTTCATTATAAATGTTTCTTAGATCTATACAAAAAGTAGAACCCAAGGATTAGATATCCTAAAAACATAAGCGCCAAATACCCAACAGCTTCCCACTTTGTAAATTCAATATTTTCAGATTGAATAGGATTAGGTATAAAATAAGTTTCTTCGTATTCATTTCTAATAAATGCTTAATATGCATAATTAAAAAGAGATAGGTACTGAATCCAAGAAATCCAACTTGCTAAATCCCCACTTTAATTAAATTTAATTGAGTTTTATTAAAATTAAAATGTAATAACAATATTTTACTTATTTTTATAATAACCAGAAAAAGGGAAGAAAGGCATAGTAATCAATTAAGCAGCACTAAATGCTAAATTAGGATCTTCAAATAGACATCCCTCAAAATATCCGGCTGCGGTTCCTGTAAATTGTAAAACTATCATAACCAATGTGAAAAATAAAAATGCACTGATATCATTTCTCAATCCAATCATCCAATAGGCTAAAAATTAATATGATTTTAGAGCAATAATTTATAAATAATTTTACCTATGACACTGAAAATAATTGGTATAATAAAATCTGCTATCAGATCAACAAACAACTTAGCAAAGTAATAAGGAAATATTTTATACAGATTTGAGTTTTCTTCTCTTAAAAAAACTTATCTCTCGATAGGTATAGATATACAACCTGAATTCATAGATTCTAGAAAAGCACTAGTAGAAAGGTAAAGTAAAAATCCATTTTTGTTTCTGACATCCACAACATTATATGGATCATTTTAACCATCTAAATAAAAAAATAAAATATTTATTTATTTGACAATAAATTAAAAATTACTTGGCAATTGATAATAAATTATTCCTAAAAAAATAGCCAAGCTGATTACTTAAGCTAATTTTGCTTTAAATAAGATTGGACTTCTTGTTTAGATTAGAATAGTTCTCTTGACTATATAGTAGAATTGCATGTAAGTTGGGACTAAGGATGTAGAAAGATTAAACTCTACTTAACTTGAAAATTTGATTTCACTTAAAATATTATCTTTTATTAGTTTGTCATAATTTTTATAATAAATTGGACAATTTATCTTATTAATATTCTTTTCTTGATTCATAATGGACATGTAATAATCTAAATCATAGCAAAAATATTTATAAAAAATATTAAATTGTCATTTTTAAATATTTTTAATTAATTACCTGCAGGATTACTTAAAAGAGGACATTTAAAACCTTACTTTGAGAAATAATTTTAAATAGAGTTTCCACCTTCACCTTAGTATATAAACTTACCATCAACCATCAATATTATCCTATCTAGCGTATTCCATATATCTGCTGAGGGCTGATGAATAGTAAGGACAACTGTTCTATTCTTTTGGTGAGCAAAATTCTTTAATATATCCATTAAGATATAAGCAGTAAAACTAATTAGATTAAAATAATTTTTTGAATTAGTACAATTTTTTACAATATTTTTTAGTATTTATTACCTATCTAAACCAGATGTTGGCTCTTCTAGAAATAAAGATTAAGGATCACAAATTAATTCTAATCCAATTGATGTTCTTTTTCTTTCCCCTCTAGAAATACCTTCTACGTGTTAACCTCCAATTTGAGTGTTCTAGCATTTCTCAAGCTTTAATTGAGTTATTACATCATTAACTATTTCATTTTTATTAGTTTTTGCTCCTTTATTCTTCAAGTTTGCTGCAAATTAAAGACATTCCCTTACTGTCATAGTCTCTGTAAGCAAATCATCTTACAAAACATAATTAGCAAAGGTCTAGAATGTCTCTGAGGTGTAAGGTTTTCCATTCATAAAGACTTCTCCTTATAATTGTGATTTTTTTGAATTAGCTATCCTTTTAGAAATAATATTTAAAAGTGTAGCCTTGCCTGTGCCAGAAGAACCTGTTAAAAATAATTTAAAATCAAGCAAATAGCAAAAAATATATGATGATACCTAATATTGCAGTAACTTATGAGTTAGGGAATATACCATCTATACCTTTGATAATTTCTTAAGTTCCTATGGATGTTTAAATCGAATACTTGATGTTTTTAAAAGTAAAATCTAATAAATTAGAGTTATTATTATATTCTTCTGAATGAGTTTTATTCATTTTTAATTGAGTAGTGAAGTAATTTACTTATAATTATTTATAATAACTAAACTTTATTCTAACTAAAAAAGATTTAAAGCATTAAAAATATATTTTTGTAAATTAAAATAAATACATTATACTGATTAATTCTTTGATAAATTTTTAATATTTAATTTTTAACTATTTAGAAAGAAGAAAGAAAAAATTTCTTAATTTATGTAATAATGTAAAATCAATTAACTAAATTGAAATTGGTTTTCAATTTTTCTATTAGTCTTTAGGCATATTTTAAATTTAACTTTTAAAGCATTAAGATACAAACAGGTTTTGAATATGATATCAAAATTTCATTAAGTTAATTTTTACCTTCTAAGTATTTTATTTCACTAATAAATGTTTAATAATTTACAGGCTTTCTATATAGGCTATTTATTTTCATCTTGATTTTGCAAAAATGTAAAAAAGCTATTTGTGCTTATATTAATCTTAAATTTGATAATATATAATTATAAATATAAGATTTTTTATGCTTATCTGAGAAAGAAATAGAAAATTTGTAAAAAAAATATTGAAAAAATTTAATCTTTTTTTTTATAAAATTTTCTTCTTCTGTTTCTCAAAGCAATAAATTTCGTCATAACTTTAAAGCATCATGCTTTTATTCCCTAATATCAGACTTAAACAGAAAATTATAATTATGATTATTTGCTTTTTCAAGCTTTTTTTCTTTATTAGAAAAGACAGGAGTTAACTAAATTGCTTTGAGATTGTAAATTTGTAAAAAGCTCTTTAGTAAAATAATTTTTTTTTTTAATTTTGTAACAATTATTCTAAATTTAAAAAATTAACTTAATATAAAAATATATTTTTAACAACATTTATAAAAATATATTTGCTAACAAATTCAATTAATATCTTTAATTCTAAATAATATATTTATTAAATTATCACTATAATCTCTTTCTATTACTAACTAGGCAAAAGCAACTAATTATTAAAAGGCCTATTATAAATCCCAGTAAAATATAAACACATTCCCATTTTGAGAATTCTAGATTCAATAATTCTGTAGGGCTTGGAATAAAATGAGTGTTTTCATACTCGTTAGCGGCTATAGCATTAAAACTATACTTTATAGGAAATAAATATTCTATCCAAGAAATCCAGCTTGCTAAATTTTTTCTAATAAAATAAAATGAATTTAGTTAAATTTAAAATATTTATTTATTTATTTATTAACTACCTATTTTTGAAAAATCCTCCAAACAAAGCATTAGGAACAAATATTAATGGGCTCATAAAAACAGCTGTTTTTACATCAGAAAAGATAGAACCACCTATATAACCAAGACTAAGACCAAGTAGACTATTTAAAATCAAGCAAAAAAAGTAAAAAAATACATTTCCTACTGTGCGATCATTCAATCCAACCATAAAAAATTCTATTTAGATAAAATTATAGCTTTTTATTATTTGAAAAAATGTGTTTATAATTACAAATTAGTCCATATAAAATCGGTGAAATTATTTAAGGTATTATCTCTATAGCTAGTCTTCCAAAAAAGTATGCATAAGGTGAATAAAGATTAGAACTATCTTCTCTTAAGAATACCTTCCTCATAGAAGGAAAAGAAACTGAGCAAGGCTTAAGCGACATCATTAATTAATTTATACAAACAAAAAAGAGAAGACCGTTCCTATCATTCATGTGTCTGATGCTGGTCGGATGATTACTTCCATCTATTGATGAATAAATAAATAAACTGTTTAAAATGTTAAAACTTAAAAATTAAACTTCAACCTTCTGATTAGAAATATATTAATCCTACAATTAATCCCATGATAATAGGGATTATACGAGCTCTAAAAAGTATAGGATTTCTTTTAACATTCTTTAATGATCTTTTAGCTAGTTGTTAAAGTTAGTATAGAAATGGAGTTTAAAACTTACAAGCTAAAATTTCAGATTTTTCTCTCTGCTCTATTTCTTTTTCAACTAGCGGTTTTAACAAAGACTCATATTTTTAGAAATAAATAGGATAATTCTAAGCATTTTTTTAATTTAGATGCATAAAACTCATGAAATAATCTGATTTTTTTAAAAATTAAATTCTTAATTCATAATTTAAAAATAATTAAATGTTTTAGAAAAAATAAAAAAATTATTTTAATTTAAATTTTTATAAAATTTTTTATTACCAGCTGGATTTTACATTCTCGAACAATTAAATCCTTAGTTTGAGAAGTAATTTAAAATGGCCTCATTACTTTTTCCTTAATAAATGAATTATCCTTCTACAAGAAGCATTATTCTATCAAACATCTACCATATATCTGAAGAAGGGCTGTGAATAGTAAATACAATAGTCTTTTGTCTATTGATGGTATATCTTTTTAGTTCAGCTATCAATAAATATATGCTGTGAAGCTTTAGAATATAAACAATAAAATTAAAATTCACTTTAAAAATAAATAATTTTACCTATCTAACCCTGATGTTGGCTCATCCAAAATTATTACAGAAGGATTTGTCACAAGTTCAAAACCAATAGATGTCCTTTTCCTTTCTCCTCCAGAAATTCCTATAAATTATAATATCATTAATTTTTAAAGAGAAATCATAAAAAATAAATTTTTATATAAATCTAAAACAAAATTAAGAGAAAGAATTATTTTTTCAATATTCCAATAAAAGATTTTTACCTTTTTTAACAAATTAACCTCCTATTAATGTATTTTAACATCTTTCTAATTTTAAAATCTTTATGGTTTCTTATACTACTCTGTCTTTTTCAAGTTAATCGCCTGATGTCTTTAGATTAGCTGCAAATTATAAGCATTCTTTTACAGTAAGTCTCTAAAAGAATATCGTCTTACATAACATAAGTACCAAAATCTGAAAATTTTCTGTATGTAATTTCAGTGTATTAGCTTATATTTTCCCACTAACAGAAATTGCCTTAGAGTTTTCTATCCTATCTGTTAACACATTTAGCAGCGTAGTTTTTCCAGCTCCAGTAGAACCTTTGAAAAGATAATAAATTAAAAATATTTACCTAAAATAGCAGTGATTTATGAAGACTTACAAATACCTGAAACATCTGAAAGCAATTATTTTTTTTCCTTGCTTTGTTTTAATAGTTACTGTGACATTTTAGAAAGTTAAGTCTATAAGATTTTTATTTATCTCCATTTCGTGAAATAGTTTTTAAAGATATTAAAATATGTTTATAATTTTTTAAATAATTTTTATAAAATTTTCACACCTAAAAATAAGGTATTTATACCTATCTGTAATATTTCTAGATTAATTCTATTTCAAATATAGATACATATAACTTTATCACCTTTATGTAATTTTAAAAAATCTAATTAAATCTTACAAAAATTTGATTGATTTAATAAAAATTTGATACACTAATAAATTTTATAAATATTGCATCAATTTTATTAAATTCTTTACTTATTCTAGAATTTTTCTAAGAAAAAAACTTAATTTATTATTTAAATAATGATAATATCAATAAATAATATTTAAACCTTCATATAAAATAAACTTAATTGATATAAAAAATTTAATTTAAAATATTTTTAAAAAGAATTGATTGATTAATTGATTAGCTAGTTAGGTAATAAAATTTCTTTTATATCATTTATTTTTATTTTTTTAAAACATAGAAAGCAATATTTTAAAAAATATTTTATTTTAATTATATGATATTCTTTAATATTTATTAATTACTTTAACAACATTAATTTTCATTTAAACAATTTTAAAAAGCTTTATTTAATTATAGAATAAATTTCATTCAATTTAAATATTATTATAGCAAGAATGGTAATACTTAATATAAAAAACAAATAAACAATTTTAATAACATTTTTTTTGTATTTTGAATAATTTCATTGTAATCTTTACTTTTTAATAGCTAAAAATATATAGCTTATGATTAGGTATCCAATGAATAAACCTAACAATATATATACTGATTACCATTTAGTAAATTCGAGACCGAGAAACTAAGTTGGATTTGGAGTAAAGTAAGTGAATTCATATTCATTCATAGCCATAGCGTTAAAAGTGTATTTTGTAGGAAATAAGTATGAAATCCACGATATCCATGGAGATAAATCATTTCTATATATCAATAAAAATTAATAAAATTAGTATAAAGTATAGATTTTTGAATATAAATTAAATTAGTGTTAAAATTCTATTTTTTCTTCGAATAAATGAATTAGTAAAAAAAAATACGAATATTTGAGGAAACCTCCAAAAAGCATATTAGGGTATAAAATTAGAGGATTAATAGCAATAGCAGTTTTGCTTTAATTAAATAAGGTACCACCTATTTATCCTAGTCCAAATCCTAGCAAGCTACATAAAACCAAGCTAAATAAGTAGAAAATTACGTTTTCTGATGTGTGATCGTTCAAACCAATCATATAAAATTCTTTTTATTTTTATTTTAAATGAATTTTAACTAAATTTAAAAAATTTAATTTTTACATATAATTCCAAAAATTATTGGTGCAATAATTTATGGAATAATTTCTATTAGCAATCTTCCAATAAAATAAGATAACACTGAGTAGAGTTTAGAATTTTATTCTCTTAAAAATATGGTGCTCATAGAAGGGAAGGTTAGGAGGCATGGATTTAGTGCCATCATTAACTAATTTACACAAGTAAAATAAAGAAGACCACTTCTATTATTCATATCTCTTATACTTGAAGGTTAATTGCTCCCATCTAATATATATAATAAAAGTTTAAAAATTAATAGATAACATCTTTATCATTTATTTACCTTCTATCTTAACATAAACTAAACCTAAAAAAATAGCCATAAATATTGCCTAGATGATACGAATTTTAAATAAAATTGGATTCCTTTTTACATTTTTCCAAGATCTTTTGGCTATTTGAATGATTTAATAATATATTGGAGTTTAATATTTGCTTGAAAGTATCATTTAAATCTATTTTTATTCTATTTCATTTTAAACAATATCGTTTAATTTTTCATAGCCTTCAAAGTATTTTGGAAAGTTCTTTAAATTATTTTCAGAAGCATTCATAATACTCAAAAAATAATCTTTTTTAATTTTTAAAAAATAATTATTAAAACCAATATGATTTAAAAGCACTTAAAATGAATTAATTAATTTGTTTTAACCTGCTGGATTCTAAAGCTTTGGGCAAACAAAACCAAAACTATTGAAATGACTAATAATTTTTTCATTGCTTGCTCCTTGATAGATAAATCTTCCATCTACAAGAAGCATTATTCTGTCAAATATTGACCATATATCTGAAGAAGGAGTATGGATAGTAAATATGACGGTTTTCCTTTTATTTTAAGCATATCTTTTCAGTAGTGAAATTAACAAGTAAGCAGTAAAACTAATTAAATAAAATATTTTATTGCTGTTTATTACAAATTTAATTACCTATCTAAGCCAGAAGTAGGTTCATCTAATATAAGGACTGTAGGATTAGTGACTAGTTCAAAACCGATAGAAGTTCTCTTCCTTTCACCTCCAGAAATACCTTTTGAATAGAATAATTACTAAATTAAAAATCAAACCGTTTGAAAATAAATATTTACCTTTAACAAATTATCCACCAATTAAAGTATTTTAACACCTCTCTAGCTTTAAATATTTTAAAGTTTCTTATACAATTTAACTCTTTTCTTATTGGCTTCCTTATAATTTTAAATTTGCAGCAAAATTTAAACACTCTTTAACAGTCATAGTTTCGAGTAGAATATCATCTTGCATTATGTAAGAGCCATAGTTGGAAAAAGCCTCAAAAGTGATATGCTCTTAATTAGCTTATATACTGCCTGATACTTAAGTTGTTTATGTATTTTGTATTCTTTTACATAGTGCATTTAATAGAGTAGTTTTACCTGCTCCAGAAGAACCTTTAGTTAAATAATATTGCTAAATATATTTAAAATTTTATAAAGGTTTTACCTAAAATTGCAGTTATTTCAGAATTCTTGCAAATACCAGATATATTTTTTAGCAATTGTTTTTAACCATTTTTTGTTTAAACATTAACAGTTAGGTTCTAAAATGTAATATCTATCAATTATATATTTTGGTTTTAGTCTAACATTTTTTAAAATATTTATTGACTTGAATTGTATGAATTAAATTTTATTTTAAAAGATAGATGAATGAATACATTTTTAAAAAGCGAATTTTACTTTTTCTATAGAAGTTCTGTCAAAGTAAATAATTTTAATTTAGAATAATGAATATAATTTTGTTAATTTCTGTTTATAAACTCTAGCTAAATAAATTACTTCACTCTACTTATTGATAAATTGTTACTTTTTTAATTTTTGTCTAATAATTTCTAATCAATTTTTATGTAATTAAAATTTCAGTATCATTATTATATTTACTATTATCTTTCTATAGAATAAAATTTATTTTCTAGAAATTATCTATCAAACTCTAACTCACCTAAATTAAATTTTTTTATACATTCGCAATTAATGTTAAAATTCCCCATATAGTGGCAGAAAGGTTGGCTGAGAGTATGAAATAGTTAGGAAGAGTACCCTCATAGTTCTATTTCTATTCTTTAAATTTCGATTTGCTTATTGTAAAGTAAATTACTTAATTCATCACTTATTATTTTTAAAAACTAGATTCAAAGATTAAAGTGGATTTTATGAAATAAAGTATTAATTTATGAAATCAATTGTAAAAGTAACAAATATATAGTTTATGTATGTATACAGAAAAATTTAACTACATTACTTTTTTAGCTAATACTTATATTATTTTTTTAAATATAATAATTTTTATATTATATATTTAATCACTATAATCTCTTTTTATTAAGAGCTAAGCAGATATAACTAATTAATAAGTATCCTGCTATAAATCCTAATTATATATAGACGCATTCCCATTTAGAAAACTCTAAATTAAGTAGTGTAGTTGGATTTGGAGTAAACTTACTATATTCATGTTCATTAGCAGCGATAGCATTGAAGCTATATTTAATAGGGAAGACATATTCAATCCAAGAAATCCAATCTGCAAAGTCTTTTCTATAATTATTTTTGCAGTAAGTTAATTAAAAAATATTTTATTAGATGAAATTAATTATTACCTGTTCTTGAAGTAACCTCCAAAAAGGGCATTAGGAAGAAAAATAAAAGGACTCATAATAATTGCAGTCTTGCTTTGAGAAAATATAGAACCTCCAATGTAACCCATACCTAATCCTATTAAACTGTTAAGTACTAAGTTGAATAAATAGAAAACGACATTTCCTGCTGTGTGATCGTTTAGTCCAATCATGTAAAACTCTTTTCGAATTTAAAAAGATATTAAAAAAAATTTTATTAAAAAGTAATTATTACAAATTATGCCTTATATTATAGGGACAACAATACATGGAATTATTTCAACAACTAATCTTCCAAAGAAATAAGCAAAAATAGTGTAAAATTTAGAATTCTATTCTCTCAAAAACACATTTCTAAATGTTGGGAAAGATAAAAGACACGGGTTAAGAGATGTCATCAATTGATTGATGCAAATAAAAAATAAGAGTCCATTTCTATCATTCATATCTCTAATGCTAGTGGGATTATTTGATCCATCTAATATTTAGAAATTAATTGATAAGTTTAAATTTAAATTATCATAAAATAAATATTTTACCTTCCATTTAGAGATAAGTTAGACCTAAAATTAATCCCATAATTATTGCTTAGAAAATACGAGCTTTGAAAAGAATGGGATTCCTTTTAACTGCATTAAAAGCTCTTTTAGCTATTTGTGAAATTTGATATAATTAAGATGTTGAATATTTATTCACAAGAATCTACGAATTTTATTTTTATTCAATTTCTGACTCAACTATATCCTTTATTTAAGAATCGTAACCTTCAAAGTATATTGGATAATTTTAAGTGTTTGAATCTTTAGAATGCGCTATGCTCATAAAATAATCTAATTAATTTAAATAAAATTTTCAATTTTGATAAAAATTAAGTGGAAAGATAATTAATTCAATCTAAATAACACTTTAAATAAATAAATAAAATAATACCGGCTGGATTTTAAAATTTTAATCATTCAAAGCCTATATTAATAAAATGTTTGATTATTTGATAGTTACTTCCTCCTTAGTATATAAATCTACCATCAGCAAGAAGCAAAATTCTGTCAAACATAGACCAAATATCAGATGAAGGACAGTGAATAGTAAAGATTACTGTCTTGCCCTTTTATTAAGCATATCTTTTGAGCTCAGTAATTAGTAGATAAGCTGTAAAACTATTTTAAAAATTAATTTTTAATTAATTTAAAATTAAATAAACTAAATTAATTTAATTAACCTGTCTAATCCAGAAGTAGGTTCATCTAAAATAAGTACAGAAGGATTTGCAACGAGTTCGAATCCAATTGATGCTCGCTTTCTTTCTCCTCCAGAAATACCTTTTGTATTTAAAAAAAATATTTAAATTATCCCAAAAAATTTAATAGTAATAAAATACCTTTTACAAATTATCCTCCGATTAATGTATTTTAGCATCTTTCTAATTTTAAATTTTTCAATATTTCATCTACAACAATATCTTTTTATTATTAATCACCTTACACCTTTAAATTGGCAGCAAATTAGAGACATTCTCTAACAGTCATAGTCTCTAATAACACATCATCTTACATTACGTAAGAGCCAAATTCTGAGAAATTTTCAAAAGTGATTTCATTTGAATTAGCTTAAACAGTTCCCCTGACCTAAGTTGTTTTATTATTCTATATTCTGCCACAAATAGTATTTAACAATGTGGTTTTACCAGCACCAGATGAACCTAAATTTTAATTTTAATTTGTTACAATTATTAAAGTGAAAATACTGAAAAAGCAAATTTACCTAATATAGCTGTAATTTCTGAGTGTTTGCAGATACCTGAGACATTCTTGAGTAATGATTTTTACCCTGTTTTTGTTTGAACAGTTACAGAAATATTTTTAAAAGTGATATCAATAGAGTTAGCTTTTTCAGAGTATAATTACATTTTATAATAATTATTTTATATTTTAATTTGATTAGAACTTTTTTAAAATCTTATTATTTATTTATTTCAAATTAATTAATTATATTTCATCATAGGATTTCATTTTTAAATTGATTTTAAAACATGTGTAAAGTGATAGTAATTAATTAATTCTTGATAATAATTAGTTTTTTTTAATAAAAAGTGTGAGATCAAATTTTATTTTTTTAGAAATTTTCTGGAAAACAAAATCTTAGATTCAAATATATCCCAAAACAAAATTATTTTTTTAAAAGCATTATTTTAATGAATGAATAAGTATTTAATTTATTGAAAAACTAAATGCTCAATAAAATACATAGGAAATTACATAAAATGTTTATAATTTCCAAATTATTAAAGAAATGATAAAATATTTAATACAAAAGTTTGATATTGATAATAAATATTTATGAAAAAAACAATATTTTGAATAAAATAAATAATTTATTATATAATTCTATAAGCTTATAAAAATAAAATCTATATTTAACTGGATATTTTCACTCAATAGCAAATAGCAGATACACATATTATCTATTTATTCATTAAATTACTTTTTGATCAGAATTTTTAAAGTTACAATTCAATTTTTCTTTCTATTACAAAGTATAATTACCTAATTAAAATAAGCATAAAAATAATGAATGAATAAGAAATTAACCATTTTTTAAATATATACCAGCTTACATAAAATTTAAAGAAATTTCAAATTTTTGTTTATAAGATAAAATATTTTAATTTTAAAATATTGATAACTTTATAAAAAAGCAAAATTTTTGATAAAAGAAATAATGTTTTCTATAATTCTTTCAGTTTAAAAAAATTATATCTATATGTATTAATATTTACCTTCTATTACATAGATAATTATTATTTAATTATTTGTAAATAACTTTTTGATCAGAATTTTTTAAAGTTACAATTAAATTTTTCATTTGATTAAAAAAATTTCTTATCAAACGTTTCTATTTTAATTTTTTTCAAGAAATAATATGTAAGCTCACAATAATTGAAGTATTAAGATATTTTTTAGCTATTTGATAGATAATTCTATATTAAAAAACAGCGAATTAACTAAATTTAATCTATTTATCAGATCTTTTTAGTGAAATAAAAACTAATTATTAAATAAATTATATTTAAATTGAAATATTATATTTGGCTTTTAGATTGAATCTTATATTTTCTTAGTTGAGAAATATTATCTAATAATTTTTAAATTTATCCTTTATTTCAATAAATTGCTAAATATTAATATACTACATTTTTACGTTACTATATTTATTTAATTGAAATTTAACTCATTTTTCTAAATATTTTTCAATATGTTATTAAGATAAATTATATAAATTAACTAATATTAAATTAAAGTAATAAAAAACTAAATGCCTTTATGTTATAATAATTATTTTATCGCATAAAAATATTTATAATATTATTACCGTAAAACCTCATTCCCTCATCCCTAATTTCACGTGAACGAACGAACGAGAGATGGTGAGGAATTTAGTAAAAAAAAAAGGTTAAAAATTATTTTTTTTAAGTGGTTGGTTTTTTAAAAAGCATAGCTTTTTTCAAAGAAAAATTTCTCTCTTTAACTAATTTTAATAGAAATAAACTAAAATTTTTAACTTTAAAATGATAAAATAATTTGAATATTTAATTTTTAGAATGGTAGTAATATTAATCAATGAGTTGAAGATATAAACATAAAATAATTACACTTATTTACATTCGTTAATTTTATTTATTTTTATACACTTGTAGTAATATTAATCCTTTTTCATTGCAGTGTCTTTAATGACCTTTTTAAAAAGAAAAAAGCTAGAATAAGATAACCCAAAAACATTAGGCATAAATAACCAACTGCTTCCCATTTTGTAAATTAAATATTTTCTGCTTCAATAGGATTAGGTATAAAATAAGTTTGCTCATATTCATTTCTAACAAATGCTTGATATGCGTAATTAAAAGGGGAAATATACTATACCCATGAAATCCAGCTTGCCAAATCTCCACTAATTAATTAAATTAATAAAATTATAAAGGTACTTTAGTTTAAAAAATCATTTACCTATTCTTATAAAATCCTGAGAAAGGGAACAATGGTAAAGTTATCAATTAAGCTACACCATATGCTAAATTTGGATCTTTAAATAAACAACCTTCAAAATATCCAGCAGCAATGCCAGTAAATTATAATATTATCATAATTAAGTTGAAGAATAAGAAAGCTTCAAGATTGTTCCTCAAGCCAACCATCCAATAAACTAATTATTTTAAATAGTTTTAATTTATTATAGTTAGTTAATTAATGAGATTTACCTATACAGCAGAATATAATTGGTATTATAAAATCTGATACAAGATCAACCAAAAGCTTACCAAAAAAGTAAGGGAATATTTTATATAATTTTGAATTTTCTTCTCTTAAAAAAACCTATCTTTCTGTAGGAAAAGATAAAGTAGCTGCATTCATAGATTCCATAAATGCTCCTGTGGCAAGAAAGAATAAAAATCCATTTTTATTCCTTGCATCTACTATATTGTAAGGGTCATTCTCACCATCTTATTTGTTAAACAAAAACTCAGTAATTTTATAAAAAGGTTAAATAAATAAATTACTTGGTAATTAATAGTAAATCAATCCTAGAAAAACAGCCAAGATTGTAACTTATCCTAATTTAGCCTTAAAAAGGATAGGACTTCTTATTTATATTTGAATAGTTCTCACAACTATGTAATAAAACTACATATAGATAGGTATAAATTTTTAATTTGGGATAATTTCTTATTTATTTGAAAAGTTAATTTGATATTGAACACTGTCTTTAATTATTTCATCATAGTTCTTGAAATATAATGGAGTGTTTATGACATTTATCTGTTTATCTTGACTCATTAGTGACATATAATAGTCTGTTATTAAATGTTATTAAAAATTATCACTAATTAAAAAAAAATTAATTACCAGCTGGATTTGAAAAAATTGGGCACTCAAAACCTTATCCTGAGAAATATTTCTAAATTTAGTTTCCACCAGACCCTTAATAAATAAATTTCCCATTAACCAATAGCATAATTCTGTCAAACATATTCCATATTTCAGAAGACGGCTAATGTATAGTAAAGACAACTGTTCTCTTTTTTTCATGAGCAAATTTTCTTAACATGTCTATCAAAATGTATGCATTGAAACTGATTTTATAAATTAAATTATTTTATTTTAAAAAATTATTTTTAACTGAAATAAATTACCTATCTAAACCTGAAGTTGGTTCATCTAAAAATATGGATTATGGATCACAGACAAGCTCGAAACCTATAGATGTCCTTTTTCTTTCTCCGCCTGAAATACCCTTAACAAACTATCCACCTATCTAAGTGTTTTAGCATTTTTCTAGTTTTAATTATTTAATCATGTCATTCACTAAATCATTTCTTTTCTTTTAACCCCCTCTAACTTTCATATTTGCAGCAAAAGTAATACATTCTCTTACAGTCATGGTTTCAGTTAGTATATCATCTTGCATAACATAGTTAGCAAATGAAGAGAAGGATTCACTTGTGTAAGGTTATCCATTTACCAATACTTAACCCTCTAGCTCATTACTACTTAATTTAGTTATCCTCTTAGTTATAATGTTTAAAAGAGTTGTCTTACCAGCTCCTGAAGAACCTATTTAAGAATTTTAATTAATAAACACAATAAAAGAATGATCTAATTATACCTAAAATAGCTGTAACTTATGAGTTTGGAAAGATGCCATCAATACCCTTAATAATCTCTTTTGTTCCTTCCCTGGTTTTTATAGAATACTTAAGATTTTAGAATGTAAAATCAAGCTGGTTTTGATTATTATTAATATATTCTTCAGAGTGAGTTTTATTCATTTTAAATTTATTTTTAATTTCATTTATTTAAAAACTCTCAACTATTTTTGGATGTATTTAAAATTTTATTTTTTTTTAATTTCTTTAACTAATTGTAAAATTTTATTAACTCCTGATGAAATCTTTTGAATTTACAAAATTTGAAAAAGTAATTAATCTTAATTACATTTAAATTTCTTCTTTTTTTCTATTTTTCTTATTTCTAAAAGAAAAAACAATCATTATTTATCAAAAAGTTTTTCAGGATCACAGTTTTTAAATTTTCTATTTTGAAAATAAATTTAAAAATTTATATGGATTTTTGTTTCAAGCTAAAAAGTTATCTAATAAATAAATAAATTATTTTTGTTGCGAAAAATAACCTATAGAAATATAACTTCAAAGCATTCATCCAAGTTTTTGTTCTATTTAATTATTAAAAATCTAATTTACTTGAATAAATTTAATGGCTTTTAATGAACAAGCTTAAACCAACAAATATAGATAATTATATGAAAAAATAATAATTTTTATATCAATTAGATTAAAAATACCGTAAATTATTGAAAACTATATATTAGTAGTATGTACTTGAAGATTTCAGATAATTAAGTAAGTTTTCTATTTATAAAAATAAGATTTTTTTATTTATATATAAAAGTTAAATATACAAAATAATTGTAGAAAAAATATAAATTTTAGGAATTGCAGTATTATTAAGAAGATAATTTGAAAAAGTGAGAAATATATATATAATTTATATATGTATTACAAAGTAATTTAATTATATTATTATATAAAGTAATAATTTAAAATATTTTTTGATATTTGAATATATTTTTCTTGTATTAAATGTTTATTCACTATAATCTCTTTTTATTAAGCACTAAGCAGATATAACTGATTAATAAGTATCCTACCAAAAATCCTAATTATATATATACACATTCCCATTTGGAAAATTGCATATCAAGTAATGTAGTTGGATTTGGAGTAAATTTAGTATATTCATATTCATTGGCAGCGATAGCATTGAAACTATATTTAATAGGGAAGATATATTCAATCCACGAAATCCAATCTGCAAAGTCTTTTCTATATTAATTATTGCAATAAATTAATAAAAATTATTTTATTAGATGAAATTATTACCTGTTCTTGAAGAATCCTCCGAAAAGTGCATTAGGAAGGAAAATTAATGGACCCATAACAATTGCTGTTTTACTATGAGAAAATATAGCACCTCCAATATAACCCATACCTAATCCAAGTAAGCTGTTAAGTACTAAACTGAATAAATAGAAAATGACATTTCCTGCTGTATGATCGTTAAGTCCAATCATATAAAATTCTTTTTGATTTATAAAAGATATAAATAAAAATTATATTAAAGTATAATGAATTATTACAAATTATGCCATATACTATAGGGGCTATAATAGAAGGAATTATTTCAACAACCAATCTTCCAAAGAAATAAGCAAAAACAGTGTAAAGTTTAGAATTATCTTCTCTCAAAAATACTCCTCTCATAGATGGGAAAGATACAAGACATGGGTTAAGAGACATCATCAATTAATTAATGCAAACAAAAAATAAAAGTCCATTTCTATCATTCATATCTCTAATGCTAGTGGGATTGTTTGATCCATCTAAAAATTAGAAAATTAATTTAAGATTATAAATATAAATTGTAAGAAAATATATTACCTTCCATCTAGAGATAAATTAGACCTATAATTAATCCCATAACTACTGCTTAAAAGATACGAGCTTTGAAAAGAATGGGATTCCTTTTAATTGTATTAAAAGCTCTTTTAGCTATCTGAGTAATTTGATATAATTAAGATGTTGAATATTTATTCACAAGAATCTATGAATCTTTTTTTTATTCCATTTCTGACTCAACTATCTGCTTCATTTAAGAATCGTATCCTTCAAAGTAAATTGGATAATTTTTAGTGTTTGAGTCGTTAGAATGCATAATGCTCATAAAGTAATCTAATTAATTTCAATAAAAAATTTAATTTAGAAATGAAATTTTTATAAAATAATACCTGCTGGATTTTAAAGTTTTGGGCATTCAAAGCCTATCTTACTAAAATGTTTGATAATTTGATCGTTACTTCCTCCTTAGTATATAAATCTACCATCAACAAGAAGCAAAATTCTGTCAAACATAGACCATATATCAGATGAAGGGCTGTGAATAGTAAATACTATTGTTTTCCCCTTTTCTTTAGCATATCTTTTGAGCTCAGTGATTAACAGATAAGCTGTAAAACTATTTTTTAAAATAAATTTTTTAATTAATTTAAATTAGAAAAAACAATTTATTTTTAACCTGTCTAACCCAGAAGTTGGTTCATCTAAAATAAGCACTGAAGGGTTTGTAACAAGTTCAAATCCAATCGATGCACGCTTTCTTTCTCCTCCAGAAATACCTTTTTATTTTAAAAAAAATTTAATCTACTTCAAAAAAATTTTGTTTTTAATAAAATACCTTTTACAAATTATCCTCCGATTAATGTATTTTAGCATCTTTCTAATTTTAAATTTTTCAAAGTTTCATTTACAACTTTATCTTTTTCTTACTAACCTCCTTAGACCTTTAAATTAGCAGCAAATTAAAGACATTCTCTAACAGTCATAGTTTCTAATAATACATCATCTTACATTACGTAAGAGCCAAATTCTGAGAAATTTTCAAAAGTGACATCTTTTGAATTGGCTTGAATAGTTCCGCTAACTTAAGTAGTCTTATTATTCTATATTCTGCCACAAATAGTATTTAACAATGTGGTTTTACCAGCACCAGATGAACCTAAATTTTGATATATTACAATTATTTAAGTGATAATACTTAAAAGAAATTTACCTAATATAGCTGTAACTTCTGAGTGTTTGCAGATACCTGAGACATTTTTGAGTAATTATTTTTATCCAGTTTTTGTTTGAACTGTGATAGAAACATTTTTAAATGTTATATCAATAGAGTTAGTTTTTTCTGAGTATAATTACATTTTAAAATAATTTTTTTATATTTTAATTTGATTAGAACTTTTTTTTAATCTTTGAATTTAGTTAATTTGATATTCATTATATTTCAAGAAAGCATTTCATTTTTAAATTAATTATAAAACATGCATAAATTACTTTTGTAGTAAATTATTTCTTCCAAATTTCTTTTTAATTTGACTATTTCTAAATTCTGATGATTTGCTAACAATTTTAGTATAACTCAATTTAAAAGATGTATATCATAATACTTTTTGATTAAATATATAAGCTCTAATTAATCTGATATTTTCTTTTTGGTTATAAAGCGATTTATTCTGGAAATTTTTATTTAATAAGAAATTAATAAAAAATGGATTATTTATTAAAAAGTGTAAGATCAAATTGAATTTTTCTGGAAGTGTTCTGAAAAAAGAAATCATAAATTTTTTCTCAAAACTTTTTCATATCATAAATAATTAAAAAAATATTCATAAAAATAATGAATTAGAATTTAACTATTAAGAAATAAATTATTTATTAAATACATGAGAAGTTGGCAATAGTTTCTTCAATGTAAAAAACTATCCAAATTTTTAAAGAGAAGATAAAAATTTGACATATAAATTGTATATTTATTAAAAATATTTAAAAATAAACAAGATATTGAGCTTTAAAAATAATGTTTAATTTATTTCTATCAATTTATAGAAACTTAATCTACATATATGATTTGCCTAATTTTTTAACATTAATTACAGAGGCACTTATTATTTAATTTACCCAGTTGACTTTATTATCAAAATTTTTTTAAATCTTACAATTAAATTTTTCATTTAATTAAAAATAATTTGATACCCAGCTATTTCATTTTAATTTATTTCCTGAAATGAATATCAATTTAACAATATAAAATATGTAACCTAACAATATTTGAAGCAATTGCTTTTAGTAAGGTAATTGCTTGTTGTCTGATAATTGATTTTATATTAGATGATAGAAAATAAACTAAATTTTAGCCATTTATAAGATGTATCATGTAAATTATTTAATAATTGTTACTTTAATCATTTTTAAATTTCAGGATTTAAATTATCTTTTTTTACATTAAATTCTGTAATGTATGATTGAAAAATATTATCTTATCTATTTTAATTAAAAAGAAAGAAAATTTAGTTTTTAGCTTAAAATTAATTATTTATGAATTCGTCTATTTTATTTTGTTAAGCTAGGCATTCGCATGAATTTTTTGTTTTATTATTAAATTGATTTCGTTTATATATTTTTTAATAATTTATCAGAATTATTTATATTTTAAGAAAATCTAAAGAAAAAATAAATATGATTAAATTAAAAACCATTTTTTAAAGTGAATATTAAAATAAAAAAGCTAATCATTCTAAAGGTTAGTTAGAACATCGAAATGATAAATTTAAATATTACTTTATAGTTAGAAATTAAAAATATTTCATTCATAATGTTTACAATTTAAAAAAAAGATTTTTAAAATTATCTTATTCAAAAAATATATCACCTTATTTCCTCATTACCTTGAAACCTGATATTTCTTACTTAATAAATAAATGAGTTTGAATTTTTCAAGTTTTTAAGCTTGTATTTATTTAATTTTAAAACATATTTTAGTTTTTGTTTTTTGTATTATATATCATAATTATGTAGCTTGTAATTTAAGTAAATTATTTAGTGTAAATATAAATGTCTTTAACATTATTATAAAGTAGATTTGATTTAAAAACTTATTAACGTATTATCTACTCTTGTTATATTTTTAATGAATTAATTAATTAATAGGTTTTAATGTGAATTTATTGATTAACCACTTTTTTATTTTTAAAGCAATAAATATTAAGGCTTATTAAAACTTTTCTCAAAAAAATAAATTATTCTACAAAATAAAAGTAGTAAAAATAAATTTTAATAATATAACATATTCTAAGGATTTATTTATTTAAATATCCAGTTTAATTTTAAAGATAAATACTATTAGTTAAAAAGATAATATTACACCTTTCTTTTAATTAAACTAAAAACTATTTAATCATAATACCTTTTTTAAATATAAGGGTTTGTTTCCTTAAGATAATTATACTAAAGGTCTCCAAATAAAATAGGCTTAATACTTTGATAATAACATATTTTCTAAATATCATCCTGCACTAGCAGTTAACTTAAAAATATCAGTAAAAGGAGATAATCAATTAGTTGATGATTTAATCAATAAAACTCCTTTAATTTTGAAGATTGTATTGTAAATTTCTTAAAAATTAAATTAAGTAAAAGTGAAAATTAATTTTTTTTCTTTAAATAGTATTTACTATATTAAATTATATTGTTTTTAGGCTTTATAAATTAAAAATTAATATTACAATCTTTATCAGATTAAAAATCACATAATCTAACATAAATTTCATATGTTTTGATTTAATAATCATATTATTTATAAAATTTTGATTTTAAATTTAATTATCTTTTAAAAATTTTAATATTTATTTATACTGTAGCTATTTCTCTGTATTTTATTTTTAAGCGTATATTATTTTATTTAAATTTTAAATTAATTTAAAATTATCTTTAATAATATAGTTAGCAAATGAAGTGAAAGAAAGACTCAATTGTGTGAGGTTATCCATTTACAAAACTTAACCCTCTAGTTCATTACTACTTAATTTAGTTATCCTTTTAGTAATAATGTTTAAAAGAGTTGTCTTTTCAGCTCCTGAAGAGCCTATTTAAGCAAATTTTAATTAATAAACACAAGAAAAGAATAATCTAATTATACCTATAATTGCTGTAACTTATGAGTTTGGAAAGATGCCATCAATACCCCTAATTATCACTTTTGTTCCTTCCCTGGTTTTTATAGAGTACTTAAGATTTTAGAATGTAAAATCAAGTCGGTTTTGATTATTATTAATATATTCTTCAGAATTCGTTTTAACTATTTTTTGATTTTTTAAAATTTTATTATTTTTAAATTTCTTTAACTAAATGCAAAATTTTTTTAACTGCTGATAAAATCTTTTTGAATTAACAAAATTTAATTAATTTTAATTACATTTAAATTTCTTCTTTTTTTCTATTTTTCTTATTTCTAAAAGAAAAAAATCAATCTTTAATATCCAAAAACTTTCTAACTGATTAGCAGTTTTTAATTTTTCTATTTTGAAAATAAATCTAAATGATTTTTATTACAAGCTAAAAAGTTGGCTGATAAATAAATAATTTTACCAAAAATTTATTTTTGAAATATAACTTTAAAATATTCATTCAGTTCTTTGCTCTATTTAATTTATAAGAATCTAATTCATTTGAATAAATTTAAAGGCTTTTAATCAGCAACATATCAATAATGATGATAAAAAATAACAATTTTTTTTTGAAAATTCGATTAAAACTTATATCTTAAATTCTTAAAAATTTATTGTAAATATGTACTTTACAGAGAAATAAAAGCATTAAAACAAAACATGTATCTAGTTTTATATAATATATTTAATTGATTCATTTATTTTATTTTAAGAAGGTCCATGATCTTCACTATCTTGTTTATCATCTTCTTTTATTATTTGAATTACCTTTTTTTTAATAATTATTATTGATTGATAAAATAGTATTTATGAAATATAAATTAAATATTTATTTATTAATAGATAGGATAATATTAAATCAATTATTTTTAACATGGCCTTGATTATAAATACTAAAATTTTGTTTTTATTTCTATTTCTGCTAATTTATTTTATAATTTTATTAAAATTAGCTATATGTATTATGATAGAGTATATCAGTGCAATCGCAGTATATTCCAAATTTATTGAAAGTTGGTATTTAATTCTTGAAATAATAAAATTATTTTAAATTGTAGAACCAAAGTAAATTTTAGGAAATACAGTATTAATTTATAAGATAATTTGAAAAAGTAACAAATAAATATATAATTTATGTATGTATTACAAAGTAATTTATTTATATTGTTATATAAAGTAGTATAATTTAAAATATTTTTTTAATTTATGAATATATTTTTCTTGTATTAAATATTTAGTCACTATAATCTCTTTTTATTAAGCGCTAAGCAGATATAACTGATTAATAAGTATCCTCCCAAAAATCCTAATTATATGTAAGTACATTCCCATTTAGAAAATTGCATATCAAGTAATGTAGTTGGATTTGGAGTAAATTTAGTATATTCATATTCATTTGCAGCAATAGCGTTGAAGCTATATTTAATAGGAAAGAGGTATTCAATCCACGAAATCCAATCTGCAAAGTCTTTTCTATATTATTTTTCAATAAGTTTATTAAAAATATTTATTAGTTGAAATTATTACCTGTTCTTGAAGTATCCTCCGAAAAGTGCATTAGGAAGGAAAATTAATGGTCCCATAATAATCGCAGTTTTGCTTTGAGAAAATATAGCACCTCCAATATAACCCATACCTAATCCCAGTAAACTGTTAAGTACTAAGCTGAATAAATAGAAAATAACATTTGCTGATGTGTGATCGTTAAGTCCAATCATGTAAAATTCTTTTTGAGTTATAAAAGATATAAATAAAAATAATATTAAAATATAATTAATTATTACATATTATGCCATATACTATAGGGGCTATAATAGAAGGGATTATTTCAACAATCAATCTCCCAAAGTAATAAGCAAAAACTGTGTAAAGTTTAGAATTATCTTCTCTCAAAAATACTCCTCTCATAGATGGGAAAGATACAAGACATGGGTTAAGAGACATCATCAATTAATTAATGCAAACAAAAAATAAAAGTCCATTTCTATCATTCATATCTCTAATGCTTGTGGGATTATTTGATCCATCTTATTTTTAAAAAATTAATTGATGATTCTAAACATAAATTGTTAAAAAATATATTACCTTCCATCTAGAGATAAATTAAACCTATAATTAATCCCATTGCTACTGCTTAAAAAATACGAACTCTGAATAGAATTGGATTCCTTTTAACTGTATAAAAAGCTCTTTTAGCTATCTGAGAAATTTGATATAATTAAGATGTTGAATATTTATTCACAATAATTTATGAATCTAGTTTTTATTCAATTTCTGACTCAACTATCTGCTTCATTTAAGAAGTGTACCCTTCAAAGTATATTGAATACTTTTTAGTGTTTGAATCATTTAGAATGCATAATGCTCATAAAGTAATCTAATTAATTTCAATAAATATTTAATTTAGAAATAAAGTTTTTAATTTTTATAAAATAATACCTGCCGGATTTTAAAGTTTTGGGCATTCAAAGCCTATCTTACTAAAATGTTTGATAATTTGATCGTTACTTCCTCCTTAGTATATAAATCTACCATCAACAAGAAGCATAATTCTGTCAAACATAGACCATATATCAGATGAAGGACTGTGAATAGTAAATATTACTGTCTTCCCTTTTTATTAAGCATATCTTTTGAGCTCAGTGATTAATAGATAAGCTGTAAAGCTATTTTTTAAAATAAATTTTTAATTAATTTAAAATATAAAAAATAATTTATTTTTAACCTGTCTAACCCAGAAGTTGGTTCATCTAAAATAAGCACTGAAGGGTTTGTAACAAGTTCAAATCCAATCGATGTGCGTTTTCTTTCTCCTCCTGAAATACCTATTTTATTTTTTAAAATATTTAATCTACTTCAAAAAATTTGGTTGTAATAAAATACCTTTAACAAATTATCCTCCAATAAATGTATTTTAGCATCTCATTAATTTTAAATTTTTCAAAGTTTCATCTACAACTTTATCTTTTTCTTATTAACCTCCTTAGACCTTTAAGTTGGCTGCAAATTAAAGACATTCTCTAACAGTCATAGTCTCTAGTAACACATCATCTTGCATTACATAAGAACCAAATTCTGAGAAATTTTCAAAAGTGACATCATTAGAATTAGCCTAAATAGTTCCGCTAACTTAAGTAGTCTTATTATTCTATATTCTGCCACAAATAGTATTTAACAAAGTGGTTTTACCAGCGCCAGATGAACCTAGATGTTTATATGTTACAATTATTTAAGTGGTAATACTTAAAACAAATTACCTAATATAGCTGTAATTTCTGAGTGCTTGCAGATACCTGAGACATTCTTGAGTAATTATTTTTCTCCAGTTTTGGTTTGAATTGTGATAGAAACATCTTTAAATGTTATATCAATAGAGTTAGTTTTTTCTGAGTATAATTACATTTTAAATTAATTGTTTTATATTTTAATTTGATGAGAACTTTTTTAAATCTTACAATTTACTTAATTTGAAATTGATTATATTTAAAGAAAGGGATTCATTTTTAAATTAATTGTAAAACATGCATAAATTACTTAGTTTTTTAATTTCTTTCAAATTTCTATTAAATTTGACTATTTCTAAATTCTGATGATTTGATAACAATTTAAGTATAGCTCGCTTTAAAAGATGTAATTCATAATTATTTTTGATTAAAAATATAAGCCAAAATTTTTCTGATATATTCTTTTTTGATTATTATTTCTTTAATAAGAAATTAATAATAAATTGCCTATTTCTTAAAAAATACAAAAAAAATTGAAATATTCTGAAAGTGTTTAAAAAAGAAATCTTAGATTTTTTCTCAAAACTATTTCATATTATAAATAATTTTTAAAAATATTCATAAAAATAATAAATTAGAATTTAACTATTAAGAAATAATTTATTTATTAAAAAAATGAGAAGCTGCCTAATTTCTTCAATTTATATTAATTTCCAAACTTTTGTAGAAAAGATAAATATTTTAATATATTAATGGTATTTTATTATAAATAAAATAAACAAGATATTGAGCTTTAAAATAATATTTTATATATTTCTATCAATTTATATAAACATAATCTACATAAGTGAATTGGCTAATTTTTTAAATTCATTACAGATGCACTTATTATTAAATTTTCACAACTGATTCTATTTAATCAAAATTTTTTGAATGCTAGAATTTCATTTATCATTTAATTAAAAATAATGTGATACCCAGCTATCTCATTTTAATTTATTTCCTGAAATGAATATCACTTTAACAATATAAAATATGTAACCTAACAATAATTAAAGCAATTATTCTGGTAAGATATTTATCTAATAAATAATTACATATTGTATGGTAAAGAATTAGCTAAATTTTAGCTACTTAAAAGATGTATCAGATAAACTACTTGATAATTATTAAATTAACCATGCTTAAATTTCAGGATTTAAATTATCATTTTTAAAATTAAATTCTGTAATTGTATTGTCGAGAGATATATCTTATCTATTTTTATTAATTGTTTTTAAGTTCGTCTATTTTATTTTATTAAGCTAGACATTTGTATGAAATTTTTTGTTATTATTTAATTAATTTCGTTTATATATTTTGTAATAATTTATCAGAATTAATATTTTAAGAAATCAAAAGATTAAATAAGATTAAATTAAAAAACATTTTTTAAAGTGAATATAAGAATAATATAGTGAATCAATTTAAAGGTTAGTTAGAAGATCGAAATGATAAATTAAAAATTTATTTTAAGTTTACATTTATCTAATTTTTAGAAATCCAATTACAAAACATAAACTCTTCTTATTTAATATTCTAAAAGTTCTATTATAAATTTTTACAACAAAAATAAATTAAATGTTTTTTAGTTAATATGTTTATTTAGAAATAAATCAAAACTTAATTTTATATAATTAAAGTAATTTAAAAATAATAGCATGGAATATAAATTTGGAACTAATAAAACAATAAATTAATTTCTAAAGCTCAAATATTTGACATTAAAGATAAGTTTTAGTTTTTTTTTGTATTATATATTTTAATTATGTAGTTCATAATTTAAATAGGAAATTTAGAGTAATCATAAATATCTTTACGTTGTTACAAATTAGGTTTTATTTAAAAACTTATTTAAGTATTATCTACTCTTATTATATTTTTAATGCATTAATTAATAAATTTTTATGCGAATTTATTGATAAATGACTTTTTTATTTTTAAAATAATAAATGTTTATGAGTCATCATATTAAAACTTATCTTCAAAAATAAATTCTATTTAGCAATTTAGTTATTTAGGAAATAAAGAATAGTAATATATAATTTTAATAATATTGAACATATTCTATGGATTTATTTATTTGAATATCCAGTTTAATTTTTTTAAGATAAATATTACTCATTAAAAAGATAATATTATATCTTTCTTTTAATTAAACTAAAAATTAAATTAATCAAAATACACATTTTCTATATTTTTTGGATAATATACTAAGAAAAGAATGAAAAAACCTATTTTATATGGTTGCATAGTATGCCCTTATACAAACAAAGTAAGATTTGCTTTAGAAATGCTTAAAATTGACTATAAATATCAAGAAATTGACATTCTTACTGGAAAAAATAAAAATAATTCTTATCTATAAATTAATCCTTAAGGTAGAGTTCCTTCATTAACTACGATTAATAACAAAAATTTATATGACAGCTAAGTGCTCTTATAGTACATAGAGGATGAATATAAAGGTTTGTTTCCTTAAGATAACTATGCTAAAGGTCTCCAAAGAATATGGGTTTAGTACTTTGATAATAACATATTTTCAAAATATCATCCTGCACTAGCTGCATATTAAGAAAATAAATAAGACTTATTAAATAAGCTATAATAAGAAACATTTGAAAATATGAAATTCTTTTCATAGAATTCTGGAATCACATAAAAAATAAAATTAAAATAAAACTGTTTTTATGAAGGAGGAAGCATTCCTACATATGCAGATGTAGCAATAATTCCTCATTTAAGAATTATGAATATATTTTGGAAGCACTTTTTAAACAAAGATTTATTCTAATCAAATAAAAATGATGAAGATGTATTATCCTTAAAGCAATTATATGAAAATATACATACATTGGAAAGTTGTTAAAATGTTTCTTTTTAATTTAAATAAATACCAACAAAAGGAGATAACCAATTAGTTGATGATTTAATCAATAAAAACTCTTTCAATTTTGAAAATTATATTGTAAATTTTTTAAAAATTAAATTAAGTTAAAAGTGAATGATATTATTTATTTTATTTCTTTAAATAGTAAATATTATATTAAATTATATAGTTTATAAGGTTTTTAAAAATTAAATATTTTTTTTTCAAATAATTTTATAAAAACTAAAATAAACAAAATTACTTTTAAAATAAAAAGAATATACAATTTAATATATATTATGTATTTAACCATACTATATATGAATATAAAAGATTATTTATTTTTAAATTTACATTTTTAATTATTTTACATTTTTATTAATAATTTTTATATAAAATATTTATTTATTTATTACTTCTAAAAATTTTCTTACTATATTCAATATTTACAATGCTCTTGCTCAGTAAATGAAAAATCATTCACCTTTTCAGCATTTATTTTATCAATATGCTGTTCATCAAAACTTTTTAAATTGTTTGCATTTTAATTAGTTAGTTGATTAGTTTAATGATCATCGTCTTCTTCAATTATAGGAATTCCGGAAGGAATAAATTACAAATTGTTATTTAAATAATTATTATTATTATCAATTTCGTTTTCTTAAGGGCTGAAAACTTTAGAAGGATTGATAAATTGATTGTATAGTTGCTTTTTTTAACTTTATAATTAAATATGATAACTATCCATAATATAATCTCCACTATCATATTTTTTTTCGTTCTAATTTTACCCACTGCTTTCAGGGTAAAATGAAGTAACATTTAAACTTGAGCTTTAAGTTTTAATGGATCTGCTTCTATCATTTTCTTTATAGGCTGAGTTTAACTTAAAGTTTGAATTTACTAAATTTGTTTCTTTCTTGGAACTTGACAAACCTTTAAAAGTGTTTTTCTTATCACTCTCAAGCAATGGCATTTTAAATCTATTTAAAAATGAAATAAAATTTTTTAAAATTTGTATTAATGTTGAAATAAATTACGCTGTGTTTTAAATTTTTTTGAGTTCACTGTCAATAGCAATTTCAAAGCTCTTTCTTTGGTTTAAAAATGACATAACTTCAAAATAAAGATCATTATTTACTGATTCTTACTCAAGAGATTTCTTCATATTATACTCCTTAGTCATTTTTCTCCATAAACTTTTTTAAGAATAAAAAAAGATTAATTTAAATAAAAAAATAATTAAAAATGTTTACAAGAATGATTAGAAAAGATGTTTTTGTCTTTGCTTAGTTAGAATCTTTCCTAAAGCATTCCTTTTAATTTCTTTGTAATTTCTTTTTTCCAAAACGCTTGCGCTGTATTCAGAAATAGAGAAAAGACCTTCATATTTCTGTTACAGGATTTTTTTAGAAGAAATCAGTTACAGTTTTAGACAGAATATAGTTAAAGCCTTCGATTTATAGTAAATATTTCCCACTTATCTTATTTAGTTAAGAGCACAAGATAAATTATATATTTGATTCTATTGTTAGAATTTGTTTAATACACTTGCAAATTTATCTAGCTTAGTTGAATAATTAATTAATTTCAGCTATTTAAAGGCTTACTTTTTAGCTTCGAGAGCAGCATTTTCAACTAAATAAACTACACGAGTATATAATTACTTTTATTTGTTGTTAAGATCATTCATAGATTGTAAAACTTCGTTCATTACCTAAATTTCTCCTTGCTTTTAAGAAGCTTAAATTGCTCTTTTTTTTGCTTAGCTGATTTCTAAATTTTGATATGTCTCAACATATATTTTGCTCATTTAATTTTCTTTCAAAATGTTGATAAAATGGAGATAATTTGGAAGTAGTATTCCATTTTTCAATATTTTAGCTAATTTTGATACAAATTATTAAGCTTTTCTCTTCTAAGAGCTCAATTCTTTCATTTGATTGAATGCATAGCTTAAATATTCCTATTACTATCTGATGGAAATATTAGAAACAATTTACATAAGAGAGCTACGTTGCTAGCTGACCAAGTTAATTTATTCGAAAGCATTTTAAATTAATCTTTTTAAGCCTAGTTTAGACTTACGATTTAATATATTTGCTAAATATGAATACCTCTATCTTAGTCTTTAAGCCATTTCTTCCTAAGAAATCAAAATAGGTTGCTGGATTTTTATTGTACTCAATCTAAAAGGAGTAGAAGTATTAAGCTTTATCGTACGATCGGTGGAAGGAGAAGGTATGATTTACTGCATTCCTTATTATTAGTAGTTTTAAATTTAGCTAAATGAAGATCTATTGGCTTATTAAAGAGTTGGGTCTACTTAATTTAATTCATTCTACTGTTGCATTATCTCTCTCTTGCTCAAAGGAGATACGTATCTGTTATCTTACTCTATGAAGGTTTGTATTTGTTATGCCACAAACTGATTTGATTATTTGATATCTTGATAAGTATCTAAATCGTAGTCACGAATTGTTTCAAAAGACTACTTAATTAAATTATAATAAGGAACCCTTAAAATGGAGACTAATCTCCTAATCGTTTTAGTTTTAGCTTCACTGTATTGCTTTATTTTAATAAATGAATCAACTAGTAACCTTCTTTCAAGCATAAATAATTTAAATCCTAATTTACGAGAGGCTTTTTATCTTATTTCTGCATTCTTGCTTTGCTTCTAAATTGAAAAAAGAGCATTTCTTTTTTATTTATTGAAGATATTTTACAATACCATGAAAATTACAAGCATCTTATTAGCATTTTATTTATCAATCTATTTTATTCTAAGAAGTTTATTCCAAAAGAAATTAAAATTCTCCTTTTCTGTAAAATCTTTCATTTTTTACATATTTTTAACAGCTTTTTATATTGTTTGTATTTTTTTATCATTTTATTTTAAAATTTCAACACCATCTCTTAAAATTATTTTATTTATTAATTCTGACATATTCTGAATTAATTTTTATTTTTTTATTTCATTTTTAATATAAGTAAATCCATAGCTAATATTTTATTTTTTACGATTATCAAAGACTGCTTTAAGCTTAACACTAAGCATTAAGTAGAAACTTTTTGACTAAATTTTTCTTTGCTTGCTCTAGTAAGCATCAACTAGCCTATTGCTTTTTAAGTAGGTTATAGCAAAATTTACATTTTCCTTTAATTTCTTTTGGAAAAAGTTACTGAATAAAGAAGCTGCTAAACGCCTTTTAACAAAAGTGTTTTTACAAGCCCATTTGATCTAATTAAATGCATCACTTTAAAGTTTTTATTGGCGGTTATTAAATATTTTAACAAATATTTCACTCAATTTTCCAAGTCTTTTCTATTACAAATCGTTTCTCTTTTATTTAATTTAGAATAACTTTCTGAATGCATCTTACTTACGGTTCTAAAATAACTTTTACAAAACCCCTTAAATACGGTAAGCTATTGCCTTGTTATTAAGTGATTTTGATTATTCATACTTTTTAGCACCACTTTCACTCAATTTCTTAATTATTTCTTTGTTTTTTTAAATTTATTATTCTTAATTTAAAGATAAAAAAGCACTCTTTAAGTAGTGCTTTTATTTATTTCTCAGCAATGAGTTGATAGTTAAAATAGCAGCCCTCTTCCTAGCATTAGCCAAATAAATCTGCTTAGATGATATTTGAATTTAGGAAAATGCTTGTTAAATTCTAGTTTTAATCAAATTGCAAAATACTTTTTTTAAAAGAAAATTCTTTTTGTTGTTACAATTTTCTAATTACATATTTAGTTTGTAGAGAGAATTTAAACACTCCCTCTTCTTTCTCTCAGCAATTTTCCTAAATACATCTTATAACTTCATAGCTAAAAAGTGATATTAGCTAAATTTACCCTTCACAAAATTTCTTGAAACTGTGTAAAGAGACCTTAAGTTATTGAAGGCAGTTTTTTTGTTCTAATATTCTTTATTCTATATGAAAATTAACAAAGATCTGACTTAAGTCTAAAGTGCTTTATTATCTATAGCTGCTCTCTAAATTTAAAAGAATGCCGACCTCTTTTTCTGATGCAACTAGCAATCAAGATGGTAAAACATTCTGTCAATCTTTTCCTTTTTATTAAATTTGCTATTTCCATAGCTACTGATTTTCATGAATGCTCCAACTAGATTACGAATTCTAACAGAATTTACTACACGGCTTGCCATGTAGCAGACTAACTCGTATTTAACATAGATGTCAATATATTTAATCATTTTCATTTCCTTCTTTTTAAGTAAAGTTTCTATTAGTCTATCCATTCCTTTTGATATTCTCCTATTTCTCAGCTCTTCTTAAACTTCGTTTCTTATTTAGTTCTTTTCTTCGTATATTAAAGGCTTTTTATCCTTTTTTTATTCAATTTACTTGACTTTATGAGACTCTTCCTGCTCTTCAACTTTTTAAACCTAAAAGAATTAGTTCCTCATTTGGTTTAAATTATTTGTTATTGGAGACTAAACTGACACCAATTACTGCTCTACAATGCTATCCTATTCCTTTTCATTATAAAAAAAATAATAAAATTATTATCCTTAAATTTTTATTTTAAATTACTTGCTAAAATGGTCTCCATACTACAGTATTTTAGCTAAATTACTTATTTAAGTCTATAGACTCAAAAAGTTAGTTTCTAGTATTATTATTTTCTAGATAGCTAACAGTTTATCTGATGCCAGCTTCTTCTGCTTATCTCAAAAATTAAACAGGATTTAGACTAATTCTATGGAAATTTGCAGTATCTAAATTATTTTAATGACTATTGTTATAACTGCTATTACAATTTTTAAAAGAGGGACTGTTGAATTGAAAACTTTTCCTTTATTCAAAACTTCTTTCTAATAATTTAGAATTTGGACTTAAATTAGAATTGTTTGTTGTAAATTTATTTGAAGGAACATAGCTTGATTTTATTGGTGAGGTACATACTCTTTAGTAATTTTTGATTGCTATAAAATATTAACTCATCTTTTTGTAATAAAATTCACTTAGTATTCTAGAGAACTATTTATCATTTCTGTTGCTGCTTTTCCTAAATGTTTCTTATAAAATCTGTTAAGGTGAAGCTTTTTTGAGCTAAAATTTCAATTTTTTATTTTCTGAATTTTAATAAGAATCTTGTTGACTGTCTTAATTGGACTGTAAAACAAATCTAGTACTTGACATGCTACTTAGTGGAGTTGATGATTGATCATTTTATTCAGATTAAGATGATTGTTCGGATATTTGAATATTATTCTACTCTTTTTACTTTTTCAACGGATCTATAAATATTGATCCTTTTTTATCTAATAAAATGCTAGAACCTAACAAGCTTTTATTAATACGAGCTAAAACTTATGTTGAAGGTCTCCACTTTTACTGATTAACTATGCTAGGAATTAAATTATTACTGCTATTAATCTAAGTGTTTGTTTTTTCTACAGCCCTTGAGGTAGTTATTGGAGATTTAGATTGAGTTTTTCTAGCTGAATATCCATTTTATTCTATTAGAGGTATTCTTGTACAAGAAGAATACTACGATGCCAGCTTAATAAAAAATATGGCCTTTTATTTAAATTATTTATCTTCTATTAATTATTATATGCTAGCTATTTTCATGCATCCAAAGGCTTTGATAAACTATTTGCTTGGTATTTTTTGCTAAGGTGTTTCATATAAATTTAAGTATTGTTGAAGGTCTTCATTGCAGCGATTTGCAAGTCTTCCCTTTTCTTCATCATACTAAGTAACAGTTATTTATATTTTTTCACTAATAGGTTTCTTTTTTGAATACTTCAGCAAGGTTTAATGAGTATCTGGTTCGTAAAACTATATTTTCTTGAGGGCGAAAGACATCATTTCGAATGGATGTATTCTAATTACTCTATGCAATTTGTTGAAAGCTATAGTATAGATCTGATATTTGTTATAATTTTTTTTAATCTATCTAAATGCTTGCTTCAAAGTAGCCATTCTAACTAATTCATAGTTTTTAGTAACAACTAAATCAAGTAAGCGATTTCTACGTATTTAAGAAATACTAATTGGCTTTTTTTTTGTGGATTGCTTATCATCAATATCAGATATACTTCTTAGCCCTCTTTTGGCTGTCTTTAATTAATCTGGAGTTTTTTATAATCGAGATTTATCCAGTTGGCTTTGCAGATTTTATGATTTAAAAAGGATGCTTTACGATTGCAGCATAGAATTATTCTAGCTGTTATTATTAGATATCTAATTAATCTAGCTTAAATTGATAGATTAAGGAATAATGAAGTCTTAATTGAAATTCTAAACACTGTGTATGCTACTTGACAATATTTCGCTTGCATTTGAATTCTATATAAGGTGTGAATTGCTTTCATAAATATGATTATTTTCTTTACTTGTCCTTATTGGGCTTACCTAATAAGTTATTAAATATCATGCTTTTTAATGCTTTTGCTAAATTACTATGAAAAAATTTACTGATTAATTTCCAAAGACTGTTGAAGGCCTTGCCCTTTCATACCATTTACTTTTCCTTGGCTAAGGAGTTAGATTCATTTATAAATGCTATACCTTCTATGAACCTTGTTACTTTTGAATAATCCTTTTCGATTGGCTATAAACTTAAAGTTAAAAGCTATTTCGTTTGCTTTTTTTAAGGTCTTTTTACTCTTTACTTTCTAAACGTTTAATTTATTTGTTGTTAAATTTTGTCAGCAAGAGCTGATTTCACTTATTTGTTAAATTATTCTTAATCTTAATTTCTTTTTAAAATGTTATATATTGTCTGGTAACGTTAACATTTTTCATTATACTTACATAATAACTTTTAGCTTGTAATTTTATGGCCAATTAGAAATTTTCATTGCTAAACAAATTCTATTAATTTATTATCCTTAAATTTTATTTTCACCATTTATTTTATTTTATTTTTAAAGAAGATCCAAAATAGAATAACAAAAATTTAATCAATTCATATTTAATTAAAATAGTAATTTTAAAAATAAATAGATATTCTTAAATAAATTCTATTTATTATTATAATCTACAATTCTTACTATCATTTATATATCTCTATTTTATTTTTATTAAAAAAAAAGCAATATTATTTCGTATTTACTAATAAAATATATTTTAATTATATATATATTGTATTTGTTAATTGAAGTTATGTTGAATTAAAAATTTTAAATACTTTAAATTTCAAAAAAGTAATAAAAAATTCTATTTTTTAATTGATTTAAAATTAATTAAATTATTTATCAGAATCTATAATAAATATTTTCATCTAAAAGAAAAACAATATTAAAAAATAAAGACATTACTAAAAAATAGTGATGACATACCACTAAATTTTAGAAAGGCATTTAGCTTTTTTTTATTTGTTAATATTTATAATTCTTCTTAAAGGTATTTTTAAATTAAAATTAAATTTCAAATCTTAATTATAATAATATTTAATAAATTTAAACTGTTCAAGAATTAAAATTTTCTATTTTAACAATATAGATTTTTGATGAGTGAGAGAGAGAGTGAACAAGTGATATTGCTTGTAAATTAATTTAAGTAAAGAGCATTTTTTCAAATAGATATATAATTCAATTAGCTGAATTAAATTGCGTATTAATTTTGTAAGAAGATATCTAATGGAATTAAGTATTTTAAATATGTTGAATGATGATGATTATCTATGATTCAAAGGGGAATATTGGAATATATTTAGAAAGATACCTATGCCTATCTATTTATAAAGAATGCATAGAATACCTTTTGAATATTAATTAAATGGAATGAAGTTTTTTGAATTGATTTTTTTCTTATGTAATTTTATTGAATTTTTTTGCTAATGTAAATAAATGAATAAAGGAATTGGTTTTTTGACTGAATTTGAGTATGAGCATGATTCATTTATTTAAACAGAAAAGAAAACTACAATTTTGATTTATTGAAAAAAGTAGTCAAAAACAAAGCAAAAAAATAAAAAAGAAACACTTTATCAGTCAGCAAATAATCATAAAAGAATAAGAAAAAGCAAATCTTCCGTGCTAAGGCAGCAAAGATATTGATTGAATATTGTGTTATTTTTTGAAGCTTTAGAGAGATCGGTGCATAAAAGTTTAATTGATAGAGCAAGAGGAATAGCAGCAGCGACTCATTTGATAATAATAAGGCAGAAGTTATACAAAGAGAAAAACATAGAAGTCATTAAAGTTATTATTTGCTTATTAAAAGTAGACTTGTTAAGATCGTATTAATAAAGGAATAAAAGCTTATATAGTCTAGCAAGAATATAAGAAAAATAGTTTTTTTTAAAATTAAAATTCAAAGACAAATCAAGAAGTGAAGTAAAAAAGATAATTCAACATTGAATCTTTCTTTTAAAAATATTATTTCTTCTTGATATTACTTAAATTTAAAGCAGTGTAAATTTAGAAAGAAGCTTACTTGTGAAATTTACAATCTAAAAAAGCGACATAAATTTAGTATTGAACTCAATCTGAAAAACTAAATTTTTTGCAAGTAATGAGTAATAAATTTGAATATCATCTATAAAATCGATTAAATTTAGATCCTCTTAGAGCAACATGTCTGCGATATGCAAAGACTTTTTCTAAAGTGGAACATTAATTTTAAAATAAAGTCTTCTTTTAGTTCGATTCTGAGGGAGTTTTGTTAAAAGCTTTAGATAGGAATTCGCTTAATATCGCCTAAAAGTAGTTCATGCAATTGAGTAAAGTAAATTAGATAGAGATATTGACATATAATGTAGACGAAGAAGAATATAAATAAGTTATCTAAAGAGATATTAAAAATTCTAATAAGTATAGTAAATGCTTCATGTAGTTAATCACATATGAGGCATTCAAAAGTATTGCATAATAATTAAAAAATTTTGGGTATGAAGAACCGATGAAGTTATATGAAAAATATATGAAATCTCATCCAAAATTTTCATTTTTACTTTGTAATGAATAATAATTTACAAGTGTAAAGGCAGATTTGCTCAAGCTTTTCAAGGGGAGAAGCCATTCTTAATCTGCAGCAATGACATAAAATTAATTTTCATCATCAAGCCATTTATCTACTTAAAGTCTAGGGGGCAATTCTCAGTAAGCGATAAACTATGGGTCAAACAAAGATTCTTTTAATTAGTCATAAATTTAATAAAAGATTTTATAATGCGGATTTAATAGTATAGCAAGCAATGCCTAAAGCAGTGCAATATAAAAGTCAAAAAGCGATAATACATATTTAGCTGGCAGTAAAGGTAATTAAATATATAAATAAATGTTAGTTATTAAACAGAGAGAAATTAAATAAAATAAACTCTCTTTTCTTAGTTTTAACATTCTTAATTTAGATTCACAAGTAATCTAATCTAATATAATATAATTAATTTCATTCTCAATAAATCTAAAATATAACTTAAATTAAATAAATCAATACATTCCAATCATAAAATACTGTTTAAAATCATTAGCTCTTTCCAAATCATTTTATATTTGCAAAATGAATTATCTTAAATTTTAGGAAATGTCTTAGCTGTTAAATTCATGCATTCATTCATTAATTCTTTACTCTTAAAGTTTTTCAGCAAATAAATAAATTAAAAAGTTAGTAGAAATATCAAAAATAGTCTGGCTATCAAATTGAATGATTAAAATTTGGCAAAACATTTGTATTTGATTTAAAATTATCTATAGATAGAACAGTATTTTCAAATAGATTAAATAAATTAAGATGAATTTAGCTGTGTTTTTTATTCATTAGTCAATTTTTACCTTATTATTACTAATTTTTGCCTCTGATTAATAATTTAATTTTAAAGAAAAAATTTATATTTTTTTAATTTATCGAGATTTTTATTTTTTTGGCAAATCAAATCAAACAAATTATTTATTGAGAACAAAAGCAAAATGCATTTATTTCATTTACAAAATAGACTACAATTGAACACTTTCCTCTTGTTTGTTTATCAAATAGTAATAATATTATTTTAAATATTAGGTGCTCTGTTGAATTAGAATAAGAATATGAATGCGCATTAGTAATAATAGATTAATTCTAGGCAATAAGATAATAAGTAATAAAAAATCAATAAGATTAATTTTAATAGCTAATAAAACCAATAGGATTAATATACTAAGGTAGAGTATGTAAAAAAAGAAAAAAGTAACAAATCACAAACAGACTTGTGTTAAAATAATAATTATAAAATGAATAATAACAAAAATAAATTTGATAGTAATGATTCAATAAATAACGATATTTATACATCAGATGAAGAACGCAGTAATAGCTGCAATAGATAGAACAATAAAAATAATTAAAGATTTAGAAATATGTATTAAAATAATGAAAGAAATAATCGAGGATATCCTGTTTAGTCGCAGTCTCTCAATCATTAACATAATTATAATAATTAAAAATCATATTTCATAAAAAGAGATCTGCAAAGTTATAGCAAGACAGGCACTGACACTACAACAACAGGAAGTCACCATGAATTAGATGGAAATGTAAAGAAGTAATAGTAAAATTATTATGATTATGATGATTAGGATGAATATTATGAAAATAACTATGACGATTAGAATGAATTTAATAAAATAAATGATTCAACTGATGTATTAGATACAAATGCAGAAGAAAATCAAGTTGAGTACCATTTTTAGAATGAAATTTTTCATAAAGTTTATTAGAAAAGCAGGGGAAATCACCATAAAAAAAATATCTCATCAAACTCATCAGGAGTTTCTTCAAGGACTCCTTCACTTTCTAATTCAGCTTAGAATGATTCACACATCTCAGTTGAATCTGAAGATTCTAATTATTCAATCAAGGAATATATGTATCCTGAAGAGGAGCAAGACTTACAAAAGTACTAATTGATGAATCCTTAGGAGAAGACTTAAAATTTTTATAATCTTTTTTAGTAATAGAACAAAATATTGTAGGAAGAAGATGAAATTAAAATTTAAAATTAGATTAATTAGTACGAAAAAGTTAATAGTGAGAGCACGGCCTGCTCCTCTTCATCTTCATCGTCTTCATCTTCCTCTTCCCCAGCAACCTAATCTCCTTAATAACCATAATTATAATAATAGTAATCTTCCTCTCCTAATACAAATTAAATAGTAATATTGGTTTCTAAAAATTCGCCTCACTTAGATGCAAATTAATCTATGAAATTTTATAAAAATATGAACAAAAGCTCAAAATAGTAAATTATAGATTCAAATAGTTGTAATGATTTTGATGGAAGTATAGCTAAGATGCAAGAAATATAGGAAATAATTAGCAAAGGAAACTAAATTATTTTGCTTGATCCTTTAGTATATTTGTGGCTTTTCATTTCTGGAAGAATAAAACCAGAAAAAGAAATAAAATTTAAAGTTTTTGAAGAGAATAAAAAGATCATTGCCGTAGAAGGGATAGATCAAGATTTATTAAAGCAAGCATGCTGCTTATCATACGAAAATTTATAAAGGATAGCAACAAATCAAATAGATTAACTTAAATAAAATGAAAGATTTATAGAATTAAAAAATAAATTTGAAATGCCTCATTCTTCGGAAGGTAGCGATACTGTATAAAATTTATCTAAGTAATCAAGCTAAGAAGAGGAGCAAGATGAAGCTAAAAAAATTCATAATAAAATTAAGAGCAAAAGTAAAAGCTTAATTATGCCTGGAAAAATTTTAGAGCTTATTACATTTGAGTAGTTCAAGGAGTATTTTAAGAAATTTAAAGTAAAACCCATAATAAAGATGTGTACCGAATAATTTAAATAAATCAATCCAAAAGACAAACAAAAAGGATGCATTTTGTTTTTAACTCCTTTCGCTCAGCATCAGTCAAAGTAAACCAACGAAGATATTATTAAAGAAATTAGCTGCAAAATAGAATCAATATTTTGCCAGATTGTTAAGTTACAGTTATCTAAGCAGATAGTAGATTAGACAAAGCCATACTACTAGTATAGATAATTCGACATAAAGGATGTCAGAAAGGTATCTTCTTTGAATGACGCTGAAACAGCCTTCATATCAGAATACAAATATCAGACTTATTGCTTAAAGCAGTATCTTAAATTGAATGATAAAAAATTAAATAAAATTATTGCCAACTACCATGAATAGGCTGTAGCTGACAACCCATAATTTACTCAAACATATGCTATATCTGTAGTAGCAAAAGGCTCAGATCAAAAGGAAAAAGAACTCTATGTATTATCAGAGTTGATGTACATGAACTTAAAGAATGCACTTGACGACAAAGTTTTTAAAAATGAAAGTTAACAAGTTGAAGTTTGCATTTAGTTAGTAAATGCTCTCTTCAATCTACATTCAAAGAGCATAGATGAATTCAAGTTATTCCATGGTAATCTCAAACCAACAAATGTGTTGTTTGACGAAAATCTCTCTCTTTATTTGTCTGATGTTAACTTAGACCCTATCGGTTGTCCTAACGTTTAAAATTTTAAATAAAGCTAATCCTCTTCAACATCTTTAACATTCCCAATCTAAAATATCTCTCAGAATATTAATGAAAAAATGATGGGATTACCTCAAAGCTCATCAAGTAATCTAATTAGTAGCATGAACAACAGTTTTAGCAGTGTTAACAATACAACTAATTAAAATGGTGTCAACTAAAACTTTTACTGTGCTCCTGAATTATTCAAAAGTGACCAAAAATTAAATAAACCATCTACTTATTCTGATATATGGAGTTTAGGCCTTTTGCTTTATGAGATCCTTCAAGGAGCATCTCTGAAAATTGACAATAAGAAAAAAATAAAAAAGTTGTAGTATGAACACTTTTCAAAGAACTTTGTAGGAATGAAGAACATAATCCAAAAATGCCTTTCTAAAGAACCTCAGTAGCGCCCTTCTTGCGAAGAAATTCTCAGTGAGTTGTTAGATATACAAAAATCACTCAATAACTAAAAAGAAAAGTGATTTGAAATATTGAATACATTTATATAAATTCATTCATCTAATTATACTAATCCATCATCCATCCATAAACATTCATAAAAAAAATCAAAAAACATATTGATTTTTAAAAAATATTCTTGCTTATTGGATAAAATATTAATCCATAGCTTAAAATAAAAATTAGTATCTAAAAAATAATTATATACTTACTCATGAGTAAGGAAAATGATCATTTAATAATTCTAGCAATTCCATTAACTATGCTTTTAAAATTCCAAAATTTAAAGAATTCTTTTACCAAAATAAAAATTTTCTTATCCATGCATACAAAATAGGTTTGCTATTTATTTAATTTGCTCATTCCTTCTCTTATAATGATTAAAATAAAAATATTTGTTTTGTTTCTTTGTTGCATTCGTTTGCTACAAGTAATAATTTAAAAAAACATTAAAAAAGCAGAAAATAACAAAAAGTATTCTGCTTCCTAAATAGTTACAATTATTTTATTTTACTTTCTTTCTTTCTTTCAAATTAATTCTTCCTTTTTTTTATTTAAAAAATTTATTACAAACCTTTAAAACTAAATTAATTAATTTGTTCTTCATTTTAATTTAATAAAAAATATATTTAAAATATTTCATTAAAACTAAATTAAATTATTTAAAAATACTTTCTTCAACATTATAAAAAATTTTATAAGATTTATATTTAAAATCAAAATGTTTGTAAAGAAATTGGACAAGCTAATTATTTTATCTAAAATAACTTCATTTATCATTATTGATTGATTTATTATGATTGCTTCAATAAAAATTATTTTTATTGAATTAATATTTTCTTCATAATTTTGGAAGTGGTTTACCACCTCTCCCTGCTTTGTTATTTACAAAGTTAGAAGCTCCTTAAGAAGTTTCACCCTTTAAGATGGCTAAAGAACCTCTATGAAATTCTGTTTGGATTTGTTAATCGAAATTAATAAAGGTATTTTCATAAAGACTTTATCTATCAAGTTGCATGCAATATTAAGGGTTTCTTATTATTTCTTTACAGAGCTCTATTGACTTCTCTAATACACTTTCATTATCGCTACAAAGCCTATTTACTAGACCCCATTCATATGCTTCTTACCCTTTAACTTCCCTCCCTGTTAGGACCATATCCTTGGCTCTATTAAAACCAATAACCTATAAAAAATAAGATTAGCTTTTATAATAGCTAATAAATTTACTCTTTATAGTCTAACAGTGCCTCCATCTATTAATGGCACTCCAAATCTCCTACAGAATACTCCAAAAACGCATTACCTATTGGAAACTACCATGTCACACCATAAACTTAATTCAAGTCCTCCTGCAACTGCAAACCCTTCAATTGAACCAATAACAGGTTTTTTTGTAAGATATCTTGATATTCCCATAGGAGCTTTGCTCTAAAAATGCAAAGGAAACATTTCCTATATTTTGCTGGGGTGCATAATTTAAGATGCTTCCATCAAATCAAATCCAGCACAAAATATACCATCTTTTGAAGCAAAAATTGCTATAAGTGCTTAAGGATCGTTATCAAAATCTTAAAAGGCCTTCAATAATTCTTAAGCTGTTTCAGAATTAACACAATTTCTTTTTTAAGGTCTGTTAATATTGATCACAACAATTTTATTATTTTCAATCTTTTTTACTTCAATATTTTGATACATTTTTAGAATTTTTTTTAATACAACTTTATCAAATTTTTTAATTTTTACAAAAATCAGAAATATTATATCAAATATTAATCCTATGAAGTCATTTATGATGCAAATATTTGATTAAAACCAAAATGTCTGACATAAATCTTTTAGAAAAAACTGTATTTTAAATAATATATTAAAAAATCTTCATTAAAATAATTTGTTGTAAGTTGAGTTATCCTAATCTAAATAACATTATGATTTTTAAAAATATTTTAATATAATTTTAGTTTAAATTTTAATTCTTTTAAACATAATTGAAATGAGGAAGGAATTGAATTAATTTTAAAATAAGTTTGAAATTTTTTAAAAAGAAAAAGAAATTAACTGCTAAAAGTTTCAATCTCATTTTAAATAAAATTTGTTTTATTGTTTAGCTAAATATTTAGAACCAAAGAATAATTTAGGATTGCAATTTTTATTAAAATTATCATTTTTAATTATTGTTAATAAATAAACTTAGTAAATTTCTATCTTTTAAAAGACTGTTTTAAACATTTTTCAATAAAATAAATGAGAATTTCATATAAAAATACCATAAAATTTCTAAAAATATAATATGACATGTAAATATTATTAAAAAGTTTTAATTATCTTACCTTGATGTAAAACTAAAAATAAAACTGAATGCATCTTATTGTGTATTTTTAATAAAAAAATACTTTTAAAAGAATTTTAAATATTAAATTATCTATCTAATGTTTGAAAGTGAAATTTTATAACATAAATTTATTTAATTTCTTTAAAGAGATTTTTTGAATGATATTTTTATTTAAAATAAAGAACTTTATTGTTATATTTTAGTTTTAAATTGAAATTTCTAACTATTCAGTAAATTAAATTTTATTGAAGTTTTTATTTAAGATAGATAAGGCATATAACTATTTGAAATAATAAAAACTTGTTCAAAGTAGTTATTTAGTGTTAATAATTAATTTTGAAAATATTTCAATTTTGTTAATCAGACAGATATGTTTTTAATATTTTTTAGTAAAGATTTATGGAAAATCAACTCAATTTATTATTTAAAATTATAATAAAGTGTTTTAGTTTAAATAGTAAAAAACACATAAATAAATAAGAAAAAGAAAATCTAAAAGGAACATTAATTAGTCTATTGATAATAAATAGTTCATTTATTAATTACCTTCAAGAGAATTATTGAATTTTTAAGCACAAACTTTCAAAGAAATTTTTAATTAATTAATTAATTAAATCAATATTTGTTTAGCTTGCAAGCAAATAATCAAAGAGAATAGCATTCAACTAAATTACAGTATAATAAATAGTTAATTAGTAAGTGGTTACTTATTTAAGAAGTTATAGAGGATTTGCACGATAAATTGGACATAGTCAGTAATAAGAAAAGCATAGAGTAAATAAAAGAGCTTAAAGAATTGACAGGAGCTGTATAGTGGAGATTTCATTTGATACAAAAATAACAAAATATCCATAAAATTATATAATATCAGAAAAATCATCAAACAAAAGCAATATAGATACTGAAAAAAAGGACTAAGGTAGAATTATCAATCTCTTAGAGGAGAATAGTATAGTAAACTAAGAAAAAATAGGATTTTCAAATAGAAAGTAATATAAAAAGATTAGGACAGGCAAATATAAGATTATTAAAATCATCTTTAAGGTGTTTAAAATACAAATAACTACTGTATGATTACAGAAAATATTGATAAAAAATATCCACAGAAAAAGCAGTACTCAGACCTTTCAGCAGTTCGTGCAGCATGCTTATTTGTGGTAAAAGCTTTAAATAAGCTTGTAGAAGAGATGAATAATCAGGTCTACTTTGACTTTGATCAAAATGGCTTGATTTTAAGAGCCACTGATAAAGATTCATTGCAAAGAGCTAGTAATAAATTAGAGCACTGGAAAGAATAAACTTCGATAGGTATTTTGACAGATAGCATTTCTAAAGAAGATTATAAAAAATTTATAGACTCAGACTTGCAGTCACTTCTCCGTTAAGAGAGAGCATTTATAAATGTAATATCTTTTGATAAATTCTTAGCAGCATGCGAGTTTTTAGAGAAAAAAGGCTACAAAGAGCCTCGCTAGATGTATGAAGAAATATAAGCAGAAAAAAAGAATTTTGCACTCTTGATGTGTACAAAGCATAGATTTAAAGAAATAAAGGAAAGGATCGAGGCAATGCTAGAGCCATTAAGAAAAATAAAAAAGAAAAAGAAAATCACTTCATCTTTAAAGCTAGCATCTACATGGGATGATGTTGATGACAGTAAATAAATCCGTTTTAATTATAAAATAATTCTCTCCCATTTTTAAATTTGTTATTTTGTGATTGCATTTTTAAAATTTCTACTTTGCGTAGTGGGGCACCAATTAATCAAGCAAAGCACAAAAAAATATTTTATGCATAAAAGCGTAGATAGTTAGGTCATTAGAAAATTGATAGACGAATTTTATACATATCTCAAACAAGCAAATTGGATTTTAAATTGAAATTTTATTTAATAATATAAAGTATCAATAGGGACTCAGGCATTAAAGCAGGAAAAAGATAATGTAGTTTAGCCATTAGATACCATAGGATTTCAGTAAGTAAAGAAGATAGACTAATAGGAAAATGAAGAGTAAATAAAATAATTTAATTTTCTTTAAAATAATTTAAGGATAAGCTAGTTAGTAAAATAAAAACTACAATCTAAAATTTTCAATCTTTTTGTTGAGTATATTCAGAAAAAAGTATTTTTTGGTTGTTTAAATAAGTCATTATGTCATTCATTAATTCATTTTATTTTATATCCATTTGATTGTTTAGCTATAATATTATTAGTCAGTTTTTTGAAAAATAATTTTGAAGCAAATATCTTTCTTTCTTTGTTAGTAAGTAAGTAAGAAATAGCAATAAGAACAAAATATAACATAATATAAAATAAGAGTCATAAACTAAAAAAGTATGTTGATTGATAGCAGTAAGCCATAATTATTGATAATATTCATAAATCACCTTTAATAATAGTGTTAAAATAATATTATTGCTAGTTTAACATTTATTATTCAAAGATGGAATGAATTAATTATTTTATTTTATCATAATGAAAGAATTTTAAAAGAATTTATATAAACAAATTTAGCTCCATTAATTTTTGATAATTATTGAATCATTTAACATCATTAATCCTTTCATTATCCTAGTCATCTAAATGAAAATGTTAAAAAATATTTAGAAAAAAAAAATTATTGTTTATTTAAATATAAAAAATAATATAGTGTTATAATAATTTTTAAAATAAATATTAGATTAGCAAAGGAAGAATATAAGAAAGAATTATAGTATAAAATAAAAGAGTCTACTATTTATGAAATTGTGGTTTTAGAAATAGAGCAATGGCTTAACTATTTTCCTGAGATACTTCAGATTTTAGAGGAAAGCGAGAAAATTAAAAAATAGGATGATGAAAAAAATTTTAACATATAACTAATTAGCCAACATTTTTAAGCAGAAGAAACTAATTAAAATCACTATATTAATAATAATAGCAGCTTTACTTCATAAATAGAAGTAGGATTTTTGCAGTTAAAAATTTTAAAAGAAACATTGTCGAATGAGTAAATAAAGTTAATTGATAAGATAAAATTAAAATGTGGGTCATATTTAGATCATATATTATAAAATAAGCCAAAGGAATTTGTAAATTATTTATTTAGTGAAATGGAGCCAGAAGAGAGAGAGTATTTTTAAGTACACACACTTAGATAATTATTAAATGACACAACTATTCTAATTGATAATTACCAATCCAAGCCCTAGATTTCTTAAATGAGTACTCGAAAAAGAAATATTATATTCAATTTAAAAAAATATATAGAAAAATTTAAGGAAGATTAGTTAGTGGTTATAGAAAATGATGGGACCATATATAATTAATACTTCCTCATAGGAATAAAAAATATTCATAAATTATTTGCAGAAACTGTCGATAGGACTGAAATGATGTTTGCAAAAGCTTGTGCAACCAACTTCAGCAACTAAAATCACAATAATAGGCATCATAGTGAGTCTGATAGTGAGCACTTAGATCATTATGAAAGTAGAAAATACAGCTTAAATGGAAATGATTTAATTTAAATCAATGAACCTAGTAATAACGATTAAATAAATTAGCATAATGGTAATAATTAAAATCACTAAAATTAGTTTAACAGCCAAAATTACCATCACAACCATAATCATCATAATAAAAATGCAAATAATTCCTTTTAACAAGATATAGAAATGTAAATTTATAAAGCAGCTGTACTCTTTTTATAGATAAATTCAAATTAGATTAATAGCAGTAATGGTAACAACAGTAATCCTCCAGCCTAGTTATAATAAGATGAAATAGCTTTGACATAGGTTGAATCTTCATAACTAATTCCTCATAAAAGTAAAATAAACTCAGTTGAATTCTAAAATCATCCTTATTATTTAAAGAAATTCTAAGAATAAGTACTAGAATATGTAATTGAGATAGCTTAAAAAAATAAAATGTTTTCAAGTAACAGTTGTATTAAATACCATAAGATTATATAAATAAATTCTCCTTAACAGACCCAAGATATTGATTAATCCCAATAGAATTATAAAAAAGAGTTCGGTATTTTAATGGATAGAAAAGAATTTTGCTTAAAATACTTAATAGAAGAAGGTTTTTTATTTTCGGTTTATCAATAAATTGATATTTCTATGAAAATAGTTAAATGCTTACACGAATTACACAATTAAAGAGAAAAAAGAGGAGCACACTGCAATTTAAAACCTAATAACATAATGCTTGATATGACTTATAATGTATATCTAAGCGATATGGGAATTGACCCAAAAAAGAATGCAAGTTACTATTACTAATTTGAGAATAACTACTAAAATTCACTTATCATTCTTAAAAATAAACTTAAAAACTAGTTTTTAAAAACAACAGATTAAATTATTTAAACAAGTATTGAGAGTTATAAAAATCAACATCCAAATTTCGGAGTCAATAATTAAAATTAGAATGTATAAAACTTTACGCCTGATGCACAATTTAAATAAGCATTCACATAAAACTAGAATATATTTCTTAATCAACTAGCTGATTTATAAGCGCTAGGTCTTATTTTATATGAAATATTTACAGGGCAATCAATATCTGCTGAAAATTATTTTCTTAAAAATCACAGATAATTTATAAAGAGAACTTCTCAAGAAAGTCCTACTCCCACCTTAAAAATGATTTTCTCTATTATATTTAACTTGCTAGAACTTTAAATAACTTCAACCGAAGAAATTATTCCTCAACTTTAAGAAATACTTAACAAATTCTGAAATAAAGTATGAAAAACCAATCCTCATAATTTAGAAAGTAAGTCTCCTTTTTTTTGGCTAATACAATTAACTTATTTATTTAAAATAAACTAATTAATTAATTAATAAATTAGAATCTGTATAAGTTAGTTTGTAGTAGCAAGTAAATAAGAAAGTAACTTAGTAAGTAAGTAAATAAGCAAGTATACATGCATACGTTCAGCAAATAATAAATAGTATTTAAAATTGTAATGAGTATTTAAGAATAATTAATATGTATTCCTCAAATATATTCAAATTTATTCATAATTTATTCAAATTTATTCAAATTATTAATATTTAATGAATTTATTTTTTATATTGTTTAATATTTTTAATAAAAATTATGTAGCTAATATTTTAATTAGCAATCTAATCCATATTTTATTTATTTATTTCCCTAATTTACCAATCAATCATTTTTTATTTCAAAATATATCCATCCATCCATCCATCCATCAAAAATCAATTATTTATTTATTCAGTTGTTTTTTTATTTATTTTAAAATGTAAAAAAAATAAATGATTTATTTCTACGTTTGTATTTTTTCTTAATTAAATTAAAAATTGGAATTTTTTAATATGAAATTTCATTTCTATTTTGAAAAATAAAAAACACAAAAGAATAAAATACAGTTTAAATAATAAGTATCAACATTTTATTTAAAATTTATTCTAATTTTTTAATATTATGTTAAATCTAACTTTTTATATAATTTTTAATCTGATTTTTTTATCATTATTAATCTTAGCTTTTATTTTACATTAAATATCAGTTTATTTTTAATTGGTTTAGGTTTTATAAATACACGGAAAAATTATTTATATAAATTCAAAATTATTGTCAAGGTTCAGCATTCTAAGGTATGAAAGCGCTACTTCGATGTGTAGCCATACTCTTTTTGCAAATTAGCAGAATTTTATATATTTGCTTATAAATTATTTTGATTGTTTAACTACTTTCTTGAAGAGGGACTTAGAATCATTCCTACATGATTTGAAGTCGAAAGACTTGTGTTGATTAAATTAACGTTTTCAGAATTATTCATAGATACTGTAGTTGTTGCTGCTGAATTGTAATTGTTTAGTTGTGTTTGCTTTTTACCTTGGATTAGTTTGTTAACTTTGTCGTTTAAAAGTTTTTTATTTAGACTATTTAATTAACCGTATTGTTAAAATTAGTTAGCTTGAAAATTTGCATTACTGTTATTAATTGTATTATTGTTAGAATCAAATTAGCTTGAGACATTTAAAGTTTATTATTAAGATTATGTAATAAGATTTTTAGATTTGATAGAGTTATTGTTTGTTGGACTTAAATAGTTATTTTCAAAAGTAGTCTTTATTTGGTATTAAGAAATTGAAGACATAGCATTTTACATATTATGAATTTTAGACTAACTAAATTAGTATGAATTTCCATGCTATTGTTTAGAAATACTAGGATTCATTCCATTTTAAGTAATTCCTGAATTTTAATTTTCTTATTTCTTTTGAACTGAATTTATTTATGATTGCTATACTAGTTTAGGATTTGAGCTTTGCTTTTAAAAATTGTTGTATGCATTTTAATTGTAATTTTGCATACTAGAGCCTGATGTATTTTTATTTTATTGAGTATTTCTATCTGTTAAATTGTAGTTGTGAGAGAAATCACTTGAGTTATTGGTGTAGCTGTTTTTATTTTAAGATTAACCTGAGCTATTTTGTCTTTAAGAAAGTTGTTTGGCTATTGATTTTTCTGTTGATTCACTTGGTTCTGTTACCATCTTTTCTTTTTTCATGAAGTTGTTTACTATATTAGCTTCACAAGAGTTTGAGGTTCCCAAAATTCCTCCTCCATTACTACTTGTGACAACATATGAATTTTAATTTAAAGTTGAATTTGATTAATTAATCTAGCTTGGGAAGTGTTTTTTTTTTTGGATCAGCTTAGGGCTTGGATTAAATTCAACCTATGAAAAATTATTTGAAATTTTGCTTGCATTAGGTTAGATGTTTGAAGTTGAAATTGTTAATTTTTAGCTACTAAGTTTTTATGATTTTTAATTATTTGTTGAAGGTTAAGTTTATTAAACTTGTGATGAATTTGATGAAGAACTTGAATCAATATTATTATTATTTTTTCTACTGTTTTCTTAATTAATATTATTATTACTTTAATTTACTTCTCCGTTTCCAAAATTGCTTTATGGAATTTTGCTATAGCTTTTACTCAGCAACTTGTTAAAGCTATCTTGAATTTTAATACTGCCACCTATTAATTAAGTGTTAGATTGAGGAGTTAGTTGAGAATTCTTAGGTAAACCTTCTAAAGATGAGCATATAGTTGTTTGTATTTGGTGATGATATTGATTCTATTGATTTTTAGAAAAATTAGTAATTTCTAAGTCTTAATTGTCATTGTGCGAAAGGAATAATGTGTTCTAAGGTTTATTGCTTATTTGCAAAGCTTTTTTGAATAGCTAGCTTTGCTGTGCGTTCTAAGAGATTTCATATCTGGAAGAAGAGTTTTCGTCTTATGCCTCTATTTGTTAGTTTTTTTAATAACTGTCTTCTTATTTGTTTTCTTGTGTCAGTCTTCTTGTTGAAGCTTATTATCTGCTAGGAGAAATACTCTTTCTTTTGTCTTAATTTTTTACAATGCCACCTAAAGAGTTTTAAGATGACAATGAAGTTGGTTAGTTTTCAAACTAGCTGTTATTATATTGATACTATTACTAAGTTGATTAAGAAGACTTGTGCTTGGTACTAATATTACTACCTCCATCCACTCCTTTTTTTCCTTAATTCAAGTTATTTTAGGATTAAATTTATGACAATTTTGATAATGAAAAAGGCTATGTTTCAGCATTTTCTCTAAAGTCAGAACTCCAATACTATTTTTCTAAAATTTTTTCATCAGTTTTGAATATTTTATCCTAAGAGCTAGTTGAAGTTGATCCTGTAATTGTGTACTTAGCTGTTTAAGCTGTCTTGTTTCCTCTGGGAGAGAAGAAATTATCAAATAATTTTGTGTTGTTTTCTAAACTCTATCTTACAACAATATCATCATCATCACAAAATAAATTTATGTCTTCTTCTAACTATTCATAGTCTTTAGCTTGAAATTATTCTTATTATTAATACATTTATAGAAACTTTGTGCCTTTGCTTGTTGAAGTGTTACCTGCTGAGATGCTACTTTTAATGAAGGATTATCTCTATTAATATGAATCTCTCACATTCTAATCTTCTTTGAATTGGCTCACTGCTTGCACAAAGTTGCTATTTCCATTTGATGGATTTTTTTGTTTACCTGAAGGAAAATTAGCATTTAAGCTCTTATTGCTACGGTTTCCTTTAACAATACTGACTCCGTCTGAATCTATGCTCTATTTTAGATCATCCTCTTACTCAATTGGATTGCTATAAGCGTTTGATAAGTTATTTTCTCTTTAAGAATTTTGAGTAAGTTGTAATTCTTTGTTTGAACTTATTTAATTTGAATAAGCTTATTTCTCTAGCTATTAGCAGTCTTTAGATTACCTTAAATACACTTTTTCAGAAGTGATTGAACAATTAATATTTAAATTATTTAAATTAGCTTAGCTAACACCATATTCTGATATTTCCATATCGCCTTAAGAGTAGGGATAGGCAAAGATTGAAGATAATTGTTATTGATTTTGAGAAGAAGAAGTGTTTATTAAAATGGACTATTAATGTTGCCATTTAGAAACTAACTTCTCGTAATCTATTTTTAATGTATTGTAATAATTTAAAATTTTCATCAAGGATTTTTACTTTTTCTGATTCTCTTCTTAGCTAGATTTAAGTTGCTTTCTAAGCTACGAAATAGTTTCTTCCATTTCCTTTTTTTCTTTTTATGATTAAATTTCTAAATTTTCATATTGCTTTTTGATATCAGAATAAAGGCGAGCATAATATATTTCTTGTTAATTCTGAATTCCAAGCATGAACTGATTTTAAACTTATATCATCTTTTCAAGCTACTTAATTTTATCATCTTACAAAGCTCTATTGCTTTCTAGCCTCTACTAAATGTCTTATTAATCAGCTTATTGCAATTTTTAACTCTATTGCATTTACTATGTGATTTACTACTATTATATTTAATACTGTTATTATTGAGCCTTTTATTAAGTGTTTATCGCTTAATTTTATAATTAACTTAAGTGATTATCTTCGTTTCTTGAAGAATAATCTCCTCTTTATAGACTTAATCCTTCAAAATTGCTTTTAACTTGTTACTATTAAACTTCTTTGCTTTCATAGTTGTTGCTGTTATTATTTCTTTAACTAGTTTGCTTGTTTTCTATGTTACTATTAAATTATTCTTTATTTAAAATATTTTCTTTTTGAATATTTTATAATAAAATTTGATTTGATGCACTTTTTACATTAACATTCTAATGATTTTCTACTATATTGATATTTTTAAAAGGATTTCTATTTGAGTCGCTATATAAAGGGAAACTGTGCCTTTACAAACTAGGCTGTTTGTCAAGAGATAAAAAATAATTTTTTTCTTTTTCAAGGTTTTGGATTTCGCTTCTAATGCGCTAAATATCTGCTGTTTTTTAAGACTAATAATCTAAGTATTCATTGATATCATCTTTTTGAATTTCAAAAGACTTTGTACTTTCTAATTCCTCATTATATTAATCTAATTCCTATTGTATTTAATTCAAATATTATCCTTCTTCTTTCATCTCCTCACTATAAATTTCTTTAAATTACTTTTGGAATCCAAAATCTTAGCTAGCTTAATCAAAATTTTCTTTTTGATTCATTAAATTAATACGTTTATTTAATGAAACCTCCGCTTATGTCTATTTTTCACTTTGACTCCTATCGTTCATCAAATTATGAATTAATAAAAACAACAAATAATCTTGATTTTATGGTAGATATCAGATCAATAAAGACTAAATTTAGTAAATATATCTAATTTAATTGTAATACGTAAATTAATAAGTTTTATCTGCTAATAAAATAATTTATTTGTCAAAATGTTCTCACTTAAGTTTATTTTATTTGTTTGTTAGTATTATTCCACTATTAAAAATAAGGAAGAGTTATAATTAAGTATTTTGATTTTCTGTATCTTATTATTGTTTATTATTTACCAAATATTTTTTGAATTGAAATTTGGTGACAACTTTCGTTCAGTCTTTTTAAGTTAGTTAATAATTTTATTACTTTCAAGCTTTCTTAAACATCTAATCTTTTAATTTAGATTGATTATTCCCTTGTTATAATTTAATTTTTAAATTTGATTTTACCATTATCTCTCAATATCATTAATAAGCCAGGCTAGCAGACAAACATCGCTTCTATAATATTCAAAAGTAAGTAGCAATTTATTTCCACTTTCTAATAATCAAACATTTATTATAACTATTTTTTTGTTTAAAATTATTTCTAACAAATTTAAAAGTTTTCAAAAAAAAAAAAAATCTAAAAATAGATTTCAAAAAGTATTAAAATAATTATATGCTCAAAAATATAAAAAGAAAATTATAAATGAAACCACATTTTTTAAAACATATTTAAATCGGAATAAATTTTGTGCAAGCAGCCTATATATACATAAACCTAAATAACATGTTCTTGCAAAAAAACCTAATTGGATTTGAGAATAATTAGAATTATTAAAAATATTATAATACCTTAAATATCTTAAATATTTATTCAATATATTTTAATGTTTATTAATATTCACCTTATTTACATGACTAAAATAGAAAAATCTTTTATTAAAATTATTTTATCAAAATTTAAGTACTTTAATTAATAAAATTTAAAAAACATATGACTACCTTTCTTTGATTCTTGTATTTTATAACTATAAGTTTTTTATAGGATTTACTAATTAAACAAAACTAAACTTTAATTTTTGAGATATTGCTTCCTAAAAAAAAAATTTATAAATTTATATTTGATAATTATTATAATTTATTGGTTATTTGTATCCAAATTGATTTGATATAAAATTAAATTAATTTATTAATATGCTTATAATTAATTAAATTTCCATAAATTGCAATTCAATATTTTTTGAAAAATAATAAAAAAGAAGTAAATATTTATTTTTTTATTAATATAATTTAAATTTATTTTTATTAATAAAATAAGTTTTTAAGCTCTTCACTTTAATAGTTTTTAGAACTCCATATTAATCTGTAAAAAATAAATATTTGATTTATTTATTTTATTATTATTAATCTTTTATTATATTTAATTTTCATTTTATTTACAATATATATTATTTGTCAAATTAAATTGAAATTATAATTTAAAAATGAATTGAAAAAAAATTTTTTTAATTTTTTTAATTTATTTATTTATTAGATTTTTATTTGATATTTTTCTTTATATTATTTATACTGCTAACATTTTTTTTTTTCTTTATTTGTTTTTTTGTTAATTTAACTCAGTTTTTTATTTTCAGCTATTACTTTTATTAATTAATTTCTTATTATTTCTTCACTTTTTCCTTCTAACTAACTAATTAGCGTTATATTTTTTCTTCAATATTTAAAAAGGTGAAATAAAATTGATCACTAAGGTGCATCAGATTTAAGTTCTGGATTAGAAAAGTGCACTAATCTCTAAAATTTGGCACTTCGACTTTCGTAAAAATAGTTTATTTGTTTAGGATTGTGATATTTTTGAATATAAAAGTGAATCGAAAACAAAAAAACTAACTCTTTTAATTAATTTATTTTTTATCTTTTTATTTTTTATTCAGCAATATTTTTTTTATTTCTTTCTTTGTTCTTTTATTAATTTAACTCATTTTTTTATTTTCAACTATTGCTTTTATTATTAATTAATTTATTATTATTTAATATTTTTTCTTCAATATTTAATAAGTGATAATAAAATTGGTGACTCAGGTGCATCAAGCTTAGGTTCTAATTTAGAAAAGTGTACTAATGTCTCAAGTTTGACACTTCAACTTTCGTAAAAATAGTTTATTTATTTAGGATTGTGATATTTTTGAATATAAAAATGAATCGAAAACAAAAAAACTCATTTAATTTATTTATTTTTTATTCTGCCAATTTTTTTTTCATTTCTTTCTTTGTTCTTTTATTAATTAATTTTACTCATTTTTTAATTTTTAAATATTGATTTTATTAATTAATTTCTTAAATTTCATATTTTTTCTTCATTTTTTCCTTCTAACTAACTAATTCACTATTTATTTTTTCTTCAATATTAAAAAAGTAACTGTGGTATTAGAGACTAATGTGTATCATACTTATGTTCTGGTTTAGGTTAGTGCACTAATCTCTCAAATTTGAAACTTGATCTGAGGTAAAAACAGTTTATTTGTTTAGGATTGTGATATTTTTGAATATAAAAATGAATTGAAAAAAATATAATTAACTCTTTTAGCTCATTAATTAGCTTTTTAATTTGATTTATTTTTTTTATACTGCTAAAATTTTTAAAATTTTTTTATTTGCTCTTTTGTTAATTTTACTCATTTTTTATTTTCAGCTATAGCTTTTATTAATTCATTTCTTATTATTTTATATTTTTTCTTCATTTTTTCCTTCTAACTAACTAATTCGCTATTTATTTTTTCTTCATATTTAAAAAGTTTCAATAAAATTGGTGACTTAAAGTGTATCAAGCTTTGGTTCTGATTTAAGAAAGTGCACTAATCTCTCAAGTATGACTCTTTCGTAAAAACAGTTTATTTTTTTAGGATTATGATATTTTTGAATATAAAAATGAAATGAAAATAATATCACTATCTCTTTTAATTTATTTATTAACTTTTTATTTCGTTAATTTTTCTTTTTAATTTTTATAAAAAGATTTAAATCATTATATTTCATTAAAAAATTTTATTGTATTTATATTTTTTTAGTAATTTATACTAATTTATATTAAAGCAAAGATTTTAATTTGAGATAATAATTCAAAATTAAGTGTCTTAAATTAAAAAGATTAGTGGTCATAAAAATACTAAAATGATATAAAAAAAAAGTTGTGGAAAAAAGACAAATAAATATTAATATTTTGTAAATATAAATAAAGATAGATTTATTAATATTTTTATATTTATAAATATCATATTTTAGTAAGTTAATAAATAGATTTAAACTGTATTCTTTTAATATAATTCAATTAATCCAGTTGATTATTTAACTATTTTTTTTTTATGTTTTTATATTTTAATTTTTCTAATGATTTTATATTTTCAATAATTTTTATTTTTTCTTATAACTATTATGTTCTATTTTAAATCATTTTTTTTAAATTTTATTGTCAAATGCATTTTAAATTTTGGATCATTGCATTAAAAAAATATAAAGTTTAATAACAAAAAAATATCTTTAGACATAAAAGCTTAACTTAATTTTTTTTTTGATAAACAAAATATCATATTTTGTTTACAATTATGATATTTTTTTAATAGCAATAATCCAAAATTTAAAATGCATTTGACTATACCATATTTAGTTTTAAGATTATAGGTTTTTAGTTTCTTCAAATTCTTAATCTTCTATATGATATTTATTATAAACTAAAAATTAATATATTTTGTAGATATCATCCAATAATTGATAGTAAAATTTTAGCTTCTGTATTAAATAATTTAAAAAAATATTAAAAATATCAAGATATCACAAGATCACACTATGCTCACTCACAAACACTTTTCTTTATATATTCAAAATTTAGTTATTTATTTTAAATAACAGAAATAATTTCAAAAATAATTTTTTTAAGTTAATAAATAAAGTTTTTTATACTTTTTAGTGATTCGCTTTAAAAATAAAATATTTATTTTTTAGTTAAATAGCTCAACATCAAATGAATTTAGTTATTTATACTAAAAGATTGAAAAAATTTAAATTAATAGTGATCAAACTGATTCAAATAAAACAAATGATTTCTATTTAGTTCTTATCAAAATATTTTATTTGATATTTTAATAGAGTAAAATTATTTTTTTTTAAATGATTCAAATATGAAATTTTGTAAAACATTAAAGCTGTTTGCTCAAAAATAAAATTATTTATTTTAAAAAAATAGAAATTATAAAAAAAAATATTTTATTTAATTAAATAAACTAAATAAATTGTTAAAAATTAAAAACTAATTTATTTTAAAAACAAAATATTTTTTTATAATATTAGATAAATTTAGATTAAAAAAATGAATGAAAAACACTTAAATAAGTAATAATTAAAACTTCTTATTTAAATGAAAAATAAACGTAAAAAACGATTTTTAAAATATTAGGTTTAACTGATTTTATTATATGTTTTAAGTTGAAGACTTCCTTTAAATAAAATAAAGAGTGTTACTTACTTTTAAACTATAAATTTTATTTGAATGTCCTCTAATATTTATTTTTTAAAAGTAGATTAAGTTATTGTATAATTTATTTATTATCTATTTCAAAGCTTATTTATTGTGCTTATTTACCTTTAACAAAAATATACTTATCTCTCAAAAATATAGTAAAATATAGTTTAAATAGTAAGTAGAAATGAATTAAAACATGTCTGATAACAAGCGCAAACACTAAGATGGGTTTTCATTTGGTATGAGAGGAACAAAAGGGGTTTCTTGTATAGATAGCGCAATTACTTTTAACCCTGGAGTCGGGTAAGTTATTACATTTTAAATTAGTCAATAATTGATGATAGTCAATACCATCTAAAATAAGAATGTCTATGCTTTCCGAAATGAATGCTATTTGTTCATTTATTGTCAATATTCTGTCTATTAAATAATAAATTTATAATTAAATAAAAAGCTAATATGAAATTCTTAAAGGTTTTGAGGCTCAAAGTAAAAGCTCGTCCAAAACAAAATTTAAATTGTCAGAGAGGTTTAAATCTTAACAAATGCAAACTCCTGGACCAGGTAGCTACAATCCTTTATAAGCATTCCTTTCGACAAAAAAGGAACCATAAAATTGCAATAAAAGTACAGTATGTGAATCTAATAGAAGCAATAGGTCCCTTTTTTAAAACAGCAGTAAATCAAATAACCTTGGTCCTGGATATTACTACTTTTCTTAAATGAATGACACATTTTTTAACTCTACATAAAATTCTATTGAAAAAGGTAGTAATTCTTTAGATAAAACAAAAAATGCAAGTGAGAGCTTAAACCTAAGTTTTTCATATAGATTGAAAGGAGTTAAATTCGACAAATACTCAAAAAGAAAGTTAGATCTGATTGATGGTAAAAAATAATAATATCCTCCAGTAGGCTCATACAATATTCAAACAAATAAATTCTAGGATTCCTTTACATTTCCAAAGGAGTAAATTAAAAAAATCTTCATTTTTAAAAATAAAATTATTTAGAACAGCAGCAGCATTTTTTTGATTTTTAAAAACAATTATAAAATAAACATCTTTCTCAAAATAAAATGATGTTTTAATAATTTTATTCATGTTATAATGACTCTTTAATAATTTTATTCATATTAAAATGATTACAATTTGTTTAATTTATGCTGAAAAAATAGAAAAAGAAAAACTTTTGACTGTATAATTTCAGAATCCCCAGGCCCTTGCTAGTACAGTATCCAGAACAATTTTTTCTCTTAAACACCATAAAATGCTTCTAACTCAACATTACCAACCTAAAGGAGATTCATAAGGTTTGACTCTGTAGAAGATACCACTCCGGGACCTGGCTATTATGTGTAGAAAGGCTTAAGCAATTATAAGTTTTCAACAAACAGCTCATATTCATTTGGGAAATAAAAAAAGGAGATAACACATAAAAATCAGTAAATTATTTGAGAATATTTTTTTAAAGCTAACAGAGAAATAACAAAAATATCTTTTTATAACAATAAATAAATTTTAACAAAAAAATAAATTGATATTTTAAGGAATATTTTGAGTAATGTTTCTTTTTAATAATAATATTTGAATGATGATTTTGGTTAATTTCTTTTATCATAAATTAATCATAATCTAATTAAATTTTAATCTAGACTTTATTTTATGTTTTACACTCAAATCCAAAACTAAATGCATAAATAAATTTAAAAAGATACGAACTACGATCAAAATATCTTCATATAAAATTAGTAAAATTAAAAAGGTTACAGTTCAAATAATTGTTTGATATAATTAAAAGCTAGCTCTTTTAAAATACCAAAATCATTCTTGCTTACTTACATAAATTTATGTAAGAAATAGTAAACAAATACATAATTTGATTGAGCGATCAATCATATTTACAATTCTACAAAGATATTCTCATTTTACATTTTTACAAAATTAAAATAAATAAAGAGCTGGCAAACTATTCGTAAAAGTTTTTAGTTACAAGAAAATATCCAAATTAAAAAAAATTGATTACAGTAATACAAATTTATTATTTAATCTCTGAAAATTTATAGGTTAAAAATAAAATCTTTTATGTAGACTTCTAATGACAAATTTATGATGAATATGTCTTTCAAGTATGATTAATATATTAATTTAAATCAGTATTCTAGAACTGAATAAGAGAAAAGTTTATGTATAACTAAGAATACAAACAAACAAAAAAAGCTAACTAGTTCATAGTACTAAATTAAAAAATACAAAGTGCTACTAAGATTAACTTTAATTGAAAATAAAATTAAACAAACAATTAATTTTTTTGTTTGTTTGTTTTGGATTAAGTCTAAATATCTTTTATTTTAGAACCGACTCCTATTTTCTGACACTTTACTACAAAATTAGTTCCCAATAAATTCTGAGATTGATTTTTAAAATTTTCGAATCTAAATCAATAAAATAAATAAATACTATGTGTGTCAATTATTAATTAAATTTATTTCTCATAGATTTTATTGTTTTCTTAAAATTTATTTTGTTTACCAATTTCTTTTATTTTAGAAACCCTTCTCCCTCTCAATATAGAATTCTGCCTTTTAAACCTAAAAATGTAACAATAATTGGAGATTCTCAAAGACCAGGAGTTGGAAATGGAGTACCAGGAGTTGGTAGTTATAATATCACTTTGAGTCAAATGAAAAAGCTATACAAATAGAATAATTTCACAGAAGACTCTGAAGAAAATAATAAAAATTAAAGCAACCTGAGCTAATCCAAATCTACTCCCTAAATAAATTACAAAGAAAGATTGCTCTAGCAGAAAAAAATTCTTTTGGCGTAATCTCCCAATTTCGGAAGCTAATTATCCAAAAATATAGAGATAGAAAATATCTCTTTAGGAAATCTCAAAAAGCTAAATACACCATCACCTGCTTATTACTCTAATCTTTTGTAAGTAGTAAAGAAGTAACCAATCTAGTTCGCTAAAGGTAACAGAAGATATGAATTTTTAGATGTCTATAACGTAAAGCTCCCAGACGAGAGATCTCCAGGACCCCTAAAATATAAAATTAATATTAATAAATCCTAAGTAGGTGGCACACAAAGTTAACAAAAAAAAGGAGATTTATTTAAATCAAATAGCAATCCAGGAGTAGGACAGTACAACATAAATAGAAGTTTATTTCCTAATTCAAACAATATGGAATACAGCATATTTTCAAATAAAGCTAGTAAAAAAAAGTTCAACAGATTACCTAAGCTCCAAAACGATTCTAATTTAATTAAAAGTTATTTATATTGAATTTATTGACATTACTAGTAAATTAAACTTAAATATTTATGGTTAAAACAAAAAGTACATAATTTATGTGTGTTCAGGAAATAACTTATCTTCTATAGGTTTAGTCATATTTATCAATATCATTGATCAAATTGAGAAGAATTTATTTAAATTTTGGTTATTTTGTGTATGTATGAATTATCAAAAATAATAACTAAAGTAAAATAATAACTTTATCAAATATATCATAAAACCTTTTATTTTATTTAAATTTTATTTCTTTTTATCTTTATTAATTTATTTTTAAAATATCTAAATATACATTTAGGAAATAAATATTAAATGGTGAGAATATTTTTTAAATGTAGTATATGTTATTGCTAAATAATATAAAATGGATGTTTATTTTTAAAAAGTAAGTTATAATTGGTATAACACAACTAAAAATAGGCATCAGTTAGTTTTATAGAACTGATAAATGTATAAAAGGAAATCTATTAAAATTTGATAAAATGTGGGTATATTACGAAGTATATATATTTCTTTAAACAGCATTAGTCTGTTAAGCAGTAAATTAAAAATTAAGTTGGGCATGTCATTTAAATAAATTATCAAAGTATTTGCAAATTTTGAATAAATATTACGTTTCACGCGAATTAGGTTCTAATTTGATTAGAACACTTTAAGATATAATATTTATTAAGAAGAATAAAAATCATTAGCAATTAATTAATTAGTATTATTCTTCTAGTATTTTTCATAAATTTATAATTTTAAATAGTAAATAACATAGATCTAGTTTGTTTGTTTGTTTGTTTTTTACATTTTGAAATAAATAATATCTAGTATTTTAAAGCTTATTTTTCTTTATGCTAAGTTGTTCATAATTTTAAGGTACTTTATCTTTTTTAAAAATTGTTTCATTTATTAGGTTATTTATGAATTGAAATTTAGTGGAATGCTAATAGAGAAGCAATCTAATTTATCTCAAAAAATAAAAGAACTTGAAGTGAGTGTACCACAATGGAATATAACTTCCCAAATTAGTATTACATTGGAGAAAATTTTATCTGTTAAAATCAAAAAAAAGATAAACAATTAAAAATTACTAAGCAAATTATGAGAATATTTAATCCATTAAATAGTTTTTTAGAACATTTTTTAACGAAGCAAATATTACCTCATATTTTCTTATCCATTTACTTAAAAATATTTTGTTTTCTTAAAATATCAATTTCTAAAAAAAGTATTTATTCATTTTTATAGCCTGAATTGCTTTTATTTTTGATTATCCATTTTATTAAAAATGTTTTTACACTTCTTTTATATTGAAATAAAACTCATTATAGAGAATAATTAAGTAAACGCATATAATTTAGATGTAATTTTAAATACCTTCATTAACACATTTTAAGTTAAATATATTATATATGAATAGAGTTTTTTATTTACAAATAGTTTTTAGTAAAAGGCAATAGTTATATTTAATAATAATCTCTTTTGAGTATATTTATTAGAGTAATAAAAATAGTATTAAATGAGCTTTTATAAAAGAAAAGAAGATTAAGTAGAAGAAATTTTAATGCTACAAAAATAGTTTTAAAAATTTGTTTATTTACAAAAAATAAATTACTTTTGCAGTAATGAAATTATTTATAGTTAATATATGAAAGTCAATAATTAATTTTTTTTTGCAAGTATCGAATTTTTTTATAAGCGTAGTTAGTTATAATATTACTTAATAACCAAATAAATATATAATTGGCTGATTATAATTATAATTTTTACTGTAGCAATTTATTTAAATTAGTAATTACTTTATTATATATTTTAAATAAAAAAAGGTTCTTTTAGTATAATTAACAAGGTAATCTGTTAATAGTAACAGGAATGTTTCATTATATTTCTACTCAATCTTAATTTTTTTACAAATGCAATAAATAATCATAATTAATTTGAGGTATTTCTCTTTCAAAAGATATACTAACTAATAAGTGAAAGAGGACTGACTACTCCTAATATAAAATAAAAAAAAATAAATGCATAAGTTTTACTAGCTTAAATTTAAGTGATACAAGTATAATATTGTATATTTAGGTATAAAATAGTCAGATCAATTTCTTTCGAGGCCAATTTCAATCAATACTGGTACAGCGATCAAGCGCTAGGAAGAGTTACTGGTTTTAGAATGAATTCATGCATTATAAAATCGAATGGCTGATTAAAGTATTACGAAAATTAATTCATTGATAAAATATTTGATATTAAGTAAAGCTGAATTAATTAATTAATTAAATTTATTTTTAGAAATATATTTAAGATTTACTTTGCTTATTTGTAAAAAAACCTTAGAAAATAAATATTAAATATTACAGTCTGACTGATTGATTGACAATTAATAAGCAAAGTACATGTTTTTGAAAATTAATTTTTTTATATATTTATTAGAATGTGAATAATAAATAAAATTCAAATCCCCATCTTACAAAAATTGTTATCATAATTTTCAAATCAAAATTTAATGCATAGGGATTTAGTATAGATCCATCAATCAATTTTTCTACTTAAATGCTTGTTTTTTTCTATTAAATTGCTTTGGCTTTATCTTACATTACATAATTTATATTGCATAAATTAACTATTTTAAAATACATTTACCTGCTTTTGCATATTTTAGGAGTAAATATAGATAAAGACATCTTACGGATTAAATTTTTTTTCTTTCAATTTGTGAATATACATTTCTCTTACTTCCTCATTAACCTTATATTCTATCATATTAAATTTCAAATAGGCTAGATTTTAGGAAGTAATAATTTAGGTAAATGATAAGTTATACTTGATAAAAGTAATATTGAAATGCTTAAATATGTTAAATTTTATTTATTAACATTAACTTGTTTGTTTTTGATTAATTAAAGAATATTTAGACATTTTAATTTAGAATGGTATTTATTTGATAAATCGGATTAAAGATCATCAAAAGATTGGTTGATTGATCGCATATTTTTGGGGGTAAAATAAAATTTATTGAGAGTATTTGTAATATTAATTGTTTTTTAATAAATAGTGCTTAACATGTTAATATTTATGAATTTTTGTGAGGATTTCTAACTTTAATTGCAAATTTATTTAAATTTTATTGATTGAAGATTTATTAGGAAACAATTAATGTGTTTGTTTCACAGGCCAATTAAAAATTTAATTTTGGTAGAAAAGCAAGCAAGTAATGTTAATCTCCAAGAATCTAATTTATCGAGAAATTCTTTAATTCATCTCAGCTAAATTTAAGCTATTTTTAATAAAAAATTATTATTTTAGTTTAGGTAGAAATAGAAAATAAAATGGCTTAAAATAATTGATTTGTATTTCTAATATCTTGATTTAAATGATCCTTTTAGTAATTCGAAAATATTAAATTTCTGTAAAAAAAAATTTTTGACAGACCATAAAAAATAAATAAATTTATTTGTTTAATTGATTGATTGATTGTTCATACAAGCATCCTGATGAGCTTCGCTTACATATAAATAAAATTATCTTTTTCTGATAAAAAAAATAGTAAAAGAAATCAACGTTGGTAGGTTGGATAAATTAACAATAAAGGAAAGCTGGGTTTGTAAAATGCAATACTGATATATTGGGTGAAAGAAATTCGGTGATTATTTTTTTAGAAACAATTTCATAATTAATTAGTAAAATCAACCCCTATTTTTTTGTTTTATTTTAATAAAAATAATAATGCGATTGGTAGGTAGGTAGGACCATTTAAAAATAAATCAATTAGTATTATTGGATGAAAGACTAGAAATAAGATGTAACTTATCGACATTTAGATAAATATTTGAGTGGGAAATTCTCAATTTGATTTGAAAAGTTATAAACATAAAAATTTTTGTGTAACTCAATTATCAGGACTAGAAATATTGCTTTAATTCACGTTTGTATTTTTTCTATTAAATTTGGTCTTGCATAATATTTTTTTATGCATAAAAATAAATAAATTAATCTTTCTTTAAAGCATTTCCAAATAAACTTTTAACATACTTCAAATAAATTTATCATTTTGTTTATGTTTTATATTTTATTAGGGAAGCCCTAAACTAATACTCACAGTAATGCATATAAAACTTTTACTAAAAAAATGCAAAGAAGTTTATCACAGTAAACGAATATTGCTGTATAAAGATCATTATAATTTTATGATATAACCCACTTCTCATTTTAAAATCGATGGAAAGAATTCATCAGTCTAATGTAAAAAAAAGCTTATTCTAGATAGATATAGGATAGGTTGAATTGGGTTGCCAGTTTTAAATGAAATTTATTTTTAATTCTCAACCAAAACACATTAAATGCTTTTAAAGAATAAATTAGAATAAAGCACTGAATGGTGTTGAACAAATTATCTATCTTATTCTTACAAGTCTATTGAGTAAATAACAGAGATATTTACAGTATTTAGAGGTAGAGAATAAATTTACTTTGAAATAGAAAGATTCTATTTAATAGATTAAGTTTATATATTGAAAGAATTATAACAAAGAATAAATAGGAGAATCAGTTTCTCACATTAGATAATGTGTTATTTGTTACTTGACTCCCACAGGCCACATAAGCGAATAAAAATAATAGTATTTATTATATATGTTCTATAGCTTTGTTTTGGAAGCAAAAAATGAATAAATTCTTATTGATGGGGAGACTTAGAATGAAGATTATTTGTACTCTTACTAAATAAACTCTACACTTGATTATATTTATTTATTGAGAAGGGTTCTTTTGAAATCAAGATAAATAAGTAGGACGACAAGCGGGTATGCCAGTAAAATATATTTTAAGGTGGTAATCATAAAAGTAATAAAAATAAAATGATTAAGTAAAAAACTATTAGAAATAGATGCTAAGATGAATGAAAATTTACGATTTAATTGAATTTTCAAAGAATATGAGAGCCGATTGATATTTTATAAAGAAAAAAATAATCAAGCAAGATTACATATAATGAGGCAGTAGGAATTGATCTTCTATCTCATGGGGTGAGAAAATTTAAGTTATCCTTAAGATCAATATTGATTGTGTTATTAAATAATCAAAATCAAAATCAAACTATAATTAATATATTTTCAATACTTTCAAAACACTAAAAAAAATTAACCAAACCAATCTACTCTAATGGATTCATTACCCCTCGAAAATATATCAAACTACTCATGGGATAAAGAAGGTAATTTTTTTATTAATGAATAAATAAATACTCTGCGCATTTCTTTGATTATTCGTGTTTAACAACTTTTCTTTATCCAAAAGGTTTCTAAGATGAAATAAGCTTTGAAAGTGTTAATCTCGTTCCTAAAAAGCACATTTCAGCTCTAGTAAGTTCCCTTTAATTTCTTTGTTTTTTATATCTTTCTTTACCAAAATCATCTTATTCATTTGGTTCGGAGATAATGAGTGGATTGATAATTTTTTTTGCGCTCAAAAAAGTCACTCTCTGGAATCCAAAGGCTGACTTGCTTGATATGACGAACCATCATGATGTTCTTCAATCACCCCACGCTCACTCTCCCCTCCTTGTCCATCTTCTAAAATGCTTATTGTAATCTTTCTAATCCCTCCTCCTTTTAATATTATTAGAAAAGTGCAAAATTCTACTCTAACAAGATATACAATATCTTTTTGCTCTTCACACACAATCAAACACAAAAGAGCTTTCACTAAGTCAGTATAAAACTGCCACTTCAGATTACCATAAATGAAGCAATGTATCAAATTTTCGCAGCATTTGAAACACTCCTCAATAAAAATAATGCACCATTTTCGATCATCGAAGATTCTCATCTCTGGTAAATGCGCATTGCCAAAAAAACAGGCTTCCCTAAAGATTATATTCCAGGTATCTATTTGCCCCTTTTTTTTTTTTTACGCTGATAAATCATCTCTTCAAAAAAATTTTGTGTGAGGTCATTGCGAAATTAACAAGCAATTAAAGAATGAATGAATGGACATATAAAAAATTAAGGATATCTAAACAAAATACATATAAAATTTTTGGTTATCAATTAAACCTTCTCAACCGATGAAAATTAAACAAAGAAATAATCAAAAGTGATTAATTAAATGATTGATTTACGAAAGAAATAAATAAATAAATCGCATACATAAAAGCACTCATATAAATTCTTAATTATTTAATTAATTTTTAGATATTTTATTATCAAAAAAAAGTAATTGTTCGAGTTCAATTAGAAAAGCATTTATTTTTCCCCCAAGCTCTATCTATTTTGTTAATTAAATAACTTGAAAATTTTTTTTTAATTAATTATCTGAGTGTTTGATATGAACAATTTTATTATATTTAAAATACATACATACTGATAAAGGAGAGTGCTGCTAACTTTTAACATCTCAAAAATTAATACAGACAGACAAGCACAGATAAAAACATAATTAATTTTTGAATTTCTAAGTAGCATCATTAATCTCAGCTATTCGCAAAAATTTTGATGTGATATCAAATCAAGTGTAAATCAAATACTTGTTAAAAATAATAGTATTTATTTGCACCCAACCCAAAAAACTAACAAACGACTACCTACCTAACTAACTAACTAACTAAATATCTTTTCTATTAATTCATTTTTTTCGGCAATTAAAAATTTCAATTTATTTTAAAAGCTTAAAATATTATTTAATTTTAATTTAAGTGATTTAACTACCATTTTTAGCGTCGTCTATCTTGCCAACAGTTAATTAATCAATCAGTTCATTTAAATGATTTACCAGAATGATTATTTAAATATTTAAAATTTGATAAAAATACCTTTGTTATTTAATATTTTTTCTATTGCATAACTTCTCCCACTTGAAGCAAACAAATCCCAAAAGAATTATTATTATTATAATTTTTTTGTCTTTTTTGTTCTCTTGCTACTTTAAATTATTTAAATTTCTTTATTTCATCGGTAGAATTATGTATAATTCGTACTTTCTTTTTCAACTTGGTTTCCTTTCCCCAACCATCACTTTTTATTCACCAAGTACTGAACGAAAGAATGAACAAAAGAAATAAACTGCTAACTAACTAAATTCAAGCAGCTCGCACAATTTCAATCAGTAGAAATCGAATATTAAACCAAAATAAACTTATCAGATTGCTTTTTTATTTTCAAAATCTCTTAGAATATCTTAAGGGAAAGTTACGCAATCAAATCATTCATCAGGAAAATAGATAAATTGAAAGAATATCAATAAGAAAATCAAATTTTAAATATTTCAAATATTTTATTAAATCCTTTTTGTTAATTTATTGATTTGAATTGCTTGATTGCTTGCTTACCCCTTTATTTCCCTAATGAAAACAAACAATAATTTAAAATTAAAACACTCACACAAAAAAAGATGGTTTTACTTAAAATCAATTATACTTATTAAAATACATCTTCTTAATAATAATAGCTATCGATTAAAATAATTTGATGAAGTCAGTAGAATGTTATGACAATCTTGTGCTATGTCCTATCAAAGAATCTGAGTGCATCAGAATCACCAGCTCTTCCACAATTTGCAGCAAAGACACAAAACACTGTACTGAAGCTACTAACTCTCCTACAAGTGCAGCTGATTCTAATTCATATGGTTCTCTTAGCTCTGATAATAACAACTTAACTTCAAAAATTGGCATGAAGATCCCTAAAATCTAATAAGATGGCAAAGTGTAAGCAAAGAAAACCTAATTGAGTTCATTTGATAAGGATTACAATAACTCAACTACATGTAGTGACAATAAAAATTTCAAAAATGGTATTTCTTCCAACTACTCTAGTCGCGCTTTTTACTCAAAAGATGAAGAAGATGATGTTGATATCTTCACTTAATAAAAAAATCAACGCGTCTCTAAATAAAATAAAGAAGAAATAGCTTTAATGAAGAAAAATAAAAAGAAATCCTTCTTCTCTTTCCTCTGCTGTTGAAGAATTTTTGTTTGTTTTAATATGCTTATTGACATTCTATTTAATGAAGCTATGAACGAACCACCCACCCACTTATCTATTAGAGAATACTAAAGTCTCAAAATTCAATGAATTTATTTATAATAATCAAAATTATATACAAAAAAATATATTCTAGTTTTAAAATTAGAATAAAATTATTGCTAAACAAACTAACTGATTAGCTCTGCTCTATTACCCAATAAAGAGTTGTCTCAATTAAGATGAAAATGTAACTTAAGCTGCTTGTTATAAAAAACCTTATTCATCACTAAAAAGTGAGCCAAAATCATCTATGAACAAAAACCACCATTTCAAATAACTAATCAGAAGATGACCAATCAATCAAATAATCATCTTTCTTTATAATAAAAAACAATCACAATAAACCAATAAATTAGAATGATATTTAAATTCTTTTTCCATCCTCTATTTCCAAACCCAGTCTCATAGAAAGAAAAAGTGAAAGAAATCGACGTTAAATGATCTATGGCAGCTTTTTTGATAAGCTAAATAAATACTAACTCACGCACTTACAAAATTAATTAATACTTTTTATAATATTTTTAAAAATTTTAGAAATGATTATTATTGCTTTATTGGATAATAAAGTGAATGAATCATTCAATCAATTAACCATGGAAACATAGTGTAGTAATTTTTCCAAACTTCTAATCGAAATTTGATCAAATTAATTAAAAATAATGAATGAAACACGCTTAATTCTGATTTCTTAGAAATGAAAAGAATTTCAGAGCATCTTCTGTTTTTATTCATAAGATCAAATTAAATTAGGAATCTTTAAGAACTCACTCAGAAGCAGTAAAAATTGTCCTAACAAGACCTTAGACTAGAAAATTATATGTACAATTTTTGTATCACTAGAAATTTAAGTACTAAGAAGTGTATTTTTTAATTATCTTCATTCTTTCTGATAAAATTTTGTCTTATAAATACTATTTGGATCTAGTTAAGTTAATTGCTAATGTAAAATAAATAAAGTTATCAAATAAAAGAAAAACAAAAGAATCAAATCCAAAAATCTAGTCTTGATAAAATAGAATAATTTGCTCAAAAGAATATCTAAATGATTGAATTCAAAAATATTTAAATAAAAATTTCTTTTACTAAAATGCTTTGAATATAAAAGATATAATACAACTTGTCTTTTTGAAAAAGCCTTTTTATGGTACTCTGTTCGTAAAAAATATTTCTATTTAAAGCTTCTAGGCAATTGACTGCTTAAGATTAATAAGATTGCTTTTGATTTCTTTTTTTCTGATGTTTTTAAAAAGTAGAAAATTACAAAAGATACTAAGTGGCGTCATCAAAAAGCTTTTAAAATATATGTATAAATAACAAGCTTAGTTTTCAAATGCTTGTTTATCCATAAAGACTTAAAAAACCAATCATTTATTACTCACTCTATCACTCTGATTCTCTCTATATCTTCTAAAAAATCAATCTTTAAATCTAAATTTCTAACATTTTATCAAAATATTACTTCAAATCAATAATAATAAAACTAATAACATTAATTGTATCACAAACCACTTTATTTCCTTCCAATATCAAATCCTCATAGATGAACAAAGCACACACATACATACATAAATAAGAATAACTGTCTGAATTCTAAACAACTATTTAGGAATAGACGAACAAAATAGTAGAGCTCTCTTTGTTTTATAGTCATTGAAAAGATGAAAAAATTACAATCAGACTATAAATGAATAGATGAATTTATTTCTTTATAATTCAATTAATTACCACCTCATTACTTTATTATCATTTACAATAATAACAATAATAAAAACAACCAATAACTTCCTAATTATTTACAAAAATTTATACTCTAATTCTATTGTATACTATCTTATATTAAACTGTTCTTCATAACTATTTATCAAGTATCTATCCCATTTATTTAATATTTACAAAACCTTCATAAAAACTTTTTAATTATTGATTGCAACAAACAGCTGCTAGTTAATTAGCTAATTTATTCATTCATTATATATTTAAAAATGTATATAAAATGTACTAATTAGATTTATTTTACATTAAAAAAGGATGATTAATGAAGAATTGATTGTTCTTGACACCTGCTTTTGGCAGTTTTAAAGAGAAAATAAAAAATTAAGTGTAAAATGAACCTTTATTATCTCTAAAATAAATTAAAGAAAAGCTTAGAAAACAGCTTTATTATTGAATTGAAAAATAAAAACAGGTCTAAGTAAATTAAGAAAATACTGTATTTTACCCAGAGTCAAACAACTAGAGGAATAATCTATCATAATACTAATAAGAAAAGTGATAGAAATAATGATTATAATAATATATTAGTCAATAGTGCGTGTATTTCGTGATTTTATTATATTGTTTGAAAGTTGTTTTTGATTTTGTAAGCCACCTTTAAAATAAATATGAAAATTTAAAAAATCGACTTGCCTAAAAAAGAAGAATATTTTTAAATAGTATAGTTGGCAGTGCCAATTTTTAAGAAGCTTACACATTCTCTCTTAAAGTCGATCTATAAATGACCAAGAATTTAAGTATTTTATTACTATTTTTTAAAATTGTATACAATTTTATACTCATGACATCACTTTGAATTTGTGGCTAGTTTAATACTACTAACTTACTGAGTAAAATAAATCAACAAAAAATTAATTTTGTATTACTTTCTCATTTTTCGCATTTTGACTCCACCTTTTAATTTCAACCACTCATCTTCTGTAAAGAAAGCCGAAATCGCAATTGCTTTAAAATTAAAATCAGGGCTAAATCGATTTAAATTTCATTTTGAAATTGCAATCACAGATACTAAATACAATAAAACTTGCTTTTACAAGTATATACATCAAAAAGCAAACGGTACTTAGTAAAACTTATGTAAAATATCATAAATTAGTAGATTCTTTGTAATTAGCCGAAGAGGCAATTAAGAAAGAAATATATAACAACTGACTTTTCTCAATACAAACATGAATTTTGTAAGAAATGTTTACAAAATCTAGCTTAAATTTTATTTTCATTTTAAAAATCAGAATTAAAAAGAATTTTGTAATATAATTTAGCCTCCTTAACTTTTTTCATTGCAAGAAGATATAAACTAAAAAATAGATAAATAATATTCACAATTGAATAATATCTCTTTATTAATGTATTTTGAAAGATATTCTCTATAAAGTCTAAAACTAATTTATTTATATTGTAATATCTATTTCCAAAGCAAGCAAATCTTTATTCATTTGTAAACATATCTTTTACTAAATATCTTTCTCTCCTCAATATTTTATAATTCTCCCTCAAAAAAATACTTTCCAAATAATAATCTGGTACTCTTGAAGAATGATTATAATTTAAATAATTATTCTACAGCTACTTTTTACACTTGACTAACTTTGAATACAAGTAAAAAGTGAAATCGAATTTGACTCACTCATAAAGATATGTGATTGATCAAAGTGATCAATTTATTAAAAGAAGAAGCAGTCAATCTCTATTTAATTTTATATTACTAATATATATTTTTACTAAATTTAACTCAAATATACTCAAAAATAATTTTTGTTTCAAATATTAGCAATCAAATAAAAGTCTTAGTAATAGTCAAGAGTACATATACTATCTTTCCAATTCAAATAAATAAATATATTTAAAATTATAAGAAAGATAATCATTCATTTCCTATTTGGTACAACTATTATAGCTATCTGTAAAGCATAACCCATCTATGCTAATTCAATATTTTAGATAGGATAAGAGTAGATTATAGAAATAAGCTAAAAGTTATTTATTGTATTATAACAAAATTATAAAAAATTTAAATAATAATCTAATTTACACAAAACGTATAAATACATAAAAAAAAAATAAATAAATGAATCAATCAAATTATATAAGAATGTTGTGAATTAATTATATTAGATTATAAGTAAAATAAAAGAGTCTAACAAATAAATTTTGCAAATTTTGATCAAATTAATTTCAATACTCTTGTCTGTCTGATAAAATTTAAGATATCTTTTTCAATTAACTTTCTGATTTAAATCATTAATTGATGTAAATAAATCAATTCAATTCTTTGTTTGTATCAAATAAAAGAAATTTTTTGTAAATGAATGCGATTTCTTACTCAAATTCCTATTATTTAAATATCTTTTGGATGGTTGTATGGTAAATAATACTTTTTTTAAATCAAATATTTATAAGCAAGCATATCTTTTAAAAATTCTAGCTAGCGGAGTTATTTACACAGTTATAAAATATTTTCTTGACTTTTTTCTAGATTATAAAGATCAAATTAAATATATTCTATAAAAATAAATTATAATTAGGTTTTAAATTATTTTTTTTGTTCTCTATTTTACAATAAATTGACAAAACATATTTCATTTTTTCAAATTATCAGAAAGAATATTGATCTAAAAGTCACCTTCTTTATTTAAAAAACCATTTAAAAAATAAACAAAACTAGATAAAATGCTGGAAAAAAATATTATTATGAGGAGTGGTGATATTATAATATATCTAATTAACAATCCTATGATTTTTATATGAAATATTTATAAAATTTAATCAGGTAAAAAACTAATCAGTGTTATCAGTGAGCAAATTTTAGATTTTTGAAAGGGATTTTAATATAATGCGTGATTATTATGTTTTATAATTGAATAATTTATTGAGCATTGAAAGTGAATTCATCAATAGAAAAGTAAAAGCTAAGATTTGACTATAAAATTAAAAAAGAATAGATATATATTTTTTTTGTTTGTTAATAATATTTGCAAAATGAATGAATGAACTAATGAAATTAGGAGCAATTTTGATAGATATTGCATTTATTTTTTATCAAATATATAAACTTACTAAAAGTAGAAACTAATCAAATTGTGTTAAATTTAAATTATTTTCTAGAAAATTAAATTTGATGATTGAGCATTCTTAAAAGAGATCTACTTCAATCAAAAATTAATTAATTTACTATTTTAGTCACTGAAACTAAATCTCAATTTTCATAGTAAGACTAAATAAAATAACTTAAAATAAAAGGTTTTAAAGTACTTTAGATTTCATTTTAGAAGAGTAGAGAAAACAGATTAGCCAATGTTTAAGAATATTATTAGCTTTTAAAAGGGAATTTAAAACTTTTCTTATGCTTAGAGTTTTTTTAAAAATAATAATTTGTACTTTTTCGCAAGTAAAAAGAAGGAAAAAATTGTTAAGCTAAATAGGCATGTAGAGACACTAGAAGATCAACTTCTGAAAAAGAAAAAGGAAGAGTTCCAGAAAGTATAAAAAGCCATTGTAGAAAAGAATAAAAATAATATAAATAACATTCCATTTGATGAACTAACCATCAAAATGAAGCAAGAAAATATTGCACTTTAATAATTATAAGCTAAAAACAATAAAAATTAAACATAGATACCTTTAAAAGAGTAATAAAAAGATTAAACTAAAGAAGTTAATAGTGAAGGAACCATTTTTAATGAGTCTTAACTGAAAATTTTAGTTACAGATAAAGATAAATACCTTGATTTTGAAAATCTCGAATTTCCTTGGGATTTCTAAGGCATAAATTAATAATAAAAAGAATCTAATCTTAAAAGTGCTATTGAAATAACCAAAATAATTAACGAAAAAACAGCAATTAGTATTTTAAAATAATTTTTACACTGCATTGAAGAATTCGATTATGAATAGCTAGGTGAATTTGTTGAAAGAAAATTTTTACGTTAGCTTTCAAAGAGGTTGTAGGCTATGTAACAGGAAAAAATAAAAATTTAATTTGATAATATTCGCACCAAAGAAATAAATGTAGATTTGTTTAAAGTATAAAACATTTTTGGTGTTGGAGTTGAGTAGAATCGTCGTAAGAACGATGGCTCTTCCGCTTATGTCATTTTTGATGATTTCATATAGTAATAAATACCTGCTAAACATATAGTTAAAAAAAGAATAGAACCTAAAGAGTTAGCTCGCATATATGTCTAGCTACATTTAAGTTTTGAAAGTGATATATCTCTTTCTCTTATAAATACAGAAAAAGGAACTAAAAAATAAGATAAAATAGCCAAAAATGAGTCTACTAAATAATATCATACTATGATACTGGAAAAGTTGCTCGTTGAATGCGATTACAAGAGTATTCGTAATAAGGCACTCTCCTTAGAAAATGCTACAAACTAAATTGCTTCATCAAGCAATGTTAACGATTATATAAATGTTTCTAACATGAAGAACTTTGCTTCATTAAATAACTTAAAAATAATAGATTTTGATGGTTTTATGAAAGGCAATCCTCTCGTTGTTGATAACTTAGATATTGATTGAACGAACTGATAAAATATTAAAAATAAAAATGATTAATTACACCAAAATAAATTATTTAAATTATATAAATAAATTAAAATATTAATAATTCTTCTTATTTATGAAAATTTTACTAACAAAAAATTAATTTTTTAATGTTGATCTTTGTTATTGTGTTTCTCAAAACTTATCAGATGAAAAGCCATTATTTTTATTTCAAAATATCTGTTTTACAATTTTAATTTACCAAATGAAATTTATTTGCATTTTTATTATGTTTTATAAAAAATTTAACAATTTTATTTGTAAATTTCAATTTAAAGAATTGTAAAAAACTTTATTCTACATTTAAATTCAATATTTTAGGCAAAAAATAATTTTAAAACTAAATTTATTACATTTATGAAATTAATGTGCTAATAGATATAATGTTTTTCAATCAAATATTAAGTAGAAATTAGAAGAAATAGCATAGATTTTAATATAGAAGAATATGCTTTAAGTGACTTTTAATTAGAAGGTTAAGCAAAAGAGATAAATCAAAATTAATTTGTTAATATTTTAAACTAAAAATAATAAATAATTAATATTCTTTTAATTTACTATCAAATATAAAAATATCAAAATACCAACAAATAAATATTTATTTATTTATTTCTACTATAACAAGTCGAATTAAAACATAAAGTTAAATGAGCAATTAAGTTAAAGAATAAGTTAATCAGAATGAACTTCAATAAGATATTGTTGAAAACATTGAAGACATTAGCACCAAATAAAAGTTTACAGTATTTGTAGGAACATACGAAGGAGCTATTTTAGGTATGGTTGGTGATCTGAGCAAGTTAGAATTGAAATACGCATTTAAGCCATCAACAGTATAAAAAGATCAAATTTTAATCAAATAATTCTTATTTTGTTTTTATCAAATTATAGAACTCTTTGAAGTGTATGGATGTTTGTGGAAAGTATTTAGTTGTAGGTGGTTTCGATGAATATGTTAGAGTTTATGATCTTAAAAGATAAAGAGAGTGTGGAACCTTAGAAGCCCATCTTGGTACAATTACAAGCATAAAGAGTCATTAATCAATTGCTTTCAGTTGTGCAGAAGATGGTTTAATCATGGCATGGAAAATGAAAGAATTTGGTTTACTTCATAAGTTGAAAGAGCATAAATCTGCTGTTCATGATATTGCCATTCACACCTCTGGTAAGATTATGGCTTCTATTGGCAAAGATAAACGACTTATAATTTGGAATCTCATAAATGCAAAGAAAGTATTCTCAATTAATCTTAAATACAGTAATAATTTAAATTTAAATTTATCTAATTTTTAAAATGATCTATTATTAAGTATGGATGGATATCAAGTGTTTGCTTAATCACAAAACAAATATATTTTAAATTTAGCTAAAAGTAACAAAATTTAGTAATTAAAAGTGAGAAAGATATCAAATAGTAGGAAAATAAATATGAGCTTTGAAAAAAAAATATTTTTTTTTAATTAGTGATTAAAAAACTATAAAAGGATTTATTTAATTAACACAATAGAATAGTAAATTTAAAATATAAAATAATAGAATACAATACAATACCAAGCAATATATAAACTTATTTTAATGCAAAAATAGATAAGATAAAATAAAATTGAAAACTACTGATAATTAATGATAAACATTTTATATAATTTCAAATATTTTTATTTGTTAAGATAATTGAAATTATTTGAAATAATTTAAATTATACCTGGCTTGATTGTAGGCCAAACATTTGAAGTTAAAAACAGCCACAATTTTTATTGATTCTACTCACAGAATAGAAAAAATTCATAAGATACTTCTATCAAATAATAAAATATTTAGTCTATACAAATAAGAAGATACTAACTAAATTTTGTTGTAAATAGAATAATTAAAAAACGAGTTAATTTTAGCTTGTAAAAAAAAACACTTTTATTTACAATTTATTTTTAAAAGAAAATTTTAATATTACACTTGATTGATTGATTGAGTTATTTACATCATTATTATAATATAATAGACGCATATAAGATAGAACTTACTCAAAAGAATATTGTCTTAATGTCTGATTTTAGTATTCATATTATTGATTAAGAGTCTAATCAAGAAATATGTGAATTACAATAGGATAAGTAGGTTACTTTGAATGATTTCTGTGTGTATAATGAAGTTTTAGTAATAACAGGAGGTAAATAATATTGCTATTTTTTTTTTGGATGGAAATAAATAAAATTCTTTTTTAATAGATAATAATGGATACATATATATTTATGACATTGAAACTAAGTAATCTATCTCTTTTAAGGCTCATGACTAAAGAGTTAAGAAGTTGTGTGTTTAAAGAATAGACGATATTGATATCATTATTTCAATTAGTACTAATGGTGAAATACATATGTTCGATTGCTTGATTATTTTCAGTGATGTTTTTGAAATATAAGAAAGTTAAGTACTCAATGATATAAAACCTATTTATAAAGTTAACACTCTTAATAGATTAACATCTTTGACAGTTTATATGGATGCTGCCAAGGACAAACCTTAGAAGGATTAAGGTGATGATGAAGAGAAAGAAAAACTTAAAAAAATTGAAGAAGAAAAGCTTTTGAAATAAAAATAATAAGAAAAGAAGAAGAAAAACTAAAAGAAGATCAAAGTTACAATTGAAAAGGAAGATGAAGCCAAAACCTATGTTATTGATTCTTCAAAGATTGCAAAGAAAATTGAGAAAAAGAAAAAGAAACAACTAAAAAAGCAATAAAAGGCTGCTATGGTAAAAGGTTAACAACAATAATAATAACAATAAAAATTCTAATAGCAAAAGTAAAAGCAAAACTAAGAAAAGCCTTAATAATAAAACTAACCAAACAAATAATAAAACAAATAAAAAAAATCTGTTAGATTTTAGTGATAAACTAAAAATAATAACAAAATAAATAAATAAATAAATTTTTATTTTATCTGTATTTTATACAAATTGTATAACAGGTATTAATTTTGGTAAATAAATAAATAAATAACTTCAAGTAAAAAAAATACTTTTCTTTTTTCAGTATAAAATAATAGTTTTAAAAAGACTTTTAGGAATAATTAATTTAATATAAAATAGCCACTGCCACTTAATTAAGAAAAAATTAAATTGGAAAAAGTAGCTATTTTAGTTCTACTCAAAAAAATAGAAATATATCAACGTACATTTTACATAAATAAAAGAATTAAAAAAAATATATTTAAAAAACTATTTTATTTCTATTTATTTTATATTCTATTCAGGACTATTTGCTTTAAAAAGTATATAATAGTTCTTTTAAAATAAAATCCTCTTTTATTTTTTAGCTTTTAAACTTTATAATATAACAAATATTTCGCTTTGTTTAAAAGAACATCGTTTAAATAATCTTTTTTTTTTTTTACTATTTTATTATAATTATTTATTAAAAAGAAAAAACAAAAATTGAAAATAAAAGCTAAATAAAATACCTAAAAATGTCTTTCTTAAGTGAAAATAAAGAAACCAACTACAAGCTTATAGAGGCTACTGATATTCCGTATTCATAAAAAATGAAGATTATGGATAATTTATAAATAAACTCTAAATTTCTCACATAATATCCAAAATATCACTTGTAAGGTAATAAAGTGGAAAGGAAAACTAATGCTGTTATTTAGTTGGAATTTAGCAAGTTGCTAGAAAATGTTTCTCAAAATATGACGCTTAATCAATAAGAAAACATTCAAATCCTAAACAAGTATTGCATTTTAATTGATAGAAGCTAATCTATGATGTCCGAAAATAAATTGTAAAATGTAAAATAATATCTTTGTAATTTAATAGAGAAAGCAAATACTAACTCATAGTTTGCTCTGATATCTTTTGGTTCCAGTCAAAAACTCATCTTTAATTTTACTTAAGTTACTCATGAAAACCTTGAAAGTATCAAGGGGTAAATTAATAACATTATTTCAACTGGAGATACAAATATAATTCAAGCTCTTGAGGTTGCCCACAATATAATTAAGCAAGACTAGTAATTGGAAAACTAAAAGGAGGAACAAACAAAAAAAAGAATAGTCCGATACTCTGCTTTTCTTTTGACTGATGGTTAAGACAATATGAAAGAGAAGGCCATTTTCAAATTTAGAGAAAACTTTAAAAATAAGGATATGGATTACTCCATAAATTGCTTAGGATTTGGAATAGATCATGATCCTCTTTTGTTAGGCGCAATTACTAGTTATACAGGTGGAAAATTTTACTACATAAAACCTGAAGAAAGTGTTTTCTCTGTTTTTTAAGATTACATCAAGAATCAATAAGAAACATTAGTTGAAAATGTCGATATTTAAATAATGCAAAATACATAAACAATTTATGATGATTGCAAAAATCAATATAAATTTTTATTATAAATACAGCCTGACCAAAATGTCTCAGATGCAAAATTAAATAGAATATATTTTAAAAATTTAAGATAAGGAGATGAAAAAAATATATTATTGAGTCTAAAGTATAAGTATAAGTTAAGGAATTCAAAAAACAATAAAAGTTAATAAGAAGATATCTCTTTAAGTGCCATAAATGATACATCGAAAGTTTATAATTAGGATAATACTTTGTTAGACATAACTTTAATCTCTAATAATAAAACTTCCATTACAAGTTAAAGTCAAAAGATAAACATTGAAAAGCTAAATTAATTTGAATAAATGCTCCTCATAGAAAAAAAGTAAACCAAAGACGATACAATTAATTTTGATAGTATTTAAAATGATTAAAAAGTATCTTAGTCTGGCGAAAGCTAGATCTCTCTATCTGAACTGCTGACTGACTTTTCTTCTTTATCTTTTGAATCTTCAGTTTAGGAATAGACAAAAATAAAGAATTATGGTGAAAAATAACATTCAAATAATACCAAACAAGAATAAATTAACTTAGAAAATGATTAAATTCTAAAAGATTTAACCCTAATATAAAACAGATAAGACCCCGATAATAAAATTTTGGACAAATCAGAAAATAAAATTGATTAATCTCAAAATATTGAAAAAGAATTGAGCATAATAGAAAATAAAATAGAAGAAACCTCAGATAGTAATAATTAATAATTAAATTTTGGATCAATAATTATCAGATTTAGTTATTTAAATAATCATTTCAAATTTTCTATCCCATTAAACATTGAATTCACTACAGACTTAAATACAAAATATGTTGAAAATGATATTTGCGCTATCTAAAAATAAAGGATACAATTCTTGAATGGAATTAAAAAATCTTAATAATTACTAGAAGAAGGCTTAACAGATGATTCATTATTTGAGCTAAAGAAACTATAAAAATTACTTGATTAAAATCCTCTTGATTAATTCCCATTATATAAAGAACTATCATAATAAGTAAAGCAGAGTATTAGTTAGATGAATAAATTTGAATCATCCAGAAACAAAGATGAATGGCAAAATCATAGAAAGGATTACATAATTAGTTAAACTGTAAGCATTTCAACTTATAAGGATAAAAGTTCAACGAAGCGAACTGATTGAACAACTTAATAAAATTTATATTTAGAATTTTTAAAGACTAAATATTCTAAATAAGTATTTCAAATTATTACAAAAATTCTAAAATTTTAATCATAATAAAAATATCTTTTTAAATTATTTTATTTTTGGTAGTTTATGTTTATCCATATGCTTATTTTTTAATTCAATATGTTGTATGAAATTAAAATTGATTGTTATAAATTTTATGTAAACAGTTTTATTATATAAAATTGAATTGTTTTGATGTAATAGCAACAACTGTTTTAAAAGAATTTTTGTTCTTAAAATCAGATAAATAAAATTGTTTTATATTTTTATTAAAAACAAAGCTGTAATGCTAGGAAATTATAATAAATAATTAAATCAAAACAATTAAATAAGAAAGAAAAAATAAATGATCGATTATTTGAAAGATAATTAAAAAGACATCTTGGTTTATGCTGTTTAGCAGACTTTCTAAAAAAATTATGAACATTTGCAAGGAGATGTGTTTAATACTTACTTTTGTTTAACTAATTTTTCTTAGCAAAAAGAATAGTTAAATAAATAAAAATTAGACTAGGTAATTGTGCTGAACCCTTACTTTTTTGACACTTAACTATCACAATAAATTAATTTAGTGGAATGTGTTAAACTATTGGTATAAAACTATTTTACTGACTCTTAGAATAGACTAGCAATCCTCTCTCTTACTTCAAGTGATTAAGAAATACAAGACTGCTTTCAACAATAACCTGTGGATTAAATTAAAAATATATAGCTTTAGCAAGATATTGAATTTACCAGCTTCAAGCATCCTTAAAATGTTATTAGTTAGATTAAAAATATTATTTTAAAAACTCAATAATTTTAGAGGGATGATGCAATTTTATCTTTAACTTTTATATCTCCAGATAATTTTGACTATTCTAAGTAATCTAAGTAAGAACTAAAAAAAATTATAAAAGAATAACTTGGAAAGAGCGATTAAATTTCTGAAAATAATAGAAAGGTTATACTCAATTGCATGACTATAGGACAATAAGATAATTTTTTGCTATAACAAATGTGTGAAATAATGCCTTAATCTATCTACTAATTCTGTGACAATAAAGATTTTATTGAAAAATTTAAAGACACAATATTATCTGTTTAAAGTATTTTCATGACAGACATAGAGACAACACTGACATTTAAAAGTGATTCCAACTTAATTGACTATTCGGTTGTTGAATTTCCAAAAAATTGGATTAATTTAAATGAATATACCTATAAATTTAGCTATCCTTTCCTTTACAAATTTTAAGAGCTAAATCATCTTTTTAAGTTAAGAATTTAATTTAAAGGATCTCTTTCAAAGGAGAGTATATAGGAAACCATAGGATTTAACAGATCCTCATTTACATATAACAATTAAAAATACTTTTATGAAAGAGCTATAACTATTGATTTAGTTCAATAAACTTAAGAACTATCGAATGATTAAAATTAACTAAATACTAAGTGTTAAATTGCATTTTTAAAAGAAAAATATGTAATCCCTTTCTTATAAAGCTATATTGAAAAGTTCAAAGAAAATAAAGAAGAAGTAATTGAAATGTTATCAATATGCCTTGAAAAAATAAATCAATTAGATGTAAAATAAAGCTTTGTTCATTTATACAGTAAATAAGTGCTTTAAATAATTAACAAATTTATAGAAAAAAATGAATGTGAAGAAAAAGAAAAGAAAAAGGTTGATTCTTTTGTTAATGAAGCTTTATTTGTTTTATAAAATTAACTCTAACCAATAAAAATTTACTTAAAAATAAAGGAATAATTGTAGTGATTTTCATATATTTATAAATCAAAAATAGGTTTGTTTATTTAGTCATTAAAAGCTTGAAACTAATTCTTTGAAAAAAATAAAGATGAAGTAAATAAAAGCAAATAAATAGTTCATTTTTTTGTATATGAAACTCTGGTGTTTGTTTTAATAAAATTATCTTTTATCATAAATGTTTAATTAAAAATAAAATAATAATTACCACATTTTTACTTCATAATTAATTTATTTATACATCAATCATACATAATCAAGTAAATATTTTTATGGTATTTAAATGTTCTATATAATTTAATATAGTTAATTTTATACTTTCTGTGTTTATGTGGTATAATTTATTGTTTTATTCTTTTATTCCTCTCAAATTAAAAGTGTTTTTTTTATACTTTCTATTTATCGAATTCCTTTATTTTATTTATTTATTTTTTTGTGTTTCAAAATTTCTTTTTATTTTCATTTTCTGTTGATACATATCTATATTGAGTTAATATCAAATATAAAATACCCTTTCGTTTTCATAAATATAATAATATATTAAAATAAATTTTATATACAAAAAGGTATAAAAAAATAAATACTTTTACATATTTTATTGCTCTTGTTTGTTAAATGATCTTTAAAATAGTTATGCCTAAGTCAAAAAAAATTAGAATTTATATATATTTGATTGTGTAATGGTATAGGAACTCTAATACAGTAAAAAAATTATAAAATTATCTCTAATATCATAAAGCTTCTCATCAGAACTTCCAAATCATACCAATTCCATCACCAACGCTTCATCGATCATCTAAGATTCCCATCTCCATTAGCCCTATATTACTACAGCCAACATAAAAATTGAGTTTTAAACTGCTTTTACGAGATAAAATAGAAGAGGATATCCCATATAGCTTAATCATATTAGCTATATTTCATATTTTTGAATTATTTTTTAGTTAGAAATCTTAAAAAATGATGTATTTCAAATGGCCTTTTAAAATATTATCCAACTCATTATTTTTTAAAAATTAATTTAATAAATGAAGATTATAACTTTTAACAAGTCAACGAACCGAACTTAGCTCAGTTGGAAGAGCATCGGACTGTAAAGTTTGTAGTCATCCGGTGGTCCCCGGTTCGAACCCGGGAGTTCGGATTTTTTTTTTTCTTAAAATTTGAAAAAAAATAATAAATCTATATTCTTCAAAACACTAATTTAAATAGACAAATGAGTATGTGGATAAAAAAATATGTATTATTTGTATTATTTCTTTTAAAAGTTTTTTAATTTAATTAAAATAGAGTACCTAGTATAAAAGAAAATAAAAATATTTTTGATAAAAGTGTTTAATCTCAATAAAGATAGTAATTAATAGCTAATTAAATTAATAAATTTGTATTTCTTTTATCCAAAATATTCAATCTTAAAATTAGTAAATTTAGAATTTTTTATCAAAGAATTAATAATATTTAGAGTCCTTTATGTATGTTTAATAGAATTTGATTATGTTATTATTTAAAAAATATAAAAACAAACTAAAAATGGAAATATATAATAATAAAACTTAAATAATTATTTGAAAATAAATAAAGTATTAAAAATAAAAGTGTTTTAAAATTGATTATTAAATTGATACGAAAGTAATTTTGAGTTTTCTTATCTCAGGTAATTAATTAGGTTTAGAGTTTTAATTATTGTATTATAAAACACTTTTATTTTTTTCTTTTTATATTCAATCAGATTCTTTTTATTATTATAAAAAGATTAATTAAATATAAAATTAATAAATAGAATGTCTGCTGAATAATAAGAAACCTGTTGCAAAGTTTTCAGAAACTATAAAAATGTAACTTTGGAAGAATGCAAATCTATGGGATTAGACGTTAGCATAAAATCTAAGAAAAAGTACATACCTAGAAATATAGAAAATGAATATTTAGTAAATATGATGATCTCTATCAGAGGGTAATCTAAATTAGCTTCTGTATAAAGCAAAATCTAGAGTGAAGCTTCAAATAAAGGTATTTCTTACTTGATACTTTTAGACAGAAGCGAGTCTATGCAAGTAAACTAAAAAATATAGAATGCTAAAAAATCTGTAATAGAACTCATATAAAATTTAACTCCTTATGACAGATTTTGCTTAATTCCTTTCGGAGGCTCAAATGGAGTTGCTATTCCTTTTACTGATAGCAATTCGATAAATAAATAAGAAACTTTTGAGATAATATAGAATATAGTATGTAAAGGTAAAACTGATATTGTATCTGTAATATAAACAGCAATAAATACCATAAAATAAGAATAAATTCATTAAAATACTATAAAATAAGAATTCGAGAAAACAACTAAAAAATCTTTACAATAATCAATAAATTCGAGTTTAACAAGAGTATCCAGAAACATTAATGTTGATGAATTAGAATTGCTTAACATGTCAAAAAAACATTAAAATAAAAATTCTTCAAATTAAATAGTGGATAGAACTTATTGCTTTGTACTTCTTTCTGATGGCGAGGATAATATACATTAGAACTATGCACTCTAAAGAATAAGAGAATGCATAAAGAATGAAACTTTGAATTACTCAATTAACTGCTTTGGATTTGGTATTGAACATGATGGAAACCTCCTTTCTAGTATAGCTTAGCTCACTGGAGGATAATATTACTACATAAAAGAAAATGAGAGTATATATGATTATCTAAAGGAATGCAAGAATTTATAAGGTGATATTTTGTTTGAAAATGTAGAGATTTAAATAGATTCTAATTAAAGAGATTCAGTTAACTAAATTATAAATACTGAAATTGTAGATTTACCTTCTAATTTTATATAAATAGCTAAACAAAATTCCTATAAAGCTAACTTTTAACACATTCAAAGTAATAGTGAAAACAAAATATTTTTTAGTATAAAAGTAAATAAAAGTGAATAATAAAATTATTAAAATTTTAGTTCTTCTTCATCTTCATCTGACACCTTAAGTAGCTTTAATAGTTCTTCAAGCCGCTCAATTACCTTATCTTAAGAAGAACCTAAATAAAAAGAGATGATAGACTTAACCTCAATCGAGAAATTAATACTTGGTACAATCAAAATATCATTCAGTAAAAAAGATGATAAATAAAATTACATGAGTGTTTAAACTCCTGTTTCTATCGAGGTCAGTAAGAAACACGAGTATGAAATAGATGTTTTGAAAGAAATCACTAATAGAATTTTCAGCAATATTTTAGAAAATTCAATTTAAAAAGCATTCACAGGAAATAGTGAAAACGCTAAATTTAAACTGGAATAGTTAAAAACTCAAATTGTTAGCTATCAAAATAATTTGAAGATCGAAGAATTTAAAAGAAATGTAGAAATAATAGATTTTATTCTATAATGTTTAAGTCATAAAGATATAAACAATAATACAATCTATCAAAGATAGTTGAAACTCCTTACCTAAGAAATTGTCTTTTACTACAAATACAATTCATAAAAATCTTAAAAAATATCTGAGAAAATTGATCAAGTTCTTTAGAAATAAGAATTGTTCTTCAATAACGAATTAACCAATATGTTAACTTAATAAACTTTAAAGGGAAATGTAAACTGAGATTGATCATAAGTAGTGCGCTAATATATAAATTTTAAATTTAAAATTAATTTACTCAACTAAAATCAATGTAGCTTTCATCAATAAAAAAATGAATTCTGCCATTTTAAATTTTAGTGAATAAATAATTTTTAAAAATTAAAAATTTACTAATATATAAAATTAATAAATAGTTAAAAATTTGTATATAAATCTTAATATAAATTTATATTGTTACTTTAATTAAATTAATTCACAAAAATCTATTCTCAACTAAATCATCAAAAAAAGAAAAGAAAGTTATAAATAAAGTTTTTAAAACTAAATTATTAATCATTAATGCTTACTATTTTTTACAAATAATTGATCACTTTATTTTAATAATTTTTTATAATTTTTAAACACTCAATAATCAAAAACAATTTTTTAATTGAAAATTCTTTTCATTTTGAATAAAAAATAAAAAATTTTGAGGTAATATTAATTTATAAGATTTTCCTAATAAAATTAATTCATAGTAATAACAAAAATTATTGATTTAATGTTTTTGTTGCTTATAATAGTTCTAAAAATTTTAAGTCAATTTTGTTTAAGAAAAATGCAATCTATTACAGGTTTAATTGTTGGTTTTGTAAATAGTTAAAAATTTCTATAAAAATCTAAATATTTATCTAGTTATTTTTATTTTTATATTAACTCACAAGCATTTATTCTCAACTAAATGATCAAAAAAATTAAAAAAGGTTATAAATAAAGTTTTTAATACAAAATTATTAATCAGTAATGCTTGCTTTCTATTTTTAATATTTAATTATTAGTTTTGTAAATAGTTAAAAATTTCTATAAAAATCTAAATATTTATCTAGTTACTTTTATTTTTAAATTTATTCATAAACGTTTATTCTCAACTAAAAGATCAAAAAAATAAAAAAAGGCTTTTAGTAAAGTTTTTATGACAAAATTATTAATCAGTAATATTTACTATTTTTAACATTAATTAATTTGTTTAAAAATTTTTTTAAATTTTTAAACACGCAATACTCAAGAACAATTTTTAAATAGAAAAAAAACTTTGTACATTTTGAATAAAAAATAAAAAATTTAAGGTAATATTAATTTTTAAAATTTATCTAATAAAATTAATACATGTTATTAACAAGAATTGTAGACTTAATGTTTTTGCTGCTAATTATAGTTCTAAAAATTTAAAGTCAATTATGTTTAAGAAAAATGCAATCTATTACAGATTTAATCATTTATTTTGAAATTTAAAAAAATTGAGTTTCTATGTACAATAGAGTTTAAAGCAAGCGATCATAAGTAAGTAATATATATTTTGTTATTACCATTTTTAGAATTTTAATTATTTTAATAAGATCAAATCTAATTTTATTTTTTTTAAATATGAACAATGGAGATATTTTTAATAACAGGATTAGTAAAATTCATACGAAATAAATGATATAAAATACTTTCTTGGTTATTTATATATATAAGAATTATTTGCTAATTATGATTGTGTTTTTTTTTTTGGAGAATGTAAAATGTGTGAATATCAGAGCTTAGAGCAAGTTATCCTAAAAATTAATCATTACTAAAAACATAAATAAATATTAGATAAATAATTTTGAGTAATAAAAAATACTAAAAAATAAATTAAATATGTCAACTAATTTTTAGACATAAATCTTTTCAGACTTGCTACTTGGGTAGAACTAATTCTTACAGGATTAATATCAAAGGGAATCTTGTGAAATAGAAACTATGATGGCTGTCATTTCTCAAGCTTAGGACCTTTAATTTCTTCAAATGTACAAAAGAGACCCAATTCATTTTATTTTTATTGTTGATGATCCTCTCTTTTTTCAATATTACTACTTAGAGTAATTTAAGTGCTTTTTGTTGAGTTACAACGCAAAAAGAATGTTTCTAACAAATGAGATGGACGTATAAGACATCTTTTCAATATTTACTCCATAATGCAAAGATAATCAAAATGATTTTATGCCACTTATTTAGTTCTAACCATTTGCTAATTTATAGAATGAAGATTGTTTTTATTAAATCTTTAACCAAAATGTACTAACAAATGATTAATTTAAACAATGGTTATAATCCGCTGATAAGAAAGAATAAGTAGAAGATAATCCAGAATAGAAACTTGAGCAAGTCTACAACTTAGTTGTAAAAAATTGCATGGATTAAAAATTTAATAATTCTGTGGTCTTTGTAAGCTCAATGATTAGCGCATCGAAATAAAAATAATATAATAAATAGAAATTAAATTAATTGAAAACTAATCAGAATTCTAATTACAATTTTAAATTACATGCCATCTCTCTCAGAAAAAATAGCTTTTAATTACTTTAAAAGTTGACTTCTTCCTCACTTGGTTATTATTTTTATGCTAAAGACGTTTAAAAATAGCTATTTCTCTACTCATTAGATTAGATATTAATTTTACACACAAAAAGTTATTTAAAAAACTATAAAATCGAGCTTTAATTCGAGGATAGCCATAATATTATAAAATAAATTTCCCATTGCTCTAAATGGATATTAAATAATAATTCAGGCTAAAAACAGTCTTACAAAATCTAGTAAAAATACTTTACATCTAATGAAGAAAAAATAAGTCTTCTATCAGTTGTCTTAAACCCAACAAATAATTTATCCCCAGGTGTTTACAAAATAGGTAGTGTAACTCACTCTTTCTAGGTCCCAAGCTAGAATAATTTTATCACGTAAACAAATGATGTTACTATAACTCTAAGCAACGAAACTGTCTATAATCTAAATTCGCAGCCTGTCATATTCTATGAATAGTGTATTTTTATTTAATTAGGATTAAAAATCTTGCAATCTCTTCTTTAATTTGACTGGGCTTAAGTTGATTAATTTTTACCACGTTTGAGAGATATTTTTTCTTTATACATTCCTGACTCTGTGAAGTTTCAAAATCTCCTTAAAAGTTCAAAATATTTATTGGAAAGAATTATAGTTTTTAAGCAGTCTTTTTCGATTTCGACTAAAAGTAGTTCAAAAAATTATCAAAGAGAAATCATCTCTTAAGAAGATTGCTACAATTAAATTTTTAAAATGATTGAATATTTGCATAACATAAATCACTTTCTAATTAATTTGTGCTGAGAACAAACACTATTTATTAAGACGATTAATTATTTGGCTTACACTCACATACTTATATTTGCTAATCATATTACAAAACTTTTAAATTATCTTATTTATTTATTTTGAAATTTACAAAAAAATAATAATTTCTATTTTCATTACTTTGTATTTATTTTTATGTAATTAGATTATTAGAATTTTTCCCGCTCGCTCTGTTTCTGCTTTCCATCAATCTTGGTTATAAAAAATAAATATATTAATAAATAATCAATTTAATAAATTTCACCACAAATGGTATTTTTTAATATATGAAACAAATTTAAAAGATAAACATTAATTCTTTTATAAATAAAATTTAAAAGTTGTAAATTAAAACAATTTCAAAAAGCTGGTTTCTATGTTAATAAATTCCTTAAAAGTTTATAAAATTTAAACAATAAATTTTAAATATTTTCAAACATGACTTTAATCATTAACTTTACTTTGATTATTGTTTTTTTTTTGTATTAATAAAATTTAAAATATGTAAATTAAGTGATTAACAACGATTCATTCAATTATTTAGTAAATTACCTAAAATACAGAAAGCTGTCAGTAACATAAATAAAAACCCAAACTTGTATTATTGAGGATTGTATTTACTTTAAAATTCATATATTATCATACAAATATTTTAAGTTATTAGATACTATTATTAATAGATTATAATATTAGTATTATTTTAAATAAACTTTATCTCATATATTTACCAAGAAAATGAAAAAATTGCAAATGAATTTTATAAAAGTAAAGTTTATTTTTTTATACTTCAGTGTAAAATATAATTCAAAAATTTTAAATTTACGCAAATTCATGAAATAATTTACCTGAATTTTAATTTATTAGAATTACAAAATATAAAATTATTTGTTTTAATATTTTATATTTTGGTTGATCTTAGACTTGTTTTTGAATATCTTAAATTACTCCTTTAAAATAATTTTTACTGTTAATTAATTTAAATAGTAGAGTATTAGATTATGATATTTATATTCATAATACAGCAAATGCTATACCACAGTATAGATCAAAATTTGTAGGCAAGATACAAAGATGCTAAAATTGTGAAGTTTCTTTTTTATTTCTTTTTTAAAAATCTACCAACAAAATAAAAAGGGAGTGGTCATATTATTTAAGCAATCACAAACAAATGTTTTACTGTATCTTATTAATTTACATTTTAAAAATAAATAAACTTTTAAAATTTATTTTCTTAAGTTACTTGATAAATTCTTTTATTTGAATTAAAATTATTAGTTAAAAGTTGCCTTTAATTATCAACATCAAATATTAAGATGGCCTTACGAATACAAAAAAATTATGAAGCTTAAGTTTGAGTTCAAAAAAAGAACAAAAAGTGAATTTAATGATTTTAAAATATATTATTTTATTCTGTGATAAATAATTTAAAAACAAAGAGAAAATCTTGGAAATTAATAAACTAAAAAAAAAAAAATTAAAATAAAAAGTTTATTTAAAATGGAAAAATTATTCTTGGATATTTCAAATAATATATAGGAAAAAAGAAAATTATCACTATTATTAATCTTTTTTGGATCAAAGAATATTTATATTTTTAGAAAAATAATTTTGAAATAAAGTCAGTGAAGCAAAATATCTGTTTATTTATTTACTTATTTATCAGCTTTAAGTAAATGAGAAGTAATTTTTTAATTGAATTTTGTTGCTTAGATTTATTAATTTTTTTGAGACAAAAATAAAATTCATTTAAATTATTATACAACATAAAATATAGAAAATTAACTTGTTTTTTTAATTAACTTTGTTATTTATTAAATAAATTATTATACCTATCAAAGTGGTTGACTCTCTTAAGTTTTTGAACTTTGATTTTACAGTTTTAATTTTTTAATTTGAAATTCTATTAGACTGTTTAAGGGTTTATGATAACTTTGGGCTGTTTCATGCCTAGCATCTCGAGAATATCTATCTATCAAGTATAACTTAGATGGTTTTGATCTAAATAAATTATGCTTAGATGTAAAACTTAAAGATTTTTTCATTTCCTTTAATATTATTTTGTCACTATTGCTTTATTCGGATGGCTGGTTTATACTTGCAAATAAACTGGAATCCTAATTAATTTCTTCTTTATTCAATTTGCTCATGTTATTTTGAAAGTTTAGAATATTTTAATTTATTACAGACATATTTATATTCTTTTTATCTAAAGATTTGTTTTTGTTTTCAATTAAGTTTCTTTAAGAATTGTTTCTAGATTTTTAGAGGTTTCCTTAGAAAGACATATTATATTTAAGCTTAGATTTCGAATTATCATCTTCAATATTTAAGATAGGTGATCTATATGAATTACTTTAACCTTTAGTAAGTATCTTTAAAATCTAAAATGTGTTGATAGGTTTGGCAAATTTTTATGAATCTTCAGATGCATTAGCAATTATTGGCTTACTTTCTTCATTATTCAAAAATTAGCAGCTCAAATCTATCTAAGATATGTAGGAATTACCAGGAATTTTTCTTTGTGCTTTTAAAGCAGTAAGTTAAGAAAAAATTGTTTATTTGTTGAATTTATTCATTTAAATATACTCATTGTTATTATCTTATTTTTAGTATTATGAATTTACATAATATTCTTAAATTTATTTGTTTTCTTAAATATTTTACTTCACAGTTTTAACCTTTGATTTTAGGAAATCATTTTCAATGCTATTTCTTTTTAAAGTATTTTTCAATATGAAATTATTATTGAAAGCTTTAGGTGATTTGCCTACCGTCTCAATTAAATTTTGTTTTGGTGAAGTCTGGTCATTAAAATCAGTTACTATTTTATTATAGTTCTAAGACATTACATTCTAATCTAGATCAGTGCTTGATAGCTTTTAAGATGACATGTTTTCTATCTTTGGTAATTTTTTAGGTGTCTAATTAGATTATTACTGTTGCTACTCATTCTTTTCTACAAAATAGCTTTATTTCAAGTTCTAAACTTCTAAACTGTCATTTTTGTTTACAGGAGTAGCTTAATCTGTTATGTTCCCGTATTCTATGGAACAAAGCATACTGTTTTCAAGATTTATACCTGCACCTGGGTTATCCTTTCTTTAAAATTATTTATTTTCTTTAGTGTTTAAAGTAGAAAAAAAGTAGGAATCTCTGGAAATCTTAGAAGAAGTAAGATTTTTTTCATTATCTGTGAAAAAGCTATTTTCAAAAGAATTCTACAAATCTTTTAAATAATAGTTTCTTTCATTCTGCTATTGTTTCTTTTATAACAAAGTTTCTTAAAAGAATTTTTTGCTTGCTGCATGCGAGTATACTTTTTTAAGCTACACAGGTTTTTTATCAATTGATGTTACATTTTTTAATTTCTATTTATATTTTTCAATAAATTTTTGCCAATCTAAGTTTTAGCTTTTGTTATTTGGTGAAGGTTACAAAGACTTTTATCCGACTGTACTATTCAGGTTATCAATTAGACATTTTTAATCTCTTGAGCTTTAGACTTACTTTGTAAAACCATCACTGTTTTGATAGGCTGAATTATTCTAAATATAGTCTTAATTAATATAGTATGAATTTTATGAAAGTATTTCATCAACAAAATCGTCTGTCTAGTTTATAATATCTTTCTATAGGTCTTTTTAGATGCTTCTTGATGAGTTTATAGGGGAGTAAACAACTTATTTTAATTTTTAATCACTCATGATAAGCATCTCTAAATTCAAAGTATCTTTTAAATCAATTCCTTCTTAATGTTATATCTTTTATTTTTATTATAAATTAATTACAATTAATTATTTTTTATCAACAATTTATTAGAAAAAATAATTTTTTCTAATTCTATCAAATATTTTTCATTATTAAAAATTCAGTTTTATTATCTTAGCAATTTATAAGAGTTTTTGCGAACACTAAAATCAAAAATCCTCTTTAAGAGTTTTTTACATTATTTATTTTATTACTTTAATTATTTTGTGTTTATTAAATTTTCATAAAAATAAATACAATGATAAATATTTATTGTCTTATCATATTTAAAACTCTTTTATTGGTTGATTGATTTTTAATTAGATAATTTTTTTATCATACATATTAAAATTAATTAATGTAAAAAATTTTTTTAATTTAAGTTTTAAAAAGTTTTTTAGAAATTAATTTAAAAATTTATTTTTTTAGATATTTAGGTAATTATTTATATTTTTGAGGAAAAAACTAAGGATTTGTATTAATTAAAAAAATTAAAATCAATAAATTCTCCTCAGAGAGAATTATTTTTTGTATTAAATTATATTCAAATGCTAAATTATAAAATTAAATTGAAGAAAAATTTTATTAATTCAAATAATGAATTAAATTGGATTTTTATATTAAATTTTAATTTTACTTTTTTGAGTTTAACATTTCCAGGTTTAATTTAATTAGCACTATGAGTAATGTTTTGCATTTATTTTTTAATTTATTCTACATAAAGCATGGTTGTAAATATTTCAGCATTTTCTACATTATCTTCTTCTTCTTTGCTTTTATTTTACTTAAATTCTTAAAGTTTTTACTTTTTAATTTTAATGAGCTCTTATAAAAATTAAGAAAAGGCAGAATTTTCAAATAGTTCATCAGATACATCTATCTATTTGTTACCTTTTTCATTTTTATAGCAATGTTGTTCAATTACTGAAGGAGAGTAATAATTATTAGGGTTCTATTTTGGAGAAAGAGAGTTTCGTTAATGAAATTCTAACTAGTTATTATTATTTTATTCTTAAGAGTTTTCTCTTTTCTATGCTGCATTATCGATTTGTATTTAATCTATAAAGGATGGCTTAAAAACTGTATCAAATAAAGTGGGATTTTGTTTAAATTTATTAAATTTTCTATTTTTAATAACAATTTTTTCCCTTTCTTTAATAAGCTGCTTGCTAGTTTCGTTTTATTGTTTGATTGAGTCTAAATAAAGTTTAATTTTATTTTTTTAATATTCTTCTTTCATACTGATTTCCTTTTAGAAATCCTTTACCAAAAACTTATTTTCATGTAATAACACTAAAAAATTCTAATATTTTTTTAATCGAAAAATTTTGATTAAGATCTATCTATCTATATTTGTGAATTTTATAGTTTTAAGTTTACCTTAATACTGAGAGCGTAGACTGTGGCTGAAAGTGAAGTACAAATAGCAGACGTATTTCTTGGACATCCAAACATAACTTCCATTTCTCCGAATGATTAACCTGTAGTATATTCATTGATTATAATATCAATGTATAGTTTTTTCTATTTTAGATGTTTGATTTCTTTTCTTAATTCTTATTGTGGGTTCTTGTAGCCGTAATCAAAAACATCTTCAATGTCTTCGTTTATTTCTACTTTTTTAGATATCTTTAAAAAGGTTTATTTTTTCATAAACAAGCTTAAAGAAATTTATTACTTAGATTGTTCCCTTCTTTATTAGGTATACAAATTTTGGTGATTCCTGCTGCGTGTAAATACTCTACCCCTTTTCGAATTTTAATTTTTCAAAATTATAAGAAAATTTAAGGACAACCTCTCTTCCACAATTTTGAAGTAAGCTGGAAGAGAAGAAATTTATTCTTCTATTAAATTTTTTCATTTCTCCTGCTTTTAATATTTGAATATAGTCCTCAGCATCTAAAACAGCAAATTCTGTATCTTCCTTAGCAATTATAGTTGCTGCTCTTGGTTTTTTCATGAGCAGACCTAATTCACCAAACATCTAGCCTGTTTATAGAGTCACTAAATAGTTATGAGTTAGTACTCCATCCTAAATAAATCTGTTTATAAAATCCAGTAAATATAAGGAAAATAATATTTTATTTTATTACTTGGAAGGTTCTGCTAAATCTGAAAGCTTTATTTATCCCAATCCTTTGAATATTGGATCATTATCAAGATCCTTTTCCTCTAATTCTAAGTCTTAAACTTCATCTATATTTTCAGCTTCAAGTGAAATTTAAGTCTCATCATTTTTGAATGATGATTAGATTTACTAATCTAAGTAGCCAGCTTATCTTACATTTTCTGAAAAATCTAATTGTTTAGAGTTAGATCTATTTAAAACTGAATTTTTAATACTGTTTAGTTATATTTTGCTGATTTCTTTTATTGTACTTTAGCTAAAATCTTAATTTTTAGAAATAGGAGATTTATTTTATATTCTCAAATTTGAAGAAGGACTTGAATCACAACTATTTTTGGCAAGTAATTCTATCAGTAAATTTCCTGGCTAACCTTAAATTATTGATTCCTAATAGAGATGAGACATTCTAATTGGATTATGCTTTTTTAGTGGGCTTAATTTTTCAGGAAGAGTTTCTGTCATTTGTGAATCATTAATTTTAAAATAATTTTTGGTCTTTCTACTTTCTAAATAAAAATTTTATTTAAGAATAAAAGTTAAATAATGAGATTTAATAATAAAATTAAATGAATTTGTATTTATGCATTATTCAATTTAATTATTCTGTAAATCAATTTAACAAATTTTATTTTATTTATGCAATTTCTGATTTTATTTTGAGAAATATTTAATAGTTGATAAATTTATAATCTTGATATAAAAATATATTTTTTGTCATATTAAATATACATTCTTAGGATGCTTCTTTAAAATATCAATATAAATTTCATTAATCTACAAATTTAATCATAAAGATTTCTATTAAAATTAATATGTATGTATGTTTTTGTAGATTTTTAATATCGATGATAGATTTTTTCCAAAATTGAAAAATTAATAGAAGAATAAATTCTTTGCCTAATTTTCTATTTCTAAAATCTTAAAATTTCAAAATGAGAGTATTCTTTAATTGATAATTAGAAGGTTTTCAGTATTCTGATCACGCTATCAAATACACCTGTCAAAAATAAAAACACAAAAAGAAAAATCAATCAATTGTCGCATTTAATAATCTGAATAAGTTTTTTTTTAGAAACATCTCATTTAAAGTAAAACTTTTTATCAGCTAATTTTGGAAAAGATTTTCAATAAAAATAATTCTAAAATTAGGTTAGTAATTTTAAATTATTATAAAACGATAAATAAAATTTCTAATTTATTTTAGCCCACTAATTTAAATTATTTTGAAAATAATTTCATGATAGTTTGAATAGAATTATTTTTCTTATTAATTTAAAATTATTTACCATCTTTTATTTCTTAAATTTAACTTTAGTTTGACTTACAAGGTGTACTATCATCAGCTGAATTTTATTAATTTTCATTATCCATGATACTTGGTTAAGGCTTTTTATGATTTTCACAAAAAAGTTAGAATTTAATTATAAAATTTAAGTAATATTACGTTTAACTTTCTTTCTATTTCGAGCTATTACTTATCTTAGATTTTTTTTATGACCTGCCTTTTTTTTAAAAGTCTTGAAACTCTTGCCTGAATGCTATTTGATTATTCTTTTTAGGTACTTTTTTTGAATTGTTCTTATGATTTTTGGATCTCACTTTGTAAAACTTCTTAGGACTTTTAAAGTAAAACATTAACTGATCCACTAAGAATGATATAGAATTTTTCAGGAATATCACCTTGAATTTTAGAAATAAATTAATTTTAATATATTTAATCTATTTTAATATTATACCTGCCATAAATACTTATTAACCCTTGTTAATCTTTTCGTACTTAATTTTTGTGCAACATTTTTCGTGGATTCGCATATCTATATTACTCTGCTTGGCATTCAGTTCTTAAAAAAATTTAAACCGTTGAGTCCATTTATGTAGGATACTGACCTCTTCTTCATATCTATCTCCATGTTTTTTTATTATAAAAAAAGCTAGCTATTAATTAAAAAAAATACATTATTTATTTTGCTCTTAATAAATGGTGATTATCTAAGATAAATTGCAAATATTTATTAATTCTTTTAAAAACTTATTGGCTTATGTGAATTTTTAATAAACTAAAATTATTTTTATTGATTATTGTAATCATTTAAGCTACCTTCTCTAGATTAGGCGGATCTATCATTTTAGAATAGCCTCTGCAGAGATTTCTATAATTTGCATTGTCTTTTTTTCTCATTTAAGCGAAATCTATATTATCTTCTTCTGTTTAATCAGCTAACTATAGGTCTAACTAATCTAAAGGAGGTTATTCAGCCATCTTATAAAATATTTTCTGATAAAAATGATATTTTTAATTTAACTAATACTTATTGCTTTTAATATTTTATTATTTTACTTCTACTTTAACTTTTAATAATTAATATCGTTTAAACCTACTAAAATAATACTAAAATTTTAAGTTTTAATCAATTAACAATCCAGTACCATATAAAAAACCTATCCATCATAATCAGTAAAAATGTATGTAAATTTTATTATTCTATTCTTTAAATAAGTGATTTTCTTTAATTCAATAAAAAAGTGTATCAAAAATCTCAAAAATATAAAACTTTGTATGAGAGTGTTTTTCAAGTAAAATTTACTTAAAGTTTAATAAAATGTAATTTGCTTAATTTCAATTGAGAATGCTTTAATTTATTAAACATGGAATGCTTTATCTAAAATGTGTTTGAACTAATTACAGCTAAAAATGAATTTAATATTTAATATTTTTTATTAATTAGATTCCTTTCAATATATTTAATAAGTATTTATGAATTATATCAAAAACTCTAATTCTAAGTATTTTAAATGTTATCCAATTTATTATTGTAATAACTTTTATCTAAAATTAAAAATTAATAGTCATATATATTTTATAAAAATTATTTATTATTTTATATATTCAGCACAAAAAATAAGGTATTATAAATATTTAAGCTATTTTATTGTTATTTTAATTTCACAAATGGCCATTTTCAATCAAACAAAATATCTTTTTTATTAATTTGTGCTTTAGATTTCTATTTCATTATTTTAATTTTTAAGACTTGATTAATAATCTTTATTAAGAATATCTCTAAAATATTACATGTTATTTAGTTCAAATTAGTTTTATAATAATTTTAAAACAAAATTGTAGTAATAAGAATAATTATCTAAAAATTTAGATTTTCTTATTCAAATTTTATTTACATTTTTTATGTCATTTTATTAATAATCTCAAAAGCCAAATAATTTTCTACTAAATAATCCTTATTTTTAATTTTTAGGCTTAACAATATCTTCTAAGTCATGAAGGTTTACCTCAAGATCTTCTATTTTTAAATTAATAAAACCAACAGTTTTCCACACATTTATTATTTTTTCTGATTTAAATACAAAAAATTTTAAATTTTAGCATATTAGTAATTTATTTATTTATTTATTTACCTTCCATACTCTCTTTTATTTCATTTAGCTACAAAAAAATTTATGATGTTTTTTCACTTAAAAAGTTATCATGCTCACATTTTTACTAAATTTAATTTTATAATATTAAAATAAAAATATTTTTATAAAAATAATTCGTAAAAAAAAATATATAATTTATTGATTTTAATGAGTTAAAATAATTAATTTTTTAAAATGAATAATCTTTATTATTTATTTACATATTATTTAGAGCTCTCTTCAAAATTTACAGACGAATTATCTATGAGCACTTTGTTTTATTCATTTACTTAGTCCCTAAGTAAGAAGGTAAGTAAATAAATTACGAAACTTTATTTCTTTAATAAATTACTTATAACTGGCATTCACAAAAGTAATTTCTAAAATAGAAATTCTCTTTTATATAGAATTAATATGGCCTTAGATTTCATTTATTGCTGCACAAAAGCTATCTTCAAGCTTTGTCTATGAAATTCCAATTAGAACATCACTAATTTAGCTTATTATTTTTTACTTTCTAAGCTATAATTAAGGTTCGGAAAGTGTTCTGTTGTTGTGTTTAGCCACTTTTTATTAATCGAAATTGAATGGAAGTTCACTACATTTATTTTCAAAATCCTAATTTTATACAGTTTACAAAGTTTCATGAGGATTGGCTTGGTCTCTTTAATTATCAATTACATCAAAATTATTCTAAAAGCTCTAACTGATTTCCTTGCAGTTCTAATCTATATTTGTGCTAAACTCTAGCTAATCAATAAATTTGTTATTTTATGAATAATTGCTTTATTGTGTCATAAAATTTTGATATTTTTCTATATTTAGCTCTTAAAAATATTTATTTTTACAAATATTCTATAATATTCTGTTTTCATACTAACTTTATCCTTCATCTTCATTGAGCTATTTGTTTTCATTTTTGTTAGAGGGTTGCATATAACTCTTAATTTCATTTCCTTGTGACTAACTTTTAGACTTTTGCTTAAATTTTTCCATTTTCTATATTTTAGATATCCTTTCATCAACTTGAGTTGAAAGATTTTCATTCATTGGACTACTTTCTATCTTTTTGTAAAAGCATATTTAAAAACGCATAAAATTGTAAATAAATCAATGAATCAAAATGATAAAAAAACTACATCGTTTTCAGGTACTATGAAACTATTTTTATTACTAACTATAAAATTTTTGCAATTCTTCGCCTCTATTCTCTATTTTATATAAATTATCATAGTTTTTAATTACTTTTTTTATCAATTTAAGATAAGATTATGTCTTTTGTAGGAGCTTCATGCTAATACTATTCTATGATAAGACTTAATTGATTATTAATATAAATTTTACATCATCAATAAGTTTGCTAACAAATGAAATGAAAGATTCATTGCTTAGAATTTATTCAATCATATCCATTTTATGTTTATGCTTTAAATTATATTTTGTTTATGTATTCAAGAGAAAACTAAATATTCCTACTATTATTTTTGCTTTTAAATGAGAATTTAACTTTTAATCAATCAAAAATATCTAAATTTATATAGCAAACACTATATTTTTGAATTTTGATAACGTGTTTATTAAGATGCTACTTACTATAAAAAAATATATAAACGATATAAATCAAAATAAATAACAAATGAGACTTAAAATTGTATTTGAGTGAAAATATTTTAAAGAAACAATAGAAACAAAAGAAAATAAAAAATAGAGCAGTAATTAAAAGAAATTTATATCTTCTAATCGAACATACTGATAGAGTAACCAAAAACATTTAATTTTGCTTAACAAATTTAAAATAAGAATAATTAGAGATAGTTATTGTTGAAATACGTAATTAAATTAATTTAAATTAATAAGAATGGTGTAATAAATAGCGTAAACAAATTTTTAAGTTTTTCTAGATGCAATTCAGACACTCAAATTAGAAATCACAAGGAATTAATTGACTTATATTGGCAATATGGTTAAAGAGCTTTGTTGTATTCTTTTCTTCATTAAAATCACTTCTAAAGTAATATAATAAACAAGCATTAAATTCTGATGGGAGATGTGAGCTATAGAGTAATAAAATAATCATGATGGATATTTAAAAAGACGTAATTTATATTAATCTGCGTGTTATAAATTAATTAATTCATCTGTTTAATTACTTAAATGATTGACAATCAAGTTAGTCTTCAATCAAAAATATATTTATTTTAAATGGCTAGGAATAAGATGATGCTTTGCAATTCTTTTAATATTAATAACCTTAAATGCTTATATAAGCAATACTTTATCTTTTTTCATGTTATTTATATAGCTAATTTACCTAAAATTAACTTTATTCACATGTATAATCAATCAATAAAAAAATGCACAATAAAATAATAAGGGAATTTAAATAAAGAGATATAGCTGATCAATCAGATTTGCTTGAGAAAGAAAGATAATTTGGTTAAAGAAAGAAAATTAAGTAAGCAAATGAGCTTAAATACAGATAGAGTACGGAGAGAATAGGATAGGATAGGATAGCGAATAAATAAACAAATAAAGAAAAGAAAAAATTAAGCAATTAAACATTAATAAACAGGTAAACAAATTGAAATCAATCGATTAATTAATTAATTAATTTTAATACAAAAATCATTGTTAAATACAAATTATTAAAACAATATAAAAGAAAACAAAAGAATCTATTTATTTAATAGAAATCAGATTCTCGAATATTTACTAAAAGAGAAGAATTTCATTTTTGAAATAGCATTCATACATAGTTTTTATTTACTCTCCAAATTACAATAATGCAATTTATAGCTCGCTGGACTAGAAAGTTCATAGGAAAATATTTTCCAAAGCCAAAGTTTTAGCCATTAATTCCAAATAATCTTAGTGTGAACGCAAAAAAGACTCTTTGTTTTGCATAAATTCCATCATAAACAGCTCATCTTGAATTGTTTGATATTAACTTAGGTAAACAAACTACTTTGAAAAAATAACGAAATAAAAGCTAAATACATAATTATAAAATATTTGGAGTTGGATTTATTTATTTATCTTTTTATAAACAAAAATAGAGCCTATAAAAGAGATAAAAATCTTCAAGCTAAATGAAGAAATGACCAAAAAATATTTAAACTAGGTAATTAGTAACATATATACTTTTAATATAATATTAAGAGTCAAAGAAAAAAAATATTGATTATTTCTAAGACTTTACTTTAAATTTTTAAATTTGCTAGAGCTATTTCTTATCAAAAATGTGATAAAGGCTTTAGAAAGAAAACATTTAAATATAAATCTAGACTTTTAAAAATAAATATACTGAGTTACTGATTTATGCTAAATAAATAAATCACTTTATCAATAGATCAGCATTTTGTTTTTAATTTTTATGACTTATATTTGACTTTAAATACATATAAAAAAATCATTAACTCTCAAAATTATAATTATATAAATAAATAGAGGCTTGTTAATTTTACAGATACACTTTAAGAATTGTTAAACTAAACATGCTAAGGCCTACAAGTATTATGTAATTCTTATACTATTAAAATTCTAATTAACTTACCCTCAAATAACTAATTAGTTTGCGAAGATAATGATTTCCATCCTCTCAAGAGTTAGAATTTCTTCGTAAAAATTTACTATTTATTTATTTTTAATTATATAAACAAATAAATAATTAACTAGAACCTATTTGACTTAAAATTTTTTACAAAATAATAACAGCATCAGTTAAAATTATAATCTGAAATAGACTCTGCATTGAGCTTTTATGATGAATAAAATGAATCAGAAGTAAAGTTTGACTCAACTCATTCTTCCATTGCAATATTTTCCAGAAAACCTTCTTTGTAAGATATTATTAAATTAATTCTACTTAATAATAATTTGTTTTTTCTTATATTTTTGTTCTATGAGTAAATATTTATTCTAACTATATAATAAATATAATTAGCATAAGCAGCTCATATTAAGAAGTTGAATCAAATCACAAAAATGATATTTCTATAGCTAGCGAGTACTATTCAGGAGAATTCAATGAAAACTACTTTAATTTTCAGGATGACTAATAATTTCTTGATAACAACAGAATTTAATAGCAATAAGTTGTTCCACGTCTTTGATTTAAAGCCCAGAATAATTGGTTACTAAATCTGCTCTTAAAAATAATATAACAATTGATTATATTCTTGTCATAACAAATTAACTAAAATACAGTCTTAGTTGCTATTTTGCTATCTATGAATTGAAATTTTGCTTGATTACTGTGACTGTATTGTTTTTGTTCATACTAATGCTACTAGAAATAAAAATAAGATATACAAAACACTCATACTTCATTTAAAAATAAACAAACAAACAAATACTACATTTACATTACTATTATACTTAAAAAATATATATAAATATAAATAAATAAATTGCATATTATTTAATGTAAGTAAAACTATAATCTTCTTTACTTCATCCAAAAATCTTAAATTCTACACCTAAACTGATTTATAATAAATGTATTAAGTTTTTAATATTATTGTTATATAAATTGTCTAAAATAAGTTCGGAGATTGAATTTCACTGTATAATAATTAGATAATATTGTTTTTTTTTATTGAATAAACTTAATAAATAAAAAATGTAAAATTAACCATTCTTTTTTCAATTATAAATTTACATTTTTGTGTTTAACGAATATATAAATATATAAAGAAATTAATTCATAGTTGCAATATTAGGCATAATATTTACCAAAGAAATCTCTTTGATTATTATTAAAAAGATTAATAGGGGATTGTTTAATTTTATGCTTTGATATAAGTCAAATTATTAAATTCAAAATAAATATTAACTGTTAACTGATATTAATTTGCTTTTGTTTTGTATAAATCATACAAGAAATATAGCAAAAAAAAATTACATTTTTGTGATAAGTATTTTGAGATGCAATAAATTTATGAGGAAAAAATAAACCGACTTTAAATACTCCTTGTCTAGAATGTTTTAGAAAAGATGTATTACAAAAAACAATGGAATGATAGGAGAAGATTTCTAGATGCTGGCTTAAAAATCATATCAGATAAATTAAATGCATTAACTATTGAATAAAATGAGTTATACAATGAAATCGCTGATCTAAATGATGAAAGCTAATCTTCTCTCTAAACAATTTTGGAGCAGCAAGAAGGATTTGAAACTGAACACCATAATTAAATAGATTCATATGAAGAAATGTTTGAAGATATTTATAAATAAATAAGTTTGATTAGTGATACATAAGGAAGATTGATTAATAAGTATAAAATAGAATTACAAAGTATGGCGTATGAAGTGAAGTAAATGAAATTAGATGAAAGTGAAAGGCTACTATAGGAATAATAAAAAAATAAAAAGATAAAGAATATATTGTAGTAAGACTAGCAAGATTTTTAAGCTCTCTATAATGAAGAAAAGGATAAACTATAGGAATTAGAATGTAAATTTGATAGGCTTTAATAAGATTTTGAGGAGCTTTAATAAATATCATAGAAAATTGTTAATGAGAAAAAAGGTGAAAACATTAATGAGGCTTAAATCAAAGTAATTTATTTTATTTATATTTGCTTTAATTAATAAAATTGTTATAGTAAAATGTTGAGACTTTGGTAAAAGAAATTAAGATGCTTGAAGACAAGTGTATTGAATATGAAAACGAAATAAAAGATAAAAACAAGCAATTAAAAAATTTAAGAACATGCCAAAGCAATTTAAAGTAAGAAAATCTTAAGCTAGAGGAGGATATTTAAGAAAAAATGAATAATAAGGAGCTATCAGAAGGCAAGTAAAAAAAAATGTAAAGAGAGATAACAAGGTTATCATAGGTTATTGAGAGAAAAGAAAAAGAAATTCTCAGATTGGAAGAAAAGATTGAAGAAATTTAAAATTCTGAAAAAGAAAGAGTTCAAGGGTATATACAAGAAATAGAGGATCTTACAGTGGAAAATGAAAAATTAAAGCAAGAAGCGAACACATTAGCCAAATCAAATAAATTATTTTAAGCTCAAATGAAAAAGTACGAAAGTGCTGAGTAAATCACAAAATAAATTACTGAAAGGGAGTAGTAATTAAAAGAGCTTTAGCTGTAATATAAAGAATTGGAATTAAAATATTAGGCAGTAAAAAAGGAAGCAGATGTAACTCTTTCTTAAAAAGAATTACACTTCTAAAAAGCAGTTAATTAGCTAGAATAAAATCATAAAAAGCAAATGGAAGAAGTAAAGCTATCAAACTAACAGCAAATAAATAATTTACAGAGCTAGTTTAAATAGGACAAGGAAAAGTTTGAAAAAGAAGCAATTCAATATTTAAATTATAAAGATGAAGAAATTAATAAACTAAGGAAATAAATTAACATAAGCTCAAGTATAAGCTCTCAAAATCTTAGTGGAAGTAAAGAAAATAACCCAAATTAATAAAGTATTTTATAATAGAGTAATGTAAATAATTAAAATAGCATAAAAGACTTATAAAATCTCTTGATAATCTTATCAAAAGACTTAAGGAATAAAGAAAAAGAGATTGAAGCTTTAAAACAACAGTTATAGCAATAACCTTTATAATAAATATCATAAAATAGGCTATCCACAAGCTAATCATACGAAAACAAACAAAGTCCCCGCAAACGTAAATCTAACAGTTAAGTAAATGATAAATATCTATAAAATATTCTTTAAACAAATAAATGAATGAATGTGTAAACAAATAAATGAATGAATGTGTAAACAAATTAATAAATTTAAAATTTATTTTACTATTAAATTAAAGCATATTTATATTAAAAAGTTAAATTTTCCTTGTAAAGTAGCTACAGTAATGTTTTTATATTTTTTATTATCTACAAAATTTATATACATACATATATTTACAGATACAATTTTAATTTAATCACAAAACTAAACTTTTAATTTATTCTACTGTTTTTAATTTAAAAAAGTCATAAAAATAAATAAATATGGAATTTGAATTTACAAAGCTTGATTTAGAAAAAATGAAATAATTAATAGCTATGCTCTAAAAGCTCATTCCTAATTAAATATTTATAATATTTTAATTTTTTGATAAACTAAATTAAAATAATAATTTTTGTATTTATGATATTAAAATTTTTAATTAAATTAAATAAATAAACTCATTTAATTATTGATCATTAAGAGTTATATTTTTTTTTGATAAAAAGCAAAAGTTAAAGTTAGATAATAATTTTATTTATGTGAAAAGGTTTTTTTTTTAAATAAAATAAGAAGTAAAAGTTAAAGTTAGATAATAATTTTTTTAAAATAAAATAAATAAGCTTAATTTAGTTATTGATTTTAAGAATTTTTTTTTGAAAAAAAAGAAAAGTTAAAATTAAAAAATAAATTCATTCATTCATTTTATGCAAAAAGTTTTAATTTTAAAAAGTAAAAATAAATTTTTATAATTTATTAAAATTATTTTTTTTCATCATATATATAACTTAAAATTAATTGATATAATTATCATAATGTTAATTAATTTTTAAATATTTTTATTTTATGAAAGTAATTTATTACACTTGGTAAGGTTTTATTTGAATGATTAATATTATTCTATATATAAATGTATGTATTTTAAGCAAATTTAATGAGAAAACAGTTTGAATAAATATAAAATAATAAATAAAAACCATAGAAATTTAATCATTATATAAAAGATTTATCTAATAGATAGTCATAAGCAACTGTAGCTTTTTTGATGATAGTATCAGCTTTGATATGATATCCATCAAGGGTTTTAACAACAGGTAAGTCTTTGAGAGGAGCATTAACATGGTGGACTAAGCTTACTTGACAAGGACTATGGTAAGAGGCAGTAACGTGGATATCTGAATATTCCATTTTTGTCAATTATGCAATATCAACTTTTCCTTCAACTGCACTTGGAATAAATTTAAGATTGACCATTGGGATTTCAAGCATTTCTCTTGCTTTATGAGGATCTAATTTATTGAATTTATATGACATAGTAGCAAAAGCTATAGTTTCATCACTGTACTTTAAAGTTGCCTTCAATGTATCTCTGCAGACAGTTATTTCAGCATCACCAAATTTTTAGGGTTAGCCGAATACTTCTCTTCCTGCAGTTCTTGAAGCACTTGAGTTAAGATAACTTTAAACTCCAAACATTACTAATTCGTTTCCTAAATAGCAAGGAACATACATATCTAATTTATGGAATTCACCTAATCCGCTTCCACTTGCATTGATAAAATATAAATACACGTAATTATGATCGTAAGGAATGAGGGGTTCAGGTAGAGCTCTTGCTATTGCTTCAGGAGTTGATTCATATTAAAAGATTAGATACTCTCTGTCATCCATAATGAGTGGACCTTTAGAGAAAGAGGGAGCTATAAGAGGCATAGAAGCAGCCCTTAAAACATCTTCTTGAATACTAAAATCAAGTTGTCCTTATTCTCCTCTATGACCCTTCGCTATTTCCTTTGCATTTTCTTATCCACCAACGCTTTCAACGTAGTCATGCAAAACTTTACCAAAAGGTAGAGTTATATCTGCTTTAATATGTTTACCACCCAATACTTTGAGGACAGGGAGGAGAGTAGTGGGAGCATTAACATGAGGAATCAATTCTAGCTTAGCTGGTCCTTCCCATGCTTCTTTCAATTAAATATCACAGAGGTTAAAACCAATAAGTTATGCTATCTTAGGGCTCCAGTCGACATCTGGAATATACTTCAAAACGCACTGCAATTTAGTAAGTGATTTTAAAGCTTCTGCTTCAGGAATTTTTTTGTATTTATAAGTCATAGTGCCAAATGCTATCTATTCTCCGCTGTAATTTAATCTTCCTACTAAGGTATCTTTATTAATTCCCATAGAAGGTTTGGCATACTTTTTAGGAAAGCCCCAAATTTCTCTACCTGAGGCAATAGGTGCTTCATTATTCAAGTACATTTGCAGAGTGAAATTAACAGGTTCTCCATTTAGCAAACAAGGAATGACTGTTCCAGTTTCAGAATATGAACCAAAGCCGCTTGAGTCAGGCATGTTAATCCACTCATAGAGGACGACATTGCTTTGAGGAACTAGAGGATAAGGAACTACCTTACGAAGAACTTCTATATCTGTTTCGTAAGAAATAATAAGATACTCCCTGTCAATAAAGCGATAAGGCCCGAAAGGGAAAGAGGGAGAGATTGCTGGTTAGGAAGGTAATTTAAGGATTTCTTCTCTTTTTAAACGCTAATCTAAGTACTTTCTGTTTCCTTTAACATAGTTACCTGATTTATGAGTTGTGTGGTGAACTTCTTCTGTGATTTGATGTAAACCTGTTGAGCTCATTTTATATATTGTTTATCTTTTACTTTATTTTTATATTATAAAAAGCTTTTTTTTTGAAAAAATTTCTGATGGTTTTAATTATTTAAGATATTAATTATCAAACTAGATTGATTGTATTATCCATAATTTAAGTAGTGGTGTATATCAAAAAAAAGTATAAGTAAAGATACGAATTACATCTTAACAATTATATTTAATAACTCTTTAGAGATTTAATCAGAAATATCAGTAATTAGAAAAAAATTACTATGAGCATTTGCATTAAAAAAATAAATGGTTAAATATTTTTTAATCAGAGTTAAAATTCCAGTTTCTAACTAAATCAATTTAACTCAAATGCTTCTTGGAAATATTTAAATTCTTCAGTTGTTGTAAATAAAATGATTAATTCTAAAATGCAAAAATATTAAAATAATATTTTTCAAAATAAAAATATGTTTAAACAGCATTTATTTATTGATTCCCTCTATGCATTTTCTTAAATTATACAATTTTATATATTTCAAAATAGACAAACAAACAAACAAACAAACAAATAAATTTCAGCTTAACTATAAATTTAACACTAAATTAATTTAATAGTGAAAATAATACTCACAAATCTTTTATTGCATAATTAAAGATAAATAAAAGTTTAATTTTGGATTTGGATTACATTCTATAATTTATTTTTCAGGATTCTAAGACATGTGTTTTTAAATTTAATTTTAAAGTGATAAAATTCAATCACACACATATTTTGAACTCATTAAAGGGAAAATTATTTAGTTTTAATAATAAGTTCAAAAATAATTGTAAAGGAATTGAAATTCCTTGCTCTTCTATAGCAAAATATGGAGTAGTTGCTTAATTTAACTTTAAATATTATTTATGTTTAATAATCTTATAATAGCTTTATAAATTTTAAAGCTAAATGTACATAGTAGTATGAATTATTGATGGCTTTTCTAATACTATACTATTTAAATATAATTTGCATTAATAATATGCAATATTTTTTATTTAATTCATATCAAACAAATAAGAAATAGATAGTAATTTAATATGTGCATTGTTTATATCAATAAAGATATTTTTCATTCTTAAATTAAACCAATCATCAAAAATTTAAGTTTCTGATTAAATAAATTTTTTTAGTTTCTTAGACTAATTAATTAAATATGCAAAAAAAAAGATTAAGAGATAGAAAAAATATAATTAACAGCATCAAATAAGATATTAAATATTAATTTAGTGAAATCATATAGATTATTAGGTAAATTTGATTAATTAGGTATTATCAAAAACCACCTTAATTAACAATAGAAAGTTAAATATTCTAATAATATGATGAATTAAAGTATGTTTAATACTTTTTCATAATTTTAAAAAGAGAACTGACTAAATTTTTTATTAAAAGCATTTCATTAGTTTTATCTTTCTTCTACTAGATCTAATTTAAAATTAATTAGCACTATTGTTTCATTTCATTTGTTAACAAAGAATTTTCTAAATATTTTTTCTGTCATTTTATTTTTGTCTAATTTTTTATTGTGATATAAATCAATTGAAAACTCTTTCTCTCCATCTTATTCGTTTAATAAAAATCATATTCCTAATTCATTCAAGTGTAGAAAATTCAAATTTAAAATAAAGATATAAATAAATAAATAAACATTTATTAAATTTAGGAATAATTTTAAAGGAAAATAGAAAGTTATGCTAAAAAAATTACTCTTAAATATTTAATTAAAAAAATAGATAGAATATTTACAATTTAGGACATTTGCTTTCAGATTTATATATATTTTTACGTTGTTTAGTATTTTTAGAATGGCAATTTATAGAGTAAATAAAATATATTTAATATTTTCAAGATAAATATTTATTTTAAATAAATTTATTTCATCTTTTGTAGATCTATAAAAAGTAGAGTAAACAAAAAATTAAATATTTGATTATTTAAAGATCTAAAAACTAATTAAAATTATTTGGAATTGAATATTTTTAGTAGTTTTTCAAGATAAATTAGAAATGTTTTTATAGTATTGGTTGTAGACTAGTAAAATATATATATAAATATTTGTTAAAATAAAAGGAAAATATTACATGAAAAAAGATAAATATAAATATTTTAAATCTATAAAAATAATAAGTCATCTATATTAATATAAAACACTATTTATAAAATAATTAAAAATAAATATCATCATATATATATTCACATCATTAATCGCTGCGGAAAATTAGAGAAAAAGTTTGTATTATATACTCCAAAACACAGTTTTGCAATTCATCAACAGGTTAATCTATAAGACTAACTTAAAAGATTGCTTAGCCATTTGGACCAATAGAAACTTTCATCAAAAAACGGGTATTTGATGCTCTTAATGAGAAACAACCTCCTACCTTTGTTTCATTAAGTCCTAGTAGGTAATCTTATTACTTTGCTTCGTTGATTTCCATAAAATTCTTAAAGTAATTTAAGAAATCATATGAGCTCTTTGCAACTTTTTCTTCTAAATAAATCTCCTCTGACCTATACATTTAATCTTTTGAATTTCCCCATAAATACTTGAAAGTAGAAATATCAATAACTTTTGGTTCAAAGAACTTATTTATACTATTTGGTATTGCTAATGTATATCTTCTATTCTAATGTTTGAATCTATTAATATTCGATTATTAAAATTAATCAATAATATAAAAAATAAAACAAATATTTTTCAGCTTATCAAAATATTTTTATTTAAGTATATTTATTTGTTATGTAATTAAATTAACTAACTTTACAAAGTAAAAAATAGTTTTTTTGAAATTATAAAATTATTGAGGAAATTAAATAAATTTTAAAAGGGAATTAAATAAATTATAAAAATGAAATAAAAAAACTAGAAATGCCATGTTGATTTTAAAGACAAATCAAGTTTTTAAAACGGCAAAGCAATTAATTATTTAGCTTTACCTATAGGAAAAATCTAATTATATAATTTCAAAAGGAATTTCATTGATTCCAATAAGCAGTCTTTGAGATTTTTAAACTCCTGGCAAGATTTCAGTATCAAGCTCTTAAGGCTCTAATTCAAGTGTATTTGCTTTTATTTATAAAATAAAGTTAATTAACTTAGAATATACTTGGAGTTGAAAATAAATACTCTTTCCTGGGTTATAGTAAACTTATAAATCAGCAATAACATCTTCTGTTCTATTGGTGAAGTATAAAATTATTTCTAAGATATCAGCTCTATCATTTACCATTAGTCTACTTATAAGTCCAATTTGAATTTCTTCATTTTAAAATAAAGGGAAATTCTCCTTCAAGCAACCTCTTTTGAATCTGTACATAACTTGATGATTGTTAGGTAAGTAGCTAAACAGATTGTAATCATTTCTAACAAGTTTTCCTTTTATAATCTTAGGAGCTTTATTTTCATAATACTGAATAGGGTTTTAGAAAGGGAATATCAATGCAGCACTTTCAGGATCTATTTGTCTCATATCTTATGCAAAGTTTACAGGTATGGTTTCAAAATCTATATTAATAAATATTTAATTAACTCTTATAAATATTTTGTATAAATATGCAAAAGATAATTAATGAACTAATTATTTACTGTCCTAAGCTTCGAAGTATCTTGGGGATACTTTATTCTAAATAGTTCCTTGATTGTTATTATAACTATTGAATTTATCATATGAAAAAGGCCTGTTTTTAGCATCTCTTGATTATGGAGATATGTATTGCTATCCTCTTTTTCCCATTTCTGAAAGTTTAACTTAATTTTACTATTGATGTATATTTTATCTTTGCTCACTGTCATATTTGAAGGCACTTAGCTATCTATTTTCCTTTCCATTTTGATCATCTAAGCAATCATCTTTAAGTAAAAATTTAAAAAATTTAAGAATATTGTAAATTGTAAAGCTAATTAAACTAATTACTTATACGTCTTGCATCGGATAACATACTATTTGTAGCCATATTATCTACATCTTTTTCAATAATTATTTCTTGTGGTTTTTAAGCATTAAACTTTTTAGGTTGAGCTAATAAATTGGAACAAACATTAAAAATTAATATTGATAAAATTTAAAATACTCTTTGTCATTTGTTATCCACCAACTACTTATTGTTCTTCTAAAGGCATTTGCTAATCTTAGTACTATTACATCTTACTTGCTTCGAGCATTAATTAATCTATCCTTGCATGTAATTGAGTGTTTATTTACTGAAGCTCTTCAATCTAAATTTTAAATCGTAAAACAATATACCATCAAATAAATAAATTCAAATTAATTTCAAATCCTAATCACTAAAATTTTTCATGAAATTGATTAAAAAGAATTTAAATTAATTTTAATAATTTTGATTATTTCTAAAACTATTTTATTAAATTATTCAATTGTTTGAGAGAATCAATAAATTTTTGCTATTCTTTTTATCTCAAATGAAAAAAGAATATTCAATCTTTTTAATTATTTTCATTATTATCAAATTATTTTTAAAAAATTTTATCTTTATTTTAACAAATTTTTGTAAACTTTTGAACAAATATCTTAATCAATATTATTGTTAAAAAATATTGAATTTTAGAAATAAATAAAATTAGATGAGACTTTGGTTAAAAATTATCTATTGAAAATAAATAAAATCTACAAAGTAACTCAAATATTTTATGAAAAATTTACCTAATCTAATAGTTATTTATCTGGCTGTTTTGCTTGCTCAAGATTATCTTATAAATCTTAGATTTATTGTGTTAAATTATTCTTTTGCTCCTGAAGCTAATGAATTTATTTATTTAAACTTTGTTATTCATTTTCTTATTTAGTTATTTAAATGGTTGCTTGAATAATTTAATCATTTAAGATGTTATTCTTCTCCCTAAATTCATCTAAATTCTTTTTCTAATTAATTTATTAAAAATTGAATGTCTATTCTCTTTTAAATATTATCTTACTTCTTAGGAAAGCTCTTTGTGGATATTAAAAAGCAATTCATTTTATTCTTAATTGAGCTTTATTTGCTTTTTTAAATCCTCTTAATGCTAATCTACTTAGAGTTTTAATTTAGAAATTTCGAACTCACTTTGTTTATTATCAGGAACTATTATTTCTTAATTAGCTTATTCTAGTTACTAAACTTTAACAGTGATGGCTGCCACTTTTGCTTTTTCTTCTCTAATTTATTTCTCACTATCAAATTATAACTCTTCAATCAACTTATTTTTTTAAAGCAATTCTCTTTACATTTAATTAATAATTTCTTCTTATTCATTTTAATCCACCTAATTATGAGTTGACTATTATTATTTTTCAGATAATAACTTCGCCATTTCTTCACTGTGGCTGTTTTTTTGCTAAACCAATTGATTCTACAGTTCGTTTACTTATCTCTATGCTTCTATGAGTTAAGCCTAGAGTTAATCGTTTATATCTTATATTTATTTAATATCTTTTTTAAATTTATTTAAATTTTCTAGGTGGAGATTTTTTTCATCTTACCATTTAGTTCTCATTTCAATATATTTATGATTATCGTTTGTTGTTTTAATTTCAGATTTCATTTCTTGAGTATTTAATTTATCATTTTCTAAACTCAATATTTTATCATTAAGAGTATCAATTTATTGCTCTTTTATATCCATTTCTTACTACAATAACTTATTTTAATCAAACAATTTTTTATTTTCATCACTTAATTTCTGAGTTTATTTTCTCAAATCTTTAATAACTGCTTCTTGCTCTTCTAGTTATTTTGAGCTTTTGCTATTTTGCTTTTCGATTCCTGATTAAATAAGATCAGTTTACTACTTTAAAAATAATAACAATAAATTTAGCTGGATTTAAAAAAATTATAAAAATGCTTTACTCTATAGTTAGCAAAGTCGTTCTTAACATGCTGATGCTCTTCAGAGAGATTGGAATATTACTGTGTTAGTTTTAAGTGATCATCATTCAATTTTCTCATTTTACCTTCTAATTGAGTCTTTTCTACTGTAATAAAAGATATCTCCTTTTCCAATTAACTTTATGTCTTAGAAAGCCTATCTGTAACACGTTCTTCTAATTTTGATTGTTTCATCTTTTCTGAGTCTAATTCTCTTTCAAGTTAAGAATTTTTTTATTTTATTTCTTTTAATTCGTTTTAAAGTTCAGCAATTTAACCCTCTAATTCCTATTTCTATTCATGTAATATTCTATATTTATCATTTGATAAACTTAAATCTGACTTCAAACTATTTATTTCATTTTCTAATATATTTATTTTCTCTAAATACTTATCTCCTTCTCTTACATTTCCTGACTCATAAAGCTAAATTTTCTGCTAATACTTTAAAATATCTTTTTCTAAATGATCATTTACTGTCTTTAACTCTATCATTTCTTTTGTCATTATCTTCATTGCATCTTTTTGGCTATTTATTTCTGCTTCTTTGCCAAATATGACTTTTTCAAGCTTTGTTTTCTCTTCTTTCTCTTTATTAATAGCTGCCTTGTGCTTTATTAAATTAAATTATATCAATTTAATATTACTCTATGATTTGGAGAAAAATAAAATTAGGTGTGCTCTGGTTAATATACCCTCTATGAAAAATATGAATTCATATAAATATTATAATTTTTGTTTTCGAAATCTAATAAATTTTTGACTTAATTTTCAACAAACAAAACTATCAAAAAATAAGTTTGACAAAAATTATTTTTATTTTGATTGAATAATTTTTTAAATAATCGAAGCACTTATTAATATTTATTTTAACAAATGATAAATTGTATTTAAATTCTAAATTTTTATTGAATATGATTCATATAATATTAGAAAAAATAAAGAAGGAATCTTACTTCATCGCGAGAAACTCCTTTTGAGATAATGGGTTTACTTTTGTTTGGATCAAAACGTGACATTGAACTAGATTTTTCTAAATCATAATTTGATCTTACAGATAAACGACTCTCTCTTAACTTGCTACGTTCTTAATCAGCCATTTAATTTAGGGCTGCTTAGAATTTACTATTTCTCATCTCAAATGAACTCTTAAGTCCACTTGAATTCAACTAACTATGGTATTTTTTGCTGGGTACATTTTGATTTGCATCTTACTTAATCCATGATGAATTTTTATTGCTTTTTTCAATATCTTCCACTTCTTCCTCTATTACAGAAGGCATTTTATTGTGACGATTTTGATAAATATTATAATCGTTAGTATTTTTAAATCCAGGATTACTCTGTCCTTAATTAGGCACACCTCTGTATATTCCATCGTCCTCTTCGTCATCATTAACATTCTCATTATTCATATAGCTGCTTTTTATTTGGCTTTATTACTATGGATTTCTAATCATACTGCTTTACTACTGTTACTACTACTTCATTTATTTTTCTTTTTCTTGTTAATTTTAAAGCTATCTCTATCTTTCAAGTTCTTCTTCCTTCTGCTTCATGAGCATTTGTTGTTGCTTTCTTTCTTATTCTTTTTGTCTTTCAAGCTCCTTTTATCTTTCTAACTCTTTTTGTTTTTCTATTTATCTTTGTGTTTCTTCCTCATGTTATTATTTGAGCAATTGCTACTGCTTTTCATACTCTAACTATTTCTGCAATTATTCCTATTCTTTTTATTTCTTCAACTATTATTATTATTTTTCTTATTCTTACTGTTCCTACAAAAGCTTTTGCTATTTCCATTTTGCCTCTTCTTCTTCTAATCTTTATCTTTCTTTTTCTTTCATTTCTAGCATTTGCTAATGTCTTTCATTTTACAATTCTTCTAGTTCTCTCTATTCCTACTCTAATCTCTATTTTTCCAATTATTACTCTCTAATCTTTTGTTCATCTATTTATTTCTAAGATTAACCCTTAATCTATCCAGTTGAAGGTGCTTACTAACTGGGAAGAGCCTCTCCCAAAAATCCTGTATAAGTTTATTCATACTAAACCAAAAAATAATTGACTAAATTATCTGCATTATTTGTCTTTTTATACTACTACAAACAGTCTATAACTTCTTAATCAACTATTGATATCATAGCTGCTTTGTTTTCAATTTCATCATCCCTTATATTACAATTATCGAACACCTTTTTAACATCTGTAAGCTTTTTTAAGAATTAGTCTATTTGCTAATCGTAATCTAGATGCTGAATGCAAGATTATCTAATTTATTCCAGCAGCTTTAAATTATCTTTGTATAGTTAATTATAATCATTTGCATTTAATCCTTTTATCTTTGTAGCCATAGATTCAGTTAAAGATGGTTAAGGAGTGCTACCTTTATTTGTCTAACTCTAATTTATCTGTGCCTTACTTCCTTTTAATCCTTACTAAGTTGTAGATGTCTAATTCATTGTATTTATGTTTTAATAATATTCTTCTTGGCTTAATCCGTTTTGAGAGGAGCCAACATAATTCTAGTCAATTAAAGCATTTTAAATGACTGTGATATCTTAAGTTTAGATTTTTTTATCTGTAGGAATAAAGCATTCTCCCTGCTTAAGTGTTTCAATTAACTACCTAAATTTAGACACTGATCTTTATTTATTTTATCTAACAGGATATACTTATGATAGAATTACACAGCACTCTAGCAGCATCCTGACAAAATTTTAGCTATTCTACTATTCAACTTGAGCTTTTAATAATAAAATATCATCAATAAATACATACACAAATATTTTAAATTATTTTGAACAAATCAAATGAAATAATCTAATTATTGATAAATTCCTAATTTAAAAATTTTTTAGATTAAAAAAGTATCTGTAAGAGACTAACTAAACAAATAAAAAAATTATTGCTCTTTCAATATTTTAACTGGACTAAACGCTTGTATTAGTAAATAATATAAAAGCGTACTAACTAATTAATACAACTAGTATCTATCTAAAATAATCTATTATCTTTCCCTAAAACTTATATTTGAAATGTCCAAAATTTATATATAAAGATCTATAATAAAATTTACTAGGATTGTTATTATTTAAGAACATTGTACCAAATGTATTGCTATCAAATCCAAATGTACTTTCTTAAGCTACTTCTGCAAAGTAATCCATTAATTCGTGTTCTTAAAAAGTTTCTATAAAAACAATATTTCCTTCTAATAAGCAAGACGTCACAAACTAAGTAATAAAATTAAAATTATTAAATGCTTAAAAGCCACTTAGTCTTTTCAGTTTAGAATAGAAAATCGAAGAGCAACTTTTCAATGAAAAACTTATTTTTTATTATTCTTAATCATATTGTAAAATTTATTTACTTTCAAAGAGTATAATCTTGAATGCAATCTCTCTTTTGAGTTAGCTATTATCTCGTAGCAAATGCTAATCATCTGAGTATTGATCTGCCTAAATTTTAATTATAAAAGAAGATTTTAGCATAAGAATGAATAGTTTTTAGCAGCCTTTTGATATTGTGTAATTAAATTTAAATTGTAATATACTAATTATTTTATGATATTAGCTTTTTAAACTCTTTTGTTGCTGAATATTTGATGGTCTTTCCATTAGCATCTTGCTATTCTATATGCTAAAGTATCAGCTTCAATTAACTCATATCAAGTCCACTCATAAAGCTTTTACGATTAAATCCTTACTGTTAATTATATTATTGATGCCTTTATTTCTCTTAAAAGCTTAAACTATATTTTATTTAATGATACTAATATTTTTCTTAATCAAATTTTCAATATCAAATATTTCTTTATTTATTTATTAATGAGTTCATCAATTAATTTTACAACTCAAATTCATGCATTCTTAACTATCTTTTTGTTTATGTAAATTTCAAAAAGTGTTTATAATTTAAAAATCTTTAATGAATAAATATAACTAGTTTCAATTGTTTAATCTCTTAATATTTAAAGATACACACAGATACAATCCTATATAAACCAGAAATATATATTATCGAATAGAATTATAATAATAAGTCTAATTTGTCTTATTTATTAAAATAAAAATCATTATTAACAAAAAAAATAAATAAATTGAAATTATATTTTTAATAATCATAATAAGGACAAAACTAAAATTAAAGTATTTTTTTTAAAATATTTTTTATTAATAAAATTTTACTATTTTTAGCTGTATTCGGTTCAATATATTTCAAGGAAAATGTAAATAAAATTGTAATAAGATTTATTTATACTTCAATTGAATATTTTAAAACTAATTTGACTAGTTTAAATACGTTAGCTAAAAAATCATCTTTAAACAAACTAGAATTACTTTTTTAAAATTTTTACTTCAGTATTTTTAAAATTAAATAATAATTTAAACATTATTAGTAATCTATCTATTTATTGATGTTATTCAAAGAATATTTAGATTTTTAAGTGTTTACCAAATTTAATAAAGAATTTTAATGAAATTTTTTTAATAGCTATTTTCAAAATATGCTAAAAAATCATCTTTAAACAAACTAGAATTACTTTTTTAAAATTTTTACTTCAGTATTTTTAAAATTAAATAATAATTTAAACATTATTAGTAATCTATCTATTTATTGATTTTATTCTAAGAATATTTAGATTTTTAAGTGTTTACCAAATTTAATAATGAATTTTAATGAAATTTTTTGAATAGCTACATTTCAAAATATTAAAAATTAAACCACAAATAAACTATTATTTAGATATTACCACTTAGATTATTTGATGATTAAAAGGTTAAATCAAAATGCTTAAAGAAGCAACTCAAATATTTTACAAAATATGATAAATACTTTATTTACACATTAATTTTAGAAACATCATAATGCAGATATTTTTCTTGGAAATAAATTTTAGTGAAAGTTATTCCTTGTATAAGGGACTTATAATTAAAATAATCTTTTTTTAATTTAGAAAAAGTATTAAATATATTGAAATTTTTCCTTGCTAATTGAGTTAGTTAATACTTAATGGCTTATAATTGAATAATTATTATTTATAATTTTAAATTATCATTTTAGTCCATAAATAATAAGTATGTATATTCTTATCAAATATTATTGTAATGCTAAATTATATTTTTGATTAGGGTTTATTTCTTTTAATTTAACTAATTTTTTTAATCCAACAAGCAAAAATTTTTCATGACTTTAAATAAGACTTATATTTTTTATTTATTCAGTCATCTAAAATAACATATTAGTACATTTTTAGATTGATGGTTTGATTTTCTCAATTTATTATGCAAATTTTAATTGATTTTTTAAGTAGGCAAAAGTGTAAAAAGAAAATAACAAAATAAAATACATAAATCTAAAATAAGTTATATTTAAATAGTTATTAAGGAGTTATTTATAGTTACTCATATTTATTCAAGCTAAAAAAAAATAGGATATTTATAGCATATATTGAGCAAGTTAATTCAAATAGGGTAGCTCAAAACTTTTTATAAAGTTATTTGTAATTATATTAAAAAAAAGAGATTAATTTGAGTAGAAAATGTCTAAGAAAGACGATTTGACAAGAGTTAGTGCAAAGGATGATGATCCTGTTAGAAAATTATGTGTACGATTTAATAAAGATTACATTCATACTAGAGATTTTAAAGATGCAGTAGCTTATTTGCAATTAAGAGGGAATGGATGTCCTAGGAAAGAAGCGATTCTATTTGCAGCAAAAAATAATTGTAGAGTTGATACCACAAAAATAATAGATGGGCCTAGAAATTACAGGACTCTTTAAGTATAGCAAGTACCAACATACATGGTTTCAGAAGGCTGGTTATATGGATAATAAGACTACTTCTTTGGGTCCTGTTTCCCATCCAGATACTCAGAAACATATTTAGATTATTAAATGGTAATCTAATTTCACTATTTTAAAATTTAATACCACATAATTTCTTCAGTAAAATACTTGGAAATATACTAAAGTTAACTCAAATCAAGCTTATACTTATAAAAAAGAGAAAAATATTTTTTTTTCAATTTACATTTTGAAATGATAATCTTAAGATAAGAAAAACGCTTATAAAAGTTTGCTATTACAGAAAATCAATTTTAGAAAATTGTCATAAAGTATTCAGAAAAACAAATATATTCTAATAAACTAAATACATATTTTTTAATTAAAATATTTTAATTAGCGAATTAAAATAAACAGAATGAATGAATGAATAAATAAAAGCTGATACTTTTAAAAATAAAATTTTTTTTTATTTTAAATATTTTGTTTAAAGTTTTAGCTTTAAAAATTTTGTAATATTTTTACAAATTTAAAAAAATAAATCTATGTAATAAAAAGAATAATAAACTCGAAGAAAATTTTGATGAATAGGAGGTAAAAATGAGGAAGGAGTATAAGGAAATGATACATCGTATGAAGAATTATGTAAAATAAGTCAATCAAAAATATAACTTTAGTAATGAATAAGGAGAATAGCTGATAGATATGGTAAAAAAGATTGTAAAAGGAATGAAGAGCGAACTAGAAAATAGATAATATTTTGTTATGAATAATATCCGCTACTATGACGCTGCAGAAGCGATTATGAAAAAGAGAATGCTAAGTGAGGAGGATAAAAATATTTTAATAGAAAAGCTGAATGTTTTTAATAATTACGAAAACGAAGAAGACCTATAATAAGTGCAAATTATTAAAGTTAATGATGATGAACAAAATGAAGATAACAGCCCTATGAAAAATCCATTTTTTGTTGGCATGTTCAATAATTAGACTTAGAAAGCTGCTACTACTTCTTAATAAAAACAAAAATTTTATTCAAATGGACAAAGCCAAAACAATAATACTAACATTTCATATGCTCACTAGCTAAAGAATTTAGAGTGTGCTACTAATCTACTAGAAGAATTTGAGAAAGGAGAAGGAGAAGATATGCCAAATGGGCCTCAAGGTAAATTTGATCGAAGCTATGCTAATTAAAAAAAGAAGAGACAAGAATAAATGAAATAAAATTTGCACTTAGTTCGTGCAGAGAATTAAGCTGGTTTAGAAGGTCAGTTCAATTAATAAAAGTATTTCTACTCAAAATAAGAAAATACTTTCATAAATTTAAGGAAAGAATAAAAGGTGAAAGATGATTTGTAAAACGCCGTATTTGACATCTATAAACCTAACTATGAAGACGGCTATTACAGATATATTGATAACATCAGCATGCTTAACTAGTATGTAAGTTAACCAAAGGACTCTAAATATAATTCATAAGATTATGGTAATATAAATTAAAGCACTGAAGATAATCACTAAGAAAAAGATCAGCTGATTGACATGGATGTTATAAGGCTGATGAAAGAAAAATAAGATATTTACCAAAAAAATTTTAGGGAAAAGATATCTTCGTAAGCAGTACTGCACAGGCTAAAGAACTAAAGGCAAAATTAAACACAAGTTCACTTTAGATAGACATAGAGCAGCAGTACGAGAAGCAGAGAGAGAGAAAAGAAAACAAATTTCAATGTTATTAATCCATTTAGCTAAACAAATTAATTCAAAAACAACACATCCGGATTACATAATTCCATTTTTGGCTTAAAAAAGCATTCTAGCAATCTATCTCTTATGAATTTAAGTGCAAGCAAATTAAAGTATTCAAATAGTACCAATCATTTGTTAAATAAATTCACAACAACTCCTTCAACAACAATAGCCACTTCTAATAATCTTCACTACAAATAGCAGCCTCCACAATCTTCTGTCCAGGCAGCAAGTTCTTCAAATTAGTTAAACCAAAATAAAAGATATGGTCTTGAAAAATAAAGTAGCAAAATATCACCTTTAAGTCAGGGAATTTAGGATTAAAAACCAAAAAGCCGAAGATTGATTTTGAGAAATTTTAATAATGAAGAGTAGCAATCTCAAATGAAGAAAGAAATATTACCAAACAGAACTGTAACTTGGAGCGTAGGTGGAGAGTAGCAAAATTAATTCTAGTAAGGATCAAATAGCTAATCTATGTTATAGTAATCTGATGTGCTATAAGATCATACTGCCGCCTACAATAAACGTAAGTAAGATGATATTAGCCAAAGAAGCAACTCTCAGTCTTTAGTTTCTAATATAAGAAATACTTCTTCGATTAATGTCAGTCCTCTGTAAAACTCACCGGCAAATAAATTGGCTTAATAATACTATTACTAAGGTGCAAACAATAAAGCAGAAAAAAATCGTTTAACACAGAAAGAATAGCTTTTTTAATCTGTGGGAAATCACTAGAAAAAAATTTCAGTAATAAATGAATCTGGATTTGCTTCGAATACTATTTAGTCGACTAATATTAGTTCAAAAGCTGGAGTAGCAACTAATTTTAATATTGATTTTACCCCAAAGTCTCTTAATGTTTTTAAGTAATGAGTAGGTATTTGGATGATGTAGCTTTTTTGTAAATAAAAATTAATAGAACCAGCCTACCAACCAGCCTACCCCTAATTTAATTATATATATATTTTTATTTTTTATTTTTCATATTCGTATGTTAAATTATCTTGAAAGACATATAAAGCGTGTACACTCTTTATATTTATGAGTATTTTTAAAAAAGTTAATTCCTAAAAATAGCAAAAAGAAGTTATTAATAAATTATTTAAAAGCTTTATTTTAAAATGCAGCAATCAAATTAAAATTTATTTTATTGAAATTATATTTTTTTTATAAAATTAATACCGAGTATGAATATTTATTTATACCTGCTTTTATTTGAAAAAATACAATATAAAAAAATAAACTTTTTAGATAAATATCAAAAAGAATATCGTTAATTGTTTTTATTGACTTCTTAAAACAAGTTAAAATTCTTGAAATTCAAATATTAAGAAATTATTTTTTGTTTAGGTGAGAGCATAAGATTTTTTAATTTGGATTTCTAAGGTTAAATGCTTGAATATATATATAGTTTTATCACTAATTTAAACTTATTTAAAAAACAGAAATTAATAATATGTTTCTTGTAGACAGACCAAATCATGAGATTCAATTTTTGTTTTTATTGATTTCATGAAGCAAATTAAAACTCTTCAAATTCAAATATTATGAAATTATAATTTGATTAGGTGAGAACTTCAGATTTTTTAATTTTAATTTCTATGATTAAATGCTTGAATGTATAGTTAGTTATATTGCATTTATACTAAGAGTCTAAGCTGTGAACTTATTTAAAAAACAGAAATTAAAAATATGTTTCTATCAGTGATAATGATATTTGATTTGCTCAGTAATTACCATCCTAAGAAGATTGGAAATATTTAAATATTTCAAATCTGAAATAATAAAAAAATGCTAAATGGTTTGAAATTTTAGCTAGAACTTATTTAATCTATAAATAGAGATAGAAAATATACAAAAATTAGCTTAAAAGGTTGAATGTAATAAATTACAAAAAATATGAATTTGTTTTCGAAAATGTAAACTAAATTTTTCTGTGATTTTTTTCTAATTAAAGTATCGGTTTTAATAGAGAGAATGAGTGCAAAATTAAACGCCTAAATAGAATTCTTTTACTTGTTTCTAAAAATAAATAACAAAGTTAGATTGACTGACTGACTGGCAATAGCTTTACTATGCTTTGGTTCTATTTAGTAATTTAAAATAATGATAATTTTGAAATACCAAACAATAAAACTATATCACAAAATATATTTTAAGTTAAGATTTGATGAACTATTTATTTCGGATCTAAAATAAATAAATAAAAATAAATAAATGTATATTACTAAAACTTGTAGCTAGTAAAGGATATATTTTTCGATTAGTAGCTATGTTAAGTAAAGAAATTATTTTTTAAAGTAAGCTAATTCTATTTAAAGAGATAAAATTTAGTTAAATTAATGCCAACGATAAAGTGAATAATTTAAATAATCACAATGTGATGGAAGTATTTTCCTAAATTTTTTATTTTCAATTAAAACACTTTGAAGGAAATTATTAGAATAGAAAATTTAAGATTACACATTGTATAGAAAATAACCTTTGAAAAATTATTTGAAATAGCTGAATATATTAGTTAGTTTTTTTATTTCTTTCTTTCTTTGTTTTTTTTTTGTTTATGTTATTTAATTTGCTATGATAGAAGTGATAAAATCATAAGCTAAATTTTTTACATTATAAATATTGAAATTATTTGTTATGCTTGTCTATTTATTTATTAAACTGATGTAATTAAATTAACACTAAAAATTTGAAAATAAGTAAGGAAAAATATTTAATTTACAGTTCTACAAATTATATGATTTCTTATCATCTTTTTGTAAATTTTTAGTAAAAAAACAAGATAAAATAATTTGATTAATCAGTTTTTCATTTATTGGCAATTTAAACAAAAGTCGTTACAACTAAGCGCAGCTTAATAGTTTAAAGTACACTTTATTTTATCACATTATTATTGTATTTTTTTTTAATTAGAAATATTGTCTATTTCCTATCAAAAAATTATATTTTTATTTTTTAGTCTATTTATCCCCTATTATTTAAGAAGGATTAATTTTTGAATTTATTAGGTTACAACATTGAAATTGTTAATCAATCTTTATATTTTAAATTGTATTTTGTTATATTACATCCGAAAAAGCTTGAAGAATCTTACTTAAATATAAACTGATGTAGGTAGGATAGTATAGAACCTATCCAATTTTTTTTCAAAGAATAGCTAATTCAATTATAAATAAATTCATAAAATGAAGCAAAATAATCATTTTTAAGTATCCAAAAATTTATCAAATATAAAAGTAATACCATAATTTAGAGTCTAAATTGAAAAAAAATACTTGTTACAGTGAGGATAATATAAAATTTAAAAATTTTGAATTTTCTAAAACACCTAACAAATAAAGAAGATTAATAGAGAAATCAGTATTGAAAAGAATCATTGTAACTATTTGTGTTAGAGTCTATTTTATGATTGAGATGAGTGGAAGTTAATTTAATATGAATGCATGTAAATTATGTATTGTTCGTGAGATTAATTAAAAAGAAGAAAGACATCATAATTGTTACATGATGAAAAAGATAGCAATTTTTTAATCAATTCACTTTTATTACTGAGTAATCAATTTAGAAGGAATTCGTTTGAGTTTGCTTGATAAAGAAACAAATTAACAATGAATGGAAATAAACAAATAGAAGTATTTAAAGAAATAAATGTATTAATCTATTTCAAGCAATTTATTTTGCAAAAATAATTCTACCTATAATTTTTATTGATAAACTGACTTTCTTTCCCATTAAATTTCATTATTTAATTTATTTAATTCAGCTTTAGAGATCGATTCGAGATTCTAATTATCATACATTTTACTTATCTCAAGCAAGGAAATTTCTATTTTATATCTTTTCAAAATAAGTAACATTGGAATTGAATATTTGGTGCTTTATTTTATATTAAAATTATAGATTGATTTTTGCAGACATAACTTTAACACCTCTAATATTTGAGCAATATCCTTTAAGAGTTTGATCCTTAAGGTCTTATAATCAACAAACTTATTCAATTGTAAAACGAATTGCTGCTACAAATTTAAATTAAAATTAGCTATGTTCCTTCCTTCCATTTTACACTTAATCCTAACTCCAACCAAATCAAATAAAACTCAAAATATTTAGGCGAAATATAAAAATACTATTAATTACTTTATTTTGAAATTAATACCATTCTTACCAAATATGATGCTAAAAATATAGATGAAATTAAGCAAGCAAGATTAAATATATTACTCTATATAAAATTTAGATTAATTTGAAACAATGTTTAATTGCATAGTTTATTTAGAATAGTCTTTGCTATTATTTCTATTAGCAATATTATAAATTTATTGTTCTACAAAAAATAAGCTTCTATAAACCCAGTGAATAGATAAATAAAAATTTATATTTATAATTTATTTTCATATTAATTATATGAATAAGTCCTTCTCTAAATCTGCTATTAAATGTAACATTTACTTTCTTATCTGTAACTTAAGTATTTTGTTTCCTCGACTCAAAAAACTTTTTCATTTTAAAGATGCATTAACAGAGATAAAGAAGAATATATTTAATAACAGATTTTTAGGATAAAATTGTAAATTTTTTATAAATAGGAAACATTTGCTTTATACAATAAAATGCTTGCACATTGCTTATATTGAATCATTATTTCGTTTATTCTTTGATAGATTAAGAAAAACCAAATCTAAGGATAAATAATTAATTTTGATTTGGAAAAAAGTACAAAGATATTTATTACAGCTTTACTTCAAGCAAGTGTTCAAAATTAAGAAGCTAGAAACAAAATTCTAAATTTTTTTATAAATAAAAATAAAAGAAAAGCAATAATCAATTTAATACCTTACAAACGAATTGGATATTTTTTAAATTTGGAGTAATATTTATTGTTTTGAAAATCTAAATATCATGCTATAAATCAGTAAATAAAATGCAGCTGGGTATGTTTTGATTTATAAGCGGGAATTTGTATTTTTGTATTTTATTTGTTTGCATTCTTAAAAAGAGGGTATTTATTTTTAATATCTGATCAATTATTAAAAAATTAAGATAAGATCTTTATTATTTAAGTTTTGTTATTTTCGTTCGATTCAAGCAACGTCTATGAATGAAGATAATTTTTTATTACAATAAGATACTTTTATCAATCAATTTTTTTAATTGATTTCAAAATAATTTTTAATTTGATCATTTTTACAGCTGAAAGAATAGATCTATTTTAAGACATTTTGGTTAGAGTCTTCATGCTATGCTACTTGCTTAAAATAAAATGGCTTTTAGCACTTTTTAGAAAAATTTTTTTCTTTATTTATCACAAAAAGCAAAAAACTCCAAAAGATTCTAAATAAATGATAACAAATACTTTTTAGCCTTTTGAATTTAGATTATTTATACTTTGTTATAACTTTATTTTAGTGTGATTATTATATTATCTTTTTATTTTTGTAAGTGTGACTTTTTATGAAATTGCGTTATTTTTATAATTTATGTTTAAGGATGATTGATTAATTGCAAGAATTTCAATAGCTTAAATAAGCAAAATCAATTTTTTTTTTATAATCAACTATAATAGAATAGTTCATTTATATGTTGTATCCAAAAAATTAATATTTTGCAAAAATAAAACGCTTTTGAAATATTATATAATGAAAATATTTCCTTCATTATTGCAAATGCTTTGATTTAAAAAGTCTACCTTCTTTTTAAGAAGGAAGATATTTAATATCTCGTTTGAAATAGAATTGATTTATAATTCAACAATACCAAACAAAGGGGTTAGCTATTTTTGTTATTTCAGATATCTTATTTTGATATTTTCAAAGAGTAATTCACGCAGATTTTGCTTCACCTTTTTCACTTTATAATTTGCAGAAATATTATTGAAATCAGGATAAAAAAATCACATTACACTAGTTTATAAATTTATTCTCGTTTTCTCAAAAATTTCTAGGTAAATACTTGTAAGCAGTTGATGATTTAATTTTGGAAAGTATTTATGTTATATTTAAGCTCCTTAATTTCACCAAGTAAGCGAACACAATTATTTTTTAAATCAAATTATACTGCATGATTTTTAGAGTAAAATCACCTAATGATAATTATTTGTCTAAATAGAATAAAGCTGATTCTTGGCCTAAAGGGCTTATCTTATTTTAAGCTTTTTGAATATTTTTAAGAAGGAGTTACATTATTTGCATTATTATTTGCATAGAGTATTTATAATGATTTAAATTAATTATTTATATAAAAAATCAAAAATAAATGATTCTACAAGAGACTGCAGATAATTATTCTACCTTTCTGATTGAATGACTCAATTCAAAAATATTACAATGTAATTTAAACAATTGATTGGATTTGAACTGGCTTAGACTCAATTTAAGATGACACGAATCTCTTTTTGAAATGAAAGAAAAGAATCAAAAGGGAATTTTTCTTTTGGTTTTTTGTTAATTTTTTCAAGGTAAATAAACAATAATAATAACAAATAAAAATCAGTGTAACTCTTTATATTCTGTTGTAAATAATCCTCTATCAAATACTTACATTGTGTAATTGTACTTAATGTCTATATCTACAAATCATGATTCCACAATTTATTATCCTTAATATGTTCATATATTTATAGTTTACACAACATAAATTAAATAAAGTTAATTGACTAATACTTTTCCTCAAACTAAGATATTAACAGAAATAAAAAGCTAAACATTAAATTTGCTTTATATGATAATATTTACGTGTGAGTTTTAGCATTCTATAAAGATAACGATAAACACTTTGAATGATATAGAAAAAATTATTTATTAAATAATAATGAATATTTAGAGATAATTTAATAATAAATAAATGTTTTTCTACTAAAAGTTAAGTGATTTTTTATAATTGAAACAAGTAAGTAAATAAATTAATAAATAAATAAATACATTTTTCAAAGCATTTTATGTTAGTTATTTTGGAAAATTGACCTTTATTTTGAAAAATATGCATTTTAAATGGAATCTATGATCATTAAAATAGCTATTTTACATAATAGAACGAAAATTTATTAATATCCTTAGATTATTTCATGAAGATTTTGCTAACTTAATAAAAATCTTAACATTATGATGCTAAATTATTAGTGAATTTTTTAAATTAGTGAAAAGTGATCGATCACCTCATAAATAAAAATCCTTTTCTTAAAAAAACATCAAAAAATTAAATATAACATGTATAACGCATAATTTACTATGCTACTACTCAGCAAACTGATTTTTGCTCCTTTCATCACTGTTGATGATAATAAATTTTTAAATATGAAATATGGAGAATCTGCTTTTTATTTATATTCTTTTATTTTGAAGGTGAGTAGAAGAATTTAAATAAACTGGTAAAATATTTAGGATATTCCTTTTTACATAAAAAAATAAGAATATTTAGGTAAATAAAGTTCTCAAAACTTCTCCGTCTTATTTTTTATTATGTATGTATGTATAATATAATTAAGTGATTAGGTTAATGTATTTTTTTCTAAATGATTTTGTGGTGATAAAAATGTGAGAGAGAAACCTAAAATGAATGAATCATCGAATTAATTAAAGAATCAAAAAGAAAAAAAACTTTAATTAAAAGTGTTTCTTGGATTTGAGATAACTAATAGAGAGAAAATTATGATTTTTTATTTTCAGAAAAAACAGCGTTAATAATTGATTGTAATTAATTTAATTAATAGTTCAAATATTAAAAACAGGGTAGGTTGAAATTTTTCTGTAATTAAATTTTTTCTTCCTACCCTTTAATTTAATCTTGTTCATTGTGTAATATATATAAATATATTTATATTTTTATTAATTTTTAATGATAATATTAACAATGCCATTTATTCAATTTGCATTAGCACAACATAAAACAAAATGCACTTAGAACTATTTAAATGAGCGTTAAATTCTTTAAGTAATAATTGTAATCAAAATTCCTAAATATAGACTTTTTTCAGGATGGTTGGCATCACTTCTTATCAATTCTTGAATGCGCAAGATAAAGATCATTTATACAAATGTAATGCAAAATTAGTTAGATAAAACCAAAGATTTAATTAATTTTAATGTAAAGGATTTGTTATTTGGTTAGTGAATTTCTTTCTTTTTGCCTTTATACTTTTTTCTTTCTATCTCAACTTTACTGATACTGCTTTCACTTAACCCAAAAAGATCTTGATTCATCAAAACCCCTAAATCAAACAATAAAAAAATATATAATAAAAAAATAATTAAATTAATTCAACTCATCCCACTTTTCCTAATAAAAAAAAGAAGTAAATTTCTAATTTACAAAATAACATATCGTAAATACCTAACTAAAACTGTTTGTTTGTTGCTTAAATCAATAAACGAAAAAAAAAAAAATTAACAAAAATATCATCAAAACTATCAACTTCGATCCTTTGTGACTTAATACAAACTTAAGCAATAACACACATAAGTACTGTCTAAAATGTCTGAAATGATAATTGATTCCCCTACTATTGATAGCAGACCTCTATAAACTGCCCGTAGATTCAATAAAATTCAAAAAAAGAAGAGCAATATCTGTTCTTTGTCTTCACTTTCTCTTTCATCTACTTCAACATGTATTTCAGGTTCAAACAAAATTAAGATGGCTTTATTAAACTAACTCAAAAATTAACATTCCTTAAGCGACTTAAATATTAATTTCGATAACGCTTACGATTTCATTGAAGAATCTACTGATTTAATCCCTTGCATAGAGGAGCAGGAATATAATCCCTCTCATAGTGTTTATTCAGCTACTTCTTGCATGGAAGAAGAAGATTCTGTCTGTGATTTGAAGATGAGAAACATCAATGAAATGGATAATTTAATGGTTAATTCTAACAACTCTATGCTTATGAGCACAAGTACAGCTTCTCATGTTTCCTAAGATATGATGATGAGTAGCAGCACTTGCATGACAGCTGTTAAATCAAATAAAAAGCTTCGTCTCTTGACAGCTTTCACTCGCACTAATTTCCTCATGGATGAAGAATTAGACGACTATTTTTTATAACTTGAAAACAAAATAAATCAATGGTTAGACGAATAAGGTGTCTAACAAGTTGAGCCTAACTCAACTAAAATGAGTAACTCTTCTAAAGTGAGTATCAGTAGCCCCTTCAGTAATTCTACACTTATCTAAAGAAGAAAGTTGCGCAACTTATCAATGCTTTGAAAATTTTAATTAAAATGTAAATAATTTTGAATACATCTAGTCTATAAACTAATAAATAGACCAAACAAAAACAAATACACATATAAATAAATAAATACATGCATACCATATACATCAAAACAAAGATATTAATAATTTAATTTTCCCAACTATTTTCGGTTAATAACTTAAAATTTAAAAAAACAAATAATAAATATCCTCTCGTTGATAAATAAGTTATCAAGAAATTTCTTTATTTCATAAATTAACTTAAATTTGATCCTTACAATTGCTTCTCTCTGACTCTCTTTATTTCTCAGCACATTAATTAAATTCTTGAGTTTAAATAAATTAAGAATATAAAATCTAACAAAAAAACTCTAATGAACTAACTCCTGAAAATTAACATTTAAATTTTGTACCTGCCTAGATCGTTATAGAAATAAAGGAAAAAAGTAAACAAATGAATAATTGCTTCTAAATATCAATCTATCTACTGAAAAAAATTTAATACATCGTTCTAATAATAAATTAAAAATGATTTATCATTCGAGTAGTAAGTAAATGTAATAAAATCAGCCAGAAATAACTTTTGTAAAAACAAGATATTAATTTAAAAAACAATTAAATGATCTAAAGAAGCGAGCATAAGTAAGTATCTGTCATTCGATCAAATCATAAATCAATCAATCATTAATAAATTTAATAAAATTCTCTTTAATCTTAAAATATTTAACAAATTAAAAATCAATCAATATTATATTATCCTCACCTCTTTAACTTAATTATTTCATAACTCTTTCAATTGTCTCAAAGATCCTAGTCCCTTTGATCCTTAATTCACTCACTCAGTCACTCATTCATAAAAACAAACAATTTTCATAATAATTTCTCCTCTTTAAATTAAAATTATATTAATCTTAATTCTTCTTATTCTTCATTTATTATATATCACTCAAATCTTTATTTACTTATTTGTTTATTACTCTAAAATATTCACTCTAATTATCAATTTACCTTAAAAAAAGTTAAAATTTATTGCTCCCTAATTTAACAAATAATGCTTTCATGCTATAAAATTAAGATAAAACCAACTTTACTTATTTTTCCTAATCATATATAGAAAACTGATAATATATTTTTTTGTGTATTTTATACCATCCGACCGACTTTAACTTCCAAATTTAAATTCATAATACATCATCAAATAAAAAAAATTCAAAATAACATCTAGTAAGAAAACAAACGTTTATTGAATTACCTTGTTTAAGAATATAATAAATTACAAATATTTCTAAAAATCTGATTTTTATTTGTATTAACTCATATTAAGAGTTTTTGTGTCTGTCTGTCTATCTTAGACCGACCAAACTTTTTTACTATTAATTAACATTATTTTCCTTAAAAAATATTATACTTAAAAAACTATGATTTATTACATCAGTATTTTTTATTTGTATTTTTATTGCTTTTCTAAAACAAAAATGATGCAATAATTCATGAAACTTCCTGTGAGGGAATTAGAAGTAGAATCTTCACTTAAATTATTTTAGTTTTATGACCAAACTAATTTATTCGAAAGAAAATAGAATAGTTAGTTATTTCCTTAGTTAGAACCTAAAAATTTGAATTTGATGATAAATTTGATTAAAAACTTTGCCTTTTTCTCCATATAAATTTTTAAAAAGTGAATATTCACATGAAAATAAAAAGTCCCACATTAATTTTTTTTTTTTAGTAATTATAAAATGTCACCCACTTGAATAATCTAACTTAACGAGGCCTTATTATTTATTTATTTGTGTATTTCTGTATTAAATAACTTTTAATTGATTTATAAGTTATATTAATTTGAATCCTTTTCAAAACAGTAAGTGTTAATTAACTATAAAAATTAATAAAGTAAAATAACTTACATAATAGTAATCTATCTACTTTACTAAAATTAATTTAAGTTAAATTTTGTTTAAATTACAGTGATCTCCTTGTAAACACCTTTTACCTCAAAATATTCTATACCAGATATTCAATAAATTACTTCGATGGATCTAACCTTAGCATTAATTTGACTTAAAATATAGATTAATTTAAAAAGACACTAACTAAGCATAACTATACTATACCTTGAGAAGAAAAAAAAATTATCAACTTCATTGCTTCATTTATTGTTAATTAGAAATATATCAGATTTCCTTCATATGATCTATTGTTACAGTTTTTTAGATAAATAGACGCATAATTTGAACGAAAGATTAAATTTTTTAATTGGCTATAAAAAAAATTAGCTTTTGTTAATTTTATATTATTTAAGTTAATTTAGGAATTTTTTACTCTTAGATTAAATTATTTGCAATCAAATTTTTATATCTGAATTTATAGCATGTTGATAAAATGATTTATGAAAGCAAATGCAATAAAAAAAATGTAAAATTCTTAAATGTATTTGATTTTAATTCAACAGAAAGGAATAATAAAATTTAAAAACAAAAATTTTATCGAAAAGTTATAAACAAATAAATACTGAATGGATTTTACCTAATTTATTTGCAAGTATACTTGCTAGCTTTCAATTATAAGTGAGATCATTCATAAAAAGCTTTCAATAAATTCTTCGTGTTAATTATTTGAGAACTATCAAATCAAATTGCAATTAATTTCAACTGGACTATTCAGTCTCCAATAAGCATAATAAGCATGGGAATGCTAGAATTTTTTTTATAATTTTTAGATGGCTAAGTGATAACTGTCACGCTTAATTGTTTACTGGAATAAAAATAAATCATATTTACATGTTTTTTCTCTTTAATTTAATTTATATAATCAGTTTTACTTACTTACTTCCTTTATTTTGATTTACCCATGACTTGAAATACTATAAAAATAATTAAAACTTTAAAATAAAGTTGGGATTTTAAAGACAGAAATTTAAATATCAAAAAAACAAAATACAGTTTTTGTAGTTAATAAATATCCACTTAAATCATTGAAGTATTTTTTTAATAAGTTAAATTGTCTCTGTTCTGTGATTTTTTAAATCTTCTCTTTACAGAAAAAGTTGCTTCATTTAGTGGAAAAAAAAAAAGATTAATAGCAAGCAAAGGTTTTTGTATTACATTAAAAATTGAGTAAAGTACCTAAAAAAGTAATAGATATTAAATTTTTTTTAGAAAATCAGGCCAATAAAACTAAAACTAACTAGAAAAAATATAATTTTATGATTGCGTTGTTTTATTTTTTTTAAATTATTTGTGGATCAGCTAAATTTACTGATTAATTTATGATAAATTAATAGTTACCACTTATTTAATTCGCTTTTATTATTTTCTTTTTTTTTTAGTTAGTTAATAAAAAATAAGCTTATTATCCTAAATTTTTCAAGATCTTTCTTCCTCTTAAAAATTTAAAAATTATAATAATTCATTCATTCATTAACTTAACTTCATTTCATTTCACATTGAAACAAAAATTTTTTATGATCAAGAGAAGCCTGCCTTACATTTATAAAGTTGAACAGCAGATATACATATATATCTTAATTAATATAACAGCACTCACTTAATTATCTAAAAAACCTGATTTTTTTTATTTAATGCCAATTTGAGGAGCTAAAATAAACAATTACAGATAAACAATTTTTAAAAGGATATCAACTCAAAATACATTATCAAAATACTTTGAAATTAAAAATAAATTATATTATTAATTAATTAATAGCAGCAGCAAGTCATACATCATTTAGTCAAATTAACTCTTATTAATAAGTGAATAATCTGTAAGAAAAAATTTACTTGAATATGGAAATTTCTAATTAAATACATAAATGATAACTTAAAAAAGTATGATCAAATAACACTTTTAAATATTTTATAATTAGGTAGATACTATTTTTACATGCAATTTTTTAATATTTTTAAGGATTTTTAATTCTTTTCAAATCCATTTTAAAGCCTATTTAAAAAAGTCTTTCTTTTTAACAACCTCTAAATTTTCGTTTAATTTTATCGTTTTATCACATTTCTCCAATAAAAAATTCAAGTAGGTCTTTTTTTATTTCAATCAGTAAACTAAACCCTACAAATTTTTATGGGGACTAACTAACATGAAGGAATTATAATATTAAAATTTCATGCATTTAATTACCATATAAAAATTCATTTAACAAATTGACATAATCAAGGAATAATTTTGTACCAAATAATCATTAGAAAAAGCATAAATATATCTTACAATATTTTTTTTGTTAAAAATAATTTATCTGGTTATATTTAAACTAAATATTTGTATTTATAATAAATTCTATTAGTTCTTTAATATAAAAATCAATACTTTTAACTGTTTTAAATTGAATAATAAAGAGAATTCACAATAATAAAACTAAAATTTTTTAATTATTGAGTTGATAATTATCTATTGTGTTGTTGCTGACATAAAAATTAATACTGATTGCTTAATCACCTCAAGCCAGCTTGTAAAAAAATTAATAGCTATATACTTACTAAACCAATCAAACCACTAAATTATTAGATTTAGTTATTGAATAAATTCATTCAAGCTTATTCTAATTTAAAAAATAAAGTTTTCAGCCTCAAACAAACTTTTTTAAAAAATTTAAAATATTTTTCAATAAAAATTTTACTAAATAAGATAATTAATTATAATTAATTAAATCCAATTAAAAAAATTATACATTAAAAAAGTATCATTATAAATAATATTAATTTTTGATAACTTTAAGAGTTTACAAATGGAAATTTTATATTATGAAAAGATAAATTAATTAATAATTTATTTTATAATCCATAAAAATTATTTCTCTATAAAATAGTAAAATTTAAAGTAAAAGGATGCTTTATAAAGTATTTCAATTTTTAATTAAATTTATCTTATCTTAAATTTACAATTAAAAGTATAATTTAAATTAAACTTTGTTGTTGAAAAATGAATAAATAAATAAATATTAGACAAAAATAATAAATTTTAATTTGTTTATTTGATTAGCACGTATTTAATTAATAATAATTTAGATTGATTAATAAATTTTTGTTCATTGATATTTTTTGAATTGATATTTATATTAATAAAAATAGATCATACTAATAGTATAGCTGCAGATAAAATAAAGGACCAAAATAAATATTTTTTAAATTAAATAAATAAATAAATGGCATTTACTTTAGGTTCAATATTCGAATTCATAGTTTTAATTATGAATGCTTTTGCAATTTTGGATGAAAAGCGTTTTTTAAGAAAAAGTAATAATTATAATTTGAATTGATTGCAGATTTCTATTTTGTATTTTTAGTGAATTATAATTTTTAAAAATGATAGCAAGTGCAATTATTTTTAAAATTTGTTAAGATATGGCTTGGCATAAATAACAAATATTTCATTTAGCAAATAACCTTAATAAAAATATTATAAATATAGTTGGTTGGGATAAAATCGATAACTCTTAACCTAGATTTGATGGCGGAGTGTAATCTGTAAAATAATAATTAATTATACTTTTCTATGCAGCAAGAAACATAGGAGTTTGTAAGTTATAACATCAATATAAATTTTATAATTAAGCAAATATTTTAATAAAATAGATTTCTTGATTCCATGCAATATTATATGCTTAGTAGGAGAGGTGTTATTTGGATGATTTTAAAAAGTTTACATCAATTATTTATTAAATTTAAGCAAATATATATCCTTGTTGTATTTACAAAGTTAAAAAATTTAGCTTAGCCTATTATTAGATTAATACTTAATATTTTAATAAATCAGAAATATCTATTAGATCACTAAATATTCATTTAGATAGTTATAACACTATAAAATATTTTTATAAAGCATAAAAATGAAAAATAAATATAAGATAAATCACAATATTCATTTAAAAACAGTTAAAATTAATTTTTAATATTCAAATAGTATTTATTTTAGTATTTAGCTAGGGTAAATAAATAAATCTATTCAGACAAACATAAAATAATTAAGCAGATATAGAAATATTAAATATTTTAGTATTAATAAGTATGTAAAATACTACCCTTGTTTTTTGTTCTAAATTTTAAAATTAATTATAAAATAAAAATAAATGAGTTTCAACATTATTTAATTATAATTAATATATTTTAAACCGAATATTCTATTTAATTAACATTCATTCATAAAAAAATATTTATCAATAAAGTTGCTTGCTAAAAGATAGTAACAAAAAAGCTAAAGCTGATTCATTAAAGTTATTATTTGATAAAAAGACAAATTATTTTTCAACTAAAATTAAAAAGATATGTTTAATTTACTACTCATATAGTTCTTTAAATATTTGTATAAATAGTTTGGAATATTGAATCTCAAAAATTTAATAATAAAAAAATACTAGAAGAAATTAAAAAGAGAGAGGAATTAAATTCAGCAAGCTTTATTTAAAATGTAAAAAATAAAATAATTTATCTAAAAATATATAGATATAATATAGATATTCAAAAATAAATTAAAATTTTCATTATTTTTCTGTTTAATATTTTTGTCGAATGATTTTTTAAGTATCAACGGATAAATTTTGTTTATGTTAAAATCAAATTCAGTATAATGAATTTCTTTATTAATATGATAAGTATGTGTTTATAATGCTTGCTAAAAATTAAGAAAAATGAATACAATAAAAAGGAAAATAAATAAATGTATAGCTAGCAATTAAGAATATTGTTGTTTGTTTATTATCTAAACAAGATATAGAAAACTATAGTATTAACTTTAATTAAAAGAGCAAATTCACAAACGATCATAAATACAAATAGTAAAACTTGAATATAAATAAAACCTGCAAAGACTGATTTAGTTAGAATTAAGGCAAAAATTATAATAAAATAATGTAGTAGTAGTTGTTGCAAGATAAAGTATTATCTTCATCATCATCTCCAAGATAATCTTAAAATAGTTGCGAGAGTTCAACAGAAAGAATGAATAGGGCATAAACTAATCACTAACAGCTTAATCCATATCAAGAACAGCTAACATTCAAAAACAATAGCTTTTTTACAAAGGAATATGGGGCTGATGATATTCATGTGGACAATAAATATTAAAAAAAGTAGAATTAATAATAAAATAAGTAAACAAATGATCTTCAGCTAAAAAATGCTGTTAGCTAGATGTTAGTAGAAGGTGATGAACTTGAGTTAGTTGAGCTTGGTGATTCTTCTATTCTTAAAAAAAGTAGTAATATTGCACCACCTGCTCCAAATCCAAGTTAAATTGATGGAAAAAATTAATTCAAAGATATAGCAACACTTTTTAAGAATAATTACATCTTTTTAGATGAAGAAATAAATATTAAGTGTACAACAAGTAAGTATTTTATCAAAATTTACTTTAAGTGAAATGAGAGTTAATTTAATATAATAGGTTAGATATTATCAAAAAAGGATGATTATGAGGAAAGTGCAGCTACAGTTTAAAAGAAGCCTTAAAATTAATTTATCAGACAAACTTATAGCAATGATTTTGATGATATTTAAGAAAGTCCTAAGATTGGTAGAAATAATGAGCAAAAGTAAAGATCGCCTTCAAAAGGGAATAATGACTAGTAATTTGGAAGGTAAATTATGTCTGAATATATTTGTCAAGAGAAAGAAGCATCTCCTTAAGCTTCTAACACTAGAAATCAGTAACAGTTGAACTAGACTACTCTTTTAACCAACAATAATGTAGGGACAGTCTTTTAATATGCAAATTCTGTATATACAAATAATTAAAGTTAAGAAAATAATATATCAAACTAAGCTATACAAAACAAGGTAGTGTAGAGTAGTAAATATACCAATCCAAATGACTCAATAAACTCATTTAGCTCAAACTAGCTTAGCTCTGTAGATCATTCTAAAGGTTCAAGCAATTAAAGCATTAAAGTAAATATTAATTTAAGAAATATCATAGTAATAATAATTAAATATTTTGAGTTACTTCCTTTAAATTTGATATTTGACTTTTGGCAATATTTTTGATTTGAAAATCAAATTTCTTTTTGCCTCAATTAAAGAAATTAACGATAAAAAATATCTATGAAAATATTTTTATATATATTTAATTTATTTATTTATTTATTATAAAGCAGCTAGAAAATAATGTTTAAGAGGAAGAATTTAAAAATAAAATTGGATTAGAAAGCTTGAGTATTCTAAGGTCTGAAGTAAACTAATTTTTAGGTTTGTTGTAAAGCTATAACAATGAGATATTGGCTAGTCCTAAGCACTAATAACTCATTTTGTAAAAATAATAATCACTAGATGAATAGATTCATTAAGAATAATAATAGAATCAATCTCCAAAAAAAACATAGGAACAAGAATAAAACTTCTTCTAAAAAAAAATGAATAAAACTTTAGATTAAAAGTTGAAGGAAGAATACAATTAAAAGTTGGGAGAATATCTTGATGGCCACAAAGAAATGTCAGAATTTTTTGTAAATACAACAAACGAATAAAAAAAGTAAAACAAAGAAGATAAATACAATAATACTTAAGATTACTAATAGGACTTATTAATAAGATCTAAGCTATAAATGAGTGATTCTTATGATTAGAATTAAATTTTTTAAAATAAGAAATAAATTGACGAAGCTAGCAATATAATTCATGGTGATTAAACTTCAAAACAATAATATATTTATGTATAAAATTATTGCGAGGATCAATAAAGCCCGACTGGAAATAGCGATTACGAATCTGATACATCTAACTAAATACAACAGCAACTTTATTCATTAAGAAAGGCTAAAAAATCATTCAACTCAGCTAATTTTAATAATCTTTCAATAATATTTAGTGAAAGTGAAAAATCTTCTCCTTTAATACAGTCCAACTCTTCTCAATCTTAAGAAAGTAGCTAAATGCTTGGAGATAATAACAAAGAAGTTATTGAGGATGACGTTTTAGAATAGAAAAGTATTATCGAAGATCAAATTTTAAACAGTTAGAACACTCAAGATAGTCGAGAACTTCAAAAAAATTAATTAAACAGCAAGCAGCAATGCTCTTTTTTTGATTAAAATAATTCATAATTTTAAAACAACTTGTAAAAAAATGATCATCCTTCTCAACAATTGAAAGAATCTTAAAATAACATGTCAAAGCAGAGCCAACAAATCTGCAATAATATCAAAGAAAAAAATAAAAACTTTAGTTTTGATGTTAAAAATTTTAATGGAGTAGCTGAAGAGCTAATTAGATAATCTGATAATCTTTAGTTACAGATTAACCAAATTCAAAATAATTCTTAAATTTAAAGAAATAGTCCAAATGATTTGTAAGAAAGGTTAAAAAGCGCAGTAAGCGTAGACTCCTGTAATACAAGCATAAATTTGGAATACTGTAAAAAAGCTGAGGCTAACGAAAGCTTAGTCTATTTATAAGAAGCTTTTTAATTATGCTTATCAGATTTAAAAGGTTAATTGAGTGTGGATATGTATCAGCTAATTTAACAGAAGCTAAAGTCTGTGCAGGTATTTAATAGAATTTTTTGATATAAAGTTTAATTTACAGTTTGTTAAAAAATTAATTGTTAAAAGACTGTAATCACTTTTTATAAATTAGTAAGCTTATCATTCCCACATATAACTTGAAGTTGAGAAAACTAATGTGCTTGAAAAGAAAAATGAAAATTTAAATAAAAGTAACGAAATGATCATGCAAGCTTTGTAAGCAACAAAAGAAGAAATAAAATAATTAATTTAGAATTATCAACTTCTCTCTGAAGACCATGTACAAACATACATCTATCTTTAAATACATAACATATTTTAATACATTAATTTTTTATATAAGAATGAATTACTAGAGTCAAACAGAGAATTCATGTGCAAAGAATAGAAGCTTGTAGGATAAATAGAGAAAATTGAAAAAGAGAGGTAGCATTTAAAATACTTAATACTTGTTGCAAATGAAAAGTATGAAAAGATGGATGAAAAATGTAATTAGTTAATTAAGAAAAACTCAATTCTTAATGAGTAAATTTCAAACATGCAAAATCAGTTCTCAAATATAAATTAGATACTCAGGTAAATATTTTTTTAAATAATTTGATGAAACAGATGGATGGATATCTATATATTGATGGTTTGTTCATCAGGATATTATCAAATTAAATATAAATTTTATCATTTATTTATTAGAGAAGTGATTATCAATCTTCAAGAAAACAAAGACTCTGAAATTCACAATATACTTTAGAAAATTTTGAAAGGTAAATTTATCATAATAGACTAACTAATTAACATCTTCCCAAACTTAAATAAACAACTAAACATACAAACAATAAAGCAATTAATAATAAAATCAAATAAATAAATCATTAAATATAAAATTGTGGCAAATATTCGCAAATCAAATTTTTTATTTTGACAAAATTTTATTAGAGTGTAGAGTAACTTTATTTACTAAAAAATAAAATACAAATATATAGAGGCAAATGAAATGATGATCATAAAAAAGGATACCGATTCTCTCTATTCAAGGTACTCACACTACAGTCCTAATGCCAGTTGCAGTGCTAAACAAACCTCTTTTAAAGAAGGCTCACTAGGAAGAGTTCAAAAGACAAGAGTAAGAATAATTTAATTTTATTTATACAAAAGTGAGTTATTTATTTATTTATTTATTTTTCTTAGAGTTCATCACCTTAAAGGGAAGGAATTTCACCACCTACTAAATCTTAGATTTATAATCAGGCAAATAACTCGTTATTGAATATTAGTTTAAAACATAAAGAAAATAAATACATATAATCATAATAAAATTTATAAGGGGTAGGAGCAGTTTTTTAAAATATTTCAACCAATCAGACTATTAATTGCCATAATAATTCAAAAAAAGTAAGTAATAGCTAATTTGAAAATAATAAATTGAATAAATAGTCTGTGTAACAACCACATCCTGCTTAACTAAACTAAAGTCTAGGCAATATTAAATAAAAAGAAAATATAAATAGATAAAAAACCCCTCCTAAAATAATACAAAAATAAGGTTTAACTTGCAGATCCAAGGAAGACCAAAGAAAAATAGAAGAAACTTACAGACAAATATTTTTAAAACAACTAAAATAATCAAAAATAAAAGACATATCTAATACAAGCAATAACGCCAAGACTTTTAATTGAAAAATAAATGAATTATATTATTTCTCTATTTAAATCTTTTAATTTTCTGAATTGAAAAAATAAATAACTAGTCATTAAAAAAAGACTGATAGATTATGCTTGCACAAAAATTAAACAATAAATGAAAAAAAAAATAAATAACTCATTCTTTTAGATTAAGAATGCAAATAAAAATTAAAAAAAGACTAAAGATCAAACTCCAAATAAATTAAATAAAATTAATGAGTTTTTTAAAAAAAATTATAATAAATATATTTTAAATATAAAAGAAGGTTTAGCTAAAAATGATAACAATAATGTTTTAAATAAATATTTGTATTTTGTAAATAAATACCTCTTATTAAAAAATGATACAAAAAAATTTAATTTATAAATTGAATAGTTTCTTTCAAATTATTTTTGAAAACATTATTTTTATTTGCATTTATTTTTTAATTTAAAAATTTAACTTTTTACATATAAAAACTCATTTAAAACATGTTAACCTTTTACAAAAATAAATTTTTTTCATTTAAGTTGTTAGCTTCTTTTTTATCAAAATTAAATCTTAGGCAAACATAAAAATCTAAAATTAATTTGAAAAAATTAGGTTTTTTTCTTAATTTTTGGAAGATAATTAAGATTTCTTTCATAGAGATTATGATAAAAAAGATATTTTATCTTAAAAACAAGCAATTTTTAGATAAATACTCAAATATTAAAAAAATCTAATTGAATTTTATTGACCTTTATAACTTCCTAACCTATTTATAGAATTATCTTTTACTAATTTTGCAGAAAATCAAAGGATTTGCATCTTTAAAATTAATTTATGCTTTAATTCGAAAAAATAAAGATTTAAGGTATAAAAGAATAAATTTATTTGAATATCTTCTCTGCCTTAATTGATTTAATTTTGATAATGTAATAAAAGAGTTTATGTTAAGCCAAATCTTAAAAATAACTAACAAAAGAAACACAATTAAATAAGTATTTCATTTGATAATTAGTATTTTCCACTTTGAAATACCTTTAACAGATTTACTATAAAATAAGGAAAATAAAATTAATTATCATAAAAAAAAGGATAATAAAGATATTATCAAGAAATGAGAGTTTATTATAAACTTTCTGGAAAAAATATATAAATTAATTAATAATTAAATAAATAAATTGAATTACATTGATGATAAAATAACCAAAAAAGATTTAGGAAGATTATAAATCATAATTTTCAAAAAGCTATTTTTTTTTTTGATTTTTTATTCCATAAGAACGAACGAAACTCATTTTAAAAAACAACATTGTAACTAGCAAAAATATTCGCCTTAAGAGATAAAAATAGGTTTATTTTAAAATAGATAACATACATATTATTCTAAAACTAAAGTTTATTAAATTCTTTTTAAATTCTATTAGAAATATTGATTGATTTTTGATTAATTTAAATGTAATTATTTATCATTTATTTCTTTTAATTTTTGAATTTCTTTATTGATTGATTGATTGATCAATTTATTTAGTCAATTTGAAATATTTTTTGTGATTCGCTTTAGCTATAAGGAATATTTATTTAATTTTTATTTATTTTGCAAGCAATTTGCATATGTCTCATGAAGAAGCACTTGCTCCTTTTTTTAGTAAAATTATGTAATATCTAGGAAGATATATATCAAAAAATATATAAAAAAGTAAAAAAAAGTAATTAGAAATAAGAAAAAGGAAAATATAAAGAAACACACACAATTTAGGAAGAAATAAGAGAAGATAAGTAAAGGATTGTATAGTATTAAAAGGAAATAAAAAAGTAGAAGAGGAAACAAGCTCAACCAACCACTTATTTTGCTCTGTTTAAAAAAAGCGATATTCAAACTAAAATTAAGCTCTCTTCATCTTAAATTTCTAAATGTCATTACCGAAAAAAGTGGTTAATAAAGAAAGATAGATATGTGAAGCGCCAGGTAAAATTTATTAATTTTAAATTTTATATCATCAATCTAGTATTTGACATAGTGCTTTTCTCAATTATTATTATCATTCTAATAACAATGGCATTTAAACCAGAAAAATATTAATTTTTACTTATTTTTAATTTATTTGTTTAATCTCAAACTAGAATTGACAGTGTATGAGCATACAACCGAAATGTAGACATCTCATATGTGCCAAGAAGAGATAGAAATTAACAATTGGTTAGAGGAACACAATATTTAGATGGCTGATCCTCTTGATTTGATTCACTAATATTTTCATGTCAAAAAGAAAAAAATTAGTGAAAAGATAGCAGAGAATAAAAAAAGCAAAGGTCTTACTTAAGGGTCTTTATTACTCGAGCGTCGTGCCAAAAAAAATGTTAATGCTCCCACCATTTCTTTCTCAGAAAACATATGAGCAGACAGCTTTTTGCTAAAAAAAGAAATTTCTTAGTAGTTTATTGCTCTTGTAAGCTAACACAATCCATTAATAACCATTTTCTTACCCCCAATTTTAGAAATTCTACAAAAAAAAAATATACTATTATTTAAAATCATGAATAAGACATTGCAAAAGTTAATGATCAATCAGCCCTACCCAAGTTTGTCTGATATAAAAAAATCAATAAATTCTTTAACTAACTAACAACCTTTATGCAAAACTTAATTAATTTCTCAACTTTAAAAACACAAAATAAATAATTAAATATCGTATTAATAGTCAATCAGTAGTTCAGCTGCCATAATAATTAATAACCTTTCAATAGATATTTACATTTACAATACTATAATTAACTTACTTAATTCCTTTTTAGTAAATTTATCTCAAATATAGCAAAATAATAATACTTATATCAGAGAAAATAGAAAATTTGCAGAGCTTTCTTTGATTATCATATGAGTGAAAAGCTTAAACGAATATATAAATAAATAAATTTAAATTCCATCACTTGACTGATTGACTGATGAATTAATTACTACTTCATAAAAAATTTAAAAACCTTTTATACTACTCTCTAATGAACCTTTTAACCTAATTGACTCTTATTTCTACTATTCATTCCTAAATTATTTTCTATTTAGAAACTCCTAAAATCCGATCCAAATATTTTATGTAATAAAGTCCTATCAAAAATAATAAAGAGTTAGAATATTTTACTTACAATAAATACAATAAAATAAGTTAGTAGCAATCATAAAAATTCGAATAGACACAAAACATACTCAGATAAGAATTATTAATAGAACAATATAAAAACTGCAATCTAAAGAATTAAAAATTAGTAATTCAATATATTAAAAGCTAAATAAACTAACTAACTAACTAATTAACTAATTATTTTTATTTGCTACCAATAATCGCAACATTAAATACTTTTCCTTTTACTAGGATTGACCTTACCATTTATAGAATGGCAAAAAAACCCTTTTAATGATTAGAATTTTCAATCACTTAAACTCAACCTTAATAAAATGATAATAATAATTCTTCACTTTAATAAATTTACTATAAGTGTATACTTCCTATTTCCTTTACAGAAATCAGTGTAAATATAATAACACAAGTAAGAAAAAACTATTTATTGTTCCAAATAATAAGATAAGCTTTATGTGATGTGTTATAATTCACATTTTGATGATTTTAGGTGTGGAATAAAGCAAATTCTTATTAAAATCAACTCATTCATTATAAAACTGAAAAATAAATAACATTAAAAAAAATTGCATCTTAAAAGAAGAAAAGCTGTAACTACTGAAAAAAAAATAAAAATCATGAACAAAAAATTGATAAAAATGACAAATTAAACTCAATTCATTAATAAAAAGTATAAAAGCAAAGAATAAATAAACAAGAAATAATAATTTTACTATTATTTATATATTTAAAAATATATATTTACATATACTTTATTTTACATTTTACTCTCTTGACTACTTTTAATATCTATAAATCAAATTTTTCTTTTTAGTTTTTTAAATCCAATTAATTGAAACGAACAAGTTTTTGTTTTAGAAAATTTTTCACCGATATTAGATCAGATTAGTCTTTTTATCAGATTAATATTTGCTTGCTTTCTAAAATTATTAAAAATTTATTCTTATAAATTCTATTTACACTTGTAAATTAATTCTGATCCTTACAACTAACTAATTTTCTAAAAACTCAAATTTAGTAAGTAGTACGGCTTACTATTTTAATTTCTATTTTACCTAACAGAAGTAATAAATATATCAATATGTTTTTAGTTATATAGAAAAGGGTATGCAATAATAATATTTTCTAAATTCATTTTACAAAATTGAAATAGTTTACACAAAAAAGTATTCTGAATATAAATATTTTATACTTTTCTTTTGCTAAAAATAAATTAAAACTTTAGCTTTTTAAATCTTTGTTGCAATAAAAAGGTTAACTTCATAAAAAATTTATTGTTTTATATTTTATAGGAAAACTGAATATTTTAAAAATTAGAATATATAAAAATGAACTATCTATTATTATTTATTAAAACTAATGGATTTATTGTAGATTATCAAAATTATTATTGAGAAAATTATTGCTCAAAACCTTGATCAAAAATACCATACTTAATTTTAAGAAATTTAAATGTCCCAAGCTACATTCATTAAGGTTTTGGAGTAATTACATATTTTAATAAAATTAGATTCAAACTATTTAAAAAAATTAAAAAAGAAAATTACTGTTTAAAAAATAGGACCATAACGAAAACAAATATAGGATATACATTTTTTATTAAACCAAACTGAATTTAGTTTTGAAAAATAATTAACAATTTTATAATTTATATTCAGATATAATACCCATCTAAAAACTAAGTCAATTCTAATTACTTTACAAGTACGAAGAATCTCCTTGAAGCTATTATAATAGGGTTGTATAAAGCAAAGGAAATAAAAATGACTGCTAAAGAAGAAACTTAGACTATTATGCGAACTATGAAATCAAAATTTCCATTACTCAAGTCTATATAGCAAGTAACAATTATCACAAAACAAGTAAGTATTAGATTAACTATAGCAAATAAGTAATTTAATGTTATCATTTTAGGCATAGAGTAGGATAAACTTATTGCTAAAAACAAGATTTAAAACAAAAATAAATGGACATGAGCAACGTAAAGAATATTTAAGTTTGAGCCATAGCCTTTGCTAAAATAAATTGAATACCCAATTACTAAAGTTATAGATGTATAAAAAAGTAAAAATAACAGATAATGGAAGTATGAGCTAATTGTTTGCTACAAATTTTTACAGCAATATGAGAATTTTCCATTTCTGATTTGATTGCTTGAAATGTGTTAATTGTTATTAATGATGGGCTAGATTACTAAATTGTCCATTTTTATAGCTGAAAGCAAGTCTAATTTTTTAATCAAATTCAGATTTTAAATATCTAAATTCAATTCTGAATAAATAAGCTGCAAACAATCAAACAAAATATTTTATTTGTTTTAATTTGATCTTAAAGAAATTGTACAATACAGCTATTCAGGGTTCTAGAGCTAATTGCTACAATTATTTGGATTTAGATTCTTTTCAACAATGGATTTTTATTCAACTTCATAAAGTGGTTATATAATTTACTGTGAATAATTCTCATAACTGATAAGATGGGGTTCTTCATTCAAACCATTATCAATCGGTATTCCAACTGTAAAATTTTGATTTTTCATGCGATTATTTTTTATTTTAAATGGAAAATAAAGAGCTCAATACAAAAGTACTAATAAGTTTATAGAAAAGTATTAAATACTTTTTTTTCTAAGATGTGTTCTGATTTTTGATTAGTTTAAATAATTTATTAATTATAGATAATACATTAAGCAGATTAGCCAATTGAATTATATGTCTATCTTCAAGGATTTATTGTGTATTTTTCTACATAAATTGGACAAAATTTAAATTTTGTAAAATAAATTCAAAAATCTCCAGTTACATATAAAGATTATTTTAAAAAAATATACAAAATTAGGTAGTTTTAAAAAGATTTGAATCTAGTTCAGTATGATTTGTTTATTTATTTTTAAAAATGATTATTAAATTAAAGCAAAAGATTTGATAAAAAAAGTGTTTTCATTTCATACGTATTAATTGATTTATTTTTGCTTTTAGTAAATTGTAAACTGATGCTTTTATTGTAATTCAAATATCAATTCATTAAAAGATTACAGAAATTTTAATAATTATTATCTGCAGTTGCTAGATAATTTTAGTACTTGAAGTAAAAGATTTTTGTCTATTCTTCAATTCTTATCTTACTTTGAAATTAATTAAAATATAATCAAATTTATTTTTTATTAATTAAGTTTGATAGAAAAAATATTATTTTATTGAGAATTATTATAAATTATTTTAATTGTTAATGTCTTAATTCTGTTTTTTAAAATTTAAGTGTATATTTTGAGATATTTAACTTTTTTTATGGATAAATTATACAAAAAATTATAAATTATTTTGAATGGTTGTGGATAAAAATTTAATTTTGCCATTATCTAAATAAAACACTTTAGAAATAGCAGAAAAATATATTAAGTTTAAAAAGACAGAATAAAAAAAATATTTTTTGAGCTATGAATGACTAAAATTTAAAATATAAATTCAAATTAGATAAAGCTAAAATAAATAAAAAATGGTGCAATCGAATAAATATTTGTAAATTTAGATAAAATAAAACCCTTTTTAAAAATTTAATATTTAAAATTATGGATTAGCAAATTAATTATCCTATTAATTTATAACTAATATCATTTCAATTTGTATGAGTATATTTTTATAAAACTTATAATTAATTTTGATAATGATACATTATAAAAGACATATTTACATAATGTTTATAATCAAATATATTTATGATTTAAAGATTAATAAATGTTCTTTTGAAGTCAATAAAAATTATATTTTTTCTAAATAATTTTTTCAATAAAATTTTTGTAATATTTCATCTTCATTAAAAATGTAATTTATTTCTTTTCCACATATATTGGTTCTTTTATAAATATAAATTAAGTAATTCTAATTTTTTTAAATAATTTAAAATATTTTATGATAAAACAAAAGTAAGTTTTAAATATTAAAATGTGATTATATTTATAATAAATTAAGACAAGAATATGAATTGATAAAGAAAAAAAAGTTTTACAGAAATTATGTATGTATAAATAAAATTAATAAATTTTCAAAGAAAGCCTAAATAAAATAAATAATATACATAAATTATAGTAACTCTCAAATTAAAATTGTGTAAATAATACAAAAAATTATGGATACTAACTATTTTAATTATCAAAAAACTATTTTTATCATGCGCTTACAGAGTAATATTTACTTTTATTATAGTGTAGTGCATTGATTTAGATAAAAAGAAGATATGCTTTAATTTAAAACAATTCTTAAAAGTTCAGAAATTATCAGATTTAAAGCAAATTATTACTTAACAAGTAATAAAAAAATAAATTTAATAGTTTAATGTTTACATAAATTAATATGCTATTTTGAATTTTTGGTTATATTTCAATAGAAAAATAAATTAATTAACAAATCTTATACACATACCTATTCAAATAATAATGATGCAAAAATTAAATTAAATTTAATAGTTTAATGTTTACATAAATTAATATGCTATTTTGAAATTTTTATAATATTTCATAAGAAAATTAATTAACAAATCTTATACATCTATCTATTCAAATAGTAAAGTTGAGAAGAAATAAATTAATAGTAATCAAATATTAAATAAATTTACTAACTAGTAGTTTTAACAAAATTTAGATAAAATAAATAAATAATTAATGATTAATTAAGAATAAGCTAAAAAGGGTATTGATATTACATGGAGAAATGTCAAATATACAGCTCATACAAAAAATTCTCATCGTGAAATTCTCAAAGGATTGTCAGGAATTTGCAAGGCTGGAGAAATGACTGCTATTATGGGTAGTTCAGGAGCTGGTAAAACTACCTTGCTAAACATTTTATGCTGCAGAGCTGAAAATACAAACGAAGTTAAACTTTTAGGAGATATCACTGCCAATGGAAAGTCATACGATGCTCGCTCTTTTTCTAATTTTGCTGCATATGTTATGTAAGAAGATCTAATTCTAGAAACAATGACAGTATTAGAAGCTCTTCATTTTGCTGCTAACTTAAAAATGACAGGGACTGAGCAATAAAAGCAGGCTAAAGTCCAAGAAGTATTAAAAATTATGCGCTTAGAAAAATGTCAAAATAGTCTTATAGGTGGTAATACCATAAAAGGTATCACCAAAGGAGAGAAAAAGCGCACATCAATTGCTTTCGAGCTAGTGAGTGACCCAGATGTCATCTTCTTAGATGAGCCTACTAGTGGTCTAGATTCTTTCACTGCATATAACGTTGTGGATGTTTTGTAACAATATGCTAGGGAATAAAACAAAACAATTATTTGCACTATCCATCAACCTTCCTCTGAAATTTTTATAAAGTTTGATCGCTTGATACTTTTAGTAGATGGTTAATTTATTTATCAAGGGCCTAGAGATAAAGTTATAGACTACTTTGGATCTTTTGGTTTTTAATGTCCCCATCTAAGCAATCCAGCTGATTATTTTATAAGTATTATGCATGCTGAGTCAGAAAAAAATAGAAAAAGTTATAAAGTTTACTTTGAAAATTTTGAAAAGAAATTGAGTGATGATATTTCTAAAGAAATTGATTAACACGGAACTAAGTTAATTCTTCAAAAATCAGCACAAGCTTCATTTCTAACTCAAGTTAGCATTTTAATAAAGCGTAATTTTAAAAATGTATAAAGAAATCCAATGGAATTTAGAGCTAAAATTATACAATCAATTATTCTAGGTCTATTTACAGGATTAATTTACCTTAATCTTCCAGATCCTGAATCACATAGAGATGACTAGCGTGTTGTTAATGATTATAATGGTGCTATATTCTTTTTAATTTAAAACACTCATTAGAGTACTCTTTTTCAAATGATCGTTTCTATTCCTTTAGAGAAAGGAGTCTATTTGAAAGAAAAAAATGCCAAATTATATTCAGCAAATGCATATTTTTTAGCTAAAATGGCAATTGAAAGCATTGTTGCCTTAGTATAGCCTATAGTTTTTATTTCAATAAGCTATTATATGATTGGTTTAAATGAAAATTTTGGTCGCTTCTGCTTTTTCGTATTAGTTAGTATAATTAATAGTTTCATCGGTCTATCATAAGGACTCTTTTGCGGTTCTTTCTTTAATGATCCATCAACAGCAATGAGTATAACTCCTATGATGATTCTTCCATTTTTTTTATTTTCTGGTTTTTATAGAAATGTTGCTGATATGCCAGATTGGAATGCTTGGTTTTAATGGCTTTCTAATTATAGATATGCTTTCGAAGCCTTAATTCGTAATAATTACACAGACAGTCCTTTTACTATTGATGTAATAGGATAAACTAATTTAGATCTAGGAAAATGGATGAGTGTTTTAATGTTAGTAATTTTATTCTTAGCTTTTTCAACATTTACACTCATAGTACTAAATACAAAAAAATAAAGATTATAGTGAAATTTTATATAATAATTTTGATAAAATATAAATCTTGTTAATATACTCTAAATCCTCATTAATTAAGTGCATCCCCCCATCTTTAAAGTCTACTTGAGACCCTTAATTTGGATCAAAAATTTTAAAACTATTATTTTTACTATAATCCTTATTCAAGAGCGCCCAAGGTAGTAGGCTAAATTTAAAGCAATTTTAATTTACTTTAAATCCAAGTTAAAATAATTATTTTACTTATTTTTGTACTGTTGTTAAAAAAATTAAAATGCTCTATATGAATGCTAGATAAATAGTATTAAAAATTATAAAATAAGAAATATTCCAGAAAAATAATTATTAATTAATAATATTGCAGTATTAAACTTTCTCGAAATTTTAGTTACTCTTTTAAATTATTTGCAATTTTTTTTTTATTTAATTAAAATTTGTTTTTGAAGGATTTATTACTCAGTTTTTTTAATCAAAATTTAATCTTTATTAAAAATGAAATTTGATTTACTTAATTCTAAGCTTTTTAATATCAAAATAATTTTATAAAATATTATTATTTTATTTTATAATTATAAATAATATTAACTATTTTAATATTAGAAAAAAAAGTAATGTTAAATTGTGATTAGATTAATAATAAATTAAGATATGACATATGAATTGTTCCAGAAATTAAATTACTCTCAAATCTGCAAGTAAGTTTATAAATAATTAATTGATTTTCAAAGAAATCATAAAAATAGATTTAGTGGAAAAATTCTAGAAACTCTCGAACTAAAAATTTTTTAACTATTCAAAAATTATGAATGACAAAACTTTTAAAGCTCATAAAGTTGCTTTTATTCGGTATTTCTGGAATAGTAATTAATTGATTTTAGATTGCATTTTATTGATTTAGAAAAAAGGAAGATTTACTTTTACTTAGATAATTCGTAAAACTTCAAAATTAATCAGATTTGATAAATTTTATAGCAACTGATTACTTTAATCATAATAACAAAATAAAATTTAATAATTTGATGTTTACATAAATTCTCATGCAATTTTTAATTCTCAATTATAATTTATAAGAAAAATTTATAAATATATCTTATGCAGCTATTCAAATCTTAAAGATAGGAAAAACCAAATTTATATTAATTAATAATTAACAAAAATAATTAAATTTCGTTTGATTACTAATCTTCTAAAAATACAACCTTTCTTTAAATCTTATTGATTAAGATCTCATAAAAAATTATTCCTACTTAAATTTTAATAATTAGATTGATAAATCAGAACAAAAACTTGAAAAAAACAATTAATGATTTACTAAGAATAAGCTAAAAAGGGTGTTGATATTACATGGAGAAATGTCAAATATACAGCTCATACAAAAAAATATCATCGTGAAATTCTCAAAGGATTGTCAGGAATTTGCAAGGCAGGAGAAATGACTGCTATTATGGGTAGTTCAGGAGCTGGTAAAACTACCTTACTTAACATTTTATGTTGCAGAGCTGAAAATACAAATGAAGTTAAACTTTTAGGAGATATCACTGCCAATGGAAAGACCTTTGATGCTCGCTCTTTTTCTAATTTTGCTGCATATGTTATGTAAGAGGATCTAATTCTAGAAACAATGACAGTATTAGAAGCTCTTCAATTCGCTGCTAACTTAAAAATGACAGGTACTGAGTAATAAAAATAGGCTAAAGTTCAAGAAGTATTAAAAATTATGCGCTTGGAAAAATGTCAAAACAGTCTTATAGGTGGTTATGCTGTAAAAGGTATCACAAAGGGAGAGAAAAAGCGCACATCAATTGCTTTCGAGTTAGTGAGTGACCCAGATGTCATCTTTTTAGATGAGCCTACTAGTGGTCTAGATTCTTTCACTGCATATAACGTTGTGGATGTTTTGTAACAATATGCTAGGGAATAAAACAAAACAATAATTTGCACAATCCATCAACCTTCCTCTGAAATTTTCATGAAGTTTGATCGTTTGATACTTTTAGTAGATGGTAAATTTATTTATCAGGGACCTAGAGATAAAGTTATAGATTATTTTGGATCTTTTGGTTTTTAATGTCCTCATCTAAGCAATCCAGCTGATTATTTTATGAGTATTATGCATGCTGAATCAGAAGAAAACAGAAATAATTATAAAGTCTACTTTGAAAATTTTGAAAAGAAACTGAGTGATGAAATTTCTAAAGAAATTGATTAACATGGAACTGAGTTAATTCTTCACAAATCTGCACAAGCTTCATTTTTTACTCAAGTAAGCATTCTTATTAAGCGTAATTTTAAAAATGTATAAAGAAATCCTATGGAATTTAGAGCTAAAATTATACAAGCAATTATCCTAGGTCTATTTACAGGATTAATTTACCTTAATCTTCCAGATCCTGAATCTCATAGAGATGACTAGCGTGTAGTTAATGATTATAATGGTGCTATATTCTTTTTAATTTAAACCACTCATATGAATACTCTTTTTCCTATTGTCCTTTCTCTTCCTTTAGAAAAAGGAGTTTATCTTAAAGAAGAAAATGCCAAATTATATTCAGCAACTGCATATTTTTTAGCTAAAATGGCAATTGAAAGTATGGTTGCCTTAGTATGTCCTACTATTTTTGTTGCAATAAGCTATTATATGATTGGTTTAAATGCAAATTTTGGTCGTTTCTGCTTTTTCGTACTTGTTTGTATAATTAACGGCTTCATCGGTCTATCCTAAGGACTCTTTTGCGGTTCACTCTTTAAAGATCCATAAACAGCAATCAATATAACTCCTATGATGATTCTTCCATTTTTCTTATTTTCTGGTTTTTATAAAAATGTTACTGATATGCCAGATTGGAATGCATGGATTTAATGGCTTTCTAATTATAGATATGCTTTCGAAGCCTTAGTTCGTAATAATTACACAGACAGTCCTTTTACAATTGATGTAATAGGATAAACTAATTTAGATCTAGGTAAATGGATGAGTGTTTTATTGTTAGTAATTTTATTCTTAGCTTTTTCATTGATTACACTCATACTACTAAATACAAAAAAATAACGTTTATAATGAAAGTTTTTATCATAATTCTAATAAAATGTAAACCTAACTAATATATTATATAAATATATATTATATACTTTTTCTACATTAAATGGATTTAATAATTATTAACAGTTTCTAAAAACCTATTTATTTTATTTTTTTCATTAAAATGCGGTTTTTGTTAGAGGTTATGAGAATTATTTGCTTATAGGCTAAGTTATCAGCTAAAATTTTTTTTAGTGGGTAAAAAATATTTATTTTTTTACCATTTTTTTTACTGATTTTCATATTTGCAAAAATTCTTTTTTTATTAGAATATAGTTACTTAAAATAAATGTTAAATAATCGATTTAGAAAAATTGGTAATCTTTCATAAGTATTATAACACAAACGTAGTCATATTGTTCTATGATATCTATAATTTTGTTTGAACAATAATCATAACGAATGTAAAGATAATAAAATAATTTAACTAAAAAAAGTGAATATATTATTTATAACTCTTAATTAAGGTTTATTTGTATTATTAAATTTGAAAAGTAATGTTTGAATCACTAAAGAAAAGTATCAAAACATCAAAATTATCATTAAAAAAAAATTTATTTTTTAAATGAAATTAATAAATAATATATTTTTGAAAATAAAAAAAGACATAATAAATTTATTTATTTTAATAAGATAATTGCTGAAAAATAATTTTAATTTAATAAATCATAATAAATTGTTAATCATTTATTTATTTACATCTCTACAAAGCTATAAAATATAAAGTAAAATATATATTTTAATGTATAATAATTAGTTTTTATTATTTACTTATAAGTTCCTTTCTTTTTTATTAAAATGAATTTCTTGATTTTAAAAAATCACTTTTTTCCTAAATTTTATTTTGCTATTGTGAATCTGTTATTCCAGTCTAGACAAACATATTAATCCACACAAGGATTTCCATATAAACAACTACAACCCTCACCTCTTTTTTCATTGCTTTTAGATCCTCCAAAAGAGCTTTCATCTACTTTGTAGGCCTTTCTTTTACTTTCAGCTGCATCATTTTTCAAAACAACACACCAGTAAGTTGTTCCTGCTTGTAAATTGTTAAATGTTTTATTTTTTCCTGATCCTTAACTAAAAAATGAGACAGATTCATCAGGTTTTCCATCTTTCTCTACTGTTAAAAAGAATTAGTAGCCTTTTTCATAAGCAAATGATAGAGCTAATTCATCATCTACTAAGTCATAAGATACACACCCATCTTTTATTGTAAAAGGTACAGTTGAAGTTAAGCCGCCTGTATTTGTTTTAACATTTATCTTTCCATTCTTCAACTTTTCCTATTCTTCTTTTATTCTCTTTTCCTCTGCTAACTTAGCCTCTTTATATTGTTTTTCAGCTAGCTCTAATGCAGCTCTTTCTTCCTCTTCTTTTTTTTTCTTCTCTTCTTCTTCTTTCTTTTTCTTTTCTTCCTCAATCCTCTTTTCTTCTTCTTCTTTTTGCTTTCTTTCCTCTTCTTCTTTTTTTATTTTTGCCTCTTCTTCTGCTTTTTACTATTCTTTAAGCTTTTCTTCCTATAACTTCTTTTCTTCTTCTTCTTTTTTTTTTGCAGCAGCTGGATCTACTTTTTGATTTTATGATTAGGGTGCTCCTTTGTTATTAGCTAAACCTGGTTTTGTTACTGTATTTAATGGAGCTTTTGCTAAAGTAGAATTAGTTTTAACTCCTGAATTACTTACAACTGGCTTAGTTGTATTTGATGCAACAGTAGGTTTTTAGACTGCTTGCTGAGAAGGTTTGCTAGCCTAATTTATTGCTGGTTTATTGCTAACAGAAGAAACTGCTTTATTTGCAGTACTTGTAACTGTCTACGATGGCTTTTATACTGCCTAAGTTGTAACAGCTGTTTTTTGAGCTGTTGATCCAGTTGGCTTTACTGCAGTAGAAGATGCAGTAGGTTTATTAGTGTTTGTTGCAGGTTTTGGGGGCATTTATTAAATGTTCAAAGAAAACAAATAAATTTTTTAATAAATAAAATCTATATTTATTAATAGTGTATTGAGTTTGTGGTAAAATAAAGAGGCTATCAAATTTATAGTATTTATTTCAGCAGAGTAAACGTTTTTACTTTCATTTAATCACCTTCTAAGTAGTTTTAAAGTAAATTAGCATGAATAAAATTATTATTTTTTTTATTTTTACAAAGAAAAAAGAAATTAAATAGATATTAAAATCTTTATTATTTATAATTCCATATTTAAAATTTGAAAAAAAAAAGTTTACAGAAATATGTTACTGGTAACATTTTTAGAAGTTTTAATCAATTAATTAATTTAGTATAAAGCATAATCAAAATTATTTTTAAAAACATAAACTGCTTTATCATATTTTACTATAAAAAATTGTACTTTAATGATTAAATACTTATTTGAATATATGTTGATAAATTAATATGAATATGGAGGCAGAATATCAGACTTTCATACATTTAAATAAGATAACATTCATTTTTAAAACACATATATATAATAAATAAGCATTATTTTTATTTTAAAACAAAATTAAGTGATAAATTTTTAAAATGATTAAACCTTAAATATTAAAAATGAAGGAATTTATTTTATTATTAATTGAATTAACAAATTTAAAATAAAAAAAAAATAAGAATAATAAAAACTACTAAACTACAACAAAAATGAATAATTTGATGCAAAAGCTAATTTTTAGATTTGAAAAAATGTTATATTTTATCTAATTAACCAGATTTAAGATTTATATGAAATCCAAGATATTTTTACCATTTTTTTTATCTTAAAAATATTAACAATATATTTATAACTATGTTTTTTATTTAATTACCATTTTAACTCAATATCAATTTTTTTTACGATAATTAATTATTTTAAACCTTCGAAAGCTTGGCATATACATACTCCAGATATATATTAGATCTTCAAAGTTTTTTATTATTTTATTATTATAAACCATTTATGATTCCCTAATTGATATCAAAAATTTAGTGAAGTACAAGCATGTTTATTTTTTTTATTTATAATTGCAGTGATATTTGAATAAAGATTGAAAAAAATTGTAGATTTATAGTAGAAATCGTGGATATCGAAGATTATTTTATAGAAACAAATGATAAAAGTTATGATTCCTAGAGTGAATTTAGTAAATTAGGTGTTGAATTAATAATAATTTCAGGCAGAAAATATATCTTTAAATTTTTTTTAACTCATCAAGTAGTAAAAGAAAGAGACATTTCTTAATTTATTTTAGATTCAAAAGAAATTTTTAATATAGATTCTTGAAATTTCTTTATTTATTACAGATTTAACATTGTAATTCATCAGTTATTAAATTTCACTTTTTCCTATTTATTAATTTATTTTTTCCAGAATTATTCTATTTTTTAATTTCTTGATAAATTAAAGAAAATAAATGAATTTTTTTGGTTGTTAAATAATTATTTTATGCAATCCTCAATCTCTTATTTACTATTTTAAAAATATTACATTTAATTTAGTAAATATTTCCTTTAATATTTCAGAAATTTACTTAATTTTCTTGTAATAATTTATGTAAAATTACATTTTTATTTCATTATTCACAATCCCATTAATTAGATTTTATTTATTAAATGAGCAATCTATTTGACTTTAAGTAATTAATTATTTTTTCAATTTAAATTTTGATTAAATCTGAAAAAAAATTAATTTTTATTAGATTTAATCATATCCTATAAAAAATGATTATTCAAAATCACATGAAGTGCCAAAATCAAGTGATCTAATTAAATAGTTTTTTATTCTAAGCATTTTTTAAGTAATATTAACTTTAAAATAAAATAAGATATTCAAAATTTTTACTTAAAACAATCAAAATAAATTTACTCATTCTACAAAATTAGCTTCAAAATACTTTACATTTATGACTAATAATACTGTCAGCCTTCCATAAACAGATAATTAAGTCACTCTTGAAGAAAAGAAAATTAAAAGAGGTGTCGACATTACTTGGAAAAATGTCACATACACAGCTCATACTAAAAAGTATCATCGTGAGATTCTCAAAGGGTTGTCAGGTATTTGTAAGTAAGGGGAAATGACTGCGATTATGGGCAGTTCAGGAGCAGGAAAAACTACTTTGCTTAATATCTTATGTTGCAGAGCTGAGAATACAAATGAAGTTAAATTGTCAGGAGAAATTACTGCAAATGGACAATCATTTGATGCTCGCTCATTCTCTAATTTCGCTGCCTATGTAATGCAAGAAGATTTAATTATGGAAACAATGACTGTTTTAGAAGCACTTTAGTTTGCTGCAAATTTAAAAATGAAAGGTAGTAATGAAGAAAAGTAAGCTAAAGTAAAAGAAGTACTCAAAATCATGCGCTTAGAAAAATGCTAGCATACATTAATTGGTGGTTAAAAAATAAAAGGTGTGACTAAAGGTGAAAAGAAACGTACTTCAATAGCTTTTGAGTTGGTTAGTGATCCAGATGTTATCTTCCTAGATGAACCAACTAGTGGTCTAGATTCTTTCACTGCTTATAATGTCGTGGATGTTTTGCAATAATATGCTAAAGAGTAAAACAAAACTATTATTTGTACAATTCATCAACCTTCTTCTGAAATTTTTTAAAAATTTGACCGTTTGATACTATTGGTTGATGGTAAATTCATTTACTAAGGACCTAGAAGTAAAGTTATTAAACACTTTGGATCATTTGGATTCCAATGTCCACAATTGAGTAACCCAGCTGATTACTTCATGAGTATTATGCATGCTGAATCAGAAGAAAACAGAAATAATTATAAAACTTATTTTGAACATTTTGATACAGATTTAAGACCATAAATAGACTAAGAAATCGCTTAGCATGGTACTGAAATTATTGCTCATAAATCATCATAAGCTCCTTTTATGACTGAACTTAAAATCCTCATTGATCGTAATTTAAAAAATATGAAAAGAAATCCTATGGAACTCAAGGCAAAGATAATGCAATCATTGATTTTAGGTATTTTTGTAGGAATAGTATATCTTAATCTCCCTGATCCTGCTAATCATGTAGATGATTAACGTGCTGTTATGGATTACAATGGTGCCATATTTTTTTTGATAATTAACACAAACATGAACACTTTATTCCCAATCGTTCTTTCTTTCCCTCTTGAAAAAGCTGTGTTCTTGAAAGAGGAAAATGCAAAGTTATATTCTATAGGGGCTTATCTTTTGGCAAAATCTATTGTAGAAAGTATTTTATCTTTTATTTGCCCAGTAATATTTATCGCTATTAGTTACTACATGATAGGGTTAAACGCAAACTTTGGACGCTTTTGCTTCTTCATTTTGGTTAATATTCTAAGTAGCTTTGTAGGATAATCTTAAGGGATGTTTTTTGGTTCCTTATTTAAAGATGCCCATACTGCAATTGGTGTTACTCCTATGATGGTTCTGCCATTTATGCTGTTTGGAGGTTTCTATAAAAATGTAGATGACATGCCTGATTGGAATGCTTGGATACAATGGTTATCTCCCTACAGATATGCTTTCGAAGCATCAGTACGTAGCAATTATGTTGGTACACCATTCACAATTGATGTTGTAGGTTAAACGAACTTAAATTTAGGAAAATGGATGTGCATGCTATTACTCTTGATTTTATTTTTAGCATACTTAATATTAACTTACTTGTTATTAAAATTCAAAAAATAACGTTTATAATGAATCAGATTTAATATGAATCAAATAATATTAGCAATAGTGAAAATATTTTACTATATATTAAAAGTATATACAACTATCTATTACTTTATAATTTTTAAACTAATAATTATAAAGGTTCAAGCTCACTCTAAATTATTTTTACATTCTACAAGTATAAATAAAAATTTTAATTTACTATGTTTATTTTGATATTTTTAGTATTTATTAAATATGTATTTCTTTTTAGTTTGTTTTTACTGATAAGCTAATCTATCAAATAAAATCAAAATAATTTTTCCATCTTTAGTTATTTTAGATTTTATTGGTTGAGTTTATTTTTTATTTGTTATAAAAGAAAATAATTTAAATTATTTATTCGATATATTTTACATATCCATTGATACATGATTAAATAATATAATATAATGAATTTTACCTTATAATTTGCTATCCACAAAAAATATTAGAAGCTTTCAGAAATTCAGAAATCATATTTGTAATACAATCTGATGAGCAAGCAATTGAGAACTTGCAGTAATTAAATTTTAAAAGTTTAAAAAAGTATTATTGCTATAAACTCTCAATTCAAGGAGTAATTTTTGATAAAATACTAATGTTTTGGAGTTTTTTAAATATATCTTATTAAAGATGAAGCATTGAAATTATTTGATTTATTTTAACTTGATCAATAAAAAATAAAATTTATATTTATTTATCAATAAATTATTTTTTTTATCCAAATTTTAATCAAAATTTTATAAATTAGTTATTTTGAATTTAAAACGCTGTCAATTATTTTTTCTATTTATTATCTTTTATCAATTTAAGTGATGCAAAATTTTAAAATTGAAATATTTGAAAATTAATTAAAAATTTGGTGATTTGAAAAAGTTAACAATTTTTTATCATTCTAAATGAATAACTAAAATAATATGAATTTGATGAAATTATAATCTAATGATAATAAAAATAAATATTAAATATTTTTAACCTCTTAATTTTTATATGAATCAAAATAGCTTTTGCTTAATTTGAGGTTGCAAAAAAAAAATGAAAAAATATAATATTGGCTTACCTTATAAGTCAGAAAGTGAATCTTATTGAGGGGATATGGTATTCAGCTTTCTTTTTTTGTAAAAAATTCAAGAGTGTTATCTTTATTTTCATTATTTTTCTTACAAATTAATGCATCTTTGATCTACAATCAAATAAATATTGTTCTAATAAATTTTATTATAAATTCTTTTTTATTATTAGAATAAGATAATAGCATTACTTATCTATTATTTAATATCCCTATAGACTCTCTCATTTATTAAATCACAGATTGTAATTTTGAAGCACTTTTTCCCAAACTTTATTACCAACATTTTTCATTATTATTAACGAAAATTAATCAATTTAGTTAAAAAAGATTATCATATGAAAGTATCAGTCAGAGTTTTATATTTTTAAAAAAATATTTTTTGATTAATTTAAATTATTTTTAAGAATTATATTTGAAAATAAGATATGTTTAGTTAATTTAATTCAGAGAAATGTAATCTTTAGATTTAATTAAATTTTTATATTTTGTTAATTATCTTATTAATTTCTGATAAAAACAAGTAATATAAAATAAAATTCACGACTATGATTATAAATTAATTTATCTTATTTTAGATTGTTGTCAGACCTACAATAAAAAGTTTTGTATTTCAGATAAATTATTTTGTTATTATTAAAATAGATTTTATCTCATTTACTTAAAATAAAAATTATTATTATTCTAGAAAATATTTAAATCTATAATTACATTTTAAGTATTACCCTTAACAAATTCTATATGTCTTATTGAAATGATTTTATTGCTTAGTGATATGAGTAATGTAAATAAATATGCATATAATTTGAGAAAATAATTATTTTTAGATATTTCTATGAGTCTTCAGTAAATAATTCTATTTACTATTTATGATTAAATTTTCAATTAATAATTTCTAATAATAACCATTTATGATTAGAATTCACCGTATGATATAGCAAAAGATTATTCAAAATTATATTTAATGCCAAATTTAAGAAAATACTTTAATATTTCTAATCATTACTTGTCTAAATAAAATATCATATTTACATTTTTTTATTCATCTTTAATTTTTAATTAACTAGACAGACACATTTATTTTCATAAAAAATCCAAAAATAAATAAATAGGTTGAAATTATTGAATACAAACAATAAAATTTTGCCAAAAAATATTTTTTTTAATTTTTAATAAATCAGAAATAAAACTTTAGAAACAATAAAACCTTTCAAATACATATGAGAAGAATACAATATCTTATTGAAAATAAATATTTTATAGATTTAATTGTTAATTAAGGTACTTACTTGAAAAAGTAATTAGATAATCAATCATTTGGTTATTTTCAATATATTAACTATTTCTGATGATATTAAGTAAATATAAATTAAAATCAGGCTTTGAATTAAATTTCATTATTTCAATATAAATTAACTAAGAAATAAATAATTAATTATTTAATAAATCTAAATTTTTCACTAATTTTAGCTAAAATGCTCACTTACAAACAAAGAAAATATTCATTAATCAAAACTTTTTAATAATTCATTTTATTTCTACATTATTTTATTTGTTGATTGAAATTTTAAATAAATTTTAATTTAAAAAATTTAATGTAAAAATAAATTGAATAAAACAAATTACTCTTTTTGAAAAGCAAAAAATTATTATTTGAATTGATTTTTTATTTTTTGGATAAATTGTAAAGCAAATAAATGTAATAAATGAATAATTTAAGAAATAAAATTTTCTAAAATCTAATTAAATAAGTAAAGAATTTAACTTTTTTAATACATTTACTTCCAACGAAATTTCACCTTGATTTAATTTTTTCCAGCATAATTTTTATTATCTATATTTTGTAATTAAATATTTGATGAATTTAAATTTTGATAAATTCTATTAAAACAGCTACTTTTTATCAGTTTTAATTATATGATATAAAAAATGATTATTCAATAATGTATAGAGTGCCAAAATCAGCTATTTTAATTAAATGGCATTTCATTTTACCCTTTAAACAAATAATATTTATTTTAAAACAATAAATACAAACTATTACTATTTTCACTAAAAGTGTATTTAACTAGAAAATCATTACAGACTTATGACTAATAACGTTCTAACACTCCCTTAAACAGATAATTTATTCACTCTTGAAGAAAAGAAAATTAAAAAAGGTGTTGATATTACTTGGTAAAATGTCACATACACTGCTCATACAAAAAAATATCATCGTGAGATTCTAAAGGGACTGTCTGGTATTTGCAAATAAGGAGAAATGACTGCTATTATGGGTAGTTCAGGAGCAGGTAAAACCACATTACTTAACATTTTATGTTGCAGAGCTGAAAATACAGACGAAGTTAAATTAACTGGACAAATTACTGCAAATGGGCAACCTTTTGATGCTCGCTCATTCTCCAATTTCGCTGCTTATGTAATGCAAGAAGATCTCATAATGGAAACAATGACAGTTTTAGAGGCTCTTCTTTTTGCAGCTCACTTAAAAATGTCATGCTCAGAGTAAGTAAAGTAAGCAAAAGTTAAAGAAGTTCTTAAAATAATGCGTTTAGAAAAATGCTAACATACATTAATTGGTGGCGCAAATATAAAGGGGATAACTAAAGGTGAAAAGAAGCGTACTTCTATAGCTTTTGAGTTAGTTAGTGATCCAGATGTCATCTTCTTAGATGAGCCAACTAGTGGTTTAGATTCTTTCACAGCTTACAATGTTGTAGATGTTTTGCAACAGTATGCAAGAGAGGAAAACAAAACAATTATCTGTACAATTCATTAGCCTTCTTCTGAAATTTTTATAAAATTCGATCGTTTGATACTTTTGGTAGATGGTAAGTTCATTTACCAGGGACCTAGAGACAAAGTAATTAAACATTTTGGATCATTTGGGTTCCAATGTCCAAATTTAAGTAACCCTGCTGATTATTTCATGAGCATAATGCATGCTGAGTCAGAAGAAAACAGAAACAATTACAAAACTTATTTTGAGCAATTCGATATGAATTTAAAACCTATTATAGAGTAAGAAATAGGTCTTCGTGGTACTGAAAAAATTACTCATAAAGAATCACAAGCTAAATTTTTAAGCTAACTTTAAATTCTAATTGGAAGAAACATAAAGAATATGAAAAGAAGTCCTTTGGAACTTCGTGCTAAAATAATTCAAGCTATAATTTTAGGAGTTTTTATTGGGCTGGTATATCTAAATCTCCCTGACCCTTACTCTAATAGAGATGACTAACGTGCAGTTAACGACTACAACGGGGCAATATTTTTTTTAATCGTAAATTCTAATATGAGTACCCTTTTCCCTATAGTTCTTACCTTTCCCATGGAAAAAGCAGTTTTTTTGAAGGAAGAAAATGCAAAATTATATTCTGTGACTGCATATTTTATTGCAAAAACTCTTGTTGAAAGCGTTTTATCTTTAATATGCCCAATAATTTATATAGTCATAAGTTACTATATGGTAGGATTAAATGCCAATTTTGGACGTTTCTGTTTTTTCATTCTAGTCAATATTTTATGTAGCTTTATTGGGTAATCATAGGGTATGTTCTTTGGTTCCTTGTTCAAAGATGCTCATACAGCTACTAGTGTTACTCCTATGATGGTATTTCCATTTATGTTATTTGGTGGATTCTATAAAAATGTGAATGATATGCCAGATTGGAATGCATGGATTTAATGGCTTTCTTGCTACAGATATGCATTTGAAGCATCAGTACGCAGTAATTATGTTGACTCTCCTTTCAACATAGATGTTGTAGGGTAAACAAATTTTAATTTAGGGAAGTGGTTGTGCATGCTAATGCTTGTAGTCTTATTTTTGGGATTTTCAGGATTAACACTGTTACTACTAAAGTTTAAAAGATAGCGCTTATAATGAAGAGAAATAAAATTTAAATTTAAACGCATATTATAAAACAATTTAGCTAAAAATTAATGAATTTTTATACTTTTTGTATTGATTTTGATTTTATAACTTTTATAAAATTTACTAAATAATAGGTTAAAATTAAAGCTTACTAAAATTCATTATCACTAGTTGATTATTCTATTTAATTAAAAAATAGACATTAACTATTCATCTATTATCAAATCAATATTAATTTGCTTTGAATTTCATACAGTATTAAATAATTCATTCATACATACATACTGGTTTATTTTTTACCTTTCTATTTTAAAAGCAGCAATAATGGAATTAAATTTAAGAAAAACAAATTTATAAATTAAATAAAGCAGCAATTATTTTCATTTGCGATAAAACAGGGGAAACCTTCAACTTATATGGAAATTTCATTTGAATTTTTTTGAATAAATTGATATTAGTCTAATTTTTATAATTAAATGAATTTCAATTTTAATTTCATTTATTCCTTAAAAATTGAAAGTCTGAATATATTAAAAAGCTTAATAATACAGAATAAAATTTCTTTTAATGTTCTAAAAATATTCCAAAATTAATCCGTATTAAATTTATTTCGTAGAAATTAAATTGCATACATTTTATTTTGTATTTAAAATTTACTTTTTGAATGATCAAGAAAAGTTAGAGTTAAAAATTTAATAAAATTATATTAAATTTATAAATATGATGATTTTTATCTGAAATTTAATCGCTCATTTTAAATATTTTATTGTAAAAATAACTATTTATAATAAGAAATTCTATGATAAAATATAAAAGAAAATTAAGAATTCTTTCTAGAAATTAAAGTAAAAAAAAAATCTTAAACTTAATTTTTAATTAAGAATAATCAAAAAAAGTTCATTTAAATTAATGTTAATTAAATTGTGTTTGAATGGTTAAGGAATTGAATTTGGACTCATATTTTTCGTAACTAATCCAAGTAATTAGATTAATTTCTGCTCAATTTTGATGAAGTTTAACATTTTTAGAAAGAAAAGGCAGCATAATTTTTATTTATTTACTATGTTAAAAATCTAATCTAAAATAAAGTAAAAAAACAAGTTTTATTAAAAATACATCAAATAAAATGTTTTTATTGAATTTGTTTAATGAAATTAAAAAAAATAATTAATTTGTGTTGTTTAAATTAATTGTAATATTTTATAAATCTTGTATTGATTAATTATAAATATTTTCTTTTATTAAAAAATTATTTTTTAAGTAAATTCTAAGTAAATTTCTAAATTTTAATTTTTAAATAAGCACTGGTTAAAATAAATATAAAGACAGTTGCTCATTTAAAAAAGTAAATAATTTTGAAATTTTTCAATTTTTTTGTAATTTAAAGTTGTAAAAATTAAAAATTTGATAAATTCTGAAATTAAAAAAAAAAAAGAGTCATTTTAATTAGATTTTATCATATGATATACAGATTGATTATATAAAAATTTGTAAAAAAGTTTATTAAATATGTTATCAAAGGAAAATTTACATATTTAATTTTAACTAAAAAAAATATAAATAAATTATTTAAAATAGCTGTTTTAAATTATAAAATACGAAATGAGTCATCCTCAAAGTTAAGTTGCTATTGATCATTAAACAAAAAATAAAGGAGTTGATATTACATGGAGAAATGTGAAATACACAGCTCACACTAAATAATATCATCGTGAAATTTTAAAAGGTTTATCAGGTATTTGTAAAGCAGGAGAAATGACTGCTATTATGGGTAGCTCTGGTGCTGGTAAGACAACTTTATTAAATATTCTTTGCTGTAGAGCTGGAAATACAAATGAAGTTAAGCTTTCTGGAGATATAACAGCTAATGGTTAGCCTTTTGATGCAAGATCCTTTTCTAATTTTGCAGCTTATGTAATGCAAGAAGATCTTATAATGGAAACTATGACAGTAAGAGAAGCTCTTTAATTTGCAGCAGATCTTAAAATGACTGGAAATTAATAAGAAAAAGATGCCAAAGTAAATGAAGTTCTTAAAATTATGCGTTTAGAAAAGTGTTAAAACTCATTAATTGGTGGTTTAACAGTTAAAGGTATTACTAAGGGTGAAAAGAAGCGTACTTCAATCGCTTTCGAGTTGGTGAGTGATCCTGATGTTATCTTCTTAGATGAACCTACTAGTGGTTTGGATTCTTTCACTGCATACAATGTTGTTGATGTTTTAGAATAATATGCAAAATAATAAAATAAAACTATCATCTGCACTATCCATTAGCCTTCATCTGAAATATTTATGAAATTCGATCGTTTGATTCTTTTGGTTGATGGTAAATTCATTTACCAAGGCCCTAGAAGCAAGGTAATACAGCATTTTGGCTCTTTTGGCTTTTAATGCCCTCAATTAAGTAACCCAGCAGATTATTTCATGAGTATAATGCATGCAGAATCTCAAGAAAACAGAGATAACTATAAAACTTATTTTGAACACTTTGATTAAGATTTATATCCATTGATTGATGAAGAGATAAAATTACACAACACAGATTTAATAGTCCATAAATCAGCATAAGCTTAATATTTTTCATAGCTTAAACATTTAACTGTACGTTCATTCTTAAATTTGAAGAGAAATCCTCTTCTTTCTCGTTCCAGATTTATTTAGGCTATTGTATTAGGTCTATTCACTGGTATAGTTTACTCAAGTCTTCCTGACCCAGAAACTCACGCAGACGATTAGCGTGCAGTTAATGACTACAATGGTGCACTTTTCTTCTTAGCCATGGTTATGCACATGAACTCAATGTTACCTGTCGTTTTAACAATTCCAAGTGAAAGACCTGTCTTTTTAAAAGAAGAAAACGCCAAAATGTATGCAGTTTCTGCTTATTTCTTTTCTAAATTAATAGTTGAAAGTATTATGGTTGTATTATTACCACTAATATTTGGCAGTATTTGCTACTACATGATTGGCTTAAATAAGGGTTTTGATCATTTTTGTTTCTTTATTCTAGTAAGTATCATATAAAGCTTTGTTGGTAATGCTTAAGGCATGTTTTGTGGTTCTCTCTTCAGAGATGCAAATACAGCAATAAATATAACTCCTATGATGATTATGCCATTTATGTTATTTGGTGGTTTTTATAAAAATGCAGATGATATGCCAGCTTGGAACAGATGGATTTAATGGCTTTCCAATTACAGATATACATTTGAAGCTTATGCTCGTAATAATTATGAAGGTAGTCCATTTACAATTGACCCAGTTGAACAACTTGGCTTAAATGTAGGAAAATGGAATTGTGTATTAATCTTATTCTGCTTATTTATAGGATTTTAAACACTTGCTCTATTACTTCTTAAATTCAAAAAACAAAGTATGTAATGAAAAAATAACAAATAAAAGCTAAAATAATTATAAAAAAAATAATAAATAAAATAACTAACTATTAATCAATCAATTATACAATAAACCAATATTTTTTGTAATTTATTACTGCCTTTCACTAGTATATTAAATATATTTGTTTGCCTTAATATTATTCAATTCTTATTATGTTAAATCTGCTTTTTAGAATAATTAAGTTTATTTTATCTAAATTTTATATTAATTTTTAGCTAATTACTAAAATTCAAAAGCTACATTCTACTATATTATTTTATTTGTTAATATTTTAACCTTGCTTGGTTTCTTAAAATATTTCTAACTTAATTGGAAACCAAATGCTAAACAGCTAAATCTTAAGAATTCAAATTGTATTCAGTTCTTGTGGGAATTTTTATGAAGTCATTATATAAAAACAAACCATGATCTACTTCATCTAAAGGGGTCAAATTAATAATGATCTTCATATTTCCTTCTTCTTGAGGACAAGCTATTGTAGACTATCTCTACGTTACAAACATTACCTAAAACAACCTTAACAAACTTATAAAATATCTATCTAATTATAACTTTTAAAATATTTAAAAATTAAAATTAAATTTAAATGATAATTAATTTGTTAATATTATAAAATCAAAACACATTCTTTGAGTTCTACTATTTTCATTATAAGACTTGCTATATAATCATTTCCATATTGAATAAAAATTAATTTTATAATTTTCTTAAAAATGTGTATCACTAAATGTATTTATTTGCTTGTTTAAAAATATTAGCAAAATTTTTATTACAAAACTTTTTTTGTTTTAAAAAAGAATAAATTTATAAAAAATTTTTGATAGTTCATTTTGATTTCTTTGTTTGGTAATAAATATGAATGAAAAAATATATATTAGAGTTTATTTATAAAATATAAATCTTAACATATCTAATTTAGCTTAAATTAGAATATTATATAAAATTAAGGAAACACTTGGACTTATTTTAAGAGTGATTTAGAATATTATCGATGAGAAATATATATAACTAAAGTTAAAATGGCGTGATACGCATTGGACGTGTATAAAATGAGATATAGACAAATAAATTCATCAAAACTAAAATTTTGCTTTCTAATAAAAGGGTTTATTATGTTTTAGTTCTAATTAAGAAAATCAAATAGGCTTTTAATGTTTGTTATGAAATTAATTATTCCTATCAAAATTTACTTTTGCTAGTTACTTGAAATTAAATAATTAATAGAAAACTGATAGAAAAATAAATTAAAGTAAAGCGAATATATACTTTTATCTTAAATTCTGAGGAATTTAATAAAATCAATTACTGACTTCAATTGTGAAAAGTTACAAGCAATATAAAATTTAACATTTTAATACTAAGAATAGCTTTTTCCATTTTAATTTTATAGTAGAAGATTTTTTTATTTCATAGCTAACTTTTATGTACAATTTCAAGCCTTAAAGCTGATTTTTCGAATAAAATTTGTCAGTTTCTTCATTTTTCTAAACTTAAAAAGAAAAACTCTTTAAGTCATATTTTAAATACAGTGAAAAATTTACAATAAACAAATATAAATGTTTAAAATAGATAATTATTTATTTTTGCTAAGATAGCTAGTATTTTATTAATATAAATTTTTTTTTTACACTCAAACTAACTAAAAATGGTTTGTTGAATGGAAATAAAAGTGTAAAATTAAAAAATAAAATATTTATTATATTTAGTATACTATAAATTTGATATCTATTTCAACCTTTTATAAAGTAATTGCATAAGATAGTCTCTAAATAGTAACTACTTATCAAATTGGAGTTAGAAATACATTATCTGATTCATTTACTCTAAATATTACCTTCCAGATGAAACTAATTAAAATTAATTGGCTATTAATTTTTTTCTAGGCTAAGTTTTAAAAGTTGTAATTGAAAGTTGATTTTAATTGTAATTAAAATTAATATTACTGCATTGTAAATATTTAAGTAATATTATTATTCAAATTAAAGTAACTCAAATTATGCTAAAACTAGAAAGCTTTCACCAGATTTAATCATAGCATGAATGAACTCCTATTTGAAATTTTATTTTAAATGCTTTTCGTCTCATCAAATAATAAAATCAATTAAAAAATTTAATATCTACTAAAAACCAAAAATATAAATAAATAAATCATTTCTGAATAGCAAATCTTCAAGATAGCATTCAAAAAAATGAATAAACAAAACTAAGAAATTGTAATTGAAATTCCAAGCAACCAAGATGTTGCAATTGAAATTCCAGATAACCATGAAATATTTATTGGTGTTCCTAATAATCATGAAACAGGTATAGAAATGCCTAACACATAAACTGCTTTTGAGAATCAAGTTAGCTAGAGAAATCCTAATACTAAAGGTGTTGATATTGTTTGGAGGAACGTTAACTACACTGCTCATACTAAAAAGTATCACAGAGAAATTTTAAAGGACTTGTCAGGTATTTGTAAAGCAGGAGAAATGACTGCAATTATGGGAAGTTCTGGTGCTGGTAAGACTACTTTACTTAATATTTTGTGCTGCAGAGCTACAAATACTAAAGAAGTTCAGTTATCTGGTTAAATTGAAGCTAACGGATAACCTTTTGATGCCATGACATTCTCTAATTTTGCTGCCTATGTTATGCAAGAAGATCTTATAATGGAAACAATGACCGTAAGAGAAGCTCTTCAATTTGCTGCAAACTTAAAACTGAAAATGGCACAATAATAAAAAGATGAGAGAGTTAATGAAGTAATTAAGACCATGCGTCTTGAAAAATGCTAAAATTCTTTTATAGGAGGAGCTACTTTGAAGGGTATCACTAAGGGAGAAAAAAAGCGTACATCAATAGCTTTTGAATTGGTTAGTGATCCTGATGTAATATTTCTTGATGAACCTACAAGTGGTCTCGACTCTTTAACAGCCTATAATGTTGTCGATGTTTTATAGCACTACGCAAAGCTGAAAAATAAAACAATTATTTGTACTATCCATCAACCTTCTTCAGAAATTTTCATGAAATTCGACCGTTTAATTCTATTAGTTGAGGGTAAATTTATTTATTAAGGACCTAAAGAAAGAGTAATTCAATACTTTGCCTCTTTTGGTTTTCAATGTCCTTAACTTAGTAATCCAGCTGATTATTTCATGAGCATCATGCATGGTGAATCATAAAAAAATAAAAATAACTATAAAACTTACTATGAGCATTTTGATAATGAATTGATGCCTCTCATTAATTAAGAAATTGAATAGCATAGAACAGATTTAATTGTTAATAAATCTGCTCAAGCTCCTTATTTTTCACAACTTAAAATTCTAACTACCCGTTCATTCTTAAATTAACACAGAAATCCCTTACTCTTACGTTCTAGAATAATTCAATCAATCGTACTAGGACTATTCACTGGTATTGTATATTCAACATTACCTGACCCTGCAACTCATGCAACCGATTAACGTGCCGTTAATGATTTTTGCGGTTTGCTTTTCTTCTTGTGTATGGTTATGCATATGAACTCTACACTTCCTATTGTATTAACTATCCCAAATGAAAGACCTGTCTTTTTAAAAGAAGAAAACTCAAAATTATATGCCGTTTCGCCTTATTTCTTCTCTAAACTTATTGTAGAAAGCTCAATGGTTATCTTATTGCCTATTATTTTTACAAGCATCTGCTATTATATGACTGACTTAACTAAGGGATTTGATAATTTCTGCTTTTTCGTATTAGCTAGTATACTCCAAAGTTTTGTAGGAAATGCTCATGGTATGTTCTGCGGCTCCTTATTTAGAGATCCAATGACCGCTATAGATATAACCCCATTGATGATCATGCCATTTATGCTTTTTGGTGGTTTCTTTAAAAACTAAAATGATATGCCTGCCTGGAATAGATGGATTACATGGCTATCTAATTACAGATATACTTTTGAGGCCTATGCTCGTAACAATTTTGAAGGAAGTGCTTTTAAAATCAATCCTGTTGAATAACTCGGACTTGATGTTGGTAAATGGAACTGCATTTACATACTTTTTGGAATTTTTATTATCTTACAAATCTGCGCTCTCCTTCTTATTAAATTCAAAAAGTAGAGTTTATAATGAATGAAAAATAAATTTAAAATATCTTTAATTATTTAAAACAATCCTATACAAAAACCTATAATAAATTAATATCAATTTAATTTTAATCAATTAAAAATACTAAAAAGAGCTTAATTTTATTTATTTTATATAAATGTATTTAACTTAACCAAATTTTATTATTAAAACTATAAAATCAATTTCAGTTTCTAAATTTATTTGATAAAACTAACAAATTATCCTAATTTCTCAATAATTTAATTTTAATAATTATCAAAAAAATTTTTTAAATAAAAAATAAATTCATGTTAAAAGCTTTATCTAAAAGCAATTTTTGGATAAAATTAACTGCAATTAAATAAGACTGATACTTTTACATTCATAAATAATTAATGAGTTAATTGTTTTATACCCTTGAAATTAAATTAATATAAAAATTCTAAAACTATTTTTATCAAATATTAATATAAATTGATCTTTGTATTTTGATTTTATAAGAATCAGCTATTAAGTAACTAATTTGTTAAGAGAACTGAATTTTAAAATTTTAGAAAATGAAAATTACTCCTAATTTAGTTAATAATTTAATATTAAGTTTCTGCAAAGTTTTATCCATATTTATAGCTGAAAATTTGATAACTTTTATGATTTTTGATTTGCAAAAAAAGATAATAAACAAAAAGCTTTATTGATAATTGTTTTTTCATTTAATTTTTTTGTTTTAAAGATTATTAGCCAATACTAAATTAAAAGAAATTTCAAATCAAATAAAATCATGTTAAATAAAAAAAATAATATTTTTATTGTACCTAAATTATCTTCAGATCTGATGTGAATGCTGTAAGATGTCGCATAGCATAGATTCATGCATTTAATTAATTCAAACTATTTTTTACACTTATTTGAGCATAAATTGAATATAACCACTTAAATATAGATCCATTCTTATAAACTTATTAAATATATTTAAATGAATATTTTGAAAATATTTTTATATTTTATTTATAATTATTATAAATTATCTTTGCTTTTTTAAACAAATTAAAAATAAAATATTGTCTTTTAAATTAGTTTCAGTTAAAGTAAAAATATAAATAAAAAATTTTATTTGATAACTTAATCAAATATTTAAAATCATATTAAATGCTATATTAAACATTAAAAATAAATAAGTAAAATTTAATACAGCCTTTAAATTTTTATGCACTTGAAGCTAATTTATAATTTCAAAGATCTTAATTTTCATATTAAATTAAAATAAAATAGACACATTCAAAATTAATATTACATTTAGAAATGTGATAGATGATACTTATATAATTAATTAAGAATAAATTGTATTTTTTATCATTTTTGTTCGTATAGTATGTATGCAATATTCTTAAACAAAAAATAATATAAGCTCAATTGATTAATATTAAAATATTTTCTATATACTGTAATTCCTCATTAATTAAGGCCACTCACCCCCCAAAGTTTTTTTGAAAAAAAATGGCCAAAAATCAACAGAAATAAATTAATAATTTTACATTTTAAGGATTATGTTCAAAGAATTTATGGTCAATATTATTTTTGTTGGTAAAATATAAGCCAAATGTTTTCATGTTGATAGTTTCTCATTTCAATAATATTTTCAGTCTAAACATTTTGTATAAGTGAAATTTAAAATAGATATTAATTATTCTATTTTATTTTATAAATTATTATATTTATTCGCGAATTTATTTAGCTTCTTTATTTATTTAATTTTAATAAAAAAAATGTATTTCTTAATTTATTTATTGTAAAAATACGAATCAAAATTAATAAATTTTCTTTTTACTAGCTGCGAATTACAACATTATTTTGAATGGTTACTTAAAATTAATGTAATTTTAATTATTTAATTAAAATAACCTTTTCAAAATGAATTAGATTCAATAGTTTCATTCATTTTAACAAAATCTAAACATTTTTCCTGCTATAAAGGATAATAACATTTATTATCATGTCTAGTTTTATAAACCTACTATAAAATCAAATATATTTGAATTTAATTTTCACATTTAAAGATCAAGAAAACCAGTATTAGATTTGCTTCTTTGTTGATTTTTAGCTCTTTAAATCTTAATAAATAAAATTTAAAATGAATGCTCTATTAATTTATTCCATACATAGTTCATTATATCACTATTTTTTAAAATAGAATATATTTTATAATTACAAACTTTAAAATAAAAATAATAATTTAATTTGCCTATCATTAATAAAATAAGAAATTACATAGTCAATTTGTTCTATTTCTATGGTATATATATAAATTAAATTGTTATCATTAAATAGAACATTTGAAGAAAAAAAATAAAATTTGATAATATAATAAATCAAATTATTGGCTTTTTGTTTAATTTCACACTGAATGAATTTACCCAACTTTTCATTTTTTTCTCAAATTTGCATTGAAGATTTAGTAATAATTAAATGTAAAAATTTTTAATTTGGTAAAATCTGAAAGTATAAATAATTTTGTTAGAATTTATCAATACGATATAAGCAAAGATTATTCGGTTTTTCATTCAAAAAGTCAACTTCATAAAAATGATAAAAGCTCAGAGAAAAGGTCCTTCAAAAAATATAGTTATTTAAAAACAAATAAAAATTTTTATATCTAAAAAACATATTTCTCATCTTTCATATTATAGAATACTTATAATAGATAAATCTATCATAAAATATAAGAAATAATGAGTGATAAAGTTTAATCTGCTTCATAATCTAATAATTAACTTAGCTTTAAAAAAGAAACAGAAAAAAGAGGTGTTGATATTACATGGAAAAATGTTACATACACAGCTCATACTAAAAAGTATCATCGTGAAATTCTCAAAGGATTATCAGGTATTTGTAAGTAAGGTGAAATGACTGCAATTATGGGCAGTTCGGGAGCAGGTAAAACTACATTATTAAATATATTATGTTGCAGAGCTGAAAATACAAATGAAGTTAAGCTCACTGGAGAAATTACTGCTAATGGACAACCTTTTAATGCTCGTTCATTCTCTAATTTCGCTGCTTATGTTATGTAAGAAGATTTAATTATGGAAACAATGACTGTTTTAGAAGCTCTTTAATTTGCAGCTCATTTAAAAATGAAAGGTTCCGAAGAAGAAAAGTAAGCTAAAGTTAAAGAAGTACTTAAAATCATGCGCTTAGAAAAATGCTAGCATACATTAATTGGTGGCTAAAAAATTAAAGGTGTAACAAAGGGTGAAAAGAAACGTACTTCAATTGCTTTTGAATTAGTGAGCGATCCTGATGTAATATTTTTAGATGAACCTACTAGTGGTTTAGATTCTTTCACTGCATATAACGTTGTTGATGTTTTATAACAATATGCTAGGGAGTAAAATAAAACAATCATTTGCACTATCCATTAGCCTTCTTCTGAAATTTTTATGAAATTTGATCGTCTGATCCTTTTGGTTGACGGTAAATTTATTTATCAAGGTCCTAGAAGTTAAGTAATTAAACATTTTTCATCTTTTGGATTCTAGTGTCCTCATTTAAGCAATCCTGCTGATTATTTCATGAGTATAATGCATGCAGAATCAGAAAAAAATCGTTAAAACTTTAAAACTTACTATGAGCATTTCGATTTAGATTTGAAGCCATCAATTGATTAAGAAATAGAACAACACGAAACAAGAGTTATTACTCATAAATCTTCATAAGCTCCCTTCCTAAGCGAGCTAAAAATTTTGATAAATCGTAATTTTAATAACGTAAAAAGAAGTCCTATGGAACTTCGTGCAAGATTAATTTAATCATTAATCCTAGGTATCTTTACAGGTTTAGTTTATCTTAATCTTCCAGATCCTGAAACTCACAAAGATGATTAACGTGCAGTAATGGACTACAACGGTGCAATCTTTTTCTTAATACAAAATGCCCATATGAATACCCTATTTTCTATAGTTCTTTCTTTACCTATGGAGAAAGCAGTATTCTTAAAGGAGGAAAATTCTAAACTATATTCAGTAGAAGCTTACTTTTTAGCTAAATTGATAGTAGAAAGTGCTTTATCTTTAATTTGTCCTATAATATTTATTGCAATAAGTTATTATATGATTGGACTAAATGCTAATTTTGGATGCTTCTGCTTTTTTTTGCTTGTTGGTATATTTAGTAGTTTTGTAGGTCAATCTTAAGGAATGTTTTTCGGTTCATTATTTAAAGATGCTTAAACAGCTGTAAATGTAACACCTATGATGATTCTTCCTTTCATGCTATTTGGTGGTTTCTACAAAAATGTTGCTGATATGCCTGATTGGAACGCATGGATTCAATGGATTTCTTGCTATAGATATGCTTTTGAAGCTACAGTCCGCAGTAATTACGCAGGTTCTCCATTTACTATTGATGTAATTGGCTAAACTAATTTAGATCTAGGTAAATGGACTTCTGTAATAATGCTTGTGGTTTTGTTTGTGGTATTTTCAATATTATCACTTCTCCTACTTAAGTTTAAAAAATAACGTTTATAATGAAAAATAAACATAAATATTGATTATTCAATAAAATAATAATAAATTGTTTTGTTTACTTCTATAAAAATATGTAGTTATGAATTAAATACTATTTTAAATAATAAAAACTGTTTAAAAAAATAATTCCTTTAATAATTAAATACTTTAGATAGATTTCGAATCAGATAAAAGTAAGTAATATTGTTGATTTAATTTAAAATATCATTTTGATTTTTATTAGAGTTTTTAAAAAATTCTTAAATCTCGCTCGCACTATCAAAAATTAATTATTTCATTTATTTATACCAAAAAAGTTATCTTAATAATATATATTATAATAATTATTATTATATTGTTAAAACACACAACATAAAGCTATGCAAACATAAAACACAGTTAGAATTAAGTTTTTATTTATTTCTTAATAATATATAAATACAGTAATATATATTTTATTTAAGTTACAGTCTGTAAAATGAAATTTGAGCCTTTGAATTTAAAAATATTTTTAATATAAAAAATTTTATTTGATGATTTTTAACAAAACATTAATTTTTTTAATTTTATATGGTAAAAAAATTTATTTTCATTATATATTTAATTATAGTTTTATATTAGTTTTAAATGTGATTGAAAGTGTAATTTTATTTGATGATTTGATTTCCATCTTTTCATATAAATAATTACAAAATACTAAATAAATTAGAATATTTTATTAAATAAAAATTAATACTTTTATTATCTGAGATTTATTTAATATTTTTGCTCATATTGCTTTCTGAATTAAAATTTTTTTTGTTTTTTTATGCTTTTTAAAAGATATTTTCATTTTTGATAGTATGGAAAATCATTCGTCGTCAATGATGTTATGTTTTTAATTGCTTTTTTATTTGAGCAGTAATTAAATTTTTGTAAGAGCGAGATGTAATTATTAATACTGATGATTCATTTTTATGTCTGACGTATTTTAATAGTTCAAAAAGACTAGATAAAAAATAAATGCAATTTTATTGAATTCATATAAATTTTATCTTTTATTTTATATAAAGCTTATTAAAAATTTAAGTATTTTAAATAAGGTATTTGCATTTTAAGAAGAAAAACAAATAAAATTCTTGTACAAATTTAAGTATTTTAAAAATTTATCTTAAAATAATATGAATCTATAACGTTTTTTTTATTCCATTAAAAGAAATGTTAATCATAACTGATTACACTGGTTTAAAATTTCAATAAAATTTTTATAGATTTTTTATTTACAAATAAACATGTTTCTTTAAAAATTACTTCACTCTATTTGGTCAATAAAATTATTCTAAGCAAGATATTACAAAAAATAATAAAATTAAAGGCTTTAGAATTAGCATTAGATATTTAAGAACTAACTTTAAAAGATATTTTTACTTTAAATATGAGGTTTACTTGTTAGTTGATGAATGTTAACACTGATTAAATTTTGATATGTTTGATTAAAACTATCACCAATCAAAATAGTATCAAAAAAATTAATATTTTTAAGAAAAAGTTAAATACAAATAAAGTTACTTAAGATTATTACTTCAAATTAATTTTTTTTAATTTTTCCAAAGAACGCCTGAATTTTCATATTATTTTTATTTTTTTGATAAATTAACCAAGTAAAATCATAATAAACTTATAAATAGAATATTTCACAAATTAAAATACCAACGTATTTAAGTTATTTAAATTTTAATACTAAAATAAAATAATTAACATCTTTAATTGTGATTAAATAAAAAATATTATTTGATTTTCCAGATTTTTTTGATTGATTTGATTAAACATTTAGTGCTAATGCTAGAATCAGAATTTTCCTATTAATATTAAATGTTAATTAAATTTAGGAATAGCTGGTAATAGCGACCTCGTATTTTACTATTAAATTTTTGTTAGAGTGTAAAAAATTATTCAAGATCATTATTTATTTTTATTAGTGAGAATCATTAATTGTTAATAGGTTAAATACACTTCCATTTTTAAAAATAATGCTTATTTACAAAATGATTTGACACAGAATTCAATGACGATTTTATATAAAATACATTCTGTTAAATTTTGAGATTAAAATTTATTATTATGTTTGCTTACTTAGACTTTAATTTTATTTAAAAAAATTGATTAGAGTTTGAATGAACTATTTTTATTCATTAAGTTTTCTATTTTAAAATATAAATTAAAGATTGTAATTTGATTATCTTTTCAATTGTAAAGCAAATCAAGCCAGTTAAATTTTTTAAATTTAAGTAATTTAGTTTTGTAATTTTTTAATTTATTGATTAGTTAAGCTTGCATATTCATTCAAATGTTAGGAAACTTCATATTAATTTGTTTGCTATCTATTTATTATACATAGTAGATCTATTGCAATCTTTTAAATACTCAGAAATATTTTGTAAGAATTTTTTTATAAATTAATTTAACAATAAAAAATATATTAAAAAAATTTTTTCATTCTACTAAAATGAGCAATTCCAGCGTTTAAAAAGATATCAATAAAGTTATCCCTTACAATCCTTCAACAAAAAGCGGAGTCGATATTATTTGGAGAGATGTCAAGTACACTGCCCACACTAAAAAGTATCATCGTGAAATTTTAAAAGGTTTATCTGGCATTTGTAAATCTGGTGAAATGACTGCTATTATGGGAAGCTCTGGTGCAGGTAAAACTACTTTGCTCAATATTCTCTGTTGCAGAGCTGATAACTCAGATGAAGTTAAATTATCTGGAGAAATTACAGCAAATGGACAATCTTTCGATGCTAGATCTTTTTCTAACTTTGCTGCTTATGTTATGCAAGAAGATCTCATCATGGAAACTATGACAGTTAGAGAAGCCCTTCAATTCGCTGCAAATCTTAAAATGACAGGAAATTAATAATAAAAGGATGAAAAAGTAAATGAAGTACTTAAAATTATGCGCTTAGAAAAATGTTAAAACTCTTTGATTGGAGGTATCACTTTCAAAGGTATCACAAAAGGTGAAAAAAAGCGTACATCTATTGCTTTTGAATTAGTCAGTGATCCCGATGTGATATTTTTGGATGAACCTACAAGTGGTTTAGATTCTTTTACTGCTTATAATGTTGTCGATGTTTTATAACAGTATGCTAGAGAATAAAACAAAACAATTATTTGCACCATCCATCAACCTTCATCAGAAATTTTTATGAAATTCGATCGCTTAATTCTTTTGGTTGATGGTAAATTTATCTATCAAGGGCCAAGAAGTAAAGTAATCCAACATTTTGCTTCATTTGGATTTTAATGTCCTTAGTTAAGTAATCCAGCTGATTATTTTATGAGCATTATGCACGCAGAATCTCAAGAAAATAGAAATAATTACTAAACCTATTTTGAGCATTTTGACAAAGACTTAAATCCTTTGATTGAATAAGAAATTTAATAGCATAGCAAAGATTTAATTGTTCATAAATCAGGACAATCTCCTTACCTTTAACAATTAAGACTTTTAACTATCCGTTCTTTTTTAAACATGAGAAGAAATCCTATTTTAGCTCGTTCTAGAATTGTATAAGCAATTATTCTTGGCTTATTCACGGGTTTAGTTTATTCTCAACTCCCTGATCCAGCTACTCATGCAAACGATTAACGTGCTGTTAATGATTATAATGGTGCACTTTTCTTCTTAGGTATGGTTATGCACATGAACACATTATTGCCTATAGTTCTTACTATCCCAAGTGAAAGACCTGTTTTTACGAAAGAAGAAAATGCTAAATTATATGCAGTATCAGCTTATTTCTTTTCTAAGTTGATAGTTGAGAGTATAATGATTATATTATTACCTATAATATACGGTAGTATATGCTATTACATGATTGGATTGAATGCAGGTTTTGGAAATTTCTGCTTTTTTATTTTTATCAGTATATTACAAAGCTTTGTTGGTAATGCTCACGGCATGTTGTGTGGTTCCATTTTCAAAGACGCAAACACTGCAATTACACTTACTTCAATAATGATTATGCCATTCATGCTCTTTGGTGGTTTTTACAAAAATTCAGATGATATGCCTGCTTGGAATAGATGGATTTAATGGACTTCAAATTACAGATACGTTTTTGAAGCTTATGCTCGTAATAACTATGAAGATAGTCCTTTCCAAATAGATCCTGTTGCTTAACTTGGTTTAAATTTTGGTAAATGGAAATGCGCCTTACTTTTATTTGTCTTGTTCATTGTCTTCTAAATGTTAGCTCTTCTCTTACTTAAATTCAAAAAGTAGCGCATGCAATGAAAGATATAAAAAATACTAAATATAAATAAATAAATAAAATTATACTAACTTCTTAAAATTTAACTTAAATAATTTTATTTTCTATTTTACTTACTAAATTTCTATAAATATATATTACATAAGTGTAAAATCATATCATACTTTGCTCAAAAAATCTAAAAAACTTCAAAATTTCATTTTTTTGTTTCAAATCAATTAAATATAAGGAGAAACAATTTTTTTTTTAAAGTAAAGGAATACAGTGTATAAAATGAATAATCAATCGTGGAGAAAAAATATGGCAAATAATATATTTTATAAAAGATTATTTTAAAGCCCTTTCATTGAATTAATTTTTCATATTTCAAAGTAAAAAAAGCATGCCTAATAAAAACATCTTTATTTATTATAAAAAAAATTAATTTTTTATATTGAGAGTGCTTATTATTTACTTGTAAATATATTTTATTAAGAATAGGAGAGACATCAAAGTTATTTAGAATAGAAGACATAAAGGTAATTTCTATTTCTTTGTATTTAGAGTTTTATAATAATAGTGGCTATCATATTAAATTTTTCTTTTAAGATTCTAAAGAATGTGAAAAGTCTTCAACACTTTTAACAAGTAATTTTTTACAAAATATAATAAGTCTATTTGTAAATTTTCAATAAAAATGCTAAATTGCTTTTATTCAATTGCTAGAATATATGAAAAGTCTTCAATACTTTAATTAATTACTATTTTCAAAATAAAATAAATCTATTTGTAAAGATTTAATAAAAATGCTTTGTTACTTATATTTAATTAGTATTTATTTTAATTTTAATTTAATTTAGAAAATTAACATGACTAAATTTTAATAGTGTGTAATAAGTAATAATTCTGATAAATTCTTTATTTAATTAATCTTTAGTTTTTATTATTCATTACAATCTGATAAATTAATATCATTCAAGCGCTTCCTATAAATACTATCTACCTTGACTTAAACTTATAAAATTTACTAAATCGATAAATAACAAGATATTTAAAAACACTTTAACTATAAAAGAAGAAAAATTCTATAAAAATGTCAGTAAAATAAAACATCAATATAAATAACTCAACTAAGAATAATTAAATTGAGAAAAGTGCCAACCAAGGTGTTGATATAGTTTGGAATAATGTTACTTATGAAGTGAACCTTAAGAACACTAAAAGATAGGTACTTAGAGGAGTATCTGGTATTAGTAAGAAAGGTTAAATAAATGTAATTATGGGGAGTTCAGGTGCTGGAAAAACAACTCTTCTGAATTTGCTGTGTTGCCGTGCAGAAAACACTTCAAAGGTTTCGATAAAAGGAGAAATAAGAGCTAATGGAAAAGAATACAATTCTAATGATTTTTCTAATTTCGCAGCTTATGTAACGTAGGAAGACTGCTTAATGGAAGCAATGACTGTCAGAGAAATTATTTAATTCTCTGCAGACCTTAAAACAAGAGGCAGCTAAGAAGAAAAAAAGAATTTAGTAGATTAAATTTTAAAAATGATGCGTTTAGAAAAGTGCTAAAATTCATTGATAGGAGGATTGATGATAAAAGGTATTACTAAAGGAGAGAAAAAAAGAACTTCAATAGCAATCGAATTAGTCAGTAATCCTGATGTCATTTTCTTAGATGAACCAACAAGCGGCTTAGATTCTTTTACAGCTTATAATGTGATAGATGTCTTACAAAAATATGCTAGAGAGTAAAATAAAAATATTATTTGCACTATCCATTAACCTTCTTCAGAAATTTTCATGAAATTCGATAATTTGTTATTATTAGTGGAGGGCTAATTTATATATTAAGGACCTTGCAGCAAAGTAATTGAATACTTTGCATAAATTGGCTTTTAATGTCCTTTCTAAAGTAATCCCGCTGATTATTTAATGAGCATCGTGCATGCCGAGTCATAAAAAAATAGGGATAATTATTCCTTATATTTTGAAACGTATTAATAAAATCTAGCACCAATAATCTAAGATTAAATTCAAATACAAAAATAGTAATTAAGCTTACTCGATAATTAAAAAGCTTCTTTTTTCAAATAGTTGGGTATTCTTATTGAGCGTCAATATAAAAATTTAAGCAGAAACCCCATGCTATTTTAAGCAAGATTAATCTAATCTGCTTTAATTGGAATATTCATAGGAATAATATATCTGCCTCTACCCAGCTCTTACGACCATAGAGATGACTAACGTCTTGTTAATGATTTAAATGGAGCAATGTTCTTTTTAATTTAAAATAGCCACATGAATTCTCTTCTTCCCATTGTACTTTGTATTCCTCTTGAGAGAAATATATTTTTAAAAGAGTAAAACCAAAAGTTGTATCACGTATTACCCTATTTCTTATCAAAATTAATTGTAGAAATTATTATGGTTTTTTTAGCTCCTTTGATTTTGGGAAGTATTAGCTATTTTATGATTGGCCTCAATCCTAACTTTGGAAAATTTTGCTTTTATTAGCTTGTCAGTTTTCTATAAAGCTTTGCAGGTAATGCGTAAGGAATGTTTATTGGTGCACTTTTTAGCAATGCTTAGACAGCTATTACTGTTGCTCCTTTGGTAGTTCTTCCTTTTTACCTGTTTGGTGGTCTATTCAAAAATATTTCTGATTTCCCTGAATGGAATTCCTGGTTTTAATACTTAACCAGTTATAGATATTCTTTTGAAGCTCTAGTACACAACAACTATGAAGGAAGTCCTTTTACTATTGATGTCTCAGAGTAACTTAATTTTACTCTTGGAAAATGGAACAGTGTTTTATATCTATTTTGTTTAGGAGTAGGATTCTAAATAATAGCTTACTTTACATTAAAAATGAGTGTAAAAAAATTATAATGAAATCATAAGTGAAAAATGAAAAAGTTAGACTTACCTATTTAATTAATGTATGTTAGATGTATTCAAACAATAATTAATTTTTACATTTTAAATGTGATATTTTAAAAATTCATTCATATCTTATATAAATTAATTAAACTTTAATATTCATAATATATTTAAATATCCTCAGTTAATTATCAGAAATTTAGTAAATGATAAGTTTATAAAAATATTTTTAAAGCAGAATTTTTTTATCAGTTGTAATTTAAAAATTTTCAAAATCATATTTAGAAATAAAAATTTTTATCAAATGTGAAATAAAATAATTACATCGTAAATTTTTAAAATTAACTAAAACATAAAAAATGATTTCTTATTTTATGGATCATATAAAAATTTTAAAATTTAGCTAGATTTATGTTTATAATGAATAAAACTTTTGATTATCAAATTAATGATGATAAAATTTATCATTCATTTTACATAAAAATACTTCATAATTTGGTATATAAATATTAGCAATATTCATATGTTATTTTTATAATGAAACCTTTGTTTTTTTTTTAGCATTAGAATATTTTATTAAAAGAAATAAGAGCGTTTAAAAATGAAATTAAAAAATTCAACCAAAAAATATTTATTAGTTTTGATAAAATATATTTATTTTTTAGATATTTTATATTAGTTATATTTAAGTATTAAATCAAATACTTAATAAAAATAATAGAAATAAAAATTAATATATATAATGTAAAAATTGTATGATTTTTATTATTACTGAATTCATTTAAAAACTTAAATACATAACAAAATATATTTCGATTCAGTATCTTTAAAATGGAAGATTGATTTTACTTTTTAAAAACAAAGATAGCTAGCTATTGATTTTACTTATAAAAACAAAAATAGCTATTGAATTTTACTCTTTTTTATTTAATAACCATATGATTATACTTTTGCTTTTGTTTTTATTAAGTAGAAAAGATTGATTATTTTTTAGAAATAATTACCTTATTCATTAATAAAGAAAGGCATCTTCAAAAAGTAAAGTGTAAAAAAAGGTTGATTAAAAATGAAAAATTAAATTAGTTTGAAGATATTTTTGCTATTTTTAGGTTTGGTTTGTAACCTCTCATCAGGTTAATAATCCTGCTCAGCTGCGACAACTTAATAAACTTGCCTCAATAAAGCAGACTGTTAATGGAATTTAAATAGCTCTTAAAGTTCATGTTAAAATTTGAATCTATAATGCTCTTTGCTGACTTAATCTTAATGCACTGGAGTATGTACTTTAAATAACGCAAAGGGTAGTTGCATTTAGATATAAAATTTAGGATGCTCAGTTTTAAATCCAACTTAATGTAACTAAAATAGTATGTGTGTATTAAATGGTTAAGTTTGCTCTGATAGAAATTATAATTGCGCTTCCAATGATAGAGCTGGCTGCTTGACTCAACAAGGTATTTGCTATTGGCAACAAACAGCTGCAGGAACTTGTGTAAATACCATCACATGCACAGGTAAGACTTAATAAGACTGTAATAATAACTAATCGAATTGCTAGTGGGTAATAGGAGGCTCATGTGGAAGCAAAAATATAAATATAATTTCTTCAACTAGCTCATATTTAATATAATTTTCTTTATAACTTTTGATAAGTCTTTTAATATTAATTATAACGATTTGATTATTGTTAATTAAGTTAATAAAAATGCAAATTCTTATTATAATAAGATAAAATCTATTTATCTCATTTGTAAATAAATAATGTTATAAGTAAAAGCTAATTACATTCATTATCTTTTCATATTATTAGATCACATTAAAAATAAATTTGGTAATTTACTATATTTTATATTTCTTTAAAATAGTTTTCAAATCTTTTTTCTATTTTCAATTAATTAAAATAGAAATTTGTCCAAAATTGTTTTATTTATTTTTGAGAAAATTCGAATTAAATTTTTAATTATTTTATTTTGATATGTTTGACAGTTTTTAAAATTTTTCACAAAATTTCTTTATTTTTTAAATAGAATATTAATTAATTAATAAGTTTATTTTTATTTTTTATGGTTATTATCAAATTTTCAACACTAATTAATAATAAAAATCCATATTCATTTTCATCTAAAATTAAAAGATTATTTTTGTAAGTATTAATCACAATTCAAAATTATTCTCAAAAAGCAAAAAATATAAACCTACTCACATTTTTCTTGTTCTGAAGCTAAGCTTAGGAAGCAAACTCAATAAATGCTTTGCTGTCTTATCTTTAACTCCATGCTTTTATATAGGAATGTTAAGCTATTTTTCTTTTAAGTTGAGCTTTTAAAAATTTTTTACAAAATATATTTTTTTGTCTATTGCTAATAAAGATTAAAAGTCTTTTTATCATACTTGTTTTTAAAATTAAAAATGCACATATAGATTTAAAGCAGAATTAATTATTTAAAATAATACTTTGCTGAAAATAAATAATTTATATTTTCCATCTTTGATTCGGAGATTTGGAAATTTTTGGTTTACAAATTACAGTCTTTTAAATTAGAATATCAAAGTAAGATTATTAAATTACCATATGGATTATGAATTTTTTTTTTTTGATTAGATAAATATATTTAATTTTTTCAATTTTAATAATTTCGTTAATAAAATTAAGCTCCAATATTTGTTTTATTAGAATATTTAATAGGAAAAACAAAATATGTTAAAAATCTTACAATAAATAATTACAATAAGAAATAATAAATATAAAAATTATATGTAAATGAATAAAATACTTTAACCATTTTAAATTTCGAGATTAAAATTGAGCTTTAAATTTGATATATTAATTAAAACAATATTGAAGTAGATAGCTCAATTGGTTAAAAAATTTATTTTTTAGATAAAAGTATTTTAATTTCTATTTTTAATGCATTAATTTATTAATTTGCTAAGAAAAAAAGTATATTATGCATATTCTATAAAACTTTGTAAAATATTTGAAATTAACTAAAAAAAAGTTGAAATATGATTTAGCAAAAACAAAAATCAGATTTTATTTCCTTCCAAAATATTTCATACGAGATTATTCATTAAAATAATCTATGCTCAAAAAGTAAAGAGGTAAAATCTCGCTGCATTCTTCAATCCTTAACAGGTTGCTTTAAACCAGGCTTGAATTCTATTTTAGGATCCTCTGGTGCAGGAAAGACTTCACTTTTGAACATTTTAGCTGGGAGAATTTAGTAAAAATTAAAATTAATTTTGAGTAACTTTATTTAATTATATTTTCTATAAGAAATTGTGATAGCAAGGTTAGATTGACAGGAAACTAAAAAATAAACAATTAAGATTATGGTGCTGATGAATTCAGTAAATTTGCTGGGTATGTAATGTAATAAGATCTTTTGTTATCAAATTTAACTGTTAAAGAATACATTACTTTTGCTGCAGATATTCGTCTGTCTCACTCTAAATCTGAAAAAAATCTGAGAGTTTTAAATATTCTAAAGCAACTTAAGCTTGAACATTGTTAAAATACTTTGATTGGGGATTAATAATCAAAAGGAATATCAGGTAAATATACTTTTTTCTTTATTTTTACTAAATAAATTTTATCTTTTATTAATTAGGTGGTGAAAAAAAGCGATGTTCAATTGCAATTGAACTTATTGCAGAACCACAAGTTCTATTTTTAGATGAGCCAACAAGTGGATTAGACTCATTCACTGCTTATTAAATTATATGGACTCTTAAATAGTTGGCAATGTCTTAAAACAGAATTATAATATTCACTATTCATCAGCCTTCCACTGATATTTGGCAATTATTTGATAGAGTTCTTTTGTTAGCTGAAGGTAAGCTCATCTATTAAGGTCCTCAATTTAAAACTGTAGACTATTTTAAAAATATTGGATACTAATGCCCTTTGAATAGTAATCCTGCTGATTATTTTATGTAATTGATGAGTTGTTAAGACCCTAAAATTCTTCAAGGCCTTTAATAAAATTATCAAACTCTCTTATAACCATAAATACTGCTAGAAATTCAATAAGAAAACTAAAATTTAGAGAACCAAAGTTAGAGTTTGCCATAGTAAATGATTAAATTATCTTTTGTTTTAGAAATGTGGACTTTGCTGAAGAGATAAGTCTTGAATATAAAAAGACATAGATTGATGGTTAAAACTAGATTAGTTCAAGTCCTTATAAATGGACTTATAACTGGAGCAATTTATTGGTAGTTACAAAGAGATGATGACAGTATGCAAGATTCTCTTTAAATAGCTAAATGCTTATATTTATTGGCTCTTGGTATCTTTTACTAAAGCATGAATCCCTAAGTTTTATCATTTACCACTGAAAGAGAAGTATTTTTAAAAGAATATTCCTCAAAAATGTACTCTTTGTTTCCTTACTTTGTTTCAAAACTCATTCCTGAGCTATTTTCTTGTAGCCTTTTTGCCATTTTAATGTCTTGTATTGTATATTGGATGATAGGATTTGCTAAAACGGCTGAATAATTCTTCTTTTTTATTTTCACATTTATTTTAACTACAAATGTTGGTAATGTGACTGGACTACTTGCAGGTTCTATCTTCAAATAATCAAGCGTTTCAGTACCTTTTGCTTCAACTTTTGTTCTTCCTCTTTTTCTATTTGGAGGAGTCTTCAAAAATAGAAGTACATATCCAGAGTGGATCGGATGGGTTGAGTATATTAATCCATCATTTTACGCCTTTAATGCCTTGGCAGAGAATGAATTCTAAAACACTACTTTCAAATACAATCCTATCTAATTATATTATCTAGACTTTGGGAAGTGGAACAGCATATTAATGCTTGTTGTACTTTACTTTGCTTTTGCCTTAGTTGCTTTTCTATGCTTAAGGAGACACTGTAAAAAATTGTAGTGACTACTTAATAAAAATAATATTTCAATCTTGATAGTCAAATTACTTCAAATATAACTTTAATTAAAAACACTAAGAAATATTTATTAAAAAAATATTGTAAACAATTATTATTATTTTTATATCAGAAATCAATTACTATTATATTCATTTTATTTCTTTACTATTTTACTTCAATTAAAATAATTAATCTTAAAGTAGAATACACTAATTTACCTGTTTACATTAAAAATAATATAAATCAATTATATTTCACTTAAGCATTTAGTTTCTTAAACAAAGAGAAATTAGAATAATTTAAATGAAAAAATTGTTTGGTATCAAAAATAAACTACAATATTTTAGTATTTATAAATAATATTGAAATTCAACTAAAAATATCTTTTCAATTCCTACTTTTTTATATTTTTTATTATCAAATTATTTTCTTAGATATTTATTAAATGTTAATTAATTATTAATCACATCTCTATTAAAATAAAGATTTGATGATGATTAAGTTATTTACTTGTGCAGACCTAAAGTACTTTTAAAAATGGTTCGTTTTAGAATTTGATAAATGAATCAAAATTACATTTACTGAGTTGATTTACTGCTTAGTAGTATAAATATAAATAATTCATATTCTAATTATAAAATATATTATCATTTTGATAATTTTGGAGACTAAATTTTTTGTTGCCTATATTTTAAGTAAGATAGTAGTCTATCTATTATATTTTTATAGTTGATATATCTTATTGCTTCAATAATTCTTCCAATCAATACTTTTAATATTTATATAATTTTATCAAATTAAAGATATAGCCTACCTAAATTAAGTATACTATTTTTATTTAATGCTTAAGAGTATACACTATGGTAGAGACATATTTAATAATTCTCTCTTAGTAAACAAATATTATAAAAATATGACAAAATATATTGGATGACCTAAGTATTATGTATGTATCTTAAGCTATTAATTTTGAACTTCTTTGAATTTAATTCTAAGTTAGTTTCAAGCTGTTGCCTGTAAAAATTGTGAATGTCATCTAATTCACATAAATCCTGATTTAAAAAATTCGCTTATATTAATGAACTTAAATTAAATATTTATTTTAACTAAATTGAAAGCAGAAAAATCACTTTCAATTTTTGCTTTTTAAGTTTTTATTCTTTTTCAATTACAGTTTTAATTTTTCTTCTTCACAACGCATATTATTAATAACTGAATTCATGCTTGCAAATTATAAATTTTAATAGATGTATTATTGGTCACAAAAAATTCTTAACTAAAATATAAAGTAATTTGCAAAAAACTATTTTGAATCTAAAATTATTATGTTAACTCAACTTCATTTATTCATAAAAACTATCAAATCAAAGTATTAAATTTAATTTTATCTTTGATATTATAAATTTATTTTTGATAAAATAAATGAAACTTTTTTAATAGGATTTTTCCACAATCTTGAATCACTCTTAAAATATTTTTTAAAATTATATTTTGCTTTATATAAAATAGATTTTTTTCTTTATTTTTGCTAAAAAGAAATTTATTTGAAGCTATTGTAAGATAATTTTTAATGAAACACCACTTTATTTGACACAAAAAAATTCTTATTTTGAAGTGGTGTAAGAAAATTCAAACAAAGTATAAGCTTTTAAAAAGAAATAATCAGAATGTAACGAAGATATTGTTTAATATTGGCTTGTTTCATCCATAAATTTTTTTAATGTAAATAACAAGATATTATTTGAATTGTATAATAAATGAATAAAAAAAAAAATAATAATTAATTGCAAATAAAAATATCAGAACCTTATAATCAACAAGAGTAATTATCAAAATTTTAATAATATAAGCTATAATCATTTCTGATAAAAATCTTTATATATTTGTTGAAAATTTCTAATATTTTATAATTAAATGAGCTAAAAAACTAAACAACCTTTGCTTTAAAAAGAAAAATCTTCTAAAATGACAGAAATCGATATTCACAATGTTGATATCACATTTAAGAATTTAAATTATAACTTGCTTATCAACAAGAAAGAGCAGCAAAATAAATTAATACTTAATAATGTTTCAGGTTTAATGAAATCTGGGGAAATTACTGCAATTTTAGGGCCTAGTGGTGGAGGGAAAACATCTTTGTTGAATATTTTAGCAGCAAAGATCAAAACATAAGCAGGAAGATGTTCAATTCAAGGAGATATTAGAGCTAATGGATTCTCATATGATAATTAAGACTTTAATTCTTTTAGCTCTTACGTAATGTAAAATGATATCCTGCTAGGTTTCCTAACAGTTAAAGAAGCTATACAATTTGCTGCTAATCTTAAAATGAATGGAACTCTTTTAGAGAAAGATTTAAAAGTATAGGAAGTCATTTCTGCCCTTAAGCTTTAAAATTGCTAAGTAATTAATTTCTTATTTCTAATTGTTAATATAAAAAGAATCTCAAATTATATTTCATTAAGTAGAAGTTTAGTTAGTTTCTTTGCAAAAAATAAAATATGAACATGACTTGTCTTTTAAAAATCAAACTTAACAATTTTATATCTAGATAATAATTAAAATATTTTTTATATAAAGAATACTTTGATAGGCAATGAAATAGTGAAAGGTGTATCTGGAGGAGAAAGGAAAAGAGTGAACATTGCATGTGAGATTATTAATGATCCTTAAGTTCTGTTTTTGGATGAACCAACAAGTGGTTTGGATTCTTATACAGCATACATTGTATTGAAACTACTAAAAGATTATGCTTAGCTTAAATCGATGAATGTTATCATGAGCATTCATTCCCCAAACTAAGATTTATGGGATTTATTTGATTAAATTATTTTAATGGCTTAAGGAAGGTTTGTTTATTAAGGTAGAAAAAGCAAAATGTAAGGCTATTTTGAAAGCTTAGGTTATTTTTGCCCAATTCATATGTGCTAACCTGATTACTATTTGTCGCTTATCTCCTAAAATGGTGATGAATATTCTCCTTAAGATGAAAATAAAGTTACTGCGATAAAAACTTTATTTAACTCTTATGATTAAAAAATATAAAATGAAGTTTTATCATAAATAAATTAAACTTAGGTTTTTAGAGAAATGCATGTGTAAAAAGTTAAAAATAGTTTATTTTTCTAAACTAAATAAATTGCTTCTAGGAATTTGATTAAAATTTTTAGGGATCCACTGCTAATAAAAAGTCGTATTTTATAGACAATAGCCATGAGTCTTATTTTTGGGCTTATATATTTAAATTAACCTAAAATAAGCAGTGATCTCTCTATAAGAAGAATAAATGATAGGAATGGTATAATGTTTATGGATATGATGAATAACTTCATGAATGCAATGATGGGTATAATCATATCATTCCCTTCTGAGAGGCTAGTATTTTTAAAAGAAGAAAACTGTAAAATGTATACTCCTATATCCTATTTTTTAGGGAAGTTTATAACAGAGTTTTTGATGAATTTACTTTTACCTTTATTATATAGTTCTATTATATATTACATGGTAGGTTATTCTACTTAAGAAGAATCTTAATTTTGGATTTATGTAGCTACTTTGGTATTACTCTCATTTTGTGGAAGCGGTGTAGGTTTAACGATTGGAGTTATGTTTTAAGATGTCAGAACTTCCACAGCTATTACCCCAGCTTTTGTTCTCCCTCTCATTTTGTTTTGTGGTATGTTTAAGCAAAGAACTGATTATGCAAGCTGGATTGGATGGATTTAGTACATATCTCCATTTTCTTATGCATTTGAATGTCTGATAAGAAATGAATATAAATTCTTAGAAAGCCCATATAATCCAATCTAGACCTTTTAATATACACTAGGAATGGATACATGTTTTTTGATATTAGCTTTTATGTCTTTAATCTTCTAACTTATATCCATACTAATGCTTTATTTAAAGAGAGGTGTAATATAGTGAAAAATATAACAAAAATATTTATTTTATATTTAAATAATTTATATCCAAATAAGCTAAAATTTATAAAGAAAATAATTATTTTCATTAATAAAACACTTATTAATTTATATTATATTTAAATAAGTTATATATATACTAAATTTAAGCAGTAATTAATTTAATATTTAAACTACAATTGGTAATTAAAAATGTAATTTGTGCAGTTATCACTTGCAATAATATGAAATTCTTTCAATTTTGGTCATAATAGTTTTCTTTTCAAGATTAATATCTTCTAAAAAAATAATGCAATCAGGTAGAAAATTAAGAAAATAAATAATATATTAATACAGCCAATTAGTTTTAAGGTTAAATATAATTTTATTTTTTTTAAAATATAAACAATATTAATAAAAAAAATATTAATTAACTCCTTCCTATAAATAACATTTGCATATATCTAAATTTAAAGAATAATTGCTAGCATCAAAAATAGATTTACTTTTACAAATAAATTTATAAATCATATTTAATATTGTTAATTTTAAATATAGTACTTCCATGTAAACAGTTTATATACTTTAGAATTAAATTTAATACATGTTCCTCTCTCCAAAAGGGATAGGCAGACATTAATTTAATTAAAAACATTTTATTTGTTTTAAAATAATTTGTTTTTCAATAAAAAAGTAATATTGAGAGCTTAGAGGATCTATTTAATTATGCTTAATAATAATTTTATTAATGAATACTATTCACTTCCTAAAAGATTTTCATAAATTATCTTAAAATAAGGAGATTTACATAAATTTAGAAATAATTTTCTAATTATTTTTAAATTATTTTATTTCATATGATCTGATACTACATATTAACAACTCTTTTTTTGAAATTATTTATTCTCTTAATTTAAAGGATTTAAAGGTATTATTAATGATACTAAGATGTTGAATAATAGGATTGACAAAAATTTGTTTTATGGGCAAGGAATTTTATTAAGTAACAGGCTATATTAACTACAGTCATACATCATAAATAAAACATATTATATTAATTTATTCAAATATTTTTATATTTTTTCATCCTTTTTTCAACACTTTTTCATTGTCAATAGAAATATATATGAGCAATGACTAATCTTTTTAATTTAAGACAATAGCTTACTACTTTGGACTCTTACGATTGATTGATTCTATTTTCACTTTTAAAATTATTTAGAAAAAGAAAAATAAATCAAATAGAAAATAAATTAAAGAATTATATTATTTTAAATTTATTTTTATATTAAAATATCGCAATCCAAAATAAATAAACTGCTTTTACCTAAGATCAACCATTAAATAAGAGAGATTAGAGCACTTTACTAAAGCAGAACTTAAACCTAATGCACCTTCCTCACCAATTTAATTATACCTTTTTAAATATTGAATAAAAAAATATAATTAATTAGTTAGTTAAAAGGAAAAAATGAAGAAAAAAAATTAAATAATAAGAAATTAATTAATTTATAATAAAACCAAAAGTTAAAAATCATTTAAAATAATAATGAGAAAGCAAAATATAAATAGAACAAACAAAAATAAACAGCTCATAATTAAAGAATATCACAATCCAAAACAAATAAACTGTTTTTACATAAGATTAAGTGTCAAATTTGAGAGTTTAGTGCAATTTGCTAAAGAAAAAACTAATCCTGATGAACCTTTATCACCAATTTAATTATAACTTTTTAGATATTGAAGAAAATAAATATAATTAATTAGTTAAAAGTAAAATATATAATAATAATAAGAAATGAATTATTTAATAATAAAAGAAAGGAATAAAAAACTCAATCACAATAAAAAAAAATAAATCTAATAAATAGTGAGTAAATAAATTAAAAGAGTTATTTTTTTTAATTCATTTTTATATTAAAAAATATCACAATTCAAACAACTAAACCGTTATTACCTAAGAATAAGTGTCAATTATAAGAGATTAGTGCACTTTGCTAAAGCAGAACCTAAGCCTGATGAACCCTCATCACCAATTTAATTGGATCTTTATAAATATTAAAAAAAATATATATAATTTATTAGTTCTAAGCTGAAAATAAAAAAATAAGTTAAATTAACAAAGAATGTATGTAAAAAAAGATAAAAATTATAAAAAAAAGAAAAATAAATCAAACAAATAATGAATAAAAAAATAAAAAAGTTATTTTGTTTTAAATTTATATTTATATTAAAAAATATCACAATCTAAAATAAATTATTTTTACTGAAGAGAAAGAGTCAAATTTGAGAGATTACTGCATTTTATTAAATCAAAACCTAAACCTGTTGAGCCTTCATCACAAATTTAATTGGAGCTTTTTAAATATTGAATTAAAAATATCTTTAATTAATTAGATATAAGAAATGAATTAATTGATGATAAAAGAAAAAGTTAAAAATCAAAAAGTAAAAAGCGAGTTAAATTAATAAAGTATAAAAAAAAATATAAATAGAATAAAAAAGGAAATAAAAAATAATTTAAATAAATATCTTATAAATAAGTTAAAAGAATTATTTATTTTGTTTTAAATTAATTTTTATTTAAAAATAAATATCCAATAAACTGTTTTTACCAAAGATAAAGAGACAAATTTGAGAGATTTGTACACTTTGCTAAAGCAGAACTTAAACCTTATACACCTTCATTGCCAATTCGATTGGAGCTTTTAAAAATTCAAGAAAAAAATATAATTAATTTGTTCTTTAAATGGAAAAAAAAAAAAATATGGAATAAAAATTGATTAATAATTAAATTTGAAAAGAGAAAAAATAAGTTAAATTAATAGAAAGAAAAATTTAAGGAGAATAAAAAGGAAAATAAAAAATAAATCAAATTACAAGCAAATAAATAAATTAAAAAATTAATTTGTTTTAAATTTATTTTTAAATTAAGAAATATCACAATTTAAAACAAATAAACTGTTTTACCTAAAATAAAGTATTAAGTTTTAGAGATTAGTACACTTTTCTAAAGCAGAACTTAAGCCTGAAACACCCTCATCACCAATTTAATTGTAACTTATTAAATTGAAAAAAAAAATTATAATTAATTAGTTAGTTCTTAGAAAAAAATGAAATAAAAATATTGAATAAATTTATTTTTATTAAAGTAAAATTTGAAAATTAAAAATAAATGAGTTAAATTAAAAAAGAAAAGAAATTAATCAAGTAAAAAGAAAGAGATTTTTAATAAATTAAAAAATTCGTATTGCTTTAAACTTATTTTTTATATTCAAAATATCATTTTTCTAAACAAATAAATTGTTTTTACTTAAGATCAAGTATCAAATTTGAGAGTTAAGTGTAATTTGCTAAAGCAGAACCTAAGCCTGAAGCACATTCATCATCAATTTAATTGGAACTTTTTAAGTGTTGAAGAAAAAAATATAATTAATTAGTTAAAAGTAAAAAATGAAGAAATAAAAAGAAATTAATTAATTGATAATAATAAAAAAATAAGTTAAATTAACAAAGAAAAATTTAAAACGTAAGCAGAATAAATAAATAAATTAAATATAAAGCATATATATGTATTTTTTTAATTAATTTTTATATTAAAAATATTACAGTCAAAAACAAATAAACTATTTTTACCCAAGATAAAGTGTCAAATTTGAGAGATTACTACACTTTGCTAAAGCAGAACCTAAACCTGAAGCAGCTTCATGGTAAATTTTATTGTAACTATTTAAATATTGAAGATAATAATATATTAAATAATTATTTATAAGGAAAAAATGAAGAAATAATAAGAAATTAATTAATTGATGATAATTAAAAAAGCTGAAAATGAAAAAATGAATTAAATTATCAAAGAAAGAGAAAAAGCACAAGCAGAATAAAAAATAAAAAGATTAATTATTGATAAAAAAACTAATAAAATTACATTAAATTGTTTTAAATTCACTTTTATATTTAAAAATATCACAATCAAAAACAAATAAACTGTTTTTACCTTAAATCAAGTACCAAATTTGAGAGATTATTGCTTTTTGCTAAAGCAGAGCATATGCCTGAAGCACCTAATTCACCAATTTTATTGTTACTTTTTAAATATTTAAGATAAAAATATTATTAACTAACTAGTTAGTTAGAAGGAAAAATATGAAATAATATGAAGTTATTTAGTTACTTAATAATAAAACTAAAAGTTAAAAATAAAAAAATGAGGTAGATTAGCAAAGTAAAAAAAAAACTTAAGTAGAATAATAATAAAAATTTATTAAAAAGCTAATAAATAAAAAACATAATATTGTTTTATATTAATTTTAATATATATTTTACAATCAAAAACAAATAAACTGTTATTACCTAAGATAAAGTGTCAAATTTGAGAGATTACTACACTTTGCTAAAGCAGAACCTAAACCTAAAGCACCTTCATGGCAAATTTTATTGTAACTTTTTTTAATATTGAAGAAAAAAAAATAATCAGTTAGTTAGAAAAAAAAATATGAAACAATAAGAAATGAATTAATTGATGAAAATTAGCAAAAATAAAAAATAAATAAATGAGTTAAATTAACAAAGAAAGAAAGAAATCCTGTAAAAAAAAAAAATGAAAAAGAAAAATAATATTGTTTTAAATTCATTTTTTTATTAAGAAATATAACAATCTAAAGTAAATATACTGACTGATTTTACCTAAGAATAAGTGTCAAGTTTGAGAGGTCAGTGCATTTTATTAGATTAAAACCTAAGCCTGATGTACCTTGATCACCAATTTAATTGGAACTTTATAAATATTGAAAAAATAATATATTTTATTAGTTAGAAAAAAATAATGAAAAAAGATGGAATAATTAGAAATTAATTAATTGATAATAACAGCAAACTTAAAAATGAAAAAATGAGGTAAATTATCAAAGAAAGAAAAACTAAACCCGAGGAGAATAAAAAAGAAAAATTTAAATAAATCAATAAAAAGCTAATAACTAAACTAAAAGAGTTAATAATATTACTTTAAATTCAATTTTTTATTTAAGAATATCACAATCTAAAACAAATAAACTGCTTTTACCTAAGATTAAGTGCCAAACTTGTGAGATAAGTTAAATTTTCTAAAGCAGAAAATAAGTCTAATGCACCCTTGTCACCTATTTAATTTTTACTTTTAAAATATTGAAGAAAAAATATAATTCATTTGTTAATAGGAAAATTTGAAGAAAAAATATGAAATAGTAAGAAATAAATCTATTTTTTATTAAAAAAAAATTTTTTAAATTAAAAAATGAGTTAAGTTGACTAAAAAAAAAAAAACAAGCAGAATAAAAAAGAAAAAGTCAAATAAATATACTAAAAGTGTTATATTGTTTTAAATTAATTTTTATATTAAAAGTATCATGTCATCAAAAACAAATAAATAAGCTGTTTTTACAAAAGACCAAGTATTAAGTTTGAGATATTAGTGCACTTAGATAAAGCAGAGCCTAAACTTGATGCACATTCATCACTAATTTAATTTGAACTTTTTAAATATTTAGGCATTAAATTAATTAGTTAGTTATAAGGAAAAAATGAAGTAATAATATGAAATAAAATAAATAAATCAATAATAAAAGCAAAAGTTGACTAAAAAAAATTTAGTTAAATTAACAAACAAATAAAGAAAAAAAAGCTGAAGAAAAAAAAATAATATTAAATCAAATAAAAAGCTATTAATAAATTAAAATAGTGGTATCAATTCAAATTAATTTTTATTTTAAAAATATCTCAATTCAAAACAAATAAACTATTTTTACCTTAGATCAAGTGTCAAATTTGAGAGATTAGTGCATTTTGATAAAGCAGAAACTAAGCCTGATGTACCTTCATGACCAATTTTATTGCAGCTTATTAAATATTAAAGAAAAAAAGTGTAATTAATTCGTTAGTTAAAATCAAAAAATGTAATGATAGAAACTGTTTATACCTAAGTATAAGTGTCAAATTTGAGAGATTACTGCATTTTCCTAAGCCAGAACCTAAGTCTGATCCACCTTCGTCGCCAATTAAATTTGAACTTTTTAAATATAAGAAAAAAATAATTAATTAGTTAAAAGAAAAAATATGAAATATAAAGAAATGATTTAATTAATAATAAAAAGTAAAATTTAAAAATGAAAAAATTTGTTAAATTAACAAACAAAGAAAAAGAAAAAAACACTAGCAGAATAAGAAAAAGAAAAATAAATCAAATAAAAAGTTAATTAATAAACTAAAAGAATTTTATTATTTTAATTTTATTTTTATATTAAATACCAATCCAAATAAATAAACTATTTTCACCTTAGTTATAGTGTCAAATTTGAGAGATTAATACACTTTGCTAAAGCAGAACCTAAGTTTGATGTACCTTCATCACCAATTTAATTGGAACTTTTTATATAAGTAATTAATTAGAATGAAAAAATTAAAATAAATATAAAATCATAAAATCAATAATCAAAATCAGAATATTTCGAAATTGAAAATATGAAATTAAATTAATAATAAATAAAATATTTGTAGAAATATAATAATAAATATTGATTGACTGATGAGAATTTCAATTAGAAAAAAAATATTGTATACAACTTGAAAATTAAATATACCTCAAAGCAATATGGAGAATCTAATGAGATTAAAGCGAAGAGCTAATAAACTTTTTTTATTAATTAAAATAAATTGAAAGATATCCATTAAAAAATAAATAATTACTTCTCCTAAATTCTTGAAATTTTTTGTTGAATATATCATTTATTTTTTTTTTTTAAATAATGATTAAAATTTATGGAAATAAATATAATTAATTTTAGTATTTTAAAAAACAAATTTGCTTTTATTTCAAATTAATTTTGATTTTTTATAATAAGAAAAAAAAAATTACAATATTAACAAATATTAATTTATAAATTTGCTTTTAGGAAGGAAGAAATATCACAAAAAAATCAATGTAATTTTCATAAATAATCTTAGCATTTCTATTTCATACTTACTGTTAAAAGTATAGTTGGAATTAGAGATGGGTTTTCAAATTTTAAAAAAATTCTAGTAATTGCAGCAATTGAATTTTAATAAAATAATTTTTATCTATTAGAATTTTGTATTTTATTCTTGTGATGAGAGGAATATTTACAATATCACCTAACTATCCTCAAATCCAATTAATATTTTTTTCAAGCATATGTTATTTAAGTATATAGATTGCGTGCACCAAATAAGTGCATTTTTACCTAATTTAATAATTTTTTATTAAATACATTATAAATTTTTATATTATTAATAATTAAGATATTTTTTTTAGAAACTTATAAACTATGACAAATTAGGATATTTTTTTATTTGCTAACATACAAAATTTAATAATCAATAAATGTAAAGAATTTATTTATTTATTTACTCAGTGAAGAAATAAAGAGAAGAAGTTGGGGATGAGGTTTAGTCTGGGCCAGTGATTAATTTGTTATCATAAATTGCAGCATATGGTAAATTAAAAATTTTTAGTAAGTATTATATTATCTTGAATATATTATAATATAATGTATTTCCTCTAAAATTAAAATCAACCCCGCCCAGCTCAAAATTTTTTTCTATTTTAATCATCTGAAACGAGGGACTAGGGAATTTAAGAATAAAAACTAAAGCTAAAAATAATTAATTTACAATATAGTGTAAAATAAATAAATCAAGGTTTAAAGCATAAATAAATTTAAAATACTCATTCAAAAAGATAAAATTAGTTAACACTAAATCAAAGAGTTATTTACAAAGTTAAATAGCATTCCATATTATGAAAATAGAAAATAAATTAAATTATCTACTTATTTTTAAAGTAACAAAATCTATGACAGACTGCTTAACATAATTTGGTTCTGAGATAATATTAATAAAATAAAAAGAATTATATATAACCTATAGAGGAATATAAAATCTCAAAAATATTAAGGGAAGTGTTACTTCTTATTTATTTAAAATCCTTAACAGGTTATTCAACAACTTTTTAATCAATTCATGGTTTATATTCTACAATACAATTAGTTACCTAGGCTAAACAATAAATACAAAATTTAGAAAGTACACCCAGCAATTATACAATAATATCTCCTCAAAAGACACATAATTTTTGGATGATTTTTAATCAAAAACAAATTATTTGACAACTAATTTTATAATTTTTACGTAATACCTATCTAACTAGTGCTGAAATAATTTTACCATTTTTGGATATTTTTTAAAAAAATTGGAAAAGCAAATGGTGTCTTCTGCTCCTCAGCTTAGGCATGTACAATAAGTTATGGCGTTTTAATAAATTTAAATTTTTGAATTTTAATAAAAAATATAAAAAAGTATTCAAATATGAATAAGAAAAATGTTTATTTTTTTACTTAGATATTGTAAAATAAATCTTGATTGGTGTTCTATTTAAATTTAATTTTTATGAAAATAAAATATTTTAATTAAAGAACAGAAAAAGATCATTTTTAAGATTAAATATAAATATACTGTATGTAGTTTCTTAGTAATTTATGCCTATTTTAATAATATTCAACATATAATTTCAAGAAAAAATTATTCAGAAAGAGAGTGAATATTAATAAAAGAAAAACTACTTTAATATATTTTATTAGAGCTTACTACTTTTTTTAATAAATTTTAAGTAAGAACTAACAAATTTAATAAAATCAATATTTTTATGTATGCATAAAATCAATATTTTTTATTTTGTCTATCTTAAAATAACAATTAATTAACAACAAGAAAAGCTACAAATAATTTTGTGAACAAATAAATTCAATTTGAAATTTAGACAATATAAAATATTTGAAAGTATTTTTTAGCTATCAAATAAAATATTTTATTCAATACAAGTTCAGTAAAATGCATTTCTCTCTATTTTTTAGTTATCTATTTTAAAAATATGTTTAAACGCTATTTTAGAAGTAACTCTTAATTAATTATTTTATATATTTGTTTCATAAGAAATAAAATAGATAAAATCAATTACGCTTAACTGTGTATTGGTTTTGATTTTTATTTCAAAATTTGAGTAAACAAATTTTTTGTAAAGTAAAAGATAATAAATTTTTCTTATTGTAAAATTAAGCATGGTAGTTTGTGTGATTAAAGAAATTTTTAAATCTAATTTAAATTAATTAAACCATAAATTAATGGATAAGTAAATTTAATTATATATTTTCATAAAGTATTTCATTTTTTTAGTTAAAATAAATATTAAAATTCTCAAATGAAAGACTAACAACCATTTGTTTATTTATTTTAGTTTATGATAAATTTTGTTTTTCTGCAAAGTTATTATTAAGGAGTGAGGAAGAATTAAACAAAAAATTAATTTGATTACAAATTATTTTGCTTTTTAATTCAATTGGGTGTGAATAATTTATTTTTTTTGGAATAAGAGATGATAAATTTTGATAATTTCACATGAAAATTCAAGTGACCTTAAAAATTAAAAAATCCGAACCAGTAATTTTTATTTATCTATCATAACTTTATTTGATCAATTTATGTGATTAATTGACTTTAAAATAAATAATAGACTATTAATTCCAATAATCGTTTAAAAAAGGTAGATCTTAATGCCAATTTTTAATAATAAAATTAACTCAAAATAAAATAAATAAATCATTAACTTAAAAATATATTATAAAAATGCATTTAAAATAATCTTAAAAAGTATCTCCAAGCAATTCCTTATAAGCTGAAAAAAAGAGTCATAGTATTGATATATCTTTCAAAAATGTATCCTATAGCGTTATATAAAAATAAGGAGTACATAAAAACATTCTTAAAAACCTTACTGGAGTGATGAAAAGTGGAGAAATTACTGCAATTCTTGGTCCAAGTGGAGGTGGAAAGACATCTTTATTAAATATACTCTCTGGTAAGATAGTAAATGGAAAAAATATCTCCTTAACTGGATAAATCATGGCTAATGGTTAAACCTTCTCAAATTAAGATTTTACTAAATTTAGTGGATATGTCATGCAAAATGATATCTTGTTAGACTTTTTCACTGTAAGAGAGGCTATCCAATTTGCAGCAGATTTAAAAGTAAATGGAACAGCAGAAAAAAAGAAATAAAGAGTTAACGAAATAATAAAAATATTGAAACTTGAAAGATGTTAGGTAAATTTTTATTAAAATATTTCAATAAAATAAAAAAAAAATTGTGTTTGTTAAAATTTATTAACATTTAATCTATGATTTTAAAATTTATTTAAACTTTATCAAATTTAAAAAAATTAGAATACTTTAATTGGAGGTGAACACGTCAAAGGAATTTCAGGTGGTGAAAGAAAAAGAGTTAACATAGCTTGCGAATTGATTAGTGATCCTCAAGTTCTATTTCTTGATGAACCCACAAGCGGATTAGACTCATTCACTTCTTTTCTTGTAATCAAGTTGCTGAAAGACTATGCTCAATAATAGAATAAAAACGTAATTATGAGTATCCATTCTCCAAATAAAGATATTTGGGATTTGTTTGATAATGCTATCTTTATGTCACAAGGAAGATTTGTATATCAAGGAAAGGCTAAGAATATAAACCATTTTTTCGATTAATAAGGTTTTTTTTGCCCTAAAAATATGTGTAAACCTGACTATTACATGTCTTAAATATCAGCAACAAATGCTGAAAAAAATCCTCATATTTTACCTGGGCTATTTAGCTAATATGACAATTAAATAGAATGCGAAATGTAGGAGTCTGTAAGCAAAATAGAAATTGCTAATAAATACACAGTTAATTAATATGACTTTTATTAAGCTCCATTTTTATAATAAGTTAAACACGTAGCAATCAGGAATTTAATAAAAATAAGAAGAGATCCTCTAATCCTAAAGAGTGAGCTAATCTAAACAGTATTTAATGCTTTGCTTTTTGGTTTGATATTTTTAAATTTAAATGAATTGGGAAATGAAACAACTTTAAGAGAAATCAACAACCGCAATGGTATTTTATTCTTAGATATAATGTCAATGTTTATGTCAGGTTGTATGCAAATCGTTATTTCTTTCCCTTCTGAAAGAGGTGTTTATATGAGAGAAGAAAATTCAAAGTATTACACACCTATTGCATATGCAATAGGTAAGATATCTACAAATATTTTACTGAAGATTTTTTATCCTATAATTTATGGAACTATAGTTTATTTTATGGTAGGCTACACTCATGACTATGCTTATTAGTATTTTATTTATATTTCAGTGCTAATGCTTATGACTATTACTGGAGCAGCTATAGGTTTCACTATTGGTATAGCATTCAGTGATATAAGGACATCTACTTCTATCACACCTGCATTTCTTTTGCCTATAGTTTTATTTTGTGGCTTTTTCAAAAGAAGAGCAGACTTAGCTACTTGGATAGGATGGATTTAATATATTTCGCCTTTGTCTTATGCACTAGAAGCTATCATCAGAAACGAATACAGAGATTTTAACAGTACCTTAAATCCTATAATTACTTTAGATTACGAAATAGGGCTTGGAAATTGCATATGGATAATGTTTATCCTATATGCCATATTTTAATCATTATCTGTTATAATGCTTTATGTTAAAAGAGGTTCAATTTAATGATTTAGTTTATATATTTGTATTTAAAAAAATTATTTTACATAACATAGTAAATTCTATTAATTATAATTAAATAAATAAAAAATTTTATTATTTTACTTTTTATACAGATTTCTTAATGGTTTTACTTTTAGAATTTTCACAAAAAGTTTTATTATTAATAAAAATATCTCCATTAATTCTGGAAGTAGATATGATTTAAAAATATTTAAAAGGTTCAAGCAATTTGTATCATATATATGTATAAAGTTTTTTAGAATTATCAATTAATTTATAATCATTATATAATCAAGAGATTTTATTTAGTATTAAAAGAGATGTTATTTATTTATTTAGTATAAGTAGAGAAGTAGAATAATTATTTGTTAACTTTTTTCGATTTCATAATTAATTTAATAATGTAGATTAAATGAAAACATTTTTTATACAACAATTATATTGCAAATTTTTGTAACTTTAGGGAATAAGTAATTTATTGTTTAGTTAATTAGAATCGTTTCAATTACATATTAATTTTACACCAATTTACATCTAAATTCATTAATTTTAATTAAATTCTAGAAATTTTCTCTTTAATTTTAGTTCAAGAAAAAAATTTTTTTTTTTGGCATTTATTTGAATTACTAATAAATGAATGGAAGTTAGCAATCTTCATTTTAAAATTTCATCGTTTTTTAGAAAAATAAATATTTTACAAAACATAATGATCAACTTTGCTTATATTAATTACTAAAGCGAATTTTAAGCAAATTCTTATTTTCCTTCCTTTCTTTAAGAAAACAAAATAGAAGGAAGAAATGATAAAATAGACAAAATGAATTATATTCTATTAGGCTTTAATTTGATGATTTATCTTCACTGCATGTAAACACAATTTTTTTTGTATAATAAAGGATGATGAATTTTGATAATTAAAATTAATTAGTATATCTTGATTAATTCTTCATGAAAATTCACAACATTTAAATTTAACATATTTAAGTCAGTAAATATTTCATAAATAAAGATGAAAAAGATAAACATTTAATTTTTCTACTTTTATAAAATGGATCTAATGCCATATTTTATGTAATAAAACATTTAACTATTAAATAATAGATTATGTATTCTGATTAATAGCTTTATTATAAAAATGGTAAAATTTAATGTTAATTTTTCATAATAAATAAATAAATAAAATAAAATCTAATTAAATAAATAAATCAATTTATTAATAAACTTATTGAATAAAAATGGCTAAAGTTGAAAACAACCAAATTTCTCCATCTGAATCGCTTTGTTTGGAAAATAAACAAAAAAGTAGTAGTATTGATATGTCATTCAAAGATATATCATATAGTGTCATATAAAAAGGAAAATCTAAAAATATTCTCAATAACCTTACAGGAGTTATGAAAAGTGGTGAAATTACTGCAATTCTTGGTCCAAGTGGAGGTGGAAAGACATCTTTGTTAAATATACTCTCTGGTAAGATTGTAAATGGATAAAATGTCTAATTAACTGGATAAATCATGGCTAATGGCTAAACTTTCTCAAATTAAGATTTCACTAAATTTAGTGGATATGTTATGCAAAATGATATCTTATTAGATTTTTTCACTGTTAGAGAGGCTATCTAGTTCGCAGCAGATTTAAAAGTAAATGGAACAGCAGAAAAAAAGAAATAAAGAGTTAACGAGATAATAAAAATATTGAAACTTGAAAGATGTTAGGTAAATTAATTTTTATTTAAAATTTTCAAAAATATAATAAAATAATTAATAAAATTAGAATACTTTAATTGGAGGTGTAAGTGTAAAAGGAATTTCTGGAGGTGAAAGAAAGAGAGTTAATATTGCTTGCGAGTTGATAAGTGATCCTCAAGTTCTTTTCCTTGATGAGCCCACCAGCGGATTAGACTCATTTACTTCTTACCTTGTAATTAGGCTGCTGAAAGACTATGCTCAACAATAAAATAAAAATGTTATAATGAGCATTCATTCACCAAACAAAGATATTTGGGATTTGTTTGATAATGTGATTTTTATGTCACAAGGAAGATTTGTGTATCAAGGGAAGGCTAACAGTATAAATAATTTTTTCGATTAAAAAGGTCTTTTTTGCCCTAAAAATATGTGTAAAGCTGATTTCTATATGTCTTAAATATCAGCCACAAACATAGAAAAAAATCCTCATGTTGTACCTAGCTTATTCGCATTGTACGACACCCAAATTGAGCCTGAAATGCAGAAATCCTGCAGTGATTTAGAAAAAATTAATCAATAAACTGTGAATTAATATGACTTTTACTAAGCTCCTTTTTGGGAATAAGTTAAACACATAGCGATCAGAAATTTAACAAAAATAAGAAGAGATCCCCTCATTTTAAAAAGTGAAGTTATTTAAATGATATTTATGGCTGTACTATTTGGTTTGGTATTTTTAGATTTAGACGAGCTGAGTAGTGAAACTTCTTTAAGAGATGTCAATAATCGTAATGGTATCTTATTTTTAGATATAATGACAATGTTTTAGTCAGGATGCATGTAAATTCTTATTTCTTTCCCTTCTGAAAGAGGAGTTTACATGAGAGAAGAAAACTCAAAATATTACACTCCAATTTCATATGCTATTGGCAAGATAGCAACTGATATTCTACTTAAGATTTTTTATCCAATTATTTATGGAACAATTATCTATTTTATGGTAGGCTACACTCATGATCATGCTTATCAATATTTTATTTATATTGCCGTTCTTATGATTATGACTGTCACTGGATCAGCAATAGGTTTCACTATTGGCATAATGTTCAGTGATCTAAGAACATCCTCCTCTGTCACTCCTGCTTTTATACTTCCTCTCATTCTATTCTGTGGATTTTTCAAGAGGAGAGCAGATTTAGCTTCTTGGATAGGTTGGATTCAATATATCTCACCAATATCTTATGCAATAGAAGCTGTTATTACAAATGAATATAGAGATTTTAATAATCCTTATAATCCCATAGTTTCTTAGGATTATAGCATGGGAATAGGAAAATGTTTTTGGTTAATGATCATCTTATACGGAATATTTTAGTCTTTATCTATTTTAATGCTTTACGTCAAGAGAGGTTCGATATAATGAATGATTAATAATTTAAAAACAAAATAATAGTAAATTTGCAAAAATATTATTTTTTACATGTTTATTTTCAACTGTAACTAATTTTTAAACTGAAAAATAAGAATATTTAGCTAGTGATATATTTTTATTAATTTTATAAAATGTTTTTATTTTCCTATTATACAAAGTAATTTATCTAATCCAACCCTAGTTTTATCATGGGTCAATCAATTTTGGTAGTCTTTAACGAATAAAAATTTTTCAATTTAAGCATATCGAAATACCTGAATTAATATTTTCAAATTGTTATATTTTTTATGAATTACTTTCACACTCTCAATATTATTTTAAGTTTGAATTTTTACTAATATTTGTATATCATATAATAATTTCTAAATTTTTCTAATTCTAAACTCTGCAATAGCTTATCATAGTAATTCCAAATCTCTTTTTTGGAGTTTCTTGTTAAAAATAGAGTAGTATGAGTAAATAAGGATAGAGTCATAATTTAAAAAAAGAAATTACTCAATAATAGTTTTTAATTCTATCTAAAAGCATTTTATTAGAAAAATAAATATTAATTTAATATTATTTAATTTATTTTGATATTCTATTTTATATTTAAAATCTAATTAAGGAATCATGTTAAATAAAATTATTAATGATATTACTTTTAAATTTTTCTAAAAATAAATGTTTTAAAATAGAATAATTAATAATAATAATAAAATTTTTTAATATTATAAAAACAACCATTAAAATTAATAGTCATTAACAAATAACTTAATTTTTTTAACCTTAATTTTTATTTATTAATGATTAATTTGCTTTAAAATAAATTTAAAGATAAGTTTTAATTTTTTTGTCAAATATAAAATATTTTTAAAATTTTATTATGATTTATTTAAGTGATTTGCAATATTTAAAGAACTTACTTTTTCAGTATTAAGTTTCTATCAAATGAATTAATAAATTATCTATATTAATTGAATATATCGTATTTGAATAGATTTTACTTAAGCATATCTCTTAATTACTCAGTTTTTCAAAATTTTTTCTTAGAAATAATTAAAAAATTCTTTAATATATTGAAGATTTCTGGCTATTTTTTGAATATATAAAACTATTAGAAAATCAAATAACAAATGTAGATTTTCTATGTTTAAATTTGTAATTAATAAGTAAAAAATGGTATTTTTACGTTTCATTAAGTGTAGCTCGTCTCATTATATTTTTGTAAAAAATAAAACTTAAATTTGTAAAGCAGTTAGCAAAATTAAATAGCATTTTTTTTAATGGAACCATTCTTTGTATGTGCAATGAATATATCTAAATTTTTAAACTGTTTATCTAATAAATTTAATTTAATATAAAATTTTTAGAATTTAAAATAGAAAATTTTACTTTCATTAATTTTTAATTGAAAAGCATACTTTGATGGGCATAATATTGCTTAAAATATGCAAATATGTATTAAAATATAGAAAATAATAAAGAACTTTTTGGTATCAAAGTTAATATTTTAAAACCTCAAATTTTTTAAAGCAGTAATTAGTGGGTGAATTAAACAATTATTAACATTTTAATTATTTATCAAAATTTATTAAATGGTTATTAAGTTTGTAAGCTAGCTAAATAATTTAATAATAATATTTAAAGAAGTAAGTTGTTCAGAACAAATAAATATCAAAATCTATCAGTTGGTTATTAATTTTGTAAGCAAAAAATATATTTAATTTTTACTTTCATCAAATAATTACACATTTAATGTGTAATTTGCTTGATACAAAAAGGGCATTTTCATGTTTTTTGGTAATATAAAATAAATGCAATATTTTACAAAAATTAATTACAAATTTTCACTCTTTTTTCTCCCTGAATTAATATTTTATTACAAACAATCTAAATAAAAAATTTTGGTGATAAATCAGCAATGAAATAATAATTAATCCTTAAGTTCTATCTGATAGAATAAAGTGAAAAATTTCATCATCAAAATTTGATTTTTATATTGTAACCTTAATTAAAAAAAATTATTTAAAAGATGAAAGACAATTTTTAAAGCTTAATAATTAATTAATAACAAATTAAAATATTGACAAAGAAATATTTCATTCTTAAAAATCACTACAAATGTCTACTGCATTTAATGGAGTTGCACTCACAACTGAAAACGAGTAGCAAATTCAAGTTGTAGATAAATTTTTAGATAATCTTCATAATAAGCATGGTGTCGATATATCTTTTAGCAACATTAACTATAGCATAAATACAAAAAGTGGTAAAAGAAAGATTTTGAATAATCTTTCAGGTGTGTGCAAAAGCGGTACAGTGACAGCTATCTTAGGACCTAGTGGAGGTGGTAAGACATCATTGTTAAATGTTTTGTCTAGAAAAATCAAAGCCAATAAGTAGGTAGAACTATCTGGAGATGTTATGGCAAATGGATAAACATTTAGTAATCAGTAGTTTGCCTAATTTAGTGGTTATGTTATGCAAAATGATATTCTGTTCGAAACTTTAACAGTAAAAGAATGCCTTCATTTTGCTGCTGACCTTAAATTAGAAGGCGATTAACATTCAAAAAATCATAGAGTCAAAGAGATGATCCATTAACTCAAGCTTGAAAAGTGTTAGGTAAAAAATCTACCCATTTAAATTAGATATGATCTACAAATTAATTATTGTATAGTAAAAAATGAATAATTAAATAAAGAAATCAAAATCTAATCAATTTTTATTAACTGATAATTATAAAATTGATATATTTATATTTATTTTCTTATTCAATAAAATTTTAACTATTAGAAGCATTTTTCCATTATATAAAATAAAATCTATGAATTACAACCACCAGAATAATAAAAAAAACTTATTATCAATAAATTAAAGCTTTATTTAATTTAAATTAGAATACACAAATTGGCGGACACTTTGTGAGAGGTATTTCGGGAGGAGAGAGGAAAAGAGTTAATATTGGTTAAGAGCTTATCACTAATCCTTCAGTCCTTTTCTTAGATGAGCCTACCAGTGGTTTGGATTCATTTACCGCCTATATTGTGTGCAGCATTTTGAAAGATTTTGCTAAATAACACAACAAAACAGTTATTATGAGTATCCATTAGCCTAATACTGATATATGGAATCTCTTCGATCAAGTCTTTCTTTTAATATAGGGTAATTACGTATATCAAGGGCCTGTCTCAGAGGCTATTAGTTATTTTAGTTCTTTGGGATTAGTTTGCCCTGTTCACTAATGTCCTCCTGATTTCTTTATGTCTTACATGACCGCAGGAGAAAGAAATGAAAAATTGCATCCCAATCTTATCGAAAATTATAAAAATGTGTTAGCATATAAAACTCTAGCTTCACTCTAAACAGTGAGAACCGATCAAATAGAATATTCATCACTTTAAACCTCCTTTTGGTATTAAATTAAAAAGGTAGCTTCGCGTAACTTAAAGCAGTTGAGAAGAAACCCCCTTATGGTTCGTTCTCGTTTGGTTTAAACAATATTTATGTCTCTATTTATAGGTTTAGTTTATTTAGATTAGCCAACCTTACATAAAAACAGTAGCGTATAAGAAGCATATAATCGTAAAGGTGTTTTATTCACTGCTTGTATGGCTAACTTTATGGCTTCTCAAATGGGTGTAGTCCTTAATTTCCCTTTAGAAAAACCTGTATTCTTAAGAGAAGAAAATACAAAATATTACTCTACTTTTAGTTATTTAATTGGTAAATTGTGTTTTGAATGGCTGCTTCTCTTTATCTTCCCAATTATATATTCTTCAATAATGTATTTTATGGTTGGTCTAAACGATTCTTCAGCTGATCACTTCTTCTTCTTTGTGCTTATATGCATATTGATGGGTTACTGTGGTGCTTCTCTTGGTCTTATTTCTGGTAGTGCTTTTAATAGCATACGTACGATTACTGCAGTTTAACCATTGTTCATGCTTCCTTTTGTTTTATTTAGTGGTTTCTTTAAAAACAGAAAAGATTTTGCAGCTTGGATTGGTTGGATTGAATTTCTTTCACCATTTAAATATGGTTTGGAAGCACTTGTAACAAACGAATTTGAAAATTTAGATAGTCCTGTAGATATGATAGCCATAAATGACTATACTATTGGTAAATGGAACTGTGCATTAATAGTATTTGGATTTTTCGTTGGTTTTGTTATCATAGCATCTCTAACTTTACATGCTAAAAGAGGTACTTTATAATGAAAAATAAATAATTTAAAAAACTATCAATCTGAAAAATAAAAAAGAAACTTTATTTAAAAAGTAAATATTTCATTTATTATAAACGTTTTGTCTCAATATCTTTAATTACCAAAATACTTATATACTTATAAATAAATCGTAATCAAATATAATTATTATTGCTTTTAAACAAATACTTTATTTAATTTTTTGTTGTTTTTGCTTTTAAATTTTTATTTTTTCTTTATATTTTAAATTATTTGATCATAAAAACCACTCTACCCTATATGATAAAATAAAATAATTTATCAAATTTTTGAATAAATTTTTTATAAATTTTAATTTAAAATCTTTAAATGATAACTAAATTCAGCCTTATTAGTTATAAAATTTAAGGAAATTGTGTTTTACTCAATCAATTAATATATATTAACAAATGGATTTATTATATTATTATTATTATTATTATTAGTATCATAATATTAACAAATGAGTAATTACAAAAAAAGCATTAATATTAATTTAAAAGAAATAATTAATTTAATTTTTTGTTGATTTATAAATTCTTGAATTTTTATTGTGTTTATTAAAATAAAATGATTATTTGAAATATCATATTTTTTTTTGGTTTTGTATTTGTAAAACTTTGTTTAGTTACACTTAGTATTTTTTTCATTAACATAGTTAAGAATATTTTCAAAGCTTCATTTTACTTTTACTTGCAACAGTTTAAATTTCTTTTTGAGGAGGATTAGATCTTTAATATTAGCTGTTTGGTCTTTGTTAAAAGCTATTCTTAGAACTAAGATTTTTTTAAGATTCTTATTATTCAAACTCTTAAGTGAGCTTTTAAATCTGTTTTTGTTTTAATGAGTGTGAGTTATGGTCATAACTGTAAAAAGGTCCCATAAACCAGTCATTTTATCCAAATTAAAAACCATTCCTTTGATCATTTCCTTCTCTGTATCCATAAATATTTTCATATAACTCTATTCCCTATGCAACCATTAAAGTTCTTTTCAACCTCTCTATTTTATTAGAGTTTGGTTTTGCAAATTTATATGACTCATTAATATATTATTATGTGTTGGATGATTTTCTAGCATCCATAACTTTTTTCAATAATTCTTTTTCGTTTTTAAATATCTATTTATTGACATCATTAGCAAGAGCAGCTTTGTACAAAATATCCTCACTTTCACACAAACCTTTAGCTTTACCAGTTTTTTTTGTATTGTAAGCAAAATCCTAAAATTATTCATCTAAATCTAATAAAGGATTTTCGCTTGCCTTTGTATACGCATATATATTTTTTTAAATTAAATCTTAACCGTTTTCTAGTATAAAATTGAATTTATAGGCCTTTGATTGTTAGAGTTAAGATATTTTAAGCTGTTTTCTAAATGGCATTTTTAATATCATGTTTAAAAGCTTTTCATATGATTGATGAGTTTTACCGTCTTTTATCTTTTCTATCTTCTCTTCAAAAATATTTATAATCAATCTAGCAGTTGGGAGTAATTCTATCTTATCATCATTGAATTCTAATGAAAATACAATGACAGAATCAGTATTTGATATTTATTCTATTTCCATTCGCAAAATATGAATTAAGTTCTAATTAAAAATATCAAATATTGATAAATAAATCTAATTTTTTGAAATATTAACAAATTAACTTAATTATTAATGAATAATGAACAAAAATAAACAAATATTACAACAACAACAAAAAAAAGAAAGAATATTTAAAAAATTATTTTTAATATAAAAATTATAAAATGAATTATGTGTTTAGTTTAATTTGTTTACTTTATTATTTTTAAATACATAAAAAAGTAATTATAATATAAATTATTTAATAAATCAATCAAAAAATTTATATTGATTTTTGAGTTCAAAATAATTGATTATCTTTTTTTAATTTAAAATTTTTTTAAGTTTCGGTTAAAAACATTTTTAATCTTAAATTTAAAAAAAAAAAGGAGTTTAAAGTTTAACTTTGAAAATTGATTGAAAAATGTATCATTAAATATGGTATTTATATCTATCAAATTAGCTTATTTTGTTTTTTATTTTTACAGTATTTTAAAATATTATAAAAATAATTGTTAAAAGTGGCTAGTATTAAAGAGCTAAATAGAGGCTTTTTTGTATTGATGAAATTATAAGAATTATTATATTTATAATTAGATTTAAACAGAATACATATAGGCTTTTTGCTAGAGTTTATGGGTAGTTGCTCAGAAAAATGTTAGAAAGTTTTTATTATCTTTTTATTTAAAATTTTTTTTGATAACTTTGTCAGTAGACTTTGTAAAATATTTTTGAAATAAATTTATAAAAAGATTAAATTCAAGATAAAAGTAAATTGATAATTTAGTCAAGTAAAGTAAATTTAAATTATTTAGATGGATTTATATGTATAATTAATTTTCAAAATTATCCATCAATAATAATATAAAATATTGGCGTTCGATCAGATCAATTTAATTTTTTATAAATAATTAATTATAAGATATATAAATTTAACACACACAAAAGAAGAGTTTTAGGTTCTTCAATATAAATTAGCTAGCAATAAATCAAAATAATAAACTTAAATAATTAATCTAAATGGAAGACAAATCAATTTATCTCCCTGACAATGTTCAGATGGATAAAATGAACAATTTTAAACTTTTAGAGAAGAAATATCGTTTTTATTAAGGAGTAAAAACTGATTTTTCAGGTGTTATAGATTTCAATGATCCAAAAGTTGATTTAGCCAAACATAATATCACTTAAATAGAAATGAAGGGATTTAGGGCATATAAATTAGGTTTTCCTAGCGGAGTCTATGTAATTAAGAATGCTTTGTCAATATAAAAATAGTTAGAAGTAGTAATTTAATGCATGAATACTTATGTAAAAAGACCATATAGAACTAATTTATTCATTTACGAAGATAATCCAGATTGGAAACAAACTTATGACCCATCAAAAACAAAGGAAGGCAAAAAAGAAGACGAAGGGATGGAGCCAGAAAAAACAGAAGAAGCAAAAATAGAGTAAGAAGAATCAAAAAAAGAGGATTTAGATACTTCCAAGACTGACAGCATGTACAGTACTAAAAGCAAAACTTCAAAAGAATACAGTCTTGATAAATTTTTGACTAATGATTATAAGAAATTCCACTTCAATAAGAAAATTAGATGGTCAAATGTTGGAGCTTAATATGACTGGGATAATCGTCTTTACCCTTCTTTCACCACACCTATGCCCGATATTATTAATGAACTAGCCGAATTTGCTAAAAATGTTGTCTCAGATGAAATTACTGATGTTTATGATTATGAACCAGAAGCAGTGATAGTTAATTACTATGATAAAAAGAATTATATGAGTGGACATTTAGATGATGGTGAAAAGGATTAGAAATCTCCTATATTCAGTTTTACTTTTGGCTGTTCTTGCATATTCTTAATGGGTGATAGAACTAAAGATTTTACACCTTTACCCCTTCGTTTAGATGCAGGTGATTTAATGATAATGAGTGGTTATTCTAGAAACTGTTACCACGGAGTTCCTAGAATTTTCCCTGGATCATTCCCGAAAGAAGAATTTGAAAAATATGTAAGAGAACTTTATCCTCACCTTTATGATAATGAAGAAATTAATAAGAATAAAGATTTGAAATTCTTTGAAAATAATTATAGACATGCAATCAATTATCTTTAAGACAGTCGTATCAATTTAAATTTCCGTCAAGTAGAAAAAAAGGTATAATAAAACCATGAAAATTAGTAATATCTTCAAGAATAATAATAAAAACAACAGTAATAATGATAGTAATATGAATAATTAAATATGTATTATTTATGTTTATGATTTGGAAAAAATTATTTTATTTTTTGTACTAATAATTTATTGTTGTTAATTCCCAAAACTATATATATTCCTCTATATTTTGAAAATATATTCCCAAATAAAAACAAAAGGATCTATAAAAGAGAATAGAGTTTTTATGTCTTGTTATATAATTTTTAAATTCGTAAATATTGCTTTTACTACAACCTGTCAAAAATTCAAAATAACCTGAATCCATTTATTTAAAATTTGTTTAAAGAAAACATTCAACGATAAAAAATCAATCAATAATCATATTTACATATAACAGTAGATATCTCTCTTATTTTAGCTTATTTTTGATTTGAATGATAATAACTTTTCTTACTACAATAAAAATATCTTTAAATATTTTATTGAAATTACTTTTATTTGTTTAAAAAAACGATTAATAAAATTAATAATTATATGTTGATGTCATAGTAGAAATTTTAAATTGGTTTATTTCTTGTGGCATTACATAAATAAAATATATAATTTAATTTAATTGAATTTTTTCTAAAAATTCAAAATGGGAGTCAGTCAGTTTATTTGATTTTTATTAGATTATTTATTATTTACTTAATAACATTAATAGTAAATAATAAAATAAATAACTAAATATAAAAAATATTCATCAAAAAATTTTATAAATTTATAAAGGAAACAAATTTTAATAAAGATAAATAAGCAATGTTTGTTATCTAAATTATAAATTTATTTAAATAATTAATTAATAACTAAATATTTTTTATATATTTATTATATTTTTTATGATCAAATAGTTTTATATAAATTATAATTTATTTTTGGGTTTTTATTATTATTTTGATTATTTATTTTCTATTTATTAATTAAAAATTTTTTAAGATAGTGCTTGCTTGATCTATTTAATTCATCTAAACATGTTTAAAAATGTCTAAATTTATTTATCATACTCTGATATGAATTTAGTTTTCTCTTTTTTTAATTGAATCATGCTGTTTGTTACTATTTCTTAGGCTTTTTCAGTATCTAATTTTTTATAAATATTAAAGATTTACTTTATTTAAGAAATAAATGAAATGTTTACTTATTTTTTGAGCTTTGAGAAAAAAGAAGTATACAAATTAAACGCTAAAATTAAACAAAAAAAGAATATTTAATAAGCTGTCACGTAAATTGCCATTTTTTTCATATAAATACCAAATGATAAATATTGGGACATCTCTAAAGAGTAGTCTAATCAATTATATTATAAGAGATCCTGATATTACTTTACCTGCTTATTTACCAAATAATACTTTTATTTTAGGCATAGAAAATACATAGCTATAGGAAATTTAAGATGCCATGAAATCTAAAATGTCTAATTGAGCAATATTCATTATAATAGCTTTTATCCAAATATTATCTCTATATATTTTACATCTAGTTTTGATTTTTACAATCAAGAAGCAAAAGAAATAAGTTAAAATAGTAGCTATGAGTGTATAATATCTCTATATATATATTAAATAATTTTGATCAGTAAAATAAATTACAAAATTCATTTATGATAAATGAAAAAAATATTTACGCAGTCACTAAAGAAGAAAATCTAGGAATAAAAGGCAATATTTGCTACAAATGACTTAAATGAAGCAAAGAATATAATCAGTTTGTTTGATTTATAAACATCTAGCGGAGTTTTGTATAAAAGCCAATGAGATTAAGGAGAGCAGTCTATTTCTTCTAAATTTTTTTAACTTTAGCATTTTTAATCTTCAATCGTGTTTTTATTTTTGAGTTATCTAACTTGTTATCTATTTCTGATTGTTTATTTTTTTTCAAAAGTTCTCTTTCTAGAAATTATGCTTTAAATTGCAAAAACTTATTTTGATTTAGAAATAAGAATTACTACCTTTTAAAACTGCCAAAGAAATAGCAATACACTTAAGCACAAAGGTAAGTATGCAAAAGAAGAATCAAGATATTCATATTTGTGCATATCTTAAGAAAAAGAAATCACTAGTATACATACTAAAAATTAGAAGATTATTAAGAAGTAAACATGTAAAAGTTTGACATAATCAAAAAAACGATAATTGTAATCTTCAGTGTAAACAGTACAGAATAGCAAACTCAATATATGTTCTTCAGAGTATAAATCAACAATCTTGTTAAATAAAAAAGTTGAAAAAAAGTAAGGAGATACTTTTTTGTTGAGTTTAATGTATGTCAGATAGTCAGGAATTTTTTAAGATTCAGCATAAGTTTCTTTGTAATAGTAGATAATATCAGCTGTCTTCCCACATCTTTATCCACATGAATTGCTACACGTTGTCTCAAACATCAAAACAACAGATTTATTATTAACATATAAGCAGTTATAATAATTATATGGGTGGTGATATGTTGGATTCATTCCTATCTGATTCATTTTTTCCAGATACTACTTATGCTGCAGGTATTATATGTAATTTGCATATAATTTAATTTACTCTGAGGAATTCTTTAGGCTACTAATTTCGCCATACATCCTTAGCTTATCTTCAAGAGATAAATATATATGAATTTCTTAATTTATCTAATTTTTTTTACATTTTAATAAATTTATTTTTCAATTAATCAAAAAGTATTTTGAATGATTAACATAAAAAAGAAAATAAATATTCAGTGTTGAAATGTAACTTTAAATTATCTTAGTTTTATCATTCTAAAGATATCATACTTTTAAGCAAAATAAGCAAATTAAATTTAAAGAAAGTAAATTATGACTGACTTAAATTATATTCTTTTTATACAAGTTTGATCACAAATCGTTAAACAAATAAAATAAATTTATTATTCTTTGAAAAAATCTTACTTTTTTTTGAATAGAGTATGTTCTAAAGTCATTTTGTTGATCTTGCTTTTGCTAGAGATTTTATTGATTTATAAAATAGAATTGATACAAGTTTATTAAGTTTACTGCAGTTACTATTCTTTTGAGCTTTTAAGGTTCTATTATTAATGAGCCACCTTCAAAGAGCGAACAGTTAAATTAAACAATTTAATCAGTAAAATCTTCTCTACTTTGATGCAGAATCAAGCAAGGCTCTATTAATTTAGAGTATTAAGTTCTATATTTTTGTTCGTTTGACTCACAAATGAACTGCTTTAGTTTAACAGCAGGTATACTTGGAGAACGAGATTGTAAATAATTTTAAATTTTTTTATTCATGTTTGATAGGTAAACAGAAATTTGACGATCAAAAGCTTGAATGATTTTGTTGCACTAAAACTTTGTAATTAATTAAACACAAATAGATCCTGTAAAAAAATGAGGAGAAAAATAACCTTTTTTATTGACATAAAATTAAGAGATATAAGGAGCTTACAAGCTATAGGGATATTTTATGTGTCTATTTAAGCAATACGGATCGTCAATCATCCTTGAACTTATATCTGAAGTGTTAAATGTCAGTAGTTCATGTTAATAATCTTGGCCAAATATATAAAATGAGTCTTCTTTCTAATTAATATTTTTATAATAATATTTTTTTTATTGAAAAAAATGTCTTAAAAAGTTTTACACCATTATAAATAACTTTCAATTAATCTGAATTGAAAAAGTAAAATAAAAATTTAGCAAGTTATTAAGAAGAAGTGCAAGAACTGAAGCTAAAGCACAAAATACTGAGATTCCATAATTAAGAAGGAATTTCAGTTTTATTGTATTTTAATTTGTATTCTTCTAATACCTATATAATTTTATCTATGTTCACATTTTTCAAATAGAGCTACTTTAGCTAAAATCGCTTGCAAAGCATCACATTAAGAGCAAATATTTTCCATCCCTTTTCTTCACCTAAATGATTTATAAATTTAAGATAAAAAATGTATGAATTAATAGATTTTATGAATAACTAACTACCTTCCCAATTAAAGTCAATGATTTCAGTTTTAAATGTGTAATTATTTTCTTTTTTATCCAACTTAATATTTCTTTCAAGATTAATGAAAGTAGAATAGCAATTAGATTTAATGATTTTTATTTTAGAATTTGGATTAAAATATAGCCATTATATTGGAGTTAACTTACCTTTATATATTTTATGGTATAGTCTATCAGCATTTATATAAAAAAATATTAAATTTTGATAAAGCTCAGTAGTCGATGATTCTTTTATTATTTCTTCAGGAATAGGGTGCATATATTCGTATTTTTCATTAAATAAAGGAGTAATAGGTAATTATGGATTGTTATTTGATAAAGGCACAACAAATATTTAACATTTTTACATTAAAAAGAAAAGTCTACTCCAACCAGCAGGTGAAATATTTCCTATTAAAATTAATATCAAAATAAATTTGTGTGAATATATATTTTAATTAGCAAGTTCTCATTATTTAAATTCTAAATATTAAAAACAGTTCTAAGTTTTTTTATACTTCTAAAAAAAAGTATTTAATCTTTTAATGTTTACAATCAAAATAAAAAAAACATTCAATATCTTTCATATTAAAAATCAAAATTAAATAATAAATAAGTGAACTTTAATATTTTAAAACATTTTTTTTCTTGATCTTTTTCCAGTTAAATAGTTATTTTTTAAAATAAAAAACAAACAAATTTAAAAGTTATTTATTAAATTTTATTACCAAAAATTAAAAATATTTTATGTAAGTAAGAACCATCTCAATAAATTTAAAAAAAGTAAAAAACTAGAAAAATTTTAATTTGCTCAAAAAATTTAACTGAATCAAAGAAAATTTCCTATTAAAAATTATATCTTTAATTATTTTATGTTAAAAATAGTATTTAATAAACTCAAAAATTTCTTTAAGTTGCTTTTTTTTATTTTTTGTAAAAATAGAACAACTATAAGAAGAGTATTTTTCAATTAAATTAAAATTTTTTAATTAGTAAAATTGAAAATATGTTAATTTTTTACCTTAAAACTCTGTAGTATTTTGCTGTTATATATGAGTTGAGAGATAAGGAAATTGGTCTGTTGTATGCAGTATAATTTATTTAAGATGAGGTTTTTTTTATAAAGTATAACATTCTAATAAGTTATAAATGGCATTTTCTACAGATCCTAAAATTTCCTACTTATTTATGACACCTGCTTCGTTCTTAGCTCTGAATTTTTTGTAGAAAATATTATTTTTTCTATACTTGTCTACAACTTTCATTTATTTAAAATTTAATTTTTCACTTTCTGCTCTTTCTTGATCTGTTTGATAACTTTATTAGAGATTACTTGCTTTTCTTTTATTTAAATTAACTGAATTATCCATTATGTTAGCACTTTATCTCTGTATAAACTTCTTTTGTTTATTAGGTGAGTCATTCGTATTTTATGTTTTAGCTTAATTCTTAGCATCAAATGTTTCTGTTTTAATAAATTACATTGGTATATTTAAGGAAGGATCTTACAATTTGCTATTTGATAGCTACTTAGGAGGAGATAAAAGTCCGTTATAAATTTATTGCTATTCTTTTAAACTTTTTTAGAGATTGTTGGTATCCAAAAAAGATTAAGAAACGTTTTTACTGTTTTTAGAATTTTCATTATCAGAAACAGAGTTTTTTAATATTTATTCTTAATCACTTTAAGAATTTTTTGCTTATAATTAAAACGATTAACTGTTATCATCCTAAAATACTTTTGGAGTATTTGTTTTCTCATTTTTACCATTTAAAATATCATTATATGAAGTTTTAGAGTTATTATGCTCCTCTATATTTTACATTATATCTGTAAAAGTATTTTATGACACTACTTAGTTAATATTTTCTACTATTTCTTATGCACTTTTCACGTGTTTATGTCCGAAACTGCTCTTTTTATAATAAGGCACAACATTTGAATTATTTTTATCTTGAACTTATTTGTTAAGTATATTTTATTTATAATATTCATCAAATCGAATCTAAGCATGATTCTGACTGTTAAAAGAAATTGATCTAAATATTTTTTTGTTTTTTCCCTGCTAAGAAAAATTATTCTTATCAAGAATGTTTTTTTTTTAATGTGAGTAAGAATGCAGCCTTACAAGTTTTCCATTATTTTATAAATGCTTTTACTAACTGCTTTCATTCTTCATATTTAAAGGTTAAGTTTGTGAAGACTAAAAATTTTAAGTGTGCTGTTATTACTTTACTTGCAGCAATTCTAAGTAAGAAATTTATACAGATTGAGAAAACGTTGAACCCACTCCAGGTATTTATTCTATTTTCAAATTATCCAAATCAGAGTTGTAAATTAAATTAAGAGTTTATTCTTTATTTGACTTTGATTTTGTTTTCTAAGAATCATTTTCTTTTTCGTTATGTTTATCTGAATCTCTGCTCTTTTCTTTTATATAATTATCAATTTTTTAAGAATGAAGCTAATTTTTGAACTTCTCATTATGATGATTATTATGATTACTATAATTACTATTATTATCAAAATTTTCTATATGCTTCAATTTATTTTACTAATTCAAATAAATCCCACTCTCGTTTTATTCAATCTTATTTTCTTCATTAATTTACTATTTTTCTTTTGATGGCTAATCCTATTATTATGGACTATGCAGTTCGTTTAAACTTTTTGATTTCTAAGACTTACAAAAATAGTTTTTTTAACAAACCTAGAGGTGTAATTAGTCTTATTAGAATGGTATTGAAGTAAAACTATTATCTATGTTACTTTAATTTAAGATATTTAAAGCATTTTAATCATCTTATTAGTTAATTTTATGAATTTATAATTTTTAAGTGGTTTCTTTGGAAAATATAGATTTTGTTTAATTAAGCGATGTTTGAGATTATGTTCTTGAATTCGGATGAATCTAATTAAGTTAAAAATGGCTCTTTGTTTATTACTGATTTTGACTATTATCTTATTTTAAATTTAAATGACTATTATTTAAATTGATTTCTGATTCTTCAGTTATATCATCAAATTAACTCTTATTATTGAATGTTTGATCATTAACTTAATATATGATCTATTTGTCATCATGAGTATTTTTGTTTATTTTATATGAATTTTAATCTTTGCTGATTGAAGATTTTGGATAATTAAAGATTTAATCTTCATAACTTTTGCATATTTATTCATTTTTTTTAATTTCCAAATGCAATTAATTCAAATTATAAACTTTCAAAGATTTTGGAGTCGAATGTCCACTTTAATTTAATTAGGTTTTAGAGTATGCAGTCAATTCATTATCTTAGTAAGCTTTTTAAGACTGCTTAAGAGAAGATTGAAGAGTGTGTGTATCCTTGCTCTCATTATGTCTGATTTCTATAATGTTATCGTTCATGCACTTGTTTGTAAGAATTTTATTGCTCATAAAGTAGCCAGTAAAAAAAAAATTATAATTTTCAAGATTTATCTTGGGATGGAATAAAAATTCTTTAGTAAATATCTTCCAACATTCTGGAGTCATCTCAGAACTAGAAACGAAAAGAGTTCTTAAAGGCATACGGATACAAAATTTTTTAGAAATCCTTTAAGAAGATTTATATCCAGCTATAATTCCATCTTACAAATGACTCTTAGTTATAAGACATCCTCTCAAATCTAGATCTGTAATTGCAGTGCATCTTCCGAAAATCATCATAGAAAATAGTCTTCTCCATCCCTCTGTACCAATATAAGGATTCTTTTGTAAATAAATCTGTTAAAGAGGTATCCTTTCTTTCCTTACTCTAAGGTTTTCGCATAACAAAAAAACTTTATCATCATTGATTTCGCAATTACTGATGTCAATTGACTTTGTAATAGTAAAATCACTATAAAGGAAATGTTAAACAAATAATTTAAAAGCTGGATTTTTAAAAGGAATATCTCTAATTATCAAATCTTTTATTTTGAACTATTTTTCATGGAAAAATATCTTTGCTACATCGTATTCTGCTAAATCGATTGATCCACCCAAGTCTAGTGTATTTACTGTATTTAATTTTTAAAGTATATCACTAATTTATTCTACATTCCATGACTCCACTTTTAAACTTAGGGAAAGTATAACTGGTAAATGATTATTAGTGAATTCACAATGTAGAATTTTTTTAACTACTTCTTTAGAACATTACTTTATATCGTAATTGACAACCTAATATTTCTTATACTAATCAGACCAATCTTTAAGATATCTAAATTGATTTGAACCTGTGTGCAAAGTAATTATTAGATCATTATCGCTCTTTTCTAACACAATATTGTATTCAGTTAATCTGAGCATATTTCTTCTTTTTATAGTTTTACCAGAGTATTTTTCATAAATATAATCAATAAACTTTAGAATCCCTTTATTTAAATAAAAAGTCTTTAAGTAAATTTAAAAATAAATTCCTTTTTTATTTGACAATGTAACAACATTTTTATTACTCAGATAAATAAATTTTATTTAAAACAATTTAAATTAATTCATCTATTGTAATATTTAAATTTCTTATAATATATTTTAAAATTGATTTTTCAAAACCTAAAATTTTTTTCCTATATAATATCTGCTTTTTGAAAAAAATATTCAAATACATGAAATGAAATTATAGGGTATGATAATAGATAGTATTTATTATTTACTTTGCAGTTAAATTACCAAATTTGAAATTTTTAATACTTGAAAATGATAAAAATAAAATAATTACCTATATTGTTTATAAATTATATCAGTTTAAAGCATCTTGATTCCAATAGAAACTAAAAAAAAGACTAATCATCTATATTATTATTATTCAACTAAATCTCTAGGTCTCTTCTATTTTAAAGTATACCATACTATAGTATTTTTAAATGGTGAGTTGTTAAGTCTACATTTGTTATCCTCAAAGCTTTAAACTTTTTAGATAGCTTTCTAAGTTTTAAATCGATTTGGGCAAACTCAACTAAGCTAAGAAATCTTTCATAGTCAATTATTTCAATCGCTTAATAAGAAGGCTCTTTCTCGAAATACTCAAATACATCTTCTGAATGATCTATCCTTATTTATAATATCTCTTCATTCATTTAATTATTTTTTTAAGTAAAAATATCACTCCTATTTAAATAATCATGCTCAAGATTCATTTAAATCTCTTATTAATCATTCTACTTTTAAATATTAGCTGAATCAGCCTTATCTAATTCATCTAAAATTTTATTTTCTGATATACAATTTCTGATTAAATGATTTTAATCAAATCCTGAAGAATTAAATAAGTGACTAATATCATTAGAAGGTGAATTTTATTTCGCATTTGAAAAATTCACTTCGTTTAAATCTTTCTTTTAAGATATAAAAGGTCCCTCAGTCGTGAGCTATTAGTACTCAGTCGGCAAGGTAAAGTCAGTATTCATCCTTTCAAATTTAATTATTTATCAAATTTTATGTTGATAAATTATTAATTTCTAAAATTCGATTTAAATTATTCAACTGAAGTAGAAGTATTCAATTATTAATATTATTATCCTTCAAAAGTGCAATTCTTTTAAATAATTTGATGTATTTATTAACTATAATCTCATTGTTTTAACAACTCATTCTTAATACATTTAATAAAATATCCCTCAATGAACTAGTTTTTATATTATTTATTTTTTTAAATAAACTAATCAAAATACAATAGAAATATCAGTTTTTAATAGGTTAGTATCTGAAGCTTAAAATGCCATAATAATAACAATTTTATGAATTTAACATTAAAATAAGTAAATTATTCATTAAAAAAATAAATTTCTAATTTTTTAAAAATGAATAACTAATCTTACAATTTTCATAACTAAATTATAAATAATCAAAGTTTTAATCTGGCAAAAGCAAATAATTATATATATATTTTATAATTATTTTATGTGTTTGACTTTAAAAACTGCTAATTTTTCATTTAAAATAAATAAATAAATAAATAAATAAATAACTTAATTGTTAAAAATTTAAAAACTATTCCTAAAATGTTTTTTTTTTTAATTATAAATAATCAGGGTTTTAATGTGGTGAAAGCCTATAATCAATCATATATAGATTTTATATTTATTTTATCTGTTTGACTTTAAAAACTGCTAATATTTCATTTAAAATAAATAACTTAATTGTTAACAATTGAAAAATAATTCCTAAAATGTTTAATTTTAATTATAAATAAGCATAAAGTTTTATTATTTATTATTTTTGGGATCAAAATTTATATAAAAATGGCAATTATTAAATTATATATTAATAATGAAATAGATTTAATCTTAAAAAGATTGATTATATTTACAAAAAAAACAGATTTATAGAAATAATTTCTTGTATTAAATATTATTATATAAACTCTTTTTTATTTAAATTTAATTTATTTTTTTTGCAAATTTTTCATTAAATCAACAAAAAGTATTTAAAATTATTTTATAAAGTTAAAAAAATTAAATTCAACTTTATTTTTTTTCTCCTTTTGAGAATAACTTGTTTATTTTACTTTTACTTTTTCAAGATACAAATAAATTGATGATTAACTTTAGAATTCAATTTTTAAGTGTTAGAATTGAATTATTTAAGTTTTCTTTTTCTTAATACTTTAATTTTTTTACAGTATTGGAAAAATAAAGAAATCATAAACAAAGAAATCTAACAATTAATATTAAAATAAAAGAATTGAAAGAAATTCTTTTTAAATAATTAATTTTTTAATCAAAGGATACTGATGTTTATATATAGTATTATGAGTAAATTATCATTATTTATTTATATTAAATTATCAGAAAATTTAAATTATTTAACAAGATATTGCATATATATTCAGCTTATTAAGAACTAAAATTAATTGTTTTGATTAATAAAAGTTGTATAAATTTAAGCAAAAAATCTTAGTAATACAAGCATATAGATTTTTATAAAATTAAATAATTGAAATTTTGAGCTAATGGGTATATATTTTAATAATATATGTAATTTTAATTTTATTAAAAATGAATAAAATGTGATGATAAAATATTGAATTTTGTTAAATTTATACTGGTGCAATTAATTAGTGAAAAATTTTTTATAGAATACTGATAAATTAAATCAAAAATTGTGAATGATTCTCATTTTCATAATCTCTATATTGCTCTATTTATGCAGGTATCATAAGAAATGGAATAAATTGATGTTTCGAAATTAAAAAGTTAAATATTAAAAAAAGAAGTATTTTACTGCATATGTAAAATTCTTTTACTGTTAAGCAAGCAATTTGATGTTACATCAAAACACTAATGATTTAAAGTTCTTTTCTTCCCATAACTTTTTAACAAGAATGACCAGAATAAATAATTTATTTACCATATATAAATCTATATATGTATTACAAACTAATTAATTAATTTCTTTTTGCAAATAAAAATTTAATACTTTTTTCAATCAATATACTTTCTTTATAGAATAAATAAAATCATATAAATAAGGTTTAAACATTGTATAAAGAACAAGCAAGCAAGCAAAAGCAAACCTAAATAGTAGTCTTGAAATAAAATATTTTAAGAATTAGAGAATAGCTCTATTGATTTTGAATTAAAAATATACTGAAAGAGTTAACTTAATAACAAATAATTCATCAATACAAGATAGATTAATTAATTACTTTTTATAAATGAAGAATTTCGCAAAACAAATAGTTAATAGTATTCAAAGTATGCAATTTTAATCAACAAATGATAAAAAATTCTAGCCTCAGCTAAATACTAAGTTAATAAAGCTTTATGATTTTTATGAAATTTATAGCTTAGAAGCTGACAGATCTGTTACAAACATTAATTCTAACCTCTACATATTTAAGGCAAGTGGAAAAATTAAGGAAGGATATGAGAATTTAAAAGGCACTCCAGAAGAGTATAGCGGTTTTCTTGGAATAATTAATGTGTTAGGTGTAAATTTTTTAGTTCTAGTTAAGGAAGTGAATGTGCTTTTCGTTTTGGATGGAAAGGATAAAATTTTTGAGATTGTGTCTGTAGAATTTAAAGAAATTAATGAAAACCCAGAGCAATCTAAATCATCAAAAGAAGTACAAAGCTTTCTTGAAAAAATAGAAAAGATTTTATCAAGCGGAGGTTATTATTTTTCCTACAAATATCCATTAACACTTTCTTAGTAGAAAATATCCGAGCTTTAAAATTAGTAAAAGCCATAATCAAGCTAATAAATTACCTCATAGTCTCTATAAAATTAGCTTTTTCACTTAGTCGATTATGATTTTATGTGGAATTATAATCTTATGAAACCCTTAATCTAGCAAAAAGTTAGTTTAGATTGGCAGGCATAGTTGATTTAAGGTCATGTATATAATATAGTTTCATATTTGCCAAATTTAGCTTATTACACCTTGATTTCAAGACGTAGTATGAAAAGAGGAGGCACAAGATATTCTCATAGAGGAATAGATTCAGATGGAAATGTAGCTAATTTTGTAGAATCAGAATAAATACTCATGTTACCATAGGCTGAATGTATAGTTTCACACGTGTAAATAAGAGGAAGTGTGCCTTCCTTTTGGTCATAGAAAGGATTATCTGCAAAAGTCAAGATAGATTTTTCAAAATAACTAAGCAATTAGGCCTGTAAACTTCACTTAGATTATATAAATAAATAGTACAGTGAGGCTACTTGTGTCAATTTAATGTAAGCTTCTAGCACTAACGAATCCGTAAAAATTAATTTTAATAAATACTTTTGCTTAACTTACAATTCAAATAAGCCAAAATATAAAAGCCCTTTTTAGGTATATTTTAAGTCTAATACCAAAAACGCATCATTTTTTTTAAGTCATATGTAAAATATAAAAGCAAGTCTATAAAAAATCAAATTAATTAAGTTAAGCAAATATATGATAAGGTAGAAAATAATAATCTATAAACTATAATTTAGATGTAAATTTTCAATTATATTAAATAGATTAAAATAGAAAAATTCATAGCAAATTTAATGATTAAAATCAAATACTTTTCACATGATTGAACTATTCTATTTTTTTATTTAAACATATTTTGCTTAATGGAATAATTTATCATTTAGAATATTACTTCATTTATATTTTAATGTATTTTTTTAATTAAGTTAATTTTAATTATTATAGAAATTAACTAGGGAATTCGTAGAGTAAATTTGTGAAGCTCCTAATAGGAGGGATACTATTGAATATCAAGAGTTTGATTTTCATCATGAGGTCAAAAACGAAAAATTTGATAATATAGATTAATTCATTAAGATTAATACTTTAAGTAATTTATAAAGATATGGGTTTTTTATTAGAAATACTAAAGGTGATGTCATGAAAAAATAAAAGGGTGTTGTTAGAACTAATTGCTTAGATTGCTTAGACAGGACTAATTTCTTTTAACTTAGAATTGCTTTTATTGCATTAACTTAGATTATTTTTTAGCAATTAAATTTAAAATTTAATAGCTCAACTGAATAAGACAAATTTTAGAAAGACTTTTAATAGTGTTGGGGAGAAAATGGAGATAATATTAGCATGCACTATGCTGATACTAATGCAACTACTTCTAATGTTGCTAAAACCGGTAAATAAGGAGTTTTAGGTTTTTTGAAAGGAAAATTCTCATCTGCTAAGAGATTCTTTAAAGGAAACCTAACTGATGCAGTTAAATAGTAATGCTACTGTATCATACTAGGTAATTAATTTTATAAGATTTAACTTTTTAAATATATAATTTTAATTTTATGCTTTTTACTTACAGGGGAGCACTATGAGACATAGGAAAATTTAGGATTTTAAGAAGAAATGCAAAAGGAATTAAAGTAAAGGGAGGAAGAATTTATAACAAAGAGCAACATAACAATATTTGCTTGCACTTGGAATCTAAATGCTTATCTTCCAGAAAAGACTACTCATCAATTAAACCCCATTTTTCTCCATAATTAGAAATAAGATATTGTAATTATAGCATTTTAAGAATTAGTAGAATTAAAGCCTTAAAATCTAATGATGAGCACTCACTAAAAGCATAATTCTCAGAATTATTGGGAATAAATTATATTAAATAACTTAGGCAAAGGTTACTTTCTAGTCACTGCAGCGAATTTAGTCGGAATTTAGACTTATATTTTTGCAAAAAGTGAAATGAATGGCAGAATTACAAATATTTAATTTGATAGCGTGAAATGTGGTTTTGTTGGACAGTTAGGAAACAAAGGTGGAGTAGCAATAAGATTCAATGTGGATGATACTTCTATAGCAGTTTTAAACTGTCACTTACCTGCTGGTTAGTCTAAAGTCAGCGATAGAATTAGTTCTCTCTAACAATGCATTTAATATTCGTTTTAATAAGAAGGAATGGCTACCTACAAAAAGGTATAAATAAATAAATAAAATAATATTAAATTATATCTAATTTGAAATGAAAAAACAATATTTAGCTAAGAAAATATTTTAAATTAAATAGGAACCTATTACAAAGTCAGACAAATTAATTTTAATGGGTGATTTAAATTTCAGAATAGATAAAAAATATGCAGATTGTATTTCTGTAATTAACAAAGTTCTAGATTTTAGAAAGGATTTTAAACTAAAAGAGGCTCAAAGCTTGATAGATGAATAGCTTTTGAATTATGATTAAATTTATAGTCTCAGAAAGTTGTAAGGCAGACCCATTTCTGTTTCGAGTTTATCTGGATCAGGGTAATAATAGGGGCAAGGATCGATAGAAATGCAGCAATAAGGAATCCCAAAAAGTAACACTTTCAGTGCTGGTGATGGATAAAATAGCTTAGATAAAGCAGCCGTTTTCAAATTCCTTTATGAAAAACGTATTCATTTCCTTCCCACATATAAATTTGATTCTGGAACTAATATTTATGATACATCAAAGAAGCAGAGAGTTCCATCTTACTGTGATAGAATATTTATTTGGGATATTGAAAACGATAATATCAATATAGAAAACTAGTTTCTTCTTTATGAGAGCTGCAATATAGATAATTCAGATCACAAACCTGTATGTGCAGTGCTTTAGTTCCAAGTTAAATAAATAAACAAAGATATAAGAGAGTAAATAATAGCAGAGATATTAAGTCTACAACTGGAAACAAACAAAGATGTTGAAGCATTAAGAAACACAAACAAACCTTAAAGTGAAAGTGATTTAGATCTCAATTCAATACTTTCAAAAAATGAAAACAATAACAAAATTAGCAACAACAACAACAACAATAACAACAACAATTATAATTTTAGTGAATAGGAGCTAGCAAATATTTAATACATAAAAAAGCACCAAAATAATGATTTAATAAATTTCACTACATAAACTACAGCTTGCACTTTCAATAGCAATAACAACAACAATATCAATAACAATAATAAAATACAAGGTGATAAGGTGCATCAAGGCACAGTTTACACTAGCAAAACAACATCTTATTAAAATAAAAATAATTAAAACACTACTGTTTTGAGTAATAATTACAATGATTCTGGCACTGTTTGGAATTTTGATTTCAACAATTTTAATTAAAGTAATTAACCAGAACAAACTCGTTAAACTAATAATTAATAAAGCCAATTTGCACATATGAAAAAAAACAATCATGTTGATTTGCTTGATGATAACTTTTTTGATACTCCCCCAAACCCAAATCTATAAGATGAACTAAGAGAAATAAAGTTGTTATAAGATGTTTCTGCTGCAAGTTATGGACAATAATTCAACTTTGGAAGTAAATAAGTCTCACAAGAAAATACAGATTTTTATAGCTAAACTCCCAACCTTCTTACACTTGAGTCTGATAAGCCTAATTAACCCTATGCTTCTAATTTATTACATTATAATAGAAATAGCCTCTAACAATATTAATAAAACCAAGTTTTTTAAAATAATCATATGAATCAATAATAACATCAAAACTAATAAAACAACGTCTACAACCCTTAATTGAACTATTACTTATAATAAAATTAAAATCAGATGTAGTATGGATTTACATAACAAAACTAGACTAATTATTAACAAAAATGATAAATTATTATGATATTTTATTTATAATATTAGATATACTTTTTGTATGTGTGTATATCAAATTTTGTATTTTTTAGTAATAAAAATAAATAAATTTAATCTGCAATTAACAAGAGATTAAAATATACCTTAAAACTGTAAATGTTGATACTTTTATAAAATTTATAATGTGAATTAAGGCTTATTTTATGATTTCATAGCCTATTCAAAAGAATAAAAATCTCTAATTAACAACATATGAAAATTTATAATAAATAATTTAAATAATATTTACAAAAAATTTTAAACTTAAATTCTTTCATTTTTACAATAATACATTTTATATTTTAGAAAATTGAAATCAATAATTTACATTTTTATTTTTTTGTTAACTTGGCTTAAAAAAATATTTATGATGAGTAGTTAGTTACTTGTATTTTGATAAATAATTTGTAAAAAAAACATCTTTTTAAACATACTATTAAATAAATATATATTATTATTTAATCAGCAAGAAAATCAAATAATTACAAACACAAAGAAATTTTTTTAGTTTAATATTTTTAATAAATTGTTTTATTTAAAAAATGAATTAATTTTTCAAATATATATATTGCTTACACACTATTTTTATAAACAAAATCAAAATAATTTAGTTAAAAAATATTGAACAATAAGATAATTCCAGAATTATTAGAATTATCCAGTTTCTTTTTTGAATAGCTTTTTTCCGAAAAGATTTAGTAAACATTCTCTTGAATTTATTTATTTATTTAATAAAATGAATAAATTTTATATTAAAAGACTGTTTACAAAATATTTTGTTTGGATTTATACTAAATAAGATATAAATTTTAAAGGAAGTAATACATTTAGATTTGAAAATAATGAAAATGGAACATTATATGATTGAGTTATCTATGAAATTGATTGATAAAATTTATAATATGTACTAGATGCTAACAAATATCTTGTTAATTTTACAGACAAATGTCATTAAAAACTAATTTAATATTAAGTCTTTCTATCATAATTATTTTACAAAAGAATCCAAATATTAGCGGATATTAGCTCTACCTTATTTTTTGCAAGTATCAAGGTCTTTAGGGTTTTCCTAAAAGCATTATTATGTTTATAACTACCAATAAGCTATTCTAAATTTGAACTTATTTTAAAAGCCTCCTACTTTTTAGTCAACATTTTTCATGCAATTCACAAATTCGTTTTCTTTATGAATATTAGCACATTTTTATGTTTCATCTTAAATTTTTGAAGTAACTTTATGAGCAGCTTCGCTAATAAGGTCTTGATTACTCTCTATAAATTTTTCTAGCTCAGTTAATTTGGGCTTTTGCATTTTTCCGTGGAATTTTTAATGTGGGTTCTACATCTAATTATATATCTTCTTTCTTTTATGTTTTTACTTATCTCCTAAATTATATTTTAAAATTGTATATATAATAAATAAATAATTAAATCCAAATAATTTAATTAGGCATTTTAGCTAATTAATCAGCTAAATGCAAACAAATCTAATTTATTTCTAAATTTATATTCAGTTTGTCTTACCTGTACTAAAACTTCAATTTATTCATTTAAAACATTTTACTTAAAAACTTCATTAATTTTATGCACTACAAAACCATCCATGAAACTTCCTTTATCTATAATAATTTAATAAGAATCAATATTTAAATGGGCTGAGTAAATAAATAAATATATTATTTAAAATAAGCTTTAATACCAACTTATTGTGCTTAAATTATACTTAATGACAAATATAATCTATTATTTTATCTTTAATATTATGTAATTACAAAAATTAATGCTATCTGAATAAAAAGTAATTCACACATTATATATAAAATTCAAATTATAAATAAAAGAAATTTTTTTGAGAAATAATTTGGTTTATTGTTTGTATTTATAATTTATTAGACCTAAATTAATCATTTAAATAAACATTTATTTGCACTAAAAAATAATTTTTAGTACTTTCTTTTTGTTCCTTTTTGTGTGTGTTTAAGCAGAAAATTATCAGAAATATTTTGAAATTTAACTTTGTTCAATATTTAAATCTAAATTTGATATGATCAGTGAATAATAAATAAACAATATTAATATTGATTTTGTACAATTGATTTTTGTTTTAAACAAAAATATTTATTATTTATCTATCTTATTAAATTTTATAAGTAAAAAGCTTTCAATAAATAAATATACTACCTGCTTTTAAACATGTAGTAAAGATTATAGCACAATTATTATGATAGCAACCATCCAAGCTAAGCAAAGACACCATAGAATCACCATTCGCAATATGAAAGCTTAATGGAATCTCCATAAATAGTAAAATTTTCACAATGAATTTGTAGATATTAACTTCTATTTAGCTAATCAATAATGTGATAGATATTATTCTCAAAAAATTTTACTAATTTATTAAAAGGATTAAAGAACTCCAAAATGCATAACTTAGAGAAATTCTTAAATAGTTAGTAACAATGCATTAAGTCCATATCTGAGGAATATTATAATTAATGAATAGCAATTAAATTAGTAATTAGAAAGCACTCCTTCAGAGATAACATAATATGTTTAGTAGAAAGCAAAATAAATTCCGTATAATCAGTAGAATTTTAGTGGAGGAAATATTATTAGCTCTTAGTAATAGTAATTAAAGGAAAGTAGTATTTTAAATAATCATAGCAACAATGGTAGAAGTTATAATTAGAATTAGTAAAATTTTAGGAGTGCACAACTGACAAATAATCAGAATTAGTTTTTGGGCATAGAAAATGATAATCCTTTAGATATTAGAAATGATCGCCACGTTATATCTAATGCAGTTAATGATACGTTTCAGCACGAAATCAATTATAGCAACAATAAAATGAATAATCCCTTAAATAATTATATCATAGGAAATTAAATGAATCAAGGCAATAAAGAAGAATAAAATAATTATTATGTTATATCTTCACTTCAATCTACTTCTTAAAATGGAAGTGTAGATGTATCACAGTATGGAAATAATTCTGTAGATAACAAATATCCATACTAGTAAAATTATTAATCTGGTTAGAACTATTCCTCTAAGTTATAAAATGACATGCATCTAAATTAAATCAAGAATATAGAATAAGAAAACCTGCTTTCACAAATGCAAGAAAAAATAAAGTTTTTAACTACTGAAAACGAAGAATAGAAAAAAAAAATTAGGAACTTCAATCAATAGGTTTAGAATGGAGGTGGGAAGGGCTAAACAACTCATCTATATGAAAAATTAAATACAATTAGCAATTAAATTGAAAGTTTAAGCAATTCATAGGTAAATTCAGATATTTATTTTTTCATTCGTTTTCGTTTCAAAAAAAATTAAAAATTTACTGATAAAATTCATAAAAAATTCCTTTTACTAAAAAATAAGTGAGTAAAATATAGTTTGTTAATAATTATATTAACCAAAAAGAGTTTATCAATTAAAAGATACTTAGATAAAGATAGAAAGACTTGTTTTGATTACTTTTCAAATTATTTATTTTATTCTACAAAATTAAATTAAAATAATATTTTTATTTCTAAAAACAGCTAAAATTAGACTTAAAAAAGCTAAATACTCAAAACTCAAGCTAATTTAGGATTGATTCTAGTAGAAGTTAAATTACAAAGTCAGAATTTGACCATACTCCAAAGGAATCTATATAAATGGAAAATTTAGACAAATATAGGAAAACTCAAACGAAAAATAAGTAAAAGAGTAAGAATCATCATCGTCATAAAAAAAATAGCAGTCATAAAAAAAAGAGAAATCATAGCAGCAGTAATTCAAGTATAACTAGCAGCAGCAATAGCAGTAATTATAGTGGAAGTAGCAGAAGTTAAAGTAGCTCTTCCTCTTTTGATAGTGACTAAGAATATGGTAAATATTTAAGGAAAAATAATAACAAAGTGAAAGTGACAAAAGAATATAACTCAAAAAGAGAAGATATTTTATAAGATAGATCAAAGAATATATCTGCTTCTAAAAGAGAAAAAAGCAAATCAAAACATAGAAAATAAAAAACTGAAGACGAAATTCTAAAACTTGGGTCTTTGCTAATAAAAGAAGTCAATTTGAATAGGAAACTAAGAGATCTATTTATGAATACCATTGGATCTACTGAGCAATTTAGGAGAATGCTTGTGGAAAAGAAGTTTACTAATGCCTTCCTAGGAGTCCTTAAGGTCTTTTTGGATGTACTAACAATCATAAGTTTTAACAAAAAAACCTCCTCTCCTCCTACTCATAGCCCATCTTCTTATTCTCCTATGAATCAATTGACTAATACTTCAACATTTACTACCTAATCAAATGTTTAGTAAAGAAATCCAATACTATCTTAAAGTAGATTCAATATTCCTCCTCATCTGCATCTAAAAAATTTAGATCCATAATCACAGCCTTTTATTAATTAGTAAAGCTTTTTTTTAATATTTTTTTAATTCTTATTTCAAATATATTCTTTATATTTTATATTTAAAAACATTTAGAAACTTTTAAAGCCCTTAAAATGGATACATAGGACCTTATATGACAGATAGAATATACAGCTAACACAGTAATGGATAGCATTCACCATTAACTTCACATAGCTTTGTATCTGTAAAATAAGGAAACTAGCACTTTCCAGCTTCAACCACCTCTTAAAGAGACTATTCCCCTCTTGACCATGGATTAAATAGCATAAATAATTAACAAAACTCTAATATTTATTACTAAATGCATGGCTAAAATCAGTAGCTTAGATAAAAAGCTAACATAAATAATAATGGAAACCATGTATACGATTTAAATCTATCAAACATCAACAGAAAGACATCAAATCATAATATGAATTCCTAATCTGTTACAGGTTAAAACAGTGGAAGTGATACATACAGATAACAATTTGAATCTTTTAACCATCCCTCTCCTACCATAATCTAAAATAAGCATATCTATCAAAGCTAGAATGATATTTAGAAATTTGGTAAACATTTTATTCTTCATAATTTTAGTTTATTTAATCTTAAATAAAACTAAAAAATATAATTTTTAAAACTAATATTGATAAAGATCTCATTTCATAAATAATAATTTATTAAACCTAAAATTAAATAGATATTCTTAATTAAAAAAATGTTTATTTATCATTTTATAATTTAAAAACATTTTTATTTTAAAAGCATTTAATTTAATTAAAAAATAAATTAATTTGATAGTTTAATTTTTAATTAATATAAATATAATAAAGTGTCAAGCCCATATTTTAATAATGCGAATAGTAGCTCAAAGAAATAATTGCAGGAGGAAGGAATTAAGATATAACAGCATTACATGAGAAAACTTAACAATGAAAATGACTGGAATGAAAATAGCATCTAAGATGAAAACGAATAGTTTGAAGAAATTTAAAATTAAAATAATTTGAGATCTAATAGCAATAATAGAACTCAACAGAAATATGATAAATCTAAATAATAGTAAAAATAATAAATCATTAATAAATAAACATAATTTTAAGATGAGAGAGGATATTAGAATCCTAATAAATAGAATTACTAGTACGATGATTCAGAATATAGCTAAAATATTTTAATTTCAAAACAAAATAGCATTTAAAGCTAGAATTCTCATGTTAGTATAAATTAAAAATCATATTAGAATTTATAATAAAAAAGCAACACTAATCATGAAAATTTAAGTTAATCAAGGAATAAAAGCAGAAGCACTTCTCCTTATAATTAGATAAATTAGGAGTAATCATAAAACTAACAAAATAAAGTTAGATAAGTGTCTCATACAAATTAAAATAAATAAACTGAAAATATGTTAAGTGTTTAAAGATTATAAAATAAATCCATTAATCATGTAATCAGTCCAAGGAGTGCAATAAGCCCTCTTAAAAGCTAAAACATGTATCAAATATCTTCTTCTGTGCCTGAAATAGAAATGGATAGTGACTCTTAAGAAGTTACTTAGCAATCTAATAAATAAAATTAGACTTTAAAAAAGTAATAAAAAAACATTAAAAATGATAAATTAGCAGCTTCAACAAGAAATAAATCTTCAAACAGGTCCTTTGTTTTTGATGATGACTAACTTTCCTCTAACTCTACCACAAATAATAAATAGAAGCATGTAGGATTTACACCAAAACAGAGCACTCCTAGAGATAGAGATAAAAAATCTTCTCACTCTCCAGCTATAGGACTCATGCCTTGTATGAAGTTAGTAAGGGCATCTCATAATGGTGCTTTGACTCCCTCAAAAGCAAGTATTGTAAATATTAAAGCTGATCTATCATCAAAAGGATCTCATACTAATTTAGACAGTAAAAATAATAGCTTTTACAGCAATAAAAATTAATCTACAAATGAACTTCACAAACCAATAAAGTAATCTCCGATAAGCATAGAATTTGTTGGAGCAAAAAGAAAAATCTAGCCCGAGTCATCTAAAACAAGAGATTTTGATATAATTAATGGAAATACAAAATAACAATAAAACCATTAAAATACTTAAGTGCAATAAATAGAAAAGAAAGAGTAAAATCAACTCTAAATACCTCAAATAAAAATCCTAGATGCTGATCCGACTACACCTAATTCTTAAAATAAACAAAATAATTATCATACTGATAATACACAAACTCCAACATTAAAAACAAATGGTCAATGATTCTAAAAGAGAAATCTTACTTAAATAACTAATTTTAATTAAATTAACATTTTTTGATTAATTTGTAATATGATATATTAATTTATTTTATATAATTCTCATTAAATATTAATAACTAATTAAAACTACTTCATCATATAAAAAACTACCTATTGCTATTTTCTGCATAATAAAATAATTAATTAACAATATATATATTTAAACACTATTGTATTCTTTGTAAAAAATAATGAATTGCTTAATTGTAAATTAAAATATTAAAAATAGCAAATTAATATGTAAAATTTAGTAAATTTATATTTAAAAAAAATTGCATTAATTAAACAAAATAGTTAACTTATTTGTAGATATAAAGATAAATTGATAGATAAATTGATTTATTAATAAATTGTATGGTAAACACTCTGTATATGATTGATGATTGGATATTTTATAAAAACATGCATAATAGTTGACAATAAGCAATCAATGTAATTTTTTTAACTTGTTTGTAAAAAAAATAATTAATTATTGTTAAACTTAATTGAATTCTTTTAAAATTATAAATTTCTGATATTATTGTTAATTAATTTAATTAAGTGTAGGAAGTTATTTAAAATCTATAGATAGGTCAGCTGTAAATCATATCGAAGTAATAGATTTCTATTGATTTATATAAAACTTAGCAAGGATCCATTAACATTTATCTGGCAAGTCTTTATCTTGCAAACAATTGGCTAATAATCATATTATTCTGCATCCAAATAAAATATAAATACGTTGAAAATTAAATTGTTTTTCAATAATAGGATAAGCAAAGTAGTTAACAAATATAATCAGAAAAATACAAATAAGGTATGAGCAGTTCTGAAAAATAAAAGGAATATGTAGTACAGAAATCCATAGATAGCTTAAATACAGATAGGAGGGAGTCTGATTAGAGTAAAAAATTGAAGAATTTATATATCATGTTGCATATTTTATCATGGTTGCGTTTAATTTACTTTAAATAATATACAAATAAATATTGTTTAAAAAAATTTATTAAACACAAATGAGTAATTTCATTGATACTGACTTTCTTCAAGCAAAAGTTTACTAATATTTTTTAAGTAATATTATCTTGTTTATATACTGTTAAGGTGCGAAGTAGACTGGATTACCTGAAATTCTGAAGCGTCCAAAAGAGAGAAAGTATGGTTAAGATGTTTTAATAGAACAATAGTAGAAATTAAGATCATCTTACAATGGTCGATTACTCACTCAAAGCGAAAAGCTAAATATTTAATCGTCTAACCCAAACTTTTCAGAAAAATAAGATGATAATTTATACTCACAATTAAATATCTCTTAAGGATATGTAGTATAGAGTTGCCAACAAGAAAAAAATAGAGATAGTATAAGTTTAGCTAATGATGATGTTTCTCTTTTGAAAAGAGGAAACTAGAGTAGTGCGACATTTTTAAAGCAAGAGCAAGATTTTGAAAACGAATCATTACTAACAAGAACAAACGATAAGAGCTCAAAGGCTCAAAAATCATACACATCTTTTGCATAGTAGGTGAAAGGTGGAGCTTACTCTCTCAATAGAAACAATAACTCATCTTATGGATAAAGAAAACTTGGTTATTCTTCTAACTAAATTTAAAAGTTGGATGAAAATATTAGAATGCTAGAATAAAATTTATAACAACTGAAAAAAAGCCAGGTCAAGACGCAATAAAATAAGAAACTTTCTAGTAGCCCTTATAAAGCAAGACCTATAACAGCTTCAGCTGAAAAGAAAATAAATGAAGAAAAAATAGAAGCCTACAATAGGCTTTATAACATTGATGAAAATCTACAAGATTAAGATCATTTAATTGTGAATTTCAATGCCAACTATTATAATAAGAAAAAACCTGCTCGCCTTGGAATAAACAACGTAAAATCCAACAACTTGTATTTAAACATTTTTTAAATAATATTTTCCATTAAGTTGATTTAAACTATTTAAAAATAAATTCATTATTCACAATTAAACAAAAGCTTGATAAAAAAGCACAAATATCTCCTCAAGTTATCCAAGAAGCCATTAAATATGAAGAAAAGCTAATCTAAAATAAAAAGCAGCAAGAAGCGAAAAAATTTTCTGGTTCAGGCCAAAACAATTTAAGAATCAGAAAATTAGAAACAACAAAAATGATAAAAGAAACACCTCTATCAAACAGCAAAAGAATAAATACAATCGAAGAATCTAATTAAAATGTACCGTTTTCAACAGTAAAAAATTAATTTTTATTCATCATAAAATATTTTTTATTTAAAAAAATAAAATAATTACTTTGGTTTCTCTGTAAACAATGTTAAAATTTATAATAAAAATAGCTATATAAACCTTTCTATAGACTTTAAAAAATATTTTATTTATATTATGTAGAAAGGAAATTTAATAAAGAAACTTTACATTAAATTTATTGATAAAATAAATAAAAAAATTAGAATAGTAAAATATAACTAAAAAGCTATATTTTTTGAAAATAGCTTATTATAGTTATTTAAAATATTTTTAAACTTAATGGTAAAAAGTATTTATCTAATAAAAGACTGCTGCAAAATCTACAAAGCCAGAGCTTTCTGAAAAGAGGGATTTTAGTGATACTCAAAATTTCAGTTTGTAAGATGTAACAGCTAATAATTAATCTACAAAAAGTAAAAATGAACTTGATAACTACAAATTAGGTCCTTTAATAGGTATTTTATAGTTAGATGTCTTATTTAAATTACTAATGAACATTATCATATATTAGGAAAAGGATCATATGCAACAGTAAGACTTGCAACAGACTTGGCAACAAATGAATAAGTTGCTATTAAATTCTATGAGAAATTTAAGCTATTTGACCCTCAAAAAAAGAAAAATGTTCAAAGAGAAATCTCTATCCTTAAAAAAATTTCTCACCCACATTGCATTGGAATGCAAAAAACATTTGAAAATAGCAAAAATGTAATTAAAGTGTTTATTCATAATTTATTGCTTTAGAAGGATCTTTTTTAAAATTAATCTAGATTACATTTAATAATTATTTTTAATTTAAATGTATTACTTTAAAATTTAATAACTAAATAACTATTAAAATTAATATAAAGATATGTGTTGTGATGGAATATGTTGGTAAAGATTCTCTTTATACCTATTTGAAGAGCTTTGAGGGAAGAAAGTTACCTGAAGAGGAAGCTAAAAGAATTTTTAAGTAAATAATAAAAGGAGTTAGTTATCTCCATACAAACAATATAATTCATAGAGACATGAAGCTTGAAAATTTATTAATGGATGATACTAAAAATATAAAAATTATAGATTTTGGATTTTCAATAATGATACCTCCAGATAAAAAACTAAACATATTCTGTGGTACTCCAAGTAAAATTAATTTATTTTTTCAAAGCATAAAACTATGTTTCATAATTTTATTTTATAAAACCTTAATAACTTATTAAAATTTAAATTATAAATAATAAAGGCTATATGGCACCAGAAATAGTTAGTAAAAAGGAGTATTATGGTCCTCCAGTAGATATTTGGGCGTGCGGTATATTGTTGTATGTAATGCTTGTTGGTACTTTTCCTTTTAAAGCAGCTGATGATAAGACATTATATTTTAAGATTAGAAACGGTAATTATGATTTACCACCACATGTAAGTGTAGGTGCAAGATAAATTTTAAAGAAAATTTTAAACGTTAATTATCATGAAAGAGCAACAGCTGAAGAGGTAATTAAGTTTTTCTGACATTTTAGAATACTCTAAATATTAATTTTTATCATATTAATAGATTCTTATGGATACATGGGTTAGCCCTATGAATATAGTAAGAAAAATAGATGAGTTAAGAGCTTAAATTAAATAAAAATAAAATGTAAATTCAATTAATGACGAAGAAGAAGTAAATCAAAATAAAGAGCATTGAATTAAAAAAAAGATCTTCCCAATTTCACAAGTTTTTTTTGATGAGGAGAAATTTATTATAAAATATTTGACAAACAAATAATACTTTAATTTTCATAACTTTAATTAATAAAAATACCACAAAAAGCTATTCATTCAATTAATCAATAATAAATAGATGAATAAAATTAAATATTAAAAATAAAAATTTACTTTCTCACACTGATTTGAAATATCAATTATTTAACTAATATCACTTTTATAAGGATTAATATATGTATTTATATATAATTACTGTGTGTACTCTCAATTTTGAGAAAATATTCGGATTTCATGTAAGCCCTCAAAATTAACAAAATATTTTATAAATTACAACTATTTGATTTTGTATTATAGATTATATTTCCTGATTGAATACAATATACTTTTAATATAAAGCACTCTTCAAATATAAATTGAAGAAAATGTTTTTTATATATTTTTATAAAAGATAATATTTTAATTCATAATTTTTAAAAATAGAATTCACATCTTACTATTATTTGATAGTAATTAAAATATTTTACTAATATTTTATTTTATTTAATAAAAAAATATTTACTATTTTAGTTTGCTTATGTTAACATTATAAAATTAAAATCATAAAGTACACTGCTGATTCAAAATTCTCTTAAAATTATCTTTTTATATTAACGAGATTAAGTAGAATGTGTGAATTAAATATAAATACATACTATTTATATTTTCAGGCAAAATAATTCTTTTATGGAATTACTGAATATATGAAGCAATTAATATACCTCTTCGTTTATAAAATATTTTGTATAATAGAGGTACCTAAACATCTTTTAATCTTACTGATATTACATTAATATTATTAAATTCTATTATAATAAAGGCTAATTGTAAAAATGATATTTAAATATAAATATTTCTTGATAAAGATACAAATAATCTAAGTAAATGTGAAATTATATCAAATAGAAAAAATTTAATTTTATTAATTGATTTTAAGAAAGATACTCATTTATTTATTTAGGTAGTTGAAAAATTGTTTTTTATTTTTCTTCTTTTAATAAAAGATTTTGTAACAAATTCTTCTTGCAAACACTTTTTATTTTATTCAGATATTCTAAAATAAATTTAAAATGCAAATTAAAATAATTTTAAGAAGAAACTTCATTTAATAAAAAATAAATCAGTTTCTCATTTTTGCTATAAAAATATCATGTTAAAGTCATTTTATTTTTATCACCACTTATTTGTGAGGTTTCAAAAATAAATATCTTTTTATTGTATTTTTAATTTATCACCACAAACAAATTAAATTACTTAAACATTCATGTATTATACAAGAATTTTTTGAATAAATACAAGTAGTGATTTTTAGGAAAGAACAATTAAAAATTTTGAGTTTCTAATTGATAATTCAATCAATCAATAAATCAAATTACCCTATTTAATATTAAAATAAATTACAAATTTCATTTTTAAATTTTTAGTTTTAAAATATCTTAGAGGAGCATTTATTTTGTTATATATAAATTAGAGAATCATTTAAATATATTGAGGTTTTATGGTATGATACTTAATTAGCAATACAAATATTAAAAGATATTAAGCAAGTAAGTGTAATTTATATACCAAATTTAGCAAATAAAATTTTTTTAAATATCAAATAGATTTGATTGGTGATAACTGAATGTTACATGAATCTTTTGTTAAAAGGTGTAATTGGATATAGATTTTTTTATTCTTTTTCTATTAAAATTTGAATATGGGGAAATAGTTTTTGATTGCTATTTTTATTTGATTTTAAAAGATTATGTAAATTACATTTGAGGAATAATTAACATTAGAGTTGAAAGCACCTTAATTAGAAAATATAAATTACACTATTTTTCCCACATCTTTTAATTTAAGAATTTGTAAGTATTATTGATAATTCGAACTCATTAGAAAGCAAAATATGATGTAAATTTTACCAATTCTTAAATCATTTTTAATTAATTATTATCCGCAAATTTAGAAAATAGAGTATTTCGAATCTTTTCTTTTTCTTTTGGTCATTTGAACTTAAAAAGGTTGAAAACAAAAAAAATATTTACTATTTTATGTTAATTAAATTATTATAATGAGATGAGGCAAAAATTTATTATTAAATAAATCTATTTGCTTATTTATTTTTAAATTTTCTTTTAATTTTTTTTAATATATTTGTAAATTTTGCTTATTTAAATTTATTTGATAATGTGCAATTTATTTTTCCTCTTCATCAATATATGTTTTGATTGAAAATATAATAGTAAGAACTAAGGGGAATTATTTTGAAATTATAAATTTTAAGCACATTCAAGCAAATTTAATAATTGAGGAGACAAGTTACAGAGGCAAATCAATTTTATTTATATGAATTTTTCTTGTAATATTCATGACATTATCAAGGAGATTCCATCATTTAAATACAATAAATTGAAAAAATCTATTTATATTTTTTAATTTTTGTAAAAATTATAATTTACAATAGATTAAAATATAAAGATAGATGATTAAAAATGAAAGAATAAGCACTGGATTTTCTTTTATTTTCAATAAATTTTTTAATAAAGAATTTTTAAAACTAATTTTTGTTCAGCTTATAGTTTGTTCGATCAAATTTTAGTAAGGTCTTCAATAATTTAAGGATGAATCAGCACAAACCTAACAGCTTAACAAAATTTTAACTCATTTACAAAGTAAAGTAATAGTAAATTTAAAAAAAAAATAGTGCTTAGAAGCCTGTAAAAGAAGCAAATCTTAATGATTGGTAAAGAGTAATATACTTCTGCAATCAAAAAATCAACAAATTAAGTTTTTAAAATATAAAAGCCTTAAAAGAAGTTTAAGTTACGACAGTAAATTGAGAAAGCTTTTAAAAAATTAAGCTATTTAGGTAATGTATTCAATAAATTAAAGATTATATTCTTATAATTAACTCAGTTTAAGTAGTAAAATCTTTTAATTAACAAATACATTTTAGGTGAATTTAAAAAGTCTTTTAATTGCTGGAAAAATCATAAAAATGTTTTATTTAATGTTTATGTTTTTCATCTTACATTCCTAAAAAAATACTTACAAAATTATGATTAGATTTATTTTAAATGTTTAAAAGGAAAAAAGAAAAATTAAATTTTTTTACCCCAAACAAATGATGTATGGAATTTAAGAGAGTTAGTCATAATTAATATTAAATCTAAATCACGTCAGCTTTGCTTTATAATAAAAATTGATGACAACAATTAAATCTAAAATAGATTATATACTTAAAATTTTGAAATTGTTTCTAAGAAGGTAAAGCTGACGTAATAATCTTTTTTTTTATTTCTAAATAGAATTTTTTGTAAATATTAATGAGGAAATAGTTTATAAAAAAAAAGATCTACACGAATTTGAATATAAAATTTTTATTACTCGCTTACAGTATGCATCTTTTTTTAAAGGAAAAAGGAAACTTTTGATTTGTTGCTGATATGAATATTATTTAAAAGCAATTATAGTTTCGTTTTTGTTTTTGGCATCAAAAAAAATAAATGAAAAAGATATATATGATAACAAACAATTCTATTTAGATTCTCTTTTTATAACCTTAAGAAAAAAATTGGATTGATAACAAGATGAATTTTAAAAGAATTAACAATATACTCAAACATAAAGATGTATTATGCATAAAATAAATTATTAGAATAGAAACGTAATGCAATTATACTTTTCATGAATTTTGTAACATAGAATTAAAGGAGTTATAATAAGTGATTTATTATAGAAATAAAAATAAGAAGTAAAAAATTAATAAATAAATATTCGGTGAAACCTAGAGATTGAAAAGAGTTTTGATTTTATAGTTGGTCTGTTTAATTCTGAAATCAATGAAAACACAAACCAATTTATGAGGAATTCTGATAGAATATAAAAATTTATCATCATATATTATATGAAATTTATTGAAATAAAGCAAAGAATTATTTTCTGATTACTTTAAAAAAGTAATATTTACCAAAAAAAAAAAAGATCAATCAAATTAATCAAAAAACAATTCATAAAATCAAATTTTAAGAAAAAAAGTCACATTAAAATAGGTAAAAATTACATCATTTGAACGAATATTTTAAAAACTAGTACCTATTAAGTTATTAAAATATATTTTTTTTTAACAGCAAAAGTAATTAAAAAAAGTCAAAGCAACTATGTTCCTATCAAGATTTACTAATTCATCTAAAATGCTTCACTGCATCTCAAGAATGAACTCCTCAACTTTCAAAATTCTTAATGACATTCCCAAAGATAATACTGTTCCTTAATTTACTGTTGGTCGCAAAAATGGTTTCCTTCCTTGGGGTGCTCCTTTAGCTCGTCTTCCTGAACCATTCTAAATCATAGATGAAATCCTTGACGAAGCTCCCTACTACAAACGTGACGGAACTCCAGGTAAATTAGCTACTGGTAGCTTTGGAGAGTACGTCAGAGAAAAGCTTCCTCTCCTCGATGTTTCTAACATTAAGGATTCAGCTCTTTTATTTGCTCTTTATCGTGACTACACTTTCTTGACTAGTTAATATATCCTTGAACCTTGCCATCTTCATTATATCGCTACTAAATCCAAAGACTATGGACTTGGTCGTAGTAGACTTCCAGCAAATATTGCTATTCCCCTTGTTAGTTTAGCTAAATAACTTGGAGCCAAGCCCTTCATGGAATACACTTGTTATGCTACTTATAACTGGTAGAAGATTGATCCTACAGGTAACTGCGATGCTCAAAATATCAAACTTGTTCGTCATTTAGAAGGTTCATAGCACGAAACTGGGTTTGTTGCAGTACACATTGCCATGGTCCAACACTCTGGCGAACTTGTATCAAATGTTTAAGACGTTCTTGACGCTGTTGAAAAGAGAGACAGAGAAGAATTTGACATCTGTCTTAAGAAGATGTTGACAACCACCAAAATTATTAATGTTAAGATGGATACTATGTGGGAGTATTCTTCACCAAAAGCTTATAATAACTTCCGTACCTACATCATGGGCACAAAAAGTTAACCTATGTTCCCTAATGGTGTTGTCTATGAAGGTGTTTCTGAAGAACCAACCTTTTATCGTGGAGAAAGTGGTGCAAATGATTCTATAGTTCCTACTATTGATAACCTCCTAGAACTTACTGATACTATGCCTGATAATCCCTTCACTGCTATCTTAAAGGATTTCCGTACATACCGTCCAGTAAATCACAATGCTTATTTGAGCTATGTTGAAGAAAAAGCCAAATCAATTGGTGTCCGTGCATTCGCCACCTAGGATTCTAACTCTACTGTTCTTTACTAGGCACTTCTTGATTAAGTATCTGAATTCAGAGAAAGACATTGGAGATTCACAAAGAATTATATATTAAAGTACTCCAAACACCCTCGTGCCACTGGTGGCTCTCCCATCATTACCTGGCTACCAAACTAATTAGCAACAGTTATGCAAGCCATAGTTAATATCTAAAATTTCATAAAAGAAGACGAATTAAGCCACGAAAATAAGCAATTATATGTAGAACTTACCAAAAAAGCAGATACTTAATTACGTATCTTAAGGAGAGAAGTAGAAGAACTTAAAAAGGATTATCCTGGATAAGACATTGACTTCTAAGAAGTCGAAGGATACAAACCTAAAAAAGTAGAAACCTAATCAGCAGCTACTTTTGGATAAGCAAAACCAGCAGTAGCTTGATTATCAATATCATCTATATTTATTAAATTTTGTATATTTTATTAGTATTTAGTATTATTAAAATTCTAAAGTCAGCTTTTAATCAATCAATTAATTATTAATTAAGTAAAATTTACATTCAAAAGATTTGCCATTTGATTTTTTTGTTTTCTTTAAACAATTTTTTTTAATTACATAAAAATTCAATAATTTCAACAAAAAAAAATTGATTTCCATAAAGAGAGAAGGTTAAGTTTTTGGTTCCATTTCCTAAAAAATAAAATTAAAAAGATTTTAGAATCTGTATTATAAAATAATTATATTTTTAAAAATCAGAATATTTTTTTTAAAATTAATATGAGTTTATGAGTTAATTAATTAAATATTTTTAAAAAAAATAGTTGATTCCTGGAAAAATTTAATATGATTTTTATAGGTTAAATAAATAAAATTATACTAAAATTATTTAAAATTAATTATTAATTTAAAAAAAGAAAATTATAGATTTTACAATCTTTATTAGAAAATTAATATATTTTTAAAAACCAGAAAATCATTTTTAAAAATTTAAATGAAAGAATGAATTAATTAATTAAATATTTAAAAAAAAATAGTTGATTCCTGGAAAAATTTGATAATATTTTTTTAAAAAGGTTAAATAAATAAAAATTATTCTAAAAAGACTTAAAATTTATTATTAATTTAAAAAAAGAAAATTCACAAGATTTTACAACCTGTATTAGAAATTATTATATTATTAAAATCAGAATATCATTTTTAAAAATTAAAATGAAAGAATGAATTTATGAATTAATTAAATATTTAAAAAAAAGTAGTTGATTTATGGAAAAATTTAATATGATTTTTATAAGTTAAATAAAAGAATTATTATAAAATTTAAAATTAATTATTAATTTAAAAAAGAAAATTCAATAAACTATCCAATTAATTGTTGAGTTAATATTTTTAAATAATATTCTTTATAGTAGAAATAAGGTAAATGAAATAATCTAACTGTAAAGTTAATAAATTAAAGAAGTTATAATAATACAAATTTTTTATAATTTTTTCTTTAATGAGTATTTAAAATTTTTTAATTTATATGTATTTATGATTAATTAAAATTTAAAAAAGGAAATACACCTCAATTATCAGGTTGTAATAGTATGCTAATGAATATAATTATTAATATGATTATTTAATATTAAAAAAATAGAAAATTCACCAAAGCTATATATTTGTTTAGTAAATAACGTAAATTAATCAATAAAATTACAAAATTATTAAATTAATAAAATTCGTTAGCACACAAATTTTTTATGATCCTCTAATGAATAATAAAAGTTTATAAATGAATTTATATATTATTATGATTAATTACAACTTAAAACAAAAAAGAAATACATATCAATAATCTGATTGTAATAATATCTTAATGACTATAATTATTAATATGATTATTTAATATTAGTTGTAAATTAAATAATAGAAAATTTATCAAAGCTATTAAATTGCTGAGTAATATTTTAATATAATATTTTTTATAGTAGAAATAATATAAATTAATCGTGAGTTACAAAGTTAACAAATTAAAAAACTCAATTAATTGTTTGTTAGTAGTACACAATTTTTTTTGATGATCCTCCAAGGAATAATTAAAGCTTTTAAATGAATTTAAATATTATTAGTTATTACAATGTAAAAAAAAAAAATTCACGCGTATTATCAAGCTAAAGGTTATAGAAATATATTTATGATATTTAACGTTAATTCAAAAAAACAAAATTCACTTTTGCCTTCAAATTGTAAAATTAATATCTTTTTAAATTATATTCTTTAGAGTTGAAAAAAAATTAACCAGTTAAAATAGAAAGAAAATTAATTAAAGAGTTCATTAGCATACAGATTTTGGTCAAAAATATCTATTTAAGCATCAATATTATATATATATATTTATTGATTTAAATACCTACTTTCTATCAACTGAAACTGACACCACTTTTTAAATTCTCTTACCTCTCATTTAAATTTTTGACACCTTTATTTTTATTAGTATTTACATTTACAATATAGCAACTTCCATGAATTAATAAGATTAAAAGGAAAATTGAATACATACTGAGTACTACTTTGAATTATATATTGCGATGTTATAAATCATCATTTATTTAAACTCCAATTAATCTAAAGGATTATAAAATTCTTATATTAATAGTTATCATTAATTTAAATTTTTCATTTCTTAATTTTATTAATATTTTGAAAAAGAAATAGAAAAAATAAGCTTTTTCAAAATCTCTCTTTGTCCAAAATATTATCCTTAGTAAAAGTTTTTTTTATTAATAAGCTGAGACGTTAATTTAGAATTTGCTCATTATTAGCTTATGTAGATTCTAAATTTGTAAATACTCACTTCATTTTAGTTTGAGCACATTAACTTAATTTATAAAAAAAAATATGACTAAAATATTGAAATTTTATAGATTCATTTCTTATTCCTTTATCTATGAACAATTTTAAATAAATTATTATTTATAGAGTTGAGTGAATGATGTTAGTAAATTATCTATGCTAAATGATACATTAATTATAAATAATTAAATTTTTTGAATCTTTATAAAGATATTTCTTTTTTTCGATATAGATTTGTAAGAAAAAAAATTTTTTTCTTTCATTTATAGTGTGCAATAACCAATAGATTTTTGTTCAAAACGATAAATTAAATTTAAGCATTTGCGTCTCCACAACCTCTTTTTTCGAAAAATATTCAATATAAATGTGAAGTATAGAATGATTGATTTAATTTTATTTTAGCATATAATTTTTTCTATTTTATTTAAACTAACGAAAAAAATAAAATTAGGAAAATATTTTTTTAGAAAATAAATAAATTATTAAATATTTTTTTTTTAAATACAATAAAATATCATTTTATTTTAATAAGAGTCTTAAAATATCTTAGATTACATCATGTTGAGCTTTTTGTTAAATGATATTTTATGGGTAACTGGTACTTACCAAAAAAATCATGAAAAAATAAAAGTGGGTGACTTACTTTCTTTTTGTATGGACGGAGTTAGCAATGTCTTATTTGAGGAAAAACTTAATTACTTTAAGTAAAAAAAATTCAAGTTGAAAATTAATTCTGAAATTTCTTTTCAATTTTTTTAGGAAAATTGCTGATTTTATGTTTGTTTTTTCTTCAATTTATTTCATAATTTTGTTATTTTTTGTTTGATTAGAAAGTAAAATTAGATATTCGTAGTTGTTAAGGGGAAATTTTGGAAAATAAATTCAAGTCTCTTCAATTAAAAAAAAAGTTACAGAGGCAAATAAATTTTATTTTTTAGAACTTTTTAGTAAAATATCCATGATACTCTACTTATCAGTCAAATTTCACCAACTAAAAATAAAAAATTGAATTAATTTTATTTATAATTATTTAATTTTTGTAAAAATGTATATTGATTGTAATAGATTAAAGTATAGTGATAGATGAATATAAAATGGAAGAAAAAGCCTCTAAATTTATTATTTTACAAATAAATTTATTAATATAGATTTTTCATATTTCACTTTAGTTTGCTCAACCAAATATAAATAAGGTATATCTATATACTAAAGAATTATCAGCGTTAAATTCAATAATACTGCACCATTAAATACAATTTATCAAGCTAACTAAAATAATAGGAATATAAAGAAAAACTAAGCTAAGAAAAATTTTATTTAAAAGCAAAGTATGTTGGTAAACATAACTAGATATCTCAATTAAAAAAAATAATAAAAGAATTTAATTTTCTGATACCAACGCCTAGAAATAAAATTTATGTTATTCAATTAAATTACCACTTTTAGAAAGTTAAGCAATTAATATAATAGATTCCACAAATCACTGACTGATTGATATTTATAGTACCTTCAACTTTATAATGGTAATTTTTTTTATATCAAATACAATTTATGCAAATTTGAAATTTTTATTTTTTATTTACTGACAATAAGATATTAAATACAAAATTAGGTGTTTTTATTTTTCAATTTTTACACAATAAAACTTATACTCTCTTTATATTATTATAAGGAGGGTATTTTAAATGGTTAAAAATTGTATAATTTTTTATAAATTTCCTAATACTTGCGTTACTTATTTATTTTTTAAAAAATTAATTGAAAAAACACCCCTCCTCTATTTTTAAAACAGAAACAATTGTACAAAGTATTTTTTTTAATAGAAAATAAAAATCAAAAATTTAAAAAGATATGTTCCTTTCTAGATATACAAATTCATCTAAAATGCTTCACTGCATCTCAAGGATGAATTCTTCAACTTTCAAAATCCTTAATGATATTCCAACTGATAACACTGTTCCTCAATTCACTGTTGGTCGCAAAAATGGTTTCCTTCCTTGGGGTACTCCTCTGGCACGCCTCCCTGAACCCTTCAAAATTATAGACCAAATTCTTGACGAAGCTCCCTATTACAAACGTGATGGTACTCCAGGCTTGTTAGCTACTGGTAGCTTTGGAGAATATGTGAGAGAAAATCTACCTCTCCTTGATGTTTCCAACATTAAGGACTCAGCTCTTTTATTTGCTCTTTATCGTGATTATACTTTTTTGACCAGTTAATATCTCCTTGAGCCTTGTCATCTTCACTATCTTGCAACTAAATCCAAAGACTATGGCCTTGGTCGTAGTAGACTCCCAGCAAATATCTCTGTCCCCCTTGTTAGTTTAGCTAAATAGCTTGATGCAAAGCCTTTCATGGAATACTCTTGTTATGCCACTTTTAACTGGGAGAAGATTGATCCTACAAGTAACTTAGATCCTTAAAATATCAGACTTATTCGCCATTTAGAAGGTTCATAGCACGAAACTGGGTTTGCTGCTGTTCATATTGCTATGGTCTAACATTCTGGCGAACTTGTATCAAATGTTTAAGATATTCTTGACTCAGTTGAAAAAAAAGACAGAGAAGAATTTGATATTTGCCTTAAAAAGATGTTGGAAACCACCAAAATTATCAATGTTAAGATGGACACTATGTGGGAATACTCTTCACCAAAAGCATTTAATAATTTCCGTTCCTATATGATGGGCATAAAGAGCTAACCAATGTTCCCTAAAGGTGTTGTTTACGAAGGTGTTTCCAAAGAACCAACATTTTATCGTGGAGTAAGTGCTGCTAATGATTCTATAATCCCTACTATCGATAATCTCTTAGAGCTTACTAATAATCTACCTGATAACAGTTTCACTGATATGTTAAGGGATTTTCGTACCTATCGCCCAGTAAATCACAATGCCTATTTGAGCTATGTTGAGGAAAAAGCTAAATCGATTGGTGTCCATGCGTTTGCCACCTTGGATTCTAACTCCACTGTTCTCTACTAGGCCCTTCTTGATCAAGTATCTGAATTCAGAGAAAGACATTGGAGATTCACAAAGAATTATATATTAAAGCACTCCAAGCATCCTCGCGCTACTGGCGGCACTCCCATCATTACATGGCTTCCAAATTAATTAGCAACAGTTATGTAATCTATAGTTAATATTCAAAGCTTTATAAAAGAAGACAAATTAAGCCACGAAAACAAGCAATTATATGTAGAACTTACCAAAAAGGCAAATACTTAGTTGCGTATATTAAATAGAGAAGTAGAAGAACTTAAAAAAGAATATCATGGATAAGACATGGACTTCTAAGAAGTCGAAGGATAAATGTCTAAAATAGCACAAAGCTAATCAGAAACTACTTATGGATAAGCAAAATCAGCAGTGGCTTGATTTGTAACAAATTAATTTATAATTAAGATTTTTATTTATTTTATTTATATTCTGTTTAATTAAATTAGTCGTGTTTATATTATAACGAATTATTATCCAAAATTTATTATCAAAGTAGTTTGTTTGGCATTTTTTGCTTCTTTTAAAAGCTTTAAGTTTACCTTAGATTTAAAATTTATGGATAGTCAAAATAAATTCTTATTTTTATATTTACTGAACGAAGCCTTGAAATTACGTCTTCCAAATTAAAAACTAATAAAAATTTTGAAATTATTTTAAAACGCAGGCAGTATATTTTTTTCATAGTATTTCTTACAATCAAACAATAACAATTATTGCACTAGGTAACTAGGTAGCGCAACAGGCAGTTAGTTAGTGCACCTACCAGTTATTACCACAATAATTTATAAAAATTTAAAACAAAATAAAAAAATAAAGAATTAAAGAGTGATAAAATAATAAAAAGGATTATTCATTAGCTTACAAAATCTAAATGGATTAATTATAAATTAGATAGATATAATTTAATATTAATTATTACAAATTAAAAAAAAGAAAATAGGCAAAGCTTGCAAATTACAAATTTAATTTGTTTTTAGATAAATTTTTTTTATCAAAATCTATAAAGTAAATTAAAAGAGATAAATAAATAAAAAAATAATTTAAAATAATTATAAATTTTATGAAGCAAATATTAATTGAAATCTATTGCAAATTTCAAAAAAAAGAAATTCACATAAATTATCAAAGTAAACTAAAATATATATTTGGTAATAAATAATATTACTATTAGAGAGATTTAAATAATCATCATTTGTTAAAAATATTAGTGAAATATCATCAAGGAAAATAATTAGAAAATTAGTTTATGAAATTTTTCGTTAGCTAGCATCCAAACTTTATGATCTTTTATGAAATAATTAGAAATACTTTAGCTTATCATTCATTAATTAGATTATTTCAAAAATTTTGAAATAATTTTAATCAACATAACACAATATTAGGTTTTATTTTTAGGCGCATATATATTGATAAATGTTTAAGGCATTTATTGTTATAAATTTAAAGGAAAAAGAATTTCTCCAAATTTAAGCATAAATTAATCTCTAATAATACTCTTCTTATTGATTGAAGTCATTATTATGTAAAAATAATGAAAGGAAAATTTATATAAAAAAAATAATATATGAATGAATAAATAAATAAATAAAAGTAAATTTTATAAAATTGATAATTAAATAGCGTACAAATATTTGTATGAAATAGTTAGAAAATAATTAATTAATTTATTTATTTATTTATTATTTTATATAATTTTGAATTATAAATATTCTTTTTTTAATCTTGCTACAATTTGTTATAAGTTATTTTGTATTTATTTAATTTGTAGTTTTACAATAAACTCCTTAAGAAATATAGTTATTATCATTTTTATTATAGAGCATAATTAATTTCAAATATGATTTAAAAAAAGGAATAACTTTTAAGCTTATCCCTTAATAAATAAACTTAAACAGTTTATTTTCCAAATATTTATTTGCTTTTAAGTAATTATTTCTCATTAATAATAATATAAATTATTTCATGTTTTTTAAATTCAAATAGTTAGTTTTATAAGACTTAGAAATTAATTTTGCTACAATCAAGATAAACTATTTGGGACAGTTTATATTTTGGTATTCTTATATGACTCATCTAGGTCAGGGTTATTCTAAAAAGTATTGATATTATTTTTTATTTTTGTCTATGTCTATTTAGGTTATTGTTAAAAGCTATTTTCTGTACCTTCTTCTTATTACCAGTCAAACTCAGCACAGTCTTCTTAAAAATCTTGCTAATAATATTAATTTAATTTTGATGCAGATCTATTGTTACTCATGTTATCATCATATCCTGATAAATTATTTTTGCTTTCATTATTTTTTTGGCTTTTTGTTCCTATTAAAATCGTTTGACCTTTTCCTGATCCATTAGTTTAAATGCTTGCATTAAGGAACTACTCTCTTGTAAAGCCTAATATTCCACCAGCCGAGTTAGTGTGTTTTACTAATGGGCGATCATAGTAGTTGCTACCGCCTTTTAAATTCATTATGCTTGCTCTGAATTCCTATTCATCGTAAACATCAGTAGATTAGTTGAAGTAGATTCCATTACTGAATTGAGGACGCAAACTGTTATTTTCACTACCCTCTGAATCAATTAATTAGTTTGTTTCGTAGGAGCAAGAATAAATAATTTTAGGAATGCTGTCTCCATAGTCTTCATCATTATATTGACTAGTATGGTATTCATATTCGTTATGATTTTCGCTAAGATTATCTTCACTTTAATTATTTTAATTGTTTCCTGCATTTTAATTATTATTACTTAAATCACTATTTTTAAATCCTTTACTCATTATACTATTATTTTGCTCACTTTTTTTCAATTGTTGGACAGTGTTCTTATTTAACCCCTTTACTTATTTCTTGGTAAGTGCACTTTTAATAAGAGATTAGCTACTAGAATTATCATGGGCTGTTTCTTGCATACTTTAGTTAAATTAAGCCTTTTTTTTAGGCTTTCCATTAAACTTATTACTTCCTTCAAAATCAAACTTGTAATTGTAACTTCCTAAGTCTTCATTACTAGAAGGACTTTAAGATTTAAAGTTACTTTTTTAATTAGCGGATAATATATCGTCAATATCTCTTATAAGTTGCTTTAGTGATTTATCAGTAGTTACTATACTATCAGCTTCGAACTGTAAATTACCACTGCTTCTGATCCTTCCTTTTTTTTCACTTAAGCAATCATAAAACTCTTGGAATAAAGTTTTTCTGTTTTGCTGAGAGGCTACAGATTTTTCACAATTTTCGATTAACTAAGAAACTCCTTTGATTTTACTTGTATGCATTATATGCACTAGAATACTCTTGATCTTGTTCATGAATATTTAATTTTAAACATCTGAACTTTCGTATAATAATTTTGTATAATACTCTACAACTTCTTCCTTGCTTACCTAAAGTTTTCATTAAAATTTATTAATAACTTTTCAGGATTATTTAAAATTTTTAAGAAAAATAAATATTTTTTTAATTCAAGATAAAAAAAATAAATTGAATTAATAAAATTCTTAATTTTTAAAATTTACTTGGGCAATATCTCCAAGAAAAACGAGAGCAAGGTTGAATTTTCTGTCAATATGCATTAGTTCGATTTCAACAGCGAATTTTTTATATGGACTTTAAATAAATTTTAAAACTAAATATTTTTTACAAAGCGAATAAATTGTTTTACTAATTAGCTTGCTCTAATACTTGAGGGAGCTGTTGGATATCACAACTTTTTTAAAGTATGATTACAACACTGTCTGAAATTTTAAATGAGAGTTTAAGAGCTTCTACGAGATTTGGCTATACTTCTGTAAGTAGGTTAATTGAATTATCAATACCTTAGGAAGAAGAAATTGAGTTATCAAATTTTTTGTAGTCAGGATGAAGAACTACTGTATCCGCTTTCAACTTTTTCATTTGAAGGAAATCAGATTAAATTACTTCAACTTTATGCTGTTATTTGAATGATTCAATATTGTATTTAGCATGGCTTACTTTAACCTAATTGCAATCAATAGCAATCACTTAGCTAGCTTCTTTAGCAAACTTTTTTTATAAAATTATAATTTTATTCCAATTTTTTTGTAATGCTGCAAATAAATAAAAAAATAAATAAGCCAATAATAAATATTAATCTTCTCATAAAATAATTTTTTTTTCTTTCTAGCTTATATAAGATAATAAAATTAATTTTGAAAAGTCAATATAAAAGCTTACTTAGACTGTATTGTAACCTACTCCACAAAAGGCGTCTACAACAATTTGATTTTTTAATCTAGATGAAAGATATTAGCAAATCGGCTCAGGAATTGCATTAAATTAGCTGTCAAAATCACTTTTGAAATTTCTGTTGTAAAAGTAACTATTTGGATCAGTAGAAACTACTCCTTTTTAGCAGATACTTTGCTTGCTGGGGTTTTGATTTACCTGAGAATTCAAGAATGAGTTACTCTAGAAATTCTTTTCCAAGGTTTTGACTAATAAATAGCTTTCTTTCTTTTTACAATACAGATGGAAAAGATCAGTTTATTGCTGCTTGTATTATTACAAAAACGCTTTTATATTGTACTTAGCTTTCTTAACTGAGTTTTTGAGATTATTTTTGCTTTACAAAGAATGGTTTAAATCTGCATTTAATGCTTGGCTGCTCTAATCGAAATTCAAATAAGTATCATGCTCATTTGTATATGATTACTCTGTGGATTTTTTATGAGATTATATTTTTAACGTATTTTTACTCATAGCATTTTACTATGGATTAGGGGTATTATACTCATTTATGTTCTAATTTTAAGACTTTTGGTAATTTTATTATTAATTATTTGTGGAATTACTTGAACTGCTGCTATTATTTTCTTCCCCTTACTCTTTTATCACGCGGCTGTTATGAGAAGAAGATTGCATATCTCTCTTTCTTTCTTTTTGTGGAGAGTTTTTAGCTTTACTTTATTAAGCGTAACCTTAACTTGTATAGATTTCGCTATTTGGCTATGAAATATTACTCATACAAGGAATTGTTGTTGTATTATTTACATCCTAACTATTTTGCTAAAAATAATTAGGTTCTTATTAACCTTAATGATGATGTTATTCTTCATCAGTTTCTACATCGTCTCCTCCGCCAAAACAACAGCAAAATACTTATTTTTTTTTTCTTGGTTAAGACTACTACTTTTCTTGATGATGTTATTCTTCATCAGTTTCTACATCGTCTCCTCCGCCAAAACAACAGCAAAATACTTATTTTTTTTTTCTTGGTTAAGACTACTACTTTTCTTGATGATGTTATTCTTCATCAGTTTCTACATCGTCTCCTCCGCCAAAACAACAGCAAAATACTTATTTTTTTTTTCTTGGTTAAGACTACTACTTTTCTTATTTATTAAGCAACGACTATTCCATCTTTTTATACTAAATACAAATGTCTCTAAATATTAAGAATTTGCTGTTATTAATGTATGTCCCTATGTATTATTGATATGTTTAATTCTAAATTTATAAAATATTCTAATGTTTCTTCTTAAGTATGAGTATTTAAGATTGTCTATTTAAAAAAAGCAATTACTTTCTTTAATCAATAGAAATTCTTTGCCTTTTAATTTTGTTTGAAAAATTGTGTTTTAATGAACAATCAATCTAATAATTGCTTCTTTTTTATTAAATTTTAGCTATAATCCCTATCTAATGAAAGAAATCCAATGCTTAGTTGTCTTATCAACATATGCAAAAATTGACTATAATTAAGATACGAAAAATAGATAAACTAATTGACACTAATTAGAACTATTTAATATAATTAAGAGTAAGAAATTATTAATTCAAATAAGCCATTTAATCATAAATTTATTATTTTTTATTTCAAATTACTTCTTCTTTTTCAATATCATCACCATACTAGTTAGGAGTAATACAATTTAATCATATGGATATTACGAAATCTATGACACATTTTATTAATAATTCATTACTCCTATAAAAGAATAATCAATCCTCTACCTTTACTATAAAAGCTAAATAATATTTCTAATAAATATTCAACTTAAAAAATCATCATCCATTCATTTTAATTATTAATTATTAAAAATATTTTTTGATCTTTTATGAATTAATTAATTAAATTAACAATTTAGTTTGTATTTTAATAGCACACCACTAAGCTTTTAATATTTATTTCAAGTTGAAGTATAAGTAGATCTACAAATTACATATTTATTAATTGGTTTTAAGATAAACTCCAAATAATGTAGAATGAAATTTGAGAAATAAATTATCATATTATAAATATTTAATTAATTCTGGGAAGTATTCAATAAATATAAGTAAATTAAATTCTTACCTTAGTTAGCAAATAAAATTTTAAAGTGTCATGTTACACTTCTTCTTTAATAAGTTATTTAATTTAATTTGATATTATTTTTATCAAATAAAAATTAATATTAAAAAATAATATTGTTTATTAATTATATATTTTTATTTTACAGTTTTTTGTTTAAAATAATATAAATATGTTGCAATCTGTAACTAGCATTTACTAAAGTTTAACAAATTAGTTATTAATTTTATATTTATAACTTTTATCAAAAATATTAACTATAATCATTTAATTTTATAATAGTTAAAAATAAATCATAATAGATATGATAAAATTAATTTTTTCAGATCTTCTAAAAATATATAAATATATTCATTGATTTCTCATATTGAAAAGCTATATTTTTTATCACAAAAATATATTTGCAAGATTGAATTAGTTTTTTTTTATTTTAAAGTAGTTAAAGTTAAACCAATTTGTCTTTAAAACATTTTTGAGAAATTTAGGTTTTTTATATGGATTCATCAAAAAAAGCTTACTATTCGGAGTAATCATACACTACAAATAGGATAAATATTTTTCCTATTAAATTCAACAAAAGGAAAATTGTATTTTTAATGAAATTAAAAAAATATTTAAGAAAAATAATTTTCACTAAATCAATTTAAAAAAGAAATTTTTATTTCAATCCTTGTTGTTGTTGAAAAGAAAAATTAAAATTAAGAATATTATTTTTAATCCTGTTGACTGAGCTAAATTATGTGTTAAATATAAAGTAAATGTTATTTTATAATGTTATACACATAAATTTATGATGTATTAAACTTACTTTGGCTTCTCTCTTTTGCCATTTAGTATAATTAATTATTTTTGTTTTTTAAATTAATGAAATAAGACTTAACATTTCATTTTTTTCAAAATAAATATAAGCCTTTTTGGTTGTTTGTTTTACTTAGTTATCTTTGTTTTTTTTTGTTTTTTTAAGTTTTTTATGGATGACAAAGCAAAATAAATTAAAAACTTAAAATAAATAAATTAATAAACAATAATCTTTTGTGAAAAGAAAATTAAAAAAAGAAACACAAAAAATAATAAATAGGAAACGATGGATAATCCTAAAAATAACAATTAAGACCAAAATTTTAATCCGAAGGATTAAGATGCGATGAATTAAGCATAGGCAGCCAACGGAAAAAAGAAGGAATTTTAGATTTCAGCAGCCACAAAGGATAGAGTCGAAGCAGCAAAGTCCTACATAGAAAGTATTTATTTGGTTTTTGTGCACATTTTTATTTTGAAGCACTTAGTAAATCAAAATATAGCTTTGTATTCTTTGCTAAGACAAGGAAAACTTTAACTTTAAGTCAGCTAATTTCTCAAAAGATCCTTTTTAAAAAAATGAAATTCAAAACAATAATTTGCTGCTTCCAAAATTGAACAATTAATAGCAAGATGAACTGATTCGAATAATTAACTATCTGTTTCTATAATAAATAGGAAAATATGCAAAGGCTCTTTAAAGCGATAGAGAATTTAGAGAGAATTGGGAACTCTTATAAAAGAAGATGGCTTGTCTCAATATGGATTCAGTTGATAAGAAAATCATAGAGCAAGATGTTATGAGATAAGAGTTTGAATTCAGTCGTAAAAAGTAAATGATTAAATTTTCAATCAAATTCATCATTGAACTTTTTAGTGCAAAATTATGCAGTCTTCTTTGGTAATTCCCATCCCTATTCTTGTTTAAACATGCAAGCATATTTACTTTTTAGAAAAAATATTGCAAGTAGTCTTAGGTAGAAAAATAAATAAAACAAACATCAAGGTATAACATGAAAGCTAAACCTTGATGAGTGTTATTAAAAAATGCAAGTAAAAATGTTCATAGAATTTCTAAAATACAAATTAAATAAACAAGAAGCCTGCATTATTTTTTAATGTTACTGACCAATCATATTTAATATAGCATAACCATCAATAATGAGTGAATAAATATGTAAATATTATATTTAATTTTAAAATAAACATAGACGTCAAAAATTAAGCCCTGCAGATTATGATCCTCTCTCTATCATAGGTAGAGGTGCATTTGGTGAAGTACGTGTTTGTCGTGAAAAGAAATAAAATGGTAGAATAGTTGCAGTAAAGAAAATGAAAAAGCAAGAAATGTTATAAAAAAACTAAATCAACCATGTCCGTGCCGAAAGAGATGTACTAGCTACTGTCGATAATCCCTGGATTGTTGAATTATATTGCTCATTCCAAGACTCTAAACATCTTTATCTTGTTATGGAATATCTATAAGGAGGAGGTAAATAAATAAACAAATTATGGAAATAAAAAGGAAAAACAAACAAAAAAACAAAGAAACAAACAAGCAGAGTATTATAAAGTTTCAATCGAAACTGAGGAATTAACATCGCTATTCAAACAAAATAAAAAAGATAATTTGAATTAAGTGAATTTGAATAGATGAATAGTTAGATTGAATAATCATACATTTTGCTTTTCTAATTCATATAAATAAATTAATTTTTCATTCATTAGCTGATTGATTTTCTACTCTTTCTTATCACTTTTAAAAAATATCAACCAACAAACCCATTTTATGTATTTAATGAGAGTTACGAAAAGCATAAAAATAAAACAATAGCATAATTTTTTAATAATAATTTCTAATTTACTGAATAAAATATTAAATAATTAATTCATTAAATAGATTTGATGACCGTTTTGATGAAAAAGGATATTCTTTCAGAGGAAGAATCTAAATTCTATGCTAGTGAATTAGTTATGGCTATTGATTCTGTCCATAAAATGAATTATATTCACAGAGATCTTAAGCCAGATAATATTCTACTAGGAAGAGATGGCCATATTAAATTGTCTGATTTTGGTCTTTGCAAGCATGCTGTATGAATTTATGTTATCTTTTCAGATTAATTTAAACTAGAAAATAAGAAATTTATTTTTAAATAGCTTCTAATAAATAAAATAGAAATAATTTGATTATTTTTGATAATATTTTGTGTTTTAAAGAATACAAACATAATTTTCTATTTTGATTCATATCTTTAGACAAGTATTAATTTATTTCTTTACATTAGGAAATAAAACCAAAATTATTACTTGGTAAAGAAGAAGAAAAAATAGATTTTTCTAAGAATCCTACTGCTCTTTTGACCAAGAGACCAGAAGTTTACAAGAGAAACAGACATGTAAGAAATACTCAAATAAATGATAATACAATTTTTTAATTTTTAAAAATAAAATTAGCTTGCTTATTCCACAGTAGGTACTCCTGATTATATTGCTCCAGAAGTATTTGGGTAGTAAGGATATACTGAAATTGTTGATTGGTGGAGTTTAGGAGTTATTCTTTTTGAAATGCTTGTTGGATATCCTCCTTTCTTCTCTGAAGAGCCATCAACTACTTGCTAAAAAATTATTAATTGGCGCAATACATTTAACATCCCTAGAGAAGCTGAGCTTTCTAAAGATGCTGAAGATCTTATTCGTAGATTAATAAATGATCCTATTAACAGATTAGGTGTTAACGGTGTTCATGAGATCAAAGCTCATCCATTTTTCTAAGGAGTAGATTGGAAGAGATTAAGAGAAAAAACTCCTCCTTACGTTCCAGAAGTAATTAATTAATTCATAAAAAAAAATATTATTAACTTTTGTTAACTTATTAAATCTAACCTAATAAAACAAAGGTGAAAGATGAGATAGATGTCTCAAATTTTGATAAGTTCGAAGAAGAAGAACCTTGGATAAGCCATGAAAATAATAGAAAAAGCAAAAATAGACAATAAAACTTCCCATTTATAGGTTATACTTTTAAAAAGAACATGGAAAGTGAAAGGTCTCCAATCAAGAAATATTTGACAGAATTTGATCAGATTTTTGTTTAAAACATGCAATAATAGCAACAAGGCGGATAAGGCCAACAGTAATAGGTTTAGTAAAATGCATAATCAAATGTCCCTCTCTAGCAATAGACATAAAGAGTAAAATGTTTTTAATATAAATTAAATATTAATTGAAATTTTATTAGTCTTAGAAGAGTCCTAATCATGTAAACAAGCCTTCTGAATCAAATGTTGGAGATGCTCATGAATTTGATGATAAAACCTAAATTAATCAATTAAAATAATATTAAGGGGCTGCATTAAAAATAGGAACAAACTCTTTAGCATAAAAAAATGTCAATCCAACAAATCCTAACCAGTAAGCCTAGCAATAATTACAAGGCTAATAAGGATATTTAGTATAAAATTAAACTTCTTAAAGCGGCTCTTAGAAAGCAATCAGACCTCCTCCATCTTAAGAGAATGGATATCCTCCTAACAATGGGAATATTCAATCTATAAATTAAAATTAAATAAAACTAAACTAAGGATAACTTCCACAAATCCCTCAAAAAATCCCTGCAAATAACATTAATGCTTAATAAATTAGTCCTAGAACTCTTTAGCTCTAGCAATAAATAAATTAATAGCATCCAAATAATAATGGACAGCTAGGAGTAAATAAGTTGTAATAGTCATAATTATAGCAACCTGAGCTCTATAATAATAGCAATAGCAATAACTCAAGCTAAAACGGCCCAAATGGAGCTATCATGAAAGCCTCTTAATTACCTAATTCCTAACTATTAACTCAAGGAAGCACTTAAGGGTCTTAAAATAATATTAGTGGCTCTGGATTAAATAACCCTGGACACTTCTTATACAAAGTCAACAACGCAAATAACGCTTAACAATATGCAAGTAATTCACAATAATAGCTGTAACAGTAACAAATGACTAAAATGATGCAGCAGAATAATAATATTGCAAACTCTAATAATATAAACAGCTTTTAGCAATAGTAATACATGAATGCATCAAATTTATAGTTGTAGTAGCAAAACTATTTGCAATAATAACAGATATAACAATAGCTTACTTCTTCATAAATTTAAAAACTATAAACCTCTAACTATGCTTCTAATAATATGAATGGTTCTGGTTCTACTAATCAAACTTCCTTCAGAGTAAATCCAAATGTATCTCCTCGCTTTTAAAATGATATCCCTACAGGAATGGTAAACAGTGGAAATAATAATATGCAAATGGGAATGAATTCAAGTTAAAATGTAAACAGAAATATTTCTCCTAAAGTCATACCTTAAAATTTATAGAATAACTACGGATATAATTTCTTCAACAGAGGTGGCTCACCAAATAAAAACTGAGAGAGAGTTATCTGCTGATATAAAAAATAATACTTTTAAGGAATTATAATAAAAAAAATGAATTATTCACTCAAATACTAAGACTATGCCTTGCCAGCCAAATTTAGATAGGTAAATAAAAATGGCTGAAAAGAAATCAACTAAAATAAATAGAGTTTAATGAAAAAATCTTCCTAATAATAAAGCCAAGCATTATCCATCCATCCATCTATCCTTCTATCATCTACTGAAACTAAAAGGGAATTTTAAATAATAATATAATATATAAATTAAATACCAAAAATAATGAATAAAAAGAATTAAATAAATAAATAAAATATTATACTTATGATTTTAATGTAATACAGTAAAATAATCAAAATAAACAATTTTATCTCAAGTATTATTTCAAACAACAATCAATCAATCAACTAAATGAGCAAAAAGTATTAGTTAGAAATACATGAAACAGTTGTGAGAGTCTTTTTATATTTTTAAATAAACGATACTTATATGTTTATCTGTCTGTCTATCTATCTATCTGTCTCACTGGCTTATATTTATATTAAATTTTATTACTTGCTATTATTATCACTAAATTTCTAAATCAAAATATTCATTTTCATTCAAATTTTTTATATAAATTTAGTTTATTTGATATCATAAATTTAAAACTACTTTTGTAAATAAATAAAAGAGATTAAAAATAATTAAATTATTATTCATAATATGATATTTTCGTCACTAAGTGTTTTAAATTAACTTTAAATATTTTTGTTTCAAATTTTCTTACTTTAGATTTTAACTAATTAAATATTTTACCAAATAAGTTTACATTCATTTAAATTTAATGTAATTTCTCAAATAATAATTGAGACTAAATAGGAAAATAAATTTTCATTCAAATTTCGTCTAATTTTTAAGAATTTTTTTACTTTGTTTTATGTGATTTGGTCTAAATATTTGATTTATTAATTAAATAAAACTAAACTTTTAACTTTACATTTTTATTTTAAATTAATTTTTTAAGTTCGTTGAATTTTCAATTTTATAAAAATCTATTTCATATTATTGGTTAAATTGATATTTAAATAGACTATATTCTATTTAGTTATTAAGCTCTTCAAATTATTAATTTGTTAATAAATCCTCTATTTAAATTTTTTGATGCTAAAGTAAAGCTAAATATTTTAAATGTAACAAAATAAACCAAATAAAAACATAAACATTATTTAAATAATTGAAATAAATTTTTCAAAATTTTTTTTATTTTAAATCATTTTTAAAATAAATATTTAATTTTTAATTAAAAGAATTATTGTTATGAATATTTTAAAAATAGAAATAAAAGTATCTTTATGTTAACTGAAATATCTTATGAACTATTTTAATGGGTAAGTTTAAATGTTTGGATTTTATTTTATTTTAAGATTGTTTACTATTTTTAAAGTCTAAAAAATAATTATTAATAAAATCATTTATATTAATTATAAAAAGGGATATTGTTGTAGAAGTTAAAGAGTCTATTTATAGAATTGTTCATAACTTAATTTAAATAATATTCACTATGATTTATTAATTGAAATAATGAGCAAGTATTCAACTTCAGTATGTATTTTCCAAAAAAATAGAAAGTATTTCTTATTACTTCTTGAAAAATATTTTACTAGAATTTTAAAATAATTCTATCTTCTTGCTTGATGATTTTTTATGAGAAATATTCTTAACTCCTATTTTATCCTTAATTATTTACTTACTAGTTTTTAAAATAAACAAACACTGTTCCAAATAAATGGCAAAACCTATTTAATTTTTGTTACTGATTACCTATAATATACAATACTTATTTTTAATTCAGAATATTAATACTTTATTATTGTTGCCTTTTTCTATTACACTTTATTCAATAACTAAATGTTAAAAAATAAAAATGATCAATTGAAAAACGTGTTTTTGATGACTTCTTGCGACAATAAAATTTAATAAAAATATTGAAATGGTATGAAGCTCTTTTTTTGTACTTGTTTCTTTACAATTCTCAAAATAAACACATTATCATAATTATACCTAGCAAGTAAAATTTTATTTTTGCAACATATTAGTAACTATATATCTTAAAACTCTATAATAATGTATTAATTAATTTCTCTTTGATAGAAAATGTTTTTTAAGGGCTATATCAGGCTTTCACCTTGTTAGATTGAGACAAAACCTAATGACTACTTTATTTTTGAAATATCTATACATTTATTAATAATTCTTACCATTTTTAGAAAATAAAATTGCTAAAATGAAGATGGAACATAGTGGCTACGAGTAATATTTTTATATGGAATTAAAACAAAATATTTTTTTGATTGGATTTTTTGAGTTAATACTCCTAGATTGATCACTGATAATTCGTGGATGAAGAATTGCAATTAATATTTTATGAAAGATACTAAAAGAATTATGGGAATTAGCTAATTAATAGTTTATATAAAAAAATTAATCGATGTGGGAGAGTGAGTTCAGTGTTTGAAATTTGATGATGTGGGTGTTAAAATAATTAGAAATATCTTAATAAAAATGAATGAATGAATTTTAACAAAAACGAAGTATTTGTTTTTGAATGAAAGAATGAATGAATTGATCTAATTATTAACTCATTATTTTTTTCATTCAAAATGAATATGTAATTAAGAATTCGTATGCATTTTTCATTTATTTAGACTAATCAATTAAAATCACTCCCATAACACGTGTGTTTTCTTTTAAGTTAACGTGCATTCATTTTGCGAGTACATTGTTTTGAGCGCATATTTTAAAACAATAGCAAATCTTTTTTAATAAATATAAAGAAAAAAATAAAAATATTACAATACATAAAAAAAAGAAAAACAATTAAACAAAATATGAGTAGAATTCTTGAAATTTTAGCTCCTGCTATCAATCTTATTCCTGAAGTCGAAAAGCCTATCAAGAAGGTATGCACAAGTTCCTTTTAAAAAGCATGCTTCCTCATCTCTCCTATAAATGCCTGCCTATTTTCATATCCCCTCACCTTCACACAAAAACAACATTTTTGCATTTTACATCCTTTTCATGCATGAAAACGATCAAGATCTTAAAAAGTTAAATTCCTTTTGATCGAGATGCAATTTTTTCTGTCATGAAGAGCATAAAGAAAAGCAGGTCATTGCTAGGTTTATCTTATAGGAAATTAGAGATGAGAGAAGATTAATCAAAGCTCTACATTCTATTATTTGCAAACTCTTACAGCATATGAAGAAAGCATAATAGAATAACGAGATTACAAAACAAAACAAAAAATATATATATACTAATTCTTATTTATAAATAACATTAGATCCTCCCCTTCAGAAGTAGAGCTATGTGGACTGCTATTGTCATTTTGATCTATTTAGTTGCCAGTCAAATCCCCTTGTTTGGTGTTGTCAGCAATGCTGGTGCTGATCCTTTCTACTGGTTGAGAGTTATCTTGGCTTCTAACAGAGGTACCATCATGGAATTGGGTATTTCTCCCACAGTTACTGCTGGTATGGTTATGTAATTACTTGTTGGTGCTCAAATCCTTAACATCGATCAAAACGATCCCGTCCAAAGATCCCTTTACGAAGGTTCCCAAAAGCGTAATAAATTTAAATAATTTAATATATTTTATTTCTTATTAATGAGCCTATCTATCCAGAAATACTTACTTACTATCTACCTAACTACACTACTTAACATTCAATCAAGTATATAATTTAAATGTCTACTCTCTCCCTATAGTATCTCAGTTTGTTAATATTAAACATGCTTTAAATCCACTACACAGACAAACAATTTATTTTGATTTTTTTTGTAGCAAGTATCCTAGAAAATAATAAACAAACTTTTCAAACAAACAGCGATTTAGGAAAACATTTAAAGAATTACATACAAGATTTTATAATTTTTAGCATTAGCATAGCAAGCAGAAAGCGTATTTGACAGATAAGAAAAAGAATAAGCTTTCAGCCATCAAAAATATTTAGGATAAATACAAAAAATTGTTTTTGATGAAAGCAAGAGACAGTGTATTAATTGAGGAGACAAAGAGAGAGAAAGAGACAACAATTAAAAATTGTTAAGATAGTTTACTTGATGAAAAAGAAGATATAATTAAGTATCTTATTTGATAAGACACGCGCACCAAAATTTCAATAAAGAATAAATAACTAGATAAATAAATTAATAAACCACTTAATATTAAATTTTAAAGAGAGTTTTTAATTAAGGTCCATCAATTAATTGAAAGATACTTTTTTGAACAATAGCACAATTATATCTAATAATTCTAATTCTCGCACACTCAATAATCCTTTTTGATCAACAAAATATAAATAACAACTTTTTGATAATTCGCAAACATTTTTTGAATAATAATGTGTCAATCATTACTTCTATCTACCAACATAGATAGTTCATTAATTAAATGATTCATTCATTGAATTTTAATCAATAAACAATCATTCAAAAATTTCAATAAAATTAATTAAAAACACACATTCATTTTTATTTATTTATTTATCTTTCATTTTAAAAAAATTAGTTTTGGGTTTAATTATCGCCTTCTTTGAAGCTGTCGCTTACGTCTGGTCTGGTATGTACGGTGACATTGAAAAGGTTGGTTACGGTAACGCTTTATTAATTGTCCTCCAATTAACTTTCGCTGGTATTATCGTTATCCTTTTAGATGACTTACTCTCCAAGGGTCACGGTTTGGGTAACTCTGCCATCTCCGTCTTCATCGCTATTAACATTTGCGAAACCATCATCTGGAAATCTTTCTCCCCCATCACCTACCCTATCCCTGGTTTCGAAAAGGAATAATACGAAGGTGCTATCTTGAATCTTTTCCACAGCTTGTTTGCCATTGACAACAAGTTTGTTGCTTTACAAAACGCTTTCTACAGATCTCACCTCCCCAACTTGGCTAGTTTGATTTCAACTGCTCTTATTTTTATTGTTGTCGTCTACTTCCAAGGTTTCAAGGTTGATATCGCCCTCAAGAACGACAGAGTCAGAGGTGCCATCTAATCTTATCCCATCAAGCTTTTCTACACCTCTAACATGCCCATCATCCTCCAAAGTGCCCTTATTTCTAACCTTTACTTCTTCTCTCAAATTCTTTACAGAAACTTCAACGGTAACTTCATCGTTGGTCTTTTGGGTAAATGGAGTATTCCTGAAGCTGGTGGTTCTCACATGGTCCCTGTTGGTGGTCTTGTCTACTACTTATCTCCTCCCCACGGTATGATTGAAGTTATTTCTGATCCCCTCCACACCATCCTCTACGTTGTATTCATCCTCACCACTTGCGCTCTTTTCTCTAAGACTTGGATCCAAGTTTCTGGTTCTTCAGTCAAGGATGTTGCTAAGCAACTTAAGGAACAAGGTATGGGTCTTGTTGGATCTAGAGACTCTGGTCTTAAGAGCCACTTAAAGAGATATATTCCTATTGCTGCCACTTTCGGTGGTTTGTGCATTGGTGCCCTCTCTGTTGTCGCTGATTTCATTGGTGTCATCGGTTCTGGTAATTATTTACTCAATCAATCAATAAATATATCATTTTAAATTTTCTTTTACCATTCTGGCTAATCTTAAAGATTATATATATCCATTAGGCTCTCAACTACAAAATTTTCTTATCAAATAATTTTGATCAAAGCCAGTGGATAAAGCATCTCAGATGGTTTTTTATTCTTTTCTCTATATGAGATTGCGAATTATACGCCCATCTTACAACTAACTATTAAAATCGAACTAAAATTTTCATTGATTTTTATTTAAAAATTTTAAAGAATTTTTGTATTTTTGAACATCAATAAAAAATAATTTAATTAATTATTTATTTATTTAAATAAAGGTACTGGTATCTTATTAGCTGTTAATATTGTTTATGGTTACTTCGAACAATTCAAGAGAGAAAAGGAACAAGGTACCTTAACTTTCTGAAAAAGTTGAAATATTTAAAAATCTCTTGCCTCAGTTTTTCTTAAATTATTGCTGTGTTATTTGAACACATCAAAAAATCAATCAATCAATCAAACAAACACACTAACTGCTTTATTTTAAATACACATTTAATTAATCTCATTATATTGTGAGTATGTTTATTATATAAATACTTCATTTACTTTTAAGTTGTATTTATAAGTATTTCTATATCACATATACCTTATCTGTGTTTACTTACATCTTTTCAGTTTTTATTACTTTCCCTTCATTTATTTCTCATTCATTTTGGTTTATTATTCTCCTTAATTAAACTAATAAATAACATAAAACAAACAAAACACCAAAACAAATTATAAAAATCACACTCTTTCAAATAGGAAACTATCAGCAACAATAATACAAAACTATAAATTTTTTGAATAAATCTGATAAAAATAATGTTATAAATACTACATAATTTATATTGACCAATTGCAAATAATCTTTTTACATTTTAATTATTTAACTCTTATATTTATTTAACTGTTATTCAGTATAAAATTTACAAAAGTATTTACGTAAATATTAAAAGAATGAATATTATCTTTACTTTAAAAGACTTAGTCTTAACATGCTAGAAAAATAGCATCTAATATATAAAAAATCAAAAGAAAGGTGAAATTTTAAAGAATGCTTATTAAAATATGTTTATGAATATTTGTTGTTTATTTTTAATAGATAAATAAAGTTGAAATGAAAATGAGTGATTTTAATTTTAACATTATTCAACAACAAATTATCTTTCTTTTTGATTAAAAAATTTACTTAGATAACGAATTTGTGTTTTTAATTGCTTAAAATAATGTGAGTAGAGCCAATGATTTTTTTGAGAAGAGATAATAATACAAATATTTAAAAAGCCTTTTCTGATAGAAATATCAAATAAACTTGGTATAATTCTTAAATTAAAACTGAACGTGCTTTAAAAGATTGGAGAGATATAAATAGCTAATAATAATATATTGAAAAAATTACAAAGCTTTTAATAAACAAATGGACATTAGCTTATATCAACAATTCAATATACAGTCTATTATCAATCCTTACCGCTTTAATCATTAAAATATTATTCTCTATCCTAAAACTTCAGAGAAAGTGTTTACAAATAATGAAATTTTAATACATATTTGTGGATTTCTTGAAGAAAAAGATATTTTAATCTTGATGCGCGTAACAAATTTTATGTTATTTATTATACATTTATGTAATTTAAAATAAATTACTTTAATGCAAATAAAATTCAAAAATTTAATTCTATTTTTATGTATGAATGAATAGGTTAACAAATATTTATCAAAACTTGCAGAGAACATTCCCAAATTGGAAATTCGACTTCTAAAATACCAGCTTAAATCTGCTAATAACAAATTAGTATAACATATTTTTAATCATTATTTATTACTTATCAAAAAAAAATTGTATAACTAACTTAGAATGAGTAAAAAAATAAATAATCAAATAGAAGCTAAGGCATTAACGGGTTTCCTTTTCCTCTATCTACTGATTAAATGGTAAACAAATAATATATAAAATTCATTCTTGAAATTAAAAAAAATTATATCTAGTAATTAAAGGGTACTACGAGTCGTCTATCACCTTTTTTCAAATTATTAAATGGAAAAAAACCAGAACTTTCCAAAAGTAATGTGTTTGTTTGCTAAAATTAATTGAATAATATCAAAAGTTATTTTTAGTATTATTTTTTTTCAAATAAAATTTTTTATAAAAAAAATTTTGATTTAATCGTTTTTTTTATCAAGGCAAATCGGAGTGCTAAAACTAAGGTGAAGATCATGTTTTCCATATGAGTGTTCCTCCTTAATTTTTAAAAGAAGTTGAAAATATGCAAGAAATAAATAAGCAATAATCTTTAAATAATTTCTTTTTATACAATTAAATGAAAAATGGAACTCTCGATTCTGATACTAAACTCGTTCTTGAACTCAAAAAAGAAATTTATGACTGCTTAAGAGAGGTATTCTTGCTATTAATAAGTCAACCTATAAATTAGTCAAATTTTTGAACAAATAGGACTATGAAGAAAAGTAAAGTAACAGCAAGCTCAAAGTAATACCAAAGCTGCTATTTTCTAATCCTTAGAAAAATACTGAAGAATATGTCAAAGCTTAATGTATAAAATATAAATATTTATAAAATCATAAGCTTCAATTTTTTAATTGCTTGCATAATAAACAGTGGAATGGATTGAAGTTAAATCTGAGCTCAAAGATAAAACAGGGAAAATATTAGTAATTAATACAATTATTTAGTTAACTAAAATGTTAATTTAATTTATTATTATAAAAATTATAAAAAGAAACAAACAGGAAAAATGCTCTGTCCAGCAGTTCATGTTAAAAAAATCATTAATAAGTTCAAAAAAAATGATTAAAGCTGTTCCTAGTGAATTAAATTAGCAACAATAAATAAATAATATAATTGATATTAAATTATAATTTAAAGTAAATTACTTATAAGTGTTGCTTTCTATCTTAGAAAATCATTTTGATTTGTCTTATTAAATCTTTAAGTTAATTTAAATTTTATAATTTTCCATTTTCACCAAAAAATTAAGCAAGAACTAAAATTTTCAATTCATAAAAACACTACATATTTATTATTGATTGAACATTTTAACTATCTCTCTCTAAAAATAATAAAAAATAATTATTTTTTTCTAAACTTAATTGAATCAAAATTTATATTAAACATATTTTTAAATATATTTTTAATCATCAAAAAAAAATAAATAAAGAATACAATTTAAAAATTTCAATATTTACTTGTTAATAAACTGAAATCTTAAAATTTGAAACAAATTTCATAATATTTATTTTTTACTATACCCCAAATATCGCAACTAGCAATAGACTAATCAATAAAGCTATTAAAAAATATATAAATTGACCTTTGATGCTAAATACTTCATTTATCTTTGCAGCAATATATTAAATAATTTTTTTATAAAAAATGCAATTTTTATTTATCAATTTGTGAAAAGTGAGTAATTTCATTTAAATTTTTAAATAGATTCTTTAATTTATTTATTTGTTTTAGTATTTTTTTAGTAAAATAATTTAAATTAAAGAAAATTAATTTATTTAAAAATTAATTGAAAGTAATCAAAATATTTAAATTTTTTTTTGTTATAAGGAGGATTTGTTAGATAAATTATAATTTCAGAATAAGGGATATTCATTAATTAATTAATAATAAATGATTATTATTTTTACAGATAGGTTGAGAGATTTTATAATTAATTACTTTAAATTAATACAAATTAAATTAATTAGAGTATGAATCCGACAGAAAAAAAAGTAAAAGCAAGAACAAAATCTACTTAGCAACAAGCATAGCAATCTTCAAAGACTGAGAAAACTAGTAAGTTTATTATTAAAATTTTTAAGGCAGAGAGATTAGTATTCAAGAGAGATAAGCAAGCATTTTTAATATAAAAGAAGTCTTCTTCTTGCTTAATTTATAAAGTTATTTTTTATTTTATCTTCTGCTTTATAACTTTTCTTTGGAACTGATCTCTAATTACCACGTATAAGAATTAAATTTATTATTGCCATAGAAAGATTTGGAAGAGTCAAATGAGAAAGATAAACAATAATTAGGAATTTCACGATTGATTAGTAGTAGCTCAACATCAACTACATAACCTCCCCGCTAAACATCCTCGCAGCTACTTAATTAGCAATCTTAATCTTTAAATTCGATAAATAGTTAGGTTCCTTAGTTGCAATCATAATCATCTCAGAATTAGCAGTAGGCAGCTAAAATCGATTATAAAAAATAAAATGCAGGGAAATATAAGCCTCTTTATTCAACAGATTCTGATGATGATTTTATTCCCATAAAAAAGAAGAAAATTGAAGTAGAGCAGAAACCTGTACAACAAGTATAAACTAAAAACGAAGAAATCAAGCAATCTAATGTTATTATTATTCCCGTTGCACCTCTAAATATAAATAAAGTAAATATTTCATTTAGCAAGTCTTAATTAAACTGGTTGGTTTGTTTCATGATATTAATGAAAAGCTAATTATATTATTGTTTAAATGAGATTTTTAACAAATTGTTTAAAAGTTTTAAATCTTGGAAACATCATTATAAAAATTAATAAATAGTGCTTTTAAGATATATTGCTGCAAACATCAAAAGACTAATACTTATTGACCATGATTAAAACCATCCTTTCAGCAGGAAGTAAGAAATTAGCAGATAAATAAAGTGTTTTCAAAAAAACATGGACTTAATTGAGAAATTCAAATTGCTCCCATGAAGAATATTTAAAATGGGAGGAATAGCTTAAAAGAAATGAGGCATATGAGATTAAAGATATAAAGGAAACGACTATTTAAAGATTGATAAACAGCAAAATTAGAGGTAATTATTTTCTTTGAGCATTCATCTTTATGCTTCTAAAGTCAAACAAATAAATAAAAATATCTTATGTCTATATTTTAATTGATGGAGATAAATAATGCGATTTTTAGCGCCAAATTTACAAGAAAAGTTAAAAATCAACAAGCTTGCTTCATTTAAACATAACTACTACTTTTTAACTTATTCTAGACATAATTTATATATTTTATTAAAAATAAATTAATGAAAGAATTTATTTAAAAGTTTATTTGAAAAAGACATTTTTATTTACTATAATGATTTTAAAATATTTATTTTGAACAATTAGGTTTTGTAAGTTACGATTAGCTATTAGAGAAAGGTAAAAAGGAATATATTATCAGAAATAAATTAGAAGAAGATTCGCCTATTTTATCTAAAGAATTCAAGCTGGATGAGAAATCATACGATGAATTTAGAAATGATTAGTTTACTTTACTAGAAAAATTAATGAAAGAAAATAATTTAGTGGCTATTGATATGCTAAAACCAGATATGATGAAGTAAGCCAGAGAATTAGGCAGTCATGTTTCTATTAATCCATAACTGATAGATGAAGCACTACTTGATTAAGACCTACTACTTCCTGGACATATAGATAAAAGTGATGTGGAAAAGTAGTTAGAATTCTTAGAAGAAGAGGAAAATATTGTTTAAAAAGTTAGCTTATGTAAATATTTTGAAAATAAATAAAAAAATGAGCAATCTGCACTAACATAAAATCAATCCACAGACAATGGTAGCAAGTTTTCTTCATCTTTTACCTCTCCTAATCAAAATAGCAGTAGCAATAACGATCCTTACGAAATAGAAAAAAACATAGAAAAGTATTCATTCTAGAAAATTTTTAAGAGCTATGATGATTTTATTCATTTGCAACCTTCTGACAACTGTTTGATTGCAAAAAGAGTAAAATCTCTTCTTTTAGATATAAAATCTGATGAACTGTTCACAGATGCCAAATTTTAGAAAGAACAATTTGAAAAATACTAAAAAATGCTGAAATAGATAAATGTAATTTAGAATTTATTAATAATATTTTCCATCCATCGATCCATCCTTTTAAACTAATATTTAAAAATAAATAGGATATAGATTAATTTGATATTAATAAAGTAAGTGAAGAAACTCTTAAAAATTTAGTGGAAATAGCCGCTTACATTATGAATAATGTACATTATTTCTAAAAATTTAATTTAAAATGCGATTTACTACATCCTTTAGATTTATTATATGTGACTGAAAAATTTTTAAAATAATCCAACAACCAAAACTCTTCATCTTCAGGGTCATCTTCATCATCTAATTCCTCTACAAACTCTAACTAAGCTGCTACAGTAAATATATAAAATCAAAAAAGCTGAAAATAGATTAAATATTTAAAATATTTATTAAAACTCTATTTATTTTATGAATAATGTAATCAATATTTATCTGCCTTTTTATCTATCTTCTAATTTATTATAGATAATTATTCTTACTATTCATATAGCTCATATTTAAATAGTATTATTGTTTCTATTTATTCATAGACTTGATACTTTTATTTCATTATTATGGTTATCTCTATTTGTTATAAAAATGAAACTAATTACTAATTTAAAAAGCTGTAAAAATGATAAATAAATATATATTTTAATTATATTTGCTACATAAATATTATGTGCTTTTTTATGTAATTTATTATTTTTAAAGTTATATTTAAATAAAGTAATCATTTTTTAATTAGTAGCTAATACAATCAGCATATATAATTACAATCAAATAATTTAAAAATGAATAAAATTAATTTAAAATTATTATTCAAAACTTATTTATTTCATAAAAATGTAAGAATATGGATTTATTTTTTATGTATCATTGGCAATTAATTAATTTATTATAGTTATCTCTATTTATTTTATAAATTAAACCAATAAAAAAATTAAAAGATGTAAAATGATTAAATAAATTTATAATACTTATTTAAATTATATTTGCTACATAAATATTATATCCTTTTTTTATTATTCTAACTTATTATTTTTAAAGTTTTATTTAAATATATTAATAGTTTTTTAATTCGTAGCTTATACATTCAGTAGATATATGTATAATTTGAAAAAAAATAATATTTACAATTATTTTTCAAATTTATTTATTTCATAAAAATGTAAGAATGTGGTTTTTGTTTTATTTTATCATACTTAAATAAATTTTATATAAATACTCATTTAATTGTATTATTTTATAAAATGTTTGTTTTGTTAATTAATTAATACATTTCCTTATTATTTTATTTGTTAAATCTAAAAAAAAAATGTTTAATTGATTAAATAATTTCTTTTTTATTAAATGAAAAAAAATTTATTTGATTTAGGATTATTTAAATTAGAATTTTTTTAAAAAATTAAAGGTTTTAATTTGTTTTTATTTACTTACAGCTTTAATAAAGAGGAAACTTAAAAAATTGATTGAAAATATTTTTTATTTGCTAATATCTTTAGAAAAATTGTAACAGAAGGTAGGTTTAGTGTAATTTAGGATTATGTTTATACTTTTTTGCCTGAATTTTTAGAATATTTGATTTCTTTTATAATTTTAGACTTTTTTTTGACTAAACACAGTTGAAAATAAATATTAAGTTAAGTATGAATGGTTATTATAGTTATTTCTATTGAATAATTATTTAGAGAAAATAATAATTTTTTAATATTTAGTGGTAATTATTAATTAATTATATGACAAAAGCTAAGTATTCTTAACTTCCAGAATCAATATTAATTATATCTCAAATATTATATATTTTTTAATATTAATATTATTCTTTATTACTCTTTAGGTTTTTACTTTTCATTACTAAAAGCAGCAAAAGCTACATTATATTTTACTATTGAGTAATTATTTAGCATTCTTTCATAGTCTTTATTAAGAATGAGTTAATCGCCTTTGTAGAAAGTATTTTTATAAAAATTATTTTATTGTTAACATCATGCATTTTTAAATATTAATGTTATAGCAAGAAAATAAACCTAAGTCTATTTTAGAAGACTCACTGAAAGTAATATAAGAAAGAGCTAAAAAGTAGCATGGTGCTGTAGACAAATAGTAGGATAATGATTCTTAATAAATCCTAGAAACTAGTGTTGAATAAAAAAAGTAATTTCCTACTGATGATAATCCATTAAAAAATGCTTAATTAGATATCAATTCACTATAACTGAGAGCTAATGTAATATAATCTACAAACTAAAATACAAACTAGTCAACTAATTTAAGCAGTCAGAAAAGCTAGAATTAATATTAAATTGAATAAGCAGGAGATATTTAGAGTAAAAGTCTTTTGGATAGCTAGAATGAATTTACAAAGTAAAATCAATAGAGTGATGGCTTATAAAAGATCATCTTAACAAGTCCTTTAAGTTATCAAAAGAAAAATGAATCTAATAGGTATATTTAAGAAATTTAATTGAATAATCATGATAATAACATTAATTAAGATAAAAATAAATCTTTTGATTTTAATATGCCTAAAAATCATCCTTAAATCGAAATCAAATAATATGAATAGTATATTGGAGTATAAAGCCTAGATAATTAGGATTTTAAAGAAAAAAGATTAATTTCACCTATTATAAATGATTAAAAAAGTAATTCAAATTAATCTAAAACATAAAATGAATTTGATGTCATCAGCAATCAGAATAGTAACCAATACATATTAACTCCTATGTAAGAAAATAATTTTAGGAATAATGACACTGAATAAATTAAATAGTGCAGTTCAAGGTTCTTAACACCTGTCAAAACTGACTAGAATAAATGCAAGTTGTAATAAAAGTATTCATAAAAAGAAAAAGTAACCAAATAGATAAATGCAATAAGATAAAATTAAAGTTTAAGTGCTGCAGAAATCAACTAATCATCTCCTAATTAGGAAGAAAATAAGACCTCTTCCAAAAAAATTAATCATCAGCACTTTAGGGTTGATATATATTTATTTATTTATATAAATAGTTAAATAATTGTATTTTTAATAAAAGATGGATGGAAATTATTATCAAAGTAATAGTCCAGAAGATATGTCTTAGGTAAATGAATTACATCATTTATAATTTATTTTTTTATAAATTTATAAAACAATCAATAAAATATATTTGTTTAAGAAATGTTCATTCTTTTTTTATGATTAAAAGCACTCAAAAAATTAATTTGTCATTAGAAAATAAAGTAGTAGATTGTCTGGCTAAATAATAGAGAGAAAAAAAATTGGTGAAGAATAAGATCTCTAAAATTAAAAAAGAAGTATAGACTATAATAATAGAAATAATTAAAGATCAAATTCAGGAAAAAAATAGATATTTACAAAGAGCTACTACGATGATGAGAGCCATAAAAAGTTTATAATATAGAAAATAAAGGAAAGAAAATAGCTTTAAATGAAAAGAGAAAAATAATTCTTAGAATAGCAAGAACATCTAAAAAAGCAGGAAATTGAGGAACTTGAAGAGCAAAATAAAAAAAAAGAATAAGCAATCTAGTAAAGAGCAATTATTATTTAAGAAAGAATGAAAAAGAGTAAGTAATATAGAGAAAGTTTGGAAGCAAACAAATCATCAAGCAGAGAAAAATCTCCAATATTCGAGCATAGATAGAAACCGTTATATAAAGAATTACAAGAAAAATTTTAGCAAAACTAACAGTAAGAAATCGAAGAAAGAAAGAAGATTCTGGAAGCATAAAAAGCCAAAAAGTAAAACTATAAGATAGAGGACATAATTAAGCATCAAAAAGAATTGAGTCAGCAATTAAATGAGAGATAAAATTCTCAACAAAGTATCTATTTATTTATTAATTAAAAATTTATTGTCGACCTATTAAATAATTAATTAATTAATTAAAAGTTTTTATTTTATTTATTTAATAATTAATATGATTTACAGATTAAATAAATAATTCTAATTTAATATCTTTGTTTTTATTAAATTATTGAATTGGTTATTTAAAGTCAATATGTTTTTTAATCATAGAATAAAAAAATTAAAAATAAATTATAATTAACATTTTTATTATAAAAGAAAAAAGTTAATAATTAGACTGGCATTATGAAAAACCTAAATATTAATCAAAACTTTGGGAGATTTGTGAGTAAGAAAAGAATGAATCATACAAAAAAGAATAAGAAAAATAAATTATGAGAAGGTTAAGAGAAGAAAGAAGACATAAATTTGGCTAATAAATTAGGGAAGATAATAGCTAAAATAAAAACTAAATTAAATAAAATTAAAATAATGATAGTTAAAATGAGAATATGGATAACGATACAATTGATGACCATTTTTTAAGTTAAAGTAAATATTATCAACGAAATAGCCCTCACTAAATGGAAGCAGAAGGCAATTTAATAGAGATTAAAGATGAAAAAATAAATAAATCATAATAGAAAAATAAAAAATACTAAAATCATTCATACATAAATAAGCATCAATAAAGCGTCAACAGCTTTAATGAAAATAGCATAAATACTATCGAATTTAATTAAGAACATTAAAATTAGAAATACACGGAAAATTAAGTACTCAATAAAATCTCTAGTTCTTAGCATAATCTTTACCATCTTAGTAACAGGTTCAGAGGAAATAAATTAATTTAAAGGTAGTACACTGCAGATTAACTATTGATTTCTCATGATATGGGGAAGGAAAAAAATGAAAATTTAAACTAAAATAAATAAAATAAAAATATTAATTTTATGAAGCAAGATTAAAAAAATGAAAGCTAATTTGAGAAAAATAACTTCTTAAATTAATACTCCGTTTAAAACTTTCCAAATGTTTCAAAAAATTTTAGTCGAGAATTCTATCCAGATCTAAAATAAAAAAATCATCCTAAAAAAATATATTCTGCTAAAGAAAGACTAAATAGTGTTATAAGTAGCAACCAAAGTTTTAACAATCACAGAAATTATTCTAAAAATAGAAGCGAAAAAACGAATGATTCTAAAAGTACCTCAGAAATATACTAAGACTTAATTTAATTACATGATTAGAACTTAACTTAAAAATTAAATAATAAAAGCAAGAGTGTTCATGAAAGAGTAGAAGATGTCAAAGTCGAAACTAAAAAAATGGAACAAATTGCTAATAAATAACAAAAACTATTAAAGGTTTCTTCTAATGAAGAAATAGATAGAGTTTTTATATCAGAAATATATATTAAATCTATAAAAGCTAAATTAGCTGTGCTGGATGAGATTGTTCCTTTTTACAATTAGAATAACATAAATAATAACAACCACTCTAAGTCTTAGCAATAAGATATTCAAAAATAAGAAAATATTAACCAAAATATAAATCAAAATTCTTAAATAGTAAATAAAGAATAGTAAGATTCTTATATGTAAACCTAGTTTAGTTAAAATCATAGTAACAGCAACAAAAAAACATTAAGATTCGTTGATACATTATAAATATAGCAATAAGACAATTAATGAATTTACTTTTTACAAATAATCAAGAAATTCTATTTCAATCAAATAATCAAATTAGAATATTATTGTTTTTAGAGATTTAAAGAGTAAAAATTTTATGTACATATCAATAAAAATTTTATTTTATTTTTAAGAAATTTAATCAATAAATTAATCCAATTTTAAAAAATAAAATTATTTTAGATTTATATAATAAATAAATTATTAAGAAAATAAAAAATAGTTCATAAAAAAATTAAAAAGTTATTTTTTACAAATATATTTTATAATCATAAAAATGTTTATTACAGGGAAGATAAGGAATATTGAATGACTTATTTAAATTTCCTGAGTTTAATACAAAATTTGAATATGATAAAATAATAATTGATCAGGATGTTTTAAAGTAGATAATAAAAAAGCTAATAAATGAAAGATCAATTTCTAAGAATTAATTCTAAATAATTAATTTTTTAATACAATTTTATGAATTAATTTAATTTATTTAAGATTTCAAAAAATAATCAATTCAATATTAATTATTCAAATTTTATCATTATCCTTCAAATATTGACAAATAAATAAACTCAAGCGTTTTTACTTTATTTCTTAAATAAGATTCAAGATATTTCAAAAGATCCAGTTTTAATACCAAAAAAATCCAAATATATTTTTTAATTATTTTAAGTAATTTTTATTAAAATAATTTTGAATTGCACTTTGATGTTGTTAAAAATTAGAGGTGAAGGACTAAGTTACTTAACTACTTTAAATCAAATAAATAAACACTTGAATTATTTAAAGATTTTATTTTACAATTATTTAATACTTATTATGGCCAAATAATTTTATATTGAGCTAATATAATAAATTTTATCATTATTTTAATTTAATTTTTTATTATTTAAATGAGATTGCGTTTGATGATTATTTATTTATTTGAAAATGTTATACTTTTTATTTGCTTTTATAAATATAAGTCTGATTTATGTTAGTCCAAACTGCATTTTATGTATTAACGTTTAGCTAACAAGTAAATCAGAAAATAAAAGAATTATATATTTAATTCCACTCAATCAATAAATTGTAGTTTTTAAAAATATAGCAACTTAATTGTTTTAATTGTTGATTATGTTGGCGTTTACAGATTTATTAAAGAACAAAGAGTTATTTTTTAATGGGGAAACTAGCAAACAAGATTTTTATTTATTTTTTAATTTATTTATTTATTTATCTATTATTTGTTAACAAATTATGATGAAATAATAAATAAATTACTTTTTATTTACTAATTACTCAAAAAAAATTGAATTAAGCTAAACCAAATTTGAGAAAGTTGTATTAAATATCAACTAAAAAGTAAATGAATGGAGAAGGATAGTTGAATTTTGTCTCTGATTTTCAATAGCTTGAATAAAAAGAGAGACTAGATTTAAATTTTGGTATTTTTAAAATAAAATTTTTATATACAAATAATTTTCTTATTTTATTGTTGCTAGAGTTGTTTTGTTTTTTTTTTTTTGCATTTGTGTTTTATCAAGAGAAGACTTAATAATTAATCCTACTTGCTTTTTCTAAGCTTAATAAAAGCTATTTTTATAACCAACAACAAGTTGCTTAAAAACAAATCATTTTTTCTTTAAGCTGAGTTCTTACTAATCATATTTTATTTTTATGTTAGACTCCTTACTAGATGATCAAGAGAAGGCAGACGCGGAGTTGAATAACAGTGTTTTCACTTTTGCATAATAACATAATAGTATGATTGATGATTAACTTTAACTTGCATAAAACACAAATTAGTAACCATCTAGTTAATAAAACTCAGCATTTCCTTCTAAGGTCCTGTTAGAGACTAACTAAAATTTCTAAACTTATGAAACTTGTAATAATTGTAACCGCTAATTCTTCTAGGGTCGCCTTAATCTTCATTAAAAATCTTGCAAACCATAGAATCCATTAAAGCCTCTAAATATGTTGAAAATAAATAATATTCTATCCAACTCTAATGAATAAAGTGGCTTAGGTTCAAAAGTAACTTTTAATATATAACATTTGATTTATTTTATGCAAGCAAATAACATAAAAAATATTTATTATTTCGATTTAAGTGGACATAAGTGCCATCAAGTAGTTAAATTTTTGTTGATGCACTTTTTAACATTTTAAATGTCACTGCTAAAATTTAATTTTCAAATCTAAAAAGTAAGGTAAAAAAAAGAAATTAGGTTATAGAGAAGTTTTAAGTTCTAGACTAAGTGCAACACCTACAACTGCTGGAAGTGTTGAAGTAATTAAATCTATAATTTATAAAATTATTTTTTGTGAACTTTTAAGTAGATATGTAATATAAGAATAAATATTATTGTAAAAATTCAAATAATTATACAAGAAATTTGGTGAATAAAACTATTATACTATTTAAACAACTAAACAATTTATACAATTTTCAATTATTCGTTCGTTTATATGCAATAAATAATTCTAACAAAATTTTGTATTAATAGAAATCCGTTAATAACTAGAATGATTTGAAATTTGTGCAACCAGATGAATAAGTATCTACAAACTTAACTACAATTCCGAAGTGGAAAATTGAGCATTAGAGCTTACTATTAAGTATCAAGCCTGCTTAAATGAATGTAATTTAATTACTTAAATAAAAGATTAATCAATAAATAAATTTATTTAATTTTTTTGTTGTATAAATTTTTAGTCTTCAGATTTCATATATTAATAGTATGTTTAGTGCCAATATTGTTTGAGGAAATTCAAACCATGTAATAATTAATATCTAAATTATAATAATAAATTAAAGATTATATAATTAAATATAGAAGTAGCTGAATAGCATATACCTAATTGCAAGAATATCTTTAATCGCCCAAAACCACCTAAAAAATAGTAAGAAAAAGAGAATGAAGGTAAAATGTAAAATGAAAGAAGCTCAAATAAGCTCAAAATTAGAAAAGAGCTAACTGAAAAAGAAGAAGAAATCAAAAATATATCATCTTATGAAAATAGTGAAAGAGTTAATTTGAAAGAAAAACTTTTTTAAATTAATGACTCGTTTGATAAATCTATTACACAAATTAAAGAAATTGAAATATTTTAAATAAATCCTCAAACTTTAAGCAAAAATTTGCTTGAAAAGAGCTCAAAAAATACTTCAATTGCTACAAAAAAAAAGTTCAAACACATTGACAGAAAACTTTCCTTTTTTAATTCATCTATTAGGGATTCACACTATTTTGATTTGGAAAAAAATAATGTTTAAAATTAAAGTTTAAAGACATTGAATAAGGTAGGAAATATAGAACTCCACAGAAATAAATCAGTTTAAAATTAATTGTATGACGCTTCTTTATTTGGCTGTGATCACTTAGAATAAGCAGACTCTCAAATTAAGGTATTAAACCAATCATCCTCTGCTACTCAGCTTCCATTTATTTAAGACAAAAGAATTTCTAACAAACTTAATTAACTCTAAGGTAAAATAAATATACTTTTTATTTCCTTATAAATTAAATAAATTACTTAAAAAGAAATAAGAGAAAATTAGGGAGGTTTTAATTATGAGAACGTAATAAATAGAAGTAAAAACTATTCACAAGTTACTTGCCCTCATTGTGAAAGAATATTTTCAAAAAATGCAGCTCCACGTCACATACCAATTTGTAAAACTATCTTAAATAAACCAGCCCGTCCTTTAAAAAAGTAAACTTTAATACTAATTTTTTAAAAAAATGTTATTTAGCTAACTAACTAAATAAAAAATTAACAACTAGATCTTCATCAAGCTAGTTGTAAACTTTGATCAAATAAAACTCTTCTTATGGAGACATTTTCAAAACAAACTATGAGTAAAAAGGAAAGAATAAGTCAACTACCATTTAAGAATAATAGTCTCTTTCGGTGTTCTAAAATTAGTAAATTAGTTGTTTTTGCACTTAGTGTGGAAGTTAACTTTTTTACAGCTTCAAATATTGTAGTAGTTGTGGCAAAAAGAGATCTTGAAAAATCAGTTGTTTATTAATATAAAAAGAATATTTTATGAACAATTTTTTAATTTACATGATAATGAATGAATGAGTGATGTTATATTTATATTTATAAGATAGTTTATTTATTAATTTATTTTGAATTTTCATTTTTCAAGTTAAATTGAAAGAAAGAATCAAAAAATTTCTTTAATAATATTTTAAAAATAATTTTAGGTTTATTTTTATTAGATTTGTTTAATATTAACCAAATTACTCATTTAAGGGGGTAAAAGAATTACCAAAAAATAATTTTATTTTTGTTTAAAATTTTTAAAAAATTACTTTATCAAAAAAATATTATTTTTTAGTACATTAATTAATTAGGATTTACAGTAAACTAAACTAATTTTAATCTTATTACTTAATTATGAAATAATATAATGATATAAGTATAATTTATTTTTTACATAATAAAAATAAATTGAGATAAGTAATTAATAGAAATTTTATTTTCTAAATACTAATTTTAAAATGTTTATCATAAAAATATATTTTAAATACTGCTTAGACAAATTTATCATAAAATTCTATATGAGCAGTAATCATATTTATGTTTTTAAATTCATTGATTTGGTAATAAAAAAAGGAATTTTATTGATCATAAAACAATTATTATTTCAAATTTTAAGAAATAAAATATTTCATTTATTTTTATGTATAAATAAAGCAGGCTTATGTTTTTTAAATTCATATTTTATTTTTTGATAATTTCATAATCTATTAAGTTTATGATTGCAGGCAAATCCTATTTAATTAAATTAGTAGGCAATACTTTATGAATGTATAATTATGAGAAATTATTTGATGAAATAAAGTACTTACTTACTAATAAATAAATATGTGAATAATATTTGTGTCATATAAAATTTATTTTTAATTTTAAGAATTCGTTATAAACGACTCTAACTATAAAATATAAAGAGTGTTTATTCTTTAATATATCCCTTAGATATTTGTTAATATTTTCTGATAAATAAGCTAATAGTCCATACAAGTTAAGTGCAATTATCTTTATTAAAAACTAATAAAAATTTTTTTCTTAAATTTAACTAATATTTACAAGCAAATATACACACACACACCAATTTCTATAAAGCTTATTTATTGCTTTTAAAAACAAATAAAGAAAATAATTTTTTCTTAAGTTTCTAAACTAAAAATATAAAACAAGGCGATACTTTTAATGAGCAAAATGTCATTTTCAAACAGATTTAATTCAAGTAAAAGAGTTTATTTTTATTCATAAAAATTTATTATGATAATTTATCCATAAATAGATTAAGAAGGAGAGGAGGAGGACATAGAATATAATTAAATGGAAACTAATAATTATTATGATAATTAATATGAGTAGCAAAATAGCAATTAATTCAACTAAGTAGGGTCTTTCAAATAGACCTATGCTTTAGATAACTATAATAATGAAGAATCAGATCATGGATTTGAGTCAACTGATTAATTTAGACATAATAACTTTGATTTATTTGTTGTAAAAAAGAATGAAAATATAAAAAAATCACCTCTCCAGCCATATTAAAATCAAGAAAACTACAATTACAATAAACAAACTAGAAGCAAAAGTCCTTCTATATCACAATTACCTGATTTTCTAAAAAATCAAGCAGAGAGAAGCAGTTCATATATAAAATTAGGTAGCAGTCAACAATAATCTAAGCAATAAATATAAAATGAAAGGTGTTAAAAGTTATATGAATTGGGTGAGAAAAAAAGATAAGAGCTAATGTAAAAAAAGAGAGACAGCGACATCCTTAAAGAAAATTAATCTCAATGCACTTTTAGACCTTAATCTTTCACTAAAAAATCTATCTACAGTGCATAAACATAATCTTCATTGAATATATTTGAAAGGACTAATCTGTGGAATGAATAAAAGAAGTTAAAAATAGACTCCATAAAAGAAGCTGATAAGGATAAAGATTTGGAAGAGTGCACTTTCTAGCCCTAAATTGTAAAAAAAATTAAATTCATTAATTTTTTAATAAAAATAATATTATTTTAATCAAGAAAAATAGCAAGCAATCACATTTAGTAAATATGTCTATATACCCAAATCAGAATGGTATAGGATTAAAGGGAGTAGATAAATTTTTAAAAAGGTAAATATTAGCTCGTCGTGCAAAGGAAGAGCTTGAAGCTTAAAAGGAAAACCCTTTTTGCCATGTAGAAAATAAAAATGTAAACAAGAATATAGACCAAATTCCAATACAAACATTAACTAAAAGAGTAATTCTTAAAATTAGAAATATATATTTATTTACTCAATAATAAAATTGTAATTAAAATAGGCAAAAATATAAGAACAAGTATGTCAATCTCAAGATTATCAAAATTTTAATTAAGCTATAAAGAATTTAAGATATCAATTACATAATATAGAAATTTGATGAAGGCATTGAATTAGTAAGTTTATGAAATAAGATAATAAAATTAATTTTATTAATATCATTAATTAATTAAAAGATTTAAAATATATATTATATCATTGTTATTCCAATTAAAATAATAATAAAAACATAAATAAATAGCTCTTAACTATCGTTTCTTATTTAAAACTTTCTGATTTTAGAATTCTCAATTCTACAAAACTCAATTAATTTTTTAAGGGATAATAAAAATAAAACTTTAATGTGCTTGCTTTTATATATAACTTTCAATATTAAGTAAATATTTATGAGCAGAATATTGAGATAGATACATAAATGATATTATTAAATGTTAAAAGTAAGTTTCATATTTTCTTTAGATAATTGTAAAAAAAAATTAATAAATACTTAATACTTTGATTGATTGATTTATTTATTTATATTTTTCTCAAGATTATTTTAATTTTTTTCTATAATACATTTTAAGTTTGGAAAAAGCTCCAAAATTTTTATATTAAAAGAATCTTTTTTAAAATATTTTTTATTTATTTTAACATAAATGTGAAAAAAAATAATTAAAACAAATTACATTTTTTATTTATATCCATTTTATTTAATTCTATGTTATGTCTTTTTTTTTATATATTTTCTTAAATTTGGTATGTGAATATAACTCATTGATTAATTTATACATAATAATTAATTTAAAATTTTAAAATTGCCTAAAAAATATTTTCTCTTGCCTAATTTTTGTTAAATATATTTTTAAATTATTTTTATTAAAAGAAGATGGTAAATTCTTAAATAAACCTAAATATTTGCATACTCTATTATTCTGAATAGCTTCTTTAAAGCCAAATAACACTTTGTTTTTTGATCACTTAAAACCAAAAAATAATTTTACATTTTTATTTGAAATTGCTTCTTTCTTTTAATAAATTATAGATAAATAAAATTGAATGAAATGTAAATAAATGAATAACCAAGTTTTTAATAAATTTTTTGTTTAGAAAAAAATAATAAAAAATGAAAAAATTGTAAATTATTTATTTATTTATTTGGTTAATTGAAGAATGAAAAAAATTAATTATTTTTTTTTAAATAAATACATTCGAAAATAAAATATTTAAATTTAATTAATATTATTGTAAATCTAATTAGAACAGTATTGGATAACTAAAGCTGAGTAAAAGATAAATTTACAAGGAAATTAAATTTTTGATTTGATTTAGCTTATTTACCTAATTTTACAGTCTAGTTTACAAAGAATAATTACAAGTGAGGCAAATTTTTATTATTTAAAAGCCCATAGATTTTTTCTAAATAGTTCCAATTGTAAATTTTATTGTTTTAGGATTAAAACTGATCTTATACTAGTTAAGGTTCTAAAAGACTAATGGACAGAAAAAAATTTAGAAAAAGGAGATGGAGAAAAATTGCGTACTAGCTGACTAATTATCTGAAAATATGACAGCATTTTAGACTATAAGGTAGTAATTTTAACTAAAAATATTAAAGTTCGAGCAAAATCTGTGAGTTAAACAAAAATAATGTAATATATTCACAAAATTACAAACAAATATCAACATATAACAAATAAAAATTTCTATTAACAAAGGAGAAAGATTAAGAATACTCTCTCTATCATATATTTATATATTAATTAAATCATAAAAAAATATTCAAGTAAATTAAGTTCATATAATAAAGAAGTAAATCACAAACAAGTTGGCATAAACTATAATATGTAAGCAACAGTCAAAAATTAGTAAAAACCCAAAAGCTAAATTGAAAGCTTTAAGTATTCTTTTGCAGCATTTTGCTCTACCTTTTGCGTTTAGATTTTGCACCCATTTGACTTAATTAAGACAAGATTTTAGAGTAATTCATTATTTTTAGCTTTATAAGAATACCATTAAAAAAAGAATAACAATAGAACTAAGCTCATTTTAAAATAGAATTAATTATGAATCATCATATTAATTAAAATAAAATTAGAGAAACAAATTAATTTGTTTTTAAAAATAAAAAATAGGCCATGATGGAATGAAAGGTGGAAATAATATAGTTCCTTAGTACAAAAATATAAGAAATGCCTTTTAGACTATATACAGTCAAGAAGGTGTAAGAGGATTATATAAAGGATTTGGATGGACTTTATTTGCTCAGTCTGTTTCAAGAGTTCTCTTTTTCACATTGTAAAAATACTTCCTTAATAATTCTAGGTCATGTTTTAAATGCATATTTTATTCAAAAGATATGAAAAGAGCAGAGATTTCTATGAGAAGATTTTATAGCATCAAAGCAAAGAATTTCAAATCTTTGTGGCTTCTACACAGAGTGGAGTTATTGCAACATTTATCACAACTCCTATGTGGATATTGAAAACAAGAATGCTTTTGAACACCAAATAAAATATATCTGTAAATAAAATTTATTTTATTTAGTGATATTATAAATTTTATCACTTACTTACTTACACACACATGCAAAATAAATGATTTGTTTGATATTAATTTTCGGAGTTTTAATCTTAATAAGACTTTAAATCTATTTAATAATTTTGAAGGATTTCATACTACTGAAAATAAATAGTATTGCATGGTAAAAATTTAATAAGCTGAGTTTTTTAGTTGTCTAAATTTATGCCAAAATTTTAATAATTTATTCCTTATTTTTTAGCACAAAATATTTATCTATTTGTCTCTGGAAAGAATATACTTTTGTTCTATACTATCTATTTTTTTTCTAATAAATACTAACAATAAACTACGAAAATTTGTGGATTTTCCAGAATATTTCTAGTTATTTATTTTTACATCAAATATTTAATTGAATAAATTTTTATAATTAATAGGGGTATTAGAATCTTAACAGCGCTATATTATCAATTTACAATGAACACGGTATTCTAGGTTTCTGGAGAGGTTTAAGTGTTTCACTTCCTTTGTGTTTCCATGGCACAATTTAAATGTCAGTATTTGAGAAGGTTATGCAAATCACTCGGTAAAATTTTATACATTAATTGCATTTATTTTCTTAAAACGTAAAAAATAAAGAAAGGGAGATAAGAGTTTTTAAAATTGAAAAACGATATTAATTTTCTAATTATTAATTTAATTTGTCTTATAAATTATATTATAACTAATAGACCTATTGCCTAAGACGACACATATAATATTCGACCCGCTTTCGCGGGATTTTTCAGTAAATTATGTGCTATTTTAGCTACATATCCGTTGTAAACCCTGAGAACTAGAATATAGTAGAATCAATATATTCATACTAGTGATGGACACTTAAAGTCTCCTAAATATAAAAATGTAAGAGATGTAGTCTACAAATTGTATTAAAAAGAAGGTATATTAAGTTTATATAAGGGCGTTAAACCTTCTCTAATTATGAATTTACCTTCTAACTCAATTTACTTCTTCTGCTATGAATTTTTCAAAAAAGCTTTAAATATTTCAAGAGATCAAAAAGAAATCAAAAATCAAAAACACTGAAAGAAATTCTAATCATAACTAAAGATTTAATAAATCATAAAAATTAAATTATTTATAATAGCATAAATGTAAATAAAATGTTTAATATCAATCTATTCATCCATCTTTTAATTATTGATGTATTTACTTTATATTAATTTTATAAAACCCTAGTAAAAATAGATTCATAATTTTTAAAATTATTAAATAGATTGTATTCAATTATAATTTACTCTTTATTTGTATTTGTTTTTAGTAGGTTTTTTCAATGGTTAGGTTCTTCAAAGAATCATTGAAAATATTTTTAATTGTCAATTATTAAATATATTGTATACAATTATAATTTACTCTTTATTTTTATTTGTTGTTAGTTGGTTTTTTCTTAAATGGTTAGGTTTATACAAAAAAACATTGAAAATATTTTTAATTGTCATTCAATATTAAATTAATTTAATTTCAATATTTACTTAAAGGTTTTAATTAATTTAAAAATTTTAAAAATATTTTTAATTCTAATTTTAGTAAATATTTTTAAAAGAATGATTTTTGTTTTTTTTAAAAAAAAATATGTTAATAGAGTTTAAAGATTTAATTTATTTAAAAGAAATGTCTTATTTTGTAATAAAAACATTTTTTTAAATGAAAATAAATTAATTTTTTTAAAAAAATGAAAGTAAATTATTTTTAAAAATTGTTTTGGTTAGTTTGTTTTGCAAGATAATTATATAGATATATTTTGAATTTATTAATAAGTAGAAAGTAGGATTTTTAACAGAAAAATAAAAAGACTGAAAATTAGGTAAAAGAAGGATTGTCCTACTTTTATTAAGTAGTAGTAGCAAAAAGATGGGCAATTATCAAATGGAAGATTAATAGAGAGAGACTGGTCAAATTTAATAAATATCAAAAAAATAAAAACCAAATCAAAGAGGAGTGAATATAATTAATAAAAATAGTGAAGTAATAAGATATAGATCTATTGAATCTATCTGATTGATAAAATATATTAAGCTTATTTTATAAAAAAACTAAATTAAAGAAACAAGCAATACATATATATAATTTGATATTAATAGTTACTAAATAAAAATGGAAATTGTTGATAAAGAATAGAATTTAGCCAAAATTGATAAGGAAATTCGTACTCCTAAAACTGCTAGAGGTCGTAGACTCTTAAAGAAGAGAGAGCCTCAACTCGAAGAAGGCAGCAAAAAGACAATTTTCATTAAAGGAAAAAAAACTTCAGAAGATGTTTCAAAGATAATGAAGGACATTGTAATTAATTAATTAAATATTTTGATTGCTTTCTTTTTGAATATTAACTTCTGCTACTAAAAAAATAAATTTATGATCTTGGAATAGCAAATATGAACTTTCTTTTTTAAATTAAAATAGTACACTTTGAAAAAAATCAATTCTGTCAATTTTTCTAATAGACATGATGTTTTACCTTTTGAAAATGTTTAACCTATTGAAAATTATTGCAGCAAGCAAGATTGCAGTCTCTTCGTTTTTGGGTATTTATTATTTTATTACATTTTAGCAAGCAATGATTACAATTTTTTTATACTAAATCAAGCTCCCACAATAAAAAGAGACCTGATAATCTCATTCTTGGTAGATTATTTGATGGACATCTTCTTGATATGGTAGAATTTGGAGTCAGCAACATGAAATCTCAATCTAGCTTCACAAGTATTATCGATATTCCTTCTTAAGCTCGTCCTGTTTTAGTTTTCTAAGGTCCTCTCTTCGATTCTGAACCTACCTTTATGAAAATTAAGAACCTTTTAAATGGTAATTAAGCAAAATGAATACATAAAATTTATAAAAAAAAAGAATTATTTTTTAAAGATTGAACTTGGAGCAAAAAAATTTCAAAATGAAAATATTAATATTTTTTAATTTATTTTTTAGATTTCTTTGTCGAAAACATCAACGTAGCTGAAATAGATATTATGACTGGTATGAGATATACAATAGTTTTTACTGCTAATGAAAAAAATATTTTGATGAGAACTTATGCTATAAATATCAATAAAAGTGAAGTTAATAAGGAAGATTTATAATCAAATAGTAATGCATCTGCAATATAATTAACTGAAATAGGGCCCTCTGCTGACCTTACAGTTAGAAGAGAATAATGGGCTTCTGATGAAACTATGAAAGTTGCCTGCAAACAACCTAAAGTAGTCAAGAAGAAACAAGTATATATTTTTTAATAACTTAAACAAATAAATAAATAAATTACTTTTTTTAAATCAAATTAGGATAAAAATAAATTCACAGATGCATTGGGCAATACAGTTGCTAAAATCTATACTAACCATCAAAACTTTAATGTGTTAGCTCTTAAAAAGAGAAAGAAACTAAAAACTAACAGCGGAGAAGAAAAAACTATCGATGTCGACGATTTGTGAAAAACCTGAATTTATATTTTAAAATATTTTAGTAATAATTATAAATAAAAAGATTATTCTTAGCTATAAAAGAATAAAAGTAACTCAACTCTAGCACATTTTAGCAATAAACTGATAAAAGGAAAAGCATTTAATAATAAATAATTTTATAAAAGCCTTAAAATAATTTACCCTGCTTTATTTTAAGATAGTCTCAACAAAATTGCTCTAATCATACAAATTAATTTCATTTTTATTCATTATATAAAATTGTTAAATAATTAAACTAAACAATGTAAATCTCTATTATTTATATCACCTTGTTGAGTATCTTAAATATTTCATTTTATCACCTAATTAAATCTTTTTAATATAATTATTTACAGAATCCAATTTCAAATTAGTCAAAATTTTCTCAAAAAAAATTAATTTACTTTTTATCAAAAAAGAAACAAAAAAACCTAGATTATTTATTTTTATTAAATTATTAAAATTTTAAACTTTTAAAATTCAGTTTTATAATAAGCCAAAAAAAATAAATAAATTATATTTCATTATCATGTAGTTATACATTTTATCTAAAAGCATAAAATTGTTTAATAAAGCAACAAAAAAACATAGATTTTTTATTTTTATTGAAATTTTAAGCTTTTAAAATTAAGTTTTATAATAAGCCAAAATAAAAAAATAAATATATTTCATTATTGTGGTTATTGATTTTATCTAATATTATGAGTAGAAAAATTGCTTAATAAAGCAACAAAAAAACCTAAATTATTTATTTTTATTGAAATATAAAACTTTTAAAATTCAGTTTTATAATAAACCAAAAAAAAAAAAAAAATTATACTTCATTATTATGTAGTTATTGATTTTATCTAATATAGTTAAATTGTTTAATAAAGCAACAAAAAAACTAAGATTATAAATTTTTATTGAAATTTAAAACTTTTAAAATTCAGTTTTTTTATAAGCCAAAATAAAAAAATAAATTAATTTTAATTATTGTGGCTATTGATTTTATCTAATATTTTAAGTAGTAAAATTGTTTGTTTGCACAAAAAGTGGTTAAGTGGAAATTAAATTATAGTAAATTTTAGATTTTTTAAAAATTGTAAGAAAATAAATGGTTGCTATGACTACTCTCTTAACAAAATTTTTTGCTTAAATTTTATATTTAATTTACTTTGAAAAAAAAATGAGTGAATTAGGATAGTAATTTTTTTTTTTGAATATATTTTTATTGCTTGTTAATTACCTTAATTAATTTTATATAATTTTTTGAATACTATTAGTATATTAGGAAAATAATTATTTTTTTATTTATTTATTACATTTATTTTTGATTAGTTTTATTACTATATCAGATCTAATATAAAATATTATCTCTTTCTATATATTTTTAAAAATCCCATACTTTGCACATGCTTGCTTTGAATCCTAATGCTAGAAATTTGTAGTCTTTAGTTATGTCCATACAGGTTATTTCTTTTTCATGCACTTTGCACTCTGATACTTATTTAAAATTTTGATATGGATCTAAAATTACTAGACCTTTATCTGCATCTACCAAGATTAAGTATTTGTCAGTGAAAGTAGCAATTTTTGATTTAAATTAAAATTCTAATTCAATCTTATCATAGTTTTAAAATAGATCCCATAAATATATACTTTTAGCACAAACTGCTATCAGATACTATCCATTTGGACTTATGGCTATTTAACCTAAATTATCTTCTGAGATAAGCACTCTCATTAAGAATTTTGTTTCGAAAGAATAAACACCTACAAGCCCACTAGATGTAGCTACTGCAAATAAATTATTTTGGCTTTATACAGCTATTGATTTCACTTATTTATAAAACTACTGCTGATAAATAGACTCGAAATCTTTAGTTATATCAAAAATGTTTAGCTGCCCATTTTAAGTACCTGTAATTAAGTAGTGGTCTTAATGACTAAATAAGGCAGTGATTATACTATCACCATCAAATTAAATTTCTTTTATTTTTTCAAAATTATTATTTAAATCTAAAATTATGCATTTTTATTTCCCATAAAGGGCAATGTATCTATTATTCTGAGAAAATTGCACTTCTGTCTCTCTAGAATCTAACTTTATTTCAATCAATAGCTTAAAATTCTTTTATAAATTCCAAATAGAATATTTATATTCTGAAGTGCAAGTTATCAAATATTTGCAGTCTTTGCTAAATGCTAAAGAAGTAAGGCGATCTGCTATTATTGGTAAGTTAGTGATGTGGAAGTCCAAATTAAAATTTAGAATTTTGATTTTGTTAATATTGACTTCACATAAATATTTGGTGTCTTAGCTATAATAATATTATTATACAATTGTTAGTCCATCTTCTAAATCTTTGTTATTTAAATTACTGTAATTTGAATCTGGATAAGTGATTATATGTTGTAGTTTATTATCTATCATTTCCCAAACACACATATAATAATCTTTTTCATACATTAATCTATTTAAACGAACATCAAATGTAAACAAGAACATCGAATTCTCCTAAATAGACTCAACCATTGACAAGTTATTTGAAAAGTCAAAAACGTTGATTTTGTATTTATCTTAGCTAAGAAAGCTTTCCTATTCCACTGTGAATAAGTATTTAAAGTCCTGACTAATTTTAAAGCAGCGGGTTTTTGCTGAAATTTACTTTTTGATAACATTTTTAAATCTGTCATTTAAATCCCAACACTTTATTTCTTACTCATGCAGGGTGACTAAATAGTTATTTTTGAGACATATATCCATTTGCAAAGCATTCAAATCAATAGCATAATATAATTTAAAGTTTGAGCGAATAGAATAAATATTAATTGCTGCCTGTTCACATATGATTAGTTATTATAAGTTGCTATTAAATTTTATGTCTATAATTTGATTACAAGGAATTGTGGCCTTGCATTAGAAATATTTTCCAACATCCCACACTTTACAGATATTTGTTTACTCTTTAGTTTGTAGTGAAGTAGCAAAGTACTTATCGTCCTAACTAAAAAGAGCTTGTTCTAAAATTTATTCTCTTACTTCAACCTCTTTGATGTATTTAAATCCATAGGTAATTTCATAAATTTAATAGTTATTATTTGAAAGAGTGACGAAATACTTTAACTAATTACTAAATATTGCTTTGAGAATATTAGAAGCTTTGTTCTGTACTAAGAGTGGGATGTTGCTTTTTAAATTATCAACAATAAATAAATCACCTTTTTTAATTATTATTTTGTTATCTTTGAAGAATTCTATTGATTTGATATAATCATATGATCCTACGCATTTAAAATCATTATGAATATCAAGGAAAATGTCTTAGTGCTTTTATCCCCATCTATTAAATATTTTTAATTGCAAAAATTTACTATCGTAGCTGAACTTTGGATACCATCTAAATAAATATGTTATTACAAATCTTTTGATCAAATTACATTTAATATCAAAGAGTGAAAGATATCTCTCATCATTTTTATAATTCTTTTAGTAGAGTATAAAGTATTTCTCATCAAAACTAAACTAAACAAACTTAGAGCGCAAGAATTCTTTTATTTGAATGAAATTTTGTCCATCAAGTAGGTAAGTGCTATTATCTTTTTATGTAATTGCAACAAAGTTACACTGAGAGCTAAAAACTGCAGATTCAAACTACTGAGGCCATTCCTAAACTTTATAGATTTAGAATTTTTGCCTGATATCCCAAATATTAATTTTATATCCTTTTGAATTGATTGTCAGCAAATAAGGATTTCCAAAACTTAAAATACTTATGTTGTCTATATAAATCTTATTTTAATTGCTTTTCTTTTACATGTCTTAAGTGCTGTAATCATCGTCTTATGCATTCAAAAGTATAAATTTTTTTTCTTTAATGCTCCAAATATCACCTTTTTTTGTAATGTAATACTTGTTACACTGAGTGAACCCTGATTATATTTTATATTTTTCTTTTTTTTAGTAATAATTACCCTCAAATGACTAAATTAGACTGAATTTTTTTGTATATTTCCATATTTGCAATTGTTATTAATTATAAAATGCAAAATAGCTACAATCAATAGAGAATTCAAAGTCATCAACTTCCATATGATTGAATTTGTAGTACTGTGAATCAACAATACTACCGATAGTTTTTCTTATCTTTGCATTTTTAGTGTCTATTAAGCTGTCAATTATCAAGGCATATTTTAAGTGGCAATTACTAAAATTAATTGTGCTTTTGTTAGATTAAAATAAATAAGCATAAGGAAATTTACAATCAGATAAATCTAAATTGTCGAAAGCAAAATTATTTTAAAATAAAGCAGAAAGCAAATTAGAAGAACCAATATTCAAGCTTGAGTAAAACCTAGTCATAAAAATATATTCTAAATAGAATACAATTGCTTGGCGCTGGTGTTTGTATGTGTATTTGTTAATATTTTCTGATATGATTGAGTTTAAAATATGACTTAGTTTGATTAATATTTCGGGCTCAGATTAATTCTAAATATTAATCATGATAAGTCTTTGATTGATATTAAACTGTTATAGATCTTCTTCGCTTAAAGAGCTTAATCTAATTCCTTTTTTTTCATAATTAATGAAATCATTAATCATCGCTCTAGCTACAAAATATTCATAAATTGACTTATGTTTAAACTCAAGCTGTTAATTAACATATTTCTAAGAGTTAGATGAGCCGATTCTGCTACTTTGATTAATCAGAATGTTAATTATCTAATTATTTATATAATTTTGTATTCTTTTGATTAATATTTATTGATCTTCTTCTTCTTTCAAACTATTTTTAAGGTCTTCAGAAATTATAACAGGTATGTCTTTCTAATTAACAACTAAAAATTAAGTAACTTGGCCTTTTTACAAGAACATTTTCATCGCTACACTTTAGAAGTAATCGAAATATTATTCCAAAATAAGATTTTATATAGAAATAAGTTCAGTTTTCTGATAAGTGTTTGTGTTCATCAATATTTCAACCATATTTTAGGCCTCTCTCTTAAAGTACTACTTAAAAAATAGCTAATATAGAGAAACTTAATCAAAATACTTTATTTGATTAATTTAATCTTAATCGATTTCATGTATAATCCTTGTAAGTAGGTAGAGATTTATTGGTAGTTTCACTATGTTATAGATGTTTCCTTAATCTAATATATTGAAAAGTGCTTCTTAGACATTAGCAAGATGATCCTCTAACTCTTTAGTGCCTTACTCTTTAACTTAATCTTTTTAAGACTTTTTCGTTTTATTGAAAAAATGCTTTGTAGTGTCTTTATCAGGAGTGGGCATAAGTGATTATCTGTATTTTTCAATGTAGTTTTAGCAATATATTTGAATGTCATCGTCATTAAAAGGCAATAAATCTAATATACAAAAAGAAGCTTCAGGGTTATTATTTTTTTCTTTGACTTGAACAAATTAAACTATGCTATGCTCATCTAACTTTTCTTTCCTTGAAGTTAGAATAACTTTTGTGTTGTTCCATTCACTTAAATTCAAATCCTTGTAGATATTGAAGTTGTCTCCAGTGTACTCATCATAGCCGTCTAAGAGAATAACTTTCTGCCTTTTGGAAGATTTTTTTATAGCAATTATGTCAAAATTACTGATAGAATACTCATCTGAAGAAAGAACTGCCTCTATTGTTGGATATTTTTAATTTAATTGATTGCATTTTATGAAAATAGGGAAATAAAGTTGAGATGAATCATGAGTTAAATCTATTTGTATTTTTTTTAGCAGCATCGATTTTCCGCTACCACCTTCTGCAAGAATTACCAAAACAACACAATCAGATTGTTTTAAAAAATTATCTCTAATCAATTTGATTGTTGTTGTGTTTTGTTAATCTTATATTTTATTTGTTTTAAAGAAATTTTTGATCTTGTCCACAGTTGTTATCTTCGTCTCATTACCAGGTGTCGAAATTTCTAATTACTCCTCATCTCCTTACTCCTTTGAAAATATGTTATTACCCTTTAAATATTTAAATCTCTGATTGATGTACATATCCTAGACATCATGCAAAAGGTCATCTTTGAGCTCTAATCCTTCGACCTTTCTCTCTGAAACAAACTTATCCCACAAATTAATTAACTTTTCCACACATTTTTATTCGAATTCCATAAAAGAAACATTGAATTTCTATTAAAGTTTTTCAATGTTTTTCTACTTTTCCAAGTAGTCAGACATAAAACAGCAAAAATTATTACCTGCAAACTCAAATATGGTCTGCAACTCTAATCTTCTTGTCGTGATAAAGATATAACAAATATGCTACCAGAGATTCTGGAGAAGGATATTTGAATAATCTTCTAAGTAAACTATCTCCATCATGTCATCTATCTTCTTAGCTGAAAATATCTTGAAGAACTTTACCATAATACTTGTTATTATGTAAACTATTCTAAGCTTGTAGACTTCGCTGTCAATAATAAACATTTTAATTTCATTGAATTCCGTATCAAACAAATCACAAATGTACTCAATAAATTTTATTACTAATTTATTCGACAAATTGAATTATTCGTTTTGACAGTTTTACTAAAACTAAACCAAAAAAAATTTTTGGTGGTTTTATAAGAAATTGAGTGTTAAGAGGTAATCTATCTTATTTAAAACATACATCAAAGACATTTCATTGTGATCTTTGATATATTTTAAATTCCATTCTTAGTTAACTATCAGTGAAATGTAGAATAAGATCTCGTGGGAATCAAAACCTTCATAGCACTGTCCAAAACATTTTGATAAGTGTTACCCATAAATGTTCTCACACTCTTGAGTATTCTTTGTTTTAGTGAAGTTTTAAATTTTAAATATTTCTATGTAGAGTAGAGCATTAAATATCCCTTGAGAAGAGAAAGCATCCATCTTTTTATAGACAAAGTTGATAATATTCACTAACTCTAAAGCAGCATCAGCTATATTTATTTTAAATCCGTAGTATCCTAGCTTTAAAAGGTTCGAAGTTAAGGTTATTGCTTCAGTCAAACCATCGTATTTCTCATAATATATTTCCAAATTCACCTCCTAAATCTTTATCATGAGAGAAATGTAGAATAAGATATCTTAAACTGGGTATTTTGCTGAAAGATCAAGACAAATTCTTTCAAATTTTCTCAGTTTTTCTATCTACTTATTGATATCTTTTTTATTTGAGTAAATTTCATAATCGGAAAGTCTTAGAAGACAATCGAGGTACTTCTCAAACAAATCTATAAAATAGAGCTTGTTTCCAACAAAATTTAAGCGATCTCCAGTCAACAACTTGATGTAGATGTCACAAAATAATATCTTTTCAATTTTTAACTGATACTTTCTGACATTGCTTTGCTGCAATTTTTTAACTTTTTATTCCTATTGTATTAACTCTCCTTACTTCTACTCTTTTTTAAGCTACTTCATTCTATATATCTCTGCTTAAAGCTGCTATGTCCCTTGCTGCAACTCCATTTACTAAAACTATAAGACCTCTTAATAGTCAGCAATTAAGTTATCGTTTTCATTTTATTCTACATAATCTAATTCATTTTTAGAAAGAGTTTATAGCTTTTCATTGATCTTTTATGTATTAATTTTTGTATTTCCGCTACCACCTCCTCTGAGAAAAATATTTTATTGAAACTGCTATATTCTAAACGCATAGTAATTTTCAAATAAATATTTTTTCAATAAGCTTTTACTGAATTGTCCTGATCTAAAAATCTTCGCTATATGATGTTTTTTTGTGAAATTAATTTCTGATTTTGTTGAAGTTTTTTAGTTTAAAAAGAGAATTGTAATATTGCCTGCATCATCTATTTTAAACTCTATAGACTTGCCTTTTGCTAGCTATATTTCAATCTTTTAATTCATAAATGTTCGCTATTAGCACCCCTTTAAGATTTTGTTTGAGAGCTTTAATGTTGATGCAAAATAGTACACTATTTTAAAAAACAAATATACAAAATTGAACTAATTTATGCAAACAATTTATTATTATATATGAATGTATGATTTATACTTTTTGATGATAGATCAATTAAATAAATAAAAAATTACTGTATCTATAGATTGCTTAAATTACTTTAGTAATAAACTTTCATACAAAACAATATGATCGTACTTCTATAATAGCACCACTTTATTTATTACAATATTTAAAAATTAGAATAAAATTTTAATGATTTAAAATATTAGAATTCTAATCGTAAATCTTAGAATAAAAAGATTGCTTATATTATATGATTACACTTATGTAGAGAAGTCTTTATTTACCTAATTTTTTTAAATTGCTAAAGGATAATTTAAATAAATATTTATACTTTCTTTCGAAACAGTAAAAGGTGTAAGGATAATAAATTATATTATATTTTATTGTTAAATTTCTAAAATCAAACACTCCTTTAAGTATTTTTCTAAATATTAAGAAATTACTTTTACATTTTCTTAACTTTATTCAGATTCTAACAAATTAAATAACTAAAATAGCTAAAATTTGATTGAAACTGATTTTAATTTCTTTAATTTTTTTTTTTCTACATGTTTTAATTACTGTATCTTTTTAATTTAAAAAATATAATATGACTAAAGTAAAAAATAATATAAATAATGGTCTTTGAAAATTTCTTTTAAAAGCGGATGAATAATTAATATATTTTTTAACAAAGAAACGAAGAATCATCATAATCCATGTATAAACAAAATAGTAAATCAAATGATGAATTATTTATTTAACATATTGGCTTATAATTTTAATTAATTTTCAATAATAAATTAATTTTTGTAATTTTAGTTGGAGAATAAGAGCTTTTTTATATATATAACCTTTACTTTATGTATAAATTATATTATTTTAGAATAAACTGCACGCAATTAAAAATAATTTTAATATATTTTAATTAAATCATTTACCGTAAATCCTCATAAATTTTCACCATATTTTCTAAATATTTATAAATAAATTAAATATCACTGATCACCATATAGTACTCTTGGAGTTTGGGGGGGAGGTTTGTGAGAATTAATGAGGATTTATGGTATATCTTTCATTTAAATAAATTTTTTTTATTTAAAAGTAAATATTTTGTAATAATCTCTAAATGTTTAAAATAAAAAAAACTTTTTTGTTGTTTGATTTTCAATATTAGTAGAAATAATTCAAAGCAAAATAATAAAATAAATATCTATTGATGACTTTGCAGACTTTGCAATTAACTAAATATTAACTTAATCAAAATATACAGATGAAGTATATCAATATTTAAAATATCTAAAAATACGAATATATTAAATGTAATAAGATATATTCATATTTGTTAATATTTTGTAAAACAATTTTTTTGATTTTGAAAAATTTAGATATTTTGCAATTAAAAATAAATTGATATAATAATAAATTTATTTATATATGAATGGAAAATCAAAGTGAAGAAATATATTATTAATTACTAAGATTAAATATTTATCATTTTTATTTGCTTATATTTATTTATTTTTTATTATGACGTATAATTGCTTGAAATATCAATTGATTCTCTTTGGGGGTTTATATTTTATTTAAAATAGTACTTTTATTTTATATTTATTTACAAAATTTTTAGCTTACAATTTTAATTAATATTAAAAATTGAGCATAGAAAGACATATATTTTTCAATTAATTTAATTAAAATAAAAGTGATGCAAACAACCAAATAATTCGCAATCTTAATTTTGTGGTTAGCTTTATCATTTAGAAATACTAACAAATTCATATCTAATTTTCATTCCTAAAATTTATTTGCCATATATCAAAATTTAAGATAAAAAAATAATATATTTAAAGTAGAAATAAGTTTTTTAAATTAAATGAGTTAGTTAGTATTCTATTTTGTTTCAATTTAATCTTTAAAAAGTAGAATTTTTATCTATACGAACAGATAACTTCTCATACTTCTTTTTTATTTTAATGATAGATTGATAAATTGGAAAGACTAAAAGAAAATCTGTATTTTGATAAGTTTTACACATATTTATAACAAATTAAAATGGATATAAAAGTTATTTAGAAGAGCTTTGTTAAAAGTAAAATTGCCTTAGAAGAGTATATAAGTATATATTAAAACAAATAAATACATTATAATGTAAAAATATTTTTTATTTTAAGGTTTTTCAGAAAGCTAAAGCGAAAATAGCCAAAAACAACAATGAAAAAACAATATTAACTGAGGAAGCGGTGATATTGTTTTACATGCAACTAAGAATTGAAGTACCATATGTAGCAAGATTAGCTGTATTTTGGGGATTACTAGTATTAGCGGGAGTGGCATATTTACTAAGAGGAATTTAAGTTATTGCAGTTTTAATACAGGTGTATTAGGTATTCCAGTCCATAGCTTAGCAGGCTTAGAAATTAGTCATAAAATCTTAGTAAAGTTATGCACCAGCAGCATCAATAGCTGAATAAGGAAGTGTTAAATTTTGAACACAACCCATCAAAGCAGTGTTTAATCCAGTAGTATCAACTGTAGTAGTAGTATCTGCAGAAGCTAAAGCTACAAAAGAGATGAAAAGTAAGGCAGCGATCTTCATTTTTGACTAAATATTGTAAATTTATTGAATTGCTTTTTTTAATAATTAATTAATTAATTAATCTCTATAGACTACTTTTACAAATATTTAAACCAGAGATTACAAAATTTATAATTTTGTAATTCTTTTTTATGGTGAATGAATGGATTATTATTAACTTCTTAACTAGATAATTTCATAAAAAGTGCTTAGTGATGTATTACTCCAAATTAAGACACAACAAAACAAAAAATTAAGTATTAATCGCATGTCACTCCTTACGTATTACTTTTTTGAGAAAAGTTATTAAAAATCATACAATTTTATAACAAAAGTTGAATATTTAATATTAATTTTTCTGCAAATCAAAATCTTCATTTACGAAAGACTTTCCATATGTTTCTTCTAAAAATTAATGGTTAGTTTCATAGTAAAAGCTGATCAAATAAATAATTGCTTTCATACTTTATTATAATTTTTTAAATCAAATCTTTGAAACCATTTTTTTTTTAATTTTCAAAAAATGGCTTCTTGATGAAATAAAATCAATTAAAACAAATAAACGACAAATGGATTTATAGATTTAATTTAAGCTTTGCGTGATAATCAAGAAACATATTTTTTATTGATTTTGATGTGGAAAAATATGTAAATATTTACATAATTATATATGTTACATATAATTTACCTTTGTTTATTTGTGATATATATTTCCAACAAAGTTTAGTAAGCTAAAACATATAAAGAGATTTATATTATTAATATAGCTATCTGTCTTTTTGTTTTAATTTGCGACTAAGACATCACTCCAAATCTTATCAAAATTTTGTGGTAAAATTTTTAGTGAATCTGACAACTATGTAAAATTAATTAGATTAAATAAATATTAGAGATAGGCTAAATTAGTTTTTAAGTATATGAAAATCCGTCTTAGAGCTGTATTCACATAAATATTCTTAAACATGTTGGAAAATTATTTAAAAAAATTTGTTTAATTATGTATATAATTGCTTTTAAATACATAAAAAGCTAATTTATAGAGTTGATCTTATCAGAACAAGAACAACTATTATAATAAATAATAAAATTATAATTTTATAATTACGTTACCTATTTATAATAACTTTTCGACTATATTTTCTTTTAGCTCAACTTATTCCCACTCAAATTAATTTGCAATATTAATTGCATCAATTTTAGATTAAATTAAATCAATAATCAATATTAATTTTATGTCACTTCATACGCAATATTTTTATAATACACAATGTTAAAAATAGCATTTATTTGAAATTAATATTCAATATTCTTAAATATAGAGGTACTTTTATATATTTGATTCTTCAATATTTACAAGTTGCTAGTCAAAGTAAGTAAATAATGTCTTGTTTTTATGATCTTCCAATACCAATAAATATAGAAAAAGAATTTAAGATGGAAAAAAGCTATATATTTATTTAGCTTACAGATATTAAAATTTAAAAGTCTTTATTTAGTATTGATTATAGTATTCTTTTACTTCTGATAATATTCAAAAGCTTTGAAATGTATCATATGAAGCAAAGAATCATTCATTTTATGGTATAAAATTACTAAATAAAGAGCTATTAAATTTATCAAATCTACTTGTTGAAAGAATAAAATTATAATTTCTCAAAGTCATACATACAATTTAGAATTAATCTAATTTTAAATTAGTTTTAAAATAAAAAATAAATTGATTGTTAATTTTTTACATATTAAATGTAATTATCATATTTAAATGTTAATAAAAAAATTAATTTTACCAAATATATAAATAGCTCTACAACAGAGCATAATTCTAACACTGCTTATAATCTAATCAATATAAAATAAATTTTATGGTAACTAAAATAAAAATAATTAATTTATCATAATAAATATAGGATAAATGGATTGTATTTGTAAAAAATAGATTCTTATTAATAATAGTTGTCCCTTTTATTATCAATAAAATCCTACTATAGTGTTACTTTATTATAAAAAGAGAAAAAAATATTTTTCAAAATCCTTTGTTAATCAGGATAGACAATAATTTAATTTATTGTATCTTTATTTAATTGATTTAATTATTTTGTACTTTGTCTTAACCATAACCAAAATGAATGAATTACTTATTTCTTTAAATAAATGAAAAAAGTATTTCATTTTTTTTTTAATTTATTTTATCATCTAATCTTTTCCAGGACTTAGAACTTTAGGAATTAAAAGTGTTCGATGGAATGGATGTCAGGGGGTATCTGTTGTTGCAAGATAGTTTTCTTTATTTTTCCAGCTCTTTATTCATAAAAATATGTTATGTAAGAAAAAATAATTATACTATAGAAACAATTATTTTATTAGTAAAAAAATAATAAATTTAAATAAAATTTTATAGGTTATCTTATACTAAATTTTAATTATAAAAAGAATGATAAAGATAGGTAGGACCGAATTAATAAAATGAGGAATTAACTTTTACATAAATTACATTTTTAATAAAGGTAGAATTAAACAAAAATAATATATTCCATTTACTATAATAAGCAAAGAAATAAATTTAAGCTAATGTGAGGGTTCAAATAATACAAAGTGGAATTATTTTAAATTTTAGAAATAGATATTATGTTTTATAAAAATGAAATAAATATGATTTATTAAACATTCTGATAATATACTTTGCACATTTTTGTAAATTTTGTTAAATATTTTATAAATAAAATACAAATAATTTAAATAATTTGAACATTCATTTGCTTTTAGTCTTGCTTTTTTTACCAAATAAAATTTAAATAAATTTTAAAACCATTTCTTTTTAAAGATTTTATTAGTAGAATAAATTAACTTAATAAATGATAAAATAAATAAGCTAAAAAAGTTTTAAAAAAACCAAGAAACTAACTAACATGATAATATTTTAAATCTAAACATTATGCAAACATAAACGAAGTAGAATACAAATATCAAAATTATAATTCTCAAAATATGATAGATAATATTAATAAAATTGCTGATGATATTAATATATTTGATGAGTTAGTCCATGTACAACTTAAATACTAATTGTAGTATAAAATAAATTATCTATTTTATGTTTTTGGATTACATTTATTTTAAAGTTAGGTTTAGAAATCTGCAGAAGTATCTGAGGCAGCCTGATTTATACATAATTTTAATGCCTAGCATTCACTGTAATAAGAATCAGTTTATTTTTAATTTGATGGGCAATACAATTATTGCAGTTCTGTATCACAAGGTTATTTAGTTTTGTCCTCAGCATAGACAGTGCTTAAAATAAAAATAATTATGAAAACGAAGCTAATATTTTTCATAATGACTGTCAGTTTTTATCCTTATTAATTAGTTTTAATTTATTTTTTAATATTATTTATTATTAATGCTCCTCAAACCAATTTACTATTAATAATCAAACAAACAAGCAAGCATTTATTATTTAATACAATTATAGAGCATATTTCATTTGTAAAATTAAAAATTCATATTATTTTGAGAAATTAAATTAATTGTGCTTCAATAAAACTAAAATAGATTTGCAGATTTTTTGAAGGTAGTTGGTATAATTTGTTTGATTTTGATTTACATATTTTATTTTTGCAGAATTGTATTATAATAAATAAGATAAATTAAAAATAGAATAATTTTATAAAACTCCAAATATAATTCAAGATGATTTTTTATTTTGCATTCAATAGGTTTTACTTTGATAGTTATAGATCACAAAGAAATAATATCCTTGTAGTTATCTATTTTATAATTTAAATATTGTTAGAGCTAATATTAAATATGAAAATCTCCTTAGTATATTCAAATTAAGCTAATATAATTGAAGTAAAAACAACATAATTATTTTTTTTCAACCTAAACAAGACAGTAAACATCATTTTTTGTCATAATTTGTTGACGATTGGCTATTTATGAAGTATTTATATGAAATAAAATTTAAATTATGACTTTATATAACATTTCTTTCATATGAATTTAAAGTTAGATGAGTAACTAAGTATACTTATTTCATAGATTTAAAATTAATTTAATCCTAAATTAACTAAAATTTAAATTTATTTTTACATTTTTCCATATTTTTGAGGTGGAGTTTTTCATTTTAAAAATTTTTTTTCCTTTTTATTTGATTTTATAAATTAAACTAACTAACAGAATAATTTATTTGAAACATACAAAAGTGTGTAAAAAAGATTATCTTTTAGATGATAAAAAAATATTGACTTACAATTTAAGTTGTGGGTAAAATGTAATATATTTTCTAGTTAAACTATATTATTATAAGATAAAAGTTAACATTAAGCTATTTTATGTTAAATTATTTTAATATTTGTATGGAGTTTTTTATAAAAAATCTATAAAAATTTAAATTATTTTACTTTTAGCAAAAAATTATTTATTACTTAGAAAAAATCTAATTTTTTTTAATTTTTATTAATGAGAAAGTGTTTTTTTTCTAATAACTTCAAAGGAAAATAATTATTTTAACTAAAACTTTAGTTTTTAGGAAATATTTTTATTTTTAAGCTGTATTGAATATTTTAGATATTTATTATTTGCCTCCATTTCATAAAATAGAAATCAAAATAAAAAATTAAATATTTAATATCAAAAATTAAAAATATAATGTAAAATTAATTTATAATAATATTCATCTTAACTTAGGAGCTTTAGGTTAAACTAATTCATACTTGACACAATAATTTCCAGGTCATGGAAGATGCTAATTTATAATATGAGGTATATTTTAATAAATAGGACTACTAACTAACCTGCTTTTCATTCGATGTATCTCTTTTTATTTTTCTCTCTTTTATACCATTTGAAATAAATATTCGTTTTAAATAAATACATTTTATAGTAAGTTTTGTAGAGGTATTAAAATTAAATCCCTCAAAAATAGATAGATAATTGATAATTCTTTAAAATATTATTTTTTCAAGTGAATAAAAAATTGATTGATTTATTCTTCACTTTTCAATAAATATTCAATTCTTTTTACTTCTACTTTACTTTGAAATAATCTTTTAACTTAACATTAAAATATTTTTTAGAAAAATCTCATTTGAAATGATTACTAATATAATTTATTAATTTCATAAACATTCTAGCATTCATTTTCATGAAATGCTTTGATAAATAAATATTTTATTTTATCTTCTGAATAATTTTTTTAAAAACCTATTTTAAAATTATTTAGAGCAATCCATAAAAAACAAAAAATAAACTTCAAACATTTTTCAAAATACCAAAATTAATAAAATAAATATTAAGATCGACCCTTAAGTTATAGCTGAATAGTTAGTTGAATAGCAATTTAAAATTGAACTTCCAAAAGACTGTACTAATGGATTCGGACATTATTTAATACAAGTTTATATGCATTCCTCATAAGATGGTAGTGATGTTGTTGAAGAAGCACAAGCCACATAGCATTAGCCGAAAGTTCCATAATCAACTTAGCAGACAGTATCTGTTCCTGAACAAGGAGTTTTTATATTTTAAATGCATGAATATAATTTAGAACTCTGTATTGTTTGTTAAGCAAAAATAACTTATAAAATAGCAACTATTATTATTCCTCTTTTTAATTATTTCATCAGAATCTTATGTATATTTAAATATAAATATTTAAGATATCGTATGATATGTATAAAATTAAAAAATACCTATGAAAGTATTTATTTAAAGATATTATGCGTTTGAGATGAACTAACTTGTTACTATTTTTCTTTGTAATTTTGTTGATTTCTTTCTTTTTATTCAAGATTTATATTATTTTAATATTAATTAATTCTTTAAATGACCACCAAAATAACCCTGATTCACATAAAATAAGGTCAATTTATTTTTCTTTATTATTTCCACAAACAATAAATGAAAAATACAATTTTTATTTAAAATGTGAGATAAATTATAGAGTCAGTCATTTTTAATCATAATAAATTTTAAATTTCTACTAGAATATTATTTAATATATTTCAATCTAAAACATTCAAATGGTATGAGTCCTTGTTTGTTTCACGTTTCATTGAAGAATATAAATTTTCTAAACCAAATAAAATTATTTAAATATAATTTAAAATATTTGTATGTATGCTTACAATTTATTTTCTCTTCTTTTTTTTCTAAAAATTATATCAGTAATTTGATTTAAAAAATCTAACTAATTCAAAGTTTAATTTATTATTTCTTTCAAAAAAAAATTAATTATTTATCAAGTAAATTTTATTTTGGTGAAAAATATTTTGTTTGTTTGTTTATTTATTTATGATAATTTCTGAAATGTAAAACTAAATAATTATTAAGTACCAATTATTTAATTATGTGAGTATTATTTAAATAATGTTTTAATCGAAATCAAATAAAAGTTTATGAGCTTTTATTATCTAGGATACTTGATAGTATTTTATTTTTTTAAATTTTATCCTTAATTAAACGTGCTTTCTTTTCAAATTCAGATTTAGATTCTTCGAAAACTTGTGGCTTTAAAGACATTAAACCTATAACTTAAACAGGAGTAGTATCTTTAAACGAATACCAGTCTAGTTAAAAGTCTTCTTTTTAGTATTCTTTTTTATACTTTTGGAGCTTATTATCTAGCATAGACTTCAAGGTGTCGTGAACCACATATCTCATCTCTCTATCTTATAGTTTAGGCTTAAATTTTATTTTTTGTATTTTTTATTTAAGATCTAATTCTGTTAAAAACAATTCTGCTTTCTACATTTCAAATAGCAGAGATCCTTACAACCCTTAATCTTTCAACACTTTTCTTTGTGATTTCTCCAAGTTTTTTCTTTCCAAATCAAGGCAATCTTCAAATAAGGAATATAACTCAAAGAAATTATTGCAGTTTTAAATTAGTTTATTTTTAATGTTCAAATTTTTAACTCTGTATTTTTCTATTTACTTATTAATTTGTTAAAGTTCAGCAATTTCTGTATTCTAAAAGTCTTGAGGGTTAAGAAAAGAGTAGTTATTATTCTTCTATTATCTAGAAAATTAAAAAATAAATAACTAAATTAGATTAAAAAAATAATTTATACCCTTGTTGTAATTGTATTGATTGAGAAAGTATTCTCTTAGATGCATTTGGATTGAGTGTTATATAGCTTTTAGAGTTATTGTTATTTTGCAATTTTTTGCTTATTATCGAAGAGTCATTATAGTTTTCTTAAACTTACTAATGAGAAATTTAACTTAAATTTTATATGTTATTCAGTTATGAATTTTACAAAGTTTTCATACTGATTGAGTGATTTCTTTTAACCATTTTTAATGTTCCACAATAAGCTTCTATTTTAGCTAGAGGATCATTCTAAATAGCATACTTTTGAGTAGAGCTAGAGTTTCTTTTACTTTGAACATTAGGAGAAATTCTTGATGTTTATGCTTTAGCTTGAGATTAATTATTAGTTGGAATATTTAAGTATGTGTTTTAATTATTCTTATTTGGTATACTTTAAATTGATTCATTTAAGCTAGGTTAGCTAGCACTGGCATTAAATTTTTAAGTTATATCCAAATGAGTATTATCTAGATGGGTGTTATTTTGAAAATCATTTAGGATGTTTATTTTAAATGGCTGGGTTTTTAATGCCATATCTCTTTGCTTTTAATAGTCCTCTAACATATTTTATAGCTCAATAATCTATTTAGAATAATTTAAGTTTTCTCTGTTTTTTGATGATAATTAATCTTTACGATATTTGTATATTTAATATAAACCTAAAGCTTATTCCTCTTCTTTCTTGATATTCACTTTCATAATTTCTATATCACGCTTTAAATTCTCTGAAAACGTTTAATAATTTTCTAGTTGTTACATCATAACTTATACTTGCTGGTCTCTGTTGATTTTACCTTCCATATTTTTCAACTCTTCAAAATAAACTTATAACTTTTCGCGGACTTTTTATAAGTAATTAACCAAAAGATAATAGCGCCGATCAAGAAAGCCTCTCATATCCATCATTGAATTATCTAAGTGATCCTGTAAATCAATGACATATCCGTCAACATTTTATTTCTATTTGACTGACTTTTGCAAATCTTATTCTTTGTATTCAATAGATCCAAACCCTAATCTTTTAAATTTTAAATCGAATTCCTAATCTCTCTGCTTTTTCTTATTCCTTGACTAAGGAGTACCTTGCATAGAACCCTCCTCACTTAATGCAGACAACTTTCTTCCAATACCCATATCATTTTTTATCTAATCAATTTGCTTATTTATAATATTTTTATTAGTTATTATTTATGATATTTGTATGTCCTAAGAATAATCTTCAATTGATGCCTTTCTTGTAGGATCTTGATCCTTTATTTAACTTTTTGAAGACTAAACATTAGCATCTAAGTTCTTAGTGCTATTCTTTGAGTTTCTCAAGTCATTTTATTCCTAAATATTTTATTAACTATGATTATTCTACTCTCTCAGGTTTTCATTCATTTTAATAAATTCTTTTTAAACCAATAAATAATTAAGAGTTACTTTTTTAATAAAAAAATAACAAAATATAAATTCAATATATTTATTTATTCACTCATTCATTCGTTTATTTTGCAATGAAAATTTATTATTTTGCACAGAGATATATAATATTTTAGCAATAAAAATGATAACAATTAATAATCATATTTTATTAATTTAATATAATTTTTTATTTTTTATCCAAAACATTTTATCCGTACTGTAATTAATTCAGATTTTTTTCTCTTTTTATTTATGAAGAAATTATAAAACTTTTATTTTCCTAACACCTTAAGATAGGTTAATCACTCAATTATTATTTCAAAATTATTTTGTTAGTAATATTGTAAAGCATTTAATCAAATTTTTTATTATTTCAATAGAATATAAAAGTTTATAATAGAGTATATTTTTAAGCTTTTAAAAATAGCTTTATTCTAAATAGAATAATAAAAAATAATAAATAAATTTTAACTTTTAAATTTTAATATTTATTAAAAATTATTCTTAAAAAAGAAAACAATAAACAATTTATTTGCATTTTACGATTATATATATTAAAAGAAAACATTTGATTATTCAATTATTAAAAGATAATTTTTAAAATTAAAAATTTTATTTATTAAATATTTATACTTAGTTAAATACTTGATCATATTTTAAGCTAATAAGAAAAGCCAGTATTAGAACAATTTATCAGTTTACTAATAATCTGAATATATAAATGCTTATGGAAATTCTTATACAAATCAATTCTTTTATTTGAAATTATAAATATTTCATATCTGAAAAATAAATAAAAATATATTAAAGCAATTTAAAATTATTAATTCTATTGTATACTCATTTTTTGCAAATATTAAATTAGTTTCAAAGTCATTTTTAATATTATTCTCATTTTACTTATTAGTTATATTAACTTATTTGTTGCTTTCATTTTATATTACAAGTTAAAACAAAATTTTTTAGGTTTGATTATATTTAATACAAATGTTAATCTCTTGAATTTAAAATTGAATATCAAATAAACAATTATCTTAATTTTCTAATTTATTACTTCTACATTAAAATATATGATAAATTTTAAATTTTAAATCTAAGTAAACATTTCACATTTGACAATTATTTTGTCCTTGTTATTTATTATTATGTTAAAGTTTTAAAAGTCTCATTTTTCTCACTAAAAGTTTTTTTATTTAAGAGTTTACTTATTTAGGATACAAACTGTTTATTAATAAGACAATTAATAGATTACTCGTACTCTTATTATAAAGATTGATTTTTTAGAAATGAATAAATTTAATTTATAATATAAAAGAATTAAATAGTAAATGAATCCTTATTTTTTGATAAATGGATTTTCCTTATAAATTGTTTAAATTTTCTAAAAACTTTTATTATTATTTATTATAAATTAAAGTTTATTTGGAAATTAAAATGAAAAATTTAATTGTCTTAATTTTAATATTTGGTTTAGCTTGTTCTCAACAGTACTAAACAAAATACTTTGATTAACTGGTTGATCACATCGGCTTTGAAACAGGAGACAAAACTTTCAAGCAAAAATATCTTATTAAAGATGATTATTACAGATATGATAAAGGTCCTATATTATTTTACTGCGGTAATGAAGCTCCTGTAGATTTTTCTTTCGGTGGTGCAGGCTTTATGCACACTACGCTTGCTTAAGAACTCAATGCTTTAGTTGTTTTTATGGAACACAGATATTTTGGCGAGTCTCAGCCCTTCGGAACAGAAAAAGAATCTTTTAAGAAAGGAAATAATAAATACCTAACTAGTTTTTAAGCAATAAATGATTATGCTAAATTTTTAGTTTGGTTTAAGAAAAGTTTAGGTTGTGGAGATGATGAGTGCCCAGTTGTTGCTTTTGGAGGTAAATGAAATTAATAAAATTTTATTTTTAAAAGCCTTATCAAATATTTTTATCAATTACAAAGCATCTTATGGTGGTATGCTTTCAGCCTGGATTAGAATGAAATTCCCAGAAATCATTGATGTAAGCTTAGCCAGCTCAGCTCCTATCTTCTTGTATGAAAATAGAGAGGGTATAGATGAGACTCTTTTCTATAAGATTGTTACTGACACCTACGAATAAAATGGTTGTAATACATAAATTCACAGAGCTATGAACATTTTAACTGACTTGATAAATTCTCCTGTTCCATCTTTCTTATTTAAAATATAAAATAAAAAAATTTTAAATGAAATAAATGAAGGGATGAAAACTTGTAAACCTATTACAGATTAAGACAATTTAGATGTTCTAAGGTCTTACATAGATTAAGCATATAGTTATATGAGTATGTTTAATTATCCACAAGAAGGCCATTTTGTTTCAAAGATGCCTGCTTGGCCTGCAAATTATTCTTGTACTCCGTTTGAAGCTATTAATGATAAGTCAACTATTAGTTAACTCTTCTAGGCTGTAAAAAAGTCTGTTGATGTTTATTATGATTTTGAAGAATAAAAAGAATGTACTAATTTTAACACAGGTTCTACTGGAGAAATTAATACAAGTGCATATGAGATTCTTACATGTGCAGATATTGTTTAGCCTATTCACCCTAATGGTGTTACAGATATGTTTTACGATTAACCATGTAATTTACTTTTAAGCAAAAATCAATAATTTAATTTTCTTTTATTAAACAGGGGATAAAGATTCATATTAGCAATATTGTTAAGAAACTTTTGGATTAACTCCTAATTATGACTATGTCTTAAATTTTTATGGTGGTAAAAACGATGAAGAAATGAAGTAATTCACTAGAATTATTTTCTCAAACGGTTTACTTGACCCTTGGTAAAGTGGATCCCCAACAAAGTATATTAGCGACGATTTAGTAAATTAATTTATTATGCTTAATTACCAAACTATTTAATTAATAAAAATTTATAAAAACAAAGCCTATTATCAATATGTACGCAGCTGCTCATTGTAGTGATCTTCGCTTACCTTAAAATGGAGATGTAGAAAGTGTGATCTAAGCCAGAATACAAGAAGAAAAATATATAAAGCAGTGGATTCAAGAAAAGTTACCCACAGAATACTTTACTAAAAAATCCTAAATTTGAATGAAAAACAAAAAATAAACTAAAAAATATAATAGAATCTATTTATATAATTTAATATAATGAATTTTTTATAATAATTAAAAAAATTAATTAAATGATTTTTTTATCAACTTTTTATAAAATAATTTCTAGATTTTTTTCTAATTTAAGAGACATTTTTAAAGTTATTTGAGCACTCTAATATGAAAAAAATTATTGTGAGTACCTAATTAAAGTATTCAGCCTAAAATTTCATACATAAAAAAAACTTCCTTCTTAAAATAGAACACTATCTTAAATTTAAAAACACATTATGTTAAAGTAATTACTGTAATTTTATAATGTTTTAGACAGCCGATATTTTATTTTCATTAAATTTAATATTTATTATTTAAGAAAATAATAGAAATACATAACAATACAAATAAAGTATGTATGTATGCATTCATGTATTGCTAGTTTTTTAAAAGCAGATAGTTACTTACTTACTAAAATATATTTTTAAACTTATTTAAGCTAACATATTTATTTCTTTATAAAGGTTTTAATATTTATGTAAAGAATAAAAATAAAATACAAATAAAGTTTATATTTCTACCTTTTTATTAACAAAAAACAATTATTTAGATCAATATATTTTTTTTAATTTAATCAAGTTTTCTAAATTAAATATGATAGATTGATTATAACTAAAGACTCTTATATTTATGAGTAGAATATAAATGGAATATAAATAAAGTAAGAATTGCTAGTTTTTATAAACATATAATTACTTACTTACTAAAACTTACTTTTAATTAAATTAAGTTTTCTAAAGTTTATTTTTTTTATTACAACCAATTAAAGACTCTTATATTTAGTAAAAAAAATTAGAATTTTAATATATTAAGTATTGTTAATTTTTTTATGGATACTTATTTATTGATTTGAATATATTTACTCTCTTTATTGAATTTTCAAAAAGTTGATTTTTTTTATGAATGATTTGATTTTGGTTTAGGGCAATAAATATTTAACAAAAATTCCCACATGTTTTCTTCATCTGGAAAACCGTCTACTGGCCAATTTGTTTCTTTTTTAGTAAGTCTTTGAGGAAGTGATTATTTTACTGTGCTTGAAACGTATATATAGTTGCTATTGTTTGGATGTCCTGGCTAAGAGTTAGATATTTAACTATCTTACTGAGTTGTACTACTGCATTTGGGAGATGCTGAATCGCTATTTTCATTTTTATTCTCAAAGACGATAGATTTTCCATCTATCATATTGAGACTTTATGGTAGTTACTCATTTTCTACAATTACTTATTCTTCTTATAAAACTAATTTTGTTTCATTTTATTCAGTTCTTATACTATTTGTTATATTTTGTAATGTTTTAGGGCTCTTAGCTTTCATCATTGCTTTTGCAGGGCTTACTATTTGAGAAGGTGATTTGTTTATTTAAGGCTACTACTTTTAAAGAATTTTTGTTTTTGGAAATATTATATCCAGGGTTAATTTAAACGCATCGTCAAGCATACGAGGTAAAGCCTGCTGTAGGTGAGGTGAAGATTCATCTAAACATGGATTTGTATTAATTTCTAAAAGCCAAATATTAAATTTATCATCTACTAAAAAATCATAGCCATAAATTTCAAAAGTGTATTTTCTGTCTTCAGGATTAATTTTACGTTTAACACAATTCATAGTGTGGTAGACAATGTTTTTCATATCTTAATGCATTTTGCTTGTATCACACTCATTTGGGTGATGAGCTTAGCAGTATTTAAAGAAATTAGCCAGACTCATTTAATTTCCATTCTCAAATTCTCCATAATTGTCAGCATATCTCTAAACAGCATTATTTGTGAGATGAATGAAATGATTATTAATTTGATTGTTGTCTAAGTTAAACTTTTAACCAGAAGTTCTTATTACGCTTTCTTTAAAAAAATATACATCCATAGTATGTGTTACTAGGACCCAAGCACGGATATCAAATTTTCTATTGTTTATTAACATTGGACGTTCCACATACTTTTATACTACAAATTGATGGCACTTGATGATACTCACAGGATCTTTATTTGCACTACTTTATGTATTTTTTCTCTTCTTAGATTAATCTGCATTTTAGTCTTACTAATTTTTTTCTGGAGAATAGTTTTCATTTGACCTTAAGTTTGGAGAAACAGACGTAATCTATTAATTAATTTTTAATTTAAAAATGTATTATTTGCCATAAAAAACAAATTTACTTGCAATTATTACTAGTGGTTTTAGAGCTACTGAATCACTTTTTGTTAGAACTAAAATTTACTTTTGAAGTCAAGTTAATCTTAATCTTAAATCTAATTAGATTCTTTTTCTTAAGAGTTTTCTTTTTTCTGCTAACAATTTTAAGCTTCTATGATTTGTTGTTGGAGCTATTATTATTATTATTATTATTATAATTATTCTTACTCCTGCTTATTAGGTACTATTTCTTTTTTTTTTGTTAAAGGTTTCTCTTCCATCCCTACGTAGTACTCTTATATGTATTTTTCTAATTATTCTATTTAATTGAATATGTAAATTCCTCTTCCTCGATTTGTGCCAGTTGGTTTTAAAAACCAGAAGTAGTTTTCTCCATTTGCAAAAGATTCATGCATCTTAGGCTTTGAAAAGGGATTCGGTTTTTCTTTTTTATCCTGCATCGGATATTGCATAAGAGGTTTTAAGCGTTTAACAAATTCATTTACAGCCTTTTTAGGATTTTCTGGTTTTTTGAGAACTGAGCTGTTCTTCGGCATGTGCTTATAAAAAAACTTTGCAAATCTTTTCAGAGAAGAATCACAATTTTCATCATCTAAGTCAATCAAAAATGTTAAAGGTGTTAAAGTGAACATATTTATCTTATTTTGTTCACAATAAGGCTTTAAGTTTTTTATCAGAGTGTATTTGCATGTTAATTCTTTGTGAAACTCTAAATGATTAACTAGCTATTTCATCCCTATTCCAATTCTATCAAATTTTACTGCTTAACTAATAGGACACCACCTAAAGTTATAGGCTGTATTGTGAGTTTCAATTGCTCTCCAGTTCTCTCTTGTTTCCATGACTCTTTTAACAATAAGGCAATTATTCCCATAGTTAACAATATACTTGTAATAGGATTCTTCTTTATTCTGAGCAATTTACTAGAAATTTTATTAATTAGGTGAAAACTATATATTTTGCATATAGTTTGAACTCTGCTATACTTATGAAGAGCTACTTCTTCCTCCTCCTTACTAATAAGTAAATGCTTACTAGCTGTAAGCAGATGTAAAATTGTTATTTTAATCAGATACTTATCTATTCAATTCACTAACAAAAAACTATCTACCTTGAAGAGGGGATTTATGAGTCTAATTTGTGCTAGAATAATGTATTTTTAATAGTTGATTATTCTCTTACGACTTTTCATTTTAAATACTTTTCTATTTAGGAGAAGTATTTTAATTTTATGTAGCATTTTTGCTAGGTTAATTTTATTAAAAGTTTTGGATTTAGCTAAAAATGTCTGGCTTATTTGTTTGAAAACCTGTTAGCGGATAGTTTTTTACACTAGATAAAGTTCTGCCCATGTTATTTGCTGACTGATACTATGATTCGAATTATTATTGCTAGAAACCTGAATAGCTAAAAATTGAAGAAGGAGTATTGTTGTTAGCTCCTAAATCTTATTTAGTTTAATTAGAATAATAACCTGTATCATAGAATGTCTATCCTTTTATTAGATTAGAAGTGAACTGCTAATTATAATTTCTTGTGTACTTGTTGCCATATTGTGCTGTTTGTATTCTATAATTATTATCTCCCAGCAAACGCACTGGGCTTCCTTTGCTTTCTCTAGATTGTTTCTCTATTTTTTTGGCAATCAAAACTATATGTTAAACTTAGCTAGGCTTGAAATCGCTTTTATATTCATTTTGATATTCATAATATCTTTTCTTATTGCTCCCTAAAAGAGGTGACTGCATCAAGCCTTGCGGAGTTGATTCCTTTTGTAGATAATTGGATTATGAGATTTTATTAATCTCTGCTATACTATTACTAATATTCGCGGATTGCATAAGTTAGAGCTTTTTCTATAAAGTTATTATTATTATTATTGCAAATTAACTTCAAATTAATAATTTTCTCATAAAGCAAGAAATAAAAAATACTAATTAAAATTAATTAAAGTTTGATTTTTTTTTTTAATAAACACAATAATATTTTTAATATGATTCAATAGATTTAATTTGTGGTTTTAATCAAATTAACAAATTTATAAAATATAAACAGCAACTTTAAATATTAAATACGCATTTCACTTTCAATTCTTTTAGTTTATTTTATATAAAGATTCGATAAATTAAATGTGTTGTTATTCTTCACTGAAAAAGTCAGGGAAGTACTACAACAAAGTGCTTTTGCACTATTGAGCTTCCTTTTCTTAGTTATTAAGCTTATAGCAATTATAAAGTTCAAAAAGACAGTAATCGTTTTCCCCACTGAGTTGAATAGCCTTGTTATAAGAAATGATTGCGTCTTTGACTTTGCCTGACTAGAGCTAAATCTATCCACAAAAGTAATGATAGTTAGCTTCTTCAGGTTATAGCTTGATCAATTCTTAATATTAATAAATAGCTTTATCTAACTACTTCTGGTTACGATAAAGAGATGCCAAATTTACTCTATGCTGCAATGAATCTGAGTAAAACTCAACCAATTTTTATTCTGATTAAATAGCTAAATCAATTTAATTGGTCAATAAAAAGAGTTGAGTGAAGAAATTAAACATTATGCACTTCTATTTGTCTAAATTCAATTTTTAGTTCATAAATTATTATTCCATCTATTTATACAAGTTCTCAGCCAACTTTTATGAAAATGGAATAGTATTTTAACAAAAGATTTCACCATTTTCAGATACTTTTTCGGCATTTAATTTTTCTTAAAGGCATTAAAGGAGATTAATACAATCAATATTTTCTCTAAAAAAGTCATCAGAATTAATTCCTTATTAAATATACTCCAAAGCCTTTTGAGTGTCTTTATTAACTGCAAAAATATTTGCTAATCTCAAGAAACTTTCAATATCAACTTCTTTAGCTTCGATATTTCTTTTTAAATATTCTATGCACTTTTCCATATTTCCTATTTGCTCGTAGCAGAGAGCTAAGTCATAGTAAGGAAGAGGATTTTCAGGCTATTGTTATAAACAAGCTTCAAGATTTTCAACTCCAAGCATACCTTCACCTAAAAATCTTAAATTTTGACCAAGATTAAATCTAGCTTTATAATTTTAAGGATCTGATTAGACAGATCTCAATAAATAGCAAGTACTTGTTTCATAGTCTCCTTTTCTTTTTAAGATCATCCCTAAATTTAAATTAGCTTAAGGGTGATTTTGATCCTGTGAAACATCAATAGCTTTTTAGTAGAACTAGACAGCTTCTTCCAATTATCCTTTACATTCCTACAAAACACCTAATGAATATAAGATAGCATCGTTTTGAGGTACTCTTTCGTGTTGTTGTTTTAAAAAAGCAATACCCCTATCAATTTAATTTTCAGCTATATAATGGTCAATTAAGTCTTAATTTACTAATAAAGCGTTGTATTAAATTGATTTTTCTGAATAGTTTAAATATTAAATCATATCTTTGATCTATAAATAAAGCTAAGCTAATTCATAGCATGATGCTTCAATTAAAAATGATACATTTTCATTTTATTTGTCTAAATTGATAGCATTTTCTAAATGCTTAATCAAATTTTAAAACTCCTTAATTGAATCAAGTAGTAATCCTTCTTTCTTTAAACTATAAGCTAATAAATATCTTACTCTACTCTCATCAGGAACAGTGTTTTATTGTAGAACTTCTCTGCATCTGCTAATTGCTTTTGAGTATTCATTCTTTCTTATTAATTCATTTATTTGCCTTGTTTCTTGATTTTAAATATAGAGCTCAGTTTGATTCAATAAAGTATTGATTTCTTGATCTAATTTAATTTATTCTTTATCATTTTTAACACTAAACAACTTTGCCGCTTTGAAACACAGTTAATAACTACTACTTTGTTATCTAAATAAGTTTTAAGGAGATTGTTTTTGATAAGAGAGTCTTCTTGTAAGCTATACAATACTTTTTCTAAATAGTTCCATTTTAATATTTACCTACCTATGCTAATCTTTTATATCTTAATTAATTAAGTGAATATTTTTTTGATTAATATTTATACGATTAGATATCTTTGATCAGACTTTTCGAGAATATTGCATATTAACAAAAATATTTTGTAACAAATTTAACAACTAATTAACTACATATCATTACAAAACTTTCTAGCATTCTCATATAAAACTGAAAAAAATAGCTTTTAAAAAGCATGTTTTTTATATAAATATCTAAAAATACTTAAACTTTATGCATAATTTTTTAAAATAATAAATTTTAAAATAGAACATAATATCAAAAATTAAATTTTATTTTTTTAATGAATTAACTGTTTTAAAATGAAAATTATTTTTATTTTAAACTTTTTTATTTTTAGTATTTTTTATAAAAATTATTTTAAATATAAACAAACTTTTTAATTTCAAATAAAATTTAATAAATTAATATATACCTTTATCCCTAATAACTAAATCTAAAGTTTGAATTTCATCAGACATATATAAATTTACAATAAAAATTATTAATTTCAGATATAATCTAAATCAACAATTAAAAATTAAAGTATATATTACAATATATATATTAAAGTAACTTGGCATTTATTTAAGCATAGATGGTTAAGCTCTTATTTGATGAAGTTCTTTCTATGAAAAGTTTTTATAAATTAAAATTTAATTGTGTAATTTATGTTACAATAGCAAAACAGAAGAGTAATTCATTTAATGGCTGAAAATACCTATCAAGATCAAATAAATAGTGAAAAATCTTATACCACTTTGCAATTGTAATGAAATTTATACCACATCAAAATTTACAAAATTTGTTAAGGAAATCTAACATAAATTTTATAACCATAAGTTCTTATATTTAATTTTAACAAAAAATGATTAGTGTGTTTTGAACAATTAATCTTTTGAAAAATAAAATCGCTTAAAAAGATTCAAATAAATTAATAATTACAGTATTAAAGAATAATAATACAGAATAACCTAAAAAGTATGATAATAAAAGGAAAAATCATTTTGATATTAGCTTTGCTAAACATATGCTTGACAGCTCCTATTAACATTCCCCTCAATTCTAATAATTGGTAATTAGTATGGGGTGGAAATCAGTTTTAATATGCCACCATTGCAAATGGTAACACAATATTAGTTTTTATATTTTAGTGGTTATAGATTACAAAGCATAATGTAAAAAATATTTCATATAAATAGGTCAAAAGATGTCATGGGTTGGATAACAAGTCTCTTAGTGCTGCAGCTGCGGAGTAAACTATGATACCTATTCCACTTTGGTAGAGAGTACTAATATATGGGCCAGATACTTTAAATTAAATATCACTGCTTCTACTCCTGCTTAAGCAAGATAGGGAAGTGCTCCTTGTGCTTGGGAGGTCTTCTGGGTTGGATTCAACTGGAGATGGACTACTTAACCTGAAAAAAACTCTAATTACGTAATTTATAAACCAGCTGAAACAGGTATAAATGGTGGTTTAGAATTAGGTACTATGTCTTAGACTGTTGGCTAAACGTTTTTGTACACTCCTGGTACTTTACCTCAATATGGTGCCTTGCAAATAGGAAAATATTATACCTATAATATTAACAGAGGATTTAATAGTATACAATTAGGTTTAAATAACACATACTATCCCGCTTAACCAAACACTGGCTTATTTGATTAGCTTGGTTCTATAATGCTTTATACTGAAGACTCTTCAGCCTCTATTTCTTCAGTCTCTATTGATTTCTACTAGACTACTACCAGATATTATTCTAACACAACAATTTAGAATCTAGCTAATAATTATGTAAGTCTTGAATCAACAGTCGCTAGCTAAGTAGGAGTGAGTGCTAATAAAATTATTCTAACAGGCTTATAATAATTAAATTCAACTACTATTATAGGATATTTCTATTAAAATAGTTGAAATATATTAAATACCAATAAAAAATATATATTAAATTAAAGTGATAGCTTGTTTTTTTCTTCTTTCTTTCCATTAATTATTTCATATGAGTACAACAAAAATAAATAATATTTTTATAGCTATTTTGTTTATTTTTGAAAAAATAATTTTATTTAACGATTTTATATTTTAAATTATTAATAAATAATTAGATTATTAAGTATTTTAATATACTTATCATTAAATGTTTAGTTTAAATAGTATTTTTATTAAAAAAAACCATATAATAGCCAATATTAGTTTTTAAATTTAATTTATTCATTAAACATTACTGTATTATTTATTCTTTTATAGATTATTTTATTCCCATTTCTGAATTTGTTTAAATTGATCTATTCTAAAAAAAATTAATATGATTATTTATATTGTTGAAAGATAAGCCAAATATGTGAAAGTAAACCACAAATTTATTGAATAAATCAATTTTCTTAAAAGCAAAATCATAAAAATAAATTAATACCACTATAATTTATTGATGCATAAATTTTGTAAGAAATTATTTAAACTAAAATAATTCTACTTTAAAATAAGATTAGGTTTTTAACTAAGTTTATTAATCTATTTTATTTTGAAATTTAGAATTTTTATCTTAAATAAGTTTTAAGGTTGTGTCAATCTTAAAAATAATACCAGTATCCCTCTAAATTAAGGTGAAATGTAATTTAAGGTTTCAAAAAGGAAATACAATTATTTTAAAATTAAGATTTTTGGATTCAAAAACAAAATTTTTTTCATAAGAAAGAAAAAAATTGTGGTATATATTAAAAAAAAAATGGGTTATTTCGATTATAATCTTAATGAGAAATTGAATAAAAACATATAAAACTTCGATAATTATATATGCTTAAATTGTTAAGCTTTTATTTGAAGAAGTTCTTTTCTATGTAAAGTTTTTATGAATAAATTAAAAATTTTTTTGATAAAAATTTAAGATGTAATTGATGCTACAATAGCTAAACAAAAGAGTCATCTACATAATGACTGAAAATATCTATTAAGATCAAAAAAATAGTGAAAAATCATTTATCACTTTGCAATTATAATGAAATTCATACCACACCAAAATGTATGAAATAAATCTAACATAAATTTTATAACCATTAATTCTTAGATTTAGTTTTAGGAAAATCTGATTAGAGTGTATTGAGAAATTTTTGAAAAATAAAATCACCTAAAAAGATTCAAATAAATTAATAATCGCAATTAAAAGATTAAAAGAATATTGAACAATCTAAAACGTATGATAATCAAAGTAAAAATCATTTCCATATTAGCTTTGCTAAACATATGTTTAACAGCTCCTATTAACATTCCCCTCAATTCTAAAAATTGGTAATTAGTATGGGGTGGAAATCAGTTTTAATATGCTACCAGTGCAAATGGTAACATAATTATTTTTTAGTTATTATGGATTAAAAGCAGAATGTCATAAATTTAATATAAATAGGTCAAAAGATGTCATGGGTTGGATAACACGTCTCTTAGTGCTGTAGCTGTGGAGAAGACTATGACACCTATTCCACTTTGGTAGAGAGTACTAATATATGGGCCAGATACTTTAAATTAAATATCACTGCTTCTACTCCTGCTTAAGCAAGATAGGGAAGTGCTCCTTGTGCTTGGGAGGTCTTCTGGGTTGGATTCAACTGGAGATGGACTACTTAACCTGAAAAAAACTCTAATTACATAATTTATAAACCAGCTGAAACAGATATAGATGGTGGTTTAGAATTAGGTACTATGTCTTAGACTGTTGGCTAAACGTTTTTGTACACTCCTGACCCTTTACCCAAATATGGTGCCTTGCAAATAGGAAAATATTATACCTATAATATTAACAGAGGATTTAATAGTATACAATTAGGTTTAAATAACACATACTATCCCTCTTAACCAAACACTGGCTTATTCGATTAACTTGGTTCTATAATGCTTTATACTGAAGACTCTTCAGCCTCTATTTCTTCAGTCTCTATTGATTTCTACTAGACTACTACCAGATATTATTCTAACACAACAATTTAGAATCTAGCTAATAATTATGTAAGTCTTGAATCAACAGTCGCTAGCTAAGTAGGAGTGAGTGCTAATAAAATTATTCTAACAGGCTTATAATAATTAAATTCAACTACTATTATAGGATATTTCTATTAAAATAGTTGAAATATATAAATATCAATAAAAAATTATATATGAAATTAAAGTGATAGCTTGTTTTCTATTTTTTTCATTAATTATTTCATAAAAGTGCAACAAAAATAATATTAATATAGCTATTTTTTTTATTTTGAAAACATAATTTTATTCAATGAATTTAGATTTTAAATTATAAATAAAAATATATAATAATTAGATTATTAAGTATTAAAATATACTAATTATTAAATGTTTAGTTTAAATAGTATTTCTATTAAATAAATCCTATAACATTCGATATGAATGTTTAACTTTAATTTATTTATTCATTCATTAAATATTAATGAATTTATTATTTTATAAATTATTTTATTTGTATTTCTAAATTTTTTTAAATTGATCTATTCAAAACAATATTAATATTTTAAGTACATTTTTGAAATATGAATCAAAGTAAAATCATGTTTATTGAAAAAAATATTTAAAATTTTCTTAAAAGCAAAATCTTAAAAATGATTTTAATAAATATGAATTAATATCACTATTTATTCATGTAAAATTTCAATTAGAATATATTTCAACTAAAATAATCCTAAGATTAAAAGAATATAATAGTAAGAAATTGTTTTTAACCAAGTTTATTATTTTATTTTAATATTTTAAATTCTTATCATAAACTCGTTTAATAGGGTTGTTTTAATCTTAAGAATAATACTAGTAACCCTCTAAGTTAATGTGAAATTTAATTTAAGATTTCAAAAATGAAAACAATTATTATACCCTCCATTTCAGTACAAAATTCTAAAATTTTCTTCTACCAAGATTAGAGGGAATATTGTACTCATAATAAAAAGTTATTTAATCAAAAAAAGAAAATAAGTAAAATAAATATTCTATATGTATTAACAGATTAAGGTTTTTTTTAGTTAAGGTTATCTCTAAATTATGTTCAGAAATTTGGTAAAAAATTATTTTTTTCTAAGAATTATAGTTACCTCTGATAATAAATAATTTTTTACTTTGCTTTTATTAAACAAAAGGAAAACTGAATATCTTCCATTCAATCTAATTTAAATAATATTTTATTCAATTTGATTTTTTTATTATCTAAATTTATTAACTGTTTGATGGCTATTATACTAAATATTTTTAAATAATAAATAATATTTATTTATTTAAATTCAATTATGTTTATCATTAAGTATTTTATTAAAATGAATACTTTCTCTTAAAATTCTTCCATTTTTCTCAAAAGATAAATTGCATTTTTAGCTAATTAATACAAATAATAAATTCAATTTCATATTATAAATATTTATTATTAATTGAATTTCATATATTTATTAATAAGATAACAAAATAGTAAATATTTATATGATAGAAAAAACTTGATTATAACTAAAAAAAAACATAAGCAATAATTGTAAGTATTTTAATGAGAGATTTTATATATTCATTCAGCTTAAAATTTAGATATTTTTTAAGACTTAATATAATAATACATTTATAAATATTTCGTTTGTTTTTTTAATCTATATTTAATTAATTATATTTGTTTTTGAGCATTGCATTCTTTCATTATATTTTATATTTTTCTAGTTGCTTTTGTCAAAATTAATAAAATTAAAAATATTTGCTTGCTATATGAGTTTAAGTATTTAGATGGAATGTAAAAAATATAAGTATAAATCTACTTTCAAAATATTTAATTTTGCTTCATAATTATCACTACTTGAGATTCCTCCTCTGATTTTTGATCATACTAAAATTCTTTAATAAAATTATTTTAAAAATTAATTAGAAAAAAAGTATATTTTTTTAGTACTAACTACTTTTTTGTTGATTAATTTAAATAATATAAATATAGAAGTAATAATTCATTTAGAATTTTATATTTTACTTTATAATTATAGAAGCTAACTAAAAGATATAGATAGATGGAAGGATGGATGGGATATTTTAATATTTTGATGAAAAATAAAACTAAATTTAAATTAATTATTTATGTTCATTTGTTTTTTTTTATACACTTTTATTTTTAAGGGCTTCTCTTTTTCAATTTATTTTGTAAGATCATCTATAAGATTTCGGTGATCCATTAAATTAAAAACCTTTAAACTAGCAATAAAATACAGATTAAAAATTATTGTTTCTACAACTTTAGCTTAAAATTCTTTTGTAGTTATCTAATTAACTTTTCTTGATAAATATGTTTTAATTTCAGAGTAAAAAAATAAATTTAATACATTATACATAGATTAATTGATACTTTTATTTATTTAATAATAGTATCACTCATTTAAATATTTTATAAACTCTTTAAAATAATTTTTATAACATTTTATCTTTGGAATATTTTTATGTTTTTATGTTACTCATCATTATTAAAGTCTTTTAAATGTTACATCTGGTAGTATATATCTTCTAATTTCCATTTTGATTATCATGAAAGTAGCCTAGATCAAATATGCTCATCAAGCTAGTACTCTAATAGAGAATATGCATAGTTTTAATTATCTTGATTAAACGATTAATGAAGTAATTTCTGTTTTTTTGTTGACTATAATTCAATAAATCTAAAAATATGTTAATGAAATTATTTGAAATAATTTAAGTGATGAAATTGACTTTTTTTTCTTTTACTACAAAAAAATAATACAAACTAATCATTTAAATATTTCTAAAAAAAGTTTTTTGCATGATGTTTTTTTTAATTATAATTCCTGCTTTTTTAATTAAAAATATTTGAGTTAGAGCAAAAAAGAATATTAATAAAGCTTGAATTCAAGGTATTTTAAAAATTTGTGGCTTTTTTACTCATTAAATTTATAATGTAAATGGTGAAAGTGGATATTTGTTTGAAAAATTACCTTATTAAAATGATATTTTAATTATTATGAAATAAAAATTTATACTATTATTTTTGAGTGCATAAAATTAGAGTAAACATCTCTTTTTACAGTAATAAATTTCAATTAAAACTCTCTTTTAAATGAGAGTAAGATATATTGTTTGCTATTATAGTTTATGTAAAAAAATATTAATTTACTTCTTCAATAATAATTTATCAGATTTTTTTGATAATTATAATAATCAGAAAGCTTCAGAATTTATAAAGGCTCATAACAAAAAATAGAAAAAAATAGTTATTAAATTAATTTAAAATATTACATATAAATTTCAATCATATTACTTGTAAACCTGATAATCATTTTCAATATTAGGTTTGAAAATAATTTAATTTATTTCCATCGAGTATTAAAACTAATATTAATTTTAGAAAATGTTATTGCAAGTTTTAAAAGATATAAAAAATAATTATTAAAAGCATCTAAAAAAATATGCTAATTACTCTACATCATATTGTCAAGTATTTTAAATAGATAGTTTTTACTGAATTTAGATAAAATTATTTTTAATATTTTTCAAAAAAATGAGAGGAAAAAAAAAATTTATGAAGAATTTAAAATTCAACTTATAAACTATTTTAGATTATGCAAAAAGTAATTTAATTTTTATAAATTAAGTTAATAACTTTCATCTCAAATATGAAATAAACACAATTAAATGTGTATGAAAAATAATCAGCTGAAATAAAATTTAAATTATTTATTATTTTCTAATTTCTTAACTTACACTCTTTGATATTAGGAGAGTGATAATTCATTATTAAGTGGTTAATCAAATTTTGGTATATCTAGCTTAAAAGCGTTTAGAAACTTTATAAAATGATTATATAATATCCTCTTTAGTTTCTTTATCAATTTAAAGAATAATGACTATTAATTATTCTAATCCATTTTTATTACTTTTTATCATGTATTAAATTTCAGTTTAACATGAAAAATATATTTTTTTAAACAATTTTTTTAGATAACAAAAACAGAAACGTGAATGATCAATATAATTATAAAAGAAAATAATAAGAAAAATGTGAAATATTGGTAATATAAATCAGTCGATGTTTCTTTCTTTTTAATTTAAGATTGAAAAATTAACAAAATCTATATTTAACCACCACATTCATAAAAAACTTAGCTGTTTATTTTAGACTCTTTAATTACAAATATTATTTAAATTGATAAGTATGTGTTTTTCTCTCTTTTTTTACAACTTGATTTTAAAGGTTGAATTACGTTTATCACCTAATAATTTCCACAATTTATTCTTGTTAAAAATTTTTATAGGATGCATTATTTTTTGTTGATTTTAAAAATTCATTTGGTTTGATTGAAAAATTGAATCAATGAAATTATTTAAAAATAGCTAATATTAATTTTACTAAATCTTTTTCATTTTACATTTTTAGAAACTATTTCAGCAAATTTTAAGTAATAAAATAGCTATTTATCTTCTTGAAATAAACTCTTTCCAAGTATTTATTTGATAATATTCATAAAGATATAATTTTATGTTTCAATAGTCTATGTTTTTATCACAATTTTTGAGAGAAATAGTGACCTAATTTTTAAAAGACTTTCATGTAAATTTAAAAATTTTATTTTTAATTGAACCTATTATTAGAATAAAAATGAGCAAATTTAAAAAAATAAAATAAAATATTAACATTTTCCTGTAAAGATATTTAAATTTATTTACTTTATTTTCTAGCGTATCATTGAAAATAAATTATTATCAATTATAGATTGAACCATTTCTATTCAATTTTTAAAAAAATTCAGAAAAGTGTAATAATTTGTGGGGAAAATGATCAAGTACATCTATTTAATGTTAATTTAAATTTACAGAATAAATTGTAAAAATTAATTTTCTTTTTAGGCTAGAAAAAAATGTAAATTGTTTAAGGTAAACAGTTAATTTAGTATATACTTCAATGGAATAAAAAGAATTTATATTTAAAAAAGCTGACTCAATAATCCTGGCTAGATAACTTTTGATTCATTTATGCTATAGTGTAATTATTTAAATAATTAATAATGAATTTTTAAGAATATATTTCTAAAGTAAAAGGATTGTATTTTATTTCTTGAATTAAAATAAACTAGAAATATAGGTTAAAGTATTTATAAGAACCCACAAACTATATTCAATAAATTAAAATAATATGATTTATATATAATTGCCAAAATATATTTTAATTAGGGAGTTAAGGAAGGAATTTATTTGTAAAAGACTCAAATTAATTAATAGAAAT